CCACTATTCCATCCAGTATTCATCACATATTCCTCCCCCAGCTCACCACCATCTTTCCTTTCAATTTTCGCTTGACCTTCTTCCACTCCATTTCTCATCCGACGCTTCCAATCCCAACATCTCACGTTATACGGCCGCTACCTCGCAGGATAACCCCCACGATTCTCGCTGAATTTCTTCCTTTCTTCGAATTTTAAAATTCAAATCTACTACTTCGATACCCACCATGAACATATCTCTCTCTTGACTCACCAAAGATACTCATTTTCTATTTTCGCTTCACATATTCCACTTCATTTCTCGTTCCCATCGAAACCATCCTCCTCACACTTTATACGGCCGCTACCTCAGCTAATAACCCCCCGAATTTCCTCCAATTTCTTCTTTCTTTCCAATCTTAAAAATCAAATCTACTACTCCGATAACCATCAAGAACATATTCTTCTCTCAGCTCACCAACGATACTCCTTTACTATCTTCGCTTGGCCTCCATTCCCTCTTTTTTCTTCCATTGAAACTAATCCTCCCCGCACTTCATACGGCCGCTACATCAGCTGATAACCCCCACGAATTTCCCCCAATTCACCATAAATTTCGCATTTCAATATTCAAATAGATTCTCTTCACCTACCTCTATAACATACCTTCCTATCCATCATCCAACTCTTCCCCTTCCATGATTATTCTTCCGCATTGAACACTTCGGATACCCCCATTGATCTCCTCCAAATACCACTATTTTTCGTATTTTAAAATTCCAAATCCACTATTCTAATACCTATTAAGAACATATTCCTCTCCCAGCTCACCAACGACCTTTCTTTTCCATTTTCGCTCCACCATATTTCATCCACTTCTCATCCAACGCTTTCAATCCTAACTTCTCACTTCATACGGCCGCTACCTCATAGGATAACCCCACGAATTTTCACCAAATACCGCCATTTTTTCCAATATTACAAATCGAATCTACTATTCCAATACCCACCAAGAACATACTTCTCTCCGGGCTCTCCAACGACCTTCCTTTTCCATTTTCGCTCGACATTATTATACTCCATTTCTCATAAAACCTCCATCTCGTTTCGCACTTCATACGGCCGCTACCTCAGCTGGTAACCCCCACGAATCTCGCTGAATTCCTTCTTTTTTCTCTTCTTAAAAATCAAATCCACTACTTAGATACGCATGATAAACATACTTCCTTCTCAAATCCACTACTTAGATACGCATGATAAACATACTTCCTTCTCAACTTACCAACTTCTTTCCTTTCTAATTTCGCTCCACATATTCCACTCCATATCTCCTCCATTTCTCCTCCATCCTCCTCGCACTTCATACGGCCGCTACCTCAGCTAATACCCCCACGAATTTCCTCCAATTCACCATACATTTCGCATTTCAACATTCAAATAGACTCTTTTCACCTATTTCTATAACATACCTTCCTATCCGCCTTCCACCTACCTGCTTCTACGATTATTTTCCGTATTTAACACTTCGCATACTTCACTGATCTCCTCCAAATACCAATATTTTACAAATTTTAATACCCAAATCTACTATTCCAATACTCATCAAGAACATATTCCTCTCTCAACTCTTTCATTAACATCCTTTTCTATTTTCGCTTGACGTTATTCCACTCATCTCTCATCCTCCGACTTCCTCGCACTTCATACGGCCGCTACCTCATAGGATAACCCCACGAGTTTTCACCAAATACCGCTATTTTTCCAGTATTAAAATTCGAATCCACTATTCCATCCAGTATTCATCACATATTCCTCTTCCAGCTCACCACCATCTTTCTTTTCTGTTTTTCGCTTGACCCTATTCCACTTCATTCCTCGCTCCCATCCTCCCGCACTTTATACGGCCGCTACCTCAGGGGATAACCCCCACGAATCTCGCTCAAATTCTTCTTTTTTTCCAATATTAAAATTCAAATCTACTATTCCAATACCCATCAAGAACATACTTCTTTCTCGACTCTTCCACCATCTTCCTTTTCTATTTTCGCTTGACCTTCTTCCACTCCACTTCTCATCTCCCATCCTCTGTTTCCCGCACTTCATACGGCCGCTACCTATCCGAATAACCCTTACGAATCTCCTCCAATTTACCGTACGTTCGGCATTTCAACATTCAAATTGGCTCTTCTAATCTATTTATATAGCATACCCTCCATTCAACTCTTCCCCTTCCATGATTATTCTTCCGCATTTAACACTTCGGATTCCTCCATTGATCTCCTCGAAACACCACTAGTTTTCCAATATTAATATTTAAACCCGCTATTCCATCGAATATTCATCACATACCTGCTTCTCGGCTCACCAAAGACCTTCCTTTTCCATTTTCGCTCCACATATTCCATCCACTTCTCATCTTCCCCCTTCCCGCACTTCATACGGCTACTACCCCATCCGATATTCCCCACGAATCCCTCCAAATACCACTAGTTCTCCAATATTAACATTCAAATAGATTCTCTTCACTTATTTCTATAACATACCTTCCTATCCGCTCTTCACCTACCCCCCTTCCATAATTATTCTTCCGCATTTAGCTGATCCGACTCCCTCGTTGATTTCCTCCAGAGCTCACTGCTTTTGTACTTTTAGCATTCGGACCAACTCTAATAATCCACCTTCATAACATATTTCCCTCTCCGCCTCTCACCTATCGTATTTTTCCATTTTCCTTCCCTCTCCCTGCTCTCATCTCTCATCTTCCTCGCTTCTTCGCATTTGATACGACACAATCCATCCATATTCCTACCGCTCCCACCACCTGCCTTCTTGGGACACCCGCTTTCCTCGGATACCGCACTTCCAACTCACGCTTTCCTGGGATACCCATTCTTCTCGACATCACCCATCACTACTTCTACTCGTTCTACCGCTTCTACGATACCAGACTTATTACTACTCCTACTTCTTCCATCGCTCCTCGCATTATCACTCCTCGGATACCCGTCTTCTTGGCACCTCACCATCCTGGCACCTCACCATCCTGGCACCTCGCCTTCTGGGATACCCACCTTTTCGGAATACCTTCCATGATATCCCGCTTTTTTGACTTCTCACCTTCTTGGCACTTCATCACCTGGGATTGCACCTTCCTTCAATTTCACTCTCTTGGTTTTCGCTTTCCTAGAATACCCACCATTGGATATCCCACTACCCAGACATCCACTTTCCAAACAAATTAGTTATCTACACATCACTCTCCCATCCACTATCCAAACGAACTAATTGCCCACACATCACTATCCAGACATCCACAATCCAGAATTCATTATTTAATCATTCCAATCCATTTCTAAATACACTATCCTAACTGCCTTCCACCTACCTCCCTCTGTAAGTTCTCCCTCACTGGTTATATATTAATCCATATTTATGACATGTTTTCCTATTGAAAACAACTATTCATTAACTCCTTCTCCCTCTACTTCCACTGCTAGTTTCACCACGCGCCTCCCATTTACTACGCACCTCCCACTACCCAACGGAATTAATCTTCTCACCTTCGACCTCCTGGCATACTACTTGGCATTCCACGTTCTTATACTACCATATCCTGTTTATCCTCTCTGCACTTCTCTCCAAATTACAGATTCCAATACTAGTACATCGACACCGTTCCTACCCCATCCTCACTCGCCTTCTCGCTTTCCCAACGTACTGCTCCTGAATTACGGTACTCATTTCTCTTGAGGCTATCCATCATGATCAGCTCCTTCCGTATATTGCTAAAATCTTTCTACAACCTATTCTGTATAAACACTTGAGGAATCTACGCCTTCGCCATCATCTGCTCGTGAATACTTCTCTTGCTGCTTCCACGGCTCATGAAAAACTAGCTCCCGCTCTCGTCTCCCTCGATTTCCATCACATGACCTGCTCCCCTCTCTCGACTTTTCATCACATGACCATTCCCTCTCGACTTTCCATCTTCATCACATGACCGGGTCCTCCTACATCCCCACATCCCTCCTTACACCATTGAACATCCGTACCTACATCCTTACATTTTAGAGAAATTTGGCGGTCTCAGACGACTTGAAGCTTTATCATTCTGCATAGTCTTTCAGGCCAGAAATGGGCTTTTTTCTCGAAACAATAATTGAGATTACACATTGGGGAGAGAAGAACGAAACATAATGTATGGCTTGTAGTATAGTCTAAACGCATAGTTACATGAACCATACCTTTAATTACTAATCAGGTCCTCTACACACTGATACATCACGCGTCGTTGATCTAAACACTACGCCACTAGTATCCTGCTTCCAAAACTGCTCTTGAGATGGTGAACAAGATATATACTATTCTAGGCACTCATTACATTGAGCACAATGACCATTTGGGTCACTCACGTAAACATGACACTATATACAACGCATCTGACTCCAATAGTTTAGATCAAGGAACTTGACCTGTGGCGCTATTATGAATATATCGCAACTAGCACAACAACACGAACTCTTTCTACCGTGGGCTTCTCGGCTACCTCCTAGAGGGGTTACAGGACTAATCTTCAAGCTTCCAATCGAGAAGAACTACTGCTTGAAATACAAAACTTCGCAAGAAAGCTCGCTGAGTTCAGTGAACGCTCGGTGAGCTCGGTAAACGCTCGGTAATCAGTTCAACACTAGACGGTTCAAGACCTATGTATCACGTACTTTACAGCTTATAACACACATCTGCTCATCGTCCTCGCTTCAGCCCGCACTGCCAATCCTCGCCCACCCTACCCGGCGCAGCTACCGCGTCAAAACCACCCATCCACCAGTCTGCAGCTCTCACGTGGAACACTCACGCTCACAGTCCAACCACAGTCCAAACCATAGTCCTACCGCACTAGCCAGTTACGCACCTATCCCCGCACCTGTCCGAATAACACTGCACTGTACATGTACAACGGAATATGTTCACCAGGCAACTCCATATATACATTCTGCAACCGCAACCAGTGTGGCAGAACATTCACTTCAGGGACCTCCCGCACCTCCCAATGAAATTTCGTCGAAACGTCTCATTGTTAAACAACCCGATCTGCATCATCAGGTATAATTCCCATCTCGGCGTCTTGCTACCGTCATATCCCAACGATTCTCTCTGCTCCATCTCCCATGACATTCTGTACGCATACTTCTTGATTTCCTGCGCACGATATCCAAACTGCGCAGATATATACTCAGGCCCAACATACGCTAGAGGTCCCGTCCGCCGCAGCTCCCAAGCGCTATTCTCATTCTCGATAACCGCCTCGAAATTGTTCCCACTCCACAGCTCGGCGCTTTTCTTCTCCTCATGTTTTCCAAAATACTCCAATATACTCATCTGCCTCTCGCAGAGATTGTCCCACAACTCAAAGTATTTTCTCTTTATTTCTAATCCAGAGTACAAACGGTACTCCCGCAACGCCGCGTCCCTACTCATCTTCAGTACCTTTCCCGACGATAGCAGCTCCAGGTAACTTGCATACTTCATACGGAATCGCACCATCAGCTCCCCCTTTCGCTCGTCAAAATCCTTAAGGAACGCAACCAGGTCCAGTTGAGTGTGAACTATCTTGTCTATAACCATACGGTAATCGCTGTCCGAATATATCATTCTCTTGAACGCTAGCGCCTCAACTGCAAGACCACGAAGAGACAACTTGGGCCCGTTGTTCAGACACAAACACACATCGGGATACCGCTCGCATCCATAACAGGTATCGCGGGTCTGGAACACACCCGGTGGAAGAAACTTGATATCCACCCCGTACAGTATAAGATGTTTGATTTGTTCGGTACCCATCTGCAAGTACTGAAACACCGTGGTATACCCATTAACTCCGTAGAATCGCCTTCGCAGAAACGCCTTTTCTCGCTGGATGTTAATATCTCTTCTTGTGGGTTGTGTTTCATCAGCAAGGTCATCGGAGGGTCGTTTAGACACTCCCAGCTTGACCCTTCGAAATAGATCGCATGTATCCGCCTCCAGGCCGTCCATTCTATCACAGCAACCAATATGTTCGGGTGAGGCTTCGACCAGACCATAGAACTGGCGGATCTGTGACGTTATACAGTCCAATGTCATCGAACCATCCCCTTCCCTTTGTCTTGGTGGCGGCAGCTCGTCGCTATTCAAAACCAGTGAACAGAACCCGTTGGAACGCAACCGCCCAGCGCACTGGATGTACTCTCCAATCTGTGGAAGATAGTCGACAATGAGAACCATTCGCAACTCCTTAACGTCGATTCCCTCGGACACAAGCTTTGTTCCAATGAGTACACGCATACCCCCGTCGTTGATAAACCTTTGTGTTCGCCGTGTCTTTTCCTCCGATGACAAGTCTCCGTGGATCCAAAGAATGTTGAAATATCTGTTCCACTCAATTGCAAGCTCCTCCACCAGGGCCCTGCGGCCCACTGCTACAATAGCCTTGGCATGCGGCTCAAGGGCAAATAGACTCTTTAGTAGTTCCAAGGCTTCCTTGGGCGAGTTCTTGGAAGTTACTATATCCTTATAGATATGGCCGAGCGGCGGTTTGTCCACCAAGTCGATAACCTTCGTCTTGAAATCCATCATCAACGCCGTACTTTCGCCACACTCCGCAACCAAGTGCTCTCCATCCTCAAGCACCCCCGGGAATCCCAACCGGCACATCGCAGCCCTACTATTATCCCATTCTGTCGCAGTGGCGCTGAGAAAGACCACCTTTTCAAACTTGTTAAAGTTTACATTTTTCATGGGCTCAAACGTCTCTCGTCTATACTCCTCGGTCTCAATGTTGTGATACTCGTCAATCACAAGATACCCCAGGCGTGGAGTGGACGCTTGCTGGCTCGATCCATAGATGGACTCCCACCCCTGAATCTGTAAAGCAAACTCATTGCTCGCAACGTCGTTGTATGTTCCTATGAATACGTCAGAGATACCGTCATGACCCCGCTCAAGAAAGAACTTGATACTGTTGGCTAGCAGTCCCCCGTTTCTCATCCGCGTTAGTGTTCCCGCTTCCAACACAGTGTATGGAACACACACAAAGGAAACGTACTTTACATCAGGCTTCGCTTGCAGCGCCTTCATGGGCACTTGATATAGTACCGTCTTACCGTACCCAGGTGGGGCAATTATGGCGAGCGAGGGCACGTTTGACAAGTACATCTCTACGCACACGGAAAACTGTCCTTTACGAAACTGGAAATCGTCTCCATACACTTCTTTTCCGGCTGTGTTCAGGTCGTCAGGACATCTAATGGGAACCGAACGAGGCACCCCATCTAGCATTTTGTTTGGTTTTTCTACTTTCGTTATCCGCTCAAACCCTATCCATTCCAGCCACTCGGTGGACGCGCGGCTTTGGAGGTAGGTTGCGGTTGTTCCGCTCACAGACCTCAACGAAAAACTATCCACTCCATAGTTCTGAAGACTTGTCTTTGCTGCATGCCCAAACATTATCTCCTGTACCATTGACTCGTAAAGATCTATCGTCATATTCTTGTTTACGTAGTTCCGCGAGATAGCAACCATACCCTGGCGTAATTGCTGGAAGCTTAGCTTGCAACTGAATGTCGTTGGGTACTTGCGACGTAGATACTTGTCAAACGCTCTGAACGCAACCATTTGTCCCTTACCAGTGTTGAGAAAAACATATCGACACAGAGCTCTGAAAGTGACTTCCTGAGCTGAAGGGTTCTGATCCATTCCCATTCCCTCCACAAACTTCCAGCGCGCCGGAGTAAAATTGTCGCACTGCGGACCTAGTAAATGTATCTGCATTTGTCGCAGTACGGCCAGAAAGTAAAGCACATACTGGGAGGTAACCCTGTCCAGTCTTTTCAACAATGGGAAATGTGTTCCCGATTTGTTGTACGTAGTGAATATTTCTATACACCTTGTTTTTTCGTCCACAAACACATTACGCGTAGGACCTGCATACGCGAGTAATTGCAACTCTGGGAACCGATACGAGTATCCACTTGCAAAATAAATCATCCACATTAACAGCTCCGTTATTTTATCAACAGTGTTTATAACTATTGCTACGATAGCCTCCTCAGTCTGCGCGCATGATGGACGTTTCAGTGGCAGCAGTCGTTTCTTTGCATACTCAGGAATCAAACTTAGCAGTGACCGACAATTTTTCACCTTGTTCTCGGAAACAGTTAGACTTCGATCATCCAAAATCATCCCTCCAACATCCTGAGGGCTCGGCATGTAAAATATATCGTCTAGGTCCTGTATCAACTCATCAATCTCGCTTTTTACTCCGTAATAAAAGTCTTGGATGTACCTTCTGTTGACAGCTTGCCGGAAACATCACACCATCGGGTTCACAAAGCTTGACGTCATAATCTAGTTGGTATTTTTTCCTCAGCCCTAACCTCGTTGTACACGCTCTTGATCCAACGCCACATGGGCGCGCAGTGTTCCTCGTCAAAAAGATCGTTGTTATCTTCCGTGCAGAACACAGCATACACAACAAAAAACTTGATTCCGTCTAAAAGCCTCCTCACCCTCCGAGCGGGCTGTAGTGCGGGGTGACACAAGTTTGAATTTGATCTCTGTGTACCCTCAGCGCTCTCATCCTCGGATATTTCATCTTCACCTTCATCCTCTTCTTGCTCACTTCTTCTCACCTCTGCTCCGACGTCAAACGCTGTGAGTCGCACTATGACTTCCAAAACTGCACCCAGTCCGTCTTCATCCTTTAGCATCCTGCTGAAAATACGCGAGATTTGTTCGACTCTAACCTCGCCCGAAAGATCATCCCGAAGCTCGACTTCGTCGTACACGTCATCCTCGTCGTCAAAACACCCCATTAAAAGAGGAAATTCTCTAATGTTGAGAATCATATAGAGAAAAGGCGCAAAGTAGAGTGAATATGTGTTGATGCCTTTTTCCTGCAGCGTCTTGAGAAGTGACTCGCCTGCCTGAGGCCTTCGAAAAGTCCTTGTTGCTCTATAGCGCAGCATTTTGCGATCTCTTGACATTTTGTACACAGCGTGGCACACACGCTTGCATGTGGCGTTGTACTCACCTCTGAATGCGTGGAAACGACGTAGTGCTTGCAAATCCCTCTCGCAAAACACAAGCAGGTCTGCACCAAGATGTTTGTACACCACGTTGTTACACCGCTCAGTTGCGAGCATGAGTTCCTGGCTCTCCTCTTCAACTTTAAGGCTCCACCTCTCCTCTCCCAGCTGACGGCTGACTTCAGCGTCGTCATACTCCAGATAGAGGTACTTTTCTTGTTTCCTTTGAATACAATAGGCACAACGTTCTCGCGTACCGCACTTTTAGAAAGTTGAGACTTTGTTCTAGTGGTGGTAACCTTCTTCACGCTACTAGCAGGATCGACGTAAAAGAAGTGGATCTCGTTCGCTACCAACTCAAATAGAGCTCCAGAATTACATGGGAAAAGATCCGTGTCATAATCTTTGTATCTTTCAACTTCTATGAATTCGTAGTTCTTGAACCGATCTTGTTGTTGTTTGGACATGCGTCGTTTAACTCTCTGCCATGACGCGACTTTATATTCTCCATTTTCTTTGCGCTCAAGTAGATATCCGTCGAGTGCTAGATAGCTTTCTGCTCTGTCCATACAAGTGGCTGAAACACATCGTCGACCACCTCGGAAAAAACTTCACCATGAATTAAAAGCTTTAATTTTTTCTCAAACATTAACGACAAAAAGAAACTTCTGGACGGCGGAATCGTACGTTCTCCTTCGCCGTTAGCGGTCTTTATCAGACGGTAATTGTCGTAGTCATCAGCAACCCCAGCAAAAATACCTAAATAGGCGGTCATCACATTTCCTATTTGGGTATAACAGGTCACATGCTCTCTTGCAAACCTAAACATGTTAGGTTTGCAAAATCCCACATTCTTATTGTCTAGCTTTGCAAAACATTGTAAAGCTGACATGTTTAGCTTCGCAAAATTCCATTTTTCGAGATTTAGGTTGACAAGCACTTTCTACGATGCAGCGCTTTCTAGGTGTTCCAACTTAGGTTTGAATCCGCCGGGCAAATTCCACTTGGTGCCATGACGTGATTTGATCTACACTATGCATGTACCTTAGAAGTAACTCATCCGTCAGCGGTGTTTGGAAGGTTTAAAACTTTGAGATTTAAACAATACCGCATTTGTCTCTATTACCAGTTTCGGAGCATATCGCATTATTTAATATGGCATTGTTTTTGTTTTATTCTGGGTATCCAAACTAAAACAAATCAATTTTGCAAGGTCTCAGAATTTTCTAGGCACTCCAACTCAGGTTTGAATACGCCTGGAAAGTTTCTAGTCTATTTTCTGCTTAGGTTACATCGCACGCTTACTCGACAATATTTAAGTTTTGGGCAGGACGAAATATATGTTACCCGGCATCTTCTTTTTCGTAAGTTTGGGGAAAAAATCAGCAGAAAGCGCGAGACAGTTATCGAAAAAACTCGGAGGTTTCACGGCTCACGGGATTCGTACGGCGATTTCTGGGAGAGAAAACAGAGGCGCCGCGCTCTGCGGAGCGCGGCCCCTCTTAGCCCCTCTTAGACACTCCGAACATAATCTATCTCCTCAGTGAAAATTCATATTAGAAGTTCTAATTCTTCTGAAATGACATGAGACAGGGGCACATTATTGATAAGACCTCGTCTTTTCCTTATCAAGATAAGGTACATCATTTTGGTATCTGATAAGAAGAACATGTTATCGCAGATGTCGGAAAAATTAGTCCTCAGATTACCGATGGTTGAACGACATCAGTATGAATTATATTTTTGAGCTACATAAAAGAGCAAAAAGGATCTCGTCAGAACTAGATAAAGATAAAGTTTATTTGAAGTAATCTACAAAAAAATGAACGAATATAGGACACCTAAAGAATTTCGAGAAATCTGCAGAAATGGTTTACATACCACTCATACTTCAGGAGTTCTCCCAGGATATTTACAAGCAAATCTATTAATTTTACCATCGAGAGAAGCTCAAGATTTTGTTGATCTCTGTTACAGAAATCCTGTCGCTTGTCCGATTTTAGCTATAAGTAAAGAAGATCCCACAGCTCTTGATAATGAAATATTTGCAAAACAAGGAGAAGTCGATATTCGAACAGATTTTCCGAAATACAACGTTTATCGGGGGGGACATTTAATTAGTCAGAAGAATAACTGCAATGAAGAATGGAATAAGAACTATATTGGATTCTTAATTGGTTGTTCTTATTCTTTTGAAAGAGCATTAACAATCGCAGGTCTATGCCCCAAGAATATTACATTGGGCAAGAATGTAGCAATGTTTAAGACATCCAAATACTTAAACCCTGCTGGAATTTTTGTCAACTGCTGTTATGTAGTTAGTATGAGACCATATAAGCCTGAAGATTTGCAAAGGGTCCGAGAGATAACGAGGAAGTTTAAAAAAACACACGGTGAACCTATTGACTGGGGGTTTGATGGCGCGAAGAGATTGGGAATACACAATATCCTGAATCCAGATTACGGAGATATGATAGAAATTTTACCAACTGAAATACCTGTATTTTGGGCATGCGGAGTTACTCCACAATTAGCCATTGAAACCGTTGGACATTTGATCGAGGGCCCAGTAGTTAGCCACGCTCCTGGTTGTATGCTTGTATGCGATGCCAAGGATGACTTTTTTTGTAAGAATTCATCATTTTAATAGATTAAATGCTATTATTTATAAGGTTTAATAAGGTCTGGGGAATGCCTTTCTTCGAAATTCTGATCTTTTTAACTTTATGCAGCTAAGCTAGATCTTCCTGATCCCACGTGCTATTTGCTCAATAATGCTTTCATATGTGATAAGGGTCTCAGGAGGTAATATAGTATCACCGCTTGATGCCCAGAAATATATCTTTGGGCTTGAAGTCAAAAATTAAAGGTGAATATTCTTTATTACAAACAATATTTGAAATCTACAGCCCAGTCGCCTCTTCTGTTCTTCTTTTTATCTGGTATTTTACCCTCCAGAATTTTTTGCCTTGTCTTGTTCATATTGTGGAGAATGAGAATTTGTGACAAGGCTAGGATATTCGAAAGTACAATACATCCTAATGAAAAGGAATTACCAAAAGTATAAGGTGGACTTGTGTAAATTTGACCTGCAATTGCACCAGATAAGTTTCCCAATGTTTGATTCAACCCAAGAGCAGTTGCACGTTTGTAATGAGGCGCCACATTATTTGTTAGCCAAGATATATTGAGTCCTGTTCCCGTGTAAAGAGAAAATGTAATCAGGTAGCACGCAAAATATTTTATGGCGTTATTATGGACACTTAGTAATAAAATATATCCAACAACTCCCAATATATTGTATCCAAAAAAAATAGGGCCCCTCAACCTAAGTCTATCACTCAAATAAGCAGAAACCAAAAACACAAATCCTGCTAGGATATATACGGGAACACTCATATATTGTGCTTCTCTAGAACTGTATCCCAAGCCCAACTTTAAAATAGCGGTCAGAAAAGTACTAAAGCCATAAAGTATTGTGTCCTGACAAAATTGAATTACGAGTGAAATGTACGTTTTGAAATCAAGAAGTGCATCCTTAACATAACACCAATCGAATTTGTCGTTAAATCCCATGTATTGTAGTCTCTGCCTTCCACGAATGTGCATTAAATACTTCTCACGCTCACTAAGAAATGGAATTACCTCAAAGTGGGCGGGTAAACCGAAGAACAACCAAGCCGATGCCATGATGGATACCAATCCCTCGATAATGTATAACCATCTCCAGCCTTCTAAGACAGAGCCTTTAACTGAAGCTAGCCCAGTTGCAATCAAACCACCAAAAGCACCAGAGAGGGCTGATGATCCAAAGAAAAAGGCAATTCTTCTAGCTTGCTCATCAGGTTTATAAACCATACTAATGATCAAAGTCATCGCTGGAAAAAATCCTCCTTCAAACGCACCTAAGAGTACTCTAAGTGCCAGTAGAGAGTTATAATGCTGCACAAACCCATTGCACAAAGTGATTATTGACCACGCAAACACTAAGAAAGACATATAGTAACGAATGTTTACCCGCTTCAGAACCAATACGGCAGGAAGCTCTGCAGCGAGATACGTAGAATAAAACACAGAAACAGCGTTAGAATAATGTCTACTTGTAAGGTTCAGGTCTTCTTTCATACCGGATGTATAAGCATTACCAATATTGGATCGGTCCAAAGATGATAGAAAGTACATGAACGCTAACATTGGAATCAACCTGCGATCTAGTTTGTTAACCAAAGCTCTTTCCTCATTTGGATCTATTGTTAGATCCTCTATTGGAATTTCGGAGCCTTCTGTGTAAGTCGTGATGCTGCCATTTCTAGTTATCTCGGTTAGTCTAGATTCCTCAATGATAGGCTGAACTTTGTCCACTTCACCCATTTTTCTTCTGCACTTCCTTTGATATTTTATAAATTATCTTGGTGTTTTCTTCAATATCATGAAAGTTAGTCTCTTTATATTGAGTTTATTCTGTCATCGGCGATTTTTAGATGTGAAATTGCCGACTATCGATAAGCAATTAACAAAAGGGTACCCGGCTCTTTTTTTTTTTTCGTCGGTGAATTCAAAAGACAAAAGGCCGACAGAGTCTGAGTTCTAAGTTACATCCACCACTATCTGACAGGAAAACATTATAAAAGCGTGGACCATGAACAATTAAACGAAATTTCAAATGTATTCATGAAAAGTAATTCGTTTAGTTGAGTATTTATTTTGACACCAATGACTAAGGATCCGACAAGAAATATCAGAATTGCGATTGACAGGGGAGGAACGTTCACCGATTGCATCGGAAATCCTGGATCTGGTCTTTCAGAAGACGACGTTATTATCAAGCTGCTTTCTGTGGATCCCAAAAATTACCCAGATGCGCCATTAGAAGGAATACGTCGTTTACTGGAAATCTTTGAGAATAAAAGGATTCCCCGTGGGCTGCCTTTAGATATTTCTCGTGTTAGTAGCATTAGAATGGGCACAACCTTGGCTACAAATTGCGCTTTGGAACGGAATGGTGAACCTTGCGCATTTGTAACAACTAAAGGTTTTAAGGATATCTTGTTGATTGGAGATCAAACTAGACCTGATATTTTCGACCTTAACATCAAAAAGCCAGTTCCCCTTTACAAAATGGTCGTCGAGGTTGACGAAAGAATTACCCTGGAAGACTATTCTGAGAATCCTGAATCATGCAAATCAATCCCCTGTGAGAATGAACAGACCTTTTTGGGGCGAAGTGGTGAGGTAGTTCGTGTCTTGCAGAAACCTGATCCAGAAAAGATAGCTTCTACTCTTGAAAAAATCTATGCTCGAGGAATAAGATCAATTGCAGTTGCATTTTTGCATTCCTATACATATCCTGCTCATGAACTGCTGGTAGGTCGTATCGCTAAAGAAATGGGCTTTCTTCACGTTTCATTGTCATCTGACGTTTCACCGATGATAAAGTTTCTTCCAAGAGCCCACAGTGCTATTACAGATGCTTACCTTACTCCAGTAATCAAAAGATATCTGAAAAGTATAAAAGCAGGCTTAAGAAACTCTGAGCACACAAGTATTCAGTTCATGCAATCTGATGGTGGTCTTGTTGATGGTGATCATTTTTCTGGACTGAAATCTATACTATCCGGTCCAGCAGGTGGTGTGGTGGGCTATTCAAATACTTGTTTCAGCAAGCAGAATAATATACCATTAATAGGTTTTGATATGGGAGGAACTTCCACTGATGTAAGCAGGTTTGGCGATGGTAAATTAGAACATGTATTTGAGACTAAAACAGCTGGAATCGTAATCCAGTCACCTCAGCTGAACATCAGTACTGTTGCTGCAGGGGGTGGCTCTAGATTATTTTGGGAAAATGGTCTATTTCGGGTAGGTCCGGAATCGGCGACAGCAGATCCAGGACCAGCTGCTTATCGTAAGGGAGGCCCGTTGACCATTACCGATGCAAATCTATTGTTGGGTCGTCTGGTTCCTGAATTTTTTCCCAAAATATTCGGGCCTAATGAAGATGAACCGCTAGATTTGGAAACAACCAGAAAAAAGTTTCAAGAATTGACCGAAGTAATCAATCGAGATTTGAAAACAAATATGACGTCTGATGAAATTGCTTATGGCTTTTTAAAAGTTGCAAATGAATCGATGGCACGGCCAATTAGAGCATTAACCGAGGCCAAGGGGCATATTGTGTCCGAACATCGATTGGTCACATTTGGTGGTGCAGGTGGCCAGCATGCGGTTGCGGTTGCTGAATCTCTGGGTATTGATGTCGTGTTATCTCATAGGTATTCCTCGGTTTTATCAGCTTATGGAATTTTTCTCGCAGATCTCGTGGAGGAAGCTCAAGAACCCTGTTTTTTTACTCTAAATGAGGCAGAGAACTTGAAAAAGGTTCAAAAAAAATTGAACGAGCTAGCTAATCATAGTAGGGCCCTTTTCATTGAAAAAGGTTACGATACTTCTCAAATTGTACTTGAGAAATATCTGAATTTGAGGTATGAGGGCACTGAAACGAATTTAATGATCTTACAAAAAGATAATTCATCAAATTTTGAGCTTTGGCTCAGTGAAGCACACGAAAAGGAATTTGGTTTTTCTTTTACTAATAAAAATGTTATCGTAGATGACCTGAGAGTAAGGGCCATAGCGAAGTCTAACGTAAGAGATGAGCTACCTGTAGATGAACAATTAAAACTCTATCGTCGTCAGAATGTTTCTTCTACTCAGCAAGCAAGTCTCTCCAAGAGTGTTTTCTTCGATAACGCACGTGTTCAGACGCCAGTCTACAAAATCGACGAACTGGCATTAGGAAGTGTGGTACAGGGCCCGGCAATTTTGGCAGATGGTACCCAAACAAACATCATCCCCCCAAACGCAGAGGCAACAGTTTTGAAATCTCATGTTTTCATAAGAGTATTGTCATCATCTAAAAACAATAACATCACGAAATCTCCTTCCTACATTGATCCTGTCATGCTGTCTATTTTTGGGCACAGATTTATGGATATTGCAGAACAAATGGGTAATCAACTAAGCAAGACTTCGGTTTCAACTAATGTGAAAGAAAGATTAGATTTTTCATGTGCATTATTCGATCCCGAAGGAAATTTGGTTGCAAATGCACCTCACGTGCCGGTGCATTTGGGTTCAATGTCAACTTGTGTTTCTGCCCAAGCTAAATTGTGGAAAGATAAATTGAAAGCAGGTAATGTGATAGTCACTAATCATCCAGACATTGGCGGTACACATTTGCCAGATATAACCGTTATTTCGCCGGCTTTTTCGCATGAAACAGGTGAATTGATTTTCTACGTTGCTTCGAGAGCCCACCACGCTGATATTGGGGGAATTCTTCCGGGATCTGTACCTCCCAACTCGACCCGACTTTATGAAGAAGGGGCAGCAATATACTCAGAATTACTAGTCAAAGATGGTGAGTTTCAAGAAGACCTCCTCCGCCGTTTACTTCTCGAAGAACCTGCAAAGTACCCAAACTGCTCTGGTTCGAGAAGAATAAGTGACAATATCAGTGATTTGAAAGCTCAAATAGCTTCGAACAACAAAGGAATCCAGCTGATTAACAAAATGATTAAAGAAAATGGATTACACGTTGTCGTGAAATACATGAAAGCCATTCAAGACAATGCGGCCACCACAATAAAAAAAATGCTAAATCAATTGATATCACATTTTAAGGCAACAGAATTTATAGGCGAAGATCTAATGGATGATGGTACCATTATAAAGCTGAAGGTATCGTTGAATATTGAAAAAGAGCAGTATGTCTTTGATTTTGAAGGAACTTCGCCCCAAGTCTATGGTAATCTAAATGCTCCAGAAGCAATAACTAATTCAGCCATTCTTTATTCTTTGAGATGTTTAGTCGGTGAAGACATTCCCTTGAATCAAGGATGTTTAAATCCTATCACAGTAAATATTCCGAAAGGTTCGATTCTAAGCCCCGTCAATGGTGTTGCTGTTGTTGGTGGTAACGTGTTAACTTCCCAGAGGGTAACCGACGTCATATTGAAAACTTTTAAAGTTATGGCAGATTCGCAAGGTGATTGCAACAACTTCACCTTTGGCACCGGCGGTAAAGATCCAATGACAGGGCAGGTTTCAGGGGGCTTCGGGTATTACGAAACCATTTGTGGTGGCCATGGTGCAGGTGAAGATTCATGGAGAGGATCTGGTTGGCATGGGGCCAGTGCAGTTCATACAAATATGACGAATACAAGGATGACCGACTGCGAAATTTTTGAGAGGAGGTACCCTGTCATTTTAAAAGAGTTCTCGATAAGAAAAAATTCTGGTGGTCGTGGAAGATATAATGGTGGCGACGGTGTGATCAGAGATATTGAATTCCGTGAAGACGTTCAGGCATCAATTCTATCAGAAAGAAGAGTCATTGCACCACATGGTATTAATGGCGGTCAGGACGGTGCTCGAGGATTGAACCTATGGATTTCAAAAGAGGGAGAAAAAGTTACCAATATTGGGGGAAAAAATACATTTCGTGTAAGACCAGGCGATCGAATAATTTTGATGACTCCTGGTGGTGGTGGTTGCGGCAAGCCACAATGCCCGTGAATTTTGTCGTATATGATTAGGTAACTCAAGATTTATAGAAGCATTTAGTTTAAAAAAAGGAGTTAGAGTACTTCATGAAATCCTCATTGTCGAATAAAGCAAGGGCGCTAGGGCTGTTGTCACCGCCTAGATCTTCCAGAATTCTAGTTAAATCTACATTTCTGAAAGGCTCTGAATCAAATATTGAGTTTTCTTTCGTTGAACTTCCTTCATTCAGACTCGTATGACTATTCTGTGCGGAATGGAAATTTCCTTTAAATGCATTTTGAACTTCCTTTGAGCTTATAAGCTCTATGAGCTCTGTGAGCTGGCGATTGAAATTGCTTGCAGAAATATTGTACTGCGAAATACATTGCAGAACTTTGAGATTTATCTTCACTCTGTCAAAAAGAGATTGGATATCAACCCCCAAGCTGATCTTATAATTTGGTAGAGATTGACAGAACGCTGAAAAAATCAATATAATAGTAGCACTGAAAATATAATGACAGTCCAAAAATGACGCATTAACCATCTTTCCATCATAATAAAGATTTGATAGTATCATACTTTGAACTTGGGCTGCTTGGACACTTGATTCTAGAAGCACTTTTATTGAACTCAGGAGTTTGTCGCTAAATATTTCATCAGAACATTTATCGCTTGATGTAATCTTATTGAAAACGTAGAATAAAACAGGGCGTGTTGTAATAATGATCGAATAATTATAATTAATGTGAAGGTTTACGGTTGATCTAGACTTTGCTACATCAAAATCGTTATAATCGAGCATTAATTCTTTTGGGAGTTCATCCAGCCAATTTTTGAGTTGGTTTAAAACAGTATGGCAGTTGTGAACAAACGAACATGAATTTCGAGTATAGATATTTCTGATGATGTGTGTAGTGATTTTTGCCAGTTTCACTTGAGAAACAAAATGGAAAATATCCAAGGAAACCGAGCAGGTGGAGTTATTTCTGTCGTTTAATAGGGGAACTTCAATATCCAGTTCGTCAATCATCAGTGGTAATCCAAATCTCACGGCAACAAGCCTGTCATAAACGAAGCACAACCAGAATATTCTATTTTGCGTACTATTGAGCGCTTTTTTGTGAAGTCCTAACGTGAACATCATGCGAACGGCGTTTCCTATCAATATAAATGCCAGTTTTGATTTGTCCAGTGATAAGGCATAATATGATACGTATAAAAAGGATTGGACCATTGCTCCGTTAGCAATCCTGTCATAAACTTTCAATAGCTCACCCTGAAGTTTCAACGCCGTTTCAAAATACTTTAATCCTGGAAACTTCGACCGCAAATTCTCGGGTGAGCTATCTTCATTGAAAAGACATCCCAGAGCCAAATAAGCAAAAAACCTTGTTAACTCGGTGGCTCGCTCAACAAAGTTTATCATACTAATTTCAGATTTATATATTATTGGAATCATAATATTTTCCTCGTAATTGGATTCCATGAACATGTAATCCGCACCAATTATTTTTGAAGCGACCGCAATTAATGTTTTGGCCTTCTCTATTGATGGACAATTTTCTGAGGCAAGTGACTCAATCAATGCAATATTAAGGGATGTATCAAGCGATATTGTCTTCAGCTCTGAGGTCTTGAAGTCATTGGCGCATTTGCATTGTTTAAGCAAGGAAAGCTTAACTTTATGCAAAAAGTTTCCACAGGCAGAATTACCGAAATAATGGTTATGTTGAGTCAAATAAACTTCTAAACTTCCAGGCGCACCTTCATTTGATGGGTTAATGCTTTCATCTTCGCTTACCAATGGATTAACGCTAGGGGTTTCAATTCTTGAATCTGAGTCTACTCTATTGGCTAGTTGAAGTTCTAAATCGCTAATCTTCTTTTTCAGATTAGAAATATATCTTTCAGTAACCTTCACCGTTTTAGAGCGCACTTTTGTTTGGTATTCACAATCATTAGGTTTTCCAATTTTTGTGCAGTACTCACAAGGCAGTCCCCCTGTACATCTTTTCTTGCGGCTCTTGCAAGTAATGCATGCTTTTTTGGTTTTTTGTCGATTATTTACCAGCATTAAACTTGAGAGGTGCCACATACACTAGGCATAGCTCGTGAAGCATAATGAAGTTCTTATAAACGACCAAGTTCAAGACTAGTGAATATCAAATTATTCGAAAACTTCGGATGCAGAAAAGCTACTAGAACCTCGGGCCGCGTCTGAGCAAAATGTTGCAAAAAAAAACTTACCGAGGAAACGGGTCCCCTTGAATAATGCGATATTAAGAAAATACATTTATTAAGCTAGCACCTTTATTTTCGAATGATCTCGCTAATTCAATGTGTTGAAGGGTACGACTTCTCATTTGTTGAAAAAATTCCATGATAAGGACGCTATTATCCGTAATGCAGCTATCTGAGTACTCTGGTTATTGACTTTAAAGTGTACTAGAATGCACTGCAAGCTCTTTTAGAATGTTATAGTAAACTAGGTGGTCAAGTCTTACCAATTCCGATTAAGGATGTCTTTCGGCTTTTTAAGTTCTAAACGCAAATTTTATTAATCCCGCTTATAAGTTGCAAAAATCCCATCGCTATCATCTACTTGTCTGTTAGTGACTCCAATACCACGGTCATTAAACGTTGCTTGAGACACAGTAAGACAGTGTATTGTCGTTTTATTAAGTTTCACGTTCTTGCTGCTATTAAACCTACATAACTCCATGTGCTACAACTCGTGTAACTTAGTCACGTGCTTTAACTTATATCTGAAAAAACTAGATCCCATCTTAGCTTTCTGTGTGAGCTTATCTTCGATTTGGGAAAGAATTAATGGAAACTATGAGAAACGTACGTTTTAAGTCTCTGTGTGTGACTGAAGGGCCTGCTTGACACAGTCAGACAGTGATTTTTTTACAAATAAAAACAAATTTACTACCTATGATATTCCTAGAATAACAGTCAGGTAACTCAACGTTTAACATTGCGTATCTTTTCGACAAAATTTACATCTTTGCGTTGGTCACTTTTTATCCTACTGGAGAGGTACAGGTAAATGGCTGGGCAGGATTGGTCTGGTACACAGCTATAGCTCCTGAAATTGCCGAGTAAGAGCATAATCCACATGTAGCGAGCGAAGCGAGGAAAAGTAAGAAGAGTGATCCTTTTATCAAGGTCCGGTAGGTGCCACCATAGCCGAAAGCACGCTTCCATCTTGACCAGTTACGTAAATATGAGTCGGCTTTCTCTACGCTCATACTTTTTGAATCAAAATGGTCTGCCACCGCTGCATCTTGTCGACACATCAGGCAAAGGCCAAATAGGAATGGGAATGTGTAAGAAAAGTTGAGAATACAGAAAGCACCAACAATCCCCACCAAAGCACTGATTGATGGGATCGCAGTACCCAAAATATAAGCAACTGCCCAGTAGACAACAACAAAACCTCCCCATGCAAATGTACCTTTACGCGAGGTAAGAGATGGAAATTTAAAGTCCGTAACCAAAAAGCCTTGGTAAATGACCTTGATACCTATGTTCCCGTACAATACCATAGCGATAATTCCTGATATGATGGTTAGCACATTACCAGCATTCTGCAATCCAACCGAACCAATGGCCTGGTTTGCGGTCACATAACTAAATTGTCCATTGTATGCGTACACGAAGAGTCCATAAAAGAGGTATACCACTAAAATAAGAGATTGGGCGCACAGCATTCCTTTCCAAAAGTCCATCGGACGCCTCATTTCCGCCATAACTTCACAAAAAATAGTGGCACCACCCCAGGCGAATACCATATTGTTCATACCCGAAATACGATCACTGATAGTACCTGGTGTAATAGCGTATTGTTTAATTGGCAATGGGTTGAAAGTCCCAGTCTCAAAATATGGAGGCGCTTGACCATACTGTTCAAAGATTCCATAATATGGTCCCCCGACAGCCACACCTACCATTGTGATGATACAGGTAGCGATGTTCATCCACACGGCAGAATTTGCAATATGTGCAAACTTGCCTAAGGAGCTGATCTGCCCAATTATCATACATAAGAGGCCCCAAACTAAAATGTCAACGGTGAAGCAGAAATGATCTCCACCTCTGTTAACCACAAGCATCTGTGACACCGATTGAGCTGTGGATAGGAGTAATAACCCACAATTCAATATCATTTGAATGAATTGCAAAAGTGCAAATGGATACCTAAACCAGGGTGCTACAACACGTGCAGCTAGATCGGAGAACGTACGAATTGGATAATTGTTCGAATCAACCTTGCAAAAGCAGTAATTCAACAACCAACCTCCAAATGCAGCAGCAACACCAAATAATACGTATAAAATCACACCTGGTACCCATCCCATCTGGGCAACAGCATAAGGAGCATTAGATGGCCCTAGAATATCTGTTGTAATTAAGAAAAATACCGAATATGCCTTCGCCATGCGTAGCATTCGCTGTGAATCCAGCTTGGAGTGGGATACGTTGCTGTGGGGATCTGTGTACATTTGCTCCCTCTGAACAGCGTATAATGTATCCAAGTCATTTGCTTTTTCATACTCGCGCTGTATACTTGCATAGTGAGTGTAAGCTTGCAGCGGAAGCAAGTGTGCCTTCTTTTCATTTGTAGAAGAAATGATTTCTCTGCCGGACACATCGAAAGTTTCTCCCTTTTCATGGTCTAAACTCGATTGGTAGACCTTTTCTTTATCTGTTTCATCGAGTGCCCTTAGTGATAGACTAGGGCTGATAATAGGAACTAGCTTCGACATCTGCTGAGTTATCTGATTTTTGTTCGTCGAATAAAGAGCTTCGTAAAGCGAGAGAGGTAATCACGGTGTAAGATCAGGGTTTACGTGGGTATTGTGGTGTATGCTTTAGGTGTGCGCTGTTCCTCGGTTCACCTAGTTTAGCGTTCACTTATGATGAGAATTTTCAAGTTAGAAAGAGCGTTGACACATTACATATTGACACATTTTATACTGACACCTTTCGTTGACACTTTTTATTGATTTCTTGGCTGCATTCTTTTCTTTTTTTGCCTGTGACATTGCATTTATCTCTTTTTCGGTGACGGCATCATGTGTTGACTTTGGTTGTTTTCCTATTGGTCGCCACACTCCCTTAGATATCTGGTAGTCAAGATTCATTTGCATAAACCTAATCGGTAATGATAACAGTCATTAAATTTGCTGCTGCCTTTCGAAAGAACGGCACTCATAGGCACTTGCGGGAGGCAACATCAAGAACAATTTGTGATCATTTACGGTCCATGCCTTTAAGATAAGACTTGGCATTAACTGTAAAGATTGAATCTGGTAATATGATGCAGTTTACCATGAAATGGTTGGCGGTATCGAATATCGTAGCTGTTCTAGGAGTTTATCTGTCTATTATGTCAATATTTTAGAGACATAACAAAAATGGTGCCGTACGGATATCTCGAAAAAGAATAATTTTAGTGCCATTCACCGCAAATCCAACCCGTCATAGGCCGATTTTTACGAGGATACCAAGAAGATAGTAACAGGTATGCATGGATAGCTAAGATTAATCTCCACTCATGATTGCTGAATAATTTCTCTCTTACAGTATATTCTTAAAGTAAAGTATTCATACGTATTGTCTAAAATTCTACAGTTCATTAGATGAAAATATATTCTTGGCGAGAGTGGTGGCGTGTATACAGGAACCACTATGCTCGCTTGATAATACTTTAGCCATGTATCCTACCATTGTCTGTTATCCTCATTGCATTCAAGGAGTGCCCGCCTGACGTTCCTATCGCATTCAACTAAATGTTTACAAATTTTCTTATCGCAATTTTTAGAACGCAAAGGCAGCTTATCTTATTTACATTGCATGCCAAGTAATAAGTTTATTTTTCACCAGGAACACTGCATCTGCTTTGCTCCTTTGTCCAGCAAATTGATTTTAGAAAACTAATACTATCGGATATGAAAGCTTTCTATCCCATACCAACTTTCTTGCAGGATTATTATGCGAGCTGATAGTACAGCGCATGTGCTGTGAGTGCGCCGCAAAGTCAAAGAGATCGACCTAGTAAGAATTGTCTTAATTGGGGAGTGCTTTCAGCTTAAGTACTTCAAATTATCGAGGAAGTTACCGACTTTGTTATTCTTTCCATAATGAGAAAACGACGCAGTACGCAAAAACTTCCTGATTCTCTCTACTCCCAAAACAACCTGCGCGAAAAAGCAGCTTGCGCGTAATCTTGTTGTGAACTTGTTTACGAAATTGAATATATTAGGATACTAACCCCTTCAAATGAGGTAAACTAAATATTTGATAGCCTCATCTTCCTCCATATGCTACCCAGAATACATGAGAGCATAGCCAGAGTTCGAAGTTGCAATGCCCCCCGGTGTTAGGAGGCCGATCTAGCTGATATTCTTCCTCCGGCATTTTGTACCTAGCATTTGATTTCTTAAACTTAGTACATTCTCGCTTGAGTATATCATGGGTATGCTAAAACTTGGAATCCATTCGATTGATACCCTCAAAATTTTTAAGTAAGCATCAACTCGGTGCAGTAGCGAAATTTCTCGATTTTCATTAGATTTACATAGATGGAGTACAAAAGTAGCTAAGCTTCTCGAGTAATCATCGTCAAAATTCGCGATAAGATAGAATATTCATGTTAATTAAGACTCCAAGCCTTTTATTCGTTGTAGGGGGATGAACAAATCAGCTAACTTTGAAGCTATCAATACCATAATAGTATATGATACGTGATAAACGGCACTCTAGGTCAGGGAATCAGACCATACGTCTATGAGATGGACGATATGTCGCGTCATTCACTAAAACCGAGTAGTTCTATTTCTATAGCCTTTCTAATTGTTCGATTTTTTTTTTTAGAAACTCCATTCAATACGTTTTCTGTGGTCAGATTTTACGTGAGCAAAGGGTAAAGACTACGTCCAGGCAACCCAAAAGGAGATATGTGAGGGGGGCATCAGAAAAATACTTGGATATGAATTTTGAGCGGCAGATTTTGTTCAAGAAGCAGGCATCCGTATTTCAAGAATCTCTTAGAATTATTTTACATTATGTTTGTATCCTGCGAATTAAGTACAAACAACAATCGCAAACTGGCATTAACACTTCTAGACTTTACTTAGCTCATAGTTTACCTCTAAGACTATATCACACATAATAATCAAGGCATAGATGTGCACCTATTATGTTGTCTACTTGAAACAAAGCATGAACAAGATATTGAATAAATATACGATTCACGAAGAGTTTTTCAGTTCTTTTAAATTTCTTCAGTGCAATTACTGTTCGAAAAGTCATGTTTTACTTAAATTATCGAAGAAATCCGGTCCTTTTTAAGTGCACGTAGGAATCCGAGATGTCAAGCCTGTGCAGATGTTGCAACAGCAAATTGTGGCATTCTACCACCATTTTTACTGCGAAACAGCAAGGTAGTATCTCCTTTAAGGTATGCTAGGTGACTTTTATGAATCAAGGAAGGACTACCGCCGTTGCATGAATTTTTAGGGCCGGCCTCTGATTTGCTTTTGAACCCCTGTATGGTAAGCTTCCTTCTCGACAATATATATGACTAGCAATTCAAATGATCTCATGAAGCCTCTTTTGATGAACTCTGTCTTGAAATATTTTCACTAATATCGCTGCCTAGTTCACTGGGGATTCAAACATTATATTCCTCTTAACTTAAGGGCCTCGCTGCTCCTAACCCTCTCATTGGTTGTCCCTTTGATGAGCAATACTATTTCTTTTTTCGTCGAATGCAGCCTGACGGTCAATAAAATAGTTTTGTGATTCAGAGATTTTGTATCGGATCCCGCTGTTTTATAGGTGAGCAATATGTGCCAATGGATGAAAAGTGACTAAGTTCTAAAGGGGATTATTAGCCAAAAAAAAAAAAAAGAGTGGATGGTTGTAAAACTTGAGCGCCAGTTTCGAGTAATGCTTTTCACTCATATCTGCCACTAGAAATTACTGTGAAGTATCTGTACTTATTGAAAAACCAGCAGATATAATTCGGAAATCTAAATTTCAACTATATAGTTTTGTACGAAGCAAATATGTTTTCCTGGCTGCAAGCATTTCTAAGCGCTGCCAAAGATTCTCTCTTAACGTTTTGAACACTATCAATTTTTCGAAGCTGAGAACTGTGAAATCAAATATCTTAAATGTGTAACATTGTTTGAGGAAAACCAGAAGCTCTTGGAGGCAAATCGCCTAGTCAAGACTGCAAAACTCTTGTATACCACAATCGACAATCATGAGTAAGAGACTAGATCTCCCTAACTGCTTTGAACATTTAAGATCAAGAGTTGAAAAGACGTTAACGCCCTTCGTCCGCATAAGCGCAGAAAAAGGATTAACTGGGCGATTTGATAGCAAGTTCGGTGGGGATCCGTATTTGCCTCTCGGGTTTGAATACCCGCTTGATGAGACTGGGGAGCCAATGAAGCTACTTGCTCAAATCAATTTTGGGCAGGTACCTTCAATACCAAACTTCCCCATTTCTGGTATTCTCCAATTCTACTTGAGCGTAAAGGATGAATTATACGGATCTGGATATGATGACAGATATAATCAAAAAAACTTTCGGGTAATTTACTTTGATGATATCCAAACAAGCGAGAAAGATCTTCTAACCGATTTTGAGTTCACAAAGCTGTCGAAAGAAGATGTCTTTCCGATTTCTAGTGGATGCGAAGCAAGACTAAGCTTTACCAAAGATGAAGAATTCATGAGCCTTGGTGATTTTCGTCTAGAAAGGGAATGTGGAATCAGTATGAACGGATGGGAGGCGGAACTTGACGACTTTTACGTCAAATGCTCTGAATCATCTATGGGTCATAAAATTGGTGGTTATGCTGGTTTTACGCAACATGATCCTCGGAGTGAGGTTGGAGTACTTTCCGAACACACTCAATTATTACTTCAGATCGATAGTGATGACAATATTGATTGTAGTTGGGATGACGCTGGTGTTGGAAACTTCTTTATTAGAGAAGACGATCTGAAGAAAAAGAACTTTACCAGAGTTTTTTTCAACTTTGATTCGCACTGACGTCGAATCTAACTCATTTAATATATTAGCGTTGCTAAGCATTTAGAGTTAAGTTCTGTTTTGCAAATAGAAAGAATATCAATGAAAACTATTCGCATACCAAGCATACACTACACAAAACCGGGCTAACATTTTTACTTATGGCACGTCGAGTTAATTTTGGCCTGGTATAATTTTTGAAGAAGGAAAGGCAAAATAACACGAAAAGAAAATGTCTCATACACTTAGGTCACATCTTTTTTCAATGAGACTGTCTAAAATACTGGAATTCAATCCCGTCTTTTTTACCCACTTTTTGGCTTTATATCGAGAACGCCTTTAGTTTTAACGTTCATACGTCTTTTCTTCTTTTTATTATCAATTTGACAGAAGTTTGAAGCTTTGGCTATGTGAAGAACCTTGCGGCCACATTCTTTCGAATTTCGTGGAAATGGTTGAACTATTAACTGGAAACACACGGTGAGCGTACGGTAAAGCGGGTTTTTTTCTCGATAATGAAACGCTGAGCGTAGTTTGATTAAACATAATCCATCTTCTCCCTCTTTCCACACCAAGGAAAAACTTAGCTTACAACTACACTGAAAAAATTTGATAAGTGGTTCAATAAAATAAAGAATCTTAAAATAGATACGCGTCCTCAATCCAGGAACATGCTCTGCGCGAACTTACAGTCTGCTTCTTGGTTTAAATAGATTCACTGGCTAGGGTATTAAAAATGAGTCAGATACGCAAACAGTGAAATGTAGTAGTAATAGTTCGAATCTTATTTATTCATATAGGATTCGAATCGATAAAATTAAACCAGTGCCATGAAAAAATGTGTCTAAGCTGAGTTTGGAATCAATTAACTGTCCTATCGGTGTGAGAACTCCATAATCTTTAAGCTATTTTCATAAAAAAATAACGGCCGGAAAATGTATCATTGTATCGTGATTGGATCTTTCGATCGGTTCTTCTATATGTGATTGTTTTTTGATGTAGATATATGTGTCACCGGTATTTGAATAAAGATATCATATCTGAAAGATTAAAAGATAACTATTTGAATAATTGGCATGCAAATATGATCTTGAGCAACTATTTGATTTTGTTGTCTCGAGGCGTAGAGTGTAATATCGTGTTGCAAACATACTCACTTCTTGAACCAGTTAAGAACCGCTATAGGATTGTGAATCCAAGCGGAGTTCTCTTTCTTCAAGGGAATAATGTGTTTTCATAACAGGAAAGCCAAGAAATGATTTCCTTTTCGGAATCACTGTCAGTTTTAAAGTAAGTCTAATTTTATTGTCTGCATTGAGCGCTGTCTTGCCACATAATGTAATCTCCGGTCTGAATTACTGAGTTAATCGCACAGTGATCAACAAAGAGAAAAAGGTTTGAGCGAGATCATGTCACTCCAGACCTTCATTTCTCTAGTATGTACAATAAGATAATCAAAACTCAAGTTCTGGATAGCGATAATCGTACAATTTTTAGTTAAAGCTTCTAAAACAACCGCATAGTAAAGTCGGAAAAAGCCTTTGATGGCAAAATAATAAAAAAAAAATAAAACTGCAGTTGCCCAGGAAAGAGCTAAAGGAGAGTCAATATTATCCGAGTTCAGAGAAGCGGTATAGTCTTTAAGGACTCTTAACATCGGTACATTGTGGTTGATAGAAAATATTGAACTACCTTTTGTGGTTCTTTCTTTCCAAGAAGTGCAGCTGTCATAGCGGAGTATTGCCCAAAATATGCTGGCCTCTAAAATTGAATAGTAGCTTCAGACGTGTCAAAGTATGTTTCTGAGAAATCATTCAAACCAAATGAGGAACATTCTTACCTATTTTTATTCCTATTCTGTTATGTAAATTAACCTATTACGTTGCCATTGATAATTAGGATATTCTCGCATTAATAGTGCCTTTTAAAATTTGGCACCAAGAGCTTCGGCCTTCTCTTTAGCAGATTCAAAAGAATCCACAGCTTTAATATTCTTCGACCAAACTTGAATGTTTGGGTATTCTTCAGCTTTTGCAAAGCCGCGAGCAAATGCCATTTGCAAAGGAAGTGAGAGTAAAATATCAGCTGCGCTCAACTTTCCATCTACTAAATAACCATTGTTTTTAGAGATTTCATTCTCAATGAAATCTAACTGATTCTTCAATTCACCCTTTGAATACTTCTCGCTTATCTTGTCAGCAACCTTTCCTACCAGATAGGAGACGGGGAACGGAGCAGGTGATTCCTTGGCCAAAGATAGGATGAATTCAATCATCAAAGGAGGTTGTAACGATCCTTCCGAATAAAAGAGATAATATTGAATTTGATCAGCCTTATCTGGATCATCGTTTCCCAGGATCTTTGACTTGTCAAAATGTTGTAATACGTATTGGAAAATAAAGCCTGATTCAGGAATTATCTTCTTCTTTCCTGTTTCTCTATCTTCGATTTCAAGAACTGGAGATCTTCCCAAAGGATGAACTTTCTTTAAGGACTCAGGTGCCCGTTTGTCCGCACCTCTCTTATAAGGAACGATTTCATAATCTATTTTTAAATGGTCCAATAACCACAAAACTCTGAACGCTCTTGATTCATTTAACCAGTGTACTCGAACAATAGGGGACGTCATCTTTCAGCTGATGTTACACAGGAGTCGCGAGGAACTTTTGAAAGAGAGAGCTAATGCAATTTAAATTATTTTAAGTGAACTCCAGCGCGGAGCAAAAGTACCGCCAAAAAACAGGGGTGAAAGTGATTCTAAATCAAAGTAGATTCGATCATAGCTAACGAGTAGCAGTTACTTTTCTTTTCCATGATTAGCAATGAACTAACTGAACATTTCGGCAGAGTAGCCCATTTAAGCTTTACTACCGCTATTGAACGTTTTGAGCGTATCCAAAATTAGAAGATCTTATTAATTTTTCTTTTTATTAAATCACTTACTCGAATTTCGATAATATCTCTGATTCACGAAAAATTACAGATATAACCAACCTCGTTGTTTCTTTAACCACTTTTTCTATTCATTCCAGCAATTAGCAATCCACATTTGATAATCATAGGGGGGGGGGATTTGCTATTTAGGCTTTGTGAGTGTAAAATGAGTTTCAGATTGTCTTTTTTCATCCTCTTTTCCGAGTCAAAAGTTTATCATATGTACGAATTCTTGTTTGTACTGGGAAAGTCTTTCATTTTCTAATGCGGCAGTACAGTATATCCTGTTAAAGTTTGTTCGTTTCTTTAACATGCTTCTTGGTTGCTTATAACTTCTCTTTCGTGAAGTCCCAATTATTTCCTTTAAATGCTCTTAATGAATATATCAGCTGTACGATGTCTGCGGCTGATATTTTGACTTGTTTTTTGAAAGCGCAGATGAAGGTACTTAACATGAATGTAATTGAATAAAAAGGCATGTTATATTTTCTCCCCATAAGCTTTTCATTACTGGAACTTTTTAGATAATAGAGTTACATCATTTTCAGATCCCGGAGATTTAAAACCTACTCGCCAATGTGGCTCTTTGCTTCATACATATCATTGCTGTGGTAAAGGAGTAAGCTATAGCGTTCGGTAAGACAATAACTCTTGACAGATTTTTCTTGCATAATGACACATGAAAGAACTCGAAAAATACCATCTAGTGATCACCTCGAGTGAAAAAGAAATGCCCAACAATCACACCACCTACCAAGGTTGCAGAAAAAACTCAAGCTTTTGACTTCAGTCAATATCGACGAACGTGTGATATATGCTAAACGATTGACTAAACGAGGGCCGTGAACAAAAGAATACTACAATTGGAGATAAGCGGCATTCCAAAGTCTCGAGTTCACATCTTAACGCCACTGTTTTTTTCCTTTGGCACCGATCGGGGTGTTAATGTCGCAAGATCATATTTAAGTTCCCGCGAATAAAGCTTGCATTTTAACCTTGTCATGAAACGCAACCAAAAACGTTCTAAACTTGCCAAAGAAGCAACACAATAACTATACCTTTTATAAAGTGATGACTGAGATTGCATTCGGACAGCCTCTTCCAAGCGGCCTCCAGTTTGCCGTTTCCTTCGGAATTCCCACATGGGATTTAGCAATTGGCTATGTGGAAAAAAGACCTGAGGTTGTAACAAAGATGGCTACTGGATATCCAAGGTATTTCCCGCAGCCAGAGGTTCAAAAACTATGTGATTACTTCATTAAGAAATACGCCCAAGGTTCCGAATCTTGCCGCCCTTTTCCATCCTACAGGTTAGCGTGCAAATGTTTAGACTATGTCAAGTCAATTAGGGGGTCACAAATCAGTGCGCACTTAGAAACCGAGAGTTTTATTTTGAAAAGTGATGAAAAGACCAGTACGGAAAATCCTGCTGAAGTAAAAATCACTATAGCCGCTATTTTGGCAATGGATGATGAAATGGAAATAGTCAAAGAATTTTGGAAATTAAGAGGTGAATGTGTTTCTAGTCGTTTGGCTGCGACAGTTAATCGGTTACTCGATGTCATGGACCCGGCATCGATTAATGCGCATCGCGAACTGGAGGCTGACATTATATTTGCAAAAAAGGAGGGCGAAGAAGCAAAGAAAATCATAAGAAAGAGAGTTGCTGAAAACCATTGTCAGCCTTTTGGAATTCAAAGTCGAACATTAAAAAATGATAGATTAACTCTGACTCCAGACAAAGATGTCTACTTGGTATCAAGCGGCATGTCGTCAATTTTCGCGGCACGTGATCTACTTTCCTACTGGGAGAGAACGAAAGTTGGCTCTTCTTCCTTGGATGAAGACAATATAATGAAAAATGGAAACAAAACGCTTTGCGAAACTGCAGCAGTCTTTGGATTTCCGTTTAAGGACACGAAAGTTATTATGGAGAACTTTGGAACTTGCAAATTTTTTGGGCATGGAAATTCTAAAGATGTCACTGAACTAAAAAAGTACTTAGAAACAGACGGCCAACGAATTCTTGGTGTTTTCGTTGAAACACCATCCAATCCCTTACTGAATATGCCAGACTTGAGAGCTTTGCGGAAATTGGCAGATCAGTATGGTTTCTTTGTAGTGGTTGATGACACTATAGGAGGTCTCAATGTCGATATTCTCCCTTACGCTGACGTAGTTTGCACTTCCCTTACCAAACTTTTTAGTGGCACCAGTAACGTTATGGGTGGCTCTATCATTTTGAATCCAGGGTCTAGACTATATTCATACGGCCTAGACTTTTTCAAAAGTGCAGAGTTTGAAGATCTTTTATGGTGTCAGGACGCCATTACTCTTGAAATAAACTCCCGTGACTTTGAAGAAAGAACACTACGCGCTAACGAGAACACTCAAAAATTACTTGAGCATGTAATTACTCCCGAGGTGGGGAAAGTTTTCAAAAAAATCTATTTCCCTAACGTAAGCTCCAAAGAAACGTTCATAAATTACGAAGCTGTTCGAAATCAACGTGGCGGATATGGCTGTATGTTTTCTCTTGCATTTTATGCAGAGGAAGAAGCTGAATTATTTTTCAACTCCTTGAAAATCTATAAAGGCCCTTCTAATGGAACGAACTTTACCTTAGCATGCCCTTACGTCCACTTGGCACATCATTTCGAGTTAGAAGATGTTTCTAAGTTTGGAGCAGATTCGAGCTTGGTTAGAGTAAGTGTTGGCCAGGAAGACAGTCAATGGCAACATGAGGTATTTTTCAACGCAATAGACATCGTGAGACGCTGGCGCTCGCAGCACCCATGAATCAATGATTAGATTGAGGAGAATGAGTAGATACATGATTCAGTTAGATAGGATTGATAAACAATTTTCTTCTACCGTTTTAATAGTATATCGAATTTTTGATGATCATCTTTCAGCGAGAACTTCCGTATACACAAAGATAACTTGTATGTAGACTTCAAGGAATTATTGGTTAAGTATAAGAATGAAAAATTAAGCATTTATTATAAGTCGGAGCCTAGTTAGCAGTAATGTACATCTACACGCCTTTTAAAGTTGATGAAGAGTAGAGCACATCTGCAAGTTTAAATAAAATCTTCAAATTACAACATCGTCAAAGTTAGCTAGATTGATTGAATATTCCCATGCCTCGTCTTCATCATGATACCTGAAAGTTTCGGCATCCTAAGCCTAGAAATAAAACTTTCTAATGAGCATCCTTAGTGTCTAATCAAACATCGAGTACGATTCGGCAATAAATATTTGTGTCGTTTCGTTACATGCGGAATCTATTTTGTCCATTATCACTGAGTTTTTCAATTTCTGCCTTGGGTAGTGATCACGATTTTAACAGCGAAATAGTTCGAAAATTTATACATTTAATAGTGGTTCAATTTCTAAATTAGATATTGACTTTATTATCCGCTACTCGAGTTTGAGCGGCTTAATACATTGGTCGAAATAAGACTGTGCTCCAGCTTCTGTCACGCGTATATTCTACAGGGAAAACGATTCAGGTTCAACGAAATCCTAGAGTTGGGCTTTTCGTGATCTTCCATCAATTTCAAGTGTATTTTGTCATAGCGGAGGGACAGAATTCCTAGTTGCATCGAGAAGCGGGTATGTTGATAGTCGAATATAGGAAATTAGTTCGAACCTACGCTTGTGACAGCAAGTCTACGCACATTAGAAGACGAAGAACAAAAAGGTATAAAAAAAGTGTCACACAAAGGAACAGCTCTTGCGAGTGCATTTAACAATTTCATTGCAGATGGGTTGAATGGTGATCTTGTTGATTTAGCAAAGAGTGTTTCTGAATTCACAGCAGCAATAATAGAACTTTCGGCGGGTCGTGAAGAAGCATCTAAATTTCTTGAAGGGCTTCTATCTCTTTCTGGTACCGACGAAGAAAAGACAGATACAGTTATTAACCTCAATGTAGCCATGCAAAAGCAATTACAAGATATGGAGGGTACCTATGAAATAGAAAAAGTAGCAGAAGCTATAATGGCTGTTTCGCATCCAGAACACATGTCGGGAGCAGTGGACGCTATTTTAGCATTAATCAAGGCTTCCATTGAATGCCAAAAGGAAAATGCTGCTCCTCCGTCAGAATTTTACAAGAAAAAAAACAAGTGGACAGAAGGATTGGTTTCTGCAGCAAAGGCTATAGCGAAAGCAACTGAGATCATGATTGCAGCAGAAAGCTATGAGGAATTTGTTGTAGCTTCGAACGAAGTTGTCGCGTCTACTGTGCAATTAGTGGCAGCGAGCCGTGTAAAGTCCGATTCACCTGCCCAGCGAAAACTTGAAGAACGTGCCAGAATTGTATCAACTGCTGTGAAAAATTTGTTACAAACAATGAACTCAGAATCCAAGGAGTTTGACTATTCAAAGCTATCTGAACATGAAAACAAGACTGCCGAAATGGAACAACAGGTTGAGATTGTGAAGTTAGAGAATGCTTTGGAAGAAGCAAGAAAACGCCTTGGAGAAATCAGAAAGTATAGCTATGTATTTTGATTAACAAACACTTGTTCCTTAGACTCGACAACAGCATCTTGGAGTAAAGTAGCATAATTTTCATAAATCTTATCACAGACTTCTTGAAGCACGCGTATGGTCTATTTTTATATGGTTATTTATTAAGTAATGAAACCTGGAAAAGAATACTCTAAACTTAAATCATTGAAATTTGGCTCAATCCAGTCACGCTTATTCCCGGTGAAAGATTGAAGAGCGATGAAATTCATGTCTCTTAGATATAGATCCTCGATAAACGGTTTTTTTATGTGGGAATCTTTGTGAGATAAGCGAAGCTCTGGAACCGATTTGCTTTGGTAAGTCTGCTCTAACCATTCGGAAAAACTAAGGTTAGTGCATTCAACATTATAGTGTTGTGCTAAGCAATCCCACACCTCCTGTACATCCTTCTTTGCTGCCCAGAACTTAGATAATAATACCGAGAGTTTCTGTTGTGTTATATTTCCATTCGCAAATTTGCTGTAATAGCTTCTAAATGCAATAAATGGATTGATCCTCCGGTTCCGCTTTTTGGTATTTTTATCTTCTTTTAAGTTCCTTTTATTGCATCTATCTTTCCTAGCTCCTTTAAACTCATCCTTGCCTAATGTATGCAACTGCTCTGCAATTTCCCTTGGAAGCTCAGGAATGGACTTCGGAACGATTTGGGTCATATATATATTTATTCCTTCGTTCTTAAATATTAGGGATGAAAAGCTTCCTCTTAGATCTTTTTCAATGCTACATGTTTTTAGTTTTCTCACCTTCCCATTTCCTCTTCTCGCTAGAGACACTTTGAATGTTGGAGTTGTAAATTTATTTTCTGAGCTCTCAGACATCTACCATATACTTAACTACCCTGCTTTGTCTTAGAGATATTATTTTCTTAAGTCTTGCTTGTGGTATATATGCTGGATAGAACTTCCATTATATATTCTCTTAAACTTCTTGAAAATAACTCCCAAGATTTCTTACAATAGTTCTATTAGATCCTCAAAATCCTGAAATTAAACTATATTAATATTTGACATCGTAATCTTATTTTCTTTTCTTTTACATATTTTCATTAAATATTTTTGTCTCTATACTTATCGCAAAATGAGTTTTTCGGCAATCGTCCGATCCCAGTTTCGAATAAGGTGACAAATTCTTATTTCCTGTTACCATGATGTATATATGTTTCAGTTTTTCATTATCTTCTTTCAGTAAAAATCTTTGATTTCTCGAGTTTATTGGAAAGCTCTTAATATATTATCTCATCTTAACATTTTCTAGTTCATATCCTTTTGTTTTAATAATGGCCAAGTTTTGACTATTGAACATCTTAATTCACTCACCGTTTCAACAGTACTAGGATTCATGTTACATCCATTTTCATCTTTTAAACTTTAATTACGTTTTGAACATCGTTCTCAGATAAATTCTCAATTATTTAGTTTTATTCTTTTTTAGTGTAGTTTTCAACTACTCTCTGTCAGAAAAAACACCATCTCCTCAATATGATCTTCAAAATCGTTTGTCTAAGTTTTATCTTCCTTGCTTTTATTCAACCACCGTTGTTTTAATTTGTTAAAACTCCAATCATATCATTTTAATTTCAAATCTAAACTATGTACATTTCATATATTTGTTAAGGATACATGATTGTTGGGTTGTGGCTAATTCCAGAAGTTACCACGGCAGTTGAAGCATCATTCCCCTTTTCTTTGTGCTTAAAAAACTGACCGAAGCCATTGGAAGAGAATGCATACCATCAACCTACAGTTACGAAACGCTGACCAATGGGGCAGACACTACAGAGCCAGAACCCATGGAGAGCAAGAACACGTACAAGGCCTTCTGTGGGAGATTTAGGGTCAGGAAGAAGCCTATGCTTCGAGTTCCATTAATAATCTTTTTAAAGGGCTCTTCGTCGAAAACCTTTTTTTTTTAAATGATGTATTCACTGCAAAAAACATAAATTATTGATAATGAATAAGAACAGAAAATTTAAATTTCAGAATAACGCTACACAATATATTCTTCCTCAAATTACCCAGCGATAAAATGATTTCTCAAATTTTCTAAATCACTGAAGGACGTCGAAGATCCACCACAGGCTATGATTAGTATAATATCGTTTGAACTAAGATCCTGTCCTAGAACCTGTGTTAGCAGATTTGGATTATAGCCTATATGTAATGCAGCACCACATGCAGGCTCTACAATTAAATTATTATCATTGCTAAATTTTAAGCATGTATCTAACACGTCTGAATCCTTCAAAACAATAGATTTGGATTTGTACTTCTTTGCGAAATTCAACGTAGCTCTGGAAATATTAGCAGTGCCCAATGAAGTTGCGATGGTCTGGATTTCCTTGAACTCAACAAGCGATCCTTTTTTTAATGATTCATGAAATACATGGCATCCATTAGTTTCCACACCAACAATTGGTATTTTATGTGCTAGGCCATATCTTTCCAGTCCCATTACCAGTCCATTATAAAGTCCTCCTCCACCAATACTACACACAATTCCTTTAACACGGTTCAGGGAAATATCTGCCTCCTTTAGGGAAGCTATGAGCTCCTCTATAATTCCCGAGTGACCTTCCCAAATCAAAGGATCATCAAAGGGATGAACATATATGGGTTCAATGAGAGACCTATCAACACCTTTTAAGATATTGTCTTTCAGAAATGTGTCACAGTCTTTCCAGTGATCTCCATGTACTATGACGGAAGCTCCGGTATTTTTTATTTTATTTATCATCCTTCTCTTTGTTTTTGTTGGTATAACAACCGAACAAGGAATGGACAGCTGGCGGCTGGCCACAGCAGCGGCCAAACCAGCATTACCCCCCGAGCTAGCGAAAACATGCGGTATTTTGAGACTCTTGATATTTTTAACTCGTTTATGGATCAAGTGTCCGATTCCTCTACTTTTGAAACTGCCGCTGGGCTGAAGAAATTCATATTTCAGTAGAAACTTAGCTGTCGAATTCTTTGCCAATGAGGACCAAAATTTGTACTCAATAAGTGGGGTTTTCACAAAAAAGTTTGTCATTGATTGCTTATATTAGCTACTATCTTCATCATCTTCTTCATCCCCATCTATTAATATAGTTGAAATATTTCATCAAGAGGAGGATAATGATCTCCGCCAGCCGGATTGTATGGAGAAATTGCTAGTGGAATCAATAGCCCGCATCAGAGTTAGCGGAGGTAATTATCCGCACACATATATAATTGATAACGTTTTTGATTGCATCATCAAAGTATTTCACGTGATGATTACTGAAAGAGTATGATAGGGTCCGAGAAATCTCGCCGTGTTTTTTTTCCTCAGTAACACACGGCGGTACCTTTCCTTGTTTGGTGAACTAGAGAAAAAGTAAACAAACATGCAGATAAAAATTTAAAAATCCTCGATACATTTCTCGAGTGGGTCCATAACCATGGATCAATTACAGGATACTGCAAAGCGATTGCTCGTACGCTCCCAGGAGGCTATTCTACAGCTTGATTTATGCATACAGAGACAGCAGCGTTTATATGAGTGTGGATTTTGTGAGCAAGTTTCTCCTCAGTCTGGCAGCTCGCAGACCCCACTACAAGAATATCACGCATACCTTGCGCAACTCAATTCGCTTTATATTAGGACTCAACATTTACGTGATAAGATACAAAAGGATGAATGCCCTCACCACGCAATTGGTCAAGATTCAATTCACCAACTTCTATCTGAATATCAAACAATCATCAATAAGCTGAACGAGTTCACGATCCAAAAACTCAACAACGAATCATCACCAGTTTCTGACTCATCAAGGAGTACTGTATCATTCAAACCACGCCCATTAAAAATTCTCACGCGAAACAATGTTGACCATAGTTCACCCTCAAAAAAGCCCAAAAAAACTACAGTTACACATTCTCTGGAGGATAACCATGTAACTTTCTCCACCAAAGATATCCATTCCCATAATAGAAGCAGTTCACTACCCGGATCTCCCAAAATAAGTTTACAACTTGATAATCTTGGACATGCTCCAATTCGACCCCTGAGGGGAGCTAAGTCTTGCAACATTGGTCTTAACAAAAGTAAGCCGTTGGAAGACAACCGTTTGAGCTTTTTCAAGGATCGCCAACGATTCTCATTGTCTTTTTTTGATGACGAATACTCTTCAGATGAAGAGACTGTAATTTCTGTGAGTCCTCCCCTGCATTTCGACAGAGGTTTAGAGAGTCTCTCGAAGGTAGAGCCTCTTCGAAGATACAAGTCTCACGAAAGCATGCTATCTTTGAGTAAGGAGGCAGGAACGTTGGCTACTTCAAGGCCGACACCATTTACGCAATTCCTCTGCAGAGCTTCATGCCAGCCATCGACCGGAATAACATCAATTGCCCCGCATCAAATACACTCATTCCAGATACCGTCCTCTGACGATAAAAAACGAAACTCCTCAAAAGATCTTCTGTCTAAAATCGTGGAAAATACGTCCAAGAAACAGACCAACACTTGGCTTGGAGGTCTTGAAAATCGTAGAAATCCCATAATGAATGCATGGAAACGTTTTAATCATCAGACTTTAATTACTTCGGAAGTTGGCATAAAAGAAACCAAGAGGGATTGTCCTGGTGTAAAAAGAATTATACCGCGGGGTAAGCGCCCCGAAATACGATCGCAGAATACCAATTCTTGCTCGACTTTGGTAATTGGGCCTAACGGGTCAAAATTTGTGACACAAATGAAAGAGCCTGAGCTTAGTTACAAAATTTCTCAGGATGCTCTTAATGAGGCGCTTAATACAGATTTTAAATTTGATTTTACATAGGTTTTAATAAGGATAGATTGACTAGTTTTCAAAACTTTTCTCTTCATTCGCAAAAATGATTGAAGAGTTCCGCAGATTAGATATCCTCCTTGGAATCTTATGTTTGGAGCTTCGTTTTGGAATTAATTTCCTTGATCTTCGTAAGTAGGTAATTGAAGATTTCGATGATCTTGCGTTTTTATAAGAATTCAATGCCTTCACGGTCTTCATGCCTTCTTTGAATTTTTCATTCTCATCATTTCTGCGTCCAAAAATCTTCCCGTAAGTTGTCTGGAAACTTCCAGCAAAAATATCATCATCAACCGTAGATTCGACAGATTCAGAAGAAGCTTCAGGAATATGCAGGTTTTTTATATATGATCTCTGTTTCAAAGTGGCAAAGTCTTCCTCTTCTGCAGACGTATTTCGAGCACTTTGGGCTTCTGCAGATAAAACGGATTCATACTGTACTTCCATTTCTTCCTTGCTATTCAGAAATGAAAGCGTCCTCTGCACAAATTCCTGAGATATTACAGTTTTCCTATCATCAAATTCCCTTTCGTGAATTTCATCGTTGTTCCTGCTCGGGCTCTCATCCCCGTCTTCTTTTTTCTTTAAACCAGATAACTCTTGAAGATCGACAAAATCTTCTATCATGCTTTCAAAGAAAGATTGTGCCCTTGGATTGGCAGCTAAAGTACCTGCATCATCGGTTTCCAAAGCCTTCCTTTTTAGAAGCTCTCTTCTTTTCACATGGTACTTTTTAAGCTCATCATCTTCGCCATCACTGAGCTCGAGATCTAAAGCGCTTTTCCCTCTTTTTCGAAATCCACCATTTTTAATATCATGCAAGATCCTGTTAACCATATTTTGATCGTATGCTTTGTCCTCCTCCATGAGCCTTTGTCTTATTTCATCTGGATTGAAATTAAATCTAGTGTAATCATCAATCATACCTTCTATTTCAGAGTCATACTCATCAGTGACCTCCCCATCAGCCCCGCCAACCCCAAACCATTCATCCTCAGACTCTTGTGCTTCAACTTCAACCATATTATGAATTCCACTTTTGCGCATCTCCTGCTTTTTCTTCCTTGCTCGTAGTTCTTTGATAGCATTTCTTCGTAGTATTTTTTTTATTCTCTTCGCATGAAGTTCTTCTTCCATATTATCAGAATCGGTGAGCCTTTCATTTTTAGGCAACTCAACTTGTGAATGTGAAGTATTATAATTATTTGCAAGTAGTGGAGCGCCCTTGCCATTGAGTGCCAAACTATCTCTAAGCTCATCCACAGGCCACTTCTGGGATAAGTCGGGGATTTTTGCTTCGGCCTCCTTGTCCTGAGTCGCGGAGCTTATATTGTCGCCATAGGTTCCAAGATTAATGATGTTCTTCCTCTCACTATCAGTGTCATCGTCAGACTGAAGATCCATCAAAATTCTGGGAGCCCTTCTACCTCGGACCAAAATCAAGTCATCCTCTTCGTCCTTTTCTTCATTTTCCTTTTTAAACTCAGGAGTCATGTTTCTGACGTCTATTTGGTTGCTATCCTGTTCTTCATTCTCTTCCTCAGATGATGGACTATCGCTTGCCGAGCCATTTGACAGGTAATCGGAAAGAAGATCCTCGCTCCCAATGCTTGCATCACAGAAAGTTTCATCTTCAGCTTGGAAAGTATTTAAAGCTTCCTTTTGTTTTTCTTTTAGCCTAATTCTTTTGTTCCGTGCGATTTCTTGTTCAAGAAGATTAACAACACTTTCTTTTTCCTTTTCAATCTCTTCTAAGTTCAGACCCTTCTGCTTAAATAGATCCTGTCTCTTCTCCAGAATTTGGTTTTTGTTTGCCTTTTTTAGAGCTTGAAACAATCCCTTCAAGGATGTATTCTGTACGTTGTTAGTTTTACTTGTCGCTTTTGCATTCCTCTGCCTTCTAGAAAGACGGGTTCTTAACTCCAAAACGGCTACCTTACTCCCCATAGTTGGCATGTTATCTCCAGAATCCGTATCTGAGTCACTATCCAAAGCAATGGTGGGGCTCATAGACATCGCATCTCTCAAACGAAATTTGTATAGCCCTAGAGGCTTGTTACTTTTGCACTTATCACTTTGATCAAATAAAGTGGCGCTACAAACTGTAGATGTGCGTTCAGTGTAGTTCAAAGCCTTTGCGTTTGGCATATCCTGTATAGTATGAGAACAGCCAGAGATGTCTTTTTCTTCGAACCCATCAGACTCATCGGACTCATCGCTGAACTCATCAAACTTCTTGAGAAAAGCATCCTTAGAAAAGCTTTTTAATTGGACTGAATGAAGAATTTTTTTTTTCGAAGCATCAAGTACATTTTTACTTTCGTTTTCGGGTTGTGACGTCGGTGATTCCTTTGACGCTATTTTCTCCTGTGCTGTCTCTTGAGTTTTCTCATTTTCTACCACATGGGGTAGCAGCTGGACATCCTCATTGTGATTATAATTACAGTCAACAAGAGTTTGAACAAGATCCTGTGATGTTAATGTGCTTTCATGTTCGAATTGCGACTGTGATATTTTTTGTGTGGATGAAACTTGAGTATTTTCGGTTATTTTCTGGGTTTCAATGCTATTATAGTATGCCTTTGAAGGTGGTCCGTAAACAGTTGACTTAGTCTTCCCAGATCCCGTCTCAGAAGGGCTCAGCTTGATTTCCACTGGATTGGAACTCCTGCGTGCACGAATATTTTTATTAGAATTAGGATAATCAGCCTTCGAATGTTCAACAAAACCAGTCTCTAACTCCTCCCCGTCGTAAGAGCATGCAATAGGCTGAGTATCGAATGAGATTGATCCCTTACTCTTGTAACTTTTTGTGTTTTCAGTATGGAAGCCTTCAAGTCTGCTCTTGACCTTACTCAAGACAGACGCACCAAAGAGGAAGCCCTGTCCAGTAACATTAAGAACGTCATGTCCTTCATCAAAAATTTCAATCTGTTTCTTATAAGCAGTCTTTCTTGTCTGTAAATCGTCTAATTGGTCTAAAAGATCCATCTTAGGAGTGTAAAGACCCACGAGAGTTAAGATCGATGAACTCTGAAGTTACGCGTCTGCTTTTTTTTTCACAGGCAGTAATTACGCGATCGGAAAAGAATACGTGGCACGTGACTTGCCCACTCTGCGGGTATGAGATTCGAATTATTTCAAATGGATGCTTCAATTTTGTTGAAGCCCTTAATTCAGCTATTTAGGTTTTATTGCTTGTATGATCAGTTAAATTTCTACTGCAGGCTTTTCTTATAATTGAAGAAAGCAAACTACATATCTTAGTTCCCAACATTATCTATCCGGTCCTGAGAAGCATGAAAAGCTCGTTGAAGGAATGAGACAAACATCATTTTTTGGCCTTTTTTGAGCTGGTCTTCTTTTCTTCAGATGTACCTTTTCTTTTCTTAAGTTTGCTGGTATACTGCTCTTCATCAGGCGCCACATATTCCTTAGCCCTCTCTAGCTCTTTCTCTACCTGCTTTTCTGCCTGTTCAGCTTTCCTTTGCTCAAGCTTTTTCATTTCTTTCTCCTTTTTACTTAAGAAATATTCACCACTTTCAATCTCCAAATCCACCTTTCTAGGAAGCTGTGAAGGAGGAAAGGGAGTGTATACCTTTGATTCTTTCTTCTTGATGTTTTTGGGTTTCTTCCGGGCGACATTTCTCTTCTTAAACATGGGTAAAAATCTGGACCAATCTTCCTCAGCTAATTCTGGCCTCTTAGCCAGTTCTCTCCTGATCATGAGCTCTTTAATATAATAAATTGGATGAATATTTTTCATACAGTCTTCTACTACACGACGGACCTCTTTCAAGCCCTTGTAAGGACCCATAGCGCTCACTGTGTTGCCTTGTACAAGAATATAGCACTTGGTAAGAAGTTCCAGAGCTTTCAATGTATTTCCATTTGGTCCCACGAGTCGCTGTCTTCTCTTTACAAACCTCTCCTTATTAGAAACGAAAGTTCCTATTTTGATCACGTCACATGCCATATCGTCCTGCAGTATTTTGACTGCTTGAGGAAACGGAACTGAACGGGCTAACAGTTTTATGAGGTCTCGCGCCTTCAATATTATAGCGGGGTCATAGGTTTTACGTGTAGTTTTGACTGTCATAGAACCTTCAACTAAGTCCAATGTACATGCAATATTATGTTTGTCTAAAGCCCTGGTCACGTCGTTCCAAACTGATTTCAGGTAAACTTCTCTGTACTTCGGAAAGAGAGTCATGAAGCTTGACTCTTCCGCAAATGGCAACCCAGAGGCATTATCCTCAGGCTTAAACTCTTCGGTCTTCCATTTATCAATATCAGGAGTATCCCAAGGCTTGTCTTTATTATGCGTCGATGGCATTTTCGAACTTGAGATTAAGCGTTATTGAAGCGATGAGGTGGACGGTGAAAATTTTCTAAATAGAGTTTTATTTTTTTTTTTTTTTCCTAAATTTTCGCAGTTTCGAGAGCGCCATGAAGCTCCTCATCGATTCTAGCTTTCATTTAGATCTCACAAAAGAACTTGCACTTGCGACAAACTGAAGCAGGAGAAGATATCAGATAAGAATCATGGCCCGCCAAAAGCTTGAAAGTAATAGGAAGTCTATTAGGCCGACAAAGATTACCAAATCTCGTGGCGCTATAAAGAAATCAGAAAAGATAAAAGCCAGACTCAAATCCGAACAACTGAACAAGCAATCTTTAGTTATATCGGATTTGAAACTAGTTGCCAACAACAAAGGCTTGGATAACAAGTTAGCTTCGTTAAACGTTAAACGCCTAGCAAAAGATCATGAACGAGATAAACAATCTCAAAGAGCAATGGAAGAGCGAAAATTGGCTACTGATAACGATATGGTAAAGCAGTTAAGTGCTATCTCGGATTTTACACTCTGAATCTGAGAGGGTAATAGTTTGTATTTGCTTTCTATAAGCAAAATGCTTGTCAACTAAGGGCCTAGAAGTCATTGCAAAATACTCTAATTTTCTTGATATTTAATGTGTACAGGAAGGAATAATTGAAATTTTAATATCTACATAACCTGTTCCACCATGAACGGATGACAATAGCTTTTCTGGTTTTTACTCAAGGTTAAGCCTTCACGTTTCTTAATCCGGCTGATGAACGGAATATAGCATCACCTTCGGCATACCCTCTGCCTAAACCAAATCCAACTCCCAGCCAAACTGGAAATGCGCGACGCTTGAAGAGCAACACAGATGCAACAACACCTGCACCGAAACCTAACCCAGTCTTCACAACCAAATTTGAAAAAACAACATCCCACTTATCATTCAAAATTGATTTGCTCACTGGCGAGACTTGTAGTTGCTCAGCCATTTTGTTTTGAGATATATGATTCAATAGAATATAGAGAACTGGGACTCCCTTATACAGAGCGTTCAAAATTTTCGTCTCTATTCGTCACAAAGTTCGGGTAACCATTTGAAGTTTTTCATGAAATGATTGGCTGTTGAATCATGCTGACATTAACGCTGAGAATTGAACGCGTTAACGGATGAAGCTAAAATCATGAAAGGTGAAACAAAGTGCTTTTCAGATGTATTTGATTTGTTTTATGAGTAAAATGGAGGGGAATAGGAATTCAATCACTCTTACTTCATCATCTATCTTACTGAAGCTATGAGTATAGGCACTTTTTTTCACGAGGCGTACCACATGACCTCTTCCATCTCTCGCGCCACTTCATTACAATTCAATCAATAGTAGCCACCTTATCATGGCTTAGATTTCGGTATGTTGCGCTCACAAGCTGTCATATAATCTTCATGTTTGCGTTCAACTAAATTATGTCAAGCCAGCTCTGAATTTACATCAATTCAAAGTAGTCATATTATGATTAACTTTGAGACGTGTCGTTTTACAGCTAATGCAAACAAGTGATGATTGCATCTTATGGTGAGGTTGTCAAACGTTCTTTATAGCTTCATATGAATTATATAGCCTAATTCCCAGAATTAAAAGGAGCTTAAATTATTTGGCCCTCCCAAACTCAGATGAAGATTCGCTCTCTTCGCCGTTTAACTGCGAAATGGTATTTCATAGGATATTCGATTTTAGATACCATTAAACTTCGATTTATTAGAATTTCATTCAAAGTGGAATTGCAGGCTTATACATTTTTTCTCCTCAAATAAATTGAAAAGTGCTTTAGTAACTTAGGGTGTCTAGGTTAAAAAATTCTATTCGAGTGGGAGATTTAGGAAATGCAGAAGGCGTTCAAATATCTAGGCATGGATCTTGCGTTTGAATGCAGGCCTATTAGGCACTAGGAGCACCCATTATATTATAGGTACGAATGAGAGTCGAGAAACGATGTTCTCGTTTGTGATACTTCGAGTTATGGAATAAGCAAGCACCGCGGCTAGGCATTTTATCATGTGCAGTCTCCAGATTAAATATCGAAATGGCGAAAAGTAAGGTGGGTCACTAAATAACTTGAAAAAGACGCATGAAAAGAATGAATTTTTTTACTATGATTATCTTTATGTTCAAGATTGCATCATCATAAAAATGGGTAGAAGCTGAACTTTGATACCAATGGGAAAACTACCTCAAAATTATTCCATTTGCATGAGCCATGGCATGCTTTACACATTCTTATTTTCAATTTGAAATTCAATAAAAGGAAAGAATCGGTACGTGTATGCCATGGAGACGTAGAGTAATTTGATGGTTGTGTGGTAAACGACGGGTAGAATCTTTTTCTTGCCGGATGATTTTATTTCAACTTTCACAATCACAACGGAAAATAAGTTCATGCAGCTAATCTAAGTACATTCTCATAATAAACCTCCGCAGGAGAAAAACTTGATCTATTGACTAGATTTGTCGTTTCACAAAGCTTTCCAAAAACTGATATCATTTCTGGAACATTTAGAGCTCGAATTCTTTTCTTGAACCGCATCACAATATCCACAATTTTAGTTGGATCGGACTAAATAGGAAAATTCGCTTACTCCAATTCAACTGCATGAGATTCTGTTAAAACGCAATATCAAATTTGAGATTGTGGATATGGACAGGGCAGAATCTGAAAAGCCGTTTCGACACTATGGAAACAGCATACACTTTCCGCAAAGTTTTTTAATGCACATTTTGTAGGGAATCTTTTCAGCGGCACTTTGATTACCACAAAACAGGCGCACTCTAGTACGTTCGACAGGCGTCTACATACCGCCAAGAAAACAAAAAAAATAAGACTGCTGAAATATGGATCACATTACCGTAAGAGGATTCTGTGGTTGCGAAAAGTGAGACTATAATAACAACGCTTTAATTCGCACAGCATTTGTCCCTCAATTAAGCAGCTGGTTATTACAATTATAAGGGGGGCGGGACTTCCATGACGGAAATCTATCACTCAGAATTCGCACCATGTCCTTCAAAAAGCAACGTAGACCGACAGTATTGTGGATTGGCACTGAATAGAAGAGGTATTATTCACATGGAAATTAACTTGTCAGATTTTTTTGACAGTAGCCTGAAAAAGTTCCATCTTATGGGAGCTTGAGTTGAATTGTTCATATGTCGATTTACGTTTTCTCCCGATTTGTCTATATTGGAACGGAAGTGATCCCTGAACTTAATAATCGAAGAATTGTAGCGGCGACTGAAATCGCCTCCAATAGGCGTTTCCATTTTCTAGAGAGATGCAATTTAAAAATATCCACCGTAATCAGCAGTAGATAGGCTAAGTTTTGGATCAATTCCAATAATACCTTTTTTATTTCAACATCTACTTTCCGTAGTGATTGTCTAATTTTGGTTATCAGTGTTTTTCTAAGCGAATTAGTACAGCATGCCATCAGCTGGCGATATTCCTTCAAGAGTTTGTATCTTGAGCGCCCGAGCACAATTAACTGGCTCAAAGATTTCCTTGTGGATAATAAAGATGAAATGAACCACAACTTCGAACCAAAATCGCCACGGTTAAGCTTCTGATATAAAACGTTCGACTCACTAATTATTCCAAAACTTCTGAGAATGTAGATATTATCAAAAAGACTTGTTAAAGATTCAAGACCGTCTATCAAAAAGTCTTCCCAGCTAACTCTTTGATTCTTCTTTTCGTCTGACTCGTCCATAGCAGAGTGAAGGTCATTCATATCTAGTAAGCTATCGAAAAACTTCTCTTCCAGACTCATGAGGCAACTTACATGTGGATCTCCGCGAGTACTATTCAAATCAACAAATGGTACTATTTACGTACACTATGACTAATATGATGAATTAGGCTATCATTGCTGAATCTGCTTGGCCTCATAATCATCATCAGCAAGCCAGGTTGAACAAAGTCTTTCATCATTGGTGTATGGTGGGTCACAATTCAACCTCGCGAATCTCATGCCTCTACATTCATTACCTTCTTTGAATCCGTTTTGATCAGTATAGCTCTTGGCACACTGCCATAAGTATTTTCCCCGGTTTTTTGAATCCTTAAAAGCACGCCGAAGTTCCATGGGATATCCGCACTTTTCACATGTAGGATTTTGGCTCATCGTGTAATTGCGATACGTAAGATTTACTCTTGATGTTCCAGATAGAGGGTGAATTTCGTCTGCAGGTATTGCCCTTCTTTTCGGAAGAAAAGGCACACAATGCTTATACTCCTCTTGAAAACCAGCATGCATAATTATCAAAGAGTTGTGGCTCGGGTGTATACTGTAAACTTGTGAATTAGTAGGGTATACCTTTCTCACACGGAACTCTCTCGAAAAACCTAATGAAACCGAAGCAATCACTGCATGTGCGCCAATGTGTGTCAGCCTATCTGAATGCCAATCTAAATTGCTTTCTCGTCCATATATATTACAAAGCACAGTTTGCACATTCCAATCACCAGGTTTGACTTGAAATGGAAGAACTTTGCGTTTACCTAAAGCAGTGTTCACTGTTTCTTCGATTATAACTTGTGCCATTGCAAGTTCATCAGTATAAGCACCAACATTCTTTACTTTTTTCCCATTATAATTCATTGAAGACCCATTGGGTTGATTGCTATATATTCTTGTCTTGTGATTTGACACACATTTATTGCCGAATAGATAAAACTCGTTGGGGGCTGCAGCATCGTCTTCTAGACCCATTTTTAACAGGCTGTCAGCGAGCTGATCAGGAAATATGTTGGGATGATAAGTGCAGTAACGCAGAGAAGATTCTATTTCGGATTTTGTATACAAATTAATTGGTTTTCCATTCGAGCCACGAGGGAGTGTCCTTGCGCTTATAGCTGAAGAAGGAGAAGAAAAGCACGAGAGAAGGGTCTGTTGTGACTTTGTTTTTAAACGTTTTCTCTGTGACTCTATTTCCTTGAGTTTTGAATAATCGCCATCGATCAATAAAGTTACTTCACGGATCGAGCCATTGCAGCTAACCAAAATGTCCAGAAGCGCTTCTTTCTCATAATCTGGGAAAAGCGTCACAAGTTTTGCAAGTTTTTCCTCCGTTGTATCGCTCATGCTAGTGTTTGGCGAACCAATCCTAAAGTGTGATTTCGTCGGATACGTCTTTTCCTGATGATCACGCCGCTTTCTATCTTATTTTATAAGCAAGGTGTGGCTGCTCCGCTATCTGCTATGATATTCGTGAAATGTTATACTTGTCAGCTCATTGTCACAAATGAGTCTCTCGTAAAAATCCCCCTCTTCGAAAAAAGTTTTGTAATAAGCCCGCAACTTCTTTCACTCACCACACTTCTGCACAGTGGTTTTATCGAAGTTCACCATGAAAAGTTTGAACTACTCTCGACTTCATTCATCAGAAGAAAATTAAGTAAGAATGGGAGCATTGCTAGAGATAATAATCATGGAAGAGAAATCCTTCGGGCAAGATCCATAAGCGGCTCATGGTGGCCTCTTCGAGAGCACATACATGAAATTACGCAACTTGCATTAAGTTGGTTATGGAATGCTCCAAATCTGTGATCACTTTTCTGGGTTTGACCATCAAGAAATGTTAATGTTCCTTCTGTGGGCTATTCGGTTGGGTTGATTGGTGTCCGGTTGCGCACGTTCCCAAACCGGACTGCCCAAAAGTTCCTGGCGATGATTCCTGCTATCATTTTTTCCTGGTGCGGCTACATCCTCGGAATGAGGTTTTGTGTCCTGCCCTCGGAATTAAAGGATCACGTGTTGTGTTTTCCCCTTGTCCGGTCTCGTGGAGGGAGGTCAACACAGTATCAGACCGATGAACTTTTCAGTAAATGCTATTTATGTACTAGTTGTGAGATGATTGTAGCATCGTTCGATAGCGGAAGATAAGTACTATCGATCTATGTCTACGAGGGGGAGTCATGTGGGCTGTTTGTGCTGTCAGTGCAACACATGATTTCTTGTTCTTGTCTTTCAGAAGGTCTCCAGCATGACATTAAATTTTTGCCACCCGGAAACCGAATTCCGGACGCGGTTACCCTACCGGTATCTTGTATTCTGACCAATCAGAGCGCGTAATCCGCTCTTCTTTCCGTAGCGAAAAATAAATTTGTCCTCTCTTGTCCGGGTTTTTTCATCTTTCCCACCACTTTTTTTTGCGTTTCTCGGAACACCAGAAATTTTTCTGTTCAATTATTAATACTTTTGTACGGTTGAGCAAGTTACATCTCTCCGACAAGGTAGCAAAGACAAGTTTTTACAGAAGTCTTCACATAGGCTTACAATCGATAAGACTTGATTTTTTTTGCTAGTTCCAGATACCTAGTTTATCTTTGCATTATAAAGGAGTTTTTCCTATTTTTTGACGGCTTAACTGCGCAGCTCAAAATACAGGCACCTTAAACACTGTGCCCATACACTTTTTTCTTTTTGTTTTCCTGCAAATAACGGGAGATCGTATTACATAAGCTACCGCACTATTTACAATGGAGCTATCCGGTAAGCGCACGCATTCGAAGCTGAATACCTGTTCTGATGCGCGTTCAATCAAACGCAGAATGATGGATCTAGGTTCATCTCCATCACGTCAAGTTGGGAATAGACGCACGTTTGTGCCTCGTTCTTCATTTTTGTTGAGAAAGAAAAGTGGAGATTGTTCTTCAGAATCAGATGATTCCGATTACGAGTTTGACGCTCGCAAGAGACCTGCAGTTCATTTCAAATCTACTCCTGCAGTTGATCCTAAGCTGCTTGAGGCAGTTTCCAAATACTCGGACACCGATGACGATAACAGTCATTCAATTAACAGAGGATTTTTAGGGCAAAGCTACTCTTTAGAAAGGCGAGCTCCCATCTCGAGGCATTCATCCTTTTCATTCACAAGCCGCAAACAAAGCATTCCAAAATCTGACATCGTTGCCCGTGAGCGTTGTTTTGATTATTTACTACAGTCTATTGACGAAGTGTGGGCACGTTACTGTGACACCACTTCTTCTGCGGAAACTAAGGTTTATGATAACTTATCGGGTATGAGGAAGTCAAGCCGTGAATCGGGTGATCATAAGCCGCGATTGCCTTCCATTACTACGGTGCCTTCTCATTGCAGGAATTCTTCTTTCGTCTCTATGCGCAACTTTTCAGAGGAAGATAGTGATGACGCAAGCGGGTACAAATCTGAGATCACAAATCCTACCGAATATGAAACAGATTGTGACTATCGTAAAGTGTCCAACCTACCAGATTCGGTTCGCTTGCAATCGCTCAAAGACAGGCTTTGCAAAGCTAAGAACGACTTAGAAGATGTTTATGATTCATCGCAATTTGAGGACTGCGCAAGGTTTTGGAGGCGCTGGGATATGATCAAGTACAGTGCAGTCGAAATGATGGAAGAGGATGATGATGACGAAATTATTGAGTCGATAATCGACGAACTGGAGAAAGGTCGCTGTTATGTTAATTAGAAGGATTCACTGCTTATAAGGCGCCGTTCAAGGGGCGATGGGAGGTAAGAATAATAAGGTATTTAGGCTAAATTTTGTTTAGTCAAGGAGTTAAGAATATTAGGGTACTGGATGTTTAGTTAGGCTATGCCAGAGAGAATTCGAGCTAGGAATATGTCACTCAAAGTACTCTCTATCTATACTTGTATAAATCTGATCCATACGGGACTTACACTAACATTTTAGTACCTGCGACTTTTGAGCTTTGTCATTTTCACCGGTTATTAATACAATATTTCAGTAATCGGATATATATTTCCAGCTAAAGTTAAAAAATGGTATGAATTTTTCAAGCGCCCTGTTTACTTCTCGAGCTTTGTGATACTGATGGACTTAATAAATGAATCGAACCTTATCGGGGCCTTAAATCTAGGGCAAGGTCAATCGGCTTTGTAATCTTGTAGAAAAATATTATTCATTCCACTATATTATTTCATTGAATGAACAAGGGCGGATCTGAAATAAGAAGATCGAATCTTAGGTCATAACCTTTCATCGAACTTTTTGTTATCTCCTCTAACGATTTCTCGGTGGAAATTTCCTGAGGAATGGGGAAACCCTATTTTTATTCATCTGGCTGCCATTCACGGAAAAGATAAAAATAAGGCGGACGACTGAAACAATAAAGCTTACTTAAAAAGTTGAACACTCAGGTACTTTAGAATGAACAATTCATAAACGAAGCTAAATAATAGGATGCAGTCTAAAGGACAGAAACCTGAAACAGTAAACGACCTGACAAATGTAGATCACGAACAGGTCAAGTCTATCACTTCTAATGAACCCCGCTCAAAATTAGGGCATAACAACCACCTGAGAGATTTTCTCGATTTGAATCAGGTACAGACGTCCCGGCAACAGGATATGCATGCCCAAATATCGGCCGATACTTTTCGCCACTTGACTCAAGAAACAAGTATCAGATCGCCGATAAGGAAGGTGCATTCGCAAGACTACTTCAGTATAACTCCGTCGAATACAAACTACGGTGCTATAGATGAATTAAACAGCTCGTTTCATCGTAAGGATAGCACTTGTCATAGATCTCACACTTCGAATAACCTGCTATTGGAGACAAGTTCTCATAATGTTCCTGTACAGCTGAGTGAAGAAGGAATCAGCCGTAACTTTTATGATGATTTCACATCTGTTGACTGGGTAAGAGATTATCTCTACGATGTTAAAGAAAGAGAGAAGCTCTCTTCGATCCCACACTTCCGCGGAAAAATTGAAAGATGTTTCAACAGTCTTCAAGACTGGATATTAATCACACTTGTTGCATTTGGTTGTTCTCTCATTGCTTTCGTTATAGACAAGTCGGAAGAGCTGCTTGTAGACCTGAAGAGAGGATTTTGTGTTAACAACATTTTTCTGAATCAACAACAATGTTGTAGCAATCACACCTGTGCTAACTGGAAGCTTTGGCCAGAAATTTTTAAAACCTTTGATTTTCCGACACTGAGGGCCGATTTTATCGTTTATCTAATTTTGAGTTTGGTCTTAGCATACTTGTCCGTACTCGTGACATTGACAACAAAAGTTGACAATCCATTGGCATCGAAAGCAAATAACAAGAAATTTCGAACAATGTATTCGGCATACGGGAGTGGTGTTCCAGAGGTGAAAACAATTCTATCTGGATTTGTGATAAGGAAATTTTTAGGAACGTATACATTGTTTTCAAAATCTGTTGCTTTGATCTTTGCAATAGCTTCAGGAATGTCTCTGGGAAAAGAGGGTCCATACGTTCACCTTGCCACTTGCGTTGGAAATATTCTCTCCAGAATTTTCGACAAATTTCAAAAGAATGGAATCGAAAGGCGTGTAATTCTTTCAGCATCAGCTGCGGCTGGTGTTACTTTGGCTTTTGGATCTCCTTTAGGCGGTGTGTTGTTTTCTCTTGAGGAAGTTAGTTATTATCTCCCTGGCAATCAATTATTCAAGACATTTTTCTGTGCCATAATGTCTAATCTTTTCCTTCGACTCTTCGACCCATACAGTACTGGTAAGGCCGTTTTATTTGAAGTTAGTTATGAATCTGACTGGCAATATTCAGAAATTCCACTCTATGTTACTATTGGCGCAGTAGGCGGCGTTTTTGGAGCGTACTTTTGCAAGTTTGTGAGTTGGTGGGGTGATTGGTTTCGAAAGACTTCACTCATAAAATATAACCCAGTAAGAGAAGTCCTGTTGATCGCATTACTCACTGCTTTTATGACATTCTGGAACTCATATACAAATATATCAGTTGCAGAGCTGCTGGCAAACTTAGCATCCCCATGCTATTCGCCCAATGATTTCACTGGTACTAGTGGCTTGTGTCCAATAAATACCAAAAATTTTCCAAGTGAAATTGTTTATCTTCTATACGCCCTGTTTGTTAAGGTTGTCCTAACAGGTATCACTTTTGGGATCAAGGTACCTGCGGGTATCTATGTGCCATCCATGGTGATCGGTGCATTATTCGGTAGGATATTTGCCATGAGTTTTCAATACCTTGGAAATCATTTTCCCAGTTTTGTATTGTTTTCTCATATTTGCAATAGCACAATGACAGATGGAATATGCGTTGATTTAGGAATTTATGCTATGATTTCAGCAGGTGCATTTATGGCAGGAGTAACCAGAATGAATGTAACGCTAGCGATCATCATGTTCGAATTGACGTCGTCCTATAATTACGTTGTACCAATTTCCATAGCCATTGCTGTTTCAAATCTGATAGGCTACATAATTGAGCCTCAGTCTGTCTACGAAATGCTTATCAGGAAGAATGACCTACCATATTTGGATAATCATAAGTCTCATAATTTTCGTAATCATGAGAGAGATTTAGCGGATATTATAACAAAAGTTGATGAGCGGAGGGGTACTATGTTTGTGGATGTTTCGAAGTCTGTGTACTTTTCCAGCTCCACATTAAGAACAATGCTAAGTAATTTACAGAAAGATGGATTAGTTGACGGTTGCCTACCAGTCTTGAACAATAAAAAGTTAGCCGGTGTGCTTCCAGCTCCAGAGCTTGAGCTTGCTCTAGACAAGCTTCAGTTGTTTGCCGAAGAATATCAAATCAAAGGTGATATACTTGTGCGACTGCTTGACAACAGCACAGAGACAAGTTTTGATGATCTTAACGAATCCGAACGTTTTGCTACCCTTGTTAACAATGTCGAAGAAGATTCTATAGTGTTTTCCAACATTGAAGAAAAGGTTTTCATTTTACAGATGCTGATAACGCTGTGCGACTTCCGTCACATAACTGAGCGGTCGCCTATTTTTCTTGATATAAATTCCCCGTTATCACTCGTTGAACTTATCTTCACCAAGTTAGGTAATAGGTCGATTTCGATTACAGACAACGGAGTCTTTGTCGGATTTCTGCATAAAAAAAGCTTTATAGATCATTGTCATAAGCAGAAAATTTTATAGAATAGCTTTTAGGCCTTTTGTACCAAATCATACGCAGTGCGCCGGATCTTAAGTTTCATGTCAGTTTCCCAGGGTAAAGATTTTCCTAAAATTTAAAGTCAATTTCTCGTTAGAAGACAATAAAGGAAATTCAATATCATGAAAGAAAAGATTGAAGGGATCGTGAGCTTTCTTTGCTCCTCCTCTCTCAAAACAATGTAGCAGCTGCTGAATCTAAGATTTTATAAGATGATACACCTAAATCATAATTATTCTCTTCTTAATTTCAAGTATAAATTTGTTTGTTTCAACTTCCGACACAAGATTTTGCCGCGAGTATTATATAAATACCACATACAAAATACATAGGAGTAGCTTGAGCGTCTTTTAACCAAAACTATTCTTGTACTAGATAAATGCCAGAGAGTTCTGAATGCAAGAAATCCCTGCCATTGAGACCTTCAAGAACAGCACCTGTTAATGATTACTCCAACTATCATGTCCATTCGGGGTCACTACCGCAAAAACAAGTGAAAAACGCAGATAATCAATTAGATGGCTACCCAAAGCTCCAAAAACTTTTTAAGCTGAAAGAACATCAAATATCAGAGCACGCTACTGCGCCTTATGGTTGTAGAATAAGCATCGACGAAATGATACCGACGTTAAATAGTTGGATTCATAGAAATCACATAGTTTTCGATGTTGTGATGATTGGATGCTTGACAGATAATCAATTCATTTATCCGCTTTTAACGCAGCTCCCAATTGATCGTCTAATTTCAAAACCCGGGTTTCTCTTCATATGGGGAAGTGCTCGAAAGATAAGCGAGCTAACAAAGTTACTACAAAATCAAAATTGGGCCAAAAAGTTTCGGAAGAGTGAAGAGCTTGTATTTATTCCAGTTGATCGTAATTCTCCTTTTTATCCAGGACTCGATCATGATGATGAATCCCTTTTTGAACGGATGCAGTGGCATTGTTGGATGTGCATAACAGGAACTGTAAGAAGATCCACAGATGGCCATCTAATTCATTGTAACATTGACACTGACTTAGCTATTGAAACCAAGGATACCCAAAAAACTGCTGTTCCTGTTCATCTTTATAAAGTGGCCGAGAACTTTTCAACTGCAACAAGGCGGCTTCATATTATTCCAGCAAGAACAGGTAAAGAAATTCCTGTCAAGGTAAGACCAGGTTGGGTTATAATGAGTCCCGATATATTACTGAATAATTTTGATTGCGACCGATATAAGGAAGAAATTAATAGAATCGGATTAAACTTAACAACGGGGCCTGACATTGAAGCTCTACGGCCAAAAAGTCCCATACAAAAGAAAAACCAGTGTTGAGTAAATGGGAGTATTACACGAAGTATATATGTTTCGAATGTATATCGCGTAAGGTGATGTATATGTTTAACAATCGCTATTAACAGTTGCTTCATTTCATTTGAACCAGTTTTGGACCCCTTCTTTTATAGGGGTAATCAAACCCTTCTGCTTTGGAACATAATTGATCCGATGGTAGGAATTCAAATTCTTTCTCAACACAATTTGGAAACATGTAGCGGAACCTTGCCTTGAGATGATGGTAGATGTTGCTAAGAAGTATTCCCATATGCGGAACCATTTGACACCATACTTATTGATGGCGACATCCTTATTGGCCATCCAATTTCTGTACCATCTCCACAAAGTAGCAGAGTAATGCACGCCGATATTATCAATCGAGACAACTTCAAAACGGGTTCCTTCCAATTTAGATACAACAAAATCTAGTGGAGTTGATGCATCTGCACCTGGGAAGATGTATTTGTTCATAAACAACCCCCAAATCAAATCCTCATATTGCCATGCTTTTCTCAAACCAGCGTATTGCAAGTAAAACAAACCATCGTCCTCAAGCATATCATATACCTGTTGCAAAAATGAACCAAACTTTCTAACACCAACATGTTCCGCCATCTCTAAACATGTAATTTTATCATATTTTTTACCTTCAGGAGTGGCCAGCGGCGTGTCTCTGTAATCCATACACAAAATACGAGATTGTTCTTCTGGAATGCCCTGCAGCTTAAGTTTACCGTTTCCCCACTTAGTTTGGTTTCTACCGAGGGTAATACCTGTTACACGTGCATCGTAGACTTTAGAAGCATAAGTTGCAAGGGTACCCCAGCCGCATCCTAAATCCAACAGATATTCGCCAGGTTGAAGGTCAATTTTGTCACAAACGACCTTAAGTTTATTATCTTGCAATTGTTCAAGAGACTCTTCTCTAGTAATATCAGAAACAACACCACTAGTGTAAACCATCCGTGGACCCAAAAACCAAGCATAGAAGTCATCACCACGGTCGTAATGATCTCTAACCTGCTCCTCGTCTTGTGATCTAGTGTGCATAATAACCTCAGGAATCATGCCGAAAAGGAAAAATCTAAATAGTGATAAGGTGAATGAAAATTGAGCCCAGTCATGTCTGTACTCCAGAATATCTAAAGCATCCCCATTGAACGAGACTTTGTTTGCAAAATAAAGCTCATGGAATGTTTCCATTGGAATTTTCTTGCCATGATACTTCTGAGCGAGCTTTTCATCATGAAAAGTTAAATAATGTTCAATTGGCTTACCTGGTAACTGACACTTGGTGTTCAGACGGGGCGAATAAGTAGAAGCCAATGTCCAGTATGCCATCAGTATGGGAAGAACAAACAAGAGGAAAAAGAAAATAAAAGTCTTCTTTCCACCACCTAGCTTTTTGGTCACATAGTAAGGGATACCGACAATGAGGGCCAATACCAAAGCATTAGAGAAGTGCTTGGAAGAAGGACCATCGGCAGGTAAAGGCGCATTCTTGATGGCAGGAGAATCAGTCGTGCGAACACCACATTTGTCGTTTGCAGGCTCTGGCTTAGGAGCAGGAGGTGTAGCACGGAATTGCACGCCTTCAAAAGAATACGTGCTCATCTTTCTTTTCTAATGATTTTCTCTAAGAAAGAAGGGTACCTGTAAGTTAAAATGTAAGCGACAATTGGTCTCCTTTTTATACGTGGAACGTTGTCGTGTTAAAGCAGAATTTGTTGCAGAAGCTCGAAAAATTCAACTTCAGACACAACGCGTCAGCCGAAAAATATCAAATTCTTTTCAGACACAAGAAATTGTTCAATAGTTGAGTGATAATACCATCAATAGTATCAAATAATAGCATAATGGCAATTTAGTTCATATTTTTGAGAGATTTTAACCTTAAAAAATCTGAAAGATGTGCTAAACTATTTTACGTACACAGAAGATCTTCAATGAGAATTTGGGACAAAACAGCATCCCATCAGGTGCAAAAAAAACCTGAAAGTTTGAACAAATATCTATTCAGTAGTGCCCTCTTTGAAAAAGCTTTAGTCTTGCCTGTTTTCATGATAATGTACTTGAAATTTCCTTCTATAATCACCTGCTCGTCATTGTTTTCTTCCGCCTAAATGGAATTCCATACACGATGTATGCTATTCCAGAATCAAGCAAACATACAGCCAAATTATTGGAGTACCCAAAGTCGACCATCAAGTTAGATCAAATGAATTTAGACGTTCCTGCAATTAATCCAAGTCACATGACTACACATAATTTGTATTGCTTTTTTATTTTTTAACTTGCCCGTAAAAAATTTTACTTTAGAGATGAGATGAGATGGATTGGTAGATACTAGTCTACGTACAATAGCCACCAAAAGCCTTTGAAGCCATGGGTAAAACTCAGAAGAAAAATAGCAAAGGTCGTTTAGATAGATACTATTACCTGGCTAAAGAGAAGGGCTATCGTGCTCGTTCCTCATTTAAAATTATTCAGATTAATGAGAAGTTTGGTCATTTCCTTGAAAAGTCGAAGGTTGTAATTGATTTGTGTGCCGCACCAGGCTCGTGGTGTCAAGTTGCGTCAAACCTTTGCCCTGTTAATTCATTGATTATTGGTGTAGATATTGTTCCCATGAGACCTATGCCAAACGTCATCACTTTTCAAAGTGATATCACCACAGAAGACTGCCGTTCCAGATTGAGGGGATATATGAAAACTTGGAAAGCTGATACAGTTCTGCATGACGGTGCTCCTAATGTTGGTTTAGGATGGGTACAAGATGCTTTCACGCAATCCCATCTTACCTTACAAGCCCTTAAGTTGGCCGCAGAGAACCTGGTAGTAGGAGGAACTTTCATTACGAAAGTCTTCAGATCAAAAGATTATAACAAGCTAATTTGGGTGTTTCAGCAACTGTTCGAGAAGGTAGAAGCTACTAAGCCGCCCGCTTCGAGAAACGTTTCTGCAGAAATTTTTGTGGTATGTAAAGGATTCAAAGCACCCAAAAAGCTAGATTCGAGATTACTCGATCCCAAAGAAGTCTTTGAAGAGTTGCCTGATGGCCCCCAAAATATGGAAGCTAAGGTTTATAACCCAGAGAAGAAAACCAGAAAGAGAGAAGGTTATGCTGAAGGTGATTATCTGTTGTACCACGACAAACCTATAATGGAATTTGTTAAAAGCGATGATCCTATAACAATGCTAGGTGAACTGAACAAATTTACAGTAGATGATAGTGATCATGAATGGAAGATCATCAAGAAATTGAAGCAAACCACACCTGAGTTTTTGATCTGTATTGAAGATCTAAAAGTGCTAGGCAAAAAAGACTTCAAAATGATTTTACGGTGGAGAAAGGCTGCAAGGGAATTACTCGGAATAGATGAGGAAGAGAAAAGAGATGAAGTTGAGGTTGCTACATTAACTGAAGAAGAGCAGATTCAGAAAGAGTTACAAGAAATGCAAGAAAAGCAGCGCTTGAATGAGAAGCGTGAGAAGAGGAGAAAGAACGAAATGAAACAGAAGGAGCTCACTAGAATGCAAATGAATATGCTGACCCCTATGGACATTGGTGTTGAATCAGCAGAACTAGGAAGAGAATCTCTTTTCAATTTAAAGACTGCAGAGAAAACAGGCATCCTAAACAAGTTGGCAAAAGGTAAGAGGAGGATGATATTTTCAGAACATGAACTAGCCGAAGATAATGATGTCCACATCGATGACGATGCCCCGCTTACGGATCGTGATCCACTAGCAGAGGCTGATGAGCTGGAATCTCAACTTGACGCTATGTACCAAAACTACAAGGAACAAAAATCGGAAAGAGACGCCAAATTCCGTGCAAAACAGGCTAGAGGAGGTGATAATGAAGAAGAATGGCTCGGAATTTCCGATAAAGAGAGTGATTCAGATGGTGAAGCCGAAAAAGATCATATTAGTGAAGATGAAAGCGATGCGGCGGATTCTGATGACGATGAAGCTATTAATAAGCTGATTGCGAAAATCAAAGGCCAATCTGGCGACACGAAACTAAGCTCAAAAGCGAGGGCATTATTTAGTGATTCAATTTTTGAGGGCGTAGAGCCTGACTTCTCGTCGAGTGCTTCAGAAAAGCAACTTTCAGTTGATAAGACAGATTCCAAGACAAGTGAAAACGCCGCAAAGGAATCGATTGATGATGACAGTGAAATGGAAGTTGACTCTGAAGAATCTGACTTTGAAATTGTTGCCAATGAGGCTGAAGATGATGATGTTGACTCAGACTACGACTCAGATGAAGAAAGAAGACAGACTCAAAAGGCAAAATATGCTGAAGATATAGATATTGCCACTGTTGAAGCAATGACGTTGGCTCATCAATTGGCGTTGGGGCAGAAAACGAAGCATGACCTGGTTGATGAAGGCTTCAATCGTTATGCCTTCAGAGATTCGGATCAACTTCCAGAGTGGTTCATAGAGGACGAAAAGAAGCACTCGAAAATTAACAAGCCCATAACCAAAGAAGCTGCAATGGCAATCAAAGAGAAATTAAAGGCGCTCAATGCAAGACCAATCAAAAAAGTGGCCGAGGCAAAAGCAAGAAAGAAAATGCGCGCTGTGGCTCGCATAGAGAAATTAAAGAAGAAGGCTGGATTGATCAATGACGATTCTGATAAATCTGAAAAAGATAAGGCAGATGAAATCGCTAAACTCATGAAAAAGGTTACTAAAAAGCAAAAACAGAAGCCGAAGGTAACTGTAGTTGTTGCCACTGGTAAGAATAGAGGCCTCGCAGGCCGTCCTAAGGGGGTTAAAGGTAAGTATAAGATGGTTGACGGTGTTTCTAAAAATGAGCAACGGGCCTTGAAGCGTATCGCCAAGAAACATCATAAGAAAAAGCACTAATGAGAAGCCTATTTTAAGACTGTATAATAGTTATCCATACGAATTAATTACATGTTTCAATTCATGTTTTCTACCGAGTGTCGGCTTTGAAAGTTTTCGCGAGTAGGTACAGAACAGAAAAGAAAATGCAAGCAATAGTGGTATGCTGAATCAAAAAGTAGTCATTTGCGTTTGCTGTTGGTATTCTGAAGTTTATTTTCGTGGCATTGAGGTGGTGGAAAACAGTGTCCTGGGTAAAATATGATTCATAGCCTAGTCCCTTGCTATAAAATGGATTTTCGTTTACATTCTCGTTTCCAGAGTCGCACGCTAGAAATATTAATGTGTCAAAATTTGAATTTTTATAACCGCCTTTTTCAATAGGTTCTACATAGCGTGAATGCAATTTGATTTCGTTCTGTTTACCACCTTTTAGCTGAAATAGCGCCTCCGAACCCCAAGCACTATTTTTTAGTTTGAACTCTGGTAACTCAAGGTCGCGTTCCCCAAAGACAAAAATAGGTGACGATTGATATTTGTCCACAAAAATATCAAGGGGAAGAGTCATATATGCATAATACTCACATCCCCGAGCTGGCGACATTGATGTCAAGTCTATGTTAATAGTAGGATGCAAGCCCACTGGATCAATCAAATCCACTGCTATTTGAGCATTGTCTGTCAAATGGGCTCTTTGATAGAAAAGGAGAGTTTTCTGGCAAGTTTCAATGGAAGAATCATTATTCCACATGCATCTTATGCCATTAAGAGTGGTGTCCAACCCACTTTGTGATTCAACAAAGAAGAAACCAGCTTCCATTTTGTCTAGTTGAGAATCCTTACCGAACGACTGCTCCATGCCTTCGTCTAAAGTATAGTATTCGTCAATACGAAGATAATCTCCAATGAGAATATCATAATCCCTCTCTTTCCAGTCAAAATTGAATTCTTGGAGATCTAAATGTGTAAATGATTTAATCAACTGAAAGTCAAGTGAATTTGAATGGGCATAATGATACTTCGGAGTTGTAATGGCAAACTCGTGGCTTTCACCATTTGTATAGATATTCAAACCATCCAACATCTGTGGCTTTATGACATTTGTATCTACTCCATCGATATGTTTCCATGTAATTCTTATGGACTCTAGTTCTCCCGTTGCGCTGAGCGGTTTACTGAATCGATTCTGTACTAATTGTCGCCCGCCTTTCACAGTAACGTGTGTTTCATTATGCTCTAAATTTCTAGCTAAACTGTCGGATTCAAAGAAAATCACTGAAAGCCTTTCCTTAGTGGTACCCATGGCCACAGCTATTGTAATCCTCGTTCGTATTGTCCAATGCCGAGGGGTACTTCGGGAGAAAAAAATTCTTCGCGACATCTTTCTTCCAAGAACGAAAGCCTACATCCATATTAATTGTTAGCAAACTATACACTTCAAAAGGTTAATTCACGGCCCTTGAGGTACCATATTAGCAAGGCTTTTTACACACTGGCTGGCTAGTGATTTTTAGAATAGAGTAATTTGGGTTTCATTACAGAAGTGTACCGAAGAGGAAGAGAACGCTGTCCGTTTCATCTCTTCAAAAATCCAACTTATTGTCCTTCGTTTCGACCTTTCTACCCATTTACCTGTTTGAATTTCTGGAGGAGTTAGCTCCTGTGTTATGGCGGAACCTGACCACTTACAAATACCGTCAGTCACGAACCATAGTGCAACACCTAAGAGGGGGCACCGTCATAAAAGATCCTTCGCCATATCCGAAGACTTCGATTTTATCAAACAACCAAATGGTACTCCACAGGACTTGACAGAATGTTTTTCCGCTTCTCCTACAAGAAATAATAACTTGAGTCCTCGTTTTTTTGTCAGTGAAGAACCCACATTCTCTCGTGGAGTCCCTGATGCCATTATTGACCTAGATGATGCTCTTACAACCAAACCCCGGTCATTTAAGTCACATAGGAGAACAGAATCAGCACCAGCAGATCTCAACTTACCCTTTAGAGGAAGTTCTCCAAGACGTGACTTCAGCATTGAAGAGGAGGAATCCGAGAGCGAATGCGATGAACAGAGGCAACAGGTTCTTCTATCACCGTTACGAACAAAGTCAGAATCGCCTTTGGTAGACGGTACTACACCTTATTCCCCCTTAGCTAACCGTGCTTGCCAAATGAAAAATAATTCCCTTAAAATTCACAAGCAGAAAGAGCGATACTACAATTATGCCAAACAAATCCCTGCAACTTCCCCTCAAGGACCTAATCGCTCAAGCTCACAACAAACATCTTTATCATCAATGTCATCGGATCAGAATTCAAATACCACTACACCACCAGGTGTTGCATCTACCCCCAACACTCCAATTTTTTCGACGATGAAGTTTTCACCAAGACCTTGTAGCCCTAACAAATCTTTTCGTTTTGAAAGTCAACCATATGACCTTCCTTCTCACACCAGTCCCACGACGAATGGAACTCTTGGTGACAATGACGATAATACCTTGAAAGCTGTGGATTCTGAATATCAACACAATACCCTATATAGAAGATCGAAAAGTGTTACTGATTGTTCTAAACCGGAGATTAACATTCCCAAGGAGATTCTCATGGGGGAGCCTGGCGACATGACAGATTTATCTTCAACCTCTGAACCTTCCCAGAAGCATGTAACTATTAGCAAGCCTGTCGAACACAAGAAGGTTGATTCTTTCGCGTCTAAAAAGTCTACAGAAACGAGAAGTGTGAGTGACAGTGTCGTTGGTACAAGCAAAAGTATTGCATCACGCGAGAAGAGAAGAAGCAGATTCAATATACTCTCCACACTCTTCTCAAAACTCAAAAGTCAACGTTGATGCAAAACGGCTAAGCCGTAATTACTCCGCCGCTTCTATGCATAATGAATACGCCCTATATGTAATACTAATACTAATACCTATAATCATTCAAGATCATCAAGGGAAATCTTTCTTCGGTTGTCCTTGTCTTCGTTGTTCAATGTACATACATAAATAATAGTTATGGAAACTCATATACAATGCGGGCGCTTGTCCCAGAATACTGCTCAATAATTTTCAACCCAACAGTCATTCCAGTAAACGCCAAATGAATATATTGATAAGTGGGCTTACCTATTTAGTCAACTCCAAGTTGTCCAAATCCTCTTTTTCCTTGGCAGCTGCCTCAGCTTCCAATAAGTATGGGAGCATGTATGGGACATCTTCCTCTGGCTTAACCCATTGACTCTTGGGCAATAAGTGATGAGTTAGCTCGGTTTGATGAGCTCTGATAATTCTAAAAATTCTAGCGTATGATTCGTCTTCAGGTAATCTTCTTAGAGCGGTTTGAGCAATGTCATTTTCCTCAGCAAGTAAATCATCGAATCTCAAGCCAAGTTCTCTGTAACCTGAAAACTTGACAAATTGGTGAGCAACTGGAACAACAATTTTGGATAGAGATGGTGATCTCAAAATGAAATCACCCATCTTAACAATGGAGGCAAAGCTTTGTGGCATTTTGGTGTCTATACAACTTCTTAGTAGTATGAAGAAGGCAGATGAAATCTTATTGGCCGTTACAACCGGTAAATTTTTTAGTATGCTCCTTCAAAACTAATGAACCCAAACATACCACACTTTGAAAATAACGATGTATCATTGGATAATAGTCATGTGATCAGCTAATATTTTACAGAGAGCTAATCTAATGTTGGCGATATAAGTATATAAATCTATCAATAGAAAAGTTCTATTTCACCTTAATAGTGATACTGGGTAGTGGCTTCACCCGCAGTACTGGGGAAACCACACTCTAGCAGGAGTTCGTCAACAATATGTGGATTTTCTTGAATTTTTTTCAAGACCTCTTCATCCTTCACGAGGACCATTCCAACGTAGCCAGTAGCATTGAAGCCAATGTTCATTTGTTTACTCTTTGATGCAGAACGAGGCACAACACAAATCCATTGCTTGGTGAGCATAACGTTGTAACTGACATCCATTTTGGGCTTTTCATTGGTCCAATCTTGGAAAAATGTTAGCGCTCTTTGTAGAACCGCTATAAAGGTCATAGCCAACAAGTCCTCGTCAACGGAAGCTGAGTCCTCTGGCAAGGGAGCTACGAAGTGAGCAAATGATAGCTTTCCATCTTGCAGAGGCTCAGTGTGTACATTAGGTATGAAAGACTCTTGACCACTGCAGAGCTTGTCTTGAAAGCACAAGAACTTTTCAGGAAGTTTGAGAAGCTGCAAATGTTTGTGATCCTGCGAAGAGCCGCTATTGACACCACAATTGTAAAATGCCATATGTCTTATCATTTCATCTTCGTCGTCAAGCTTGTCGATCAAGGAATAAGCAGTGAAAAGATCCTTGGGAGTCAATGCGCTGGTTTGGGGCTTGAATTCTTTGGTGACTAACAAAGCGTGCTCGGGGACTACAGGATATTTGTTCAACAGGAGCTTATATTCACCTTCATCGTTCAAATCACCATCAACAGTCAATTCTGGCTCAGGCTCAGCGAAAGGATTGCGGTTGATAGTTTCATCGTCACCTCTCTCAGGCTTTTTTAGTAGACTTGGCGCATATGTGACCAGATATTGAGTACCCGTCTCTGCATCCTTATGCTTGGTAGATGATGATTGCGTAAACACAACGTCACCATTCTTGAGGGCGTCGTTATATTTCTCTTTAATAGTAGCGGATAAGTCTGATCCCATTTTAACTTCTGTTGTGAATCTCACGGTGAACTGACAAAGTTAACACGGCTATCTCGTTTTTTCTAATGTCGACAAAAAACGCATCACCAGATGTCACGAACATAAAAAATTCTCATAATGTCTAACCAAGACTATCATTTAGAGTCGAATATAATCAGACTGTAAGAGTGCTAGGAACATCAAGATCGGTGAAACGTGTTTAATCATGTCCTTAATTTACATTAATAAGAACTTAGCACGTGATCATATGTTTCAAAATTTTCCGTTGACATGAAAAGTTCAACATAAACCCAAACGATGCCGACGACAATCGCTAACGCATCCGGAATGACGCAGATGAATAAAGACATTGAATATGGCACTGGTAGTTGGCGTAATTCTTCCATATTCACAATTGCCATTGATATTGGAGGATCATTGGCAAAAGTAATATTTTCTCCCTTACACTTGGGACGACTACGGTTTGAGACGGTAGAAACCGAGAGGCTAAAAGAATTCATGCAATTGCTCCATGATATCATCAACAAGTATAACAATGGGTCACAAAAAAGTACCATCATTATAGCAACCGGCGGTGGTGCTTACAAATTCTATGATTTACTTCAGGAAGAGTTTCCAGATGTGATAAGTATAAAAAGAGAAGATGAAATGCAGTGCTTGATCAAAGGCTTGGACTTTTTTATTCATGAGATCCCAGAGGAGGTGTTCACTTACAATGATATTGACGGGGAGCACATCGTGGTACCCGAGCATGCAAAAGTCTATCCATACATGCTCGTGAACATCGGCTCAGGTGTATCAATCCTGAAAGTTGACTCTCCAAACAAGTTCTCACGAGTTGGCGGATCTTCCTTGGGTGGTGGAACTCTTTGGGGTCTTTTATCTCTTATAACGGGTGCACGTACGTATGATGAAATGCTTAGCTGGGCGCATAGAGGGGATAATACCAACGTAGACATGCTCGTTGGAGATATTTATGGGTCAGATTATGGCAAGATTGGTCTGAAATCTACAAATATAGCAAGTTCGTTTGGAAAGGTGTTTCAAAGGGGCACTCAGCACGAGCCTGAGCAGGATGAAATAAGTGCGGAGACGTCTACAAAAGATATACAGGCACGTTATAGAAAGTTCAACAATGCAGATATATCTAAAAGTCTGCTATATGCTATCTCTAACAATATAGGGCAAATTGCATATTTGCAGGCTAAAGTGCACAACGTTCAAAATATTTATTTTGGAGGCTCATATATCTGGGGCCATCTAACCACCATGAACACCTTAAGCTATGCAATCAATTTCTGGTCCCAAGGAGGCAAACAAGCATTTTTTTTGAAGCATGAGGGATACCTTGGTGCAATGGGTGCGTTTTTAAATGCTCAAGAGCAAACGGCCAACAATTGATCGAACATTTGAAGATTTAGGACCCGTAATCTTCTTTCGTACCTTTAGCATGATTTTTTACTATATCTATTATCTTTCTGATAGACAAATAAAAATCCGACCTGCTTTTTAGCTGCTCGATATTCTTGCGGATATTGTGAATGTCAACATCAGGAATATTGTTATCATACACATTAATCTGGTAGATCCCGAAATCATTTAAAGTTATTATAATATCCATTTTCAGACACTCAAATTGCAATCTATTTGATTGAGGATATACTTTAAGATTTTTTATCTCAGCATTCACAAATGAGTTTTGCCAAAAGTCACACAACCTTTGATAGGAATCACATGCCTCTTTCATAGATCCATCTAAATTAACCCCTGAGCCTTGTTTAGCTTGAACTCTTTCAAGAGAGTTTCTTGTGCTCGTCAGTATCTTCAATCGCGCTTCTAATTGAGAATGCTTTATTGTTTGTTCTTGTAAGCTTTCCCAAAGAGCATTTGTGATTTCGAGGGTATTATCTTGCATTTCTTTGTGCTCATCGATCTGCTCACCATTGAGTTGCTCGAGTTCTGATGCTAACTTCCAACAGTCTTCAAGAAGATTAGTGATTTCAAGGCACGTTTCATTAACTAGCTTTCGCTTTTCGGCAATATTTTGGCTTGACTGTATAATATGCAGTTTCTGCTTGTCGATTTCTGTATTTAATCCTTCAATTACGTTCTCTCGCAGATTTTCGATCTCGGCATTCAGCGACACATATTTTTCGTCATTCACTGATTCTAATTGCGCCAGATCACCAGAGGAAATCGTGTAACGCAGAAAATTATCCAGAGATTCCTGCTCCAGATGAGTCACCTTTAGTATTTCTGTTAATTGAGAAAATTCAGAGATTTTTCCAGGAATACAATTGGGATCTACCACCGCAGAGGGATCGTTATCAGTCAAGACAAATTCATTGCCCTCTGCTACTTGTGCCACACTTTGTTTCAATTGCTCAATAGCTTGAACATGATGATGCTCCTGCTGCTTAAGTACTTCATCACTCAAACTGGTTACTTGAACTTCTAATTCGTGCAGTTGGGATTCGATATTGTTCATCTTTTCGCTACATTTAAAGATTTGTTTATATGATGCCCTACAATGTTCTTCATTCAAAATTCACGATGTACGACGGACTATAAAAAATTTTTTGGAGGAGCACTTGAAGTCACTTCTGATTATAACAAAAAGCGAGGTCATTTGATTATATGCCTGCTTACACCAAGTGGCGTATTCTGTTTCTTTATACATTTCAAAGGTTGTATCCTGTTTTCAATTTTTCTTTTTCTTTGGCCAGTTCCCTGAATACTTCTCCGTTGTCATGGATTGTCACCTTACTTGCATAACTTAAGTTGGTTGGGTGGGGATATTCATATATTCCAAAGATATCCAATCAATGTGTCTCTATGCAAAGAAAAATTTTCCCAATATACCTACTTGTTTTGGTGGATCCCTTTCCTTTAGAGTTTCATAGCATGCGAGATTGAAAATTATGAGTTTTTCGTAATTGCAGATTCTGCAAGTGCTACATATCCACTCTTCTGGAGACGACACCAAAATGGTACTTCGACGACCTTATGATGATGGAAAAAAGATTCACGGCGGCGAAAAAATGAGAAATTTTGTAGTTTATGACCTATGTTTTAGGGAACGGTGGACATTTGCTTCGGCGGTGCTTATAATCGAACAGTTCGGCTTAGCGTTAAGAGTATTTCTTTTCACTAGCTTGCCGGCAGCTCTGACCATCTTTGAAGTACCGAACTTAGGTATTGGGAACAAAAATTATATACATTAACCCGTAGATTGTCTGAAATCGCCCCCTCCTTGTCTCCACAACCACAGTGCGTCAATGGCGTAGTTTCGTACCGAAATATTCTTGGTCTTAGATTCGTCAGCCGCTTCAAGAAGTGAATCTGTGATTCTGAGAGTGGTGCAAAGATCCCAAAACATTGCGTAGATCTTATTAACAATCTCCGTTGTGCCTCCCTCTTCTTTGTATGTTTCGGCATATACTTCTGGAACTATTTCGTAGTAGGATTGTTTACCCAGCTTGTAAAGTATCCTGCCGAGCGTTTGAATAGCGATACACCGCTGAGCAGGGAATTTGGATCTAGACAAAAGCTGTAATTCAGCAATGGTATAACCAGCCAGTTCAGGATTTTCAGAATGGTGGTGTAGTCCATCTCGTGTCGTTGAGATGCTTCTTGTTGGCGGGACCAAGTTTCCCTTGAAGTCAAATCTGCACTCACCTACGTCCTGTATTTCTCCACTCCATTTCTTGTCAGGCACGTTTTTCATCCATGCCAATTTATCTTCTTCTTTAGCCAACTGTGGGAAATATTTCTGGTGCAGTTTATCGTTGAAGTTGGGATCATTGATATCCAGGGCCCCCAGTTCTTCTTCCACATCTTGTTCCTGTTGAATGAAGTGAACGTCCTGTAAAATTTCTTGATTGGTCATATGGTCCATCCGCTGAATAAACTGATACTCTTGGGGGGCAATATCGTCTTCGTCTGTGACAGCAGGCCTCCCTTCGTAAAGCTCTTCCTTGAAGACTTGTTCTATGTGAGGTTCCTCAAAGGTTACATGTTTCTTTGGGGCGTCCGAGATACCCAAAGCTTTGTTTACTGCCTCATCGTCCAAATGTGGCATATTCGGGAACTCGCGTGATCCTCCGACCCACGTACCGGGCGCGCCTTCAACTTCGGCAAAAAGAGGAGCCTTGGAAGGTTTCAAAGATTCTTCGAGAGAAGTCGCCTGCTCTCTCTTGTCGATCCGCTTCAATAGACCTCGGAGAACGCTTGGATCAAGTGACTCTAGTAGTTCCCGTCTTTCTTGTTCCACCTGCTCTGGAGACATGTTCTTTATCCGGTCAAGGTTCTCTTCATGAATGCGTTGGGCCTCGGACAATGGTTGCGATGGTTGATGTGGTACATCCTGGCTACTTAAGGTAGCCTGAGTGATGCTATCGCGTTGTGGGTTGCTCTCAGAGCTCCTAGCACGCTGTTTCCTTTTCTGTTGCAGTCGCACCTTCCATGACGAGACTTTTTCGGGTTCGTAGAGCGCAGGAAAGCCGGTACTGGGAGCAGCTTCGAGTTTGACGGGTTCTGTGACTTCTTTTTCAACAATGTCGCCCAATAAGTCCATGTTCTGCGATTATTCTAACGAAGTGTGTCGGTGTCGAATTGGAGAATAATTCTGATGCGATGCGTTTTGAAAAAATAAGTTTTTACGTTGCGCGCTTGGTACGCATCTCGAGATAGACATACAGTGAGAAATGATACAGTGGGAAGTCATACAGTGAGAAATGATACAGCGAGAAATCATACAGTGAGAAATCATAAGTGAGAAATCATATAGTGAGAAATCATACAGTGAGAAATCATACCGTGAGAAATCATACAGTGAGAAATCATACCGTGAGAAATCATACAACTCCCATTCAGGGGCGAATTACCTAACTTTCAAGAACGATTGGCGAAGGGATTCTCTTGATGCTTTGTAGGGGTAGTCAGTTTCCTCTGCAAATGGCTACCAGGTTTGCGTCGCGCTTTCTTGCACATGGACAATCTTGTCAAACAAAAAGTAGTACGTTACGTATTCCGCGTCGAGGGCAGTTTCAGCTGCAAATGTGGTGGGCACCGGAGAGAGATCGTGCCGGGAGTGAATCCCGCACTTGTCGCGTCGATCCCCAGAATCCATATGTGCGACAGTTTTCCGGCAAACCTGAAACAGCGGGGCCTAGCAAGGCGATAAACGATATATATACATAGATCCAAGACTAGAGCAGCTCCCAGATGTCACAGAGAAGGACTCTTCTGGCTTGCGGTCGTTCGATGCGAGTGCTAGACGGATTTCCGACGCACTCACGATCGGATCAATTTGGCCCCCACGACGACCGAGAGATCGCCACGTGCCCTCCTGTACGTCCCTCAGAACGCAGACGAATTAACTGAAAGCAACCACTGCCTGCACATCTTAAGCCCAATACCTCCGATATCCATGACCATGTGCGCGGCCACGCAAGCGCAGCTTCTGCAGAAATCCAAGAAATTGAAATCGGCCTACGTCGTGGCCACGCAGAACGGCCTGCAGCAAGAGCCCATACGCTGGAACAATGAATGCGTGGAGTTCTTTATTGCAGCACGCCGGAGGCACGGCACGTGGCTGGCAGGCGCCGTAGACACGCAAGGACGACGACGCGCCGAGAGACAGTTCTGGATATGCTATGACAACCACGAGGGCAGGCCAATTGACGCAGGTATCTTATATAAATAGTGCTGGTAGGCAAAGGGGTGTAGTTCGAGAATGCCCGGTATGAGCGCCCCGATATCAGCGTTGGCTGGAAACAGAGACTAGTTAGTGGTGGAACCCGGACATGATATGATATGGTACGAAAAGCTACAGAAAATACTAACTAGGACATAGTCGGAGATAAAGACCCTCTGGCCGTCCGCCGCGCCGTCGCTGTGCGATGCCGTTTGCAGCGCAGCCGCGTCTGCCCGCTGAGCCGCTAACACAGTGCGCGACGTGTCGGCGGGCGGAGTTTTTATCTCCGCCCGCCGAGCCGCGAGCCAAGTCCGAGCTGCAACCTGCGCTCAGGAAACGTGCGGAAAACCCCGGTCCCGTGCATAGCGACATCCCTGTTACCCTACTTTCACCTCTAAGGCGCTACAAACCGGCCCTACATACCGCTCGGCGCAGCCGCGCTTCGCGCTTCACGCCAACGAGCCGTAGCCCGTGCTTGGCTCCGCCAGCGACCCGCCCGCAGCCGGGTAAGGGTGGCGGCTGATCACGTACAACGCGTGTACGAGCCCTGGAAAGAATCCTAGCAGAAACAGCAGCAGGTTGATCAGTGTGTCCTTGGTGAAAAAGCCTCTCTTGAGCCCCACGGCCACGGGGGGAAGGAAAATTGCAATGAAAACTAAAAACCAGTCGCGAGCGTGCATCTTGTGTGTCGAGAAGAATGCTCCGCGCACGATTCGATTGTCGCGCGGGATGCCGCACAGCTTTTATACATGCAGCTCTGCGATAGCAAGGGGCCATCGAGGGGGAGCTCAGCGCAAACCGGATCTGTGCCCCTCAGCGCCGCGGTGCGGTGTATCTCAGTCACGCACGACGGCGCGGTAGTCGGCGCGCAGCCGACACCGGCCCGCGAGCATTTCTAGCCCGGCCACCACGCTGTCCACGAACCGCACGGGCTGTTCTGGGGGCATGGCGCGCGCGAACGCGCGCTCCATGCCGGAAAACCCGGCGCACCCAAGCACCACCACACGTGACCCGCGCCGCGCGACGTTTTCGCGACGCACCCGCCCCGCGATCTCCTGGAAGTTGCGCTCGTCGTGGAGGTCCAGCACGGGCACGCCGGACGCGACGGTCCCGCGCCACAACGCGAGGCCCGCTCCGGCGGCTCCGGCGGCCCCGCCCGCACCGTCCTTACCCGGCCACGTCGGCGCGCCGCAGCCCAGCAGCCGCGCCACGGCCGCGTCTAGCAGCGCGACCCACTCGTCGTTGGACGTGATCACGGAGAACGCCTCCCCCGCGGCCACGCACTCCAGCATCGCGGCGTGGAAAATGCCAACCACCGGCGTGCCGTGCTCGGAGCGCGCGCGCAGCGCAGCTACGAGCGGGTGGTCCGAAAAGCACGCGATTAGGACGCCGTCGAACGTATCGAAATACGCGCGCCTGTTTGCCTGGCGCGCACAGAGCAAAGGTAAACACTTTTCGCACGACTCGCGACTGGTCTTTTCGCCGTCTATTTGCGGGGGCGCGTCGGCCGGCGCAGTGAAGTACACGCACGTGGGCGTGTCCCCCACTGTGGCTTTGTCGCCTGCTGGGCTGCCATCGTCGTCGCCCGCGTACCTGTACGCGTGTTGCAAATAGAGCTGCACGCGATCACGAACCGCGTCTGTCATCGCCTGTGTGCTGTTTGGATTCACTATGAGGAGCCGCATGCCTGTTCTGAGCTTGAAATGCATGTGAGATTACAACGGGGCCTCGCGACGCAACGCGTCGCGTTGGCCCCCCTTTTATTACCGTGCTAACCCGCCACGGTCCACTCCGCCGCTGCAACTGCAACGCCCAGTGCTCGGTTGCCCAGTCCGCGCTGCCTAACGCTTATCTTATCGTCCGCAAAAATTTTATATCCAGCCCCGATGCCCGCAAAACACGTAAAATCTTTCCTAACTGGGAAAAGTAAACGCAAAACCAGCAGCCACTCGCGCTGAACGGCCCGTTCTTTTTGGCGCGTAACACGCTTCCCCTTTCCGGACCATCTGCTTGCCGCCGCCACCATCGCCCCTCATATGCCAGTGGAATCGCGAGTGCGTTCGCGCCGTGCGCGGGCGTCTGTGCGCCGCCCCCGCTCTCTAAGGCCGCGGCCCGAGCCCAGACCCGGGTCTGGGCCCAAGTGAAAATTTTCTCGCTTCTTTTTTCGGGTGGCTCGGTCGGGTAGGCAAGATGGAAAAAAATGGAAAATACAGGTTTTGTGGATATATAAGGGCTCTCGGGGCGCGTCGTTTTGCCATCCTGATTGTGATTCCTCTTTTTTAGTTTTTGTTTTTTTCCCCTACTCAAACAAAAATGCAATTCAAGAACGTTGTTGCCACTTTCGCTGCCGTTGCCGCTGTCCAAGCCGCTAACACCTCCAACACCTCCAACTCCTCTAACACCACCAACAACACTAACGGTACTTCTTCCGTTTCTACTGGTGCTGCTGCTTCCAACGCTTTGGGTGCTGGTGTCTTCGGTGCTGCCGTCGCCGCCGGTTTCGCTTTCTTGTTTTAAGCAGATGGCGGAGTACGTCCGTGCGCTCTCTACGATAGGATGCGCGCGCTGGTTTTTTATCTGTAAGGTGTAACACTACGGCAAAAGCAATTTTAATCAAGATACACTGATCAAGTATGTAATTTTTACAGAATGTATAACTTTAAAGAGTATGTTATGCTTCCGAAGAAAAACTTTGAGTCACTTTTGACTGCCGCTTGCCTCGCCGCGTGCGACGCCGCCCGCCGCGCCGCGCCTGCGCCTGTGGGTCGCGCTGCGCGCGACCACGGCCCGTGCGCTGATTTTCAACTTCGTTCGTAGCTTCTTGTCCTTCTCCGGTTTGTCTCCCCAGCCAACAATGGGCCACAACACCAGCGTTCTCAGGAGTTGCGGGTCCGTAGGCCCCGCTCTCCTCAAAGTCTCTACGTCGCAGCCGAGCCCGCAGCGGTTTGTGCTTCTGGGCGACACCCTCGCGGCCCTTGTCGATCCGCACGCTTGCTACGTGCTGGAGCTGGCGAGCGCTCCAGACGCGGCCACGGCCGCGTCTGTCACCGCGACCGCCCGTTTGCGCTCCAAGGATCCCGGCGCCACGTCCGCTGTTGAGCTTGCGCTCGAAATCGACCCGCGCGCCGCGGATGCCTCTTCCGTTACCGTCAAAGTTTCGTTGCGCCGGCTGGCCGACCCAGGCGTGTATACCATCGACGTTCGCTGTGGCGGCGAGCTCGCGCTCTCCATGGCCGTGAGCGTCGAGGGGGCGCCCGCGACGCCGCCCAGTGCCCTCGTCGACGAGCCGGACCCGTTCCCCGCGGACGGACCCCAGTTCCGGACCCAGGTCTCTCAATGGGAAGCGCTGCTGCCACAGCTGCGCTCCGTGGTCAAAACCGTGGCCGAGCGGGGCGCAAAGATCGCCGAAAACCTCCACGCCTGTTCGCGCGAGTACGCGCAGGCTGCGTCTGCTCTCCGCGACCTCGATGGGCTGTGTTCCGGTCTGCCCCTCTATATGCGTCGCACGACGCGCGCTCTGCTGTCCGCAGTCAACCAGGAAGCGTCCAGGGCCACCTCGCTGGCGCACTCGACTTCCGACGCGCTGTCGCAGCCTGCTCTCTCGTATGCGGCTGCTCTGGATTCCAAGACCCTTTCGTCTCGCCGCAAGCAGTACCAGGACCAGGCCAAAGACTTCTACTCCTACATGGGCAAAAACCTCTCGTCCGCGGACTTCACCAACCTCTCGAGAAAAATACAGTTCGAACTGCACCGCTTCGACTACTTCTCATACCTCTCGGACCTGCTTTCCGGCGCGGCCGTGCGTCAGCTCATCGACAAATGGAGCAAATATACCGGCATGCTTCAGCTCGCGCCCAACGCGTCGACGCAGCTCCTCATGCAGCAGGCTGCCCAATACCTGGCCAACTACAAGCACTATCGGTCGCAAGTCGCCGCGGTGCGCTCGCGCATCGGCCATTCCCAAAACTACTCCGATCTGTCTGGTCAGCTCTTGTCCTCCTCCCCTAGCTCCCACCGCGCCTACAAAGAGGGCATTCTCTGGACTCACAAAGGCCAGGGCAAGTCGTCCGGCTGGCACAAGCAATGGGTGGTGCTCAAGGACTCCAAGCTGTCTGAGTACTCTGATTGGAAAACAGATGGTAAAAAGCTTGCACGCACCCCTCTCAATCTGACGTTTGCGTGCGTGAAGCGCTCGGACAAAAAGTCCAATGGCTTCGAGGTCATTACCACCGATGGGGTCACAAGATCCTTTAGGGCAGAAAGTGAAAACGACGTAGAAAGGTGGCTGCGCGAGCTCCAGCTTGCTATCGGCCTGGACGTGCAGTCTTCCAACACGACTTCATCTTTACTTGACACGGTCTGCAGTTTGGATCCCTCGAATTCCAAATGCTGCGATTGTGGCGCAACCGTTCAAGTAGAATGGATTTCCATCAACATTCTGTGTGTTGTGTGCATAAAATGCTCATCGGTTCACAGATCTTTGGGCTCCCACATTTCCAAAGTTCGTTCTTTGAAGCTGGATTCGTTCCAGTCTAAGGAAATGCAGGAGTTACTCAAATTTGTCTCCAACAAGAACGTAAACTCCATATATGAAGCTGAATTACCGCACAGGCCTATAAACTCGGAATCAGCTATTGAGGAACGCACTAAGTTTATTACTCAAAAATACTCACAGAGAAAGTTCGTGGTGCCTTTGCAAGAAAATGATCCTGAAGCAATACGAAAAAGACTCAATCATAACCTCATCAAATCTATTCACCTTAATAGCATCTACTTATTGCAGCAATGCATTGCACAGGGGACAACTTTGAATACAGCTCATCTAGATCATGGCGAGACCCTTTTCCAGTATTCTCTCAAACATTACCGGGGTACGAAAGATAAACCCGTCTTCTTCATAACCGAGTTTCTGCTTCTGAACGGACTCCAAGTTGGCAAACTGCCTAGGGATAAAACTTCCCTTTCGGATTCCGAGTATTCATATTGGAAATCAAAAGCAGAGACTAATGGCATATACGTCCAAAAAAAGATTGGAAGGGCTGCAACTACAAAAGAAAACAAAGCAACAAATATAGCAAGGATTAACACATCGACTGCCGAATCTCTTCCTTTGCGACAACCATCTTCAGCCATCGAAACAAACTCCAGTAAGCGTTGGAGTATAGCCGGAACTATTCCTAATGCATCACCAGTTATAGCATCAGCCTCATCCTTACTACCCAAATCTCGCGCTCTTAAATTTCCGAAAATGCCTAGCAATAAGAACTAATTAATTGTTTTACGTCGCATACAGATTTTACTCGCACTTTTTTCTTTTCCAATTTGCTTGTTTTGTGGTCAACCATGAATACGAAACTTTTGGCAGCAAAGCATTTAGAGGAGGAAAAAAGAATTACATATGTACTTTCTCAATGAACAGCTTGGCTATCACACGGTTTAGTGATTTGCCTCTTTCACTCATAATACAGAAACTTCTCTGCTTTAGTTGCTTTCTTCAGGCCTCCTAAACCTAGCTTATTGCTAATCAAATTATGATCGCTTTCACCACAGAAAATATACATAGTTCAATAAGTGAACTATGTGGCACTACCGTCCAGCCCGAAAATCCTACCGAACTATATGAAATGCAAGAATGCGTCGGAAAGGGTAGCTTTGGTGACGTGTATCGAGCCCTGGATAAACGAAGTGGTAAAATTGTCGCTATCAAGGTTATTAATCTTGAAGAAACTCAGGATGACATTGACATTATGGCACAAGAGATATTTTTCTTGTCGGAGTTAAAGTCACCTTATATTACGAGTTATTATAAAACATACATTGAAGACGTGTCCATGTGGATAGTCATGGAGTACTGTGGAGGAGGGTCCTGCGCAGATTTGTTGAGGCACCTCCCGGAACATAGTATATCCGAGTATAAGGTTGCATATATTATAAGGGAAGTGCTATGTGGACTAGAATATCTACATAGTCAGAAGAAAATCCATCGAGACATTAAGGCTGCAAACATACTTCTCACAGACGAAGGTGAGGTTAAATTGGGCGATTTTGGTGTTAGTGGTCAAATAATGGCAACTTTAAAGCGCACTACATTTGTTGGTACACCTTACTGGATGGCACCAGAAATTATCTCCAGAAAGAATGGCGGCTACGACGAAAAGGCAGATATTTGGTCCTTAGGGATTACAGCTATAGAATTGATGACAGGACAGCCACCCTATGCAAAACATGATCCGATGAAGGTACTTATGAATATTCCACTAAAGAAACCTCCTAAATTGCATGGAAGGTTTTCACATGCAGCGCATGATTTCATTTCTCAGTGTCTGAACAAAGATCCAACTCAACGGCCAACAGCTGCAGCCTTACTGCATCACAAATTTCTTAGTCGAGCTTCATGGAAAGTGGTGAACAATTTGAAAAGGGAGGTAGATTTGGTGTCCATTTTGAAAAGTCGAATCAACTACTTCAAACAGCCAAGATTTTCCCTATCGGATAAAATATATCAAAGCGGAACTAGTCGTTATCTAGCGACATGGAACTTCGAAACATCTAGGAAATTGGCAAAGCAAAATAAAGCTATATTCGATGAAGGTGTGAAGGAGAACAAATCTCGACACCTCATTGAATTAAATGTGCAGAATGCGACGTCCTCGCCTAATAGTGAAAATAGTCCTGTTTCTGGGCTGATAAGTCCCAATATCAAGACGCCCGCTACTAATGCTACCACACCTACCATGAGACATTATATGGGAGAAAAAGATTACGACGTGTCTATGGGTGTGCGCGAGGCCGAAGGTGTAAAGGAAAATTTCCAACATATGACTGGTAAGGAGCTTAACTATTTCAGGCATATTATACTGTTCAGCTTTCAAAGAATACACGAAAGAGCCCGTTCGCAAGAAACAAAGGTAGTTGTTGATCGCCTGAAATGTCTCTTTGAGGAAGCAGAGAAATCACAGCCTGGTCTTAGTGAAGCCTTGGTTGAGGAAGTATATATACGAATGGAGGAAATTAAGGGTTTTATAGTGGAACGTTCGTTCTAGTTGAAATAGAAATTGTTAAGATAAGTACATTAGATTTTTCAAATAAAACAGTTGTAACAGATGATTTTATTGAAACGTCGTCCCTTAGAGTACGCTGCCACAAAGACACAAAATTAAAAAAGATGGGGTATAAATAAACCACGTCTCGACCGCTACGTACAATTGCGGATTTTCCTAACATCACAAAGATACTTAACAGATTTTTAACGTATTCTAGTTTTTGGAGAATGAAAAGCGGAATTCGATACATTTTATTAGCCATATGGGCGGCTAAAGTAATCCAAGCAAGTGACTCCCAACGCTTTCTTCAAAAATTTGAAGGTGCTGTAAGACCGCATTCTATAAATGTAGATGGCTCGCGACTAGAGAAAAGGTCATCAACTCCTGCGTTTGAGATATTACAAGAAGAATGGTCTGTCGAGGCACCCAAAGCTGGATCGAAGAAAATTGGACAACTCAAGTCAGCCACAGAAGCCTGTCGTAAGGATGTTCACAAAATTTATTCTGCAGCAGATCTTGCCAGAATACGTCATCAGTGCAAGGAAGTTATAGGTACAGTGCATATTGTTGATTTTACCGATTCCATAATCGACTTAGGGACTATGGAAAAGATTCAGGGAAATCTAATCATTGAAAATTTGCCACAAATTGTAAAAATTCAAGCAAGCCGTCTCAATGAGATTTCAGGAACACTAAAGTTGGATAGCTTGACATCTCTTACTGATCTGCATTTCCCATCCCTGCAACACTTTGAGGCTATCGACTGGAAGGTAGTGCCAACCCTAACTGCCTTCAACCTCGCCCCTAACATCACTTCAGCTAAGCGTATCATAATTTCTGACTCTTCGCTTGTAAATATTGGTGGTTTGCAAAACATTGAAGAACTGGAAGTTCTAAACATCAACAACAATAGATATATGGAAAATGTTGACTCAAAGGTCAAGCGCATTTTTGAGCAACTAAGCATTTCAGCGAATTCTAGAGAGCTCAGAGTCAACTTACCAGAGCTAAAATGGGCAAATAACATCACCATTCGTGACGCAAGCTCAACGTCCTTCCCCCAACTGCAATACGTGAATCATTCTCTTGAATTTATTGAAAACTATTTTGAATCATTGCCTCTCCCAGTGCTCAAGTCTGTGGGTGGGACATTGGGTTTACTCGAAAATCCGCATTTGGAACAAGTAGATTTCTCCAACGTCACAAACATCCAAGGAGGACTGATGATTGCAAACAATTCACGTATACAAAGCATTAATTTCTTGCCGCAGTTAAGGGAGATTGGAGGTGCCATACAATTCTTTGGAACATTCCAAGAAATTAGTTTGCCTTTGCTAAAGCTCGTGAGAGGTAGTGCTTTGATTAAGAGTACATCTAACGTACTAGACTGTTCGAAATGGACGACCCCAGTCAGTGGTAACTCTATTATCAGAGGAGGACAAATTATATGCAACTCTGGTAGGGTACAGAGTTCTGCTCGTGTGAGTGAGGACGGTACCTTATTAGGACGCGAGCAAAAGGAGAGTGCCAATATTTCTGATAATGAGAGAAACTCGGGGTCATTCATAGTGGACAAAAGCAAGTTGCCAGCATTTGGATTTGCGTTAGCTTTGGGTTGGATTGCAGCCTTAATCTGCTTCTTAATATCACAATGAGCTCAAAAAATTTAGCATAGAAGTAGACTTTTTACAGATGGATCAATGTGTAGTCGTTAGCTACATTATTATGTAATCCAATACAGTTCTTGGCTTGTCATGTGATTTATTTTCAATTTTTTAGCTTCCATTGATTTCCGACGGAAATATACCTGCCTTTGATGTCTGTAAGAAGCCTGTCGAACATTACAATCACTTAGATAAACATTTGACGTTCCTCGAAGTCCAAAACTGCCGGAGACTTTAATAGAAGGGTTTGCACCATGGGAGACTCAGAGTTAGCATCGTCTAACAGGACTACGCTGATATCACCTGGAAAAGACCCCGAACGGCGTAGTAAGAAAGACCAAAAAACGGCCAGTTCAACGAACAGCAGTAACGGTATACCGAAGAAGCCTCGTAAGAAAAGGAAAACTTATAGCTGTGATGTGTGTCGAAAATTCAAGACGAGATGTGATTTTGAACCGTTGGTAGGGAAATGTCATCGGTGTAACGTATTAAAACTACATTGTTCGTTAACAAGAGAACGAGAGGACGAGATAATAGCAGCTATCGAAACATCATCTAAATCTAGTTTGATTTCTTCAAATCAAAACTTAGACGTTCCTTTAACCTGTTCAACTTCGAACGATTCGTTAGTATCAAACCCTATTACAGCCGCACTGAACAATAGGCTCAACAAACTCGAATCAAACTTGCATACCTTGAATAGCAAAATAGACCTTATTCTCATGCTAGTCCAGGGAACAAACACTGCTATGAGCAATTCGAATGGTATTCAATCTAAGGAGGTGAGTGAAAGTATATCGGACCGTGCGCTGATTGAAGATGAAGAGAGTTTCAACGAAGTTGGAGACAATTTTAGCGACGAGGAACAGGAGTCTGATTCGTCCAATGAAGTCGAGAAGGAGTTCTCTGACTCAGGAAAACCTTTACAATCGATGTCACAAAGCTCAAGCAAGAAATACTTGAACGGAATTAAGCTACAAGAACCTCCATTGAAATTGATCGACGATATTGATGAAAGACTGTTTCCAACTAAAGCCGAGTCACATGCTGATAGGCTGGCTGAAACCCAGAGACCTTTTGTGATCGCACGGGTTAACTTTTTGAAATATTTCAAACAGCATGAGCAAATGTGTCTCGATCTTTCGCGTGATTTCCTTGTCAAGTCTCATTTTTGGATAATACCTGGTGGGATCAAGGAAATCAACTTGGAGTATGTTGAAAAGCATCTTTTTATTACAAGTGTTTTTACAATTATCGCTATGGGATTCGATGAAAATAACAAATACGAAACTGAGCAAGAAGTAATGTACCCATTAGTCGAGAGGTTCCTCACAAACACATTAACCATGTTTGAACAATTAACTGATCACGACATAGAAGCAATTCTCTATTGCAGTATGTTTAATGTATCAAGAAAGTCCAAGCGGCACAGACAGATGAAATTCAATTCGTTGGTTTTGTGTAATTTCGCCATCAATAGTCTGCTCAATATCATTGATTTTCACAAGATAAAGGAAAGAATTTTTGTTCAAGAGGAATATTCGGCTCTAGACTTATACCATTTGAGAATTTTGAATTCTCTAAGTGCCTGTCGTCTTCAATATTCTATTGGTTATGGTAGTTTCACAGTTCAAGACGATATGTTGAAAGATTTCAATAACTTGACCGCAAAATTTCCCCAGGCAAATTTTGGTGACGATATTAAAATAAGTGAGATAAATCTCGGAGAAATAGTCAACAATATTTTCTTGAATTTCAAATTGTATTTCAAGAAATTCACAGAAAGGTTTAAATCCTCTCTGGGATTACGCGAGACCAGAAGCGTTTCTTCATCGAGAAAAAACTCCCTTGATGCAGGATCTAAATCTCAGATCGCCTACGAGTATTTGGTTTTCCCTGAATTGGATTACTGGCTTAAAAATTGGGACGAGTTACTGTCTAAAGATGGTGGCGGTGTACTTCTCTTTGCTTATAATTTCTACAATATCATGATTTGTCGCAACTTTTTGACCGAGTTTCATGAGGAGTATCATAACGACGTTTATTATTTCAAATGCACTCTGAAAACTATAAAGACATACTGTTTTACTTTGATTGACGGATTTTTAAAGCTACCCCCCTCTCTTATAAAAGGAGCGCCCGCAATTACATTGCATCAGCTAGTTTATGCATGCCTGACATTATGTGACTTCCTTCATTTTTTTAACTCGTCTGAAAGACAGCAGATATTAAATCTTTGCACAAAGGTATACTGGCATTTGAACACCATTGGTGAGAAATTGAATGAAGCAACCGAAAATGTCGGTAAAATTATAAAGTCTTTGATTGACACAAGTAAGAGAAAGATTCAGTCGGGTAATCAGGCCCTTTTATCTATGAGCTCTTCCAAGATGAGCCAACCTACAACTCCAGGAGTTGTTTACAACGGACTAACACGAAGACCATCAACTTCTCCACAAAGTGTTCTGTCTACGACATCGCAAGGTAGTGGAACCATTAATGGTGCACCTGGAGGCTTTACTATGCCTGATGTTGATCAATTTAATTCGTTCGAGGATTTTTTCCAGGATTTCTTTGACAATTTGAAACCAACAACACAAAACATATTCTCGTCCATAAACAGTACAACGCAAAAATGATCCTTATCTATGTATTAATTTTGCTCAACCAGCATTTTGTGGCGTCTTTATCTTTGATTTATAAAAATATATTAGAGTTCGGGTATTGTTCTTTGATGTAAGCACTAATCCTCGAGGGAATCTCGTTTCGCACACTTTCTGGAGAAGTATAGAATAAGTCTCGAATAGCAGACGATGAGACTGAAGCATATTTCTCTACATTCTTACCGACGTGAACTTTATCATACCACGACTTTGGAATGATGGGTTCATACTTCCCATCACGAATTTCTTTGCTGTAATGTAGCTGCTCAAGAGTTTCGACTTCGGTTCCTCTCGTCAGACAATAGAACTCTGTGTTCAACATGAAGCTCTCTAAAGCCTGAGCAGGTAGGAGGGGTGCATAATATTTGGGGTCGAAAATTCTAATAATTGTATCAAATCCTACAAGATACACGATAGAGACTTGGGATCCAAACTCTCCATGAATTGCCGACGATTTGTCCACAAACTTTCCAAAAGTGGTGATGGCAACTGACGCTTCAACTGATTCTTCTGCCAGCATATCAGCCATCAAACACATCATGTCCATACGTTTATCGAAAGAGGCAGGCTTAGGCGTTTTGTCAGCATTATTCACGGATAAAAGAAGTAGAACATGTAACTTTTCATTAGTTTTTTGATAAAAGTTTAAAGCCTTTTTGATAAGCGTGTAGTGGCCCATGTGAGGAGGATTGAAGGACGAATCCAACACAAGGAGGCGCTCATGACCTTTCGCGCGATGTTGTCCGTAGATAATCTTGAAGTTTTCTCCGCGATGTTCGAACATCTTTAGTACCTTCAGGCATAGGCCATTGGGTGCGGGCATGCTTGTTGTTTGCGCGTTTTGGGAACAATTATCTTGTTCCAAAAAGTGTAACGATACGAGAATTTCCGAACGGAAGATAGACAGACGGAGCATTGTTTGAAGCTCGCATCATCTAAAGATACGTAAATGGAATTACGAATTTAAATATAATAGTAATATCATTCGAGGAAGTCATTATTTCTTGTTTTTTTGACTTAGATTGACTTCGTTGAAATATCGCATTTTTTCTTGCCTCATAGAGGATATTGTATTTGATACGCGGCATATTCATGGAGGAATAATCATGAAACTCCATCTATATTATTCCGTCAATTGAATAGATAGATTTTAATTAAGCTAATAGTTCTGATAAATATTGTAGGTATCGAATACATCAAATAATATTTTGAAGGACAAATAAATGTTACGGATATAAACTGAAAGAAGAAAAGTGGTTTAATAATTTAAATTCTCATTTTAAGCATTCATCTCCACGCTATTTAGAACACTGTCATGAGAATATCCCCAGCAAGGTAACAGCCAATGACAAACAACTATGCTAAAAAGTTAAGCGAAAGCTATATAATATACATCTTTTTTCTACTGAGGACATAGCATTTGAATTGTTTTGTTGGTGAAAGACCGGCCACTACAATTCGTCACGTCTGCGGATATCAACTAGTTCTGTCTCGAAGATGAGATCTGCATCAGGTGGAATCACTCCTCCAGCGCCTCTGGAACCATATCCCATTTCACTTGGAATGTAAAGCTTACGTTTTTCGTTAATGCACATTCCCATTATACCTTGATCCCAACCAGCAATGACTTGCCCATGGCCGAGAGTGAATTGAATAGGGGCGCCTCTCTTATATGACGAGTCAAAGATATCGCCACTTTCTTTTAACGATCCTGTATAATGGACAGACACAATGTCGCCCTTGGAGGCTTGAATTGTACATTCACTCTCTGGCACCTCATGCAAAATGCCAATTGATAATTCAGTGAGCTTATCAGCCACAACGACACTTGAAGTAATAAGTAGGGAAATTATCTTGAACAATTGCATTGCTATACTTACTATCCTTTATGTAAAATATGTTTGCATCATGAAAATCATCTTAAAAATGCATGTCACGCAGAACGTGTCGGTTATCCTTTGACATGCCATTGCGACTTCAACTTTTTAGTATCAACTAAAGGTCTGATAAAGTAGCACAAGAATAATAAACCCAAAATAGTACTGATCAACTTACCCTTTTCGAAGCTTGGACTCAATTTGTCGAATTGAGAGGAAGGTGAGATTCTTGTACAGAATATATCATGCCCAAAGTTACAAACAATGCTTGTGGATTCTAGATTTGTTGGAATAGAAAAAAGCATTGAATTGGAACCCATTAATAAACTTCTATAATGCGAAATTATCGCATGATCGTTAATTGGAATGCCAGAAAGATATGGCGCTGCCATAAACTCCTTCTTGTCATCATTACTCATTTGGGATTCCTCGCGTCTTCTTGCGCTTAGCAAGTATTTTGGCAAGTAAGTAATTTGTCCATTTTCTAGCTCCAAAATAATGGCCTTTGTGGTGATTCCAAATTTGGTCTTTGACAATACCATATTCTTGATAACCTCAGGATAAAAATAGGCCTTTGTAACTATTTGCGGTTTCATGGTGTTCGATAATGCGCTTGCCACCTCTGATGAGTTGGAAACGCGTGTGTTGGGTTCTAAGGATTCATAAAGCTCAACAACTGATATCTTTTGCTCGGGAATAGGTTCTGAACTGAAATACGTATAGATAAACCAGTATTCCCCGAACAATATATTAACTGGAAGGTTAAAATTTACTCCGTCTTCGTGGTAAGAGGTGTAAAGAAGTTCTCCAGTAATCGTGTCAACTAAATGTACTGAAAGAGAGCCCACTGATCTATCAGCAATAGCGTAACTCGCGAGATGTGGATACAAATATTTGTATAGCACAGTTCTGTTGCCCAGAATATTTCCTAAACTGACTGAGGGATCTCTATCCCTTGCGGCAAAAGCAATTATTTCTTCATTAGGTTTGAGATCCAACTTCCAACTTTCCTTCAAGTCTCCTTTCTCGATTATGAATGCATTCAAGCCATGCTTGTCATGATCTAAAAGGTAAGTTTCATTATTATGGATCTCACCGTCTCCCCTCAGAATAACACGAAAGCCTTGCTCAGTTCTGACATAGAAGTCATCACTATCACCAAGTCTTTCTATATCTGTGCTGGGAACTACAACCTGATTGCGCTTGATGGAAGGCACTGCACCTATATGAGAGGTGTCCAACACTAGGGAAGGACCAGATTTGGTAAAAACAACCAACTCGCTATTATTCTTCAAAGAGTCCAATCTTATAATGTCATTGAATCCTGACTCGAACTCCCACACCTTTTCTCCGGTGATACTATTCAAAGCGGCAATTTTTCCTTTCCTAGTCGCAATTATCAGATACTTCAAAAGGCCGAATTTAATATCTCTTTGCCTCACCGCATGCTCATCATCATCAGCAATTAGATCTTTTACAAAGCTACCCACGGAAAACCTTCTCTCAATAAGAGCCCCTTTTAATCTGCGATAATTGTGTTGAACTCTAAACAAATATGCTTGCCAAAAATCAAGCTTCTTTTCGTCATTTAATTCTGATAGAATTTTAGCAGCCGAGTCATCATTAACTGAGGCATAAGTGTAGGCTTGGACATCTGTTAATGACTCATCTCTCGCCCACTTTTGAGATAAGGTATTATTCTCAAGCTCATAGTAGTAGTATTGAGAAGAAGGAGTACCCAACAGAAGCTCGATTGATTCGTTAGCATTTTTGTAAAATTTGACAAACATAGTATCTGTAGGTAGATCCTTAATCAAGATCTTTGCATCACCGTGCTCTTTATCAGTCATTTTGAGCTCTTTATCTTGAATCGAAATAGTGGAAAAATCCTCAACAAAGTTGGATTGAATGGATTCTGCTAAGACTGGACCTAAATCGAATCCGTGCTTGAGTTCAAATGCTTGTAACTCGCCCCTTTCACTCTTGAGTACTATTTGAGAATCATTGGTTGCCACCAAACTGACTGCTTTGTAGTTGATTGGCTGTCTGGACAAAATTTCTCCATTAGACTTGTTAAGCCAGCAAAGCAAAGAAGTTTCGTCAAATGAAGAAACAACCAATAACGTATTATCATCAACTTCTGTCACCCATTGGTAGTCGCCAATATTTTCCCTTTGCCAGTCAATTGTATAGGCTTCGTCGTTGTAAACTGCCTTGACCAACCGTGTACTCAGCAGTAGCGCCAACAACAGCGCATTACCAAAACATCTTAACATCAGGAGACTGCAGTTTATTCTTATAGAAGAATTTCTCGACGTAATGCTCAAGCTTTTCCTATCTACAGATAATTTGTCTAGGTGGTCCCTCAAAGACAAATCTAAGCGAAAACAACCTGGACAAGTAGGGTTACTATGTACGAAAATGGAGTAAAAAGTATCATTTAATTACGCGATGGTTCCGTATCGTTTCCATCGTTCTCAGAATCTACTATGGATTGTTTGCCGTCTTTAGTGTCTTCTGGCATCAGGACGGTGGGTAAAAACTTTATACTCAAGGATGTTTCCAGAGCCAAGTCCATCCAAGGATTAAAGGTGGACCAAATTTCGTCTAAATTAATGTCTTCTGGACTGCGGCAATCTGGATCGAGAAGAACACCTTTTGATTCCACATGATGACTTGCTGTTGCTTGGGGAATACTATTTTTTGGAGCTGCAAGCAGTAAAGCAAAGATTCTTTCCCTGTTCTTGGTGTTTCGCTCGACCAATTCCTCCAGCTCCGACTGTCCATGGGAAATCTTCTTACCCAACAACTCAGCTGCAACCTCCTGGGTTTGCTTGTTTCTCAGAAAATCTGACATATCTATATGGTATTCCAGTCTATCCAGAAAATCAGAAAATGACATAGGCTTGTACTCCAACGGACCAAACCATTCCACGATGAAATTATCTGCTTGCGCAGTAGCTCGAGCTACTGCTACACTTTGCTTCACTTCTGGTATATTAAGCGGCAGTACAGTGCCATTGCTTGCATCTTTGACTTTGAACTTTGTTGGATCGACACCTTCATGATAAAACTTGATGATATCATTGAAAAACTGTTTGTCACGCACAGATCGTGCCTCTTCATACCACGGATCATATTTAAGCAAGGTTAACCTGCAGGTTTCAAGAAGAGATTGACTTAAAAGAAGCGTTCCGCTCAGTAAATAGAGAGTCCGCCTTAATGCTGTGATCTTTGGAGAATTAAAGAAACCTGTCTTCTCACCTGCTTGTCTGCGAAACGAATGTGTGCCACCGAAGGTTGTTGCCCCATGCTTGGTGACATACATATTACCATGCGTCGTGGAAAACCTATTTAAGCTGGGGAAATCGGCAATATCTCTCTTGATCACTTTAGCACCAATTGATCTGAACCTCTTCATGCACAGTAAACCTAGTCCAGTTTGTATTGCTACCAACGTCCACAAACCTTTTCTGTTGTCCGAAGCAGGGACTAAGGGGCCCCAAAGCCTAAGACCTAAGCTAGGTCTGACATAAAACTTTGTCCCTTCTTCATTAGCGTCATCAGGATCTTCCTTGCGCCCCAGTTTTGAGGCATTCGGACTTTTTGATCCACCAGGAGGTAAATAAAGCCCCATTTTTGAATGCAATAAATGCCTTAATTGGCCTTATGGAGATTGAGTCTATTAAAGCTATATGTGGCAATGTCTAGGTGGTCGAGATAGAAGACCGTGTAAAAATAATGAATCTGGACGTATTTAATGACGTGCAGCGGAAGCTTTCATTGACAGCATCTACATATGATGAACGGGTCACGATCCAGAGCATGAGCCCTTAATTTGCTATATATATGAATTTTAGTTGACGTACAGCCAATTCTTACAATTCATCATGTAAGATTGCAGTTTCAGCTTCGGACTCCTCTTCAGCTTCTTCCTCATTAGCCTCAGCTTCTTCCTGGGCCTTTGCTTCCTCAGCGCGCTTGTTTTCCAAGAGAGCAGTACCATTGATAGAGCTTTGTCCATTTTCAGTCAAAAACTCAACGAAAGATTCTAGACTTCTGCTACCTTGATAAATTACTGGCTCAGACTTACCAGCAGGATACAAGAAAATTGTTGGGAATCCCTCGATCTCCACGTTTACATCATTCAATGTGGCATCAACATCGGCGATCAAAATCTTTTCCTTGGCATCTTCGTCAGAAGCGTACAGATCGGCCAACTCTTCGTAGATTGGAGCCAAACGCTTGCAGTGTCCACACCATGGAGCGTAGTATTTTACCAACACATCCTTGTCCTTGTCACCGATAGTTTCTTCGTGGGTGTATCCAACAATCTTGAAAACATTGGATTCCTGAACCTCTGGAATTTCCTCAGATTTGACAGAAGGAGTTAACTCCTCCGCGAAGAACTTTTCAACGAACTCACCAATGGACTTAGTATCCAACTCAAGAGGCTTCTCAAGAGCAGCGAATTCTTCTTCATCTAATTGTGGCAATCCAAACTTTAGGTTAGAATCCAAATCATGGATAACAAACAGTGGGAATTGTTCCTTCATGTTCAAATTTTCAGCATGTCTGCCGAACATGGAAGCGTCTAGACCAACAAAGCTCATGTTACCTCTGTATTTCTTGCCCAATTCAATGAAATATGGTTCTAGGGAAGCACGTTCATCAGCGGAGGTGTAGAAGACGTACGCCAATGGCAAACCAGCAGACATGTAGCTTTGGAAGGTCTCACCGTTGATCTCACCGAAGTAAGGCTTGGTTTCAACCTGAACCCAGTCAACCAAATGAGACAAGGTTAGGTTAGAACCGTTGTAAGAGATAGGCCCCTCGGCCTCAGGTAGGTAGATAGAAAGTTTTGGCTCATCCTCAGAAGTATACTGAACAAATGTGAAGTCATCTCTGTATAGATCAGCCAATTCATAGAAGGTGGCATTCAAGTCTTCAACACCGGTATCAACCACAAGGGCAGAGGAAGCTTCAGCAATCAAGTCCTTCAAGTCGGCGGCAGCGTCGACACCTTCCAAAACAGTCACAGGTGGCAATGATTGCTTGATCAAGTAAGAAACAATAGCTGGTGCAGATCTGGCACCTTGGTACTCACTTGGATTGTCGATCTGGTTGTTCTTGAAAACCTTCAAGGTAGGGTACCCTCTGATACCTTGTTCCATACATAGCTCAGATTCTTCGGTACAGTCGATTTGCGCCAACGGGATACCCTTATCTTGCAATGTGGCAGCAGCTTCAACGTAATGTGGAGCCAAATTCTTACAATGGCCACACCATGGCGCATAAAATTCAGCCAACACCAATGGGTTTTCCTTGATGAAATCATTGAAGGTTGCGGAGGTCAACTTTACGACCGCAGAATCTTCGGGTGCGGTAGCTTCCTGAGCATTACCCAACGCCGCAATAGTAGCAAAGGCCAAAAATGCTTTTTTGTTAAATTGCATTACTTTACTGACTTGTCCCACCTAGTAGCTCTATTTGGCCGTAGGTGGCAAATTATTCTCTTTTATACTGATGTGAAAAAAGAACACGTAAAGAAGTTCATAGCCACGTATATAGCGATGATAATACAGACACGTTGAGCTTACGAAAGACGAGCTACGAAGGCAGCGATTGAAATACGGCTGCATGCTCCTTTCCATCAATGGATGTATTGTAGATCGAAGAGTTAACGTACTTATTATTTCAGCAAGGAGCGTTATCATAGAGCCACTGTATACGATCTTGCATTATAGCTCAGGATAATCTTACACTAACGACATTAATAGCGCTATTCCCTCTACATTGCTAAGAGATTAAAACTGCTCCAGAGTATGCCGATCAACCCGCCTCGTGCGTTTGTGAACTCGTGGTGATCACATTAATGCAGAAATAATGGCTTTTTGTCGTGGCAGTCACCTACTTGTCGGTACTATGCAAAGAAAATAAACCACCAGGCAGATCATTTAACTTTTTACCGGAGGCGGAGGGGGTGGAGTAGCCTTACTTGCAGGGGAGGGACTTTGGTCTTTACCTTCTTGAAAATAATCCTGCATCGATGATGCAGCTGCGTGTCCGTGCCTTGCTTTCTTCTTGTGGACCGGAGGTGGCGCTATAAAAGTTGACGTGGTAGAAGTAGGCAGATCTGGTTGCACAGGAATGACGTTAGCAGCCTGAGCAGGTACAAAGGCATCTGAGGAAGGGGTAGCTCCTATAGATGGCACTTCGGCAGCGAAAGTAGGCTTACCTGCCATATTGGCTGCGATCGTCTGTGGTACGGGGATTCTGTGGAGGTATCCATATCCCACACCACATCCCAATCTGCCATCTCCGCCAATTCGTACCGTTATTGGTCTGACACAGTCGCCCACAAGATTGAAAACGTAGAGCACAAGCTCTTGATTAGCGCGCGAACGAACAATGTCTTGAAGTAGGGATTCTCCACCAGTAGCTAAAAGGCCATCCTGACAGCCGATGATATAATCTTCTTGAGGGATCAGTCCCGCTCGCGCAGCAGGGCTAGTTGTTTCGTGAATCTGCAATACATGATAGGTATAGGTTACAGCGATAAGTGGTGTCCATTGTACTGTAAATCCTAGTGGTTCGAACTCTTGCAGCACGCGCTCGCCCATCGAATCAAGTGGCACGTCCTCTAAGCTACTCTTGCGCGAAACCTGCATGTATTCATCTCTATAAAATCCACCCTTCCCAGACCACACGTTAAGCTTGACGCTCGACCCACAAGCTTGGTTCAAAAGTGACAAAATTGTGTTGTAGTCTGGATACAAGTAACCGTGCTGATTTTGGATCAATGGAATGGGCTGATCGTTGATCCCGACAATGTAATCGAAAAAAGATTGAAGCTGTAGCTGGAATTCCGCACAGCTCAAAACTCGTAGACCATGCAAGGACTCGTTGCTACTATTCCCTTCGACAAGAAGGTTGGGAGGGATCGACCCAAAATAAGAGTCAAGTTGCTCACCTGCGCCAATTGTCTCAGACACACTTTGTTCAAAGGTTTTAACTATACTTTTAGCAATCCGGAACATGATAATTTAACCCTTGATTTCTGCCAATTGACGTTCTTTCGTGTTCAAATTCTTGGCCAAACTGTAACTTCATTTTTCGATTATCTGGATTTGCATGTCAGGAAAAAAATTAGGATCCTTACCTCCAGAAAAAACCAGGTGATTAATCCGGGGCTCGGCTCCATTCAGACTTAAAGAGCCAACCCTTGTTCTACCTCCGCGGTCTATCAAAAAGGGGAAAGGCATAATGATATAAGAACAATTGCAACTTACCAATTGTGTGCGAACTTTTTTCAGGGTCTTTACGAGCGATCGAAAGTTTTTACATAAAGTTGAACTTAAAATAGTTGGAATTAAATATGTCATTTGAAAAATTCCACAAGCAAAACCAGGTGCAGCTCACCAAAGCCGTGGATGAAATATGCCAGGAGTTCGTCGTTGACGAAGCCAAACTCGAAGAGCTCACATCATATTTCATCGAAAGCATGGAGAAAGGATTGGGACAGAAGGAAGAAAATGCCGAATACAAAGGCTTACCGATGATTCCTACATTTGTAACAGGAAAGCCAAACGGAACTGAAAAGGGTGTCTTGCTAGCTGCAGATCTAGGTGGTACTAACTTCCGTGTGTGCTCTGTGACTCTCTCGGGTGACCACCGTTTCTCTTTACAGCAATTGAAGAGCAAAATTCCAGAGGAGCTTTTGGAGGATGAAGCTGTAACGAGTGACGAGTTGTTTGGATACCTGGCTAGGAGAACGATGGTCTTCATGAAAAAATTTCATCCTGAGTACTTGCAAAATGGCGAGAAGCTGAAATTAGGTTTTACTTTCTCTTACCCAGTCAATCAGACATCTTTATCTTCAGGTACCCTGATTCGGTGGACGAAAGGTTTTAAGATCAAGGACACTATTGGTAAGGACGTAGTCGATCTGTATCAAAGCCAACTTGAAAGCCAAGGCATGCCCATGGTGAGAGTTGTCGCGCTCGCAAACGACACGGTGGGGACATTTTTGTCTCACTGCTATTGCTCTCTGAATAATGGTTCCATGACTTCCGGAGAAATCAGTGAACCGGTAATTGGATGTATTTTCGGAACTGGTACCAACGGCTGTTACATGGAAAAGATCGAAAACATCAAGAAGTTGTCTGACGAACAGAGAGAACAGCTAATATCTGAAGGAAAGACGGAAATGTGCATCAACACCGAGTGGGGTTCTTTTGATAACGACTTGAAGCATCTGCCCACAACCAAGTATGACGTTGACATCGATCAAAAGTTCTCTAGCAACCCAGGCTTTCACTTGTTCGAAAAGCGTGTTTCCGGTATGTTTTTGGGTGAACTGTTAAGAAACGTACTTGTAGACTTGCACTCGAGACGATTAATATTTCACCAATATCCTGATACAGAATCTCTTCCCCACAGGCTGAGGACTCCATTCGATTTATCATCTGAGGTCTTGTCCCACATCGAGATCGATGACTCCTCGGAATTACGTGAGACTGAACTATCTCTGCTGCAAAGTCTAAGGCTCCCAACAACCTATGAAGAGCGAGTGGAGATTCAAAAATTGGTTCGCGCCATTTCTCGCAGGTCGGCGTACTTAGCTGCTGTTCCTATTTCAGCAATTTTGATCAAGACAGGCGCACTCAACAAGAGGTACCATGGTGAAGTGGAAATTGGGTGCGATGGGTCTGTTGTCGAGTATTACCCCGGATTCAGGTCTATGATGAGACATGCTCTTGCTTTGAGTCCTATTGGTCCTGATGGTGAACGGAAGGTTCATTTGTGTATTGCAAAGGATGGTTCTGGCGTTGGTGCTGCCCTGTGCGCCTTAGTCGCATGAAAGATAGTAGCCTCTTGTTATTCCATAATGGATTGACTATCATTTCAGTAGAGTATTCGTTGTGAAGCGATTTCAATGATGTAGTATTATTACGTTCAGTAAATTTAACGACTTTTGTAAAAAATAACAATTTCATGGTAAAGGGTGTGCAAATTATAATAAATATATCATGAGCCAGTGACCAGCGCTAATTTAAAAGTGCAACACAGAAACATCGGTTGATGTCGCTGTTTTTTAATTACTGTATTAGCGATGTCATAAAAATATTCTGCAGAAATTGCTAAGAAGCCGCAGTAGGGGCAACAAATCAGAAGAATTAAAGACTAAGTTACTATCTCTTGAAGTCAAAGATACCTGATATAGTTTTGGTCTTTAGCCACCGCGATGCTTGCTAGATGCTCAGCTAAATTAAGCTAACAAGTTAAGAATAGTTCGTAAGGTACGATCATGTGGCCCTTTATAGCTCCGGTCATTGTCAGGAACCCCTTACTTGAATAAGTGTCATAGGTTGCTAGCCTAAAAAGTTTAGCTGTCTATAAGATTATGCCTATTAATCTTGCCAATAGCGAGGAAGATTCTAAAATGAAAGACGTGTTTATTCCCTATTATGCCACAAAGCGAAGCGCACGATCTCCGACTCCTAGCGCTGCCATCGATGTCTCGCAAAGTCCCTTTGATAAAGTGCAACTTACTAAGTTGTTGATCGATGCCCTGGACGAAATGGGATACCATGAGTCGGCCGTGAGCTTGCAGAAAGAAAGTGGCGGGATTGAAGTCGAATCTTCATCTGTTCAAAAACTCTTTTCCTCAATTAAATATGGACAGTTTGAAAAGATCGACCTGTATATGCTGTCAAGCTTGCCACTAAAAAATGGCGTACCCATGGGGGTTCTCTCTCAGACGTTATCAGCTTCTTCAGCGACTGAAGAAATTGCTAGCAACGAGGGCACCGCGGTTGACGACGATGCTATGAAAATTGATAACATCATAAGCAAGAAGACGGACTGGAACAAATTCTTTGTCAACATGCAGTCTGAGTTCAAACTTTTAGAGCCTCTCATTCAAAACATGAATGATTACGATTCTAAAACGATTCAAGGGCTCTCTGACATGATGGAAATACTTATTTTGATCAACAAGCAAGTTTTCATTGAGCTCATGTTTGATCAACAAGAGTCATCTTTAGCAGTTCTTTTCCTAAGAACTGTTTTTCGCAAGTATATCCAACTGTGGGAGTTATTGCTCATGTATCAGGAAAGTACCGACGCTTTAACCCCTGACACTCTGCTGAAACAAATGACAAGTATTTTAACTTGCCCTCCAAACTCTGCGGAGTATTCGCATATATGGCCGGGGACAATTCAAAAATCACGAAAGCTTCTCATAGATGCCATTTCAAAATACATTGATCCTAATGATTTGGTTCCTAGGGGCAGACTATTTACTCTTCTAAGGCAAGCAATAAAATATCAAAATTCTCAAGATATTCTTAACTTTGACGAAGGAAATGAAAATCAATATGGCCTCTCAAACGGAAGGAATTATAATTTGCTACAGGATAATGTCTCTAATTCCCACAGAATTGGCTTTCGAGCTGAAAGAACTCTCGGACAAAACGTGGATGAAATATGGTATTTGGAATTCTCACCAGATGGAAAATATCTAGCAAGTGCATCTGCAGATTCATTGACTGATAGGAAAGTTTTAATCTACGATGTGGAAAATAACTTTCAGGTTTACAAAGTATTAGGTGGAAACGATCAGTGTGTTCTTTACTTGTCATTCTCACCCGATAGTAGGTACCTGGTATCCTGCCCCTTCAATGAAGAAGCTAAAATTTATGATATCCATAAGTCTGGTGAACCCACAAAGATCAACCCAGAAATAGAAGGTGGGATAGTTGCTGAAATAATTCAACCTGAAGACTCTTTTAAGATCCCTGATAACAAGTTTTCTTCAAGCGGAGGACCGCCACGTATCTGGTGCTGTAATTGGTTTCATACCGATGCGAACAGAGGTCGTTTTGTTCTTGGCTCTCCTGATAGAGATGTTATCATATATGACTTGTTCTCCAAGTCTGTTATATTCAAGCTATCAGAAGCGGTAAGCAGTGGTGGATCATCCTCTCAGGACCAGTTTCCACGTGTCCACGACCTCAAAATTACTCGAGACGATAAGTATCTCCTTTTAATGGCGCATGAATATTTTGTTGATACTTACGATTTGAGCCAGCTTCCACCAGTAGATAAAGAAGATGAATCAGGTGATCATATAATGGACCCCACGACATTTCATATCCCAAAAGTTTCAAGATTGAATGTTGGCAAGAGAATGACCTGTTTGACTATACCTAGATCAAGACAAGCCGGTGACAACACAAATTCCTTAATTCTTTTGAATGTCCAACCTCACGAGTTACAATTGTGGGACTTCAAGGAACAAATATTAGTCCAAAAATACTTTGGACAGCGTCAGCTGCAATTTATCATCCGTTCATGCTTTGGTTATGATAATAAACTAGTGGCAAGCGGCTCGGAAGATGGAAAGATATATATCTGGGATAGGTTTCATGGAAACATCATCAGCGTCCTGAATGGTCATACTGCTGATAGGACTGTACCCCCGGGATCAACTAAAACATTCGGACGAAATTGTAACATTGTCGTTTGGAATCCGGTAGACAAGACATTATTTGCATCTGGAGGAGACGACGGTCTGATAAAAATATGGAGAGTTACCAGAGATTAATTTTTATTTAGTGTCGAGAATTCCAGCAAGTATAAAATATGGTTCAAGCAAAATGAAAGACTAATCATTTACAGTTAGTAGTCCTTCATAAGTGATGGAAAATCTCCATAGGAGAAAAACGCATCAAAAGCTGTTCCTAAGAACTTGTTATCTTGAGCATTCTGGGTAAAATAATCATACGGTAATGTTATCACGATCACAACGAATATATCAGACTTTCATTTTCCTTCTAGACACATCAAAGATATGTAACCGTCTTCATTTTCCATGGTATGCATTTCCCTCTTTGCCTAGTGTCTGCTATTTCCTTGACCCCCAACTAATTATGGCTGATTCAAGGCAAGAAATCTTGGTGAAGATCCGGGTTGCAAGCTGTAACACCAAGCATTTGAGATATTTTAGAAGGTGAATCACGAGTCCGAGAGGGAACGGAGTTTTATTACGTGTTTTTTAAGGAGCAAATGTACTTGAGTGAAATGCCCATTTCGGTAACCATTCATTGGGTATTTATGAGCTTGTCAAGGAGAGCCAAAATGCTGTCATACTGTCATACTTCATATTTTTATCTCATATTTTGACGTATCTATACTGAAGAATACCAATATGTAAATAATAAACTGCTTGTGAAAACTTTTCGTATTGTTAGTTCATACACATAATCATGTGAAGCCAAAGTTTAATAATTAGGCGATTCAGCTCGTCTGAATACTTCAGCAGTTTACAGTCGTATATATTCAGTTATCGTCCTCAGTTCACTAAACTAGCGGAAAATATTCGCTGAAAAAAAGGGAAGTAGATCATATGAATGACAACCTAACGAAAACCAAACCAAGTGGCTACCGATTGGCTCGCGACTCTCACCCAGACCAAGACTTTATCCCAGCTTGAAAGATTTTTGGAAGCGCTCTTTTATGAGCGTTCCAAAACATTCCTTATGATTGCTAAGAGATCAGGTCTGGCGCGAAAACATTTAAAGCCAAAGATAAATGGGCAAATTGCATATATTGAGTGTTTACACGCTACATCTATTTCTATTACGGATGCGAACCAACTGTGGTGTGCCCAAATAAAGGTCATAATTTCGTAGATTCATCACAGTTTCCCAGGGAACTTGTCAGCTTTCACGAGCTTCAGTTGACATAGTAAAGTCTGCCTTCCCAGGGCTTGAGAACTCTAGATGTATCATCAACCTCGTCATAATTTCCAAGAATCAAGGATAACGAAGCATTTTCATATGGCAGCTTAAATTCAACTTCGTCGGCGCTAAAATTTAAAGCAGCAAACAAGGTTTTATCTTCGAATTTTTTAGTAAAGCTGAACAGCTTGTCGCTGTCCAAATCAAGGAATTCGAAATCATACCCATAGATCATAACATTTTTGTTCTCTTTTCTCGTTTTCAGGGCTTTTCTCCAGAAGTTCAATACAGAGTGCTCATTTTCTGATTCTTGTGCGACATTGATTCCGTCTTGATAAGATTCGTTCAAGAAGTACCAAGGGCTTGCATCTGGCCCACAGAAACCAGCATTTGGATTTTCTGCTGTCCATGGCATTGGAGTTCTTGAGTGATCTCTCGACATCAAAGCAATTCCCTCAACAAAATCTTTCATTTCCTTTGAGTTGTCTCCGAATTTCTTTCTGATAATCTGATAGTTAGTCCTGACGTCAACGTCCTCGTATTTCTCAATGGGCCAGTTTTTGAAGTTAATTTGACCTAGCTCTTGGCCTTGGTAGACGTACAGAGTACCTGTCAATGAACTTTCTAATAAAGCCAACAACTTGCCAGACAAAGTGCGATACTTTGGCGAGTCGTCACCAAATCTGGTAATTGAACGTGGTTGATCATGGTTTTCGAGATAAATAGTAGACCACGTATCTGTTCCATTGACGAAGAGAAAATTATCAGCAATAGCCTGCTTCCATTTTTTCAAGGTGAATGGCTCCGTATTGTAACGGAAAAATGGACTCGCTCCCATGTCGACATGAGCGAAGCTAAACACTTCGCTCATCTCACGTCTTGCTGCACTAGTATACAGTGGATTGTCGTTACCATGTGCCACTTCACCGACAGTCATTATTTCACGGCCATCCTTAACCCTGTCCTCAATGTATTTGCGTATTTCCCTGTGAAATTCGTGAATTCTGGCACCATTGTGTGAACCCCAGTTAGGATGCTGCCATTCTGAATTTTTGTCAAAGACCGGGGAATCTGGGAGTCCTTGACGTTTTGAATATAGACCAGCAGTATCAATTCGGAAGCCATCGACACCATGATCTAGCCAAAATCCAATAGCGGTATCATAAATCGCCTTTCTGCAATCATCGTTGTCCCAGTTTAAATCTGCTTGACCGGATGCAAACAAACGCAAGTAAAACTCATTAGTAGTTTCATCAAAAGTCCACGCAGAGCCACCGAAGAAAGATCTCCAGTTGTTTGGGGGAATTGGCTTCCCATCACTGTCAAAGCCTTTAGGTGGTCTCCAGAAAAACCAGTCACGTTTCGGATTGGTCTTAGAAGATTTACTTTCTTTGAACCACTCATGCTCAGTAGAGCAGTGGTTGATTACCAAGTCAGTGATGAACTTCATGCCCTGCTCATGCGTCTTTTTAATTAGCTCAAAGCAGTCTTCATTAGTACCATAGGTGGGCCACACTTTCTCATAGTCTGAAATGTCGTAGCCCATATCCTGTTGAGGAGAGTCGTAAAATGGACAAACCCAAATAGCGTCTGCTCCCAATTTCTTCAAATAGTCCAGCTTGCAAGTGATACCTTTCAAATCGCCCCATCCGTCGTCATTGCTATCCTTGAAGCTGGCTGGATAAATTTGATAGATCGTGGCTTCCTTCCACCACTTGGGTTTAGTCTCGGGATGCTCCGTAATGGTCATTACAACTGATTTTACTTAGAGAATCCTGATTTTCAAGAGCGGTCAAATATTATTCTATCAGAGGTCTGAATTATACGTCGTACTTATAATCTCTCCTGGAGCTGAGACAAAAAACCTTGCAAATTCCGGATCTGAGCAGCCACTTCTTCCGTTATGAATGAACAAGGGCATACTGCTGCCCCACACTGAAATGAACTAAGCCCTAATACCGTCGCTCACAAGATGATACGTCCTGTCTACTGCATTAAAGAAACAAGGGTATAGAACCGAACCATGCTGGAGGCAAAGCTCTGCCTCGATATCTACACCCCAATAAACCAACTGAACCTCGGAAAAAGGGCAATTAGTTTATTGTGATGACGGTAACTACTGGAACGACCTTATCGTGTTGTCGGAAACCTTACCTGTGGTGTACGCGTTTATGCCCCACGTCTTTGCGCACCTCTTGTTAACGGAAGCGGATCCTTAAGCCGTCCATGCATGGTATGTCACAGAATAGAGTCCTGCTATGATGTCGGCACATCTGCCCGTGACCATAAATTCTTCGAAATATCCGGATTTTTCACTTCGAGAGGTGTGTTTCTTTTTGCATGCAGTGGAAATGTTGAATTCTCCGAAAATTTTTGCGCGGCTGCTCCATTATGGGCGCAAATCGGGACGTTGTCAAGGGCAGCAACTGGCTGGAGGCGGAGATTCAGGAACGCATGCAGAAATGTGGAGTGACGCAGATAAAGGAAAGTAATGCAGAAAGGAAGGACTTTAGCACCGAAGCAACACAAAATTCGGGGTAAGAGATCGGTGCCTTGTGTGAAATGTTTAGGCTTTGACGAAAGGTTACGAGGTGTGACGAATGATTTGTGACTATATATTCAGACATGAATTGACTAGTATCATGGGCATTATTTTTATTCAAATTAAACAATCAGCACACACCAACGATGAAAAATATACTTTCGCTGGTAGAGAAAAATAAAAACGCCAGCAAGTCTGGTTCTAGTGGATTAGGAAATGAATTAAATGGGGTGAACAATAATTCTTTAATGATGGACGACATGAACAACAAAAAAAGTGATGTGGAGTTAGTCCATATGGAGCATGCCCCGGGTTCGGCTAGTCCAGAAGACGAGAATAATGTGGAAAACATGATGTTGAATGCTACGCTAGACGCGAAAGAGGCCGACGAAAGCGAAAGAACGATGCCACTTTTGAAAGCATTGAAAACATACCCCAAGGCTGCTGCATGGTCATTGTTGGTTTCGACAACACTGATTATGGAAGGTTACGATACGGCAATTTTGGGTTCATTTTATGCTTTACCGATTTTTCAGAAGGAATTCGGTTCCCTAAATTCTAAAACAGGTGAGTATGAAATCTCGGTGTCTTGGCAAATTGGTTTGAGTTTATGTTACGTGGCTGGTGAAATTGTAGGTTTGCAATTGACGGGTTATTCGGTCGGCTTCATGGGTAATCGCTACACCTTAATTTTATCATTGCTGATGCTCGGTGCTTTTACCTTTATTCTTTATTTCTGCAAAAGTTTGGGAATGATTGCTGTGGGACAGGCATTGTGTGGTATGCCTTGGGGTTGCTTTCAGACCTTGACAGTTTCTTATGCGTCTGAAATATGTCCTTTGGCCTTGAGATATTATTTGACAACATACTCAAATCTGTGTTGGCTATTTGGCCAACTTTTTGCTTCTGGAATAATGAAAAACTCCCAAAATAATTATCCTAATTCGGAACTTGGCTATAGATTACCATTTGCCCTGCAATGGATTTGGCCCGTCCCTCTGATGGTAGGTATTTTTTTGGCACCCGAATCGCCCTGGTGGCTAATGAAGAAAGGAAGAATCGACCAAGCGAGAAGATCGCTCGAGAGAACGTTGAACGGTAAAGGTATTGAAAAAGAGGTCATGATAACTAAGGAATTAGAAAAAATCAAACTTACAATCGAAAAAGAGCAAAAGTTGAAAGATAGCGAAGGTAGTTACCTGGACTGTATTCGGGATAAAATCAGTCGGAGAAGAACAAGGGTCACATGCCTGGTATGGGTTGGACAAGCTACTTGTGGTTCTGTATTGATCGGATACTCTACTTATTTTTACGAAAAAGCTGGTGTCAGTACCGAGACGGCTTTCACTTTTAGTATCATCCAATACTGTCTGGGTATCGCTGCAACTTTCGTATCTTGGTGGGCATCGAAGTACGTTGGAAGATTCCAGCTTTACGCGGTAGGTTTGGGTTTCCAAGCAGCCATGTATTTTATTATAGGTGGGCTAGGATGCTCGGATACGAAGGGGTCACAAATGGGAAGTGGTGCACTTTTGATGGTTGTCAACTTCTTCTATAATTTGGGAATTGGGCCAGTGGTCTATTGTCTTGTGTCAGAGCTACCATCTTCTCGATTGAGAACAAAGACTATTATTTTGGCTCGTAATTCTTATAATTTGACTCAGATTGTGACTATGGTCTTGGCTTTGTATCAATTAAACTCAGAGAAATGGAATTGGGGAGCAAAGTCGGGATTTTTTTGGGGAGGCTTTTGTCTTGCGACTTTAGCATGGGCCATCTACGACCTACCTGAAACTTCAGGAAGGACCTTTGGGGAAATAAATGAACTTTTCAGGCTTGGTGTTCCAGCAAGAAAGTTTAAAACGACAAAGGTGGACCCATTCACAATTACAGCAGCAGAGGAGGATCTCAATGATGAAGAAAGAAAAGCTTCCATGGAATCATTCTTTGAAGCAGAAAATAATGCTCAGCCACCTGCTTCTGAAATTTGATAAACTTTTAAAACGCGAGCTGTGCTATGTGGTATGTTTTTCTGATTACAATTTTTGATCTTTTATCGACATGATCTATTATATACGTATATAAACATCGACTTTCAATCTCTGACTTAGCCGATAATTAATGAAACATGATGAATGAAATTTATTTACAATTATAATTACAAAAGATATCACAGTCAATCGTTCCTATTAGCTAGATTGCGGCGTTGAGTGGTTAGCAATGATAAAGCATATACATTTAAGAATTGCATGCAGTTCCTATACCGAGTTTCCAATGCTGTATTAAGCAACAATAAGGGAAATGCTGTCTTATAATGACTCAAATTTCAATAGTAACGGATCATTTGCAAAGTAGTAAAAAATGACCATTAAATGACTGCTTGTTGATGAAATTGTCTCTTGAGATTGCCATTTTGCTTTTGTGAGAGTCCTCTAATTTATTTGAGAAACAAGAAACATTGGACATTTTTATCAGGAACATCATCACAAAATTTTCTGCCAGTTTCATCTCATTACCAACATCTTGATACCAATTTCAGGATGTTAATATTATAAAATGACGACCTTTTCCCGAACTAGAAAAAAACCCACCGAATAACTGGATAAATGTATCACCTTGTGATTTATATGAGTGAAGATCAGAAATTTGATTAGAACTCTGGTGAACCAATTTTCCATTCTTCATTAAGTTGGAAAACTATCCGCCTAAATTTATCACATAAAATAGATCGTATCATTAGTTTCGTTATTTACTGAGAGATATAAACTCTGCCTTCCCATGGTTTCAAACTTCTTGATGATGGGTCAACTTCATTTTCTGGGAAATTACCAAAGACCAGATCATAAGATCTGCCGTCATTAGGAATCGTAAAATCGACTTGCGCTGAACTAAAGTTCAACGCTGCAAAAAGAGTCTTTTCTCCGTATTTCTTCGTGAAACTGAAAAGCTGATCATTCTCTAAATCAATAAATTCGAAGTCATAACCATATACAGTGATGTCCTTGTGGGCCTTTCTGAATTTCAATGCCTTCTTCCAGAAGTTCAGAACAGAGTTTGGATCATGAGATTCATCCTCAACATTAATACCGTCTCTGAAAGATTCGTTCAAAAAGAACCACGGCTTAGCGTCAGGACCAGAGAAGCCTGCGTTAGGTTCTTCCTTGGTCCATTGCATCGGCGTTCTTGCATGATCTCTTGATATCAAAGCAATTCCCTCCAAAAACCTCTTCATCTGCTCAGAATTCTCACCATGCTCTTCTTTGATAAGCTTATAGTTGTTTCTAATTTCGACATCTTCATATTTCTGGACTGGCCAATTTTTGAAGTTTATTTGGCCTATTTCTTGTCCTTGGTACACATATAAAGTACCGGTCAATGTCGTCAAAAGAACACTTAGAAGCTTACCTGAAATAACACGATTCTTTGCAGAGTCGTCACCAAATCTGGTAATCGAACGAGGCTGATCGTGATTTTCCAAGTAAACAGTTGACCAACAATCGGTGTTGTTAATGAATCCAAACAATTCAGCCAACGCTATCTTCCAATCCTTGAGTTTGAAAGGAACCAGATCGTAGCGAAATAGGGGAGAAGTCCCAACATCAGTATGAGAAAAGTTGAATAACTCACCTAGCTCGTGTCTTGAGGCGGCAGTGTACATCCTCTTCACTTCATCAGTGGCATGTTGCATCTCGCCCACGGTCAAAAGCTCTCTACCATCTTTAACACGGTCCCTCATGAATTTGTTCAATTCTTGGTGAAATTCGTGAATACGTGGGCCGTTCAACGTCAATGGGTCACTTGGTTGCCAAGGAGTATTTTCGTCTACAACGGGTGCGTCTGGCAAACCAACGACCTTAGAATATAAACTTCCAACATCTATTCTAAAGCCATCGACACCATGATCTAGCCAAAAGCCCACCGAACTCTCGTAGATGGCTTGTCTGCATTCTTCGACTTCCCAGTTCAAATCTGGCTGGGTTGAAGCGAATAGGCGTAAATAAAATTCCTGAGTTTTCTCATCAAAAGTCCACGCTGATCCACCAAAGTACGATCTCCAATTGTTTGGTGGGATAGGCTTTCCATGCTCGTCGTAGCCCTTTGGTGGCCTCCAGAAAAACCAGTTACGCTTTGGATTAGTTTTTGATGATCTACTTTCTTTAAACCATTCATGTTCACTAGAACAGTGATTAATGACAAGATCAGTGATGAATTTCATCCCCAACTCGTGTGTCTTTTCGATCACCTTGAAACAATCTTCATTGGTCCCGTAAGTAGGCCAGACCTTTTCATAATTCGCAATATCGTAGCCCATGTCATCTTGGGGAGAGTCGTAAAATGGTGAAATCCAAATAGCATCTACTCCAAGGTCTTTAATATACTCAAGCTTGGAAAAAATTCCTTTCATGTCTCCCCATCCGTCGTCGTTCGAGTCTTTAAAACTGGCGGGGTAAATTTGATAGACCGTCGCCTCTTTCCACCATTTTGGTTGTGTTTCTGGATGAGAGGAAAACGTAGGCATTTCGAAACTCGAGAGGTTTAAGTAGCTAGGTTTGGTAATCCTTCGTGAATTAGTTATAGCTGGTGAAATAAAATCTAATTTTCACATCTTAAGACATATTTTCCGATGTTTATATACGTGAAATTTTGATGTATATTATTCAGCACACAGGTTAAACGTTTTCCCATCGATAGAAAAGACGCAAAATCCCCATGTTCAAAACAACTAGTATTCATTTTCTTCGGCGCAAAATTATGCACTATAAGCTACGGTTGCAAGACGGACTAGAAAGCGTGCGTCAATAGTCCGCTCATAGTCCAGTTTGCAGATTATTCGAGCGACCGCAACCAAATTTAGGAGTGCGAACTCTCCTGGGGAACTTGATTTTGCTAGGCATTTTGGAGCATACCGCTTGTCTTGGACACCGGAAAATGAAACCAACAACTCTTTTTGATTATCAATCAGGAATTTTACCGATCATCCCATTCACAAATTGATTTACTGCACCTTCTTTATTCCTTCCCCCTTTTCTTAGTGTTATGCACATATTTCCTCGAAATTTTTCCGTTCCTTTCGAGAAGGCGGCTGACGTCCCTACTTTCCTTTGTTTTTTTTTGCGGAGAAACCCCTTCTTACTCGGAGCCCGAGCGCTGTTGCCACGAGATACCGTGTGGAGATCCGGATTATTTAGGCACCTGAATGCACGAACGATGCTACCAAGGTTAATTCAACGTGATCACATGCGGCGGACGCCGGAAAGGCTAAATGGAGAACACCGAAAATGTCGGAGTATTGATGGTGGTACCTTTATTGTAAGGTGCGGTTCAAAGATATCGGCGAACTCCAGATTTTCATGACATGGTTGAACAAGCATATCTGCACATCGTTCTTCTCGAACGGGGAATTCTAAATTCTTCGAGGATTAAAGCACGCCATTCATTGTTGCTGAAAACCACGTCGTTTGGATGTGTAATGAAAAGTCTAGATATTGATATTTTTACTTTCTATGTATGCTTGCGTAGGTATCTATCGCTTTTTGGAGCGACTCATTCATTCCGGTCGTCTGGTTGATTAAGTTCACTTAGCTCCTTGGCTTCCCTCCTACCTCTCTCGACATTGAGGGCATTGAAGACTGGAAGGGAAAGAATAAGTAACATCAGTAATAAGTAGAACGAGTATCTGATATTATGCGTCTTATCCGTCAATACTCCAATCAGAAAAGGCCCCATGATGGAAGACCCTTTGTCGGTAACATTGAATAAACTGAAAAAAGTCGATTCCTTACCTGTGGGTATGATTAAACTAAACACAGAACGAGAAACCGCAGATAGACCACCCAAAGCTACACCATACCAGATGGCTAGAAGATACATCTCAAACTTGTGCTTGAGACCCACTGTGTCGAAAAAAAAGCCCAGCGTGCCATACAGTGGTATTACACTTGCCCAGCAAATGATATAAATCATGGCACGTTGTGGGGGCTGCCTCAGCCGAACTGAAAGTAACTCTGGAATGAAGATCGCCCCGCAAATTGCGCTTATCAGCGTGAGGATGCTTACTGATATCATATTGAGAGTGTTCATTTTCAGTTCAGTTTTGGCAAATAAGATTGCTGTTGAGTTAATAGTCGTGATTGAGTCAGATATGATAAACCAGCCCACGAGAAAAACCATCACGTCTTTCAGTAATCGAGCGTGTTTCAACGACTCAAACAAGGACATCCAGCCATACTTTAAATAGCGGGTTGCATTTGTGACTCTCAATTGTTCGGATCGCATTTCAACCGGAACCACATCTTTCAGCAACCAAGTCATAGGTAGCTGCCATATAAACCACCATATTCCCACAAAGAACACGGCGACTTGAATGTTATCATGTGACTTGCTCATGCGGACCAAAAATATTGAGCATATCTGCACCAACAAGGCACTTATGTAGCCCAAGCTTGAACCACGACCGCTAATCAAAGTTGTTAACTTTTCAATATCACTAGTTCTATGCTCCGGGCAGTACTTCAATAAGTCAGCAACAAACAAGGGTAAAAGCGAATTCCCAACAACGTTTACTACACCATAGCAACAGTTCGATGCGATACTTAGAAATGCCAAGGAATAAAATTGGGAGCTATTAAGCTGACTTATTGCTACAGTTGATAATGCTCCACCGATCCCAAATGCCACAACAACCTTACCTTTGAATTGTACCGATTTCCACATATCTGCCAATCCAGAAATTGAAATCACCATTATTGTCTGGCAAAACACGCTCAAGGAAAATGTGTAAAGTGCGAAACTCGACGTATCAATATAAAACGTGTTGTTGAATAGTCCTAGTACACATTTTCCATCATATTCTGAACAGCTCAAGGAATGATCATCAAGTCTCACGCCGTTTATCCTAGCAAACTGTTCAAGCATTAGTGGAACATAAGTTGACACCGCTGAAACAATAAAAGGTTCACTGGAGAAGGAATATAGATACCACCCAATTACGTTGTTGGTAACTTGTTTTTGGCGCTGAAAGCCAACTAGAAGCTGTTCACCACTGGGGACTGCTTCATAATTCATATCTTCCATACGATTAGATACTAGTTAAGAAATCCCTTAAATTTCCAACCAAATTTTTCTTTATAAATACGACCATGATCGAAGCCGTAAAACCTGAGCCATTCAAACGAAAAAAATAAGCTCCAAATATAATGAAGCTCTCATCAGGTTAATGTACGATATTCAAAAGTAACAGTGAGAAATGATCAATTTATTAAAATCATACAAAAAAATCGGAAAAAAAGTATGACTTATGAACAGATAGATAGATTAAACAATTTAGGTACATGGCAGGTCGATATTGTGCAAAAAAAAAAACAGAAAAAAAAGCCTCTCCGGGCTCAAGCTCGTAAAAATGCGACCTCATTTGACAGATACTGGTGGGCCAATGATTGGGAGGACAAGTAAAAGATGTAATTAATATTTCTTGAATTTCAATGTTGGGCATTTTTAGCTGTAGCATATCGTAAAGGGCTTGGAGCTGTATTGTCGGTGTCATGTGAATGCTATTATTTTACAGATGGCTTCGCTAAACTCAAGCTGCAGATTCAGCAACCTTTTCTGGGACTGAATCTCCAATTGGGATGTCATCTTCGTTTTGGTCTTCGTGACTTTCTTGATCATCACCAAAAGCCTCTTTTTGATGAGACTGGTTTTGAATTTTATTTTGAGGAGGCTCAAATACAAGCGGGTCCACCTGAAACTGGTCCAAGCGCCTTTGGTCCAAGTTAGACTTGAAAGCTACCGACTTAGGAACTTCGATGTTTTCTTGAACATTAGCGGCAACCCATTTCTCCCATTCCTTTGAGCGGATGTAATATCTTTCCAAAGCAGATTCGACCTCCTCCTCAACTTCAGCTACATCAACAGATGCGTTAGCATTAGCAACGATCTCCCGCAAGGCACCCATAATTAAGTACTCGTCACCACCAAGAGACATGTTAACGATTCTGTAAAACTTAGAGATTAATGCTAAAGGAGCGTAGCCATCCTCGGTGAAATGAGATCTCAAATAAGTGTCCTTTACAAGATTCTCTGTGCTGAAGTAGTACTCGATTTGTCTGGCAATGTTGTTAACTGCAATGAAGGGATGAGGGGGTTGAGGAGAGTAAAAGGTCGTCTGTGATTGAGGTCCTCTTTGGTAAAATCTTTGGCGGTTGTTGCTAGAATTGTATTGGTGGTTCACCTGTGATTGACGGAAAGGAACGTAGTTGGACTTGTGCTGAAACATGACATATTGTTGATATGGTTTGAAAGAACCGTTTTCATGGTTACCACCATTGTTTTGGTATCTTCTTCTTGGCACATAGTTATTTTGGTTGTGGGATGATTTTCTTTGATGTGATTGAGATGAAGATCTTTTAGGAATTCCAGAAGTACCATTGCGATTTTGTTCATCAGAAGCATCATGCTCTTGCGCTTCAGCCTTGGAAGATTCTCCATCCGCAGTTACGGAGCCGACAACGACAGTCGAACTTTCTGACTTTTCTTGCTTGTTTGACTGCTGCTTCTTTGTTCTGTTTCCTGTTGTATTTTTCTTGTTTTTCTTCGCAGGTTGCTTCTTGTTGGATTGGCCACCGTTGGCGTTGCTATTTGGCTTCTTGAAACCTGAAACGACAATCGACGCTTTGATAGGCACCCATTTCTCCTTTCCTGTGGCTTTGATAACAGGAGCAGGACCTTGTCTCTCTCTTCTCTCGAGTTGTTCCACAGCCTCTTGGGTTGAAGGCCACTTACCCGAGGAACCACCAAACGAGGCGGGTGTTCCGCCCGCCACTGTCTTCCAGGGCGAATTCGTGGGGAGAGGAGCGGGTGTCAGTTGTGAGGCCTTGACTTCAACTTTGGCCTCCTGCTTCTCTTCAACGGTAGGTTCCGTCTGAACCGTTGCATTGCTGTTTTCGATAGGAGCGGACATGCTGTTATTTGATCTAGTGAATATGCGGGCAATGACAAATGTATGCTAAAAAATGACAGAAAAAGAACCTGAACAAACGAACAAGTATAAATTAGTATGCAAAAATCCTCCCCAATCAATTGCTAACCAGGTCTTTGGTTGTCAGTTTCGGTTTCTGATCTCGGATACAAGCTTAGAGGTGCTGATGCTCATCGAAATAAAAAAAGTTTTTTTCATTACTGAAAAATTTTCTCTACAAAGAGGCGATGAGCTTGGGTTAATAACAACCCACACATTCATCACGGTCAACCAGGCTAATTTGACAGCGGAAGTCTTGTACAAAGCGCATTACTCGAGCTCCAAGTATATCTATGTTAAGAAAGTTTGTCGGTCCTAAGTCCAAACGGTTGAAAATGGACACTAGGAAGCATAGATCGCATAGTACACACATGGGAGGACCATCATCTGCAATTCATGTTCGGGACGGATCACATCCTCAGTTCACCAATGGGCATTCGCATGGCACCGGCCAGTATCTTACAGCTGCCGCGAATATTAACAATCACCTTGGTGGTCATAAGACTTGGGTTAGCGAGGTAGAGCATTTCAAAGCTCTTTCGACAACTGCGTATGTTCATAACGCTGCTCAAGAGAAGTTTATCGAAGAATACTTGACTGAAATGCGTCAGTCTTACATGGCGCAAGAGGTTAGGTCAAATGAGGAACTAGAGGCAAAGGTCGAAAAGGCGGAAGAAGCATGGCTCAGCGCCCATGGAGTGTGTAAAGTGAGCAAATCTGTGGTTGAGGTTGACAACGTGGCGATCGTGGATTTGAAGGGCAAAGATGTTTGCCGTGAGGAGCGGGTGGAAGTGAGTACATTAAGCGCGGGCCCTGATAAGAAGGAATTGGAGAAAGTATTGCGAAAAGTTAGAAATGAGCACATACCCAAGGTCTCACCTTCACCAAGTCCTGAGAACTTTCGATATCTGGAAAACAGTATCCGTATGCTAGTGTCAAAGCAGACGATATGCTTCTGTGTGGATATCGAGGCCTATGAAAGTAATACAAAAGTGGTAACTGAAATTGGAATATCGATTTATGATCCTCGTGAGAACCTGTATTCCGCGGTACCTAACTTCCGCACGTACCATTTGATCGTGAGCGAATCGATGCGTTTGCGCAACAACAAGTTTGTATGTGACTACAAAGACTGCTTCCTGCAGGGAGAGAGCATGGTGATGACATTGAACAGCTGCGTCGAATTCATACAATCACTCATCAATTACTACATGCTGCCCCGTACAGAGCCAGATGGCACGTGGAACCGGGCTTTCGTGGGCCATAATGTTAAAGGTGACCTAAGATGGCTCTCTAGTATTGGAGTCAAGATCCCCAAAGACCTTGACCATGAAGTCCTTGCCCTCGGCCATAAGAAAAAACGCATCGGCGTGCTAGACACGGAAAAGCTCTTCCGCTTGTCCTACGGCAGCAAAGGTTCAAGTTTGGGCAAAATCTTGCGTTTGCTCGAGATACCGCATGCGTACCTTCACAATGCGGGCAACGACGCCTATTTCACCTTGAAGTTACTCATGCATTTCTGTGATATCTCTTTCAGAAAGCGTCTAGGAATGGATGATCTCTACGGAATGGCACACAAAATCGAAATGTGGGGCGAAAGAGACCACCACGAACCCAAGATCCTTCCCATGTCTTATACATTGGCCACAAAGGAGTTTACAAATCCCTCATTAAGGAGGAAGATTGTTTCTCAAACCGAATTTGGCGGATGTCGCTTTTTTATGGATCCATTCCAAGCGTTTAAGTTCCGTGGAACATGATGACGCACCTGTTTTTTCCTGCTATGCATAATGAACCTAATTGTTTGTTTCTGAAAATGGCTGGTGATTTACCGAATGCGAAAATCTTGAATTGCAGTAGGAACGGGAAACGCCAAAAGTACGGAAACACAGATGCAAGTGAACTACGGGATTTACTTTAGTGACGGAAGCTGGAAAGGTGAGGTGTTTGGCGTTTAGAATCGAAGCAAAGAAGAAAACGCAAATAATGATGATATATACTGGAGGAAAAAAGGATAGTGCGAACGGACTCTGGAAAATTTGAAACAAGATTACTTTGCTTATTTTAATAACTTTGAACTATGGTTTCTAAAACTTCTGCTTTGGCAGGACTTTTGGCAGCTTCGGGCTTTGTCGTTAAAGCAGCGCAAACATTTACAGTCCCAATTGATTTTACTGATGCTATTGACGTGTCCTACTACTTCCAGGACAGCAACAACTTGGTGTCCGTTGTGCCTAACAATGAGGGATTGCAGATTACAGTGGATTCCGACAACGTGTGTGATATCTTGCAAAGCGGCATGATCGTATACAGCACCGATGGTAGCACATCTAATACTCTACTGACGTGGAATCAGTACGAAGTGTTCCACCTTATGAGTGCGAGTGGCCAGGAATTATCCTGGTCCGACGTAAACGTACAGGTTTGTGGTGCTTCTTCGTCAAGTAGCGAGGTCTCTACCGCAACCAGTGAGATATTCTCTAGCGGTGTGATTTCCACCACTAGCAGTGACGTATTGTCTAACGGCGGTGCGTCAATTGCTAGCACGTCTTCCCTACCATCTGGCTCTGTCCTATCCACGACAGTCGTGCATGCAGACCAACCAGTCTCAACGGGTGTTGACACGCTAGCAACCACATCATCCAACTTGATTACATCCGCTGGCACTGTTCTATCTGCTTCGGTTGTAACCTCTGTTGTCAGCGGCGTTTACACCGAGTATACCACCTACTGTCCATTGTCCACTGAATCAAGCGTTTCTACCACTAAAACTGCCACTTCTGGATCAGGTTCTGCAGCGACCTGGAGTGAATCCATCCTTACCACCACTGTGGGCGGCGTTGAAACCGTTTACACAACTTATTGCCCACTCACCTCGTCGACAACGTCTGTTAACCCTCAGGGCGTTACAACCACGGCGATCGAGCAGAGCACAGTGCTTGAGACAGTCGTATCCTGTGCATCGAATATATGTTACAGAACTGCAATTGCTAAAACCACTGCTGCATCCGAGCAGGGAACGGCCATTGTGGCAACTTCGACCCCTGTTGTATTCTCCAGTATCGAAGGCACCACAGAAGCTACTCCATACAACTCCTCGATTTCCACTACTAGCGTTGCCTCCAACGCAGTCTACGCCGCTGCTTCTGAAATCTCAGGCCCCCCTACCACCAAGACGTCGTCTATCCTGTCAGTTTCAGCAACTTCGACATCTTACGTTGTTACCTCTGGTATCCCATCAATTTTGGCCGCGCCAGGTGCGACCGTGTCGGTAAGCAGTGTATTCGAAGGCGGTGCGGCCACTTTCGGTGTGAGCAGTTTGCTTGTGACCATGGCTGCGGTATTGGCCTCCTTGATCTGAACAATTCCCCTAAACCAGTGGTGTAACGTTTTGACGCTAGCTTAAATCATGTATATTAACTATGTATACTCTTGACACTAATACACTACTGATTTTAAACACAAATTAGGCCAATGCCTTTTCTAGAAGGGCATCCAACTTGCCACTGGCTTCTAGGGCTTGCAAGTCGCTGTTACCACCGATGTGTTCACCCAAGATGAAAATGTTAGGGACAGTTCTTTGGCCGGTAATTTCGGTTAATGCCTCTTGAATTTCGGCGCCGTCTTCCATCTGGTTCAATTGCAACACCAAAGCGCTAGTCTTTGGTACCTTCTTGTCCTCAAAGATGGTCTTCAAGGTGGCTTGGCAGTAAGGACAGTATGTCTTGGATGCGATGAAAATGTTGTTCTCTTGGATAAGAGCTTTAACCTTTTTGATTGTTTCAGGGGAAGCCATTGCTCTAGTTGCTGAAGTAAAGAATCTGCGAATTAAAAACACTGTGAGAAGGAGAAGTCCTAATTGTAATCCAAGACTTGTGCTCATTTATGTAGTTTGCAAACTGGTTCGGGAAGGATTGCTGCCGACAAATTAGTAATGCTAAGCACTTAAGACGGGTAACTCAGTTCAGTCCCAGGGCTCTGTTTAAGGTGTGTATATTCACTAACTAGTGAATCGGCAGACCACGATCTAATCTTAAATATTAGTGTAGTTTCCTTACGTTCTTGTTCGAGCGATGAATGTCTCAACATGGCATTTGACCTAGTTTAGTTTCTGATTGCACTTTAAGGGGAATCTCAAACATGTAGTTTACAACGTCAAACAAAACACGAACCCAACAAGAAACGCAAGCACAAAGGCATGGGGTTTCTGACTGATCATCCTCACACTGCTATAACTGATACTATTGATCGAATTGTGTCGTCAGATCAATTCACGCTGGAAGTGGAACTGGCGTCATTGATTCAGACGATCAAGTCAAGTAAAGACTATACTTATTCTAATAACCAGGATGAAGCCGCACGTAGCATTAGGAAGAAACTCAAGTATGGGAACAAATTGCAACAGATCAGAGCGCTGGAGCTGTTGAACCTGTTTGTGTCGCAGGGGGTAAAATTTTCCGTAATGTACAACGATAGCAAGTTACTAGACCGGTTGGAAGTAATCGCACTCAACTCTGGGACGGATTCGAGGGGGCAGCACTATAATCAGCTAATTGTGAAGAAGTGTGTTGCGTACGTGCTTGGATGGTATGAGTTTGCCCGGCAACAGGGTCAATCGCGCACTTATGAGGGCCTTTTGCAACTGGGCAAGACTGTTCAGCGCAAGTACTCACTCAAACGTCGCAATAAAAGCGAGGCTAGAAGTCGTAGAAACTTCATGAATGATGAGGCAGATGCCTCTGTCTACTCTGCTAATCCCGACGTCAGGTACGGCATACCCCAGATTGACATGCAATCAGAAGGACCCAAGATTCGGCTCTTGATTAGTGATTCTTTAGCTACTTCTGTTTCGTTGAAAAACTCGCTTATGATGCTTCCTTCTGGAGTCCGAAGCACGGAGGATGAAGAGGCAACTGCCAAATTCATTCAAGCCCGTGCAATGCGCCGTAAAGTTCTTCGCTATCTGCAACTGGTGACGGAGGGCGAGTTTTTGGGCAGTTTGATCCATGCCAATGAGGAACTGGTTGAGGCATTGACCAAGTACGACAAACTTGGCGGTGATGTTGACGATGATGACGAGATCACACTTTCAGATGATGACGACGAAGAGGAGGACAACGTGTCCGAGTCATCATCAGCTGTGTCAGCAGTTCCCGAAACCTACGACAATAACGATCCCTTTGGTGATCAAAACAGAATCTAAATGCGTAACTTCCACTTAATAAACCGTCGACAATATGTAACTTTCACCTATTTTAATTTGAATAACTAGTGCGTATTTATTTCTTCCTGAAATTCAGCGAAAGGCTGTTAACGCAGTGTCTTACATCTTCTGGCAGCCCCAGCCTCTCTTTCCAGCCTTCGCCCTCGAAAACGTGGCCAAGATGGCCACCACACTTGCCACAGCAAATTTCAGTTCGCTTCATTCCGTAAGCTGTGTCTGAGTGATAAGTAATTGAGCCAGGTTTTATTTCCTTGTAAAACGACGGCCAGCCGCATCTAGAGTCGAACTTGGTGTCGCTTGTGTAAAGTGGTTCATCACAATTCGCACAATGGTATACACCAGACTCCTTGTTATTCAAATAAGCACCCGTGTGAGGCCTTTCCGTGTGTTTGTCCCTCAAAACTAGCAATTGCTCGGTACTTAGGTTTTTATTCCAGCCTTGGCTCATCGTGCGTTGAAATTCCCTTCTAAAAGTAGTGTTAATTTGTTTGACAGCAGTGAATTGTAAATAAGCAACAGCTGCTGGATTTATGGTCACTCGGAAGTTCCTAGGAGTAAAGCAATGCGTAACTCTTGATAGCATCGCAACTGGGCATGTATTTTTTATAAGCCAAGAACGGCCCGCGAAAAATCCTCCTTGGAAAGCAACAAAGTTGCTCATGACGGCGAAATACCCCAGTACGATGAGCTGTACGGAGGCTTTTGACCAGCTGACCGCATGCTATTCGGTCGGCGGGCAGTTTCGCAATTATTATCGGTACGGCGAGTTTAATCCATGCGTTAAACAGCTAGCCAAGTTCAAATTCTGCATTGTCAACGGCACTGATCCAATCAAGGTGCAAGAATGGTACCGCGACCAAGCTGAGTATAACCGAATTCATAGGGGCAGTTCAGATGATATATGGGAGGAGCGTAAATAGATCATGTACATAGTAATTGTTGAGCCTTACATACATTCTTTTACGGTCAATGTTTCAACTTCTTTTCGGGTGGAATGGCCGTTGTGGCTAGCGAAAAATGTTCCCGTGATCGCGTTTCTAATTCAAACACATCAAACCTTTAATTGCGACGGTGGTGAATAAACTTCGGTAATAAGCATCAGACTATTGGTAAAGGTTTGAAAGGTCAATGTGTTCGGATACGCGTAGTGAGGGTTCTGGTCGTTCTGATGGGTATGTTAAATGGAGCGTAAAAGAGGTTGGAGAGTGGTGTGCCGAGAAGTTACAATTGGACGGCGAAGATCTGGTTAAACTGCAAGAATGCATTGAGGAACAAGGCATTGATGGAGATATTCTGGATGAACTGAGCTTACAAGATTGTAAGATGATAACGGGTGGCAATGTAGGTCGCGCCGTTCGGCTTAAGGTGGAGCTGAACAGGCTCAGAGAGAAGAAACACAATCAGGAACAGGAGATAGTACAAGCATTGCAGCAATTACAATCCACGGTGAGTGACAAACTCCAAGATTTCCAAACACAATACACTCGCTTGAGACTTGATGTCTTGGAGGTTGTAAAGAAAAGCACCCAAGCTGCCGGGGGGCACAGTCTTCCCCAAACCCAATCACAAACCCAACTTTTGCATCACAACTCTCAACAGCCACAGCATGATTACTTTGAGGGCCACCGATTACCCACACCTGGTTCTCCAGGTAATACGACATTCAGGCAGTCTGTAAGTAGGTCAACGTCTGGTGCACTTCCTACTCCATCAGTACTTCCTACTGCTGCCAACCCTCCAACCCCACAACCTCCTACAACGGCTGGAAGCGAGCCGCTAAAACATTTACGTGCTTCTAAAGAGGACTCTTGCGAAAGAATTCTCAAAAACGCCATGAAGAGACATAACCTCAACGAACAAGACTGGAAACAGTACGTTTTGGTAATCTGCTATGGTGATCAAGAACGTATCTTAGAACTTGACGAAAAGCCAGTCATGATTTTCAAAACCCTTAAGCAGCAGGGCTTACATCCGGCCATTATGCTGAGACAAAGAGGTGACTTCGAAGAAGTCGGTGGTGAACTAACGCCGGGTGGTAGATTGTAATTACGGTGTATATGCTAATGTACATAGGCCTCTCTAAAGACACCTAGATTCTTTGAGAAAGGATTCCATTTTACCTTAAACTTCAAGAATAAGGATTGAATTTGCGCTTTGATTTCATTTCTTTGACTCTTTCTTGATCTTGCTTGAACTTTTTTAGTAATTCACTAATTTCCTGTTTCTTCTTTTCTCTTATTTGGAATCTATAGAAATCTTGCTTCGCCTTCTTGTCAACCATTGATGGGGGTTTCGCAACTTTCTCATGCTTGAGTAATGGGTTCCTGTTGAAAATTTTCTTTCTGATCGAGTTCAAAGACTTCGTATTCTTACCTACGACCAAGGTAAATCCATCTTCATCTACCAAAGATGACTGAACCTCTTCTTGGGCCTGCGCTTCCCTCTGTTCAAATAGTGCCATGTGCTCATGAATGTCCGTTTTCAAATATTCAGTGTCTAATGGCTTGTAAAAGTTGATGAAAGTCTCCATGGATGGCGAGCGAAAACTCCATGTCACTAACTTATCATCTTGTGAATCTTGGGAGTACTTTTTCAAGGCATTCCATGCATTTTCAAGACTAGAGTCATCCACAAATTGCAGTAGTGCTGTGTTTCTTGGAGTGAACCTCTTCTCTTCGGCGTCTCCGGTAGACATAAGATCCGAAGTAAGACTGGAGAGATCAACGTCATTGAGTCCAAACTCATCGTAATGCAATAGCTGCGAAATGTGAGCGACGGTGTTAGACCTTGAACAAATCTCCTGGAAGCTTTTCTTTAGGTTTTCGCTATGTGTCAGAAGAGGTAAATTCACCAAGAACAGACAACGCTGCTCATGCTCGCTCTTCGATTGGTGCTTTTTCACAAACATGTAGTGCAATGCATTCTCGCACTCCTTGAGTTTATCAGACGAGGGAAGTTGGAATGGTACTACCAGGTACCCATTCTTCATACAGTCGATTTTGGCTACCATATCTCGCTACAGTGCCCTTTGTAAACTACTGCGACTCAGGTCATCTCAACATTAAAACTCTTAAAATTTTTCATTCTATTGTACACGTATGTAATGATACAGAATATGAATTGAACGTCTTAGTAAGTTAACAGAACCAATCCTAATCCTGTTGCCCATCTTTCCTTAAGCCTTCTGTTTCCTTCATCAACTCGTAGAGCTGCCCAACCTGTTCTGGTGACATTTTTTCTAGCACTTGTGCTGAGAGTGTGCCTTCCACCCAGTCTCCTTTTGTAATCATATGCAGGTAGTCTTGCCAGCTTGCTAAAAAGCCCACAATATACAGTGGATTAGTGGTTTCTCGATGCAGCCGAAACTCGTTCTTTACGTATTGATCCCCAAGTTCTCGCTGTGGTAGCGGTAGACTCTTGTGCTCTCGAAGAATCCGTCTGTAAAGTTGTAGAGGTGGTAAAAGAGGCTTGTGTTTCCTTGCTAGCGGTCTGTGCGCTCTTAATAATCTCACAGCTGCTTGCTTCATCGATTTAGATCCAGTGATTAACATTTGAGTATCAAGGCGTTGTTCCTCAGAGCTTTAATTAGTTTCTATATATCTGCCAATACTATGCTTACAATTTGGTCATAATTACAGAAAGGTCATTCGTGAAAAAGTGGCGTGGTGGAAAGATCCGGGCCGAAGCGATAAAGGCGATGTACAACACGTGACACATATACTTACAGTTTGATGTATACAGATTACTTCTATTAGTTTAATGAGATACTCGTTTACACGAAGCCTTCTGGTAGAAGGCCTAGCTTTTGCATTCTAATCTTGACAGCATTTCTGTGCGCGTCAAGACCTTCGACCTTAGCAACGCTCATGACAGCGCGGCCGATGTTTTCCAAACCTTGTGGGGTGACGTTCTGAGCGGTGATAAATTTCTGGAAAGTAGAAGTGTTGACACCACTGTATTGTCTGGCATATCCATAAGTGGGCAAGGTGTGGTTGGTACCACTGGAATAATCACCACAGGACTCAGGCGTAAAAGCGCCAACGAAGACGCTACCTGCGTTGTCGACTAGCTTCACGTAGTCAGAAGCGTTCTCAATTTGTAAGATCAAGTGCTCTGGTGCATACTTGTTCGACATGTCGAACGCATCCTCGTACGAGTTACACAAGATGATGGAGCTATGGGCGATACACTTGCGCACAATTTCCAGACGAGGTAGTTGTAGGGCCTGTTTCTCAACGGCCTCCTGGATCTCTTGAATTTTCTTTTCGCTTAGGCTAACACCGACAAGGATGACTTGAGAGTCGATACCGTGCTCGGCTTGTGACAGCAGATCTGAGGCGACAAAGTCAGCATCAGCCTTTTCATCAGCAATCACAAGCACTTCACTTGGACCGGCAGGCATATCAATGGAACATAGTGCTTGTGTGTCGTTTTGCACATACATCTTTGCGGCAGTGACGAATTGGTTACCTGGACCCAAGATCTTGTCCACCTTTGGAACAGATTCAGTACCGTAGGCCATAGCAGCAACGGCTTGAGCACCACCGGCTAACACGATCTTGGAAGCACCAACCTTTTCTGCGACATACACCACCTCCGGAGATACTTTTCCGTCACTCTTACGTGGTGGCGAGGCGAATACAATCTCTCTACATTCGGCAACGCTAGCTGGAACACCCAACATGAGAGCCGTACTTGGTAGAACAGCAGTACCACCTGGAATATATAGACCCACCTTCTCGATAGGGCGAGGGAAACGAGAACAAATAACACCAGGTTGAGTTTCAACTTCCAATACTTCCTTTTGGAGTTGCGCCGCGTGGAATTTGCGAACATTCTCCATTGACAAATCAAGTGCCTCCTTCATTTCCTCAGTCAATCCTTCGAAATATTCAGGTGGGAAAGGTGCCTCTAGAACAGGTGCCTCTAAATCGACGCCATCGAACTTGCTGGTGAACTCTATCAAAGCCTTGTCACCCTCATTACGCACTCTCTCCACAATTGGATTAACTAGATGCATAATTTCTGACGTTTTTTGAATTGGTCTGCTCAAGGCACTTTCAACAGCAACAGAATCATTGGCCTCAACTACACTTAATCTGATAGCCTCTGGGATTTCTTCTGGTTTTTTAGAGGCAGTTTCTTGTTTCATGAACTTTGGTTTGGCATCACCCTTTCTTCTGGTGACCTTTAAGTGCTTCATGTTCAAATTCCTTTCGACATCCTTCAAAGAAACACCACTGCTAACGAGCTTCACCATAGCGAAGTAGAAAAGATCTGCAGCTTCCCAAGAGATTTCACTCTTATTTTGAGCCTCAGTTAACTCTTCGGCTTCTTCTTTTATTTTAGCAGTCAACAATTCGGGGTCGTTAAAAAGTCTGCGTGTATATGATTTTTCAGGTGCGTCGACAAGACGTTGTTGTAACAACTGCTCCAGACCAACTAAGCCGTGAAGGAATTCACCGAAACAGGACTCAGTATTTAAGTGACAGAAGTCGGAATGTTCGCCATTTTGGACGACGATAAACTTCAACGCATCACTATCACAATCGAGTTGAATACCTACTAGTGTTTGAGTATTACCGGATGTAGCTCCCTTGACCCATATCTCATCTCTGGAACGAGAATAATAGACACCTGCCTCCTTTTCAATAGCAAGCTTTATGGATTCTGCTGAAGAGTACACTAGGCCCAAACATCTCTCATTGGAATCAACAACTAGTGTTGTATACAATTTGTCTGCGCGATCGGTTCTCAAGGAAGACACCACAGCGTTGGCGAGAGATTCCGATGTGATTGTGTCGACGCCAATTATCTGTTCAGAAGAAAACTTTTGAACTAGGTGAAATTTACAGTCGTAGTTTGATCCATCGGATAAAACAATTCTTTCTTCAGGTACGCCCAATTCAACAAGGGATGAGGCATATTCTTTATCAGACAGGAAAAGCGCAGATACACCGTTGTTGAGTAAACGAATGACGTCGTCATCGGCAACATCTCCCCTTGACAAACGAACTGCCAAAAACCTGATCACAGGATATGATTCTTGGAAATTCAAAATTTCTTCAGTTGTTAATTTGGAACCATCTAATAATGCTTGGCCAGCCAGACATAAGTAAGGCTTCGAGGCTATGACCTCAGTCACATCCCTACTAGAGGAATAAAGAGGTAAAATTGGAAAGACCATTTTGGTTAACTGTTACCTGACGAGTAGGTTGAACACAGTGTCGAGTTAATATAACCTTGAGGCAACAGTGGTATAATTTGAGTCATCATGCAGTCCAATGTGCAATCTGAGTGGGAGAAAAATTTTAGCTCACATGACACGAGGTGCGGTCGAGTCAAAACAGCTGATCATTCTCGTATGGGCATTCCACACTGTCATGGCCATCCCTTTCACATAGTGCACACCATTGGCGTCTTCCTGCAGAAGGGTCTCGTGTTTTTGAAACATACAAAGGCAGTGACTCACTGACGCTTTCTTGTACGATATTTTGATTATCTTCATTGGCTTGTGGGAGTGGAATTTTGCTGTTTGACGATGACATTTCTAACTTTCCAAGCCTTTCATTGGCTAGGCTTAGTTCTCCAGTGATGCGCTCGATGGCTTCTTTCAATGATCTATTTTCAGAACTTAGCGAGCGCTCATTTTCTTGTGCTTCTTTGTTAAGGAATTGATATTCGGAGCTTAAGGAATCGTTGTGCATCTTGAGCTGCTCCCGTTCCTTCTCCCACTTCGATCTAAATTTCTCTTGCTCCAGGCGATACTGCCGAAGCTCTTCAATTTCTTGTTTGAGGGACATGTTTTCTTTTTTGAGCTCATCATCACCTGTATATAATTCATCATTGTGTAAGGGTACCCTCGTACGCCCTTCTATCATTCTTTGTTCATTTTCCCTTATTTCGTGATGCAGCTCCTCTACAACAGACAATAGCTGCTCATGTTCGGTCTCGAAGTATAGCTTTTGTTTTCGTTGATTGTCGCGCTCTTTCTCAAGTTGCGACTGCAATCTTGTTATTTCGGACTCCATTTCTCGTAGTTTGTCCTCATAGATATCAATTGCTGGCTGAATTTCCTCCAAAACTACACGTTGTTCGTCAAGTAGTTTCTTATAGCGAGTAATTTCTTGTTGCTGCTGTTGAAATTTGATCTCATAGTCTTTGGTAGCGCTATACCTCAGACGACGATCTCGTGAATCGACATCCATACTATCGGATGATGCAGCACTACTCTTTCGTGAATTACCACGTACCGGCGTTGGAGATCGCGGGTCGATTAAGGTTGTACGGCGGCTTTTTGCGAAGGGGTCACACATAGTAGCACGTCTTGAATCATCAGAGGCATTATCTATCAAAGTTGCTACTTTTTGCAGCTGGATAAATAATCCGCTTTGTGCATACTCAGTCTCAAAGTACTGTTTACCTTGGAATGTACCATCATTCTTTCCAATGTTGGCAAGCAAGTCAACACCAACAAATACGCCTGATTTACCGTCAACATGCCCAACATACTTTAATTGGCCCCTACCAACATTGGGGATCTGAATGAAGCACCCTATCTTTTTCTGGTAATTTTCCATCGGTGTGCATATTCATACAAATTATGTGAACACGAAATCTTTTATCTTCTTGTCCTTCCTAGATTCTACTATAAAAATAAAATACCAAAAATGGACGTTAACCAGTTGATCAGTCAAGCTGAAAAGCTCTTCGAGCAAGGAAATCATGAGGAGGCCGTTGCGAAGCTTACTAATGCTGCTCAGCAGAACCCCTCGCAAGACCAAATGTCTACAATTGAAAGGCTTATTCAAAAGATTTCTCAATATGTTTTGGACAATGGTCACGAACAAGGTTCGCGTGGTATTGGAAGCTCTTTGATGAGCACACTAATGACGGGTAGTGGTGGTGGCAGCTCCCAGACGCAGCTTGGAAAATTGGCGTTACTCAGTACCATCATGGGTTCTTCTCGGAATTCAAGTGGATTTAATTTAGGTTCCGTGGCTTCTCTTCTTGGTAGCCAGGGGGGAAGCTCTAACGGAGGTAGCTCAATGGGTTCTAGTGGTCTGGCCTCCTTGGCCAGTCAATTTTTTGGGGGTAGTCAAAACAATCGGCCAACCCAAAACCAATCGAGCAGTTCTTTTGGCAGTTTGGCTGCAATGGCTAGTTCTTTCATGTCTGGTAATAAACAGGGGTCAAACCAAAATGCAGGGTATAACAATCAAGGATCAAATTCTAACTCTGGCTCATTCTTTGGCAATCAATCTTATAATCAGTCTCAAGGAAGCTTCCAACAGTCAAACAATAACTCGAATAACTATCAACAAGGCAATTATGGCAACCAGAACTACTCTCAGCAAGGTTATCACGGAAACCAAGGATATTCCCAGGAGGGAAATTATAACAATCAGTCCCAGTCATCAAACTATGGAAATCAAAGTCAGCAAGGCTACCAACAAAGCGGCCACAGCCAAGGTAACTCAAATCAGTCTCAACAGTCTGGCCAGGGCTTCAATTTTGCTGGTAACTTTGTTTCTAATTCTAATCAAGGTCAGGGCTACAACAACTCCAACCAAGGACAAGGCTACAATAACTTAAACCAAGGACAGGGCTACAACAACTCCAACCAAGGCCAGGGCTACAATAACTACGGAAATAATCAACAGGGAAATCCTCAAGGTAATCAGCAGGGAAGTCAACAAACTAACTCCGCTGGTGCTTTGATTGGGGAGGCAATTGGAAGTTTTTTCAACAAGAGATAAGTTATTTGGGATTCATTAAGACGTCATCTATTAAAACAATTGAACTGATGGGCTATATATTTTTTTTTATATAAGAAACCTTCAATTCTTTTTGAAAGGTGATTGTTTGATTCACGCTAAGGAATTGATATAATAAACTTCTCTTGACTAGTTGGAAGACTTTAGTTCTTTAACGTTCTCTTCGAAAAAGACGAATTCGTAGTCCCCAGGGGTTTCATCGTAAACATTACCTGCAGGTGAGTACTCACAAAGCAAGTAGGTTGCATTTTGACCATACCTAGCCATGGTATCACATTGGACAACAGCGCATCCTACGCTAGTCGTGGAAGCCCATACAACCTGTGTGAAATGGCCCACTTCTTGCCCGTCATGTTCAATACCAGTGATATTATTGTAATCATAATATTCAATTTCATTATACCAAGCGTCAATCAGCGAACTAGGATCTGTTGTTGTTGCAAAGCCAATGTTTTCACCCTGATTGTTCCTGTTCGAAGAGTGTATCAAATTCCCTGAACATGGGTCATAAGTTGTGCCCGTCAAACTTTCCACATAGTCATAAGCCCAAGCTGACAAACCATCATCCCATACCAAATCATCAGTGTCAACATGCAAAGCTCTCAATTTGTTGTGTTCGGCGAGCAAAGCTGTTGCGACAGCTGCTGCTAGAGTGGTTGAAGAGCTAGTGGCTGAAGCTGAAGAAGTGGTGGAAGTAGTAGATGGCTTGGTCGAGGTGCTGGAAGTGGTCGATGTTTTGCTGGTGGTAGATTTGGAGGAAGTACTGGATGTGGTAGAAGACTTGCTAGAAGTGGTGGAAGACTTGGTAGAGGTAGTAGATGTGCTCGACTTGCTTGAAGTGGTGGAAGACTTGGTAGATGTAGTAGATGTAGTGCTGGATTTCTTAGTGGAGATTGTCGTGTAAGCTGCAGTCGACTTTGCAGATGAAGAAATTGGAGAAAGTGTCGAGGTTAAGTGTGTTGACGAGCTCGATGTGGATGTAGGAACTTGAGATGAGGTTGTGGACGATATCGATTCAATCGAAGAGAAAGATTCGGTCGAGGAAAGCGATCCGGAAGTTGAGACAGAATCAACTGATAAAAATCCTCCAGTTGGAATACCTGTAGCAACACTAGATATGGCTGATGCTAGTGGCTGGGTAATAGAAGGCTCTGCAGTGGCACCTCCAAAAGTGGAGACATAAAACCCTGTGGAGAGTTCTGAAGAACTTTCAGACGTATCAAAGCTCGAAGGAGAAAGAGAACTTGTCAAAATGGCAGTTAGACTATCCGAATTTTGAAACGTCGAAGATGTGTTATAGTATAGCTGTGATGTGGGGTTTGCACTCGACGACAAAAATGAGGAAGTGGTGAAAAGGAGGCTCGAAGACTCGGGGTATGCTTCAGAGGACGATTGAAGTTCGCTTGACAAACTAGATGTTGAAGAGGACCCGAAATCAATTGGCAGGCTGGTAGCTGATGATATCGTTTCAGAAGACGTCTGAGAGATCTCTGAAGCGCTCTCAGGAGCTGAAGATGGAACTAGCGTGGAATAGCTGCTTACAGATCCAGTAGAAGAAGCGTATGAACTCTGGTAAGAAGCAGAGGAGCTCTCGAGGTTGCTCGAAGAGCCAGCCGTCGAGGACAACGAGATTGCAGAGTTGTCTGCAGTGCCGGAGTTTGTAGATGTGGAAGATGCGGCTGAAGTGCTCGCAGATATCACCGAGGACGAAGGGGAGGATTCAGACCCCGAGTAAACGCTCGAAGAGCTCGCCGTTGACGAAGCCGTTGAATAGCTACTCGAGAGAGAAGCTGTGTCGGTCTTGGTAAATTTTATCTGAGAGGCAGTAGCATAAAAATCCTCAGTCGTAGTTGTTGTTGCTGAAACAGTTGCAGTGGTAACACAAAGTCCCACAATAGTCCCTAACTTCATAGTATTAAAAAGAGAGCAGTTCGTGAGAGTTGTACCGTCTCTAAACCGTGAATGCACCGTTCTACATCTTATTACATTCCATCTATATATAGAGACTGTTTCCCGGCGCTTTGAAACTGGCAGGATTGACACTCCCAACTTCTCAATTGCAAATCCTCGGCAGGCTGGGCGAACGTTGACGAAAACAGTGTCGCGACGTCCTCCTGCCGTGATTTTCCTTCACGCAGAAAGTCGCGTAGTCCGACACGAAAAAAACCCGTCCAGCCTGGTGACAACACGGAAAAAACCTTCTTCTGACAAGATTTACAAGCCGCGGATAGGGACCAAAATCCCGAAAGTTGCTAGTAGTCGAAACATGCGCGGTGAAAACAACGCGAAATAGGATTTTTGCCTTTGTTGTCGAATTCGGCAATCAAATAGCCCTCGACGTGGTGGTGACTAAGCAAAACCCAAGAAAGGTCTCCGGATAGTGCGGTTCCTTCTTGGGTAATATAATTAGAGATTTAGATTGGTTGACGTAAGTACATTATTTACAAAACATGATCATTGTAATTGCTTTCGGGGAAAAGCAAATTCCTCGAGATTTACAATTGTGAACTTGAAGTAGTGCTGAACATCATAGGCCGTATAGATCTTTAAAGAACCCGTGCGCAGTCACAATCTGTGGGCGTTGTTACTGCAGATAAACCTTGCAGACATCGTAAAATAATGATACAATGTGCATAGGTTTGGAGAAAGTATGCATACCTTTAACGGTTCAAAGTGATGGCATTTGAAGGAAATCTACACACCTAGGTATTGTCTTTGCTTGTTGGAAAAAAAAGAATTCGGTGAAAGGGATGTGATGGGCAAGGATTTAGTTTTCCGAGGATCCGAGACATTCTGATACACGACAGCGCGAGCTTTTTTGACGCTATTGCTAATGGCCAATTAAGCTAGTTTTGGTATCTTGAATAGAGCTACGTATGTATTTTACTGACCGAAACTGCGATGGGGTGTATAGGAAGAGCACTTGATGTGTAGGCGAACGAAATAGTGCAGGTGTCCACTTAAGTGAGTTCTTATCCCGATTTTTTTGGTAGAGTCACAAATCGCTGGAATTGAGATCTTAGCGTTTAGTACCGCTTAGCGTTAAGGCCTGTAGATACTCTGTTACGAAGGAATCAACAAAATCGGCTCAAAACCGAATCCAACTTGCGACCTTCGATGATGCCTTAGAAATAATCAGACGAAGAAACTCATTCCTCCTCCATGCTGACTGTCAAGTTCGTTTGTGAAAGTGTGCATAATTTTTAAACTATATCGTTTTTGCCGAGACTGTAATAGGTAAGTGGCGGTGAAAGCTGCTTAACTCAATCAAACGCCTCGAATATAACCCTTTGTAGTCCCTGACAACATCCGAAAATAGTCGGCCTTTATCGAGCTAAAAGAGTCTTAAATCATACAGCGTAAGATACCAAATCTGTAGCACCCTGTTAGATCGGCGTCTTTTGGATTATCAATGAAACTTCTGTGCGCGTGATTCTGCATCGCTAGAAAACTCGTACCTGTTTTCCACGCAGAAAAAAGGTGGACGTGATAATCACCGTTACCATAGGGCACCCAAAACCACCCGAAAACAGGAAATGTGATTTCATGGGAGATCTGCACTCCTCTGCACGGGTGGGCGTAACATTTTACGTATTAAAAAATAATGCCACAGCTTCCCAGTGGTCTCAAATCAGCTCATTGCACGGAAGTAGCGCCATACCGTAACGACTGGTAAAATGCTAGCTACGAGACATTCTAATTCTAAGGCAAACCACTTTCAAGGTTAAGTTCAAGGCAAAAGGGAGATAAAACACCAACGTGTTCATATTCCAGTAATCCTGTTCGATTACCGTTACACCATTTTACGTTGAAACCCGAAGTCACCAATCTTCCTTCAAACTGAGTAGGAGCATCGGGAAAGGCAGATCTTGTGATCTTGAAATCAACGTTCCTGGATCCATGCATTATTGAAGGCAAAAATCATACGACAATCCTAGCTTTGGAAACAGGGTCAGGAACGTGATCATGGAGAACATGTCGAACTCTTTTCATTCAGGTACTCTAAGGGGATGCAGGTTTTAATGCCGTTTCGTTGTATCTTTGGAGATCGATGCATAATTATATTATTTTCGGATGCTATGCAACAGCGGAAAATATGTGCCTCCTGCATGAGCTTTCAAATGCCGAGAACCCATAGGTCTCCTTCTCGATGGCGTCACAAGCCTATTATTAAGCGGTTTTCCCTTCTTTACTTTGGTGTGAGCTACTACTAAAAAAGCTTACAAGCAAAGTGATTGAACCTTGGGAGCGTTGATGATGCGAATTCTTCATCATGATTCTACGCTAGAAGTAAAGACTTATAAGAATACTTTGAGCTCTAGAATGGCTTAATCTTCAATGCAGTCAAGAAAGACCGTAAATTCTGGTTTCAGAATCGAATTCAAGTAGGTGTCTTGTCGGTAAACTACATTTAAAGTTGCTGTCATGATTTTCTGTTGAGAAACATCATCTTGAAAAAATACAGGGCATATCACAGTTTTTCTCCTGTCCCAATAGAGTGCACGGCTAAAAGTGCACTCTATTGGAAATACAAAACTGAGGCTACTGTTTAATAAACTTTTGTACCACCTATCAAGATTTTATCAAAATGTATAATCGCTTAGAAGATGAAGCACTTAGAGCTAATCATAGACATGTAATAGAGACTTTGTTGGACTGAATTACTTCTATGGAAAACTGGCGCACCTACAAGTATCTATGGACGCGAATCAAATGTCCACAAAGAGTACACATCGTGCGGTGGGTAGGGATTTTCATCGCTAGTACGTGGAAGTGTGCTGCTGCATGAGGCGTTGACCCTAGCTACTATTCTCCGTTCGTTAAGTCAAAATTTACAACGGTCCATTTTCCACGCCAGAACAGCTAGTACGTTTCTCAAAAATAAAGCACAAACGGGGGATAGAGATATTGCAACGCTTTCAACGCTTTGAGCTCAAAGAGTTCTTGTTTTCAAATTAATTCATTGGAAATCCAGCACCACTACCGAATGCAGCTCTTTAATTGGAAATAATTTCGACTAGTGGTAAGAAGTGTGGCTTCTTCACTGAGGAAGGGCTATAGGTTAGAATTCATTGGTAACACGTGTTAGGACTTTTGTACTTTGTTGCCTATCGTAATTTGAGATTGAAAAGATTGGCCTGACAAGGAGCGCTGTTTTCTCTAATATTGAAGTGCACCGTTACGCTTCAATAATCTGTGTAAACCATGATCTTATATATCATGGTTCATTGAAATATGAATAATGCTAAACGTCTGAGTTTCCCAGATCAACCCAATAAATAGCATAACACTGACAAACGTTATACTCCGTTTAGTCGCCGTCAATTGTTAAGAAAGTTAGAAAGAGGGATTTAACTGGCATCATACTCTTGAAGACCATACTTTGCATTCAGATAATAAACGTCACTACACTTGGAGAGTGAATTTTGCAGAAAGCTCTCTGAAGACTAGTTGATTTGGGAAAAAAATTGAAGAAGAAACTTCCATTTAGATAGACTCTTGAAAACAGTTCAGCAAAGTCTGTTCGTGGAAGTTTGATGGGGCTCAGAAAATAAAAATCATCAGATTGATGCACTGATTCCTGAACGGTCGCAATATGTTTGAGAAGGAAGTGCAGAGCATTAACTAGGCGCTGCCAGGTTAAACCCTTCCTCTTTGATTTCCAAAACACATGTAAAACTTCATTCCGAGAAAGTATTGTTAGAAATCTTTCTTCTAGTAGAGTACCTTTTTATCGGCGAGCAGATGAACGATTCTGTAGCGGCGTATTAACATATGTCTCCTTGATCTGAAATGCAAATCAAATAACTGCACGGCGAACATAAAATCGAATCATTGAATTTGACCATGTTTTGAGTAATCCGTTGTTTTTCTGACACTTCATTGGGACTTCAATTTTCTTCAACTTCGTTTTTCGAAATCTTTGTGGGGTGAAATTTGAGACAAGGTCAAGTTATCCATTACGAATTACCTACTCATTCAAACATGCTTCGCCATAAACTAGTCGAGAATGCGTTTCATCTTAAGACTTGCACACTTTCACCAGTATATAAGAGAAACCATGATTAAAGCGGATATGTCTTATCAGACGCTTTGACTCGGTTCCAGCATCTTAATCCATAAAGTTCACGTCATAAAATGTTGTTGGACACTTCGAGCAGCCTCTCGACTACCCGAAAAGAAGATATTGGTACGATATTGGAAGATATTTATGTTGATGTCTATTTTTCTGCGGATCAAACTTTGCCCTACATGTATTCTACCGTTTCAGTAGCGACGATTTCAGTCTTCAACAAAAATGGAAACCCGAGCACGACAACTGATTTAACTTCACAAGTTACCACTACCAGCTCTACGAAAACAGACAATATGCATGTATCTACAGAAATTGTTGTTCAACTTCTGGCGACATCGCATAGTTCTATTAGCAGGATATCTACCTTATCTGGTACCTCAAACCCGATTACGTCGTCGTCAACGGAGTTGTCACGATCATCTTCGACAAGCGAAATTGTTGATAAGCTATCTACTACTGGTGGTGCATCTAACGATATTGTTGGTGTATCAATTGGTCTTCCTATTGGGGTATTTTGCTTCGGATTAATTTTAATTCTTGTCTTCCTTTGGTATAGAAATCATCGCAAGAGTTATTCGTTCAGTGAGAAGCAACAAATTAATAATAATGAGACACATAAGAAGTGCTATCAATCCTGGTTTTCAGGTAGAAAGGCGAATCCACCAAAACGTCGCAAGCATGATGCAGAATTAGGCATCGTAGGCGATAATTATGATACTGACAATATGCTTGATTATAAAATAACAAGGATAGATCATAACCCTTACAAAACTCACGTTGAAACACCACAAAAGACTTTAGGACCACCAAATCGAAGCCTCAGTTCACAACAAATAAACACTCTTCTTTACACACAGCCTCCAGGAATCCAGCATATTCAATCAGAGCTGCCGAGCTCAAGTTCGGCACAGTTCAACGTATCCTCAGGTCAAAATGATCCTGAAAACTTTTCCAGAGCTAGAAATTGGAACTATGAATCGCCGTTATCGCGATGGTTTTTGACAAAGTCAACTTATTTACAAGATCAAGTGATGCCAAGTCTTAAGACACCAACTGTAAAGCTGAAGCACCTTCGCATCTTGTCTAGAGTGGGTAAACATAATGTGCAGAGCATTTTAGTGGATGAGAAATCTCCTATTTTAGAAAAGAAGGCTAGTCCTCTGTCAGCCAGTCCGCCTCAAGAGGGTAGTTCCAGGCTAGATCCTCTAGTGTTCAGAAGTTCGTCACTAAAGTGCAATAAGCCTGATTTTAATGGTAAGTCGCAAGAGACTGACAATACTCAAAGGGACTCGCATCTTTTCACTACTGCTGAATTTGCAAAATATAATCCATATTCAAAAAAGCTGGTTTTAAGTACCGTTATAAAACCTCAGACAATTGACGATCCAAAATTGGACATATCCACTCGGATGATTAAGTCTGTGCCGAAAAATACTCGAATTAAGGATGGACACCAACGATTTGATATAAAAGAGAAGCCTTTGGAAAAGTACCTCACTAAAATTGGCACTGACAAACCACTTCCTAAGACTCCTAAAAGTGCTCTGGTTTCTGAAGATCCCAATATAATAAAGAATATAATCGGCGCCAAATTTCAGTCCAAAAGTTTGGCCAAAAATGAGAATAATGAAGATACTGAAGATAATAATGCCACAGAAAAACTAAGCGACATTAGCGTTGTAGTACGCGAATACACTCCTAGACTTGTTGATGAGATACATATCACGCATGGGGAATACGTGAGAGTACTGGCAAGACATACGGATGGATGGTGCTTGATTGAAAAATGCAAGAGGGATGGCACTCTCATCAAGAAAAATGATGTCCAACACGACCATATTGACGGAAAGCATTACCTGAACGATTACAGGGGAATTGTGCCTGGCGTTTGTCTTCGAGCGCTTTGATGGTAAATTTATCTGAATAAATCTATGTAGTTGAGAGTTACTACGAAAATAATTATTCAAGGATCTTAACAGGATTCTCGATATATGTTTTCTCCGTTGCAGGCGCTACTGGAGCACCAAAAACTAGCTGGGCGTGCACAGACCACGTATCAGGGACAGTACCCGCTGGCAAAGCAGCTTTAACAGCATCATTGTAGTGTTGCAAGTGTGCGCCTAGACCTAAAAGTTCCAATGCAGTCCAACTTGAAATTTGAGCAGCACCTGTGGAATGTTCGGCGAAAGGTGGAAAATAAGAAGCATAAATTGGGAACTGCTCTTGGAAAGCCTTGGTTGTTTCGTCATTCACTAAGAACACAACTGTCCCATATGCCTCGTCTCTAATAGAAGTTGGTCTTTTCTTACCGCTATCACCCTCGATGCTGTTGAGGACACTATCCCAGACCTTCTTGTGAACGTCGCCAGTGAGAATCAATGCACGATTCGTCTGCGAATTGAAAGAAGTTGGTGTCTCTTTGATTATCGTTTGCACAGTTTCTTGTACATCTTTAATCCCAATGTTAGAAGGCAGTTCTGGTTTCAGAGCATAGATACTTCTACGAGCTGAAATGGCGGAAAGAAATGGTGCAACTTTTGAACTCATTGTAATTTATTTGAATAGATAAGTTTATCAGTCTGAACAGACTACATCACATTCCTTAATTTTAACTAGGATATATATACACCGCCAAGCCCGCGAAATCTGAAAGTCATTATTGACAAATGAGACACCCGAAAAAGCCTTCCCGTACTTGGTTACATCCTTTTATTAGTAAAAATATTAGTAACAAGCTTCGTCATCACGATCGAAAAGCATTCCCGATAGATAACCGCATCTCACATTCATTAATTGATGTAGAAATTACTAATAAGCAGTAGTTACAGCACGGTTATCACAATAAATGTGCAACTCTAAGTAATTACTTGCTGTCATAAAATTCAAAGCGGACGCTTCTCAAATTATCCTTAGATATGAGATGACGGCAAGCCAAGGCAAACCTTGAATTTCTAGAAGCTGAAGTGAGTATGTGTGTTATCAGCTGTAATATGCAACAAATTCCGGATATATGCTTAACACCAAAAATTCATGGATTTCTTGATCCAGCCGGAACTCTTTATTTTTTCTTGGTATTCATTGTCTTCTTGTCTTAGAATGTCTTCGTCGAAGATTTTTCTGTGCGCATGCAAATCGATTTTATCAGCCGGAATATATAATCTCCAGTCTTTCTTCCATATCTTGAAGCCAAAGTAGAGGACTATTAGGATAGGCATCGCGAGGTAATTTGCAAAGAAATTGGAGACATCTAATTTGTCACTTCCAACAGGAGCGATTGCAACCCAGAATTGACCACACAAAATCAGGAACATCACAAACACGGCATAAATGGAGCCCCAAACCCCCGTTTGGGATTTATAGCCTAACTCTCCAAGGGACCTACCTTGTACAGTCATTGCTCTTCTGAGTCTAATGTGAGAGAGACAGATAGCCGACCACGTGAACAACTGCGACAGACCAGATATAGCCAATAGCCAGGTGAACACCGTTTCCTCTCGAGGCGAGGCAGCAACGAACGATATCATACCAAAAACGCATGAAACTAGCATTGCCATCAACGGTCTACCTTCGCGATCAATGTACTGCAAGATGGCAGGTGCGTAACCTTGTTGTGACAACGACAGCAGTAAACGTGAGCTGGAGAATAGCGCAGAGTTACCAACGGAAAGAACTGCAATCAGGATGACCGCATTGATGAAGTGAGGAACAACCTTGACACCATGAGATGCGATAGCGATCACATAAGGGGATGCGTGTGTGGCGGCATCGCCAGAACCCATGAGCTCGTCAGAGGTATATGGCACTAAAAAGCCAATAAGAGTGATCGAACCCAGGAATAGGAACACAATTCTGTACAAAACTTGTTTGGCGGCAGATGGGATAGCACGCCTAGGGTTTGCTTGCTCGGCAGAGGTCAAGGCGACAAACTCAGTACCCCCGAATGCGAACGCAGATGTAACCAACGTGGAAACCACACCTTTGAAATGATCAATTGCTCTGTCGCCTGAAAACGCACCTGGATTGTGCCAATACTTGCCACCTATATAACCACTGTCTCCTGCACCACCACAATTGATAATAATTCCAAGAATAAAAAATCCTGTGATCATCAATACTTTACAGCTGTTGAAGAAAAAATCGGCTTCTGCATAACCTTTGGATCCGCAAAAATTAATGGCAACGATTAAGGTGTAGAAAATAGCCACGAATGCATCAGGATTTATACTGGTAGTCCAGTACTTGATTGTAATCGATGCTGTGACAAGTTCAAGTGGTAGAACACAAAGCCATTGTAAACAATAAACCCAAGCGACAGAAAATCCGAGGGCTGGATCAATCAGTAGGGAAGGATATGCATTGAAGTTACCCACAAGAGAGCTGTAGGAAACAGCCATCTCACCGGCGGCTTGTATAATTGCGTATAAGCATGTACCCATTATCGAATAGCCAATCACAAGACTTGCAGGTCCTCCATTATGTAGCGCTTTACCATTACCTACAAGCATACCAGTTCCAACACCGGAGCCTAACGACATCATAAGTACGTGCCTAGGCTTAATATTTTTTTTCAATTTTTTGTCCGATTCAGCTGAAATGTCCTTTTCGAATTGCGCAGACCCACTATCACTAGTAGTATCAGGAGCCCTCTTAAATGACGCGATAAACCTATTAAAAATACCGGTTTCTTCTTGATAGAAATCATATGAACTGCCATGTACAGATGTTTTTTCGAGAGAAACAGATTCGTCTTTTTTGCTTAATTCTGTCACATTGGAGAAGACATTCGAATCCGCATTAAAAAGAGTATTCTCATTTTGAGAAGAGCCAGGTTTATTGGGTGATATGTTTGGCATGGCTTGTAAGCTCCTAGAGTGCCGGGGTACTGACGCGTCAATGTAATTTATCGAGTCTCTTGGATATATATACTAGGTCATGCATTTCGAAAAGGTTTCGCTAAAAAAATTGGTCATGTCGAGAGGCGCATTTTTCATGTTAGATAATACTCAAAAGCCTCGGTAGCCTTAAGCTTCAATGTCAATCGTTTTTTGTTGCCTTCCTTTTCTGTATTTCGCCTGCACAAATTGTACGGCGTTGTAAAACGGCATTTCGAAGGGCATTGCAGGGAAAAAAGGCCCTGAAAAAGAAAAGAAAAGAACTGCTGCCGTGAATTAAAGGCTCTCTGTTGAAGGAATTAGTAAACTAACCCCAAGTTTGGCCGATTGAGAATATGCGTCATAGCATGGATATCGGATGTGATTTATGCCTCGTTAAATAGTTTTATGCGACGAAAATGCGACTGTGCCTTTGTAAATGAATAATTATGCAGCGGCGACTGTAGGACAAATATTTCAAAAATGCAGTATTCATAATATTGGTACAATCATTATATATGCTAAATGCTACGGATTTTCTTTTTGAACTTTTAACACCAGAACGCATTCATACGAACGCTGAACGAAGAGTTCTTTATTCTTTCCTTTTCCTCCTCGAGCTCATTCTTCAAGACCTCTTCATCAAAAATTTTCCTATGCGATATGAGATCAATCTCCTCTGCTGGGATAACTAGTTTCCAATCCTTTTTCCAGACCTTGTATGCCAGGTATAAGAAGATCAAGATTGGCATTGCCAAGTAATTTTCAAAGAAGGCATTTGCATCTAGTTTTCCTTCGCCAATTGGAGCAATAGCAACCCAGAATTGGCCAATTAGGATTAAAATGTTCAATGCAATAGCATAGTAAGAACCCCAAACACCGGTCTTAGAGATATATCCCAACTCTCCGAGGGATCTGTTCTGTACTTGCATAGCCTTTCTGAATCTGATGTGAGATAGTGCGATTGCGCTCCAAGTGAAAAGCTCACTCAAACCAGAAATTGCAAGCAACCAAGTGAACACAGTTTCTTCTTTTGGAGATGCGGCCACAAATGAAATCAATCCGAAGATGCAACTTACAACTAAGCCCAACAAAGGCCTTCCCCTTCTGTCGACGTATGTTAGGAACTTTGGCGCATAGTTTTGTTCTGCCAAAGACAACAAGATTCTTGAAGAAGAATATAGAGCAGAGTTTGCAACCGACAAAACCGACAAAAGAATGACTGCGTTGATGAAATGAGGAACAACCTTGACGTGATGAGATGCAACAGCGATAACGAATGGAGAAGCATGCGTTGCTGAACCACTAGAGCCTAATAATTCATCGGAGTTGTAAGGTACTAGGAAACCCAATAAGATAGCAGTACCACAGTAAATACAAATGATACGGTATAGCAACTTTTTCGAAGCACTTGCAATTGATCTTCTTGGGTTGGATTGTTCAGCGGCAGTTAAAACAGAAAACTCCGAGCCACCGTAGGCAAAAGCTGCATTAACAAAAACACCGACAACACCTTTGAAGTGATCGATAGGCTTATCACCTGCAAATGAACCAGGATCACGCCAGTACTTGGCACCGATGTAACCGTCAGTACCGGCACCACCACAGTTGATGATGATACCCAAAATGAAGAAACCGATGATCATCAATACTTTACAAGTGTTGAAAAAGAACTCAGCTTCAGCATAACCAGCAGAACCGATAAAGTTAACAGTAACTAGAACCACGTAAAAGATCACCACAAAGGCATCGGGATTGATCGACGTGTTCCAATACTTGATGGTCATGGATGCAGTCACCAACTCTAAGGGCAAAACACACAACCATTGCAAGCAATACACCCATGCGACGGAAAATCCGAATGCTGGATCCACCAGTAGCGAAGGATAGGCGTTGAAACCACCCGACAAAGACGTATAAATCATTGCCAATTCAGAGGCCGATTGAATAACACAGTACAACATGGTGGATACAATCAGATAACCAATAATCAGACCGGCCGGACCACCGTTATGCAGGGATTTACCGTTACCGACCAGCATACCGGTACCTACACCGGTTGCCAGTGAGATCATAAGAACATGTCTAGGCTTAATGTTTTGCTTCAGACTCTTGTGTTTACTGTCAAACTCATCGTTGTCCAGTTGTTCGATGTCGTCCTGAGTCACTTCAACCTCTTCTGGTTTTTTGAAAGAGTCGACGAATCTGTGAAAAAGGCCATCTCTGGAGGAGTTACCGACTTTGGAGTCATTTGTCACTTCGATAGTGTCGAATGACTCCACTAAGCCTTCTCCAGACTTAAGATTGCTTAATTGAATATCCGACATTCGATCAAGAGCGATCTCCGTTTGCAAATTGCGATCAGTACAGCGAAACCGCTGCGACCGGCTTTCTCATTCTACATTTATACCACGCGCGCCGCTCCGCCGAAGATATCGCCATTGGAGTCATAACCGAGATAACGAGTTTAGAGTACTGCTGCCTATTGGAGAGATACCCCCGGAGCGCCTACTTTCTTCTTCTGGCGACTCATTCGGCACCAAATACAGTCTACCGCCGTATGTATTCCGCCACGCTCTGGCACTCAAGCTAATGTGCCCATCAAACTACGTTCTGGCGCGATTTTTTGCTATTTTTGCTGGGGTGCAGGACGTCAAGCTTGGCAAAATGATGCCCATAGGGCAATTCTTTTCGAAAAAGAGCCTTTCAAACGGGGTTTTTTCAGCGCGACCCTGAGAAAAAAGAACCGTGTGAGGCACAATTCGGCATGCATAATTTCTTTTTGTCGTGGTCTCGAGAGTTTCGGAGTTTATCATATCCTACGTTCCGTTGAAGTCTCACTTATTTCCGAAAATCCGTAACGGGTGTCTTGGCGAGTTGGCAACTCTATTCGTGTATAGCTATAAAATGATTTGGATGAAAAGGCCGATATTCTATGGTCGGGTAACGTATCGTTCGTAGTTATCATCCCTCGGATGGAATCAGCGTTCACGCGCTGCCCTCGGAATAAGACAAGTGGTGGCAAAACCATATAAGAAAAAAATACGATATAAGCTATCTCCAAATATCACGTCCGTTGCAGCAAGGTAGAGCTTTCCGCACCCACGCAATTAGCACAACAAGGATGTCAGAGCCTCAACAAGAAACCAAGCCAGATATCAAGCCAGAGACACATATCAACCTTAAGGTGTCAGACGGTTCTTCAGAGATTTTTTTTAAGATTAAGCGTACAACACCCTTGAGACGTTTGATGGAGGCGTTTGCAAAGAGACAGGGTAAGGAGATGGATTCTTTGAGATTTCTATACGATGGTGTGCGTATCCAAGCTGATCAGACGCCTGACGATCTCGACATGGAAGACAATGACATCATTGAGGCGCACAGAGAGCAAATCGGTGGATCCTCGAGCCTTTAGACCGCACATACCCTTCTGTACTTTATATTAGCAGTGTCCACATAACAAAGTAACCACTATTGGCCAATGGCAATCTACGCAAACGGTCAGATTCTCGGCCAGATTGGACAAGGAAGAAGAACAAGAAGCGAGCTAATAGTTAGACTCATTGCACGTGATATTTTGGCACGTGACTGTTCGTGTCCGGGTAACTTATAACTGTCTGTTTTCTTTTCACGTGACATGTTTACGTTTGCTCTTTCGTGAATAGTGATAACATCTGACGCGAAAATCAAGCAGAATTTGTTGCGACGCGTCACCCTTTTTTTTCTCTAGTCTAAAGACGGCCGTACCATTTTCGGGATCGAGAATGGCCAAGAATTGGAAAACTGCTTACCCGATGGGGAACTTCAATGACACGAAAAGTTGGGCAAGACTTTTTGGTGAAGCGAGGTGTAAGAAAAAAGACATATTTTACGTGTATCATTTTCCAACTGCTCACAACTCCATAACGGAAAATAGTAGAATCTGTCTAGCTGGATTGGTTCAATGTCGGCTCATTCAAGGCAGAACTCGATAGTGAACTCGACCCTCACCACGTTGAAAGGCGACAAGATCGGTCCTTGGAAGCTTGGGGCCACGTTAGGTGCCGGGAGCACTGGCAAGGTTTTGATGGCACAACACGAAAGCACGGGCCAGCAGGCTGCAGTGAAGATAGTATCGAAGTCCATTTTCGGCGTCCAGAGCACATCCTCAACCATTGTGGGCTCTAATGACCCAGACGTTCTACCTTACGGTATTGAGCGTGAAATAATCATCATGAAACTTCTCAATCATCCAAACGTGCTGCGGCTATATGATGTCTGGGAAACAAACTCCAACCTTTACATGGTCTTAGAATACGTCGAGAAGGGAGAACTGTTCAATCTACTTGTCGAACGTGGACCACTTCCCGAGAATGAGGCTGTGAGGTTCTTCAGACAAATTATCATTGGTATCTCGTACTGTCACGCGCTTGGTATTGTCCACCGTGACTTGAAGCCTGAAAACCTTCTATTAGATCATAAGTTTAACATAAAGATTGCCGACTTTGGGATGGCCGCTCTAGAGAGCAAAGACAAATTGCTTGAAACGTCTTGTGGTTCGCCTCATTACGCGGCACCTGAAATTGTGTCTGGTCTTCCTTATCACGGCTTTGAGAGCGATGTGTGGTCATGTGGTGTCATCCTTTATGCCCTGCTAACCGGGAGACTACCATTCGATGAAGAAGATGGGAACATAAGAAACCTCTTACTAAAGGTTCAGAGCGGTGAGTATGAAATGCCAGGCGATGATGAGATATCACCTGAGGCACAAGATTTAATCGCAAGAATACTCACTGTTGACCCTGAACGCAGAATGAAAACTAGAGAAATTTTGAGGCATCCTCTACTTCAAAAATACCCAAGCATAAAGGACTCCAAGAGTATTCGAAACCTCCCACGCGAAGACACATATTTGAATCCGCTAGATAATGTTAATGGTTCTATTGATGAAACTATCATTGCGAATTTGGTTGTCTTGTGGCATGGCAGGGACAAGAATGAAATCATCAAGAAACTAAAAGAGTCTGGTCCAAATTTAGAAAAGACTTTCTATGCGTTGTTATTCAGATTTAAACATGATAGTCAACAGGAACAACTCAAGCAGCAGCGGAAACAACAAACTGCCCAAGCTTCTCCCAAAAGATCTTCTATGCGCAACTCGGTTTCCAGAAGGTCAATACAAACCACGCCAACGCCAAAGAAAAAAAATAAGCCAGTCGCAATAAGTGCTTCTTCGTCTCATAAGAGACCAGTTTCCTTCAACCGTTTTTCTTCCAGTAATAATGCAATGAACGGTGGAACACCAAGCTCTTCCAGCAAGAGAATCTCGTTAAACATGTCGTCCAATAAAAGACTTTCGGCACTCATCAACACCAACAACTCACCCACACCAGTAAACAAGAGACTATCCACAAAAGAATTTGATTTAACAGCCCATCCAATTCCTCTTGAAGTGCTTAAGGACTACAATGCATCAAACGTGAAATCAGGCAAGCGTTCTTCCAGAATGAGCAAACGATTGTCTTTCTTGCGTGGCAAAAGAGGCTCGATTACAACCAAGTTGATCGCAACTTATGCGAAGCTTTCGGAGGACGATGATTGGGAGTACATTGAAAAGGAAACAAAAAGAACAAGTGCTGATTTTGCGACTCTCTGCGACCAGATCTTCGAGCATGAGAAATACGAGCAAATTCGGAAAGAGAAAGAAGAGTTAGAAAGACGTGTGAGAGAAGCAAAAGAAAAAGAAGAAAGAGAAAAAAGACAGCGTGAAGAGGAGGAAAGGATTCGTCAGGAAGAATTACAACGTGAAAAAGAGTTAGAAGAAGAGCATCGCAAAAAACAACAGGAGCTTGAAGCCCAGATGGAAATTGAGATTGCCAAACTAAGAACTGATTTCAAAGATTCACAAGGTGCTAAATCATCGAACAATAGATCTGTGTCCGCACCTGCTGAGAACGTGCTCGATGGTAACAAGAGAGCGTCTATGATTGATGATTATGATGAAGTCAACGACGTAATTAATAGGAGAACTTTCTCCCTCGACACTCGGCCTGTCTCTCGTCTTGATCCGGGAATTTTTCCGTTGGAAGATGAAAGAGAAATTGTCGACGATGGGGCTGATAATTTAGCGACCGAAAAGACCATTCTAGAGACTATCAGGAGATCTAAGTTCCTTGGCTCGTCTTTTGACCTTAATCAAGAGTTAGAGAAGGCCAAAAGATCCAAAGAGCATAGGCCTCCGACAAACAATTTGCCAAAGCAGTTAAGAATGAACTCTAACGCAACAACGACTTCAACAACAAACGACGGATATGAGTCTCAGGCTCTTCCAAAGAACGCCATAGCGGTAGGTACCTTGAGAGAAGATTATTCAAGCGATCCTCGAAAGTTATCTGAGGTCAAGGTACCCCAATTCACTAGACGTTCTCGCCAATTCACAGCATCAAATAAAAGATTGTCAGTGCTTTCAATGTACTCGACAAAGAATTCATTCACCAACTTGGCAGACCATCTGAAAGGCAATGCTGATACGGACGTTCCAAACCGCAGTGCCTCGTCAACAGCGAAGGTCAGTCAAGAAGCAGAATTTATGTTTGAAGCAATTGATGAAGATGGCAAAGATACTGCTGAGACCTCTGCTGATAGTAGACTTTACGAAGTCCCCGAAAGTTCTGAATCTCGAATGGGCTCAAAGTCGGTTATAAAACTAAACTTTGCTGATAGGTTTGACAACCACCAATCTAATTCGAAGAGAGCTGAAGAGGACTCATCAGAGGTCAAGCTGCCAACTTTACCTCCCTTGGATAGAGGTAAAAATGGCAAAGTCAACGGACTGGGTCTGTATCAGCCTCCCAGAGATGTACGCGAAAATGACGGTAAGGTTTCCTCTATGATTCCTGATGAAGTGGAAGCACCAGCAGCAGCACCAGACACTAAAGGCCCAACTAAACAAAAGAAAAAATCGGAGCCTCAGCCACCACTTAACGAGGCTATGAAAAAGAAGCAAGATCCATCAAGGAAAGCATTGGAAGATATAACACCAGCAGTAGAGAAAAAGAGAAACAAATCTTTTTTCAGAAAATTCTCCAAATCTCGCGACGAAAAAATCGCCGGAGAGTTTGATCAAAGATTTAACACCGTAATTAATTGTGATCAGATGTTTAATGCGCTAAGCAAGTTATTGACTGCTTGGAAAAACTATGGATTGAAGGATGTCAGATCAAGCCCTTCAAGAAAATCTATAACTGGTAAACTAAGCAGCGAGAACTTTTTATCACTCAGATCTACTCTTTTTGAAATCGTTGTGTTACCTCGAGGAAGTGGTTCATATATCGGATTCGCAAAGAAATCAGGTTCAACAAAAACTTTCAATAGGTTGGTAAAGGAAATCGAAAAAATACTGGAAAGCAAGAATGCACTAGTATTCAATAACTAAAGGCGGTTTTATTTTCGATTGTTATTATGTTATAAATTCACTTCTCTCTGTAATTATAGAATAGCTTATATCCGTTTGTACTATATCTTTAAAATATGTTTCGTGCAGTTATAATGGGTTTGGTTTTTAGAAAAGTGTTCCGTTTATTACATCCTCAAAGAACTTAGTATTTTAGAAATATTAATTATGAAGTCAAATTCAAAGTGAAATTATTAATTCTAATCCATATGAACAAGTTTCATAATAGCATGATAAAACGCTATAGGAGCCTCCTGTGGGAAATTGTGGCCAATTCCAGGGACGATAAGGTGTTCCTGAAGGTTAGTGAATTTGGAACGTTCTTTCTCCATGTGCTGCGTCTCAACTCCGTCATCTTCACCCTCCAAAACAATCGTAGGTACAGTGATATTTGGTAAAGCTGCCAATTGTCGTTCAATATTCTCTTTTGAATGGTCACCAGGTATAACATCAAATCTTTGACGATAAGAATGAATGACGACGTCAACAAAATCAGGGTTTTCAAACGCCAATGAAGTCTGAGCATAAGTGGCTTCGCTAAAGTTCCAAGTAGGCGACCAAAGCCGCCACAACAACTCGCAAAGCTCCTTTCGATTACAAGCTAAACCGCGTCTTCCTCGCTCTGAATGGAAATAAAATTGGTACCATAAGCGTAATTCTTGCTCGGGTGCAAGAGGTTCAGTGGAAGCATTTATGTCTAAAATGTTGTAGCCATGGCCACAACTCACCAAACCTTTCACACGGGAAGGCCAAATTGCTGACACAACACACGCAGCTCTACCTCCCCAGTCGAATCCACCTAAAACTGCTTTTGAAATTTTGAGAGCGTCCATGAGAGCTAGTAAATCAGTACCCAAAGACGCTTGTTGACCAGAACGAGAAGAGCTTGCACATAAAAATCGAGTAGGCCCGTATCCTCGTAAATATGGAATGACACAATAGCAACCCGCTTCTGCAAGCAATTCTGATGTCTCATCGAAGGCATGAACATCGTAGGGAAACCCATGAAGAAGTATAACTGGTGTACCATGCTCAGGACCGACCACTAGGTAGGCTACTTTCAACTCTCCAGCCTTAATAAACCTAAGGGAATTACTGGGACTCATTTGAGTGGTGATCAGAGCATTGAAGGTGTCTACCGTGTGCTTTTACTCTTGCTTCAGCTCAAGATGGATATCTGCTCTGCCGTTGTGAGCCGCGAGCGCCGTTCAATCACGTGATGACAACCTACCATCCTGTCAGAAACACCCTGTAAGGACTTAACTTCGTGGCTAAACACTAGAGGTATTGGATGTAGTCTCGTGTTCGTGTTTTGACCTCGAGATTTTACTGTTGAAGCGGATTGACACTATTTATCCAGAGTGGCAAGATTTACGGATATTTCGCGACCTCTCTTAGTTCAAATTAGAAATTATAAACGGTCGCAAATTGATGGCAAGATACAGTAAATGTAGTTTAGAATATCTGTCAAGTATCTTTTTACCATTTCGCAAGAATTTCCTGAGAGTTCCTGACCCCTGAAGGGGATGCAATTAACCACGAGATGAAGGAGTATGAGAATCACTGACAACGGCGGCGGCGGTAATAAAGTTGAGTTTTGTTTTAAAACCATCACAAATCATGCAACATCTTAATCGAAAATGATCCTTCTCTGGACGTTGGTGGTATGGTTGCAGGGACTGGTCGTTGCTGAAACTCACTTATATGAATTTAATATCACTACGGCGGCTGACAAGGAGGGCAAGACATTTATATCCATAAATGGACGAACCGATACCCTAGGTCCGACACTGCGCGTGAAATCGGGAGATCAAGTCAATCTACTGGTGAACAATGAGATATGCGAGCAGAACTACGCAGACGCTCTCATGCAAGACTATTGCTCGACATCTATTCATTTTCATGGTCTCATACTGGGCAACGACGGGTTACTCGGGGCCTTACACGATGGTGTTCCTGGCGTAACGCAACACAGCATTCCTAGTCATATGAGCTACTGGTATAACTTTAGCATACCGAAAAATGTCTGTGGTACCTACTGGTACCACTCCCACTCGTCTGTTCAGTACGGTGATGGGCTGAGAGGATTATTCTTGGTTGAATGTGAAGAAAGAGACAAGTACATTAACCGCGTGGCTACGAGATTGGAAGAAGTTGGAACAACAAGTGATGCTATAGCGGAACTACCCACTTCGGGACAAGATTTAAAAATACAGGAAGAAGTGATCGCGGTGAGCGATTGGTACTCCAAATCTAGTATTGATATACTGCGTGAAGTCATGGCGCCCAATGGGGATCCCGATCCCCGCGTAGAGGGTTCAACCACGAATGGAGACACGGGCTCAGTTGCTTTTGTGGTTGATGAAGAAACTCAATACATTGTGTTTCGAGTTGTGAATATGGGGATGAGTGGAACTAACGTGCTACACATCGATGGCCATCGCATGTGTGTTATTGAAACAGACGGGATTCTAGCAAAGCCATATATGGTTGACACCCTAGCGATTGCTCCCGGGCAACGATTTTCGGTCTTGTTAAAAGTCGAGAGTCGCGACCCCATAAAAATAATCCATGGATGCAGTAAAATGATGGGCTACATTACGAAGACGCACTGGATACTCAGATCGGGGCAGCTTCGCGGAAATGCTTTCACTGGGAGGATAAGAGATTTGCCAGGGTTCGACGTAGCCGAAAGATACCTTGACTATGTGCCTATTTCGGGTTCGTTACTGCCGGAACCTGCACAACAAATCTCCCTAGATTATGATTTTGCCGACGAGATTCGTGAGCCTTTCGAGACCCCGATGTACGTGGTGAATGGCAACACCATGAACGAGTACTTTTCCGAGGGTTTGCTGATCCTAGGCGACCGTGGTCGCCGTGATCCTATCCTGCTCGAAGCTGAACAAGTTGTGGAAATTGCCATCAACTCTATTGACCACATGCGGCATCCCTGGCACATGCATGGTCACACTTTCCAGGTGGTGTCCGTGGGACAAAAGCGGGATGGCCCACTCCATTTTAATGACGCAGATAGCCCCGCCATGCGTCGGTACAAACAAGATGTTGCTAACTGGGGAGATAGGGCTCCGATGACTCGCGATACCATTAACATACCCGGCCATTCATACGCGGTAATTCGATTTGTGGCTAACAACCCGGGTTACTGGTTGCTGCATTGCCATGTCGAATGGCATATGGCCAAGGGTTTGGGTGTGGTTTTCCAGGAGGGAGATCTTGAGGTCAGCACCCTCTCGATACCAGAGCCGTTTGAAAAAGGAAAAGTAAAACAAGAGCAGGAAGCAAATACGGGACCTACTCAAACGAGCGAACCAGTATCTTCCGGCACGGTTGCAAACACAGGACACGCAGAATCCGAATTGTCGGGCTATTCTTCGGCCGATGGTGCCATTGAAGAAGAGTCAACAACTGCCACCAGCAAGATCAGGGTCCTGATCGTCTACATATGCATTATGTGCATTGTCAACCTATGCATATGGCACTATGGCCTGCGAGAGTCTCAACGTACATAGCGAGAATAAACCAGGTGGAAAAAAAACGACGTCAACATCACGTGATACGAATTGGTGACATTTTTTTCTGCCAAAAAAAAAAAAAATTTTGCGGGGACTATAACAAGGGGCAACTATCACCGGAGTGAATAGCAAGTATATATAGGAGCAAGGAGCGAAACACGTAATAGCGGATAGTATGCGAACTGAGGACACAAGTGAAATGACTACGGAACTTCCATCCATTAATAGTACCACGAGTATCTCGGATAACGTAGCTCTTCGGAACTACTATGACAAATTATTGTTCAAAAATAGCAGTGGCAAGTCACTGACAGACCTACCCCGCAAGGCCAGAGAAGAAGAAGCCAAGGAGAAGAAAGTGGATTTTATCAACGGATTCCGATTCGGTCAGATGAATTATGCACCAGCTTCAGTAAATATGATGCCTTCGAACTCGGAACCGATGCCTCCGCCACAAATGTTACACATGCCAGTTTTCCAATTGGGAGAAGATCACAGCCAACAGCAGAACCAGCAAGGACAGATGCATTCTACGATGCCACTCACATCTTCGATGAACGCGGCGCAATCCCGCAACAACAGCATCGGGTCGTCAGGGTCTTCTGGGTCGACGATGATGGCGTCGCCCACAAGTTACTACGCGGCACTCACACAGCAGTCAATTAGTCCTTCTTCCGCACTCTCTCCGGTGAATAGTGCAGGCACTATTGCGTATCCGGCATTTGGGGAGCAGCAATACACTTCAGCACGGAGATCTTCTTACATCTCTGACACGCTGATCCACGGTCAGACCCCCGAGGCGTTCATGGCGGATCAACTTTCCACGCAGGCCCCCAGAAACAGATATTTGAATTTCCCACAAAAGCACCAGTCGGTTCCCAAAGTGAACTATAGCAAGCCTGCTTCGCAGGGCAATTACCAGCTGGATAATGGGCTTATTCTGCTGAACGGACAACAGATTGTGGCGTCACCAGAACTCAAGGCGCTGTACTCTGAGTCTGGGAAGAAATATTTCTCTAGCGCTCAGGCATGCGAGTTTTTGGACTCGGTCAAGGAAATGCTTTCGGGGAAAGATACGTCTGCGATGGCGGGCAATATCCAGAAGTTTTTGGTGTTTTTGAAGAGTTGCAACCTGAATTACAACCCACAGTCGGACGCGTTTGTGTCTGGCAATGAGTCGCGCCGGAACAGTTCGACAAGCGCGTATTTGCATTACAAGCCGTTGGTGTTGGTGGCGTTGAAGAACGGGAAACTGGAGCTATTGTCGATTCCACAGTCGACGAACTTGCTCATGTGCAGAAACGACCTGGTGATCATCGACGGGGACCGGGGCAAGGACTTGGCACTGGTGGTGGAGCCGCACGTGGACTTGGACCTGGCGCTGTTCATCAACTTTCTCAAGAAGAAGATCCACTTTGATTCGCTAATAACGAACCGCGAGCAGCATTTCGCGAACCACAAGTTTGTGAAGGCGCTGATAGACACGACGCGGGGCCAGAGCGACGACCTGAACTCGAAGCTTTACGACGTGATCGAGCTGACGCAGCTGATCATCCCATCCAAGCAGGTGTTGCGGTTCGCGACGTCGTGGGAAGTGACGACGAACCTGCACAACAAGTTCCAGGACGAGCTCAAGGCGCTGCACATCGCGCAGCTCAAGTTGAAGTCGCTGAACAGCGGGCTGTCGCACCACCAGCACCAGACGCCACGCGCGCAGCTGAACATCAAGATTCTGAACGCGGACTTTCAGTTTGACCGCAAGAAACTGACGTTCTACTACGTGTGCCAGGAGCGCAACGACTTCCGGGAGCTGATCAAGGAGCTGTTCAAGTTCTACAAGACGCGGATATGGCTGTGCGCGATCCCCAACAACCTGGAGATCGACAGCAAGTACTACGACAACCAGTTGAAGGAGCTCAAGATGTACCAGGAGATGATGCAGCATTGCTCGGGGGAGGAGCAGGCGGAGAGCGGCGCGACGGGCGCGACGGGCGCGGCGGCGGGCGCGGGGTCTGGGTTCATCGTGGCACCCGCGCTCAACGCGATCGAGCTGGACAACTTCCAGATCGGCGTGTACCGCGAGTTGGTCAAGGAGCTGTTTGCTTAGAGGGCGCGCGCGGCGGTTGCTAGCGGACTGGGGGCGGCGATGCCACCTGCGCCGCGGCGCCTACGTATTTATGACCGAGTTTGGGTTTTTAGTTTTTAGTCGTTGATAGTTATACATAACAATAGAGCTGATATATGATAGAGCGACGCAATGCGCGGCAAAGGCGCCGCAAAGGCGCCGCGTCTTGTCGCTTGCGTCTCACTTGTTCTCCGCGTAAAAGAAGTTCGCCGCCACGAGTTCCAGCCCGTTCTCGGCGGCCCACCGGTGCGCGCCCGTGGCGGGCGCGCCGTAGCCCCAGTTGGGCCGGTCGGCGATCTTGGAGAGCTGCGACGCGGGCCCGGACTGCTTGTACAGCAGCAGCACGTAGCGGTGCTTGCCCGTGCCCTTGGGCGGCGCGGGGCCGACGTAGTCGGCGAGCACGTGACCGCCGGCCAGCTCCGACGCCACAAAGTCCGGCACCGCCGACGACGACGCGCGCGAGTACGCGAACGGCATGCGGATGTCGGCCTCGACGTAGTGGCAGTACTCGGACCACTTGTGGTCCGAGCGCGAGGGCGCGTCGGGGTCCGTGATCACCAGCGTGAAGAGGTCCGAGTCGCGGATCTCAAACTGCGACTGCGGGTCCAGCGTGAAGTGCACTTTGGGCTTGGCCTGCGTTTCGTCGATGGTGAGCGTGTTGCCCATGGCGACGGGCGACCCGGCGGCGTACTCGGCCGCCAGCAGGCCCCAGGGCGAGAAGCTGGACTTGATGACGTCGGGGACGATTTCGTGCGTGGCGAGGGACTCGGCGGAGGTCTTGGCGATGTTGATGGCCTGGTTCATGGGGAGGGGGGAGGGGATCGAAATTGGGTGCGACGCAAATCCGACGTGAGGCGCGGTTGCAGCCTCCACGGCCGGGGGGCCGCTCGCCTCCCTGCTGCGTCCTTTATACGTCGCGCGGGGGGCCGCAAGCTGCGAGCGGCACGTGAGATACACGTGCCGCGCCGCCCCCCTGGCGCGTCATCGTTTGCGGCGGCTCGCACCGCGCTCGTACCGTGCACCACCCACACACCGCGCGCGCCGCGCGCGCCCGTTTTTGTGTCCGTCCCGCCACCCCCTGTTTCTCCTCCCGCCGCCTCCTCCCTCTCGCTCGCTCCCATCCAACGCTATGCTGTCCGTTGCGCCCCTACTGCGCAACCTCGCCTCCTACGCGCTCTCGCTGTTGCCCACGTACGCGGTGGCCGCCACGGCCACCGCGCTGTTCCTGTACCTGGAGTTTGCCGTCCCGCCGCCGCTGTCCACGCGCTTCGACCCGGCGGACCGCGCCATCGCGCGCTCGTACACGTCGCGCGAGACGGTCTCGGCGGGCCAGTGCGTGCTGCTGGCCGCGGCGGTGCCGGCGGCCGCGATCACGTGGTGGTGCGTCGTGGCGCGCGACGCTTTGCGTCGCCGCCGCCCCGCGCCGCGGCCGCGCGTCGCGTGCCCGGAATGGCTGCCCGCGGCGGCGCACCTGTACCACGTGACGTGCGTCGCGCTCGTGGCCGCGCTGGCGCTCACGGGCGTCGCGACCAACGCGCTCAAGCTGGCGCTGGCGAACCGGCGGCCGGACTTTCTAGCGCGGTGCCAGCTGCCCGCGCGCGCAGACTGGCCCGCAGACGCCGCGGACGCGCGCGGCCGCGTCGCGGCCGCGCTGTGCGGCGCCGCGCTCGGCGGCGCCGACGACCACGCGGTGCTGCTGGAGGGCCTCAAGAGCACGCCCAGCGGGCACGCGAGCCTGGCGGCCGCGGGGCTTGGGTTTTTGTGGTGGTGGCAGACGCAGTGCGTCGCGGTGCCGCGCGCGCGGCACGCGTGGTGTCTGGGCGTGGTCGCGCTGGTGATGGTGTCGCGGGTCGCGGACCACCGGCACCACTGGTACGACGTGGTGCTGGGGGCCGCGCTCGGGGCCGGGGTGGCCGCGGGTGTGTGGGCGCGGACCATGAGCCGGGCGGCGGCGCCCGGGGTGCTGCCGGCGTAGCACGTGAGACGCACGTGGCGCCCGAGTCACGCGGCCGCCCGAGTCACGCACGTGCTACGCACGTGCCCGCCTCGTACGCCGGCCGCGGCCGTTTATCGCGCGTAACCGCCAAGACGCCACAGCGCGCACGTGACCGCAGCCTCCTTTTTTTCGCGCCCTCCCCACACGTTGCTCGTTGCGCGTCGCACCGACCAACGGCAAGAGCCCGCCCCGGCAAGAGCCCGCCCCGGCAACTGTGGCGCCGGCGCTCGCATGCGGTTCCCACTGCCCTTCGCTCGCCATGTGAAAAAAAAATTCATATATAGGCTCGCATTCGCAGCCCAGGTTTCGTTCCTTCTCTTACGGCCTCTCTCTCTACGCATCCGCTCCCACCCCCCTCCACCACCCTCGCAGCATGTCCACAGAAAAGACTTTCCTATTCACCTCCGAGTCAGTCGGCGAAGGCCACCCTGACAAGATCTGTGACCAAGTGTCCGACGCCGTCCTCGATGCGTGTCTGCGCGAGGACCCACTCTCCAAGGTGGCGTGTGAGACCGCAGCCAAGACCGGTATGATCATGGTGTTCGGTGAAATCACCACCAGAGCCCAGCTCGACTACCAGAAGATCGTCAGAGACACCGTCAAGCAAATCGGCTACGACTCCTCCGAAAAGGGCTTCGACTTCAAGACCTGTAACGTGCTCGTCGCCATCGAACAGCAATCTCCAGACATCGCTCAGGGTCTGCACTACGAGCAAGCGCTCGAGGAATTGGGTGCCGGTGACCAAGGTATCATGTTCGGCTACGCCACCGACGAGACCCCAGAGGGCCTTCCTCTCACCATCTTGTTGGCCCACAAGCTAAACAAGGCCATGGCCGACGCCAGAAGAGACGGCTCCTTGCCTTGGTTGCGTCCCGACACCAAGACCCAAGTCACCGTCGAGTACAAGGAGGTCGCTGGTGCCTGGGTTCCTCTCAGAATCGACACCATCGTTGTCTCCGCCCAACACGCCGACGACATCTCCCTAGAGGACCTACGTTCCGAGATCAAGTCCAAGATCGTCCAAAAAGTCTGCCCCGCCGACATGTTGGACGAAAACACCAAGTACTACATCCAACCTTCCGGTAGATTCGTCATTGGTGGTCCTCAAGGTGACGCCGGTCTAACCGGTAGAAAGATCATCGTCGACGCCTACGGTGGTGCCTCCGCCGTCGGTGGTGGTGCCTTCTCCGGTAAGGACTACTCCAAGGTCGACCGTTCCGCTGCCTACGCTGCCAGATGGGTCGCCAAGTCTCTAGTCGCCGCCGGTCTATGTAAGAGAGTTCAAGTCCAATTCTCTTACGCCATCGGTATCGCCGAGCCTTTGTCCATCCACGTTGACACTTACGGTTCCGCCACCAAGTCCGACGAAGAAATCATCGAGATTATCAAGAAAAACTTTGATTTGAGACCAGGTGTCTTAGTCAAGGAATTGGATTTGGCCAGACCAATCTACTTGCCAACTGCTTCCTACGGTCACTTCACCAACCAAGAATACACTTGGGAAAAGCCAAAGGAGTTGAAGCTATGATTTTCGTTTTCTGGAATTCGAATCCCCATAGTCTCTTTTTTTTTTACTCTTTTTACAAGAGCTTGCTCAACTCAAGGCTCAATACTGTAAAATATGGTTGAATGCTCTTTCTATGGCGCGCACAATTTCGCGTTTTTTATATCTTCATCGCTGTTTTTTTTCTGCATCCCTGTTTATTTTCCTATAGACGCATCACTACTTATATATAGACCTTTAATGACTCCCTCAACGGATACTTATCCCATTTTCTCCAGCACTTTGAGCGCTTTCGTAAGTTCGTCCTTTGCAGTACCAATGTCCTCGTAGTTCAGTGCACTGATCGCGTACCTTGCCAATTTTTGCACTTCCGAAATTTGTTCCTCTCGATCCATCATCGAGGTTAGATCCTCTGGCGTGTATTGATGGGTCATTGTTGTTGTGCGACTTGCTCCCTTAGCTGGCTCTTCTTTCTCAGAATCATCACTCACAAATTGAGGCTCGTCCGATTCTTCTTCAGCATCCTTACCTTGGTCAATGAAACTGGGGACACAAGGTAATTCCAAAGATCCTTCGCGGGCATGGCCAGTCGCTTCAATTGAAGCGGCGTTTGAAGCTGCATCCCCATCCAAATCATCATTTTGCACTCTATCAACTAGATCCTGTGCAGCTTGATCATCCGCCTCTTGATCTTCGCCTTCACTTGGATACTCTTCTTCTAAACTCTTGATAAACTTGTTCACTTCCTCGGGGTTTACGTCTAGCTCTGGCACCTGTGGTTTTATATTCTCATCTATCTCCTCATTCGACTCGGACTCATCCGAATTGTCCAATTTGCGCAGTTTCGCTATCAAATCATCAGTTTCTTGATCATGAACAGATGCTTCCGGTACCACGCTAGATTCTTTCCCCATCTCACCTCGTGACAACTGCCTCAAATACAATTTGCAATATTTGACCCTCTTTTGGCATTGCTCTACTTCCTCTGCAGAAAGTTCAGAGCCCTTCCAGATGTCAATGATCGTATTGAACAAATCCACACAACACCACAACGCCCTCGAAAGATCTCTGTCATACTTTTCCTCCTTAATCTTCAAAAGCTGCTCATTGTATAACGAAAGTGCAAAATTCAAAAGATAAGACTTGGCCTTTGTCTGATCCTCTAGAAGTAATTTTACTGCATCATCATTCTCCGTGGCTTTGAACTTTTCAATGTCATCAAGTAACCCAGTAGCACACTCTGTCATTTCTTCTGTGCGCCCGTCCATCGCGAGTACTTGCTCAACGCCGTAAAGTTTCATGTAATAACTTACAATTGGTAATGCATATTCAAAATCACCAGCAGTTCGTATTAGTCGCCGAATGTTCGCAGGAAGTGTCATTTCACTCGATTTTAATGATTGTCGCTTCCGTCAAAGACGCTTAACATATGTATTCTTACTTTATCTTGTAATCATTTCACATGTATCACCATGCACGTTTCTTGAACCTCAATGTCTCGCGCGTTAATTGTCTCCTTCGTGAGTATTTCATAGAACAGTATCCAGCACAAACATTTGAAAATTTCCACATCCGCTGAGGATAGCCCGTATACTCATGGCATTGGAGGAATACGAGAGAACCACCAGTTCAGATGGTGGGAATGCTTCCCTGAAACTGGTATGGGATTCAGAAAAAGATAATTTCTTGTTAGACTCTCTTCTGCCGTTCCTAGCCTCTCAAGCCGGATTGGAAGGTGAATTGACCTCTGAAAAGTACGAAGAGATCTTACAGAAATACAGCGTTGTGGTCGAAAGTGATGATGACGACCAGAAGTGGACTTCTCGTGCAAAGACGTGGGAATTATTGAAGATTTTAAATTTTGCAGACGCGTTCCAAGATATTTTCCAAGATGAGGTAGTTACAGATGAAGATGAGCCTTCTGCCAAGAGAAGAAATGAGGAGTCACATATACAACTTGGGTCACCCTTGAAGAAACTCAAGCAATCTGATACCTTGCCTATCCGAACTTTTTCACATGATTTACAGCTACCCACCCCGCTCGCTACCATGCATGCGAAAAGCCCGGTTGGTAATTTTCAACCAGAAGAACGTGTAAAGCTGGAAAGTCTTTTACAACATATTCTCTTTCCTGACACGCAAACGCTGCAATTTGATGCAGTGTTGCAGGACCTAAACAACTCTTATCCAACTGCCCCTCTCAATTTAAATTTACCTATAGATGAGCATGGGAATACACCTTTACACTGGCTTTGTTCGATTGCTAATATCCGCTTAATCAAAGATTTTATTGAGCATCAAAGTGACCGACTGCTAGGGGATAAATCGGGTGAATGCCCGCTGGTGAAGGCAGTCAAATCCGTCAATAACTACGATTCCGGAACTTTTGAAGAACTACTTGATTACCTTTATCCCTGCCTCATACTTGTTGATGAGATGGGACGAACTGTGCTTCATCACATAGTTATAACCTCTGGGATGCCTGGATGCGCGGCTGCTGCTAAATATTATCTTGATATATTGATGGGGTGGATAGTGAAAAAGCAGTCTCGCGAAATCGATGGGGAACTAGATGCAATCATCTCTACTTTGGACTTGAAATGGTTTATCAGTCATATTCTCAATGCGCGTGATGTCAACGGTGATACTTGTTTAAACATCGCTTCACGTTTGGGAAATGTTTCCATCGTAGAAGCTCTGCTTGATTACGGTGCAGATCCACAAATCTCTAACAACTCAGGGCTGCGCCCTGTAGATTTTGGGGCTGGTACTGCTAAATCTGATATGAAATCAACTCAAGTTCCAAATGTAAACTCACCTTCAACTGCAGGTCCAGACTCCTCGGTTCTGATAAACAATATACAGTCCCTATTGAACACTATTTCGCAAGATTATGATATGGAGATAAAACAACACAATGAACAACTTGCTAAACTGCACTCGGATCTAAGTGCTCAACGTGAACTTTTGGCCTCTTCTAGAGACAAGTTAGCAAAATCGAGGCAATTGCGCGACGAATATTCCCAACTGACGGAACAAGTGGCTAATATTCGGCATGCCATAAATGAGGAAGATGCAAATTTCAAGAAAGTGAGCGCTGTGCTAGGAATTGATGATGAAACTTTCGACATGGCGGAATTTGATGCCGATGAACCTTTTCGCATCGATTTCATATACGAGTTTCTCGAAAAGAAGCTACAAACAGAATATCATGGGGATTTACAACAGCTGCTAGAGTCAAAATCATTGGAATCGTTAGCTGCTCAACTGCTGGAGGAAAATTCGGGTAAGGAAGAGATTATTCCACCTGCAATACTTTTACGTGCGCGTATTTGTGCCTACGAAAGAAATGAAGAGAATTTGAATAAAACTTTGAATGAAGTTCATGAACGTCAAGCTGACCTCGAAGGAAGATTCAGAAGAGTACTTTCGCTCTGTCTAAAAGTTGACGAGGATAAAGTTGATGGAATGCTTGATGGTCTTCTACAAGCAATCTCCACTGAGGATCCAGAAGACGTTGATACTGACGAAATGCAAGATTTTTTGAAAAAGCATGCAGTTTAATCATGATGAGATTTTCTTTTTCGTTAACAAACGGTCTACTACCGAAACGGTAATACGTTTCTTAAAATAGGGACATGAATGCCCTTGTGTAACTTTTTCTCTTTATAACGATATTGTATTACATACCTGGATGGATTTGCATTTTATTTTGAAATAATGAAGGACTTGATTGTTTGAAACTCTAAAACACAGTACAAATTTTCTATTTAGCTGGTTTTTTCCAGAAATATTGCTTATGAACCCTTCTACAGCTCCTTAGCCCTGATCTTCCTCCTTTTAAAGTCGTTACGATTTGTCTTCTGTTCGCATCAGGGTCGTTCTCTAAATCATAGTAATATTCCTCATCCAAAGGCTTCCCAGCGGCATCTTTACCTTCGCGATAAATGACACCAATGCATTTCTCTTCAGCAAGTAATGCTCGTAGTTCGGCAGTGCTTAGGGTGGATATTGTGGAATTTACATCTTTTAAAAGAGCCAAAGGAACTTGCTGAATGTTTGAAAATGCCAAATGATTTGCCAATACATGTTGAATCTCCACTAAATCTATTCCTTTGGAGGCTATTTCAGTAAGTATTTGTTGACGGGGTTTAGTAGGAGCTTTATGTTGGGTCTTTTTTTTATGATTTTTATGGGGAGACGGCGTTGTGAGCTTGCGACGACGTGATAGCTCCTTCTTAGAATTGACTGGTGTTTTTATATCTTCTAGCGGAGGCGTGTGTTTCTTTACTGGTTTATGGGGTGTTGCGGGCGTTATCACAGCGAAGGAAGTCTGTGGAGTCACTGTGCTACTGAAAGGTTTCTTCTCTGAAACGTTCAATTTTTTATTGCTGGAAATGGCATCTTCTGAAACCTCAGGCCCAGCTAGCTCTGCAGGAGCACTATTTTTGGTAGGTTCTACAACAATGATATCAGGCTTTTGAATTTTCACTTTGTCAGCGCTATCCAAAATTAAAGGTTTTGGATTCACATTCTCAATCAAGGATGATTTTTCTTTCCCTGAAGAGGCATTGGCCACTGCTGCGGCAGCAGATTGCAACTCTTCCCTCGAGAGAGACACAACTCGAGCAATATCAGAAAACTCGCTTTTTGTAGCCTTGGTATCCGTAGTGACAGGTTCATCTTCTTCCTTGAACTTTGTTACAATCGCAGGAAGTGGAGCTTTAGATTCTTCCCCGACTTGCTCCAAAGAAGTTACCACTTTACCTGGTAAAGAAGTCCTCTTAATTTCAATAGTTGCGGGGGACTTGCTCTCGGGAACTAGTTTCAGTATATTTCTTTGAGGTGTAAGCATGGTGGCGTTAAAATCGTCACTATTAAATTGAATTTGCTCTAGTTCGTCCTCCGTTTCCGTCGCGTTGAGGCCATCTTCATCGTCCGCTTCAGAACTCATGACGTTGCGCAGCGACAAAACAGCCTCTGCCTGTCTGAAGTCGATAACGGTATCTGCAATATACGGCATGATCACCGATTCGCCCTTGAGCAGCACAAAAGACGTGAAGGAATGATCTTTAATAAGTTGTTTATCTGCTGGACTGTAATCTGGAGAATTTCTCACCAGTTCGTAGAGACTATGCGCATCAACGCGTCTAACAAGGTTGAAATCCAGTCTCATTGGGAACACGACAATCAACCCGTTCGTGCCATAACATTCTAGCTTTACTTGCCCGGTATCGGCTCTGTAGGAAATGAAAGCATGCTGACGAGAAATGTTCTTCATACGAGGTAAAACAACATCACACACTGCCTTTTTACGTCCAATAGCAAGTCTAGCAGGGTCTCGAGGATCTAATTGGATATGCACTCGTGTCTTGTGGAATCCAGTTCTGAACTCTGTTTCAGTCCTCTTCTCGATATCTTTCTCTGGTGTCACATGTGCGAGGGTTGCCTTCACAGGCGATGACGAGCGGCCCAGAGTCGATGACGGATTTGGGGTAGGGTATTCATGGTCTTTGTGATGCGCAGAGTTCAACTGACCGGCTGCTGCACTTCTTTTCTGGAAAAACCTTACTGCGGAGGGCGAATGGTCTGCGGAGGGTTGGAAAAAAGGATCATCGTTTGCGTCTACTGTTGAGGCACCAGCTATGGGCGACGAAGGGGGGAATTGGTTATTCATGTTACACTAGAATGAAGAGGCAAATCTTAAACGTCTTTGAAACCTTCAATGAGAAGAGCAGAACAAAGCTGGTTTGCAGAGAGTCTTCTTCAGGGAGACGCGTCCTGCACATCGCGGGAACGCTCGCGTTTTCGCGTCAGCGGCGACTTTACGCGTCGCATCACCTAAGCGAGGCTTTCTTTTTTACGTACAAACGTACATTAAGAATGTCAAAAATGAAGAAATGTCATGTGATCGTTTTCTTTGGACTGTTCTACTTTACACCCGTACATTGTTTTCTGATTTTACATCCGTGCATCTTATTGTGGTTGGTGTTTCTTGTCATTTCGTTCTTACCCTTCAGAGAGTATCAGACCTCTACGTGCTGTTCTGTGAAACTGACGCTACTCATCAGGTCAGACTCAATGGAAATTGGGTGGGAAGCGCTGAAGGTGTAAAAATCCAGACACCGCACCAACAGCCAGGCTCGACGCAGCGGTCTGGCTTGGAGTCTAAAACTTTTCAACTCTCCTCAGTAGAACACTCTTTGTTCAAACACAACGAAAGTATAAGCAAAGATGGGTAGTATGTACACAGATGGAAATGATGAGCCTGTGGGAAGATATATCAGCGGGATTAGAACTACTGTTGAGATAGAAAGACAACGATCACCGATTTGAAGATGTGGAATTTGAAGTTGCCCTAATTCATGAGATTAGATGGGAGCAAACGCTGCTGTAAGAGTCGATGGTTTGAGGATACAAATGTGGGAATATTCACTGACTTGACAAACGGGATGTGGCTGTTGCAATTTTCCTCACCTTGAAAAGGCATTACTATCATGGCATCCTTATCCTTGTCTTTCTCCTTCAACATGCAGTCTATTTGGTTACGCAAATCAATTCTGGTATCTGATATTCCACAGATTTAAGGCACTAGACCATAATACTAACGATTCTGATTACAGAGGGTACTCCTTCATTCGGTAAGCGTCACAACAAGTCTCACACTTTGTGTAACAGATGTGGACGTCGTTCCTTCCACATCCAAAAGAAGACTTGTTCTTCTTGCGGCTACCCAGCTGCCAAGATGAGATCTCACAACTGGGCCATGAAGGCTAAGAGAAGAAGAACTACCGGTACCGGTAGAATGAGATACTTGAAGCACGTTTCTAGAAGATTCAAGAACGGTTTCCAAACTGGTGTCGCCAAGCCTCAATCTGCTTAAGCGTTCGCATAGCTTGTAGCCAGGCAAATTACCTTTTATAGTATCATATTGTAGTTCTATACAAACAATGAATTCTTCTAATAAGTTCTAAGTACCTGCGCGTTGAAACGTGTGGATGCTGGCCATTAAACGTTCTAAGAACCTTGATACATTGCAAGATAGAGTGCGTCGGCGTCTTCCATTGATGTGATGCTCTCTAGTATTGATTTGGCCATATCCTTGGTGTTTCGTTCTATACCGCTACCCATTATCGACTGGCAACGTAAGAAGCTCGTTTTGCGAAATTCTTCCTCTATATATTTAGGAACTTCCTCGTCAAATGCATCGTCAAAAAGGTCTACATCTTCCTGCAATTGCAACTCGTCCAGCCTATCAACGAGCTTTTTATGCTCGCTCATCTCAATGGATTCGGTATCCTCTTGATCGGTTCCAAATACTATTCGCCACAAACACACCGTAAGTTCTGGCTCTACCTCTTTCAGATAACGGCTAGCTATGCGGCCGCTTCTCCACAATTGAAAGATCAGCTTAATCAGCCGCGTGAGAAGATCGAAATGTAAATGCATATTTTGAGAGTCTTGTCCCAATAAAACTGTCAATAGCAGCTCTTGCTCTGTAGCTAAAAGCCTTACTAAATTCTTCAAAAGCTCTCTTTCTAATGGTTGGTCTGCTCTTATGATGGAAAGCTTTTCTAACAATTTGATGATGCCTATTTTCAGCATTAAACACCACCATTCGACGTTGAGTGACTTTTCTGTAATTCCCTTTTTTGTTACGAAGTTCTTTAAGATTACTTCGGGTGCTGATTGAAGCTTATCTTTACGCACAAGTTTAGAAACTAATGGCCCGCAGTAGTTATCACCTATATTTCTAATCAATCCGAATACATTTGTCTCCGCAGGAAAAGATATGCAGGAAGAATCAGTTAAATATTCTTCCATATTACTCACATTTTTATTCAAAATATAGTACAACCGGTAGATCATGTTATTCCACCAACCTTCAGGAACCGAAGATTTTAATTGAGGATTCTCCAATATTATATTAGCTAAACTGTTAAGGATTTCCACGGAAGAATAGACAACATTAAGGATGGGCTGATAAGATATTGAAAGTGAGTAGCGGGTAAGATCTTCGATGATTTCAAGTAGATGTTGGTCGATTAACTCTGCTTGGGAATGAAGTGATTGCGTTTGTAAAACTTTGAAAGATCGCTCAAAGATATCAAATGAATAAAACACAACCAAATTATCAATCAATTCATACTGAAATATTTCTGGCTTAACATCGAGTGTAGAATCTGTATTAGCAAGGGGCCTTTTCAGTACTCTGCGGTTTGTTCGAATAAGGTCACCGGTAAATTGAAACAGATCTTTAAGAGCATATATGTGAACAGCACTTGGTCTAAATGTAATCGTGTGATACATTAATGCAACGAGAAATGGCAAAGCTGTACGATACTCGCTTTTGTGATATGAGATTTCCTTAATTAGACTTGCAAGGGTTTCCAGTAATACATCAATCAACTTATCCAATTTGACCAAGGACTCTTTTTGTAATCTCAGCATAGATAAGATTCTTTCGCCTATACTTTGTCCCGCAGAAAGTTCGAAGGTCTTGCATTTGAATTCCGTTATATGTTCAAGGCAAATCTGGCTCAGTATTTCGATAACTGTCATCTCGGAACCGGCCAATCTGAATTGTAGTAAAGAATCCACAAAAAGTCCAACCTCATCTGGGAAAACTCTGTGGGGATTAAGTCCCACCGTCTCCTTGCTAGGTTCCTCCAGTTTACGCTTTTTAGTTTTACCGCTTTCGCTCTCGCTGACGGCACTCTGCGCACTCACTGGCGTGGGGTTAAGACTTCTATTCTTGGCCTTCTCTGCCATTATTAAGAATTTTTTCTCATCCTCTGCCTTTTGCAAGTCTGCTTTAATTCGATTGACCTCTTCTCGGTGGATTTGCTCAAGTTCTTTCTTCTTTTGGACGTGAGTTTTCCTTTCTTGTTCATTCTCGGTTTGAAAGATGTTCAATTTGTCTCGAAGCATGCTAGCTTCACCTTGAGCTTTTACAAGCCGTGCTTCCATATCTGCTAGTTTTTGGAGTACATCGTCTGGAAGCGTAGATGCGGCTGGTGGTTTATCGTTAAGATGGGCTATGATGCCCCCATTGGTGAAGCTTAAGTTGGCGGAAGTGCCTCTCGGCGGCCTTTTGGAAAATTCCTCCAGTAAATCATCGTCATCTGAGAAGAAGTCGTCGTCTTCGGCCTCGTTCATGTTAAATAGTCTGAACTCAGTTTCTTGATTATTCTTCACTTTAGATTTCGCGGATAGAAGAAATTGATGCCGTCCGAATTTTGACATTTGACAGAGTCTTCGGACATCTCGTTAAGCTGTTCTATATATGATAGGTAGAATAGAAGCACCCATCTTATGCAGTTTAACTAAAATATACGTAGTGCAATCATGGAGACTAGAGATAAGTTAGTTTATTTTGTTTCAAGTTTCGTAAATGTTTTATGATAATAAAGACGGAAATTTTATTTAATGATCAAAAACATGAATCCTTAGACAAAGCGTGAAGGAAGTTGTTGGGTATGAATCTATTAAATACATTCGAAGGGGCTTTTATGTAATAACGGAGTCAAACATTGAAGCCATAAAAGTAACGGATTTTAACCACATTTCTCTTGGCTTCGCGTTGTTCATGTTCAAGTAAACAATTAGAGTCACCAATTATTACTAGTTATTATTGATCGCGCTCTTTTCGTACATTTAGTAATTATGTGCAGTGACAACCTTAGTGGATCATGAAGCCACAGCCCGCTCCTTTGTGAAAAGATGACGAACAGTACAGCAGAACAGAATTGCCTCGCAAACCAATTCTCCAAGAATTATAAACTTCTAGGGTTATCAATAAACAACTCTTGAGTCGCATCGTTTATGTCTGAGCAGAGATGTTTGTCAAATCTCATTTGTTCACGTGCGATGACTAGACCCTACAAGTTGAAAACTGTCAAACTCGATGAGGTACGAGAAAAAATTTTTAGTACCACCAATACTCAACCTTTGAAACTCGCTAAATCCAAGTGTTAACTTCTAAACAGCTATGGTTGAAGATTCCAGGGTTAGAGATGCTCTGAAGGCAGGGGAGAAGAAGTCTTTACCTGCTTCTTTGGTTCCTCAAGCACCTGCTGTGCTTTCGTCCAAAGACAAGACCACACAGCGTTTGATTGTTGTACTATCACAGGCATCGCTAGAAACACACAAGATTTCTTCTTCAGGTCCTGGAGGAGATAAATATGCATTGTTAAACTGTGATGATCATCAAGGCCTCTTGAAAAAAATGGGACGCGATATCAGTGAGGCACGCCCGGACATTACACATCAGTGCCTACTGACATTACTTGACTCGCCAATAAACAAGGCTGGCAAGCTGCAGGTCTACATTCAAACCAGCCGAGGTGTACTCATTGAAGTTAACCCAACTGTTCGTATCCCAAGAACTTTCAAGAGATTCTCTGGTCTAATGGTGCAGTTGCTACACAAACTTTCCATCAGATCTGTAAACTCTGAGGAAAAGCTACTGAAAGTGATCAAGAACCCAATCACAGACCACTTACCTACTAAGTGCCGTAAGGTCACATTATCCTTTGATGCGCCCATCATCCGCGTTCAGGACTACGTCAAAAAGTTGGATGACGACGAAAGTATATGCGTTTTCGTCGGTGCGATGGCTAGAGGCAAAGATACATTTGCTGATGAGTTTGTGGACGAAAAAATTGGTCTATCAAACTATCCACTTTCGGCCTCTGTTGCATGCTCCAAGTTTTGCCATGGTGCAGAAGATGCATGGGGCATCTTGTAATTTAGTCCTTTTACGTTTCTGCACTTTGTGTAGCAGTTCTACACAATTGTACGTAATTCAGGAGTATCATAAAATTATTAATCATAGAATTCTTAAAGCGTATTTTGTCATGTTATGCTACTGCATGTGGGTGTTTTAGAGCATCCATCACGAGGGAAAGGTAATTTCAAGAGTTGTTTCATATCTGTTTTAGTGATATTATGGCCGTTCTATACAGGGTATAAAAACTCAATAGGAGATATATACTTCAAAATGCAATATGTGAGGAGCTTCTCAAGATAATGCGAAGATTGACAACATATTTACAATTGCGAGAGAGACTGTCGCAAATTTGGCTGAATCGCTATACGCTGATGCTCGCATTAGTGATCGTGAAGCTGGTTATTTTTGCAAGATCGCTCCTGAATGCTATTGATAACTCAGAAGAATTTATTCTGGCCAATTGTGATACAGCAGATTCTTATTATAAAGAATTTGCCGATTTGGCGCCCACATATTTATCAAAGTTTGGTAATTATCTGATGGAAAAATCAATTGAGGAGAGCGCAGAGGCTGCACTAGCGGTATTATCCTCATTAGTTTCCGCTGGCGAACAGATCACGATTTTCGTCTTCGATTTTTATCTGGGGACGTATTTATGTCTGGCAACTGCGGCAATTGATGGGGCAGTCAATGTCGCAACCAACACAACGGAAAAACTCATAGATTTCGCAAATAGCACCATTTCTACGCTTGCTATTGACATCAACGATGGTTTGGATGACGTTTCAAATGTAATTAATAAAGCCATTACCGCCATCGACAAAATTGAAGATCTTTTTAGCAGTTCCGACTCTTCAGATGTCAATTCTAAGCTCAAAACTGTAAATCTCACTGTCGAAAAGCTTCAGAACCTCTACATTCCATCATCTATAGATGCAAAACTGACGGCACTTAGCAAAGAAACCCCAGACTTTTCTTCACTCATGAATAGTACGCATAGTAAGATTTCGATACCATTTGACCTGATGAAATCAAAAATCAAGGCCTTAAATGTGTCGAAAATGATGAAATCCAACGAAACGTTACCCAGCCTGAACGTATCTACAAACTCCAGTGGTATCTGTGCGGCTAGCAAACCCCAGATCGTTAAATTCTACGCCACTGTGACACGCTCTGTCGATACACTCACAGTTGCAATCACAGTCACTCTGGCCGTGGTAGCAGCGGGCGTGTTACTACCCATAGCGTGGTTCGAGTACCGGCAATGGAGAAGGCTCTGTAAGCTTAGGGATGAAATAGAGCATGCAACAATTGCAGGATACGCTACTGAATACTCGAAGAGCGACCGAAAATTTTACCAACCCGATGCCATTGCAAGTTACGAACGGGCATTTCACCGCGTTCCCACTGCGCTTGGTGACTGGGTGAGTACTCGATTGACCACCAGCATACGTACCAAGCGGAGAATTCAGTGGTGTGTCTCCTACGCAATGTCCCCACGCGCTCTGACGGTGCTGGGAGTCGCAATGGCAGGTATCACAGCATGCATCTGCCAATTCATCCTGCTGGCCGCCGTCCGCCGGACGATCGATGATGGGACAACTGGCGCGCTCGCGTCTAGTGTGCTCCGTTCCGCCAATGAGTCCGTGCGCACAGACATGGCACAGTGGTCTGCAGCGACAAACGTCTATCTCAACGCAACGGAGCAGAGCATCAACGATGAGCTTTTCGGATGGCTTCAGGACTCTACGCGTTCCGTCAATACAACCGTCAACGACATTCTTGATGACGTGGATGCAACGCTTGCAGCACTATTTAATGGGACCCTTCTCTACGACCCCATGGCGGCCGTAGTCCGCTGCACAGTGGGAAACAAACTGCTCAAGATCGAACACGCACTTACGTGGGTCCATGACAAGGCTCATATCACGCTGCCGCGCGTCAATGACACTGCCCTCGTCGCAGCAATGCAGTCCAATGCCTCGTCCTCTGCGTCATCGTCCACGTCAGCGTTGCTGAGTCACCAACTAGCACAAAATGCTCAAAAATCGATTCTCCGCCTTCTCCGCCAGTGGCACAGCATTCTTGTGACCGAAACGCTCGTAGCGATCGGTATCTTGGCGCTCTGGGTCGTTCAATGGCCTGTGGCCATCGCCATTCTTCATGCACTTACATAAGCATTCAACGGGTTGACGAAAAATAAAATTCGGCAACAGTTTAGTAGGTCGCGTGACCACGTTTAATTCGATTTTTATAGGTGTTGTCTTTCTAATCAAAGGCTCTCCTTGAACATGAAAAACTAAAATTTTTCCTAGTTATACTTGTAGGCTGTGTGGCTCCTTCAAATAAAGCTCGGAATTACAAAAAAAAACAATTGCATTTACACCTTAGTATTTGAAGGTTATAGGTCAATATTTGGTTGGGTTTGCATTAATTTTAGGATAAGATTAGCAATAAGCTAGGACCCGCAACTCACTGCAATTCATAAGAGGTTTCCTGTTAGCATCGGTTAAGTGATACGACGCTTTTGCACCCATCAACATACATAACACAGAGTCTTCACGGTAAGACATGAAACGGTTATTTTCAGGAGCCAAGTCTCCAACACTGGAATTTTTGGCACCGCCAAAGACGTTCCAGAATTCTGACGACAAGCCGAGATCAAGATCATCTTCGTTTTCCAAAATTTTCAGCTCCAATGAGAGTTCGCCGCACAGGCAGTCGTCGCTGCCTCCGATAGATGTGCAATCTTCCAAGGTTCCACCTGAACTGGTGCCGATTGTGACACTTCTGTCGGCGCAGGCGCACAGACGTTACTGCGAGGGCGTGTTTTTGATCCTCAAAGATTTGAACAGTGACGGAACACCTGCCAACAGGGCATGGAAGGAGGTTTACGGTGTACTGATTGGAACACAGTTAGCAATTTGGGACGCGCGTTTGCTTGCTGAGAACGGCAACAACGCCGAAGAGTTGATGAGAGCAACTGCTAAACCCACCTACGTGAATTTCACAGACTCAAACTTTAGGCCACTGGAGTCCAAGGACGCCGTTCTGGCAGAGGGCAAAAAGAAATTCGAGAACACATTGGTTGTGTCGACCACGCTCAAGAACAGATATTTTTTACAATTTAGCGATAAGGAAGCCTTCAGCGAATGGTATGCTGCCTTCATGCTGAGTGCGTTCGAGTTTACCGCCTTACAAGAGGCCTACACAGGTGCATTTCTGTCTACGAAGGGAGCTAAACTGGGTGACATAAAGGTAATCCTAGCAGACACAAAATTTGACTACGAAGATTGGGTCAGTGTCAGATTTGGAGCTGGTATGCCTTGGAAGCGGTGCTATGCAGTTGTTTCTCAACCAACAAAGAAGAGCTCAAAGAAAAGGATTTGCGGCGAAGTCAACTTCTATGAAAATGAAAAGAAAACGAAAAAATCACAGGCGATGACCACGGTCACAGATGCATCTGCAGTGTACGCTATCTATCCTTCATCTCCAGTTCTTATTGATACTTCCACGATGATCAAACTTGAAGGGACTGTTTCCTTTGGTAAAAAAGATACGCCAAAACCGACTGACATTTTTATCATGCCCGAAAAGCACTATGCTGTGCCGGGTTACGATACCATCATCCGGTTTTTAATCCCCGCTATGAACGCATTTCAACTTTATGGGAGACCTAAACGTCTGATCGCCGATAAGACAGATTTTGGATCCCTGCTTTTTGGCCTGCCTACTCTACCCCATGTTCATTATCTACAAGTCCAAGATTTGTTACCTTTAAGCAACTCAATATCTAGTAAGGACTGGTCTGCTTTGGAATGGAGGGAACAAGTGAAGAGAATTCTTCAAAAAAAGTTGAGTCAAGGATACACCGGTTGTGGCTCCATGGAAGGTCTAACGGGTGCATTAGCTTCACCCGCCATAGGATCTAACGAATTGTTTGATAGCACTCCCTTACAGACGTCGCCCCTCTTGGCTTCGATATCCAAGTTTCCTGATGAATCCAATTCGGATACAAACTCGTTATCCAATGCGTCAAGGTCAGGAACCACGTTGCGCAATGTAGTAATGAAGCAATCAAACAGTGAGTTTAAAGACAGCAGATCAAGTTACGGTAATGATAAGGAGACTCCTACTACTGAGTATCCTCCAGAACCTTTTAAAAATATTGCAAACGCAAGGAGTTTTACTTCACCCTCTCAAAACAGCTTTTCAACGCCTCGCAATTCACCAAGAAAAGCTATTCCCACTATTGACATTCAGGACTCCAATTTCAAATCTTTCGGTAATCGACCAGCTTCTCCTGCACCAAATGAAAAGTCTAATCTCTATGTTCCAAACGATAAGCTGCAAACTAGGAAGTCTGAACTCTCGACAATATATGATAAGTACTCTCAGATGCCATCCGGATTCAACGAACCGCCATCTAGCTCGGTTGGAAACCATGACCGTCAAAGAGATTCCGCTGGTGCTTACAATGAATATATGGGTTCCCCCAAGGTTAAAAAATTCGACATCTCTAATCTAAGAGACTCCAATAGCACTGACAGAACTGAAATGTCCCGCACTTTACATGTACGTGATGAGGCAAAAGTGAGAAGTAATATCAGTAGTGAGCATACCTCTCCTTCCAATATAGATGAGCAATCTATAAGGGATGATGTGCTGGAGGACTTTTACAGCTTGTCCCAACAAATTTCGAAGATGGGACTTGAAAATAAAACCGAAGCCAAAGATTACTCTGTTAAAGATGACATCGATGATTTCAATTTTGAGGCAATTAGTAGAAATACTATCGAGGATAATGTCTTTGATCCTGATTACATGGAACAAAACCAAATGTTAGAGACTGAGAGTAATTTTACAACTGGTGAACAGAAATTCCAATATGGCAACGAAAGTGTAAAAGGAAGCCAGCAATCAATTGACGATATTAGAAATAGAAACCCTTACCTCAAGTCGGAGGATAGTTTACCTGTCAATAACGGTTACGGTCGTAACGTTAATGGAATTTCTAGTAATTATACTCCAGAAGCTTTGCCTAAGCAGCGCATAGTCAATCCATCAGGCTCTCCAGGCTACAAGCAATTCCCACCTGCTACCCAGAACCCAGCAGGTATGAAACATTCTCCCGCTTATGCCAATCTACATGTTTCATCAACTTCTACGGTTAGTAAACAACAGGGAAACTATGCCATGCCTCCAAGACCACCCCCACAAAATGCTCCTCACCAAAACGGTGGACCCTATCGTCGTCCAGCGCCTTATCAAGGCCAACAGCAGATGGCTTATCCTCCTAATTATCCTCACCCAAAGAGCCCGGCAGGTCAACAATTTGCTGTTCAAAATGCACCAGCAAGGAATCCTCAATATTCACCCTACCATAGTGCACCTTATAATGGCGCACCTCCTCCTGGGGGCCAAATGTATGGCGCTGCACCTCCGCAACAATATGTTCGTCAAGCGGTTCCGCCCCATCAAAAGCCTAAACACATACAACCAATAACGGGCCAGAAGATTAACTCCCAAAAACCTCGCTCTCCCATGACAGGTGGTTTTTCTCAATTCATGCCATCGACTGCAAATAATCAAAATCCTTACAGTGCAAATCCATATTCCAAATGATTGTCTATAATTCTTCTCGATTGTGCCTTTGATTTAGAGGAATTTTGGAGCTCCATACCGTACTCGAATTTTTATGATCAGTTGCCATGATCATTACTTTCAAATGCTGCTATTATAACTGGTTTTACATAGCTCTGTGTATCATTAAATTCAATATAACTCTACCGATTTTCTCTAGATGTGAACTATGGTCGTTCATAACGACATTTTTCGCATGGTAAAATGTTGGATATTTGTTCATCGGAAAGAAGACTATCTAACAAACCATACAGTTCCTGGCAATGAACCACATGCGGCTTTCGGCTAGTGTGTTATCCAATATAACAATTGGTGTACCACTTGGGCTGAGAACCTTTCGAAGCTCCTCCTCTATACCGATCAGGCGGCTTTCCCCGTCAAAAGCATATGCGGGGTATCATTCAAGAATTCCGAAGACGACTGCCAGAATATTTAGTCAAGTGAGATGGCAGAGTCAGGTGTCACAGAAAGTTTCATACAAGCTTTCATCTAGTGATTCGAAAGCTTCAGGCTGGAAAGATATAAAACGTCTATTTCGTTTGGCGAAACCTGAATCAAAAGCCATGGCTTTGGCTTTAGCATTAATTTTGATTTCAAGCTCAGTGAGCATGGTAATTCCTAGCGTGATCGGTAAGTTGATGGATATTGCCAAAGAAGGCCAAGAAGAAGAGAAAGAGGGGAAGGAAGCTGGTGAAGAGACTCTTGTGTACGGTCTTACTTTACCCCAATTCTATACGACACTTGGTGTCGTCTTCGTGGTGGGTGCATTGGCTAATGTGGGTAGAATTGTAATTCTCAAAGTCACAGGCGAAAAATTGGTTGCCAGATTACGTACCCGAACTTTGAAGGCGGCTTTACAACAAGATTGCGCGTTCTTAGATAGAAATCGAGTGGGTGACCTAATTTCAAGACTGTCTTCAGATGCCAGTATTGTGTCTAAATCTCTCACACAGAATATGTCCGATGGTACAAGAGCTATCATTCAAGGTGCGGTTGGTTTTGGGATGATGAGCTTTATATCATGGAAAATGACATGCGTGATGATGCTTCTAGCTCCTCCCTTGGCGGCTATGGCTCTCGTTTACGGCAGAAGAATAAGAAATCTTTCAAGAGCATTACAAGCTGCTGTTGGTGGCTTGACCAAAGTAGCGGAAGAGCAACTTTCATCCACTAGGACAATCCAAGCTTATGGTGGAGAAAAACAGGCCATTCACCATTATGCAAAGGAAGTTCGTGACGTCTTCCAGGTCGGTTTGAAGGAGGCACTCACATCGGGTGCATTTTTTGGCCTCACTGGATTCATTGGTAACATTGCAATGCTAGCTCTACTGTTGACAGGAACTTCAATGATTAGAAGTGGAGCCATCACCGTAGGTGATCTATCCAGTTTCATGATGTACGCTGTTTACACAGGTAGCTCATTGTTTGGGTTGTCGTCGTTCTACTCTGAACTGATGAAGGGTGCGGGAGCAGCAGCAAGAGTTTTCGAACTAAATGATCGCCAGCCTATGATTCTACCTACGAAGGGTAAGGATCCTGTACGTTTAGAGGGTAAAACGATTTCCTTCAACAATGTCGCTTTTGCTTACCCTACCCGTCACGAACATCAGATTTTCCACAATCTTAATCTATCCATTAAACCTGGGGAGCATGTATGCATAGTCGGCCCATCGGGTGGGGGCAAATCCACTGTAGCTTCACTGCTTCTGAGATTCTACGATGTAGATTCTGGCTCCATAACAATTGGTGGGGAAGACATTCGAGAGTTCAATTTAAGGAAATATCGTAGATTACTAGGAGTGGTTCAGCAAGAGCCTCTTCTTTTCAATGGAACCATCATCGAAAACATTATTTACACTGTTCCTCCCAAAATTGCGAGCGACGAAACACTTGTGGGACGAGCAATCGGACAAGCAAACTGTTCGGCCTTTCTTTCAAACTTCCCTGACGGACTGCAGACTATCGTAGGTCCGCGCGGCGCGCAGTTATCTGGCGGGCAAAAGCAGAGAATAGCCTTGGCACGAGCGTTTCTGTTAGACCCGGCGGTGCTAATTCTCGATGAGGCCACCAGTGCGCTCGACTCAAGAAGCGAGGAAATTGTGGCCAAAACATTATACGCAAGAAGTGGAAGAGGCAAAACGACAATATCTATTGCACATCGTCTCAGCACCATACAGCATAGCTCGCGGGTAATTGTTCTCGACAAGAGTGGGATGGTCGTTGAAACTGGCAAATTCGACGACCTTATTGCAAGACCTGATTCTCAGCTAAACCAACTCCTACGTCAAGAGGAGGAAGAAGGCGAAGAAGATACCTCTTGATTGATACATGCTCTTTGCGAGATCTCGACGTAAGTAACGAAATTTTATAGAATTATCAAAAGATGAACAATTTTAGGTCCGATGGGAAATATCACGTGGTATCCGATGACTCGAGATCAAAGCCACAGTTGTGGTGATGCATGGTGCGCTCGCACCATGATGCCGGAAGACATATAAGACAGAACCTATACGGTGGATCGCTAGTGGCAAGTCAAGATTCCAAGCGGCTGGATAATCCATGAGTTCAGTAAGACGTTCGACCTTAAAAAGTATCGATCCCAAATCACTCGATGAAATTAACCCTTTCGTAAAGTTGGTTCACAATCAGGCCATTGTCGAGGTGCCGGAACTAACTTTAGAGTCAGGGATAACTATTCGGAATTTTCCTATCGCATACAAGACTTGGGGTGAACTTAATGAAGCCGGGAACAATGTTCTAGTCATTTGCCATGCTCTAACTGGGTCCTCGGATGTTGCCGATTGGTGGGGCCCCTTACTTGGGAAAGATTTAGCATTCGACCCCTCTAGGTTTCTTATCGTGTGCCTAAACTCGATGGGGTCTCCCTATGGTTCATTCTCACCTTTGAGCATCGACTCGGAAACCGGAGAGCGCTATGGACCAGAATTTCCATTATGTACAGTACGTGATGATGTCCGTGCGCATAAACTAGTGCTGGATTCACTGGGCGTAAAGTCGATCGCGTGTGTCATCGGTGGTTCTATGGGCGGTATGTTGGCTTTAGAGTGGACAATGACTTTTGGTAAAGAGTACGTCAAAAACATGGTTGCTTTGGCAACGAGTGCGAGACACTCAGCTTGGTGCATTTCATGGTCTGAGGCTCAAAGGCAATCCATATATTCAGATCCTAAATACCTAGATGGTTACTATTATCTAGACGACCCTCCGGTTGTGGGATTGTCTGCAGCGCGTATGTCTGCACTTTTGACATATCGTTCTCGCAACAGTTTCGAGAATAAATTCGCACGCCGTTCGCCTTCGCTCGCTCAGCAATTGAAATCTAACAAAAAGACAGAACTCGCGAAGCCTTCGAATCTTCAAGAGCACAACCTTTCAATCCACAATGATGGCAATTCTAAGTCAATTGGTGCTGAAAGGAAATCTAGCGTTTGCAGCGAAGCTTCCTCGTCAGAATCTTTGAAGTCTGTTTCCTCATGTACTTCTAGTACCTCTTTGAGTACGTTCCCTAAACCACATCACAGCGTAAAGCCTGCACAAACGTACTTCTCGGCCCAAAGTTATCTGCGATACCAAGGTGAAAAGTTCGTCAAGAGATTTGATGCTAATTGTTACATTTCCATTACTAGGAAATTAGACACGCATGACCTAGCACGTGATCGCCCAGAGTATGACAGTGATGTGGTGAAGGTTCTCAATTCTATAGAGCAGCCATCACTGATAATTGGTATCAAGTCAGATGGACTATTCACTTATCCCGAACAAGAATTCCTTGCAGAGCATATTCCAGGGTCAACCCTGGAGAAGATTGACTCAATTGAGGGTCATGATGCATTCTTATTGGAGTTCAAGCTGATAAACGAACTTATCGTCAACTTTTTAAGAAAGAATGCCAGGGAGCTGATGGAAGCGCCCAGTCGTCTTTGGCAAGGTGACGAGAATATCGAGGTTGTGAAGAATTCTGTCTTTGGTGAAGCGGAAGAGGTTACCAATTGGTGAAATGCATTATTATTTAACATTTATATTAATAGCATCGCCGTATTTTGAACAGAATATAGCGAAAGAAAAGTTAATATTGGTACCTGTAACTTAACTACAATAAATCAGAAGTAAAAATGGGAGCTGGAGTCTGTCAAAATTGCTAGAGCCGGTACTATCTTAAACTAGGAACCATGAACTATCTTCCTCATTGGAATCATCGCTATCTACTTTTTTACCTTTGCGTCTTTTCGCCAGTATCAGGCTTCTAGCATATTCCAATTCAGAATATATGCAACTGATTGCGACTTCAATGCCATTTTCTTTTGCTATTGCTTCTTTGATCTGGTGTGCCTTGTTAATAATACGTGAGTTAGTCGTTATTTCTTTAAGCGCTCGCGACAAAGTTTCACTGTTTAATTTCTTTAAACTAATGCCAGCTCCAATATCTTCAACCCTTCCAGCATAGAAAAACTGATCGCCAAAAAATGGTTTAATAATTGTCGGAAGGCCTGCTCTCAGTGTGGCACCCGTTGTGCCAGAACCACCATGATGTACCGCAGCATCAATTTGAGGAAACAACCAGTCGTGTGGAACCGAGCCTGAATTGTATACACACTCAGGTAATTCAATCTCAATTGATTTAGCGTCATCTCCGCCAAGTCGTTCTGACCAGCCTTTGTTGAGTATGCAGAATACGTCCGCATTGACAACTGCATCTACTACCGCCTTAGTCATTTCTTTGGGATCATTAACCACAATAGAACCGAAGCCTATGTAAACCAATTTCTTGTTCAAACGCCTTGCCTTTGTTATAAATTCGATCAATGCAGCGGGCGGTGCATAAGTGCTTTTCTCGTCTAAAAACCAATATCCGGTTACTTTCACCCATTCACTGAAGTCCACAGACGGGGGAAATATTGTTGGAGATATGTTATAAAGGAAAGGAACTTTGTTTTGCTGTAGCAGATCAAGGTTTGTCTTTTCTAGCCCCAAAGTTTCTACCCTCCATTTGTTGACTTGTCCACTCACGCCTTTCCAGAATATGTTTTCAAACAAAACATGGGTCAAATAGTTATAATTCCCTCCTCTCTTTTGATCTGGGACAATGAAAGCATGTGGATATGCCCTAGTTCTAGTCCAAGGCATTGTAAACGCTCTAACGTACGGTATCCCTAGCGCTTCCGCTATGTGGATTCCTGCCATGGCAGATGGTGACTCTATGAGTATATCTAAATTTTGACAAGCTTGCCATGAAGTTTCCAATAGCTGTTGAATCCATCCACGAAAGTGAGTCGAAGCTTCTCTGAGTAGTCCCACATTCATAGAACCATGTTGAACCATCAATGACATTAGCTCGGCTGGATTGCCTGCAATTTTCTTGAACATTAACCCATGAGATTTAATCCAGTCTTTGAATTCCTCATGTGTGATAATTGTCACAGTATGACCCTCTTTCACCAGTCCCTTTCCTAGAGCTATGTATGGCTGAACGTCACCGCGTGATCCGATAGTAAGAAGCCCAAATCGGTAAGACTTCTTGGGTGTAATGCTCGTTTTATAATAGGGACTCTCCTCTATCATAAATGGAACGTCAAAACCCTCTGCATTTATTTTGTCTTCAAATAATTTAACTTTAGCAGCTTCGGTCAAATTGTCATTCTTAATGATTCCGGTGTTATCAGTCTTCTTCGAAGTTCTGTCGATTTCGACCTCAGTTGATTTCAATGCTGGTTTAGCAATGTCCAGAAGTTTTAGAAGGACGAACTCCGCATCATCCCTTGAAGATCTCAGACTAAACTCAAAAAAAAGCTCCTCGTGTCCATGAATGACAAGTACTAAGCCAAAATAACCAAAGCGGAATCCACGTTCTTTGTAGCAGTTTTCTAAGTCCTTGATCGGAAGAATCATTCGCGTCTTCGAACGAGGGATCAATGATCGGAAGCAAACAACAGATTTACCGAGATAAAGTTTTCCATATATTGGAATATTTTTGTTCAGATATGTATAATAAGCAGCCCGTAAACTTTCATCGTCATCCAGTGAGAAATGAGATTTAAATCGCTGATTTGCCCTCTGTTGATCCAGTGATGACGTTAAGTATTCGTCATCGCCAGGGAATAACTGCTCCTTATCGAATTGATAATGTACAGGATGTGCACTCCACATACTACCCATGTTTTTAATGGGGCGTGGCGTCCATCTTGCCAGTCGGGAATAGTGAGGCTTTTCTCCTCCCTCAGGGGAATCACTACGTCCATGATTTTCCTCTGAAAAAGCTTCCGAGTCACTTAAATTCTCCTCATCATTAAATTGTTCGTTCTGTGACGTGTAGTCAATATTGAGCTCTTCTTCCACATCCCCTTGGCCGGGGGATTTACTCATTAAACTATCAGTCATGGATCTCAATCTTTCTTTCACCTTTCTTGGTGGTCTAGGTGAAAGTGACGAACTTAAGGACAGAGCATGTCTATTTCTAAGTGAAACTGGGGACAGCACACGTTTGAAAAGCCTCCTAGATGTTGATAACGATCTTCCTCTATGTTCAGATTCTTGGGGGCTAGAATTTTGAGATACTTCTTTGATTGAATCGCCATCGGGGAACGGCTTTTTAGCCATCAAAACTTCAGAACCGTTTAGCTCTAGATTAACCAATTGCACATTTATAGTTTTCTTAAGAGTTATGCCAGATTTATTGAAGAACATGAAAAAATAATCATCAATTGCGTAAGACTCTGAGCTTTCTAGTACTCTAACGCGAAGAGTGACAGTTTCGGCAACGACAAGTTGCTCATCGATATCTATGATATTTGCCAGAGGTATCTTAATAGACATGAAATCATTTTTAGAGTGTTGTGAGGCAAAAACCTGTTTCTTTAAGGCACTGCACCAGGATCGTGATGCATATTCAGAATCTGCGCGGAATTTGAATGTCTTGTTGTCTGTATATATTTTGAAATCGGCGGTCACTTCTCCATCTTCCTTTACTACTTCAATCTTATTTGTATAGCGCAAATCAATAGTTAGGATCGGGAAATAAAGTTCCTTGGGAGAGCTGTAAAATGAAAGTGTATGGTCTTTTAAAACTGCCCAATAGCGTGCAGATCTAGCTCCTAAACTACCACTATTAAATGTCGTGAGATTGCCTGATAATTTTGGTGTTCCATTGCTTTTAGGCAAAAATGCAAAAAAGAGAAGATGTTGAGTAGTCAAAAATATGTGACCTTGGATGAGAACATCTTTTAGGAGCCAGCAAGAGTATTGCGTGATAAATAAGTCTTTTTCTTCGTCCAAGTCAAATCTAGAGGAAAGTTTCTTGAATAGTTTGGATGGTTTGTACTTAGAACTTGATGTTATCAGAGATCGTGCATCTTCATTGGGTTCAATAGAAATCTCGAAAAGCGTATCTTTCCTAGAGGCTTGTGTGAAGGCGTCTGAATGTAGGCTCGTTTCTTCAATTGTTGAATCACTATCAGAGTCAGTATTATCATTTTCATCTTCACAAATATCTTCAGCCTGCTCGATTTCACCCATTCCAGCATAAACACTAGCCGTCGTCAGAAGTCCCACAATGCTTTTGGCCATTCCGCAAGGTCTCGCCAAATCATCTTCGAATTCCTTTGTGGACGTAGTTTCTTCGGTTGTACTTCCACTCTTGATAGTTTCGTTGCTTGTACTTTCTCGCCTTAGATTGGCAAGATTCGAAACTGAATGATACATCTTGCCCACAGGCCACTTTGAGTTTCGCCATTTAGACTTTGAACTACTGTTGGTAAGCTCCTTAGAGGGCGCTACAGAGCTTTCGGTTTCAGTTTCATCCGAAAATGAATTTGACATGGCTTTAACTGGTAGTTGATCAACTCACTTTGAGCAAAGTTGATGATAGCTTCTCTTGATGTGAAGGACCCCTTACTCTCGATGCCCATTGCCAAAGTAGCACACACAAACTTAAAAATATCACGTGGTGGTAAAATAAACATGACATAGCCAAAGTTAACAAGCATTACTTCATAAACTAAAAGCTATACTTTCTGTTAATTAGTTGATTACTTTATTTATTTTCACCGCTTCCGATATAGGATATCATGGAAGAAAGATATGTCTTCGTTAGCTATCGGATCCTAAAAAGAGCTTGCCATTTTTATTCTCTCCAAAGTTATCGCAGTAATTTGAGACGCCTCAAGTATATATTGATGGCTTTTTTATGATTTATTCCATATTCGCAGTTTTCAAACATTTCATTTTTATTCTGTGCTCTTGTATTTACGTGACGTTAAATTGGATGAGCGATTGAAAGTTCATCCATCTTTACAAAACGTGATAATAATATCGAGTTGCCTCCTGTAATAAATTAACGTCGAAAAATATTGAAAAAGGAAGACGTAACTCCAGTTATAGCTTTATTAAGTATTTATCGGTATTTCGGTAGGATCTTAGCAACTATAGCTTATTTTCCAATGTTTCTTGGATTTCCCTCCTTGAGTCTCGAACTTCTTGTGAGACTTCTTCTAACGCGCGAATTTCACTTCGGCCAAATAGGAATGATATTAAGCCATCAATGAGTCCAGTCACTGCCATGAATGTAGCGAAGAATACCCAAAACACAGAAGACCACCCTGCGCGATTAGAAGTGAACGTCGTGACGACATGTATTATAATGATGATTAAAACCGAGAGCCAGAAGTGAGTCCCCCTCCACAACTTCTGCCACTTGGAAACTCTACGATATTTCGCAAGAACTTGAAGCATTTCTTCATAATTGGCGAGTTTGTCTAACAACAAGTCTCTCTTCGGAGGATTTTTGGGCTGAGATTCGCTTTTTGGAAGTAATCTAAGGGTACAATTATAAGCAAAATGATCAGAAAAGCTACCAACATTTGGAATCTGTTCAGTAAACTTCACCCTTGCCTGAACAGTCTCCAATCTTTCAGGATCAACCAAGGCGTAGTCCAGCCTACAAGCCTCATCGGGCCTCCTCTGTGCCCTCCAAGTATTTAGAATAGAATCACAGGTAGTTCCACCTAATCTTATTTGGTCATGGGGGTCCATTCGCGAAATCAATTGCAAATCCTGCTCTCCGTGTAACTGTTCCCACGAGTCTACAAGACCTGTCTCCTTTGTCAAGAATTGATGAGGAAGAGAACCAGGTCTTGAGTTGAGGTCCCCTACGATCACCACCGCGTATCCAGCTTTCTTGTATAGATTTGCAATTTTGCTAAAATCCCATGCTTGGCATGACCTATGACAGTGATAAGCTGCGTCACCTTTCAGCGCATATGGAGCATGCATGTGGCTATTCAAAATAGCAAGTGGATATGTTGACTTGCTTAAAGGCTTAAGTAAGGTGATGGAAACAGACTTGCCCACGTACCAATCGCCTCTGAAGAAAGCGCTTGGTCTGCCATTGATTGGAAATCGATACAAAAATGTCGATTCAATGGGTATCTTTGACAAAATGGCTAACCCAGGACCTGCCAGTATTCCCGAATAGAATATTCTGTAGTAGGGGTACTTTTGATGACACCTGCTCACAATATAATCCCAATCAGATTTACACCAAATTTCTTGAAGAGCTACCACATCATAATCATCCTCTAGCTCACATTCATCTGATCGCAAGGTCTCTGAGCCAGGAAGGGGAATTGCTGCCGATTTACCGGCTAATTTGTCCGCAATAGCTCGCAACCGTTCTTTTCTATGCTTCGAAACAAATTTTAGTCCCCACGTATTGAAAGTGAGAAACTTAACGTCATAAATATCGCCAACTACACTCATCCGCGCTTTAGTGTAAGATGCTTCTAGTTGGAACAACTCCTTTTTCTCTTTCGTCAGCGTTTGTTGTGAAATGCATCTCGATGTAGTCGCATTTTCAACTCATCACAAAAACGCGCACAGGAAGAAACATAAACAAGCTTAAACGAGAACCCTTGAACACCTGATATTAAGAAACATGGCAATAGATTCTTTCATAGACTTGCAAAAGGAAATGGATGTTTTTCAGGAACATCTTCGTCGTGTTCTTGAAGATCGGAAACTTAAACTACTTCAAATGATAGACGGTTATAAAGAAGAAGTTAGAACCTTAGAGATCAAACAGAAGGAAATTGAAGCTCAGGTTGAGGAATTGAGAGATGAAGAGATTAATTTGGAAGCTGGTATGTTATGATAGACTTCAATTGGTCTTTGAGTTTTGTTACTAACTATTTACCTTTATGATTTAGAAATAAAAGAGTCACAGAAGCAGCATGATGAAAAGACATCGAAGATCAATAGTTATGAAATTAGGAAGAAGCAGCTGGAAACAGAAAAAGCAAACGTCGCAAAGGAAAACGAAGAACTGAAATCTATGCTTACGCGAAAGCAGCACGAGATTGAAAAACGAAAGAACGCATTACTCCTGCAGCGTCAGAAAGATTATCCAGATGTGCGTATTTACGAAAGATTATTAGGCCTCAAAATAGACGCAACCAAACCTGAAACTCTGCGGTTCACTTTCAACCATGTCTCCCCCTCCGACTTGACGAAATCATGTGAATTGGTATTGGGCCTTACATCAGACGATTACAAGGTATTAGAGACAGTTCCTAAGCTGGACCCTATAACCACACATGAGCTAGAGAAAGAACTGAATGCCAAAGGCAATTTGCCAGAATTTTTGAAGCTCATAAGAACTCAACTGGTCGATGCTCTTCAGTCGTAAATGACGACACGGTTTTCAAGAAGTTTTACGCAAACTCTATCTGAGTTTTGAAACGAATTGCAGACGGGATCTCTTAAATTACAGTGATGAATATGAATCTAGGATGTCTTTTACTGTCATTGATAGGGCTAGTAAACTTAGCCCTTGGATCCCCAGGAGATTGGCTGGACGAGTTTATCGACTGTAGGGAGTCCTGCGAAATAATACGGTCATGCTCAGATCCAAGTACAGATGCTCCTGACCACCATAATGGATTTGACCTCTCTTACTTCGACGAAACCCCCGTGTTTTTACGCAAATGTCTTCTTTGGGACTGTGAGTCTGACTGTGATTACCAGTGTCAACAAATTGTGACCATATTAAGGATAGAGAATGGAGAGGAAATATATCAGTTTCACGGCAAGTGGCCCTTTAAGAGGATGTTTGGAATTCAAGAACTCTATTCCACACTGTTCAGCATAGCTAACTTTGTACCCCACTACCGAGGTTTCAAAATACTCAGATCTGAATTGAAAAAGCTTTCCCACTACGATAAAAGCGGTATCCTGTTAGATAAATATGTTTACGTATCCATCGCAGGCATGCTCGCATGGACAGCAAGTTCAATCTTTCACCTCAGGGATTTCATAGTGACCGAGAAACTAGACTATTTCTTCGCTGGAGCGACGGTTCTTAGCGGATTCCACGCTATTTTTATCAGGATCTTCCGCCTTGATAAACATGACAACCTGCGCCATCTCTTCTGTGGCACAGTTATATTAATCTTTTTGATGCATATCTTAAGGCTTTATCTCGATTGGTCCTACACATACAATATGAGATTTAATGTCGCATTTGGTGTGCTTCAATACCTTCTCTTGCTCACCCTTTCATACCGGAACTATGTGCATTTAAAATCACAACCAAAAAGTAGGAGTTCTCCTTACGCATCACAGGCTCAAATGACGTGGCAATTGTGTACCGTCCCGCTTTTGTTGGTCGTAGGAACTTCGCTTGCAATGAGCTGCGAATTATTTGATTTTTTCAGCTACACATGGCAAATTGACTCTCATGCTATTTGGCACGCTTGCACAATTCTTCCATCATGGAAGTTGTATGATTTCTTCATCAGAGATTATCGCTATTTAAAACACCGTTGTAATAGCCTCGCCGAGTGATTCACTGAAACGTGTAATGATCAATATATGTATATTAGTATATACAATCATACGACCGCATCCTGATACATGTTTATCTAACCTTAATTTTGGGCTTTCATCTTCGCAGAGAACCCTTAAAAAAGAATTCCAAAATCTAAGCCTTTTTAAAGCAGTTGCAAAAATATCGATGTCTTTTGAGGAGCAAAACTCTCATAGATATAGAAGGGTAAGATGACTCTATTCAAAGCTAAACGTAGGAGATCGCGTTCTAGCTTCAACATTTCAAATATGAGGGTAATGGCGGATCTTAAATCAACTGCCTCCTCTCAAGGATCATTACAGAAAAATGCACGGAAAAGTATAATTCCCAAGCCACTCGCAGGTATAATTAAAGATGTGCAAGATAGGGCACCAAGTTACTGGTCAGATTGGAGGGATTCATGGGACTATCGTGTGGTGCCGTCTGCGGTGGAAACATATTTTAACAATTTACTTCCTGCCTTAGCATTTGCGCAGGATATGTTTGACCGGACAGACCATGCATTTGGGGTAAATGAAGTTTTGCTTTCCAGTGCAATGGGAGGTATAGTCTTTGGTATTCTAGGCGGTCAACCGCTTTGCATCGTCGGAGTTACAGGTCCTATCAGCATTTTCAATTATACGGTTTATGATATTATATCTCCCCTCAATACCAATTATTTTGGATTTATGTTTTGGGTTTGCATTTGGTCAATGATTTTACACCTTCTATTGGCCGCTTTTAACGCTGTTTGTTTATTGCAATATGTTACAACATATCCGTGCGATATCTTCGGTTTATTCATTAACGTTGTTTACATTGAGAAAGGAATCGAAATATTGACAAGACAGTTTCATGATTCAGAAGGACAGGTAGATGTAGCAGCTGGCTTTGCAAGCATCACAGTTTCGTTGCTTATGGTTATTTTTGGCTTGTCCGGAAAACTTTTCACTTACACTCCTCTTTTCAAGCATTGGATTCGTACAGTCATTGCAGATTATTCAACCGCTCTTTCTGTTGTATTTTGGTCTGCATTTACACATTTTGGTGGGTTCCTCAACAATGTAAATTTCCAGCGACTACCGATTACCAAATCATTCCATCCAACTTCCGTAACCAGAGATCGGGATACTTGGCTTGCGTATGCATCCATTCCAGTACGAGATGTCTTCATTGCCCTTCCGTTTGGAATAATTCTAACCATTTTATTTTATTTCGACCATAACGTTTCATCACTTATGGCTCAGAGATACCAATACAGATTAAAAAAGCCGTCAACCTTCCATTACGACTTTGCTCTCTTAGGCGTGACCACTGCTGTGAGTGGGGTACTTGGGATTCCAGCCCCTAATGGATTAATTCCCCAAGCTCCTCTTCATACGGAATCCTTACTTGTTCGAGATGAAGCCGGAGAGGTGCAACGATGTGTGGAGCAAAGATTCACTAACACCGTACAAGGTATCATGACCTTGGTTACAATGGCAAGACCTTTCCTGATTTGCCTCGGAGAAATACCACAAGCTGTGCTTTCAGGGTTGTTTTTCATAATGGGCGCGCAAGGCCTATTCAATAATGTGATAATAAGACGGATTATATGGATATTTACAGATTCCAAGAAGAAAGACAAGGAGAATAAGCTATCAACCATCCCGAATAAGGTATTAATATTGTTCGTGGCAATTAGTCTTGCGGGGTTTGTAGCCGAATTTGCCATAACGAACACTAGAGGAGCAATCGGATTTCCTTTGATTCTGTTGCTAACTGTAATTGTAACCCTTGCTTTCCCGAAACTATTTGATGGAGATCATATAAGTGTTCTGGATGAACCAGTAGCGAAAGAATTTACTCTCAAGAATCTGAGGGCAGAAAACCTTGATTTACAAAAATCTTAGAATGTATGTAGCGGTTGAGTGTGTTGCATAGCGGCCTGTGCAACTACCGCATAAGTAATATCCATTTAATATGTAACAGCTATCTATCCGACAATATCAAATTGCAAGTCTCTTCTAAGAGCAACTTCATTTGAGATTGTCAATCGAAAATGCGGTCAAACTTATCGGTGTAATATAGCCCACAATGTTGATATATTGATTTTCGGAATGTTGGCGAAAAAATAATTAATCTGAAAGAAGATCCAATTTTTTTTTGGCGACTTCCTAACACCATTCTGTGTTACTACCGCACCGGTTTGCAGTAATTAGATGATTCCGGAACCATTGGACCCTGCATTGCTTCGTGAGCATGCTTTTCAAGATACAGGAGATCTTAAGATAGTTCTCGACCCAGCAACATTCACTGAAGAGGGTGGTTTCAAGCCCATCTTAAAGTATGGCCTGGGCTATTTCAACTATGGTCTTGGATTAAGCAAGGAAGTACACCAAAGAAGCTTCTTTTACATGGCAAGATCGCATATGATCACACATTTCAACATATATGGATCTGTACTGCTATTGGTAATGATCCTATGGGCAATCACACTCTTTTCTGGAAAGGGAGTGTTCCGCTCAAGTTTACCTAGATGGAAGTCGACGTCTAAGAAAGAGAACGATGTCTACTATGTAAAAGTATAGCTATCTATTGTCATATATCACATCATATCATATAATCTGTGGATTTGGGATAATAAGAAAACGTGTTAAAGGTAATACCTAGTGCTTAGACTAGAGGTTTAACCGCGTTAACCCAGGCTTCATTCTTCAACTCAGGGACAATAGTCAAAACCTTACCAGACTCTATCACTGATTTAACATTCTCAACTACAAACTCTTCCATTTTCTTGATAGTCTCAACTGTATGGGTGCCCATATGTGGAACTGCACAAACGTTAGGCAAGTCTAGTAGTTCCTGAGGAACTTGAGGTTCATGCTCGAAGACATCCATACCAGCAGATCTGACTTTACCGGACTTCAAGGCCGCAATTAAAGCAGCCTCGTCAATCACAGCACCTCTTGCTGTGTTTACAATCACTACGCCATCCTTCATCTTAGAAATTGCTGCCTCATCAATTATGTGCCTTGTGTGTGGGTTCAAGGGAATGTTGATGGAAACGACGTCGGATTGCTTCAACAATTCTTCAAAAGATACGTACTCACAACCGTTTTCCAATTCAGGGGATAGTCTATTTCTGTTGTGGTAGATAAACTTCTTGAATCCGAATGGTTGTAGTCTCTCCACAATCGAACGGCCAATTCCTCCAAGACCCAATACACCGACGGTTTTGCCTGCTGGGTCATGTCCTACTGGGGCGCCTGCAGCTGCCCCAGAAGAAGGCCACTTACCTTCGAGCATCAAGCGATGACCGTACTCGAAGTTTCTAAGTGCCCCAAGAAGCAAAAAGACATGCGTGTCTGCTGTCGCATCGTTAACTAGCTCTGGAACGTTGCTGACTTGAATCTTTTTCTCCTTAAAGAAAGGCGTGTCGATCTGATCGTATCCCGCACCATTGTGGCAGATAGCAACTACTGAAGAAGGCAATACCTTGGCCAATTCTTGATCGAAACGACCAGTTTGCTGCACACTTGCAAATGTTCTTGAAATTACCTGCGCTTTAGACACCTCACTCGAAGGATCTTGGCAAAGAGCAAGAAATTGCGAACGGGTGGTTGATGGATCTATAGTAACCACTTTAGCGATCTTGGAAAGCTCCTCCCATGCTTCTTGAGCGTACTTAATGGCACCTAATCTTAAAACAACTGGCTTTGACATAATGCTTATCTGAGTTGTCCATATCTCCGCCTTCCGCTTTATGCGAAATCCTTCGCCTATTTATACTCTTGTGCAGCCACGCGAACTACGAATTTTGCCGATGTTCCGCTAAAATCAATGTCTGAAAGCTTGAAATCATAGTGTTGAAGTTGCTATGAGTAATGCCACTCATATCGACGAAGGAAATAGGTCTTGCGCAACTGTAACTCACAGACACAGCTCTTCTGGCGTCGTTATGAAGGTAAAGACATTCAGATCAAGCTTCGGAGTTCTCCGATCCACACACGTGACCTAAATAAGCACGTATACAATGACATATAACTTCACCAGTGGCAAGCTCTAAAGTTTGAGTCGGGTTGTTATTTGAAGAGAGATTATTTGGGAAATTAAGCGACGTAGAGACGAACTCATTACGATGGCAATTACCAAGGGAACTCCAAGGGGCGGAGGGTCATCCCAGCCATTCACGGCGTCTCCAGAGTCGGCGTTCAAGGTGGCACACCAGCGCGTATCTATTGACGTGGACTTGTCGACGCACTCTGTCAGCGGGATGACTGAAATAATTCTGATACCTTTGAGTGACAGACTAGAATATGTGACCTTGGATTGCAAGGAAATTTCAGTCAATGGCGTAATAGTTGAAAATCGCCGTTGCGATCACTTCATTCACGATGATCCTTTTAGATGGTATGCGGACAAATACACGAAGGGCGAGCTCTCTGACAACGTGTTGTATAATTACAATTCAGTAGAGCAATCACATTTTCTGCGTAACAAGTTTGCAGAACTTAACCATGCTTCCGAAATTACAGACTCTAGCAGGTCGCAGCTAACCATCAAAATTCCTTCATCCGTTAAGATAACGTTACAGGATCCTAATTCTCTTTCATCATTCACACCAATAACTCCTTCTATTAGGACACCGGCGCAGGATGCTATTTACTCCCCGATTTCCATTCGTGTAAATTTCGAACTTCATAATCCAATTAACGGAGTCCTCTTTGATACAACTAAAGAACAATATTTATGGAACGCCTTCACCACAAACTCTGAATGGACTTCTAGTGCTTCTCACTGGGTGCCTTGTGTAGATTCCTTAGCGGAAAAATGCACCTGGGAATTAGAATTCAGCGTACCGAAGAAAGTTCGTGATATAGGAACCACTAAGGTAGTTGGAGCGTCTCAACCAAAAAAACGCAAGAGAGAATTAAACAGCTTCGAAGAAGAGGATGAAGACGAGGAAGAAGAAGAAGAGGAAGAAGACAATCCAATGAATCGTGATATAGTGGTGTGTTGCTCAGAATTTTCTTCTGGTAAAGAGGCACCCCATCCAACAGACCTATCAAGAAAAGTAGTATCGTTTCAAATCTTCAATCCTGTAGCTCCTCATCACATTGGATGGGCAGTGGGTGCATTCCAACTTTGGACTTTGCCACAAATCAATTATGTGGAGGAACAAGAGGAAGAACAAGACGAAGCCACGATCAACGAACAGCAACAAGATGATGACGAAAGAGATGTTATACCAGTTCAGATATACACGTTACCAAGCCCTGATATAGATGAGCGGACTGTATTGAATTCCACGTTAGTTTGCCAAGAGATAATTGATTTCTATTCCAAGGAATTTGGATCATATCCTTTTACTTCATTCTCTCTATTATTTTTACCATCGTTACCAGACTCAACGATGGACTTTGCCGCTACGACGTTTTGCAATACAAGATTACTGTACCCTCCTGAAATGATTGATCCCATATTTAGCACAACTGATGCATTAGCATGGACACTGGCCAGTCAATGGTCCGGTATCAACATTACACCTGCGGAATTGAATGATGTTTGGTGTACAATTGGTATGGCAGGGTATATGTCCCTTCAATTCTCAAAAAAACTAATGGGTGTGAACGAATTTAAATATAGGGTCAAGCGTCAGTCAGAAATGATCGTCGAACAAGATTGGGAAAAGCCTCCAATTGCTTCCACATTCGACAATGCCTCTATGCCTTTATCAACAACCTGTCGCGAATTGGAATTTGTCAAACTGAAGTCTCCTATCGTTTTGTTTATTTTGGACAGGAGAATGACAAAGACAGAACGGTCGTTTGGTATGTCGCGAGTATTGCCGAAGATTTTTCTTCAGGCAATGTCAGGCGATCTTCCAAACAACTGCTTGTCATCTGCCCACTTTCAGCATGTCTGTGAGCGTGTAAATAAAAGCAAGCTTGAGCAATTTTTCAAGGAGTGGGTATATGGTTCGGGTGCTCCCATATTCCGGATCACTCAGCGGTTTAATAAAAAACGCATGGTTGTAGAGATGGGTATAAGACAATGTCAAGTTCAGGAGTTGGGTCAAAATAAGACTATCGGCGTTGAAGGGTTTCATTCAAGTGCAATGAATTACCTATGCCACAAAGAAAAAAGCTTAACACCTGTTTTCACTGGGTCAATCACCATCAGAATCCATGAGGCCGATGGTACGCCGTATGAACACATTGTTGAAATCAAAGATGCATTCACAAAACTTGACATTCAATACAACACAAAATACAAAAGATTAAAAAGAAGGAGAAAAATCAACAAATCAGCAAAGCAGGAGGGCAAAGATCAAACTCCGATAGATAATAATGAAGCTCCTCCTAATGAGGAAGAAAATGAAGATGTGGTTCTCGTCAATTGCTTGGGTGATGTTTTGCTTGGTGCGAAGGATTGCAGTCAATGGAATCTCACCGATGCACTTATGACCAGCGAAGGAGACGAGTTTCAACAACAAAATGAGGCGTTTGAGTGGATAAGAATCGATTCGGATTTCGAGTGGATTTGTAAAATTCACATAAACCAGCCCGATTACATGTTTGCCTCACAGTTACAACAAGATCGCGATGTCGAAGCTCAAATTGATAGCGTCAGATTCTTTGAGGACGTTATAGTAAATTCAAACGTCAATTCTTTGGTTTACTCGTCGATTTTAACAAGGACAATAATGGACGAGCGCTATTTTTATGGCGTCAGAGTGGAGGCTTGTCGGGCGCTTTCGAAGTTTGTGTGGAGAGATTCACAATCGCCGCAGTTTTATGGTGGTGCAATGCACCTTATTAAGATATTCCAACACTTTTTTTGTTATAAGGACTCTAATATACCACTCAACAATAACTTTTGCAATTACCAAAAGTATTTTCTCCAGAAGTGTATTCCAAAATATCTTGCAGAAGTCAAGAATGAAAATGGATATTGTCCCAACTTTGTCAAGAAGTTTCTTCTCGATATTCTGAGATATAATGAGAATTCGGAAAATTGCTATAATGATACCTACTATGTGGTTGTTTTAATTGGAAGTTTGGTAACTAGTGCGATACAAGATAAAAATGATACCTCTTTTGTGAAGGATTTACTTCACGAACTTCAAAGGTTCGAGAATCTTGATCAGTGGATACCATCATATCAACTCTTGGTCACTAAAAGTATCATGCTCCAGCATTTGAGGCTAGCAGTCGATGATCTTTACGTGTATGAAGACCTTTCCAAGGTGTTAGAGTTCACTATCAAATCGGAAGCTAACTCCTCTTTGAATGAAGTTACTCATATGAGAGAAGGCCTACAGGACCTAGTCCTCTCTGCGTTTAAAGTACTTCTAATTGGTGGAGGGATAAAGAATAAAGAAGGTCTCAAATACTTTTTCGAATTTATGTCGTTTCATCCTGACCCATACATAAGGATCAAGTTAGTGGATGTGTTGATTGATGCCATTAACTTCATCTCTGTGAGGAATAGCATGACGGACTTAGATGACGATATAGAAGGTTTAACAAATGCCATCAATCCTGAGATTGAAAACGGCTCCATAGAATTTGGTGATCCAACCTCTGTTAGGGAGCCGTTCAGCGTAGAATCTTCTAATAGAAGAGAAGCTCAATTGAGAACTAGCATACATGGTGTCATTACCTTAGTTCGTCGAAAGTTTGCAAAATACGAACCCCTTAAGCAGATTATCTGGGACGCACTACATTCGCCTTTGCTGAACGTTTATCAAAAGAAGCGTCTTTTTGATCTCACTAGAGTCATTTACAAGCTTGTCGATGGCTTTTGTGTTACACTTCCAATTCCAAGAGACAAAAAACTAGTTGCAAGAGATATGGGTTCTGGCAAGGTCAAAATCAGGCGAGAAGGGATACTCAAAGTTCATCTAGCTCCGAAAGTCAAAATTACCACGAAAGCAAAGACGTCAGTGCCCCCTGTGCCTTCCAAACCCTCCAGCAAAGTGAAAATAAACTTATCGAATGCAAAACGGCCGGCTACCCCAGTCAAGCAGCGTAGAGCTGCGCCTCAAACTTCTATTGCATCTCCCGTAAAGGGAAAACAAACCAAAGGAGCGGTTTTAAAAGTTGGATCCTTACCCTTAAGATACGTCAGGATTACAGAGAACAAGAAAGTTGATCTTTCTGCAGTCCCCTTCAACAATAATGTCAGCATTATTAGATCCAATGCTAGATCTCTGATGATTAAATTCAAGCTACCAGAATCTAAGAGGAAATAATCAACGCTTGTTTTTAATTTGCATTTTACCTTGAATTTTCTAGTTGTAATATAAAATAGTACTTTAAAATACGTTAGCTCGTCGGAAAACAGAAACTGACATGTGATCACATGATTTGTTGTTTTTTTCTCATGATCGTATCGGTAGGATTAATATTGTACCTACTCATCGGATTGAAAATCCAGATTCAATCACGATCAGATTAGCCTGAGAGAAGTGTCAACTTTGGTGGTAGACATCGTTAGAACAAAACAGTTGCTGGGCTGAATATAATGAGGAATACATATCGAGTGTTCTTTGCCAGTGTTTTCGCTGCCACACTGGTGAGATGTACGACACTCGAACAAACCACATATGACGAAGATATCTCCACGAACCAGCCTTCAGGTTTGTTCAAAAATGAAAGTAAAGAAAAGTTTGGGGTGAATATTACCATGAATGCCGGTTCTCTGAGTATAACAAGTAAAATATCTGAAGGGCTGTCGAACATCAGCACCAGCTCGGCCAACGAAACGGCAGTTACTACCACGGTTACGAGGCCCAGTGAAGAACCATTCTCATCGAGCTATTCATCTAAACCGATGTCTAAGTCATCTAATTCGCCTACATTACAAGAATTCGATGGAAAACCTGGCTATTTAGTTCCAGGAATCGAACTAGAAGAGCAAAGAGATTCGAATGAGACTGATCCTAAATTTTTGACTTTTGATGAGTGGAAGAAAGTGAAACTTAATGAAAATCCTGGTGTTCATCAGGAGGAAAGACAACGTTCATGTACCTATAAGGATACCTCTATTTACAAATCAGAGAGCATAGGCGAAGATATGGAGATCGACTTGGGGTTATTTACGTCATCAGATAATTCTTTGGATGATGAACCTGAAGGAAAACTTTACAAAGATAAGTTTAACTATGCATCGCTGGATTGTGCAGCTACAATCGTCAAAACGAACTCAGAAGCATCTGGTGCAAATGCAATCCTTCACGAAAATAAAGACAAGTACCTGTTAAACCCCTGTTCAGCACCAAATAAATTTGTTGTCATCGAGCTGTGTCAGGATATTTTAGTTGAAGAAATTGCAATTGCTAATTATGAATTTTTTTCCTCCACCTTTCAAAACCTACGATTTTCTGTTTCAGATCGTTTTCCACCTAAGAACGGGTGGAAGGTCCTTGGGGAATTTGAAGCACAAAATTCCAGAAACATACAAAAGTTTTCTATTGAAAAGCCTATGATCTGGGCCAGGTACTTGAGAGTTGAAATTTTATCCCATTACGGAGACGAATTTTACTGTCCAATTTCGATAGTGCGAGTTCATGGGAAAACGATGATAGATGAATTTAAGCTTGATGACACAGAGTTAAAGGTACATGATGAAATTCAGGATGCCCTTGTGGGTGTCGAGACGAAATTAGATATAACTGGTGCTGCTTCCGAAGAATCTCCGAAGTCTCATAACGAATCTACTGCTTACCAATGTATGCTTCCCAATTCGTTGGCGGCCAATAACATGACAATCCTACCTGATCTCAAAGACGACTTTAGATGTCCAGCAGTCCTCCCTCATTTGAAGTTCGATGAATTCCTGAAGGATCTGAATCAATCAAGCAACGACCCTACTAAGTTCCAGAGAACCTTAAACATCTCTAACGGCCTTTCAAATTCATACACAGAAGAATCAATTTTCAAGAATATCATAAAAAGGTTAACGCTCCTAGAAAGCAATGCCACACTCTCTTTATTATACATCGAAGAGCAAAGCAAACTACTCTCTCATTCATTTTCCAATTTAGAAAGAAGCCAAACAAAAAAATTAGAAACGTTGGCGGATGCATTTAATCACTCAATAATTTCTAATCTGGAGAGCCTCAGCTCATTCGCGAAACAGTTGAGAGAATCATCATTGAAGATTCTTGAAGAGCAGAAACTAAATAATGATCAGTTTACAACGGAGACACTACTTCGTTTTGAAGCGATGAAGAAAGAAGCAGCATTTCAGAAGAGGTTGATCTACACAACGCTTTTTGCCTTTACAGCGTTACTGGTTTACATTTTACTCACTAGAGAGGCATATGTTGATGAATTCATGGAGGATGACGGCTGGTACTTAAATTCTCCACCCTTGGAAAAAGCTCGAAAAAACCTCATGCGTAAAACGAACAGGAACATATCAGCAAGCAAAGCTTTCGTTTTTGAAGCGACATCAAATTCCAATGAGTTGGATAACAAGTCGGATTTTTCACTTTCCTCCTCGTCAGCTTCACTTTATGATGATACCAAATCATTTAATAGTGACTCCGGTAGCATATCATCGCCATTGGGAGGTTATTCCAAAAGTTTTCAAGTCAACAGGGATGACTATTCCAATGATAATGATAATGATGATGTCGATATAGATGAGATAATTGAAAGGAGCACTGGCAGGACCACTCCTCAACCGCTTTAGATGATGTAACAACTCAAACTGCACTGTAAAATAACATTCGGACCAAAAATAGATTTCCAATTCCCAGTCACAGAATGTAATGCTAATCATCCAATTATTTATTTTTACATAGTTCGAGGTGAAATCCGAACCAGACAATAATGAGAAATCATTTCATTTAACCTTTTTTTTGTTTGAAGTATATTCTATATGCTAACGTCGATGCATGAAATCGTGAAATTTGTTTTTGATGTGATAGGCATCGATACATTAATTGAGAAAACAAATATTATGCAATTGTTCTGAAAGTTCATTAAAAAGTTGCTCTGAAACAACAAAAGTCCATAAAAATAGCATCGTGAGAACGAGACGAACTCTGAAATGAAGATTCTTTCATTCCATATAGTCGCTTTCAATGCTGTTGAATCGGGTTACGATTCGGGGCTGTGAGAGAGATTGATGCGTTGAGCTGAATGAGTTGAGCCTAGTGGGGGGTTGTTTGTGATAACCTATCATAGGTGAGCTATTAGTTGAAACGGAAACCATGGAAAGGCTGCTGCTAAAAATTGATCCCGGAGTCCGTGGAGAATAGGAGTTTGTCTCTGAAAACTGAGACGATGTTTGACTCAACAGCGTGTTAGGATTCATAACTGATGCAGGTGATACACTGCTGCTCTTGTTTCCATTGAATGTCCCCCCACCTCCTCCCGAAAAGGTTAGCCAGTCGGATTGATACATAGAACCTAATGCCGAATCCGATGAATCCTGTTCGCTCACTACGTCTGAGTTTCCATCAAAACTGGTGCCTATGAGCAAATCAGTTAACTTGCTTATCCGATCATGCACTGTTTGATCCGCAACTGAGTTCACAAGCTGTGTCAGTCTGCATAAATTGACGTATAGATCCATATTCTCCTTGGTAAATAGATGGAAGACTTCATCAAACATATGTCCTTTATATTTGCTCATCAAGGCTTCAGGAAGGTTTTTACGCAGAGTTTTTGACTTAAAAATATCATTAAGGTACAGCAAACAGCATTTTCTAATCTCTTCTAGGGTTTGTTCATCCAAATTTAATAAGGGAAGCTCGTTGCCTGGTGAATAATGACAAAATGGAGCCTCTGTTTGCTCTAAAAGTGCTTGAATATCTAGACCATCCAGAGGCATATCATTCAAAGAGAATTGCCGGCCCGCCCGAATCCTCTCTGCGATAATACAAGGCCAATGAGTATCTTTTAATATCCGCGAAGCAACAAGCAATGACGCTATGGCTTTAACGGGTGATGAGAAATACATGAAGTTTTTCTCATATAGTGACAATTCTGCCAGGAAAGAAGAAAGAACTTTTGTCGATGATTGCGATTGCTCAGTGTCTAAAAAATCCCCAGCAAGCAGAAGTTTCAAACAATCGTGTGTAGTAACAATCGAACCAATATTCCACTTCAATGTGCTAAGAATGTGTTTTTCCATTTGTATGAACATCTGAGCATCATAAACATTACGACACAGCGTAACAAGCTCTTTGGCAGTTGGAACTCTTGATTTCTTGTCCTCATATTTGGCAGCTATCCATAAAGATGTCGTTACAACCAATTGGTAGTGCCGCTTGTACACAATACGGGTGGAGATATACCGATCGGCAATCGAGCATGCCAAAAACAGCGTTTCAGGCTGCAGGCGGAAATAGCAGTGTAGTTCGATCAAGAAATCAATCAGAAAGGGCCGCATATACCATTCCAACTCAGGTTGTTGTTCAATCATGGCAGGATCGATGCCATTCTGAGCAGCCAGCCCGGCCAGGTGTTGCAAGATATCATTTCGGTATTCTGCGACCGACTCCTCACAAACCCTTTGCTCGAGCTCATCCAAAGAGATCTCTATTCGAGCAGCACTTCTGCTCGATGCTTCAAAAATTGTTTGTGACGCGTATCGATCAGACATATTTTAACTTCAAAATAGTATTAGTTTTATCACCAACGAATTCCTGCCAAGTAAATGCAACGTCTTAAGATGTATCCTAGACCAATACCAGCTTAATATACCCAATCTGCCGTAGGGGAGAAAATTTTCGTCCTCAGTAGCGACAAAAATCCTTAATTCCAGATTCCGCTTAAGGATAATACTATTTTTTTGCTGTATATGTATCATACATATGGCAGGTGTAGTCTTTTTTTTTTTTTCATCGCGTGTCTTTTTAACTTTTACGCGTAGCGAAGTTTCTCCTTCTTTACCTTTTAAGTCGATACCTAAAGGGGCAGGAATGCTAAAATAGGAATCCCAAGTTGGTGAGAGAAGAATTTGACACCTCATTGAGCGAGAGAATGTAGAACCGTCATAAAAGGCTCATTGTTTCTCGAACACTTACTTCAGGTATTATTTTCATTGAGCTAGAGGTAAACAAGAATCAGCAGCGCGCAAGTGGCGGGGCGTCAGTTTTCTTTGAGCCGAAAAAAAATAGGACATTAAACGGTGCTGAATTTTTACATGATAACGGATAAGGCCAATGGAGATATTACAAGCCCAAATCGATTTTCGTGGGGCAATGCCAAGTTTTAATTTGGCGGTTTTTGATTATCGCCTAAAGCTCGCGAGCTACATTTGGTTAAAGATTCTTTAAAAAAGGTTCGTGTTCGACGCGACTGAAGCCCATTAAGGGACCTCGAGACCGGGTCAAATAAACTAAAAATCTACTTTCGAGCACCCTAAAAAAGTCTGCTACTATGCAGGGTATTTTGGCCCCACGTCGTTTGACAGATGATTAGACAGTAAATATTCATGCAAACGTGAGTCTTTTTCTGGGGAGATAGTAGATAATCTGCGCCACATTTCGCGCTTGATTTCACAAAACTCAATCAGCTTGGACCCTAGGCTCCCCTCACAGCGCTAGCCACTAAAAAAATGGAGAAAGTGTATAGCACGACTGATCACAGAGGACTCCGTTGGCGCGAGGATTACTGCACCCTACACCTGATTGAAACAGTAGTTACAATACCCAATAAGGCTGTAACAGTATTTTTCGCGAACCTGATGTGCATCAGTTGTAACCTGCGGTAGCGCTACTTCAAGTACGCGCAAACATTACCATCCAATTTGTCTTTGTTTGAGGGGTGTACCATTCTGATTTTTCAGGGTGCGCTCTAACGTGGTGAGGGAGTAGCATTTGAATCATGTTGAACACCTCCGGAGACTGTTTGACGTATGCAACTATACAAATTCATCATTGGAATTCTGTTCTATTGCTTTCCGACAACTTATTTGATGTATTCGATAAACGGCTCCTTGTGCGATTCTCAACAGACAGAAGAGGATTACGCAGCAAGAAGGCGAGAAATTGCCGAAGGCTGACGGAGTTGGCTCTAAATTGGATTGGCAGCGATTCCAAAGTCAGAAAGATGAGAAATCTGGTAACCTTAACATGCGCATTATTAGACCTGTTCTGTCGAGATAGCAGTTCGTGTGTTGGAAAAAGTATGTGTTGAAAGCTTTTCTCGTAACTGAGACAGTGCAGCCGATGATGATGTTCACGGTACCTTGGTTGACGGGTGAAGGAGTTATTTCGTATGATGGGGGGAAGAATGTAATCCGTAAATCCGAGTCTATTATGCACCGTACTAACTATAGACGAAAATTCATTTTCATGAGCTCCGTCAATTATTTAGCGGATTAAACCATGAATCAGCACTGTACTTCAAAACGTAGTCGCCCACGAGACGTTGCAGTCTAGGCCATTGTGCATGATCTCCAAAGCACACCGTGCAATGTTGTCTAGAGGAATATAGTCAAAGGTTCGTTCTGGAAAGCAAATTTGATTAGCAATCAAGTCATCTCAATGTAGATTGGGTTTAGCCTTAGGTAATTCATTAATCGCAGCCATGATATCTACTCTTTGTAACATCACTGTTCAATGTTTAATTCGTGAAAAACTACACTACTAGCTCCAATGACGCGAACATGAAAACGCGTAATTAGTATAGTAAAATCATGAGTTCATGATCACTTGAACAATCCCGCTGCTCAAATGAATTCAAAAGCAGAAGGACTCAATACAGCTCCGATAGATAGACAGTTAAACAATTCAATTGATGAAGATTACCCTTCTAAGATTTTGAAGGCCCGAATTGCCCTCCTTTCAACTGCCATCGGTGGTCCTGACCATAGCTCTGAACTGGATCCTCCACCTTACAAACTTGGAGACGACTGTCTCGCATGCCTAAAGGACTTGAAAAGGTGGTTTAAGCTAGTTGATGATAAACAAGCACGTTGGGACGTTGCTGCAGCCGCTGCGCAATTCAACGTATTGACAGATGACTTGATGCCCATTTTAGTTGAATGGGAGAACAAATCAGCACAGGCCACAAAGAAAGCCCGCAAAAGTGGCAAAAAGGTAGAGGATTTCTTCAGAAATAAAACTTATCACGACAAGGTTGCTTTGAATGCGCTTCAACTCATGGTCTTGATGACATGGCCTTTGATTTTAACAGACCAATCGACTTTAAATCAGGTAAATCATTATTCTGAGCTTAAAAAGCACCAGCTAATTTATAAAAAGGCAATTCTAACTGTTGAGAATGGAAAGGTATTCAAGGCAGCCATCCGAATTGCTCTGGAAGTCATCAAACTTGACAAAATACTGCGATCACCAAAAGACAACGTCATTTTAAGATTAGTACTCAACTTTTTTCGTAACGTTGTGGCAATAGAACCAAGTGAGATAACAATTAGTAGCCGAAAGTCTCTTAGGAAAGGTATAAACTCCGTTGATATGTTACCCCCAAATGTGTCTGCGGATGACGTTTCTCTGAACACCGTCGTCGAATCTTTTGAACGAAACAAAGTCTTCGACTTCCTGCTGACGTTAGCAAGTTCCGTCGGAGGCGAATTTGATGCATCTTTCATAAATGTCCCGTTGTTAGAATTAATATTCTACCTCATTAAAAATGTTAATCATGATGTTCTGTTCCCATCTAAATCATCCTCTCATGTTTCTAGCGATATTAGAACTTGTGATAATAAAGGATTGAGCAAGGCTGGATTGGAATTGTCGCAATTACTACAGAGGGAAAAAGAACTAAAAAAATCAGTAGTCAGAAATACATCCACAAGGCATTCTCGGTTCGGGGCCTTGCTTTCTATTCAAACTTCAAATCATCAGAGACTTACAATTTCAGGCGGACAAGATCTTCTAAGCGATGCATCTGCTCTCAAGAAACTGGACTCCAGAAAAAAATGGAATAAAAGGGTAACAACAAAGGATGAGACTATCGAAGGCTTACCAAGTAACTTTTTGAATTTTAATGATGAGATCAATTATTGGAATTATTCAACTATTAAAATTTTTCAAGAATTTGTCAAGAATTTCATTGAATCTGGTTTTGACACTCTTTTGCATAGTGTTACTGATCATTTTACAACTGAGGATGATGAAATGGCAATAGTGCACCAAATTCAATATCTTTTATTTTACGCATGGTTTGTAAAGTACCAGATGCTTCAAAAGAAACTCAATAATATGATGAGCAGTAATCATAGTACTTGTTTGAAGGATACCTGCCTCGTTTTAGTCTTTCAGCTATTGCGAAAAGCTTACGAAAAAAAAATCTGGGCTGTTGTTCATGCAGGTATGATAGCATTTGTAAATCTTTTGAGTTTTATAAACTCTCTGGAAGCAGAATATGAAGAGACAACCAATTATGTCCAAGGTCGACTGTTTACGGATGATAAACTTCTTTTACTTTCGAGCTTACCGAAAACTGCGTCAAATCACTCACCGGCATACATCAAAAGCTGTATCAATTTAACACATGTCTTACTGAAGAGTCTGAACAGCTTAAAAACTGAGATGGAAGGTTTGACGACCAAAAATGATCGAGCAACTACACTAAGAAACCACAATATAACTGAAGAAGAGGTAGTAAAACTTGCTCAAGAAGAAGGTATTGAATTTGAAGAAGCTTTAGAGACGTTAGCGTCTTCCCTGAAACAGGTTCGGTTCAATTTTAATCGAGTACAACGTGCATATATGGCCGAGGGTACAATAAAAACATATATGGTATTCCTTCATAGGTTCAAAGAGTTGAGCGACGAAGACATAAAGAGGGCAATCCAATTTTTACACCATGTATTCGTCCTAGCCAAAGAAGAGTCGTTATTATTTCGAATAGATTTCTTGATTTTACTCAAGGATCTGCTCTCTCCGGAAGGTTTACCAAAGCAGTCAAGATCGAGAAAACATGTTTCCAAATTTGCTCATTACTTCATGCTAAAGCTCAAAGAAAGACTACAAACTTCTCCATCTTGGTATGTAAGCATACTTTTTCCGACTCTGAATGACAAGGAGGTCACCTATTATCAGAAGTATGGAAAGGTCAAAACATATCACGACAATATCTCAGAAAATGGCGCCGTCGAACCAAGTATTTTCAAAACAAGTCTATTTGACGGAATGAATGAAAACATCATAACCGACTTTAAGTTTGGTATCCTAGTTTCCACCCTTATTGACGATGAAAAAATAGAGTGCATTGAGGAACTTATCACTAACCTTAAGCGAATATATGACATTTTCCATTCATGGCTACTGCAGAATGTTGCCACTGACACCAATGAAAATTCGTCTATATGCGAGCCCTTCCAAACAGCAATCATTGGGGTTCAAAATGCACTTCTATCAGATTCTGATTTTAGAGCTCTTTTAAAATTGATTGGCTTTCAAATTCCTCTCACCAAAAAAGATCGTTGTATTTTACCTATATCTATAGGGATGCAGAAAATTGAACTTGCTCTGAGTCTCATAGTCAAATATCATACTACCACTTTTGACACCCCCAATAAACTACCGTCTTCCACCTATCTGGTGCGCCCCGAAAAGGCAACCAATGCCAATGCTTCATTTACTGACAGCGTTGATTTCATAGATAATTCAGAAAACTTACAAATTACCAATAACGAGCAAGAAGATTTTTATTTCCAAGAACTTGGGACGTCTTCAATTGATGCAATGAGCAGACATGCCACCAAAGGCACGGCTGTAAGAACAAAGACATCTAAAGGAAAAGCTAAATCCAAAAAGAAAAACTCTCAAAGAAAAAGGTCATCGGATGGTGCCGAAAAGGCGCCAGATAAGGGCGGAGATCGGCATGTTATCATAAGTAAAGAATTTGTGAGTGATTCGGACGACTCTGATGACGAAGCCATGAGTCCTATTTTTTTTGAAAACGAAATGTATCTAAGATGGTTATTAGACAAGCATGGCGGTTTGCTACCAGACGCAAAATATGAAATGTTCGCTAGGTTTTGTGCGGAAAGAACATCGACTGGGGGAAACATAGGAGATAAATATACGGATCTCTTCGATGGACCCACACCTGCTATTCAGGAGCTGAAAAGATCTGAATCCCTATCTGATAGGTCTCTGACGCATATTTTATTGAATCAAGCGACTACCTTAGAGAACCATTCGTTGGAAATATCAGGCCACAGAAATAAAGCCCGCCAAGTTTCGAGTGACGCCAGCAACGATTTGCAATTATTTGAAAGCAGTGATGAAAGCGAACACTTGGTATATTCTTCTCGAGACATGAAAAATGCTGATGTCAAGACTCTCAAACAACTTGATGATGATGCTGGTAAAAACGATGAAACTGACGAGGATGATGAAAGCATGTTCGCTCCACTAAGGAAAAAATCCAGGGTGGTATTCATCGAGGATGAAGATTAGCTGTGCTAAGTAAATTAAATAATACATTATCAACTTATTTGATTACTGTGGGATAATTAAGGAATGTAACTAGTTGATGCTCAATTTCAAATTTCACAGTGTTTTTGGCTTCCGCCATGAATGGCTCCCAATATGGTTTGAGTGCTACTAATAAACATGATCAAAAAGCCAAACACAATACAGATGCAGTGTGGAAGCTTTTGCATCAAGCTTTTGCTTCGGCCTGTCAAGACTAGGTTTGTCACCGGGGGGAGAATGTAAGCCATCAAAGATGCAGTCGTAGCACCAATCAGTTCGAGGAGGGCACCAAGATTGCATGTTGTCAGGGATATTGACATAGTAATGAAAACCAAAACAGTAGTAATTGCGATGTGCATCTTCATAGACAGCACAATAGGACTTCCATTATTGTTAGCTTTGAAGTAGATCAAATCCCTTATAACATCTCTGAGAACGAAGATCTCCAACGGAAACGTTGTTAACATGTTAAAACCAAAGCAAAACCTTGCAACATTTATTAGATTATCATCAGTCGGAAAGTTGTTGAGTATATTTCCCTTTGTCCTATCTTTGAAGGAAAGAAACCCTGAATAGCCCATAAGAAAGCAAGTTATCATAGACACAAAACAGCTTAAGTGCGTTAGTTTATCGAATCTTTTGAGACTTGGGTTCTTCAAAGAAAAATAAATGAAACTTGTATTATGATGACAGACCAATGCAAACGAAATCACTGATATTCCCTGAAATATTCTAGGAGTAAAGACAATTTCATTTTTTTTAAGATCGCCTTTGTAAGATGAATCCACCATTGGACCTTTTATGACGACGATAAAAACAATGAGGAGCATGCTTATCAGAGCGAGCATTGATGCTTTTGAAAGCTTAGAAATATCTCTATTCAACGAGAGCGGTAGAGAAATAAAAACAGTAACAAAACTGATGATTATATTTCTGTGAAACATGCTCTCATGGCTAGGGAAAAATGCCCTTAAAACATGGGGTATAGTGTCACCAATTATAATACAAAATCCAATGCAACCTCCGAATGCAAATAATCCATTTGCTAGAAGAATGAGTATCTTTCCCCTTCTACCCAAGGCAAACTCCACCGTATCTTGATAGGTAGTTTTGCCCGTCAGCTTTAAATTGACGACAATCAATCTGATTGTCCAATCCACCAGAAATGAAAGAAGAATAGTCGCAAACACACCGCCAAGTAGCCCACAATTTTTGATGGCAAACGGCTGTCCTATGATTCCAGCTCCTAAAATGCTATTTGCCATGTTCATAAAGGCCATGTAAATATTAGACTTCTGATTATGTTCTTGCAGCAGGCTATCTACAATTTGATGGTGCTCTTCCTCCTCTGATTCGAGGTTTTCATTTGATTCAGCTCTCTTCTGTGAAGAATTAAGATCGGCTGGTAGATCATTTCCGAAGCTAGACAATTCGAATTCAATATCAGGCGAGTTCTTGAATCCATCTAGTAGCCCTTCTTTGGCATAACTGTTTGACATCGTCAGCGCTCCCCTACTTGTAGCGCGTCTCTCTGCTTTAAAGTTGGAAAACTGAAAAAAAAGCTCTTTCTTATCAACGATAACGGAAAAGTCGGCTCTCAATATACGAAAAATTGATTGTCCAGCAAAAATGCTTCCTTTAACTATTTAAGAGTTCGAAACTGTACTTAAAGCATCATCAAAAAGGTTTTCATCATCATCAGTATTACTCTGACTTTTTAGTTCACCGCTGCTATTTTTCTGGCCCTGATTGCTTGCTTCGTCTTCTGCTGTGTAATCTCCGTCACTTTTATCCAGATGCACGGAATCTTCCACTTCGCTTTCGTGCTTAGACAGCGTATTTGTTTTCAAGCTTTCAGCATTATCCTGTACTTCAGAAGATGCGCCGCTAACCTTCAATGAGCCAGATGGCTCCTCGTTATCCGTGGATTTGATCGATTCATTAACTTCCTCGTCATTTGAGATGTTTCTTCCAACTTCTTCGGCATCTTGATTATGTGAGCTGTATTCATCACTAAAAGTAGAGACATCTCCAACACTCATTTGAAAGGCCTCAAAAGCTTCATTGACTCTATGTGTCGCCTTATGTGGCTGGCCACTTTTAATATTGATTATTTTAGGGTCAAGTGAGGTAGTCTCAACTGAGGCAGAAGGCTGCTCCTCGAGTTTACTCTCACTACTTTCGGCAAAATTAGTTGATGTTATTGTATCATTTTTATTAGATTCTTTAGGTTGAGTCTGATCTTCCGCTTTAATGGTTTCTATAGTATCGTTCCCCTTTTCAAAATCAAATGCCTCTTTATCGACATCAACTTCTGGCTCTAAAGTGAAAGATTCATTTAATTTTTGTACATTTTGGAACAAGGCACTATTGGAATCAGTAGATTCATGCAAAGACGCAGCTTCCTCATCCACTGGGCCCACTTTCAACGACACTGCGTCATCCATTGACCAAACGCCAATATGTGCCCAGTTCAAAGATGATCTCAGCTTGCTCAATTGAACCCAAGCTCTTTGGATATTTGTTGTAGGCTGACCATTTTGATTTGAAAAATTAGGCACTTCCAGTTGAAACGAAGGCTTCGAAACCAGAGGGTTCGATAGACCTGTCATGAAGCTCATCCTATTCGACTTTTTATTTGCTTTCACGCGGTCAGGAGCAGTGGTTTTTTTGACTTCTTTAAAGAGTCCGGTAGAATCCTGAGAAATGGTTTTCAAATTCAACTTTTCTAAATTCCATACTCCACTCTTAAGCGTTCTTAAAAATGCAAAAATCTCACACGTCTGCCTTATTTTCAACAAACAGTAATGACATAAGGGAAATTCACTAGCAGTTTCAATCGTCCCATCCTCGTTCTTCTGTTGTGTTCTTAATACATATAGCCTTCCGTGCTCGAGAATGTCATTTCTACTTTCCGAACAAAAGGCACAAGGTGCCTGTATCGCGATGGGAGGTGAATTGACAGGATAATTATACAAGTGTGAATCGGAATCTTTTTCTCCCTGCAAAACTGTACTATCTCCGAGTCGCGGGGATGAATAACCAACGCGGTAGGTTTCATTGATACCACTCAAGGGTTCAACCACCACTAAACCTTCGATCATTAGCGACATTAAATTTCTCCTCACAAACCAACCTAATCCACTAGCATTATCCAATCGAAGAATTGGTTGAATTTCGTCATGGACTAGCCTCTTAAGTAATTTCGAATGCGATGTAGTTTCCTTTATAGATGAACAGAGGGGCAAAACTGCAATAAACTTTAAAAATTCATTGTACAATGTCAAGTCATATCTCAAAGAAGGGAGAATAGGGGAAAACACAGCACAATTTGAGGGCAAATTATATTCATTGACAGAATTTATGGTTGTGATGGTTTTTTCTATGGAAACATTTGAAGATGTTACATTGTCACTTGAACCAGAAGTTTTGTTCGTGGGAGCTATGCTGCTACTCTCAGAATCCAAATTGTATAGTACCTTCTTGAGATTCTTCAATTGTATGCTAAGGGTATCTAACAGATTATCTTTTTCATGCAACTGTTCGATCAATTTGGCGTTCTTTACTTCAATGCTATGAGTTTCTTTCCTTGCATCAGCCACCATTTTATTTGCCTCATCAAAAAGTGATGCAGTAAGATCTTCAACTTCTTTATTGAGTCTACCGACATCATCTTCTGCTTTCTTCCTCGCTGCTTTTTCGGCAGTCAGATTTTTCTTATACTCGTCAATTTGAGTTCTGTTCATTTCTAACTGAGCTTTGGCATCCCTTAACTCTTTGTCTGTAACTTCATGCACGAGTAATGACTCCTTTTGACCTGAAATAACCTTCATCGCATGATGTAATTGTTCCTCAAGCTTTGATTGTTTATCAATACTTTCAATCAACTGGGTTGATAAAGACGAAACTTGAATGGAAACTCTTCTAGATTCCTCTTCGTCCGACATTTGAAAATGGTTCTTCGCCAAAAGCTCTCAGTTCAATTTATGTGAAGGATCGCTGCCTCTTGATACTAACCAATTCTTGCCTAAGCGATTGTTGATCGTTAATTATCATTGTATGTTCTGAATATATTTCGTAAGAATTGATCATAATTTGAGTTATGAGTTATAGATTGTCCTATACAAGACTACCTATTCCAAAGTCTTCATTTATGCATCTAGAAAAATGTCACTATCATCATCAGCGTCATCATCTTCATCTTCATCATCATCATTATGTTCTTCTTCTTCTTCATCTTTTTCTGTGTTGCCACTATCTGTTTGACTTGGATGCTTAACTTTGGATTTATCATCGGACTCATTGAAATCATCTTGATCCATTGAGTCCGCCTGTTTTTCACCAATTTGATGATTATTGGCGATACTATCAGGTGTTTTTGCTTTGCTAAGCTCTGCGTTTGTTGCTGCTTGGTCTAAATTTGAAGTATCATCGTCAGGCTTTCCTGCGGAAACAAATGTCAAACGCTTTCCGGATGAAGTATCGCTTCCCGCGTTCCTTCGCCGAGCCCTCAGTTTCGACAGCCTTTCATTATAATTAGTCTTCTTGGATTCTAATGATTCAGGTGATCTAAGCTCTTGCAATAACGATCTTGCCCGGTCTGTCAAATCAACTGACTCTTCTTGGCCACTTGAAAGAATGTTAATATTCGATCTGCTTTTACTTTTAGGGGTCGGTGAGGCATCTGTATCACTGGTTTCTATTTTCTCATCAGGTTGTGGGGAATAAACAAGAGATCCAGTGTCGACTCCTTCAACTTCAAAATTGTCTAAAATACTTGCTCCCGACGATCCATTAAGAAGCTTTTTACGAGCCATAGCTCGTTTTCTAGCAGAAGAAGGATCTGATTTACCTGGCCCCGCTTGTTTCAGTTTTTCAAGCAATCTATCCATCACATCTCGCTCACCAGCATAATCGGGATCGTGGCCTTCACTTGGATCATTAGATGATCTGGAGATCTGCTCTTCCACATTTTTCCTTTGTTGTTCTTCTATCATTTCTCTCCGTTTTTGATATAGTCTCTCTTCTTCTTCTGTCTTCATATTAAATGCTTGAGCCTTCTTGTACTCATTCAAAAAGTCAGCAAACTTTTTGAAAAACGAGTTTCGAGCGAATTTATCGGTCGAATCCTCGCCAAATAACTTCATGAGATTATCAAATTCGAGCAAGGTTAACTTCATTTCGTCCATTAAGAGATCCCCTGTGTGCCTTGCTTCGGGTAAAGCAGGTAAAACCTTAACGAGTACCTTGTCTGCTGGATGAAACTTGGATGAGTCGCTCAAGTTTCCAATATCAACAGATCGTTCAACATTAATAATATCTTGCGAGTACTGTTTACAATCTTGAGAAACCTGCTCGATTGACACTTTAGTTACCGCAAGAACAGGCTCCAACTCCTTCAAAAAATCGTTAAATTCAGGATAAGCTTCCCTTACAATCTTTTCAACATAATTCAAGAAGGTCATGCTATTTTTCTCATCCTTGATAAATGTCAACCTTTGCAATGTTGTCAGTTTAAAACCCTGTGCCTGTTTTGAGGGATCATTCATGTAATTACCAACAGCAAGGATCACGTCAAAAATATTACGCAAGTTTTCTGACTGTTGGATAGCACAAACCGCCTTGTCAATAGATCTTAATTTGGAGACAAGATCGTTGTGATCCTTTTCATATGTCGTGGCAACTCTCAAAGCCCGCATACGAGACGACCAATAGCTCTGCAAATTGACCATCATTTCCAAATAGAGCCTATCAGCTCTTTGTAATTCACTAGGATCCTTTTCTGGGGGCTTAACCTCCTCAACACTGCTGACACCCTCCCAATCGGTACTATAAGGCGCGAAATTTCTTGCAAGATTGTTCGAGACCTCGACGATTTCAGGTTTAGATAAAAACTCTATCACACTTGGGGTAGCCATGAAATCACGGTCACAATTGAGAATCTTCATCACAACATCGTTTACCGACAAAGACGAGTACATGTGTAAATTAATTCCAAACTGCTGTGATATATCTCTCGAGAGAAAAGTGATTTTATCAGAATCTGCTTTCCTTTTGCTAGCAAATGATTTAATTTCGCGTGCAGCGAATGCCTGTTCTAACTTGAATAGAATACCCTTTTCATAAAGATCATCTGCGAACTTTTCAGCTTTGGCATTCTGCCAAATGGAATCTTCAGTATCATCTATTTTTTCCCAATGTAGTTGTTTCAATTTTTTCGATGGACGTGGATATCTCTCGAAAAGTGAGGGAGATTGGGGTAGTAGCGGAGAAGGAGTTGCCGACCTGTAATTAGTTTTGGAGAAATTCATGAGAGGTGCAGGTGGAGGAGCTGGAGGTGGGGGACCACTTCCTGCTGATTGTGCAAAAGGTGCTGGGGGAGGAGGAGGAGGAGGAGGAGGAGGAGGGGGAGGAGGAGCCGTCTCTGTTTTGAAAGGCTGTAATAGAGAGGAACGAAGTGGAGGAGGTGGGGGAGGCGGAGGAGATGGGCCAGCTTTCGTAGATGCTGGTGTAGCCTCAACCTTCCTATCAGCGTCTTTATTTGTTTCATTCCCTTTACCAGGATTGAGAAACGCAGGCACAGGGGGCGCAGGAGGAAGAGGGGCAACAGGAGCATTTGACGCTTTCAAGGCCATTTCACTATTATTTGAACTGCCATGAAATAAGGATTCAGGAAGTGGCGGAGGTACGGGTGGTGTCGAACTAGCTTTGGCCTCATCGTCCGTTGATTGACTGGTTGTATCTGTATTATTGTCAGCTTTAAGGAAGGTCTTTCTATCGTCTGTTGTTCTGCTACTGGACAAAAACTGATCCTTTTCCCCAACCATGATTCCTATTCCGACACTTTGCTCGGTGTTATCATTGAAGCTAGTAAGTTGCGTATTACCCTTCGACTCAACTTGCGAACCTGAAACCTTTTCTGTTAATTCTCCGATAAATGAAGCATTCCCAGATTTTTTGACACGATTCATAAATGATTTTCTATGATATCCACTTCCTGGATAGTTGTTGTCTCTTCCGTAACTTACACGGCGTTCATCAATCGCCTTTTTCTGTCCGGTGCCGTACTTTTGAGATAGCGATGCAAGAAAAGAGCCTGCTGGAGGAACATCCGTATCCGGCACGTTTTCTTCGGTACCCTCCAATTCTTCATCAGTGTTTTCTTGGGACTCAGACGATTCTCGGGAGCTGTGGGCATTATCGTTGTCATTATCAGCATCTTGTTTCAATTGCTCTAATTCTTGAACAATTGTGGTCAATTCCTCAATTTTGTTGGTCAATTGTTTGGGATCTAATGTCAGTTGTTGTATGCTCTTCTCTTCTATACCAAGGGCTGTTGGGCCTTGGTCATCATCAGGTAAGAAGCTAATCCCAAAGCCCTTATACCTATTCTCAAGCTCTTTCAATCTCTCAAGCGCGGCAATCTTTTTGTCCTGAAAAAGTTCATTGATTCTTTCCTCCACATTAAATTTGGACACGTTATTACTCTCTCTTTGAATAGCAGCAAGATTTCTTCTAAGTTCTGCCAGTTTTTGCAGCCTCTGATCCTCAACTTTAGATTTAATGTCTTGTGGCTTCTCAACGGCTAATTCAATAGGATTAGGAGCTTCTTCCAAAACTATTGGCTGCTCCTTTTGGAAGTTCGAAAAGTTTGTCATTTCTAGCTCACGGGCTTGGTTTTCTAAATCTTCCATACGTGAACGCAAGACCCTTAACCTTTTATTAGGTTCCAAAGATACACCGAGCCTTTTCGATTCGAGGTTTATATCTTTTTTCGTTTGCTGGAGCTTTGTTTGAAGAGCTTTCTGTATAGCTAACTTTCTTTCTGGTTTCAATGGACTTGGGGACTTGGTTTGATCAACATCCAGTGGTGGAGGAGCACTTTGTGGTTTAGAATTTAGAGAAGTCAAAACTTTTCGCAATTCCAATTCATGCTCATGCTTAGATAGGAGTAGCTTTTTCTTAAGGTCCTCAAGGTCTGATTGAAGTTGAGATGTTACTCTTTGGCTTTTATCTAAAATTCGGTCACGCTGTTTTAATTCATCTTGCAGCTGACCTACTAGACCGCCCTGAGCGTTTGATAACTTTTGAGATAAATTATCCCTTTCAGCTTTCATTTCCTCATATCTCTTGACCCAATCCCTGTTCTCTAATATAGCTCGTCTCGCTATTTCATCTGTTTGCATAGCATCGTATAATCGTTGAATAGCACTATTAAAAGACGATTCTAGGTCAACAGAGGTCATCGAAATGTTTGTCACTAGAGAATCAATGAGTTTGAGTTGTTTCGTAGGTTCTGTAGGATCTTCAATGTTATTCGTCTTAGTACTTGACAGGAGAAGGTGCTGCAGTAACGAAGTGAAGTGCTTTTCTGCATCTGTTCCCTTGTAAGTGTTGCACAAACTTTCGACTATGGAAACCGGATTTTTCATGTCAACCTCTTTATCCATAACATGACTTGAAAGTATAGTGTTATAGTCATCCGCGGTTGTGTCCTCGAAAATTCTCAACTGCTCGTCAACTTTTTCGTAATTCAGAGCTGCTAATTTCTTCATTATCCGAGACAGGCCTCCTGTTCGCAACCGTGATCGAATCATACTTCTTTGTTGTATCTCCTTAGGTGTATTACAAAGCTGATTCATGAGAAGAGTTGTTAAGTAAGCATATTCTAGGATTGCATTTTCCCCTCCTGCATTTTTGAAATCATCTGAAGCCCCGACCAATGACCCCATCTTTCCCCTACCGTCAAGTGTATATTCAACAACAAGTAACCATTGTTCAAGTTTTTTCATCACTTGATCGTTGCCGTAGTCAAAGTTTTGGCTAGCAAGAGGTTCTAGAGCGCTATTTCTAGACTTGGCTGAAATAAGCCGGGCCTGTAGATGTGAGTTTTCAGATAACTTACATCCTTGGTCCAAGGCTTGGATAACATGATTGAAACCATTTGGAAGATCCCACTGAGTCAAGAAGATCAACAATTCGGTAGCTAATCGTCGTGTTGAAATCCTGAGAGAGAGTAAACCCTCAGAAATGGCTGATACTATAATTCTTGAGCTGTTAGACTTCACAGCCTCATCAGCACCTTCTTTGAGATTCAAGATGGTCTTGAGACATTTAAAAAAAGCAAATTCCCTATCTAACGCCTTGTCGTTCAGTACAACGTCCACGTTATCTTTATGACACGATTTTATAATCACGTTAGCAATTGCTATTTGACCTTGTGCATTCAAAAACCCTAAAACCCAATCTAGTTGTTCTGTTCTCAATGAGACCCATAAATCGTTCAATTGTTTTGTTGTCATGTCATTGCAAATAATTTTTCTCACATAGTAATCTGGTGAAAGATGCAGCGGATCTTGCGACAAAGTTGATGTACTTGAATTCTCATGACCTCCGTCGTAAAAATTGTCAAGAGTACTCGCATTTGAAATGCTGGGACGACCAGTATAAATTGCGGTACTATCTAGAGAGCCTGTGCTAGTGCTCAAGTGTGAGTGAGCCGGTGATGCGCTTGAAATAGAAGAAAGGCTGACTGTTGAAGTCGGAGATTTTACAGTAGACTTCTTGGTTGTAAGTTTTTTGTATTCAGCTTGTAGATCCTGACGCACTATCAACCATTTCTTATCAATATCATAGTTTTTAAAATCATTCTGGGATGTAGAAGCCAAAACATTTCTTTTATAAAGAACGTCCTCAAAAAGCTCCTCTATCTCTTTTGGATCTCGCGGGCGTTCAATTCGAACCGATCCATCTGGTGCAATGAACCTTGATAAATTAGAAAGAGACCCTTGTGATATAATGCTGGCTGATGACATGCTCTGAGTTGTTTGTTGCCTCGATAATTTTGCTCCCACATTTCCAGCTCCATTACTAGACCATTGTGATGCTCTTCGAGAATACGAATATTTAGTGGGCGACCCACTGGATAGATTGGATGATGAGCGATAATGCGAATTCAAATCCGTATACGTAGACAGGTTTTGGGCATTCAATGTTGATTGTTTACTTAGTGGTTTAATATGGCTATCATTCGATATTGCCGTATTAACAGTTTTACCAGATGATACATCTGAGTGGTCTGCATTATTAGACTGGCTATTGTTCCCACCGCCTGTTAATTTCTTGAGGTTTGAAAAAATGCCTCCATTACCAGAACTGCTGCTGGAAGTATGATTGTGCGAAGACTTCGAAGACCTAGAGTTAGAAGATCGATGCATGGGCAATCCTCAGTGATCAATATGAACCCTTGCTATTTGATTCTTTGTTAAGCTTTCTAGTGAAGACAAAAAAAGAACTCAAAGCAAATCCCTTCGCCCAAGTGAATTATTACAGAAAAAAGTATATGTAGCAGTATGTCGCACAATGAATTTCACAAGCTGGAGAGGCTTGAATAGTCTGCTGAAATGCTGTTTTTCTTCTTTAGAGGGGATTAAACTCAGAGTCGTTTTGTCTGTTCCTAAAGATATTATTTGGTAAGTCTGTTATCATGTAACACGAAACCGATATCCCAATTGTACGAAAATGGGTCGAGTAAATGAAGCTAAAACAAATAAAAAATGTCTTGAGTTTGTTATGAATGATTGTGTTTCGACTTCACTTTTTGAACGCCATTTTCTACATACTTTTAATTGGATCTTTAGGCTAGTTCTATGAATCCTCAAAGCATAGGCTTTGTTTATGTTGAAGCAGACTGTAACCTAATCCTCTCTCTCTACAATACTAACCGCCAGTAAAGACACTCATTCGGTTCAAAAAATCACTCAAAAATCAAATTATCTTAATTAATTCTAATATACAACAATGAAAAATACTCAAGTCCAACGAGCTTTTATATGACCATGGCGCGAGGAATAATTAAAACACCAACAATCATCAGGCAATTGCAACCCAGAACTTCTCCCAGAGGTTCTTTGGTTCTTCTTCCTCCCAGATAATGTTGTCTATTTCAGTTCTGTCCGTATCCAGATCGATGTCTTTAATGTCGACTAGAATTGGACCTCTGAAGAATATTTGGAAACCGATCCAAATAACGAAAAACAAAATAACCGAAATGTATGCAGCGAAAAAGTTACTCACATTGAAAGGACAGAATGCGGTGAACCCCTGGATTATAATGATGACAGCAATGAAAAAAGAAGCATAGTAAGAACCCCATGGCATTAGCTTTGCCTTGAAAGGTAGATCGTCACGAGAAATTCCACGGTACTTCAAGGCAGCCATGAATCTGATGTGAGCCATTGAGATCAATAGCCAAGCGAAGAAACCGGCAACAGCAGTAATGTTCAGCAACCATGTGAATACCACACTTGCGCCGTTAGAGATATCTAGGTAGGCCAAGAACCCCATCAAAGAGGTCACCAACACAGCAGCATATGGGATACCCGAAGCGGTGGCTCTTTTCAAAAATTTGGGGGCCAAACCGTTGTTTGCCATGGAGAATAGAACACGGGAGGAAACATACACATCAGAGTTACCAGCCGAGATGATAGTGGTCAAGATGACTGCATTAAAGATATGTGGTAGAACCTTAGTACCGGAGTTCTCGATGGCGATGACGAAAGGTGAGCTAGAAATATAGGAGTCACTCGAAGTAAGCTTTGGGTCATTGTATGGAACTAGCAACCCGATGAAAAATAGAGATAGAATGTAGAAGAACAAAATTCTGAAAAACACTTTGTTGATGGCCTTTGGAACGGATTTTCTGGGGTTAGCAGCCTCACCAGCAGTGATACCAACCAATTCAGTACCTTGGTAAGTGAATGCAGCACTGATCAGAGAAGAGACCCAACCTAAAAATCTACCCTCATTGACGTTCGAGGAAATGATACCGGGTCCCCATGGACCAGGATTTCTCCAGTAACGGAACCCGACCGGGCCAGTGACACCAGCACCACAAACCATACACAAACAGTAGATGATGAAGCCAACGATAGCAATGACTTTGATACACGCAATCCAGAATTCGATTTCACCGTAGAATTTCACAGGAATCAAGTTTGCACAAGTTAGAATGACCCAGAAAATTGCAATCCACGCAGCAAGAGGTACTGCATCGGTCCAGAACTGGATGACCTGACCCACAACGGACAATTCCAGCGCGAACGTGATAGACCACGACAACCAATACATGTAACCGTTAGCAGCACCCAATGCTGGAGACATGAATCTCTGCGTGAACACCATGAAAGACGAGGTCACGGGGATGAAAGTTGCCATTTCACCGAGAGCCTGTGTCACCATGTACGCCAGCGTACCCATGAACATGTATGCGATTAACGCACCAACAGGCCCAGCGTTGGCCAATGGGGCCGAAATCGAGATAAATAGACCAGTACCAATAGTACCACCAAGCGCAATCATCGAGATGTGTCTTGGCTTCAAACCTCTCTTGACGGTCTTTTCCTTGACACTACCATGACTACACACGCGCTCGGAATCCACGAACTCCTCTTCGAATCCGAGGTTGACGACTTCCTTCTCTTTGCTAATATTATCTGAAAGCGACATGGTTTATACTGACCATCTCGAGAACAACCATTTCAACTGGCCTTCCATTCTCTCTCTTTATATTCGAACTTCAACAAGTGTGACTTGAGCGTTTTCTTATCAGCATGGTGTACGACCTGACGGAAAACTCTTCGGGTGATGCATGATCGCGGAAAAGGAATTCTCATCTAATTGCTTTTTTTGCCTGTTCTATACATATGATTTGTCTGAAGCTCCAATTTTGGATCCGATCTCTAAAACAATAGATAACGTCGTCAGATAACAACACTAGATACTACTTTGCGTCCTTGGCATACCAATAACCCTTCATTTTCGTGGTCTTTCTACGACACTTCCTCCTTCCATTAACGCAATTTCTTGGGATGCCTTGTTAGGGGCATTTTTCGAAATGTGCCTACGCTTAATTTAAACTTTCAAAGGACAAAAAAGAAAAGCGTTTCGCCAACTCTCTCCTTTAAAAGTAACGCTTCGAAAATTACGTGCGGCGTTCCGCATGAAGCGGTAAAACGTAACAAGTGCCGTTGAAGCCACAGACTAGGGTAATTTACGTAAAATTGATGTATACGGCACATCCTAGCAAATTTTACGTTACATTTTGCGTACGGCAAGTTTCTAGGAGTGTGGCATGGTAAGTGCGTTGCGAATATCCGCAAAAAGCCATAGCTGTTGCCAGGGGAGGAGCGGATCACGCCGGATGGGCGTTACCGAGGCTCACGTAATAGAGCGCGGACTGGAAAGGCTGAGGATATCGGAGTTGAAGGAACGGACGAGGCGGGGCAAGGCGGGCGCGGCGGAAATTACAGAGTGCAGAGTACAGTAATTAAAGATAATTAGATAGTTATACAGTCGCTCGCGCTAAGCGACGGCAGCCCAAAAACGTGCCCACAGAGTCGTTGGGACTTCTTCTTCTTCCTCGTCTTCTAAGTCATTTGCGCTCCTTGTATCAGATTCGATATCTACGTCGCACATTTTGTAGATCAATCTACAGCGATACATACACTGGAAGATGGCCCAGATAACAAAGAAAAGGAACACACTCACGTATGCAGCGAAAAAGTCGGACACGTTAAAGGAAGGAGCAAAAGCCGTAAAGCCTTGAATGATGATGATAAGCGTGATGAAAAACGCAGCGTAGTAGGCACCCCAAGGCATGAATTTTGCTTTGAAAGGAAGCGAGTCGCGGGACATGCCTCTGGACTTGAGTACCTGCATGAATCGTATATGCGAGAGGGAGATGAACAGCCATGCGAAAAATCCAGCAATGGCAGTGATGTTCAGCAACCAATTAAACGCCTGGGCAGCGCTCTCAGAGGTGTCTAGGTAGGCTAGAAACCCGAACAGCGCAATTGTCATTACCGCGACGTACGGCACTCCCTGTTTGGTCACCTTACAGAAAATGCGGGGGGCCAATCTGCTCTTAGATAAACCGAATAGCACCCGTGAGCCCACGTAGACGTTAGAGTTCGCCGCAGAAATAATGGTGGCCAGAATCACTGCATTGAAGATATCTGGAAGAATTTTGGTACCTGAATTCTCGATAGCGATGACAAAAGGCGAGTGGGAAATGAATGTCGTATCAGAGTTGAGTTTTGGATCGTTAAAGGGAACGAGCAGGCCGATGAAAGCCAGTGACATAATGTAGAAAAGTAAAATCCGGAAAAAAACCTTGTTGATAGCCTTGGGTACGGTCTTTTGTGGGTTCTTAGATTCACCTGCGCTTACCCCTACCAGCTCTGTCCCCTGATAGGTGAATGCAGCGTTAATTAGGGATGAAACCCAACCGAGAAATCTTCCTTCACTTATGTTCTTGGAAATTATCCCATTACCCCAAGGTCCAGGGTTTCTCCAGTAACGGAACCCAACTGGGCCTGTCTTGCCAGCGCCGCAGACCATGCAAAAAGAATAAATAATGAAGCCCACAATCGCTAAAACTTTAATAATGGCAATCCAGAATTGAAACTCCCCGTAGTATCTCACGGGGAACAAGTTGGCAAAGGTAATGGGTATCCAGAAAATGATGATCCAGGCCGCCAGAGGAACGGCTTTGGTCCAGTACTGGATGATTTGACCCACGATCGACAGTTCCAACGCATATGTTATGCACCACGAAAAACAGTATAGGTACCCGTTCGCTGCTCCGAAAGCGGGTGACAATATTCTTTGCGTCAGCACCGTGAATGAGGATGCCACCGGAATATAAGTGGCCATTTCTCCTAGCGACTGGGTTACACTATAGGCAATTGAACCCATGAAAATGTAGGAAATCAGAGCCCCCACCGGACCCGCATCCTTCAATGGCTCCGAGATACTGATGAACAGACCGGTACCAATTGTACCCCCAAGAGCAATCATCGTCACATGCCGAGGTTTCAGCTCTCTTTTGACTTCTTCCACGCGCGACTCGCCGGCCGTGAAAATACTCCCTGCAGACTCTGTTTTCGTCGTCAAAGGAACGTCGAACGTCTTTGAGTACATCTCTTCCGATTTAACCCCGCTCAGCTCATCTACAGTCTGCGAGTTAGATCCTGATCCCAATTTTGAGACGCTCTCGCTAGCATTATACTCGTGAGTTGCATACTGCAGAGACCCAATCTCAAAGTCTTTCTGCATATTTTGTGGTATAAACACAGCTGCTCCAGTACCTCTTACTTGCTTTATTTTTGATCGCTAATATAATAATACCTTGGTCAGCAAGTTGAATTTCGCTTATCAGCTTCGATGACCGCGATTTGGTCTCAGGGTTCCGTAGTGATTGTAGTAAACTTGGGGAAAATTGCGCTGAAGACACTTGCACTTAACGGAAAATTCACCGTTACTACATGCTTTTGGAAGAAATTTCCCACTCTTCAGGTGAGCCTCATTCAATTGGCGTTTTTGAGCCGTTTCCTTCCCTCTGTGTACAGTTTTTTCTGTCACGGGTACCAAAAGCCGTTGTGAGCGCCGTACATTCCAAAAGAAACAAAACAGCAGGACCCCACGCATAATTTGGGTTCAGTAAGCTCATCTCATCCACCAGCCTAGCAACATTAGCGCGGTGAGAGTTTTCTATACAAAGGCGTTAAAATAAGCCATAGCCTATATAAATCAACACACCGTGAATAATGTACGCTGCAAGCATCACATTTGTGCTGTAACCAATTGACGTAGAGAGCAGATCCTGAAAAAGGTGTTACATGATCGTGACCTGGGTTGTGACCTTGAAAGTGTCATCTGTCAAAACGTGCGGCGCCATCAAGCTTGCAACGCCTAATTGCTTTTTTAGCCGAAAAAACTAAAAGAAACGCAAAAGACCTCGAAAATAGGCCAAAGCAGGGTGAGATGCCCAGCGAAACAGGTGTACGGTGAAATTCCATCGTGAATAAAAGCAGTTCCGTGATCGTACTTTTGTTATAAATTATCTGTAAGGCTGGAGTGAGAAGCGCAACGGTTTCAAGCATCTTAAACCATAAATGGCGTTGAAAAAGCTGCTATCGCCTGACCATGCGTCAAGCATTTCAAATCTTTTTTCAAAATCGAAGCAATCGGACGTTTCGGTGGAGCTCAATGCGTTGAACACCGACACGATCGATGACAAAGAGAGCTCTCTGGAACATGGCGAGGGCGAAGTTTGTGAGACTAAAGTGAAGAGGGCACTCAAGCCAAGACATATTTCTATGATTGCGCTGGGTGGAACTATCGGTACTGGTTTGTTTGTGGGTATCGCGACTCCGTTGTCCGATGCTGGCCCAGTGGGCGCTCTGATCGCGTACATTTTCATGGGCACCATCGTTTACTTTGTGACACAGTCGCTTGGTGAAATGGCGACATTTATTCCAGTCACCTCCTCCATCACGGTTTTTTCGAAAAGATTTTTATCCCCTGCGTTCGGCGTCGCGAACGGATACATGTACTGGTTTAACTGGGCCATTACCTATGCTGTGGAAATATCTGTCGCAGGTCAAGTGATTCAATATTGGACGGACAAGGTTCCTTTGGCTGCGTGGATCGCCATCTTTTGGGTGCTCGTTACAGCTGCCAATTTTTTCCCAGTCAAGTTTTACGGTGAAGTCGAGTTCTGGGTTGCTTCCGTGAAAGTCATTGCAATCGTTGGATACATGATCTATGCCTTGGTCATGGTCTGCGGTGGTTCAAAACAGGGTCCCATTGGTTTCCGTTACTGGAGACATCCCGGGGCTTGGGGTCCCGGTGTTATTGCCAAGGGCAAAGCGGAGGCTAGATTTTTGGGTTGGGTTTCTTCTTTGGTTAACGCTTCATTCACTTACCAAGGTACTGAATTGGTAGGTATTTCTGCTGGTGAAGCCGCCAACCCTAGAAAAACTGTTCCAAAAGCAATTAACAAAGTGTTCTTCAGAATTTTATTCTTTTACATTTTGTCCCTATTCTTTGTCGGCCTCCTAGTACCATATAACGACGAGCGTCTTTCCAGCACCACTGCTGTTATTGCATCCTCTCCGTTCGTCATCTCTATTCAAAATGCCGGTACCAAAATTTTACCACATATTTTCAACGCTGTAGTCACTGTCACAGTTGTTTCTGCCGCCAATTCTAATGTTTACGTCGGGTCTCGTGTTCTGTACTCATTGGCTCTGACTGGCATTGCTCCAAAACAATTTGGTTATGTCACGAAGCAAGGCGTTCCTTACCTGGGTGTTATTGCCACTGCTTTACTAGGGCTACTTGCCTTTTTGGTTGTTAACAACAATGCCAATACTGCATTTAACTGGCTTATTAACATCTCCACTCTAGCTGGACTTTGTGCATGGCTGTTCATCTGTATTGCCCATATTAGATTCATGCAATGCCTAAAGCAGCGTGGTATTTCGCGTGACGACTTACCTTTCAAAGCAAAATTGATGCCATGGGGTGCATATTACGCTACTTTCTTCGTATTTGTCATAATTTTCATCCAGGGTTTTACTGCTTTTACGCCCAAATTTGACGTTTCCAGTTTCTTTACCTCTTATATCTCACTAATTTTACTCGCAGTCGTTTTTGCGGGTAGTCAATTGTGGTATAGATGTCGCTTCTTAACCAAACTTGAGGATATTGATATTGATTCTGATAGAAGAGAAATTGAAGCGATAATATGGGAAGAAGAAGAACCTAAGAATTTGTGGGAAAAGTTTTGGACCGCAATGGCTTGATTCAAGAAAGTTGTCGGGACTTAAGGTTATATTCTACATTTTATGCCTTAGCATTCTCATAATACATGTATAATAGTAGCATAAATTTTAATAGACTTGATTAATCTAATAGTTGAAAAAACAAAATCGAAGGGTTCAATTGTATGTTTTTTGCCTTTGGTGCCTTCTGCCTTTCTTCATCTACAACGATCGTGTTTATTAAGAGATTTCGCGGTATTTGGAATACCGGTCTTTAGCCGAAAGATATATCGCTAAAGGCGCGGTTTCAACCAAGCCTGTGGTACACAGTCCATCATGATTCCAATGTTAAATAGGATGCCATATGATTAAAGCACTTCCCTCACGTCTTAATCATGAAACCCTTGCACTAATTGTTATGAGTAAATAATTTCGAGACCACGGTGGGTTTCTTATAACGAGCGTAACGTATGATCGGACCTTAAATGAAAAAAAATTTTGGAGTGAGCGGGCCGTGTTCCTTGGCTTTTAAGTAAATAGTTTGAAAAAGCGAAAAGAGGAGTGTCATCCGAATAACTTACTAGAGCGGTTTTATTCAATTGCTTTAGCAAGATTGTTGTTGTGCTATACAAAGGACAACAACTTCATTGGAATACTCGTGGAATCCTCAATTTGTTGACGGTGGCCAATGGGAGAAGAAACGATTAAATCCACCAATTCGGGGTCGCCACAAATTACAAGTCCTGGTGGAAATGAGCTGCTATTGAAATTTATTAACTCAGCCCATTTCACGCTATACAATAATATCGAGTACCTAGCGAGGTATAGTTATAATGTGGGGATACACTATTATTTGTGTCAAAAGTTGCTGACATTTCCTCACAATGAGCTACAATTCTACATACCACAATTAGTACAGGTGCTTTTGACTGTGGAAACAGAATCAATTGCTCTTGAGGAACTACTGCTCCAGCTCAGTGCCGAAAACCCTCATTTTGCTTTACTTACATTTTGGCAACTGCAGGCCCTACTCGCTGATTTATCTAATGATCCAGCATCTTATGGGTTTCAAGTTGCGCGTCGAGTAATTAACAACCTTCAGTATGTTTTGTTCAACACCGCTAAGAATGGCCCGGAAGATAAGAAAATGCATGAGAATGTTGCTCCCGCTATTGTGCTCTGTTCCATGGTAATGTGTGGTGTTGTCATGCCCTCTTTAGGCCAAACTTCACTGCCACTAGTGCGATCACAAGGTAAACGTCAGAAAAGCTACGTATTCAAGCTTGCTAAAAATGCCATGCGGAACTTAACAAAGAATTTGACTTTGAAAAACACCATTCTGAATCAAAAGAGTTCCAATGCTTGGGGACACAAGAATGATCCTGGCTCACCAGTGGATCTCGTCGATAACACGAGAAGTAAAGAAGATGCTCTGTTTAAGAAACCAAAGGAAAAACCGCTGACTTCGTTGAATTTCGATATTATAGACGACGTGGGCGAAAAAATGTTCGAAGAAAGAATTTCAAACTCAATAAAGATGCCCAAGAGGAAGTCAAGAACAACAGATCAATCTTATGTTCACAGAGTTTATCAAGACCAATCGTCAATGGGGGCCTCCGACTCTGTCTATGAAGATGAATACACAAACTCAATGCCTGATCTTCATAAAGAGCTTGAAAGAACCACGTCAGCGACGTCTTTTAACTCCTTCAAGTCTAACAAGTCCATCGAGCATACGTCTGCAGATGACAATATATCACGTGTTAATACAAGTCCCCCAATGGCAGATTCATTCAATGATCATTATTACAATGCAAAGGGCAGTCGCAAGTCGTCCCGTCATGGGGCAAATTTACATAATTTGGAACCATCGCAATTATCCATGCCCAAAAAAATTAAGCTATTAAAAGCAAACTATTTTCGTTGTGAAACACAGTTTGCTATTGCATTAGAGTCGATTTCTCAAAGATTGGCTCAAGTTCCTGTGGATGCTCGACTCAGTGCTCTACGTGCTGAATTATCTCTTTTAAACAGAGATTTGCCTGCTGAAGTTGATATTCCTACCTTATTGCCTCAAAATAAGAAGGGTAAACTCCATAGACTCACCAAAATATCAGCAAACGAAGCGCAAGTTTTGAACTCTGCAGAAAAGGTTCCATTTCTTCTATTAATTGAATATCTTAGAGATGATATGGACTTTGATCCTACAACCGAAGACAACGAAAAACTATTGAGGGAGAGGCCTGATGAAGGAAGCTTCATCTTCGACTTGAGTTACATTAATAAGAATATGCGTGATGATAACACTGATTTTGGTTCTCATGTCGAAACCTCTGCTCAGAGGTCTGGCTCACCTCTTGCGTCCTACGTTGAGACTTTCAAACCGAGTAGAGAGGTGGATTTAGGTGATTTATCTGTGGTAAAACTCACTAATCAAAATGAAGCCGAAACATATCGCCATGAGCTAATGGTTCAAACTGCTACCAAAGTACCAGTGATACCTGATGATTCTAATGCACGCAATCCCGAGCTCAGATTCTTGACAAATCTCGAAGACATCACCTCAGATCTCCAGAATCTCGGCAGAGCAGATGCTGCCACTGGAAATGCAGAAGATCTTGCTACTCAAATGCGCATATCTGCCGTAATGTTGGCACAGCTTGATAAATCCCCTCATCAGCTACATGATGCTACAAATCAAATAAGAGCTAAGATCATTGCTTCTATGCAGGAAGTTCAAGACCGTTTTGGATATCGTGATTTGGAAGCCATACATGGGATGGCCGGTGAAAGAAAACTGGAAAATGATTTGAAAACCGGTGGTTTAATGGGTACGAAAAAGGACACGTCGTATTTAGGAGAAGAATGGGCCACAAAGAAAGAAAGAATTAGGAAAACATCCGAATTTGGAAATTTGGATAACTGGGATCTCTGCTCTGTAATTGCAAAATCCGGAGATGATCTCCGGCAAGAGGCATTTGCATGTCAATTAATCCAGGCAATGGCCAACATTTGGGCTCGTGAAGGAGTTGACGTCTGGGTGAAGAAGATGAAAATTTTGATAACCAGTGCAAATACTGGCCTTGTAGAGACCATTACTAACGCCATTTCTGTTCATAGTATCAAGAAGTCACTCACTAAGAAAATGGTCGAAGACGGTGAATTAAACGAGAAGGGACAAATTGCGAGTCTAACAGACCATTTCGTTCGCGCATACGGTGATTCAAACACATTTAAATACAAGAGAGCTCAGGATAACTTTGCATCCAGTCTGGCGGCATATTCCGTTATATGTTACATCTTGCAAGTCAAGGATCGTCATAACGGTAATATTATGATAGACAATGAGGGTCATGTGGTGCATATTGATTTTGGTTTTATGCTCTCTAACTCCCCAGGCTCAGTGGGTTTCGAGGCTGCCCCATTCAAACTCACATACGAGTACGTCGACCTCCTTGGTGGAATAGATGCGGAACCATACATAAAATTTGTCCGCCTCACTAAAGAGGCTTTCAAAGCACTCAGAAAGTACGCTGATCAACTCGTCTCTATGTGTGAGATTATGCAGAAAGATAACCTTCAGCCATGTTTTAACGCTGGAGAGCAGACAAGCGCACAAATGCGTCAAAGATTCCACACTGAACTCACAGATTCAGAGTGTGACGACTTTGTCGAGTCTGTACTCGTTGGAAAATCGTTGGGCAGTATTTATACGCGGCTTTACGACCAATTCCAATTGATAACTCAAGGTATATACTCTTAAGCATGAATTTAGCGCAAATATCTTGGCAACATTACCCGGTCATTTTTCCCCGTTTTTTTTTTCTTTCAACCGAACGAGGCCGAGAAGTTCCCCGTGACCTTTTCAATTCCGGTAATAGCCACTTTTTTAGCTCATTCAAACTTCAGCTAGTCTTACTTTACCTATAAGACATCTTTTGGGAAGCTTGAGTATCGTTCTATTACCTGAATTAGCTTATCATAGCTAATATTACATCTTTCATAACAGACATCCAAGAAAATTAGGAATTTTAAGAATTCACGACTTCCTAATATGTTGATGATTAATAGATACCCAAGACAATCTTCGCTAATAGCAAGGGTATTTCAGAGCTCCAAAAGATTTCAGTCCGCTCTTAGACCTGGTACAAGTCAGGATCAAGCAAAAAATCAGCCAATAGTACACGGCCCCGCTGATTTTAGTTATGACGAATCTAGTACAGGATCATCAAAAACAGATTTACATCTTCTAGAGCAGGGAATAAAACGCACGGACGAACTAACCTCACAGTTCACTGATTACACCTATAGATTCAAAAAGCTACCCTTAAACTATGGTAGCAACCAATTACTCAGCGTTGACAAAGAGCTGCAAAAAGATCTTGATGGAATCCTGTCTCACTTCAATGCTCCCATAAGATATGCTTTCGGTTATGGCTCTGGTGTTTTTCAGCAGACGGGCTACTCCAAAGGTGAAGACTCTCCACAAATGGATCTTATTTTTGGTGTCACTCATCCAGATCACTTTCACTCATTAAACATAAGGCAGAATCCGCACCACTATTCTTCACTTCGTTATTTCGGCTCTGAGTTTGTTTCAAAATTTCAAGATATTGGAGCAGGAATCTATTTCAATCCTTTTGTTGACATAAATGGGCACTCGGTCAAGTATGGAGTCGTTTCGATGAATAATCTGCTGAAGGACCTAGCTTCATGGAATTCATTTTACCTTGCAGGAAGACTTCAAAAACCAGTGAAAGTTTTGAAGAATGACTGCAGGGTTCAATATTGGAATCAATTAAATCTTAAGGCGGCAGCCACATTGGCTAAACATTTAACATTGAGGGAAAACAACAACGTTTTTGATGAGTTTAATTTCTACAAGCAAATTACGGCTTTAAGTTATGCTGGCGATGTAAGGTACAAGTTAGGTGGCGAAAATCCAAATAAGATCAATAATATAGTTGAGAAAAACCTCGATAACTTTCGTCGTTACTACAAGCCAGTTTACAAAGATGTTGTGCTTCAAAACTCAAGCTATTTACCCCAGGGCTTTACACTTGACAATTCAATTAGTCTCTTGGAGAAAAGAATCTACAGGACAAGCACAATTCAAGCACTGAAAGGTATATTTACTGCTGGTATCACAAAATCGGTAAAATATGCGTGGGCGAAGAAATTGAAAGCTATGAAAGGTTCAAAGTAGTGACGGGGTAATTTAAAATCGGTTTGCACGATTCTTCATTTTTCGGGTGGTTTCTGGAACTAATTGCATGTAAGTTTCTTGATTTATTGAATTGAGAAAATATTTATATTAAGGTTATTTCTTTTATCTACGCAAGGCAGCAAATCTTTTTTTCAGTTCATCCAGATCAGTATCGAAAACTTTTTCTTTCTTGGTAACGATTTTCACATCCCTTTTGATGTCATCTGGGATCTTTAATTTGGCTCCTACGGTGTCACTATTCTTACGAGGTTTCTTAACGGTAATTGGATGGCTCTTGTCATCAATAGCATCACTTTCTACCGCAACAATCGGTTTATTGTCATCACTATCATGTGTATTCACTGATGTTTCATCCTTGAGATTTGTAATTTCTTCCCCGATACCGCCTTCGTCACCTTCACTGCTTGTACTTTCATCATTATCTTCATCTTCGGATTCCTCACGAAGTTTGCTATATGGAACTTCATAAGTACGGGCAATCTCAGATAAATAAAGCTCGACTAGCTCTTCCTTTGGTAAACGTGGTGAACATTTGGTCAAAATCTTTTCAGGAACACCAATTTTGTCTTCCACAATTGCTCTCAGAAAGTCTAACCCAAATTTGTGCGTGATCAGATCTTTTGCCTGCTGCAATTCTTTTATCTCTGCTGCATGTAAAGTTGCATACACCACCGCCCTAACCGCTTCGTTTATACCATCATCAACATGGTTTTCAATCAAGTCTGCTTCGTCAACAATACTATTCAGTATAGCAATTCTAGCATGCAACAGTTCACAATATAACTCTAATATTTCCAGCAACTCAATGTGGATGTCATCATTGATTAAACTCTCGACCCTATAATGGGCTTTCTGCTCCTTCCCTTCTGCAAGTAACTTCGCGGCATCCCTTCTAGATTTCTTGGCTAATGATTGCTGCTTCTCCTGAGTATAGCGTAGTCTTTGTATGCACATTTTCAAAGTTGTTTTCAACTTTATCTGTTCGCTCCTGAATGCTTCTAAACCTCGTACTAGTACTTACACCCCAACTAACGTGACATGTGCAAGATATGAAAGGTCACTTGAAGCCATGAAAGGAGAGTCAGTTAGTAATTGGTGAGTTTGTTTTCCATAAAGTATATAGATCATACATTGAACGGAATTTGAGTAGCCATTGTTGTGTCTTTTCTACGTTATCAATAGATGACCAAGGGGACAGATAATTTCGGGTTATGAATTTCGGGAGTATTTTCGTCAATAAAAACCATCGATTTTGAAGCTAAAGAATTAGATACTTAAATACTTTTCCATTAGGGAATTTGCCAATTCAGAGTTTCCGCTCTCATTATAGATCAATATCGAATTATAAGCTGCGTGTTTTTTCAGCATAACGTCACTGTATTCATGTAAAACTCTTCGGTAGTACTTAATAGCCAAAGAAAACAATCCCAGAAGGTGAAAGGCCCTTCCAATATTATAGTCCGCCTCTTGCTTCTCTTTTGCCGTGTATTTTTTTGATCGAATATCGTAATACTGATACAAATACCGCAGTCCTTGTAAAATTTGAAAATGCCTGCTAGCAGTCAACCTTTGCATGGATCGATGTAAGTGTGCCAAGCCCATCAAGAAATTAAGCATAGGGTCTTCGGAAAGATGTGGCTTTAGTCTTCTGAGATATTGTAGTGCTAAAAGGAACCCCTTGCTAGAATATAGCAACACAGCATAAATATAGTAAAGGTACGGTGAAATTTCCCCGTCTGGATTAAAGACTTTTTTGTTTGTAACAGATGCTTGTCCAGCAATATGTTGCTCATAACGTACACTGTCATAGGCTTTGAGTTGTCTTAGAAAAAACTTTTGTTGAACAGTAGAGCTTAATACGTCTAAAGACATTTGTCCTCTAGTAACACAGTACATGAAATTGTGCAATACTTTCCTGTTGAATTGAAATTGGTTCAAAATTCCACGCAAGTTATCAACTAATTCACCCTCATCTTCCATCTGAAGAACAATTGCAAGTTTGACAAATTTCATCATCTTTACTCGACCAGGATCTTGAACAAAGACATTGACTTCTTGAGCCGTTTCAATTATACTTAGACCATCCTCAACACTCTGAAGTTTGGTAATTGTCAATGCAAGCTCCATAAACAACTCGAACCACTGATCGTATGTAAGCCCTCTTAGTTCTGTTGCAGAAGTTAGAATTACCCTTTCCTCCATGAGTGGAAGTCCATCCAGTAGATTATCACCCTCAGATAGTTTTGAAAGTCTTTCAATTTTATAATCGATTACTTTGTTGAATTTTCTAGTCCGTTTTATTATACCAACGAATTTCTTAGATCGACTCTTTACAAAGAAATTCTTGACACTAGAGAAAACATCAATAAGATCCGATGCCGTATCAATCCATAGAGTTGTTTGGTTCTCCTCCCCAGCTTCCATACCTTCCTTGTATATTTTTAGTTTGTTATATTTATCTAGCACTTTTGCCGTGATTCTTCTTTCACGATCTCTCTTCTCTTTTTCCGCATCTTGAGGCGTGCGCTTTTTCTTAACGGATGCTTTCTTCGTATGAATATCTTCTAGAAGTGGCTTTCCTTTCTCTACTCGAATTGAATCATTCATCGACTCAGAGCTCTGTAAATGATCATCAGTTAACTTCGCACGGGATTCTGATGCCTGTTGTTTTCTTGTTTCCACAACTTCCAGTAACAACTTGTTAAATGTATCATGGTTTCCCAGATGATAGTTTATTTCGGCAAGGGTTAGTTTAGTTTCTAGGTCCTCGGGTTTTAACTGCACAAGCTTTTCAAATGCTTGCCGAGCTTTTGAATAGTCCTCAACTTCTTTGTAGCATTTGCTCAAAGGTTTATAGACATCTATTGTGCGATAGTCATCCAAATTCAATAACGGTGTAAAGAACTCAATGGCTTCTTGATATTTTTCTGCCTTGGTTAAAGCCACTGCAACTTCGAAATATAGGTCTGCAATATCGACGAATACTTCATCATAAAGAAATTGAAAGTGGTTCATCGCTTCTAAAACGTGCTTGTTATTTAGCCTAAGGAGGCCTAATCTGATGCGGATATCAATTGGTAAAATGTAAGATTTTTCTTTTTCTTCGACCGAAAGTGCATCATAGCGGCTGTTTCTGAATCGTCTTTTATCAAACTCAGAATCATCCGATATATCATCCCAAAATGTTTGCATTTCTCTATGCTGTATCCAACGCGCACACCTTTTAATCGTTTTTATGCCGCTGTTTTCACCTGCTTGCTTTAGAAAAAGCTCTGCGAGAATGTTCAGAGATGACCAGTCAAATTTAATGCATCTATATTTTCTAAGAGTCTTTTTCATAGAAGCATTAGAATAGTATTGTACCTCGTCGTCATCTTCCTCATAATCTTGATCACTCTCCCCCTCAGAATCATCCTGTTCGTCCTCGGATGATTCAACCGCATTTTCTGAAGCTGCAACTATCGCATTTCTCCTTTCGATATTAGCCTCAAAAACTTTTACGTAAAGTGCAATCGCTTCATTGATCCTATTATACTCCACGTAGAGAACAGCGAGCTCGCGAAGGATGTTGGCATCATAAGGATCATTACTGTAGAGTTTCTGAAATCCTTCTAAGGCCCTGCCAAGCTGTCCAGTTTTTTTGTATAAGATCGATCGATTGTATATGCACTCCCATTCTTCATTGTTCATGCGGATAGCCCGAGTATAACAGTAAATAGCTTGACGTATGTGGCCTAGATCAGCAGACAGTGTAGCAACGACTTTCCAAAACTCCCAATCTGATGAGTTTAAATGGGCTGCGAGAAACCAGGAGTTACAACAGTCATTGTATCGCTCCTGTAGCTGGTAAATATCACCGAGAGTCTTGTATGCCGCGAAGTTTTTAACGTCTTTTTTAATAACCTCATTATATAGCTGTTCCGCGACTTGAATATCAGTTCTCACAAATGCCTCATTGGCCTCTGAGAGTAACTGAGCAACTTCAGGATCAACTATTCGATCCTTTCTCATTTTTGGTGTAGTCACTTTTCCTGTTGCTTTCTTTTTGTTTCGACCTTTACGCTTAACCTTGAAGTTATTCGCTTCTCGGATTGCATCCATAAAGTCTTGTTCATCGTATTCATCATCCGAGAAATCTCCATAATCCGAAAACTCTGCGAGCAAGTCATCGTCATCGCGGTACGCAAATTCATCGTGTCCTCCCATCCCTCCGGTACCTTCACTAAATTCCTTGCCTTCCAAGGCTGTTAGTTCTTCATCAATCATGTCGTCTTCATGTCCTTCCATGTCAGAAAACTCATCGGCTAAGTTACTTTCCTTAGCATCATTGCGTTTTCCCGAATGATCATCTCCTATAAGCTCACGTAATTCATCCAAGTTCTCATAGAATTGCTCTTCATCTTCATTATTGGAAATGCCATCCTTATCGGTTTGAGCCATGAGCTAAAATAATTCTTACTTTTCCTTCCTTACACTGGCATTGTTTATTCTCTAATCCAAAGGGCAATGATTAACACTCCAATATCGTTTTTAATGATATCACCATTTTTTTAATTCCTTCGTACGAACTAACTAGCTTTTAGGGTAGAGATTAACGGTGGAGAGTGGCGAATTTATTCAAAGAAGTGAAACAAACGATTTTACCAACCTTTCATCCTCTTGTTTTTACAACCGAAGATGTTCACTGGTTTTGGATCATTGGGTGGGGGTTTTATGAGCCTCCCTCAAAAGTTTGAGGATTTTTTTAGGTGTTATCCAATTGCGATGATGAACGATCGGATCAGAAAAGATGACGCCAACTACGGTGGCAAGATCTTTCTACCACCTAGCGCCCTAAACAAATTGACCATGCTAAATATAAGGTATCCAATGCTATTTGAACTGACCGTTCCTGACACTGGTAAAATTACACACGGTGGTGTTTTAGAATTCATTGCTGAGGAAGGGAGAGTGTACCTGCCTCAATGGATGATGGAAACACTGGAGGTACGGCCTGGATCTTTGCTTCAAATCGGAACTACAGATGTCCCACAAGGTCAATTTGTTAAAATTGAGCCTCAATCTGTGGACTTCTTAGATATTTCAGACCCAAAAGCAGTACTGGAGAACGTCCTAAGAAAGTTCTCGACTCTTACTGTTGATGACATTATCGAGATCAGCTACAATAATAAAATTTACAGGATAAAAGTACTTGAAGTGAAACCTGAATCATCTTCGAGTAGCATATGTGTGATTGAAACAGATCTAGTGACAGATTTTGCCCCCCCAGTTGGATACGTGGAGCCTGACTACAAAGCCCAGCAGGTAAAAAGATCTAAGCCTCCAGTTGATGCCTCTGCAAGAGGTTTAGGAACGATGTCGCAGCGTATACATTATCCTTCAATAGTTCGATCAACTGACAAATCCTCTTCCGCTTTTGTCGGTGAAGGTCAAAGTTTGACTGGGAAAACTATATCAAAAAAGACAGAGATCGGTTCCCCTGATGTTAAAATATCCTTGGATGGCGACCCAGCGCCCCTCAATTTACCAGATGGTCAGCTCTTCTTTGGCTTTCCAATAGTACCTCCTAAAATTAGTGATCAGGAGGATGATACTACTGAGGAGAAAGCGCAATTTAAAGGTCAGGGTCAAAGTTTAAGACAAAGTAATAAAAGAAGAGGTAAAAAAGACCACGAAAGTCCCAGAGCAAAGGCTCCAAAAAGTCCAGAGGTCATCGAAATAGATTAGCCGCTTCTAACATCTCAATGTCGGAAGATTGTCATTCCTTTAGCTCGTGATTTACATGCATTATTAGTATTATTTTCTATAGAGTATATTAGGTATATTAGGAACTCCTGGAGGGCTAACGAGTCTTAGAAATCATTCTTTTCAATGCTAAGGGCAGTTCTTCATCCGAATCAGAGTTATCGTGAATAGCTTGATCGTCCGTGTCACCTAAAGTCCTCGTCTTAGAGATATTGGTCAAGTTTTCCTCAGCAGCTATACGCGAGCCGATTGAATAAACTCTCTTCCTAAAGCCCTTTGGTAAACTTTGAACTTCAAAAGAATTCTTGCTTTTATGCGAAGCAATATGCGCTAAATCAATGCCGTCAGGATCAAATCTAGCGTCTGCATTCAATGCGACAGGTCCCTCTCGTTCTAACTCAGCATCACTAGAGTTCTCATCACCCTCCGAAATAGCAGATGAGAGGGAATGTGTGTAGGGTGATGGGTATCTAGCCTGATTATCCTGCTTTTTCCTATTAACAAAATCTTCAAAGCCAACCACGGCATCCGCTGCCCAGTCCTCATATAAAGGTCTCGACAGAAAACCGTATTTGAACTCGTTAACGCCAACTAAAATTTTTGTAAGTTCAACTAGTTCCTCGATATATTCAATAACCTCTTCCATCGCTGCAGTTGATGCATTCCAGCTCAGAAACTTTTCCTTCAAAATGTACTCATGGGGAGGTAAAGAATTTCTAGCGGGCCTTTTAGCAACCATAGAAAGTCCTTCGTATTCTGCACCTTCTTCGGTTGAGGCGTTATCATGTTGATATAAATCAACCATTTCTCTAGGCCTTAAATTGCCTATTTGAGAGCGATATCTAACTTTCAATGTTTCCCGGACTTTGTTGATCAATCTTCGATGAGCTATTCTGGCACTAGGAACAAATTGAGGAAGTGGTGTCTTGTTGATTATGGCCTCTTGAACAGCTCTCATTAGGCACGCAATCGATGCGACGAACTGTCTCCTATAAGGATATACTAGATGATTTAACTCTTCAATGATTGCACTACCGTATTGTTTTCTGAGCAGAACAATATTATCCATTCTATCAATTATTTGCCTTTGGATAAAAATAATTTGAGTGAAGACATTCTCTAGCTCGGTGTACTCTCCTTTCAATCTCGGCTCTTGTCTCGTTAGACCCTTATATGCTGTGGCTCTTACCAGAGCAGATTTTGCACTCTGAGATATTCTGCTTGACCGCTGGTATCTGTCCTCGGTCAAGCTTGATTTAAGACTTTGTCCCTCAAGCCCCGAAGCGACAAGCATCTCCATCTCGGAAATACAGCCAGCTACGAAGGAAATTTCTTCATTAAGCTGATCACGAGCTTTAATTGGAAAAAGAGTTACTTGGACAATGACGGCTATCCCACCACCGTAACCCACGGCTAAACATCTTTTTCCAAAATTCGCCAGAATGCTCCCTTGGTTATTAGAAGGAAGAATGGCAGCGAGCATAACAATGTAAATGCTGATGATTTGGATAATTGCTGCCTTGACATATGGTGATCCCAGAAGAAAGTAGAACCCCGGTACGGCTCCGAATATTGTAATCACCGTCTCCAAATATGGATTTGTCTGATGAACACCCGCTACGTAAGAAAGGTAGCCCCACGCTGCACCTATGACAACACCAACCCCACGTAAAAAGAATACCCAAAAAGTGCCCCCTACAGAAGGTTCCATGGCTAAAATACACACGAAACCAACCCATGTACCACGAATATCTATGTACCATTGACGTGCTTTTGGAATGAACATAGGAAAGGAGGCTAACATCAAAGCAATGGTCACTTGTAATCCAAATCGGAAATGCTCTCTATTTCGGTTGTAAAAGGAGTCACAGAATATCAACGATTTTATTAGCCAATATGAGAGTCGATTTTTGAATGCATATGATTTTTTTTCCTTGGTTGACGAACTTGAGACATCAAACGCTGAGTCGGTCGTGGTGAACTTGGTAGTTTGTGGAAGGTTGGGTTCTGAATGTTCGAAATTGACATAATTAGCACGCTGCTGAGATAGGACCTCTTCCTCTTCAGCATGAGGCCTCATGACCGCCATATCAGCGGGTGGACGATAGTTATTCTCTATGACACCGCCATTCAAACTTTGACTCTCTGTTATGTTTCTGGAGTGTGATGTCCCTCCAACCCATTTTTTGAAATCTTCATAATTGCGCAAAAAATTGAACCAAAGAGATTTTCCCTTGAGCCATCCTTTGGCCTCTTGTTTCTTTCTGATTTCAAATATGTTTTTAGTCTCTTTCATGATCGCAACAACTGAATTAGTGGTCTCTTTGAAGTTCATCAAAAACGATGATAGCAAAAACATTTCATCCTTTGGAGTTAACAAATTCTCATCTAAATGAATCATTTCCTCCCTGAATTTTAGATCGAATTCAATCACAGCATTTTCCAATTCATTAATATACTGCTCGAAGTCAAGACTCTGCGGTATCTCCTTTTTCAATTTGTAAGACGGAAACACTTCATCTGAGAAAATTTCCTGGATCTGAACGTTCTTCAAGTTTACATCATGAGAGTAGGCAAGTGCTACCTTGATGATGTAAATAGATTTGCTGAGCGTCTTGTGAAGGTGATAAATTGGACCTTTCATTCTTCTCAAAACATTCAATAATCTTTTAGAGTCTGCATGACTCATTTCCTTTTCCGTTTCTATCTTCAGCAAATCATGCTCAATGTTACCATGTTTCTCACGACCTAATAGAATAAATTCTAGTTGACAAGCATTTACCAGAGCACTGATGTACATGCAAAGATGCTTGAAATTTTGAATAACGTTCTTTAACTCTGACGGAGAAACGTAGGGGTACGAAATCTCATAGATACACTCATCCAATACCAACGTACAGTTCGATACTTTACTGTCAATAGATTCCTTGAGCTTAAGTAACTTTGCTAGTGAAATTGGCTCCACATTATACATTAAAAGAGATGGATCGCTTGAATCGATAGAAATGAAAAATTCGATTGCTGAATCGATAGACTTATGAATTTCATTAAGCGCATCAACGGTTGCATTGCCCAGATAAGTGCTTCCAAATTCTGGGAACAACAACAAATTCCAGAATATTGACATAGCAATTCCAAGGTAAAACGGTACGCTGAAGGCCTTCGCAATTGTAGCGGGGGATTCGGTTAGAGGTGCCATAAACGCAAAGTGAACCACCAGAAACAATGGGAAAACTATACTAAAGTAATGGTGCGAAACTGATCTCATCCAGCCGTGAAAGAAAAGCATAGCCATCTCGAATATTGCCAAAATTGCCAAAGCTGACTCGAATCGCTGATAATGTGAATGATATTGTTCGCGCTCTGTTAATATGCTCCAACTGTTACCCAAGCATCTCTGTGCAATGAACCGTCCAAGAAGGGAATAGGCCAAGCCAAAGAGCAGGCCGGTGATACAATTTACCGCACCTTGAATAGTAGCACTTGCACGTCTGCCAGGATGCACAATCACAGCAATCAAAGGAAGCATTGCTGGTTCATTTCCGAGTCTTTCCCTGACTTTCGGTATTAAACAAAAGATGAATGCAACTGTCGCATGCACGGTGGATTTAAAAATTCTTTTGACCAGAACCCTATTGCAAGGAAACTGTTGTTTTAAGAACTTTACCACCTTATTCCCTTTCATTCTTCCATTACTCATCTGGTCTATTTCATTGGCAGGTGTTTAAATCTCTATTATTGCCTTTCTCTATATAAACAACCTACGCAATGCGATGTAATGCAATCACACGATATGCGCATCTCCGAGAGTGATAGCACATTTTCTGTTGCACCATTCCGAATTTGCCCGAGCTTCAAAACTTAAACGGGCGGGAAAAAAAAAAGAAACCTCGATCAGCACATGACTCTGAATCAGGTGCTATCGGTGTAGCCGTAAGAGTAATCTACTGGATAGTGAATTGTATCGTCTGAGCCCTTGAAATCGTATTCGCTCAGTCCTACACTACCACCGAATTTGAGAAATCTTTCGTACATCATTTGTCTGCGTTCGCGTACAACTTTTATTAAATCTGGCCAGTAGACTTCATGGTTATAGTGAAAGTTTAGTCTTCCATTGTAAACGGCTTCCAATTGAGTGGGCTCTACATGAGTTGCAAAGGAACCTTCGAACTCTAGCTTTTCCCTGGTTTTTGCATCTATTAGTGGATGAAGAAGCTTAAGAAAAGTCCATGCGAACCATGGAATGTTAGCTAGCAAGGCTTTTCCGAGACACTCGGGATAGTGATTTTGCACAATATGCAGTATTTGTTTACCTATTGAGATGGGTGGCATGGAAGGTGTTATTATACCCGGTTCTTTGTATTGTTTGTAGTCGACTAAAACTGTCATCGTCTCGACACCTTGCGGCATCATCGTAATTGTGCTTTCCACCATGTAGACCAGTAGTTGAACTTGCTTAAAACTTGTTTTGGTATTTTGGCGGCCATTTTTCATGTACAAAAGAGGTCTACGATGACGATCATAGCCTAAAATCAGAAGCTTGCCAGTTGCGTTTTCTTCTTCTATATCCTCTGGCTCCAACTCATGAGAGCCAAAATTGTCATAGGTGATACCAAATTCACGCCTCCACACCAAAGTATTGACCAACTTTGTGATGGCTTCATTTACCTCCCAATCATTAGCGCGTAGGTATCTTATCAAGCACTCTCGCGAGAGCCAGAACTTCTCCCACGAAGAGAGGCATCTTTCTTCATGGCTTTTCGTGGTATCTGCTTTATAGCCGCCACGTGAAATTGATGGGAGTAATAAAGCTGGATCCCTGAAATGGTTGAGTACTTGACGATAGGCCTCCCATTGATCTCGACTGAGTTTTTCTAAAGCTGGAGCTTTCCCATATTTCTCAGGTGGAGACCGAATTATCTTGTTGCAAACAATTAAATTCTTACCATCACTCAATTTCTGAGATTCTGATGGTTTTCTTGAGAAAAGGCCCATTGCAATGTGAATGCCCTACCGCAAGTAGAGTCAATATTCGTTGGTGAAGCGTATAATTACTAACACCGTTATTAATGATGGCTCAATTTCCATTGTAACTCTTTATTTAACACCCATTATATCGAAAATTAAACACTAGTCAGATACCTCTACCTCGTTTAGTAATGCTTCTTTTATGTGCGCATCCAATTCAACGCGTTTAGGAAACTTGAAAATATCCGGTGGGGCTCTTGGCGAGATATCCTTGATATACGACAATATGACATCGTCACTACTTTGGTAGGATTTATTTGCCCAACGCTCAAGGACATCGAGTGCATAGGAGGGATTTTCGAATACAACATATATTACAATATCTAAATCATTGTAATTGTCATTTCTAGACGAATAGAACAAGTCGTAGACCTTGTAACCCAATGCCACACCAAGAAGATCCATTGATGCGCTTTTTTCTTGTAAGATCTTGTGATTCTCGACTACTATGCGCACTGCAGATGACTCGTACAGTCTATGCTTTGGCATTTTCTCCTCTATCTTAAGGTCTTTCCAATCCCCATAGGATTTGTTGAAATGCTTCAGCTTACGCAAAAGCTCGCCGTATTTTTCAATGGAGTAGATCTCTTTGGATTTATACACCTTTTTAGTTGCTGCCTTCCTTTCATCAGTATGAAGCTTATTTATCAAATGTTGTCTTTGCTCATCTTTCTCCTTTTTTGATAAAAATCGATCTATGAACCAGGAATCGTAGGTTTTTCGAAGCTTTGCATCACTTAACACTTTTGTGGCCACGCTGAGCAAATGGAATTTGTGAATTGCTTCAGGATCCCCTTGATTCTTGTCTGGATGGTATCGCAGAGCCTGTTTCCGATATGCTGTCCTGACTTGGGAGACGGACACTCTAGACATATCATCTGCTTTCGTGGCAGATAGGCCTAGTAGACTGTAGATATCAACTTCATCAGTCAACAGTGCTGTCAAATCCATATGGTTTGCTTTTCACAAAGTTTGTTTCCTAGTCTACTTCTATTGAATTGAATTTCCTTTGGCATGCCGACAGCGCTATGAAAAAAACAGATGAGTTTCTGCGCGCATTAAAGCTTGCTAAATACAGTGCGTATATGTAACATATTAAAAAATCACTATAGTTGCCTCATCCCATTAGCCACATCAAGACGCTTTGCCAAACAAATCCATAGACAAATAGGAAATAGTTACACTTCCGAACCACACTTTTCTTGACTGTGTGGAATTCATTTCCAGAATCTACTAAAAGGTTGAATTTGACAGACCGCAACAAGAACACCCCGAATGCAATGAATAGGTACACCTTACCTAGCAGAAACAAATAGTAGGGAGAAGAAGGGAGCAACATGGCAATCGTCAAGGGAACGAATTTATAACCAACGTAGCACGTGAGCTCTGCAAGACTTGTGGCAGCTGAGTTCAGAGGGACCAATAAATAAAGACCAAACTTCAAAATTACCATGTCAAGGGCCACGAACGCCAAAGTGGACGATAATTTGTAATATAGGTATTCAGGATTGAAAGAGCCCTGCAACCCTTGTTGAAAATTCCAGGCGAGAATATATGTGACGAGGCCCATGACGGGTATGTACATATCTGGGGAATTTACGTCAACCTTGGGGGCTTGAAAGGAGGGACCACCAGAGCCGGAATTCGATGCGTTAGGAATCCTTTGCCAGCTTCCATGAATGAATGGGAGAATGATGATCTTTAACTTCTTAAACACGTAGGAATTTGAAACTTGAAAATAGTGCGATAAAGATGATGATGCGCCGGTGGCCTTTGACAGGTTTTCTTGGAATTGACTGAAGTTATCCTGGCCAATAAAATTGGAAAATGCAGACTGTCCTAACTGATAAGCCATAGAAGTACGTGGATCTTGGTACGAAAAACTAGCTTGATCATTTTGTTGTGCTGATTGCTGGAATTGTTGCTGAAAGGGTTGTTGAAAACTCTGAGGCTGTGGAGGAGTAAAAGAGGTTTGTTTGTTAACATTTCTGTCATTTATTTTTAAATCATCATTTTCTGCGGCATAAGCATACGGATTGTATGACATCTTATAACTTCTAAGTGCTCCAACTGATTTTTATTTCGTATTATTCCTGTAAATGAAACGACCTACTTTTTTCTATCGATTCTTCGTTCCGTAAATTATGATTATGGGAAGCTCTCTAAGAGCCTCTTCGCGTCAAATTTTTAGGATGTAGAACGAAGATATTACGCGTCAAAGGCATATTATCGAGACAAGATCCCATTCAGGTACCCATGGCTACTAGATTCCAAGGATCAACTACAGCACGTTATGTTGGCACTGGTGGGTCTTTGAAGAATAACATACACAATAATGTCACCCTAACTGCACAGCAGTTAATGGACTCCGCGAAGCTTGATGAGATCGACTCTATGATGGGCTTTGAGCGTTACGTTGCCCCTCAATATGGCAATAAAACCCAATTAATTAATGAAATACCTGGCAGAATTGGCTGGCTAGTTAATATGCATCCTACAGTTGTATCTCAAGATGTTGCTTCAAATGGAGGAAAAGCGCCATTAACACCTGCTGGTATATCGGGTGTGGATTTCTATTTTCTAGACGAAGAAGGAGGTGGATTTAAATCGACGCTCACTTTTGATCCATACTTTCTTATATCTTGCAAAGACGAATCGCGAACTAACGATGTCGAAGAATATCTGAAAAAGTATCTAGAACACTGCCTTAAAGATGTTGAGGTGATTACTCGAAATGATTTATCTATGACAAATCATCTAGTCGGTCTAGAGAGAACTATGCTGAAGCTATCATTCACCAACAATAATAATCTCTTTGAAGCTAGAAAATTACTGCGACCAATACTTAGAGATAACGAGAGTAATCAACTACAGAGAGCGCTTTACAGTTCCACGAATACGGCAATTGAAGACACAAAGATGTTAATTTCGGACATGCGAGAATATGATGTTCCTTATCATGTACGTGTCTCAATTGATAACAATATAAGGGTAGGGAAATGGTACAAGGTAACATCACGGGGGTTTTTGGAAGTGACGGAGAAAGTGGCATTTGCAGATCCAGTTGTCCTTGCATTCGATATAGAAACCACAAAGCCTCCATTAAAATTTCCAGATGCATCGATTGATCAAATAATGATGATTTCATATATGATAGACGGTGAGGGTTACCTGATAACTAATCGAGAGATTATCTCTGAGGATATTGACGATTTCGAATATACACCCAAACCAGAATATCCAGGTCAATTTACTATATTCAATGAAGCTGATGAACTAGCATTACTGCAAAGATTCTTTGAGCATATTAGGGATGTAAGACCGACGGTAATTTCAACATTTAATGGTGATTTCTTTGACTGGCCATTTGTTGATACACGTTCTAAAATTCATGGTCTTAATATGTATGAAGAGATAGGCTTCGCTCCTGACTCCGAAGGTGAATACAAATCGTCATATTGTGCCCATATGGACTGTTATAGGTGGGTGAAACGTGATTCTTATTTACCACAGGGCTCTCAGGGTCTGAAGGCCGTTACACAGGCAAAATTGGGTTATAATCCTATCGAGTTAGACCCAGAACTAATGACCCCTTATGCATATGAGAAGCCTCAGCATCTTTCTGAATATTCAGTGTCGGATGCAGTGGCTACTTATTATTTATACATGAAATATGTGCATCCTTTCATTTTTTCTTTATGCACTATTATTCCACTCAATCCTGATGAGGTTCTGAGGAAGGGAACAGGAACACTATGCGAGATGTTGTTAATGGTGCAGGCATACAACGGACAAATTCTACTACCAAACAAGCATACTGATCCGATTGAAAGGTTTTATGATGGTCATCTGCTTGAATCTGAGACGTACGTTGGTGGCCATGTGGAATCATTAGAGGCAGGTGTCTTTCGAAGTGACATAAAGAACAATTTTAAAATTGATCCCACAGCAATTGATGAGTTACTTGAAGATTTACCCAATGCTCTTAAATTTTGCATCGAAGTTGAGAATAAAGCTAAATTAGAAAGTGTCACCAACTTTGAGAATATCAAGGATCAAATCACTCAAAAGTTACTGGACTTGAAAGAGAATAGCGACCGAAATGAACTGCCTTTAATATATCATGTTGATGTCGCTTCTATGTATCCTAATATCATGGTTACAAATAGATTACAACCAGACAGTGTCAAGACAGATCGGGATTGTGCCAGCTGTGATTTTAATAGGCCAGGTAAAACATGCGACAGAAGACTGAACTGGGCGTGGAGAGGTGAATTTTTCCCAGCGAAATTGGATGAATATAATATGGTTAAAAGGGCTTTGCAAAATGAAACGTTTCCTAACAAAAATAGAAACTCTAACAGACAATTTCTGACATTCGAGGAGTTAAGTTATTCAGAGCAAGTTGCTCAAATAAAAAAACGTCTGACTGATTATTCTAAAAAAGTATATCATAGAGTGAAGGCTTCTGAAGTTGTTCAGAGAACAGCAATTATATGTCAGCGTGAAAACCCTTTTTATGTCAATACTGTGAGATCATTTCGAGACAGAAGGTATGAATTTAAAGGACTAGCGAAGACCTGGAAAAAGAAACTCTCAGACATTGATCTCAATGATAAGCATGAACGAGATGAGGCTAAAAAGATGATTGTGTTGTATGACTCTCTTCAGCTTGCTCACAAAGTTATTTTGAACTCATTTTATGGTTATGTAATGAGAAAGGGCTCACGTTGGTATTCGATGGAGATGGCAGGTATAACCTGTTTGACTGGTGCTACCATCATTCAGATGGCAAGATCGTTGGTAGAACGAATTGGTCGCCCTCTAGAATTAGATACGGATGGTATTTGGTGTATTATCCCCAAATCGTTCCCGGACAATTTTATATTTGAACTTGACAATGGAAAGAAGATTTTTCTTTCATATCCATGCTCCATGTTGAATTATAGAGTTCACTGCCGATTTACCAATCATCAGTATCAGACTTTAGTGGATCCCATTAAACACAAATATCAAACTCACAGTGATAACTCTATTTTTTTCGAGGTTGATGGACCTTACAAAGCAATGATATTACCGACTTCCAAAGAAGAAGGAAAAGGAATCAAAAAGAGATACGCGGTGTTCAATGAAGATGGATCTTTAGCAGAATTAAAAGGGTTTGAACTTAAAAGGCGTGGTGAACTACAATTAATTAAGAACTTCCAAAGTGATATATTCAAAGTCTTTTTGGAAGGCAATAGTTTAGAGGCATGTTATGCTGCCGTGGCTTCGGTTGCAAATAGATGGCTGGATGTCTTGGATACTAAAGGGGCTATGCTGGAAGATGAAGATTTGATAGCATTGATTTGTGAGAATAGAAGTATGTCAAAGACTTTAAAAGAATATGAGGGCCAAAAATCTACATCTATTACCACTGCAAGAAGACTAGGTGAATTTCTTGGTGAGGAAATGGTTAAGGATAAAGGCTTACAGTGTAAATATATCATAAGCTCTAAACCCTTGAATGCTCCGGTTACCGAGCGTGCTATTCCTGTTGCTATATTTTCAGCGGATCTGAGCGTAAAAAGATCATTTTTGAGAAGGTGGCTAATGGACTCTTCCTTAGAAAACTTCGACCCTAGGGCAATAATCGATTGGGATTACTATCGAGAAAGGCTTGCATCGGTTGTTCAAAAGATTATTACCATACCAGCAGCGTTGCAAAATATTAAAAATCCTGTTCCAAGAGTGAATCATCCCGACTGGTTACAGAAACGAATTGCAGTAAGTGAGGACAAATTCAAACAAACTTCCTTAACGAAATTCTTCAAGAAGACAAAGCAGGCACCTGTTGTCAAAGACATAGAGGATACTTTTTTGGACAGCGAATCTGCTGATAACTTCGCTAAAATGAGAATTGCCAAGATCACGACTAAAAAGAAAGCCAAAAGAAGGCGAGATCAAGGTGAAGAAGAGCAGAACCTCACTTTACCTTCGGAAATGCCTTCAATGGATGAAGATTATATTGGTTGGTTAAATTACCAGAAAATAAAATGGAAGATTCAAGCAAGAGACAGAAAAAGAAGAACACAATTGTTTGGAAACGCTGGTAGTGTATCACACCGCTCAACTCTAGGGAACATACTAAGGAAACATGCCGAATCTTATGCAAATTCAACCTGGGAAATTTTGGAGTACAAGGAGACATCTGAACCCGGTGTTTTGGATGTTTATGTTCAAGTCAATCGAAAAGTTCATACATTGAAGTTCAAAATGTCCAAAAGCGTGTATATGAATTTCAAAACAAATTCTCTGCCCAATGGAACTATTGAAAATTGTCTCGTGGAAAAGTCGACAAGCGTTTTACCTAATGATCGTTCTCTCAATGACAAAAAAAATAGCTCATTATTCAAATTGACATTGCCTGAAGAAGTGTATCTCGACGAGATTCAGAATCCTTCTAGTGTTCTTAATCATGAGTCTGTACTTGGTATCTTTGAAAGTTCAGTTAACTCCATTGAAAGAGCTATAATAGAACTTGGCTCATCGGTGGGTTTCAGTTCCAATGCTGTTGGTGCACTAGGAAGGGGTTTACAAAAAGGATTCGAGTCAAAGCATTTGCACATGGTAGACGAGGGCCGCTACCTTGAGCAATTTTACTTAGAGCCAGCATACCTTTTGCATCTTTCAACAAATATTGGTTACGAGTTTTTCGTGCTGTACCGGAGCTGGGATAAGAAATTAGAAGTATTTGTCTTGAAGCCATCGGAAAGTGCTCAGAATTTAAGCGTTTCTATGCTTGAAAGTATCTATGAAGAAACTTATTTGAAAAAGGTTGAAAAGCTTAATAGATTCTATGATCTCATCAAATTCAGTGAGAATATTCATGTTGACTACAAACCGTTTACTGATTTACCACGGCTGTACAAAAGGCTTTCGGCGTCCATAGGAAAACTCAGTGATGAAAAGGGTTCACAAGTCATCGTACTTTTACAATCTCCATTCGCAAAAAAGTTGCGCAAGACTGTTAAACCTTTTCTTCAAATGCCTGTAATAGAGATATCCATGGCAGAAACTGTACTACCCCAACTCAAATGGCAAGAAAAACTGGTCAATTTGATCGTAAACCATGTTCTGTCTTTGGGACCTTGGCTAAAAAATCTGATTTCTCTATCCCGCTACAGTAATATTCCTCTCTGCAATCTAAATCTTGAGAAAATGAGTTACGTTATTGATATCATGTATGCAAGAAATTTGAAAAAGCAGGATATTGTACTGTGGTGGAACGGCTCTAATCCTTTGCCGGACCATGGAGGTGTTGAGAAAGATTTCAATCCACTCATGGCTTCTCTGATGACCGACTTGGAGGCTCCTGTGTTCAACAACCCTGAAATCTATGATTCGGTTGTGTTGGAAATTGATATCAACAACCTAACTGTGAATACAGTTTTATCGTCAGCACTCATAAATGAAGCAGAGGGAAGTGACCTTGCTGATATGGCAATTAGTGATAACGGTAATGAAGATAATAAGTTGACAGGACTCGCTTTTGTGGAAGATTCTTTCTCAAATGCCGCTCTTGGCGTTTTACGGTCGCTGTTGAAGCAGCTCTGGGATGATGCCCTGACAGACAATATAACAGCAGACTCTTTGGTTCACACCTTCATTAACTGGATTTACGCACCAGATTCAAAGCTTTTCGACTACTCTTTGAGGTATCATGTGCATAATTTGACAAAAAAGGCGTTGCTTCAGCTGATCAATGTTTGTAAGTGCCTTGGATCTTCCGTTGTATTTGCTAATAGAAACAAATTATACCTAAAAACAAGCAAGACCACTGTTGAGAACTCCTATGCGTATGGGCAATATTTGACAAAAGCCGTGCGGACCACCCCAATGTTCCATTACTTGGATCTTTCTATATGCAGATATTGGGACTTGTTAATCTGGATGGATATTTATAACTATGGTGGACGCGCGTGCTCAAAGATAGAAGAACGAGAAGATCAAAAACTTACGGCATACTCAAAATGGCATATTAAGAATTTTCTTCCAATCATTTATCAACAGGAATTTGATGATTGGATGATAATCATACTGGATAGTATGATCAAAGCCAAAGAATCATACTATGAGTCCAACACTGGCACACAAAGATTGACTCAAATTCCTCCAGTGAGATCAGTGTCTGGTACTGCGCAAGACGGAGACGAAGTAGATCCATTAGCAGGCTTCACAGTTAGATTTGGTCAGCCTATGGCTAAAAGAATGTCAAAGCTACTTAAGAACCAGCAAGAATTCATATTGGATCCTACTTTTGGAGCAGACTACGCGTTTCCAATGCTTCCAGGCTCACATATAAAGATGAGAAATCCTTTGCTAGAATTGGTTAAAGAACTCTGTCATATAATGATGCTTTCCAAGAAGAGAACTCTCGAAGTTAGAACGCTAAGAAAGCAACTGCTCAAAATTTTTGAAATTGGGGAATTTGACTGGGAGTCCGAGTTTAGGGATCCTAGTTCGTCTCTAGTAGTTGTTAATTTGATCTGCGAATACTGCTCTTCTATTGATGACGTGGATTTTTGCAAGAAGGATGGAGATCGCCAATTCCAATGCCAAAAGTGCCATAAACCATATGACACTACCCTTCTTCAAGAGCACTTGGTTCAGAGCTTACAAACGGAGGTAGAGGCTTTTTTTCTGCAAGACTTGAAGTGCAAGAAGTGTGGTAGAGTCAAAGAAAACTCTATGTCAAACTATTGCCCCTGTTCTGGAGAATGGAAGACTTCAGTTTCTCGGAAATCATTGGCATCAAAACTTGAAATTTTCAAAAACGTCTCTCATTATTATAACTTTGAACTTTTACTATCTGTTATAGACGATTTGTTGTGAGCATATATAGTCAGTTAAATGATGAGATCTCAGATATTTCACATTAGAAAATTTCACTTTAAAAATAAGCGTGTAGATCACGCTTTTTTCGAAACATAAACAAATTGTTAGGATGGTCACCAGTAAACCATCTATTAGATTTAGAGATTATCAGTTAGAAGTTCTGTCTTCTTTCATAAATGAGTACCCAGATTTGGTGCCCCCGAATCTTGTCATTCATGGCCATAGCAGCTCAGGTAAAACTTTTACTTTGCAAGAGTTTTTCAACCACAACTCACATCTAATAAATTGCTGGCTGACCCCATTTGAATTGGTAACTTGGAAACCTCTACTACAACATGTTGCTCGTACGATTTCCATGACTTTGAGAAAGAAGTTTCCATTAGTAGAATTTGAAGAACAGGACGCGTTGGAAGCAGAAGACTTCTATCTTCTGATTAAGTTTTTGCATTACACTCTCATAAATTACCAGAGATTAGAACAACCAGTCAATGTTTTTGTTGTCCTTGATGGTTTTGATCAGCTACAAGAGCTTGACTCAGAACTACTTCCCAAGTTTATAAAGCTTCATGAAATGCTTCCAATAAACCTGAAGATTCAACTCAAATTCATCTACACTATTCAGGACAGATCATTTTTGAACCGATACGCCACTTATGAGCTCCCAACAGTGATTTTCCCTCGTTACACGCTTCAGCAAGTGACGCAAATACTTTTGGACAAGAAAATAAGGGAGTTTATGGAAAGTGAAGATCTGTTGCAGAAAGTTCTTGATTGTAACATTGATCCAGAAGATTCAGTTTTCGAGCAAGTCGCAGAAAATTATATCAGGTTAATGATCCAGGCTTTTCAATCGTATACGGGAAATGATGTCGTCGCGCTGGATGCTCTTATGGATGCTAAATGGGAATGCTACATTTCATCCATAACCATAGACAATATTAACGACCCATTAGCCTTGTATCGTTCGAATATTGATATTTTTGTGCACACAGGAGATACCCTCAATGATGAAGGTGATGAAATTGAGCAGACGGATACCCTTGATAAGACGACTGCCTACGAATTGTCTTCGATCTCAAAGTACCTCTTAATTGCTGCATACTTATGTTCTTACCTGGAACAACGTTATGATAGCAAGATTTTTTCCAAGAAATCTCATTTAAGGGCAGGACGCTCGTCATATGGTCGACGTCATAAGATGGACACCAATCCCAGATATTTGCAACCATCGCTTTTTCAATTAGAAAGATTGTTTTCTATATTCCAGGCTATTTACCCTGCTAAGGATACTGACGGTTCTGCTAGTAGTGGCTTTGACCAAAAGCAGCTGATGAGAGCCAACGTCGAAGTATATGAAAACTTAGCGGAACTTAATAGTCTCAAACTGATAACTACAGCGATCCCAAAAAATGTGGATTACCTTAGCTATAAACTTAAATGGAAGGTGAATGTTCCATGGGAAATCATTATAGACATTGCGTCTACTGTGGATTTCGATATTGCTGAGTATTTCTCTGGGTTACATGATTGATCTTCGCCATTTTAATATGTCTTTCCATACGATGGATTAATTCTAAATTGTCGAAATAAAACCTTCTGAGCTGGAATCTAGCAAGTGCATCATGCGTTAAAAGTGAACATCGGTGATATGGCATCCCTTCATTTCGATCCAAATAACCCTTTGAGATTAAGAAAACTCGAAAAAGGTGACTCAGATAACGAGGAACTTGTCACGGAAGAAGGCTTTGTAAATGAAACAAGAAACATCCGTAAAAGAAACAAGAGAGCCATCGTTGACGTATACTCGGCTTCTTCCGATGAAGAGGTCACTAGCCAAGAAATCAAGAACGTAAAATACAGCAAACCTGCTAGTGAAGAAGAAGAGGACGACATGTTTGCTTCTGATGAAGAAAACTTGACCAGAGAAGTAACATCAAAAGACACTAGAGATTCCCCGAAAAGTGACCTGATACCAATGGATATGACAGCTTTCAACACCGAAAATCTTCAGGAACTCGCAGATGAGAATGACCGATCTTCTGATGACGGTGTAAAAATTGAGTCGTTCAATTTAAAGGAGGAAACTGAGCACGGTGTATTCGACCAATTTGGTAATTACGTAAGAGCTGATGATTTTGACGAGGAAGCAAATCAGCAAGATCAGTGGATCAACGATTATGCTGATAAAGCTGTGCATATCAAAGCCAAATTAGCACAGCAAAAAAGAAAAACCTATCAAGAAACCCTACGCTTAAAAGCGTCCCGGCAAGCGCGGTTAATGACTCTTTCGGGTGCGCTTACAAGACTGTACTATTTTCTAACTGAAGGAGAAACTGTATTGCAGGCCTTGGGTAGGTTAAACAAGTGTCGTATGCGATATATTAAAAATACCCAGAGAAGCATGGGGAAAATAAGTTCTGATGAGACCATGAAAATTAAAAGTTTTGACTTAAAGTATACAATTACTGTTATTAACTATATAACGGAACTAGTTGATTTGCTGGAGCAGAAAGGAGTAAATGGTGTTTACGATTTAAATCGAGAAAAAGTTGGTAAGCTTATGGAAGAAGAGTCATTAGGTGACCCAATTGATGATTACAAGACCAAGTTGTGGGAATTCAAGTGGAGCTACGATTTAAACAACCCTAGCCGGACATTTACTAACTATGAAATGCAATGCTGGAAGCTCACTTATTTCAAAAATGACGTAATAGTCAAATTCCATGATGACGAGAACGAGGAGAGGAATTGGGTTCACATAGGTTGTATTCAGTTTATGTAGCATTTTGCCGGTTTAAAAGCGAAAAGGAACCAAGATCACCACATGTCTAATTGATTTTTCTGAACGCCATTTTCAGCATTGGGATCATCAACATATCCTTGTAACTCCCCACTTACGCTTCTTGAGAGGTCATCAACCATTTCAAAAGTAAACCTGACGATGTTTTGGAATTTTTCACTCTTGTGTTGCTTACTAAGTGCTAATAGCAATAATCTGAATTTATTCTTCAACTTAACAGCATTTTTTTCGTATATTGCCACACTTTCGTCCTTGTTATCTAACGGTACTTCACTTATTAGGTTTCTAATGACATCTAGGGTTTTTTGGATTGATGATCCGAATTTTTGTGACTCCATTACATCACAAATGCCTTTCATTTGTCCCAGCAATACACATCGTTGGAAACCAACCTGAAGACCGTATTGCTTGCCCTCCAAAAAATTCTTCTTCAAATTTTCTCGTTTGCCTTCCTCATACCCTTCCTTATAATACTGTTCTTCCAAACCGAGTAGCTCATCCAAGTCCATTATTCGGTGTACACTGATGAGGTTCTGCTGCCATTGAATTCTGAAATCTGAGAAGTATCGTAGCTCATGACCGAACATAAAAATACACATGTATTGGTAAGGGAAGATGAACGTTATGTAATGTGCAAGTATCAACTACACCCTCCCGTTCTCATTAGTTTGTTTAGAAAACCTTTTTCTCAAAAAAGAGAATGGAGAGTTCAATGCCTACATAACATAAAATGGGCGTGTAAACGTGCATCATAAAGTTTCGCCGCTCTTGACTTCTTTGCCAGTCTTCTTAATCTTTTCCAATATCGTCTCAAATGGTAGCTTGGAATAAACATCAACAGTTTGTTTCTCCAAGGAAACTTCTACTTTAGAAACATCAGAACCAAGTCTTGCAAGGGCTCTTTTGATAGCATTAGAACAGCCCTCGCAGGACATGACAACATTAAAGTGATGGTGATTCTCGCTAGACATTTCGATTTTCCTTGTCTATCAACTTTCTCAATGATATGTTGACTTAATCTATTAACCTTAATGATGATCCGAACTACAGGTATATGCAGGGGTGTCTAATTATACTTCTAACTTGATTATCTCGATGCGTCAAAATTACTCTCTGAAAGCCGGGTAACGGACCGGTTTAAATTACTTCTATTCTGCTCATTACGTTTAAATACCATCGAGGTCAGATTGCGCTTTCAAGACGAACTGTGCGGATTTCTTCGATACACTCTTTTCTAAGTCCCGTGTCAGCAAAAAGCATTGTAATCCACTGAATGATTTCTTCTGTCGTAAACAGGTAAAAATCTCCATTAGAAAACATATCCATTATTTCTGTGAGATGGGAGGTCAAAACCCTACCAATTATGCTGAGCTTTTCGCGCTGATAACCTATATTTTGATTTGACGTCGGTCTGTCCGTGCCACTTAGCACAAGTTTTATAAATTCTGCCAGGTTTTCAGAGTTTCTCTCGGATATCATCTTCCAAGCCAGAATTTGGCGGACAATGCAGTCATTGTACAGGAAGGTTATGAATGCAGTAAGTTTTTTTTCATCCTCAAGTTGCGTGAATGCTGGGTAGGCGACATTTTTTATATAAGGTAGCAAAGACTCGATTGTTATTCCCCAGTCTGGATTTTTTTCATTGACTTGTAGGTTTTTTAATTGTTGATGTACCATGTTTTGGGCCACCTTCTTCATGTTTTTAACATGTGTTCCCACGTAGTGCTCCATTAGTTCGTTCAGCCGAAATAAATCGCACCTAATCGAATAATTCCTTGTTAAATAAGAAATATCCTTATAAAGCTGCCACCATTCTTCGTATTTTGACATGCACATGGCCATAAAAGATGTCAATAAAACATTCAATTTGTATTGGTAGCTAGAAGCAATTTTCTCGCGACCGATTTGATCGCACCCCGCCTCGAACTGTCCTAAAATAGTTTCAAACAGGTGTGGAACCCTTGTAATGTGTATACTGTTAACATCTTTGTCCAATTTGAGTGTTTCATCCTGCCAGGCACTCTCCCAAGGATCTTCCTCTTCAATTTCTTTATTTACAGCAGATTCAGAGTCATTAGTATCAATGTTAAAGTCTATTTCATCTTCCCACCCATCCCCATTAGCATCCTCGTCATCTTCGTCATGCCACCGCCATTCGTCATCTTCATCACCTGGATTATCTGTGCCGCTCATGTTCTTTTTTTTGGCTGCAGGTACTGTTTGATCGCAATTAGAACGTTCTTTCAATTGCACAATAGATACGTCTTTCCAGGAATCGTCGCTGAAAACGCTTCTTAGTTCAACAACCTGGTTTCTCAATAGCTTATCCAGCAGTAGATTATTGAGAATATGCTCATCGTAAAGTAAGCTTGTCAACCGAGTTTCATGATACTTCCAGGATGTGTTTACTTTTTCTGATAAGTCTACTAGCATTTGATTTAACTTTATGAGCTCTAGTTTGGACGAGGAGTCGGGAGTGAGCACCTCGTTGGATCTTAGCTTAACAAATTTAACAATTTCATTCACAAAAGTATTGCCCAACTGTGAGAGAATCAAGGAAGAACAACTTTTCGGTGAGATATGCAAGAGAAAGTATGCCAGATTCTCAAAACTTGCTATGACCTGTTCTGTTTGGCACTTCGCATGCTGAAATAGAAGAACATCTTCGCACAAGACTAACTGAACATCAGACGAAAATAATGACTCCTTTAAGATGGTTATGATTTTTGAATAGGTAATGTACTCGGTGTAAATTTCGGATAGGGCATTTGACACTTCGTCTCTTGTATCACCCATCCGTATTTCGGATGTAAACCACGAATTGGGATCAAAATGTCCATCAGAATAGAAGCAGGTTTCCAAGAAGACTTTGAAGCCCTCAAATTCAAACTCAATTTCATCTTCGCCCATTCTTACGTTATTGATGTACTGAATTTTGTGCCGATCAATGCTCCAAAACTTCCCAAGCAGGTCTTTGATTCTGTCAACAAGATCGGCATGAAGTGAATCAATGTAAGTTGAAAGCGATTCTTGGAAGCGGAGTGATAGATTACTCAAATCAATTGTTTCTAGTTTCTTGTGCATGTTTTGCAAGGAATAATAACAATTCTCCAATTCCCATAAGTCGTAATTCGTTTTGAACTCATCTATAAAAGCCGAAACGACTTTTAAGCTAGTCAGTACTGAAAGCTGTCCGCTTAGTTCAGCGTCCTTTTTAATTAGTTCGTCAATATTCGTATTTTGAGTGCTTGCCTTCTCGTAAGGTCGAAAGTTGGGATCACTTTCAATTGCAGCCGCCAAAGAATCTAAATCTTCTAGTAGCACATTGATCTCCTCATAAACATGCTTCAACTCACTTTTTAGGTTAGATCGTGACATGCTACTCTCCATGGGGTTCAAGAACAGAGCCGAAGACAGTGTTAGAAGATCCATGAATGCCTTTCAATTTTAGAATCGAAATGATTACCCGGACTTCATTTTGCAAGTACTACAAATTCCATCCAGGTTTTAAATGAAAAAAGTAATGAAATGGACTGCCAAGGGTTTTGCTTTTACTCTCAGAGGATTACTTGCAAGATATTGCTTCTTCTAAGTTCTTGAATCAGTTTTTTGATGAATGTTGGATATAGGAAAAGTTTTCGATCATATACGATCTGAGTGAGCTGAGTAAGTTATCATCATAAAGAGTTATAGAAGAGCATCGATTAACAGATTCAGCAAGTATGCTTACTTGCGCAGTCTGTCACGGTTTTACGGCCTGGACCTTCAGTTACACTAATGTTTTCTCTTAGGAAATTTCTTTCTCTTATATACAAAGGTTAGAAGTAACAGAACTGAAAATATTTCTTTCCACTCATGATAAATGTTACCCGGATAAGTCATATAAATTGAATGCTAAACCAGGGCTTTGAGGTCATAAAAGCCGCTCAGCATTTTCGTACTCTGAGTGGACTTTGTCACAATATTCTTGTAATTTAGTGTCATTATCCCAGACATCAGGGAAGTCGTGGCTAGCAGCTGTACAATGATCGATTTCTTCTAATAAAAATGACATATAATCGCCGTGCACTAGCTCTTTCTCCATGCTTGCGAGTATCTTTAACTCGACTAGAACTTCATTTCTTCTTACTGCAATTTCATGTCTTGTTTTTCTATATTTTGTTTCCACTCTATCGGAGGACTGTAAAAACTTTTGAAAGCACACATCATTGTTGTTTGCCAAAGAATCAGATAGTAAATCGAGATCCTTGATATAGACTGCCCTCTCTAAAGGTTTGTGGCCTCCGTCGACGTAACCTTTGAACATAGACTCAGCGCGCCTTACTGACCAATACGAAAGGGCTGTTTTCCCAGTCAATGAAAGATTCACTATAATTGATAAAATGAGGGCAAGGAGAATGGTTCTGTTGAGCATCAAAACGCTTCCAGTGATGGTATGCAACATATGAAACAAAATTCTGATCACCATGAAAATCGTGTTAACGAGATACAATAATGACCATCTCATGAGAAATCTGAATAGAAGGGAACGTGAGAATTTTACAATGTTCGCATTGGTGGCAATTTCAACTGGGTTATCAGCCTTGTCGTCTTCCACAACTCCGAGTTGTCCGCATATCCTAATGGCCTTAATAATTTTACCATGTCTCCCTATTTCGCCCAAATACTGCTGAAGGACGCTTCTCGTCAACATTGATTCGTAGTAGCAAAGATGTAAAACAAACCTTTTGACAACTCTATCGAAATATGACAACTTTTCTAAACGTTCTTTAGTGTTAGAGTCGACGAAAACAACATTATAATACATGTAAAGGGAAGAATTACCCCATATGTATTCCACTTGTTTTCTAGACTTCTCTTCCTTTTCATGTTGGGCCATTATAATGTATTTTGATTCAAGTTTGAACAATGCCGCAAATGGAATATCGAAAAACCCCGTGCGCTGATCGACTTCGTAATAGAAATTCTCTTTTGATTTTCGAAATATCTGCACTACATCGAGATATTTCTTTTTGTATTCTTTAGCATCAGTATGGCCATTAATGGAAGTATGAATTTTAGTTGAACTTAACTTGTATCTAATTTTGCGTGCAACCTCTGCTATTTCGTCTTTCTTCGTTGTGTGCCAAGCTGTCATAGAGTTATCTAATCCAGACCTATCAGCGAGTAAAAAAGCCTTAGGGAAGGTATTTGATCGATCGCCGAACATGACGTGGACGAGGGCTCGGCATGGTATGTTGAAATTAGCTTTGAATACCGCAGAGTATTTGGGTTGGAAGCTTTGTTGCCTTTGTCTGAGTGTATTAACGGTGTCGTTCATTTTCCAGAAAATATTGCTGAACTTTTCTGGATCAGTAGGCTCCTGTATCTTATCAGTCTTTGCGGTAACTTTCTTTCTTAATTCATACTCCTTTTCAATTTTTGTAAATATAGAAAGCATTTCCTCTTCACTCTTTGAGTGCTTCTCAGTACTATTATCGAGTAGGGCCCGCATCTTTGAAGCTATCAGATTCGCATCTTCAAAAAATATCATCGTCCTCATTGACAGTCCTTGCATATCATAGAGTTTCAGTAAGCCATCTGTTTTTTCCTTTTCCAGTTCACTTGATTCGATGGAGACAATTTCATTCAGACTTCTCCTAAGTAAGCATATGAAACCCATCGAGTTCATGTAAAAGTACATGTGTCTTAAAGTAACAAAGCAAAGACCTGAAAATCCTTGCTTAGTATTGGGAGACCATGTACATGAAAACCGCATGAGAAGTATGTCTCTATTGCTTTCAGTTCTATTCTGAGATGTCGCACTGAAAAAAAGTGTTCGAAATTGGATGTCATCATTACGCAATTTTTTTGGATAGTAATCAGGATAATCTATGGGATTCCAATTTACAAGAGTCGAGTCTTCAAGATCAGGGTTTGGAGAACTGTTCTTAGATTTTCTTCCAAGTGAATTTTTATTCTTGTTGGCCTTTTTGTTGTTCTCTGCTGAAAAGCAAAAACCACTCCAGTCTACGCTACCCCAAAAATTTGCCATTATCGCACTTGGAATACCATCATTTTCGATGAAATAACTAGATATGATGCTAAGTTTTGTCAATTTCGTAGTCACAGGTGCTTTTAACATTGGTAGATCAAAGGGTGAGTCATCTGGTAAGATTATATTGCCAGATTCTGAAAATGCCGCTTCAATCAATTGTAAGAGTGATTTTCCGTAGGTCCCATTTGACCCCGAGGTTGTGACCAATTTATCAATGGAAGTAGTGGAACTGCAAGCGAATTCGAAGAAGATAGGAGGAAACCTTGAAAAAGCCATTTCATATTCTTGTTCTTTACTTTCAAGTGATAGCACCCTCCTTTTCGCATCGTCAAAAACTTTCAGCCAACATTTCAGGTCAGACAAAGTCTCAGCTTGGAATACCAAAGTTATGTTTTCAGAACTGCTATCTCGACTAGATGGTCTATCAGGATCATGACCTACAATTTTCACTTCAAAACAAAACTTCCTCTCTTCGTCAGGATCATATCTGACGCTCGTTAACAAAACTCCAAATTTATCGGTCTCTTCCACGCTTGTTTTGGAGGGTGATAATAAAAGCATTCCAAAGACTGACTTTTTCAGAAAGCACCATCGTCTTACCCAGATTTGCCTGCTGGGCTTTCCGACAAATGTCTTCATGTACAACCATCCACTCTTTTCTGGTAATTGGGGTGATTCTGCCTTATGCTCGGCGCGAAAAGTTGCTTGGTTTATACTTCTGACATTATAATCGTTGAGTTCTCTAGAGGGGGCAAGCTGTTCAATTGAGTATGCTTGAATTTGTTCTTTTGCCCTTTGTATGTCTTTAGATATTACTGCATTATTTTTAGACATTTCTTCGCACCATCTTTGATGCATTGTGTAAGCCTTCAATATGTCATCAGGTCCACTGTCTTTGTTCGTAAACACCTTTTTGAAGCCCTTTCTGATTAAACTTCCCACAACCTTGATCATTAATCCATCCAAGTTCTCCTGCATCTTTGAAATTTCCCAGGTTAGATCTAAAGATGCTTGCAGATAGCTTTTACGGACCTCGAAAAGCTGGAAAGCGTCCTCCCTTATGCTTGAAGGCTCAACGTTGGAACTTGATATTTTGATGCTTTGATATTTCGCTAGTAATGCATCATGCTTTGACTGATAATAGTCAAAGCCCTTTCTGATTTCTTTGTAAGGCTCAATTGCAACGTTCATCATTTCCATTAGGACCGATAGATATGACTCAGGATCCCCCTTTATAATGTTCAAGATATCGTCTGAAAGTGTTCGTAAACTTTTATGGAACTTATCAAGTAGTTCTGGTGTGTATAGTTGGTTCTCTACCACCCCATTATAGAGGTAATCTCTAGGCGGCAATGCCTGTGCGAACAAAGTATCACTTATTTGCTTAAAGTCCTCCAAGGCAGGAAGAAAACGGTTTTCTAGAAACTTGGAGGCGTTCTCAATCCATGCCTCTATTGATTCAACTTGTAGATGGTAGAAGTTGACGCTGGCCCTGAATGATGGAGAATCGAGTGACGCTTCTTTGAAGGAAATCGAAATGAGCTTCAATAGTTTGCGCGAGTCATTGGGGGACTTTTGTTCACCCATAACGCTACTTATTGGATTTCTGTTATCCTGGAAAAACCAAAAATCCTACGTTAGCTGAAATGAAATGAATGACTTGAAGCGGGAGGTTGTCATGGAAGTTATGTAACGGTTCTATTTCAAAAAAGGGCCCCTATGAATACGTGATAAGTGATTATCATGTTTACACCTATCCGCAAGTTTATACGGCTTTGACCAGGTTCTAGATAAAATTACTTAAAAGCCCTGTTTAGCTAAGTTATCAGCAATGCTTAAGTAAAATGCTACAACATCAATTTTTGGTTCTAACTTTTTTTGGACTTCTTCAGATGATCCCGATAGCTTTATGGCCATCTCCTGTTGCAAGACATTCTTCCAATTGATGATGTCCAGATGATCTGTGTTTTGTAGGGTTCCAAGGTACTTCCCCCACTTACTACTTTTAACGCTCACCATACCATCGTTGGGCTCTCCATGAGTTGCATTGTAAATAATACGCCAAGAGGTATAAAAAACGTTGAACCACTTTGGTTTAAAACATGCTCCATAACTAAAGTAAGAAACATTAGGATCATCAGGAGTGATATCGTTGAAGTGTTTCATGTAGTAGGTTGTGAGCTGATAGAATGCAGGAGGTAGCAATTTCACAGAGCTGTCAATCGGAAGGCCTTTACGTATCTCTTTGAATAAGTTTATGACATAATCAGCCATTTCAGAACCTTTATGAGGAGTGCAAACCGTTGTTAAACTAGCCACTTCAAAGTTTTTATTAGGTATTCTAGATATCAAATAACGACAATCCAAGCCTCCCATAGAATGTGCAATCAAATTGACTTTGATTCGCTCTTCAGATAGATTTCTGCTATTACTATCAGGGGAATTGTAAACTTCTTCTGCAGTGGCGGATTTCCTAAGTTTCCTTGTTTCTTTCTCAATAAATGAGTTGAGTTCATGAGCTCGTTCCTCAATGCTACCAAAACTAGAAACTTTTGCTGTCAACACCGTGCACCCCTTCGCTTCGAGAGCTTGTTTGATTCCAATCCAATACTCAATTTCGAGTAAGCTTTTAGTAGCGGGTTCATACGTGTCGTCATCATCATCTATCAGGTCAACGTTGTTGAGAGATATATTATTCCTCAGAATTCTCGTCAACTGAGAAATGGATGGTATTAGTAGCAATTTGTCAAATCCTGAGAGACCATGGCAAAATACGATGGGATTTTTAGGCGCTGAAAAACGCTCACAGTTTGGAATACTTCTAATTATGATTTCATCAGACTCAATTTGATCTCTTTTTAGAGACTTGAAATATAACCGAGTAAAATTGCTCAGTTGTTGATCTGAACATTTGCCAGAAGAAGCTAAAAGCGAAGGACCCCTTGGCTTACCCTTAGATTTATGATATATTTGGCTCTTGAGTAGTTGAAAACAACTTGGCCATAATGGTGTGGACAATGATTCCAACATCTCGATACATGCCGGCGAGCATTTGAAGCAGATCAAATGATAACTCGAATCTTGAAAAGATGTGAAACGGTAATTGTGTACGATCATTTGTTCACATTACACGAATCAATTGCGGCAGCATATTTGATGATTTGATCAAACAGTATTTGTCGTAATCTTCTTGATACTTTGAGAGAAATCAACATGTATCCTTCTATCATCTATTAAAACTCCCTCCATTTTGGAATAAGCCGCTTCACACGACTCTTTGCTTGAAAACTCGATAAACCCGTAACCGAGCGAAGTACCAGTGTCTTTATCGTGAACAATTTCTGTAGAAATTATTTCACCAAATCTGTGAAATATCATAGCCAAATCTCTAGCAGTTGTAACTGGATTCAGTTTGCATACGAAAAGAACACGTTCTGATGGTTTTATGCCAATATAGGGAATGTCGCCCATTATTTCAAGCGTCAGCTCCTTCTGCCTTATATCACGTTCAATCTTTGGGCCAGCGTAGTCCAAACTTTCAGCCTGAAGGTCCACAGGAAGGCGAATATCCAGGAGCGGCAAAGCTATTTCATAGTTCATCAATCCAGAAGGATCTGGGAACGGATCATGCAAAATGTGGGCTTTTTTGATCCGAATATCAACATCGGGTCTTCCACTATCGTCAACTGATGAATTATTAACGGCTTTCAATGTCTCATGGCACGTCTTGATTATGTGGCCAAATTTCACAATGCCATCTTGAGAAGTGATATTTTCACATAGAGCTATTTTAATTATCGAACCGATCAACGGCTTGGAGTCCTCCTTAACTTTGACGAGAGCACAAACATCTCCAAACTCAATTGTTTCCGTATCTGTGCCGCTGTTCTTGGATGACCTTAACAGTTTCGGACCCACATTCCCACTGTCTAAAATTCCTTCAACTGATGTGTTGTGGAGTCTCAGCTCCTTTCTATATTCATTTCCGAAAAGTGCGTCCCCGAACTCCACAGCAGAATTTCTTCGAAGGTGATAAAAACACTGGAATTGGTAAAAAGAGCTCTTACAAAGCTTTAAAAAGTTATAGGACTCTATTTGTCTGGACTCTAAATCTAGGTCGATCACCAAATTTCCTAGTGTGGTTTCCAATAGAACGCTCATGAAGTCATCTACATGTGTTTTTTATAGATTATTTTTTAAGATGGAGGGATAGAAATACTGTGCGAATGTAGTTGTCTTTGATAGGTCACGTGAGGGTAAGCTCTTAAGAAGATGGACCACTTACTTTACCCATCATCATCTCCTTTAGAGGGCCTAAATTATTAACTACATTCAAACCAAGAGTCCGCATGGCAACCACCGGCCCAAAATCTGTGGAGTAAAGTTTGTGCAGCTTATCCACTACCCCTAGAAGCATATTATTCGTTGGGAATCGATCGGCCCAGTATGGTTCTAAGGCCAAAAGGGAGCCTATATCCAGGCCCCTATTAGATGCGTTTTCGAGTGCACGTAAAAGAGACTCAACATCCCCTTGTCCCATGTTTAATCCCTGACCTGCTAATGGGTGGGTCGTGTGAGCAGCATCACCAACAAGTGCTATTCTTTCAGCGACATAGGAGTCGGCGTGAGAAAGTTTTAGAGGGAACCTTGCTCTGGATGCGTCCTCTACTGAGCTGACTGTGGGCGGATAAATTTCGTCGATCATCGATTCGCTGTCCAACTGAGAGTAGACTTGCTCAGTTCTGAATGAAATATCCTTGAATAGCTCCTCGGTGGTGATAGTCCCCTTTTCAAGTTCCTTATAGTAATATTGCATGTCTGCGTCTTCTAAAACAAATGCAGCATTGACTAACATCGTGAATTGTTTAGAATCCAGGGAAACCAGCAGGCGTGAAAGTGGCTCCGTGGTGCTCCAGACAAGTGTAGCGCTGTCGCCCGGCATTGGCAAATGGGCAATAGGGCCAGTGGGAAGAAACCTTTGCCATCCTCTTATTTTGAAAGGAGCATACTCTAATTTCATAGTGGCCACAACTCCAAATCGATTGTAAAGCCAACCACGAGATTCAATGTTCGAGAATTTTCTGACCGGGGAATTGAAACCATCGCATCCCACCAGCAAACGAGTCTTGTACGAATCTCCGTTACTTAGGTGAACAATTGGCCATGAATTTAAATTATCTGTCTCGCTATGCTCAATACTGACTACCTTTGTTTGATCAATTATCTCTAGGTTGGAAGGTTTCAGCTCCTCTATTCTGTTCAAGGCGGAACTTTGAATATTTGAGATTTCCACCATATAACCCATTGATTCTCGCTCCATTTCTAATGTTCCATTTGAGCAACCATCTGTAACATATATGCCATCAAATGGCTGTATTCTATCCTCCATTAAGCGAACACCCACAGTTTGCTCCAAGAATTTCTTCGATTGGGGAGTTAAGCTAATAACCCGGTTTGTGAAGTGAGTGGGGGGTGACTTATAAAAGCTAGCCACCTTATTAGTCAAATCACTAGCATCGACCAAGGTCGTTGAGAGACCAGACAAGTAAGGGGATGTTTTAATTGCTGCAGCTAGGGTCAGACCAGCTGGACCACCGCCAATGATTAGCACATCTGTGAGCTTGGGTGTAGCAGCCGTCTTCAAGGTCCTAACAAAGGGTCTTGATGCTCTCACAACGGCCAGGGAAATTAGGCGCAGTGGCATTGGCTTTTAACGATTTTGAATATATGGGTACAAGAAACGAGGTACAATCGGCAAGCTGAAAAGCATCTTATTTGTGAATCGTTTGAGATGAGATTTACTATACATATTTGTAAACCATGCTAAGGTTCACAGGCGGTATTTAATGGAATCGCCCTCGCAGGTTCTACATTGAATCTCTAAGGAAGCCTCGTAAAGTTTTTTGTAAACGCCTACAGAGGCTTGATTAATTGCCAGTAATCGCTATCTCTTCACGCGACCACTTCAAATACAAACGAAACAAGCTATCAACTACCTGCGCCAGTATGTAACTCTTAGAAGCAAGTATGGAAAATGATCCATGCCTGAAATAGTGACAATATAGATGCTTTCACATGGTGTTGTATTTATCAGTCGTTCTCATCGCATAAAAATTTTTCTGTTTCTCATGGAATTTAGTCACAGATAAAAACCCAGTGGAAGCCTCTCAAGAAGCTTTCAGACTTCCGAGGTGTCAATCTTCTTCAAACAAATAGCAAGGTCGATAAAGACTGCACATTCATTCAGTCGTACGTTTCAGACCACCTTTAATACCAAACTGCCGAATTTGATGGAATCAGATTATGTTCACATTGAAAAGCTAAGACTCAAACCGGTAGTGGGACCAGACTCATGGCGTAGATTATCTCCTCAGGATTGTGTAGCTACGCTTCAGATGAGAACCAACTTTGAAAAAGCTTCTGAGAATGATGATTTGAAATATTCACTAAACTATGCTGTAATTTCCAGAGATATCGAAAAATATATTGAGCCATTCAAAAACTATTGGAGCATTGGTTATCTGAATAGAAATTTATCTAACTACCTTGTAGCCAAATACCCGGGGATACAGTCATTGATCCTGGACATGCAAACTAGAAGTGGCCATATAAGGAGTGATGATATTCGTGCCGTAGTTGTATCACAAAAAAATATCGATGACGAAATTATCATTTCAAATTTGAAACTTTTAACACTCATAGGAGTATTTACCTTTGAAAGACTACAGAAGCAGTACGTTAATTTTGAAATTCGTATTCCATGGCCAAAAAAATCAAGAGAACATGTTCCGTACAATGACGTTATTGATAACGTTGTAGAATATGTGGAAAACTCCAACTTTAAAACGGTTGAAGCGCTTGTAGAAAATGTTGCTCAAGTGATTACACAAATTCCGTACTTCATCGATCACCCGAAACTCGCCATCACAGTGAAAGTTTTGAAGCTAAATGCAATTACTTCCACCGATGGTGTTGGTGTAAGCTGTACTAAATCAGCTGTTGACTTCGTTAAGAAGCAGCCAATTGGTAAAACCGGAGGTCATTCTTCTATGCGCGGTTTTGACTTACCTGTGGATAGTCAGGCGGTTAAAATAACGAAGTCCAATACGGCAATTGTCGCCTTTGGCTCCAACGTCGGAGATAGATTTGAAAATATCAAAAGTGCTATTGATATTTTAGATGCTCATCCTAGTGTTACCGTCATGGCAGTTTCATCCATTTTCGAAAGTGAACCCATGTATTTCAAGAATCAAAGTTTGTTCCTAAATGGCTGTTTGAAGATACAGACTAATTTAAATCCAGAAGATCTTTTGAAACTATGCAAGACTATTGAATATGAAAACCTCAAACGGACCAAGGAATTTGATAATGGCCCACGTAGTATTGATTTGGACATCATATTGTACAAAAACAGTGATGGCGAAGATATACTGTTAACCACAGAAACATTAACAATACCACACCCTCGTCTTTTAGAAAGATCGTTTGTCCTGGAACCGCTTTGTGAGCTCATTTCCAGTGAAGAACTTCATCCCGTCACCGCAGAGCCATATCATAATCATTTATCACAGCTTTACGGTCAGGGCAATGAAGAAGATTTCCTTTGGAAATTGGTACCTCTGCCATCGATTGGAAAGAGCAAGCGTTTTTTAAAATTCAAAAATGAGGTTCAGCATGATTTAGTCACAGGATCTCCCATCACTCGTACCGTCTCCAGCACTTATATTATGGGCATTTTGAATACAACGCCAGACTCCTTCTCAGATGGTGGCATTTATTTCGAAAGTATTGACAAACAGCTCGATAAAGTGAAGATAATGATCGATGATGTTTTGAGGCTTTTTGATTATTTGATTATTGATATAGGTGGTTGCTCGACGAGGCCCAACTCTGAGCAGACTTCTTCAGAAGAAGAATTGAAAAGAACGATACCTATTATAAAAGCAATTCGGAAAGACACTGGTATTCCACAGGAACGAATTATCTTGTCAATTGACACGTATCGTGCTGACGTTGCGTCTCAAGCTATTGCTGCTGGGGTAGATATTGTGAATGATATTTCGGGAGGGCAATTTGATAAGAGCATTCTATCCGTTTTAGCAGAAAACCCAACTGTGGCTTACGTTCTGTCTCATACAAGAGGTAATATATCTACGATGAATAAGCTTACCGAGTACGGCGAACCAAGCGATGACACCAATATATCTGAATTTTTGCATGGTAGAGAGAATTCAGATTCAAGGACTTCTTTAATCAGAAATGTTGGAAGAGAATTGGCCGAACGTTACGAAGAAGCGATTTCAAATGGGATAAGACGTTGGCAAGTTATTATAGATCCAGGAATTGGGTTCGCGAAGAATCCCAGGCAAAATCTAGAAATTATCAGGCAACTAGATTTGTTGAAGAATTATAGTTGTACAAAAGACGGGTCCTTTTTGAATTTTAGGAATCTACCAATCCTGGTAGGTGCATCTCGCAAAAAATTCATAGGCACTATTACTGGTGATGAAATTGCATCTGAACGAGATTTCGCGACAGGTTCATTAAGCGCCTCGTGTGTCGGTAATGGAGCTAATATTATTAGAGTTCACGACACAAAAGGTTGCAGTAAAAGCATAAAGTTAGCTGATGCCCTCTATAGGAGACTGTAACATGTAACTATTCCCTCTCACAGAATTCGAAGGGAACATAGGTAAAAGAATTTCCATTTAACTAAAAGCTATAGTCTAATCTAAACCACCATAAACGTAAAATGAGGTCGAGCACCGCCATAAATATCAAATATGACACCTGGATTTTCAGTTTACGGGACAATCTCTGGAGATATGACCAGTTTCGTTACAGTTGTAACAGGTCTTTTCAACAGATCCACTTGGGCACTCTCTTGATATGTGACCAGTCTTGCCACAAGCATAACACTTGGCCTCAGATTGCAAGCAATCCTTTGCCATGTGGTTAGGACCACCACATCTATAGCATGACACTCTTGAGGCTCTAGAAGGAGCACCGCCAGCTCTTGGCTTTCTTGGATCACTGCAATCTCTGGAAATATGGCCAGTCTGATTGCAGTTGTAACAACGTTGTACGCTGCACTCAGACTTAACATGACCAGTTTCACCACAGTTGTAACATTGCTTGAACTCTACAGTCTTTGGCAAAGTACATTCAGATTGAACGTGGCCTGGCTGATTACAGTTGTAGCACAACCTCTCAGAATCACAGTCCTCGGCTAGATGGCCAATCTTTCCACACACGTAACAGGCTTTTTGAGACACAGACATCGCTTCAACTTCTCTCTCTCTCTTCCCTGAGGACTGAAGGTAGGCATTGTTCTCAAGATGTCGCTGAACATAAAAAATTTTTCACCGATGTCTCAGGGCACGAAGTGGGGCAGGGTAATCGTGGAAAAAGCGGACTTCCCTGCATTGTTTAATCGACATCAATACAATTTGGTGCCGAGCTCAAGGGACAACCGCTCTGATTATGCTGCAGTTTTTTTCAATTTGTTCTCCGGAATGTTTAATGAACATAGTTTCGAGAGTCACTTGGTCGACTTTAAATTTCAACTAGGGCCATCATCTTGCTAGCCGCAAGACTAGTGTACGCTAGCTTCACAATGTTAGTCAAGTGGAAGCAATATGCTCCTTTGCTAAATTGAGTTCTTTAATAGTTGATATTTCCTAGATGTACCGAGTCACAGAACACCTTTTCTGTACAGTGGGTGTCAAATATATGTTCTGGATAACCTCTCGGGTGATAAGGTTAACGCGACTAACATCTAGCCACGCAGTAAGCCGGACACATGTCATGTGCTTTTTAACTAGCTGCGAAGTAGCCATTACTTTCTGCGGACTTGACCTCCCATTCCTCGAAGGGATCTTCATCTGTGACTACGAGGCCATACTCAGATGTGTTTTCAATCACATCCCAGGCTTGATCTATTGATGAAAGTTTCATCTCTTCTTGACAGAGAGCACTGAGTAGTTCGGGCGCCAAAACGTACTGTGCAAAATCACTTGGACCCCACCATCTTAGAACCGAATTGTCATTCGTTGTTAGCTGCTCTTTGTACCGATGCATTATTTCAACGGCAACGCGCATCTGCCTCTTCAATCCATAAAATCCCGCAATAAACTGGCCTAGATCGAGCATTCTAAACTCATCTACACTCAGAATAGCCCTTTGAGATTTGTTATGTGCCCTTCTAGCGTAGTCATAGAAAAGGGAAGGCCGCCTTCCTTCGAGAATTTCTATTACCAGCGGCATGTGCTTTTCAATCTTAGATGTCAATTCCTCAGCTAGCAATGCCGGGGGTATGTCATAGATCTCATTATACTTCTCCTTAATCCTATTTCTCTTTTCAAGGTGCTCTTTCGTATCACAAGGATCTATCTTTTTGAGCTTTTTGGAGGGGGTTTCGAAGATATCTGAAAGAGGTCCATCGTTATCAACATCTACATCAGTTGTATCTTCAGCACCTCGTTTATTAATTCTCTTCATAATTCTGATCTCTTCTTCGTCAATATCTTGTTGAACTAATTGTATCTCTTCTACGGGGTTGATTGCGTCATCTTGAGACGTATCACTTTTCGGTGAGCCGGGCACAATTCTATCTGAGCTATGACCTCGTTCTTCATCTTCGCTACTGGATTTCGTTTGATCTAATTCATCGATAGGGAAGTTATCTAATGTTTCGAGGTTGATCTTTTGTCTATGAAAAAGTCCCTTTTTACTGTCAGATTCTCCGGCGCTATCATCGCCTGGAAGCTCATCGGGCACATGTCTTTTAAGAACCTCTAAAACGCTGCTTTTGACTCCAATAGCCGAATGAATCCTATTTCGTCTTAGGGTTGGGCTTCCATCGGACATATCCTTTTTCTCGTGTTTTATATAGCACATCACCCAAAAAAAACTCGTTAATTTATTCAAATCATCCGCCAATAGAACATGAAGACCATCGTGACTGAATCGTAATACAATAAAGTTTAAACCGATCATCTCAATGAGTGATAACGAATCATAGATGCATCGTATATGAAGGCTTGATTTTTGTTAATCAATTGATATTCGTCTTACAAGGCGCATGTGCAGGCTGATGAATAAGCTGCATCCCTAGAACATACCATTCAAACTCTAAATACAGCATCTTGGCAAATATAGGCGATCCAATCAAGCAATGTATGGAGCGCAAAATAGGGGCTGTGAGGTTAACCGAGGCTTGTATTTCTTGAGAATATTTTTTGATAAACTAAACGTTCATTTTATGCGACATGGAATATCATTAGCTATCAAATATACGAGCTATTTCTATGAAGTACGATTAGAGACCAGTTAATAAGGCGATATATGGTCCTATATATACTACTCAGTGCTTTCATACCTGAAATATTGTTTCCATGTGACATCATCAAATTTCAAACATTACGATTGTACTAAGCTGTTGGTATTTATTTTCATCGAAATGCTAGTATTGTCCAAAAAGATATAAAATGAGCCCTCTTAAGATAAGAACAAAATACAAAGCAGATAAGTCTGGATGAAGTACCGGAAAATAGCTCATTAAAAGGAGGTTAGAATTGATTCAATAACATGCTCTATACTGTCTTCAAATACAACTTTTATCATCATTAACGATGTTTTCCTATAATCGAAAATTCATGTGCGTCGTTGAATGAAAGCGCTTTATATACGGAACATGAGATCTAGCGTGGAATGTCAGCTGCGCTAAGTTCTGTTCAAATTGCCGAGTATTACTCCAAATTCTTTGCTAGAACGGAATCAGAGGAGCTTTTAGATGAACAAAGTGCGCACGTCAACTCGAGATCAACATCGAGGTTCAAAGCACCAGCACCAACATCTGAAAATGAAATTCTATCCATAGAGTTCAACCCTAACGGATCCTTATTAGCCTACACCAGGAGAGATGGTACCTTTAACATCTGGAAATTAAGAACAGAGAAGCCAGATATTTATATGCCTGTCTCTGATACCCAGGGATTCGAGAAATGTGTAAGCTCTATAAGTTGGAATCCTAATGAAGAGAATCAGATAGCGAGCGTTGCTAATTTCAAAACTGTGGAAATTTGGGACGCAGTTTCGGGGGCACCACTGAGAACTCTGATAACAGCAGAAACAATGAAAAATTCAGAATGTAAGTTTGATCCGACGGGGAGATGGTTAGTTGTACTAACCGAATGTGACAAACTTTATCTTTTCGACACGAGTTCTGGCTATTCACTTAAATCTATTTTTGAATTGCATGAAGTCTACATGGAAGACAAAGGTGCAACAGATGCTGCAGTTTCCATTGAGTGGGATAGCTTTGGTTCGTTCATTTTCGCGGGCTTCAAAAGCGGAAAAATCATGATATTAAGAGTAAGCGAGGATCATGGTATAGCGCTGACCTTTGAAATTAGCGATCACTTGGGTGCTATTACCTGTATGAAATGCGACCCCACTGGTCGGTACTTTGTTGCAGGAAGTGAAGATACTACCTGCTCGGTGTGGAATGTTCAAGATATGTGTTGCGAGTGGGTTATCGACGATTTTGACGACTGTATTACCGACGTAGATATATGCCATAATGGATATTCACTTGCTGTATGTTCTGCAAGTGGAACCAGGATCTACTCGTTGAGTAATAAGAATTGCTTGTTCGAGAGAATATCCAAGGGAGTTTTAAGCCAAAGTAAATTCAGGTTTTATCCTCGAAAAACATGGTTTATTTCTAATGGAAAAAGTGATGTGCTAAGCAAGTTCTACGTGCCGAAAATATTCAACCCTTTGATGCTCTATGAGAGAGAAGAGAATAAGAGGAAATCTGAAAAGCGGAAGCCACGTGAATCAAACTACGGACGTTCCCGGAGAGACGAAGAACAACCTTCTAGGAACAGGTATTATAACAAGAAGTCCCTACGCAGGTAGTTAAAGCACTGGATCCAAATTCGGATTTTATTTACAAGGCTACGTACACTACTAATAAGTTAGTCGATAGGACGTATTGAGAAATGGAACAGATCAAGTGCATGCGTTCAGACGTCTGATAATAGAAAATCTACCTCCTTATAATGTGCTTCGTCTAGATGGTCCTTGATTTCATCTTTGGTGAGCCACGCGTAGCCGTCATATTCACTTCCCTTCTGCAACTCAAACTTTCCCGCCACTATATGTGACTTGATCAAAAATTCTGCTGTATCTCCATTTTGTAGAACGCCCGCTGGAGTGTTTGACACTGTCCAGGTATTTATATTCTGACCACCTAGAGCTCTCAATCCTTCCTCAGCGGTAATATGCAATGGCTTTTTGGAACCCTGTTCCAACGAGACTGGAAACGCCGGAAACATCCAATCGCCCTTCGTATGTTTTACAAGCAGATACAATGTTCTGCTCAGTTTTCTTTCAAGGCTGTTTAAGTCGCCTGTGCGATCTGCCTCTGTTATTCTCGAATTGACTACTATAGGTCTTGAAACATCTTCGGCGTCCATCGCATCTGAAGAAGATGACGAGACTGATTCTTTCGCCAAACGAACGTCCTGTTTCTGGCTCCTCTCTCTGTTGTGTTTAATATCTGGCACACCTTTTGGAAACCACACGCCAGGTTGCTTACTTATTGGACCTTTTTGAGCTGCAAGAAATCGACGCTCGGCCAGAGTACCCCTCTTGAAATAGAAATATTGAGGGAATGTCCACATTAAACGACGTTCTAACTCACTTTGATATTCATAGTATTGTTTCTCTAATGTCGTCAACTCTTGTGTCACAATTGGAATTCTAGACAGCAACAAACCGGTTTTAACTGTCTGAGGAATCGCAGTGGTAGCCATACCCCTTCTAAATAAGTGTAGGAAAGACATCTAAGTCCGTGTTGTAAAGTTCAATGAACCACTGAAAACGGTAATCTCACTATGAAATCTCGACTAAAGAAAATTTTCAAGAGACTGAAGTATTTAACTTTTACGTATATAACTATATGCTTTCAAAATTACACGTGACTTTTATAATGCCAAGAAATAAATAAGTCATTGTTTAACATTTAGACGTGTAGCAACACTCATACGTAGGTAAGTCCAGTGAGAAGGCTCGCACCCATTATAATGGTTCGGAAACTTACCTTCAAAGAACAGATGGATGGATTTCCATGGATACAACTGATGGTTGTATCGATGGTTCGTTTTAGTGAGCCAATTGCCTTTACATCCTTATTTCCGTACGTCTACTTTATGGTAAAAGACTTTCACATAGCTCCAAATGATGCGCAAGTATCCAAGTACTCGGGTTATCTATCGTCTACTTTTGCGCTATGCCAGGTGGTTTCCTCATTCCATTGGGGTAAGTTTTCTGATCGGCACGGAAGGAAGCCTGCACTTTACATCGGCCTGTTAGGAACTTGTGTTTCGCTCATGATCTTAGGTTTCTCGACCAAATTCTACCAGGCTTTGATAGCTAGAAGTATGATGGGATTACTGAATGGGAATGTGGGTGTAGTGAGAACAATGATAGGCGAAATTGCAACTGAGAGGAAACACCAAGCGCTGGCGTTTAGTACCATGCCTCTCCTGTTCCAATTTGGCAGCGTCATAGGACCGATGATAGGAGGTTACCTATCTTTTCCTCGAGAAAATCGAGACGAGAATGGCCATACGATTATGCCTCGCTGGTTTCCACTTGTCCTAAAAAAACTGGTCGAAAAGTTTCCATACTCATTACCCAATATTGTTGTCTGTACCCTTCTTCTTATCGGTTTAATAAACGCTGTTCTTTTTTTAGAAGAAACTCATCCGGTTCACAAATATAGAAGAGATTATGGTGTCGAGGTAGGAGATTTTATTAAGAGACATTTATTTGGGATCGAGCCCAAACAGAGGTATTGGAACATTCACTTAGCAGGCAATGCTGCTCCCAGTCGAGAAGACTCTTATCCCTCTAGTGTACAAGAAACACATGATGTTCATTCATATGACACTGGAAGTGACTCAGAGGAAAGTGTTCAATCTGTTGGTAGAGTTCTAACACGTCGGCAATCAATTACCTTAATTCGTACATATTCGCTGCATGAGCCTACTGACGAAGGAAATACACAAAGAAGAGCAGAAGACAATTGCATAGAAGGAAGCTTTATTCACCAAGTTTTTCATACAAATGTATTCTATCCAATATCTGTCAACTTTATCATGTCCCTCCATCTTATTGTGTACAATGAGTTTCTTCCGGTTTTCTTAGCGTATGATTTAGCTGGGCATAAGGATTCCACTGGTCAGACGATATTGGACTCGAAATTTCCATGGAAGATCAGCGGTGGGATTGGATATCAACCAGAGCAGACAGGTACGTTACTCTCCACTACAGGGATGTTCGGGTGCTTCGTTGTTGTCTTTATCTTTCCAATTATTGATCGTAACTTTGACTGCTTAACCATATTCCGTATGTTTGTTAAGTTATATCCTATCATGTATCTTATGGTCCCATATGTTGTCTTTCTACAACAAGACTCGATTCCAAAGTGGGTGACTGTAATATATTTATATTTCATAACCGGCTCAAAAACTCTGGTCGGTGCTTTAACCTCTCCACAGATCATGCTCCTCATTCATAATTCTAGTCCACTCAAATATAGGGCAATGATCAATGGTGCTACGATAAGTGTCAGTGCATCGGCAAGATTCACTGGGCCACTTATTTGGGGTATCATCATGTCATGGTCGCAACAGCACAGCGTTGCGTGGTTGAGTTGGTGGTCACTAGGGTTTATCAGCTTGATAGCACTTTATCAAAGTTACAAGATAGAGCCAATTGACAAAGAGGATGATGAGCGTGCTCCGCTCACGCGAGGAACAAGTTTAAATTACATGGAGACACAAAGAACTGCAAATGAGAATTAAAGAAAATGGTGGAAACGAATAAATGATATCTCGCGTTACTCTTTACTATAATGAGCTCGCATAGCAGGAAATACTATTAAAAAATAATTTACATAAGAGCTAAATGCTGACAAAAAAACTGTTCAATACAAATGTTGACTTCATTTACTACTCTCCACAAGCCGTAACGAATGTTTTTTTTATTTTTGCTGATTAAGCATACTCATCAAAGAATTCAACTGCGCGGTTGGATCAAATTGAGATTGAGCCGGAGATTGCGACTGGGATGCGACCCCGGAGTCATAGATAGGCGGCATTTGCTGCTGTGGTACATTGGGCATTGCATATGACTGAATTGGGGGACTGCCGCTATAAACTGGCGGGTATTGTTGCTGGACTGGAACGGGCGTCATATTCATTTGGCCGTAAAATTGATTCTGGTTGGGGGATTGCCTGAAATTGGAGCTCCTTGTTGGCTTTCCTGACTTTGGTCCATTTCTTCCGCTATCCGTGGGCATTTTCTGAGAAATAGCTTTCGATGATACGCCTTCGCCGACAACAATATCAGGCTCTTCGAAAACCATTGTTGCTTGTAAAGGCTGGCCACCAGTGCCACCCCATTGTGCGCTAACTGACCACTTTTTATCAGCGTCAGTAAGTCTGTGTAATGGTATTATACTGTAACCATGTTGGTAGTCACAGCAATCCCTGGGTCCGAAACCTACACCCCATCTTGTTCTTAAAGGAGAAGATCCGTCTTTGTTAAAATTGTTCAACACATTCTCTGCCTCTTGCCTTGAATATACTTTCACAAAGGCGTGCTTCCTAGAGCTGTTCAATATAACACTCTGAACTTCACCGTATGGCCTCAAGACAGCTGCAATGTCATATTCCTTCATTGCAGGTGGGACACCTCCCACGAACAAGGTCCTACTGTACACCTTAATATTATCAGGAGGAACTGTTGGATCAAAAGATACCGGTTTCGGCCTGAAATGGGGATTACTTGGAACGTTTTCTTCATCGGGGTATAGATGATGATTGTTTGCAGCACTTGGTCCCTCTGACTTGTGATGCTCCCTTCTTGGAGGACTTCTTGATCTGCCTCTTTTGGAAGAAGTCGTGCCATAACGCTCCCTTCTATCACCCCTACTTTGCTGAAGAGTTGGAGCAATTTGAGAGGACTGTTGAGATTCCTGAGAGCGAGCACTTTGTACTCCTATCACGTTGGTAGATGCAGCGCATTGTTGAAGACTTACTAAAAACTGAAGCAAGGCCGATTGTTGAGCAGCTAACTCATCAGAAAGCATGCCAGCAGGGATGCTTACTTGTGGTACATTTTGATTTGGTTGAAAATTCTTCAAGATTTGAAGGCACCTTTCCTTGGGGTCCTGCGACAAGGATTTTACTGGTGCCGAGGAAGAAATACCTGGTACATCCATGGAAAAGTACTTTGCCCTGACAGCATTTAGGTAGCCCTTTTGGAATAGACCACTCCTATCCCAGATGTCGATCAAAGTACGGATCTTATCTTTATGATCGTCATTACTTTTCAAAATGGCGTCACCCAACAGTTCTTGGATGGAATCACCTAGTGTATATACACCATGGGCACAAGAACCTTTCTTAGCACTAGACTTGATGTAATCGTCGCGCGCTCTGGCTTGATCCAGATACGCTCTACCGATAGAATCTATAATGTACAAGGAACCCAGTTTATGAGTATCGGGACAGTGCTTAGAGTAATTTATGATCATTTGCATCAAAGTCTCCTCATCGTCAACATGCTCAAGTGCATACGAGGTCAATTTCTTGATACGGGACCCAGAGATCCCAGACTTCAGGTCTTTAAAGGATTCTAGAGTCGCTACAAATTCGTCGTGTTCGCTTGCCATGATTAAATGTCTTCCTGAATGTTTGATAACCACGTTTTGTATTACCTTTAATTCCTTCGTTACGAGAAAAAAGTACTTTAGGATTTAGGCTACCAAAAAAAACTCTTCACTAAAAACAATACGATTTTTACTGTTGTTACCTCACCTATACTGGCTTCTGTGTTCTTACTGCCTGCTCGCGGATTACTAGCTGGTTTTGTTCTTTCAATTGGTGTAGATTATTCTACTCCTTACTTTATATACATGGCAAATTTTTCTTTCCCAATGTTCACAGATAATAATAATTACGAGAGTACGGGTAACACTTTCCACATTTGGAATACGTTCCTAAAACGGAGAATGTCCAATTATGAAATAGTAGCTTTGTACGAATAATCTCTTATTTGATATGGGCGTTTGTTAAGTTCAGGCATGACGGATTAAATGCTAGCGGCAAGAACCTACAAGCTGTTGATCGTCTGCCATGTCCGCTATTTACAAACTTTCCATACAGGGTATCCGGTCTTTTGATTCAAATGAACGTGAGACCATTGAATTTGGGAAACCACTAACGTTAATTGTGGGAAGTAATGGATCTGGCAAGACAACAATTATAGAGTGTTTGAAATACGCCACTACCGGGGACTTACCACCAAACAGTAAAGGGGGTGCATTCATACATGATCCAAAGATTACAGGAGAGAAGGATGTACGTGCCCAAGTGAAGCTGGCGTTCACTGGTGCCAACGGGGCAAATATGATTGTTACACGTAACATTCAGCTGCTGGTAAAAAAGACGACAAACACGTTTAAGACATTAGAGGGCCAGTTGGTGGCAATAAACCGCGGTGAAAGGACCACCTTAAGTAGTAGAGCTGCTGAACTTGATGTTCAAGTACCTCTATACATGGGTGTTCCTAAGGCTATTTTAGACTACGTGATATTTTGTCACCAGGAGGATAGTTTATGGCCACTGAGTGAGCCTTCCAATTTGAAAAAGAGATTTGATGAGATATTCCAAGCGATGAAATTTACCAAAGCACTTGATAACCTTAAAACAATTAGAAAAGACATGACTGTTGATATCAAAATTCTACGCCAGGTAGTTGAACATCTTAAGATCGATAGAGATCGGAGCCGGGCTACTAAAGTTAACATATCAACTTTAGAACATAAAATCAAAGATTACCATGATCAATTTAGATTAGTTGAGAAGCAATTGGAAAGTATCACGCAACGATCAGATAACCTCTTCAAATCTAACCAAGAGTTCCAGGAAGTTCTTTCAAAACTAGAAAATCTCAAACATAGCAGATTATCGACCTCCGAGCAGATAAAAAGGTTGCAGGATACGATCGAGACGTTGGATCTGCCTAAAGCGGAGCTGGAAAACCTTCTTACCAATTATTCTTCAGTTCTTGATGAAAAGAGAAAAGCTATAGGTGACCTGGAGAATAAGATTCGCAAGAGTTCTAAGGTGCTCGAAGGTTATCGGGAGGATTATAATCGATCTATTTTGAAAGAGGGTGAGTTGCTCGCGAAAGAAACTTCTTATCTTGAAAACCGTAAGTTAAGAGACGCATTGAAGGAGCAAATTATGTTCGACGAGAATCTTAGCGGCGATAATATTCCGGTTAAGATGAAGGAATTATTAGATACCAGAATGACAAAAATGGAACAGGTCATTTCAGAGCACAATAAGGAGCGTCTGGTTTTGCAACAAAATCTCTCCGAACTTGAGAGTTCTCATGCAAAGGAGGAGCAACACTTACAATATTGCAATTCTGACAAACTTAAGCTACGAAAAGAAATTGAGGAGATTCAGACAAAGATTTCTAGCCTCGTAGTTTCTGAAGAAGATTTGCTTAGGGAGAAAAAAGCTTTGAATAACTTTCAAACAAGAATCGATAATCATAATAACGAGCGTGATGGAGAAAGAATTAATAGATTAATCAAAGAAAAGAACGTGGAAATTTCAGAGTGTGAAAAAGAGCTTGAGAAAAATCAACAGCTTATAATAAAGAATAATAAACAATCTGATTTGCACGCTAAGTTTTCCTTGACGAAGAAGAGTTTAGAGAGGAAAAGGAATGAATTCGACAGCACGCTGTCTCATCTAAAATCCAATGAGCGTGCCAAGAGATGGGGTTTGACTGAAGTTTCGGATTTCGAAATGGACTTCAAGACTTTCTATATTAATCTTCAGAAAAGCATGGCCATCAAAACCAGAGAATTTAATGAGATAAACAAAAAAGTAACTGAAGAAGAATTTCATGTTTCTCAATTAACGCAGGAAAAAGCTGCTAAGGAAACAGATATTGAAAAATACTCGCTTCGTATTAATGAAACTTTACCTGAAGACTGTTCTGTCGAAGATTATCAAGAAGTTTTAGAGGAGACCGAAGATTCTTATCGCGTTGCACTCGAAAACTTAAAAATGCATAAAACAACATTAGAATTCAATCTTAAGGCGCTACAGGTGGCAGAAGCAAATAACTGTTGTTACTTATGCCAAAGAGAATTCAAAAACCAAGAAGAACAAAGTAATCTTTTGAAAGAATTGAAATCTAGAACTGACAGAAACTTTGAGAAGACCTTGCAAAATATTGTTGATTCGGAGGGAAATTATTTAAGAACTTTGCGTGGCGCCGAAAAAGATATTACGTCCCAAAAAAATCTTAAGAAAGCTCAGTTGGAAATCAATGAGCAGCTCAGGAGTCTGAAAGAGGAGTTAACGAAAAAGAAAAAAGTTTTATCTACAGTCCAGAACGATCTCGACGCTTCCAAAGAGCAATCTGAGTATGCTGAGAAGTTTATGCGACCTACTTTTGAGGAACTAGCCCGGTTGAAAAAAGAGATCGTATTTTTGGAGGCAAACTGTACTACAATGGCGGAAGAATTGAGTATATACTCCCAGTCAAATGAGGATATTATGACAATGGACGAACTACAAGAGAAGCAGAAAAAGATTACCGATACTCTCAGAAATTTGAGGAGTGAGGTTAGTTCTTTACAGGAAGAGAAAGAAACAAACTCCGAAGAGTTTAGTAAACTAATGAACAAAATCAGGGAAAAGACATTTAAGATAAACGATCTTGAAAGACAATTTGCTGATAAACAAAACTTGGAGACAACTTTAGTGGAACGGAAAAAAAACATTGATCACTTGGATTCTGTGATCTTGACAACCCGCTCAAATATAGAAAAACTGGCAGAAAAGGTGATCAGCGAAAAGAAAAACTTGGAAGAAATGAATTGCAAGCATTCTGCTGAGGAAGGTGAATTGAAGGAGAGTTTTAATGACCTCAAGCAGAAGTACGATAAATATCGGAACCTTGAGGAGCAAGTTTGTCTATATGAAGAGGCTGGTGCTTCAAATTTGGTCACATGCAGAGAGGAAGTTGTGATCAACAAGAGAAGAATCGAAGATTTGAGTACAGAGTTGGATGAATTGTCAAGATCTCTAAACGATCAAAACGGAAAAATTAAAGATTCAGCTAACGAGCAGAGAAATCTGAGGCTCAATATTGACTTATTGGATCTAAAAGCCCAATTCACGAATATTGATTCTAGCATAAGAGAATTAGATTTGCAAAATGCCGAGGCGCAACGTAGTGAGTATCAACAACAGTCGACTCGATTGAGAAACGAATTCGAGAAATTAAGTGCAGATAATGCAGGGCGGATGGGTGAAATAAAACAACTTCAGAACCAAATTGAGTCTCTCAAGAGCCAGCTAGAGTCAGATTATAAAGACGTTGATGTTCAGTACCAAAAAGAGTGGTTAAAATTGCAAACTAAGTCACTAGTCACAGACGATATTGATGTTTACTCGAAAGCATTGGATAGTGCTATAATGAAATATCACTCGCTGAAAATGCAGGATATCAATAGAATTATAGATGAACTGTGGAAAAGAACATACAGTGGAACTGACGTCGACACGATTAGAATTAAATCGGACGAGGTCTCAAATTCAACACGAGGGAAATCTTACAATTATCGTGTTGTGATGTATAAACAGGATGCGGAATTAGACATGAGGGGAAGATGTTCTGCAGGGCAAAAAGTTTTGGCTTCTATTATAATAAGGCTTGCCCTCTCGGAAACATTTGGAGCAAACTGTGGTGTAATTGCGTTAGATGAACCAACCACTAATTTGGATGAAGAGAACATCGAGAGTTTGGCCAAGTCCCTGAATAACATAATTGAGTTTCGAAGACATCAGAAGAATTTCCAGCTCATCGTCATTACCCATGATGAGAAGTTCTTAACTCACATGAATGCTTCCGATTTTGCAGATCATTTTTATAAAGTTAAAAGAGATGATAGGCAAAAATCGCAAATCGAATGGGTCGATATTAATAGGGTGGTCGAATAAAGAAGTGATCGTTATACTTTTATCTTAATAATTTAAAGTATTCACCATGGAGATGTACTTTTGCTGTACCTTCGCCATATCAAGGAAAATCTCGTACTTCACATTTAAAAGTTTCTTCAAGGATTTTTCATCATCAATCTTTATGACCGTAGCATCTTTGACTATCTTTGAAAGCCTATCCCGGCATTCAATAACCTCGAATATCGGCTTCCCCTCTGCCTTAGCTTTTCCCATGAGATAAGCACCTCTTACTCCCATTAGAGAGGCATTTTCTAAGGGTACTTTTATTGGCATTTGATTATTAACAAGCGAAATCAACGAAAGAAGTCTGGCGTTATCAGCTTGACTTCCTACGACTCTCAATTCTTTAATATTGTTTTCAAAGCTGTCTATAATTTGCTTCGTTTGAAAGGCAAGAAATTCTAATGCACTGATGTATTTTAAAGTCAAATCGAAAAACGATCTATCAGTGGTTTCCCCTATAAACACCCCACTCATAGACGGATTGCAGTAAGGTGTTCTATTCCCTTGAAGCTCGCCATACATAAACTTATGCTTTGCCTGGAAGTGGATTGACTTCCCACTTTTCTCTTCTTCTTCCATGATAATTCGTTCAATCTTCTCAAAAATCTCTGCTCTAGAACCTCCAAATGCAATTGCCGCTGGATGACTTTGAAATAAATGTTCAATTAGTAGGCCTGTAGCTGATTGCCCTGCTTCATAAATTTGCCAACTGGAATGATTGGTGTCATCGATAATATCTGTAAAAGGCCCCCAAACCCCTGGGATGCATTTTGTGGAGTTTTTAGTTGCATATAAATAGCAAGTTGAAGTTCCTGCCGCAATGAATAAAGAATACTCGGGGGATGATGGAAATATAGAGAACCAGCCTGAGTAGCAATCAATGCAACTAACAACTTTAGTGGGATATGCAGGCTCCGGAATCGATAGGGGTCCAATAAAAATGTTATTGGGAAGACAGACAACTTCAGAATAAAAAGACGGTTTCCATCCGCGAAGCTCTCCATCATGCCCAATTCCATTAGTTGTGCTAACATTGACAAGTGCTCTGGCATCCCAGGAAAAACTAGTTGCTATAGCATATGCAATGTATGTGTGCAGGTCGAACACCTCGAGATTGATTTCTAGATTATCTGAATATCGAGCAGCAATGTTCATGAGTTTGGGAATTGCCATCTCTGGAATAAATGAACCACCCATAAAATGCTTTTCTTGAATGTCCTGTTTATTTAAGGCATTACACTCTTCTCTTGCAAAGTTATCCATCCAAAAGACTACATTGTGAGGTGTGCTAGTGCAGTAGCCATAGACGTCAATAGGTAAAAGTCCTTGACCGTGATGTCGCTCAAATACTGCCATAGAACACGTCGCTGCTACACCACACGATTTTACATGTCGTATATCAACTTTGAGGGTTTTAAAGCAATGACCAATCGCGCTCATGATCTCTTCGGAGCTTTGAGTGACTTTGCCTGAACCCCAGTTCGTATAGGAAACCTTGCGGGAGATAACTCGAAGTAATCCATCTGTCTTCGTGTCATAGATCCCAACTCTAACAGCAGATGAGCCCAAATCTATCCCTATGCCTATTTCAAAGTTGGTCATACTGGTTGCTATTATCCACTTCTATTTACCTAGCGTTAAAATATTGTAAATCAGCTTTTTTAATTTTTTTGTTTTTTAATGCTCTCGATGAAATTTATAATTAAAATGGAGTCTACAAGTTGCAATTGACAACTAAATCAAAGAGTCGAATACTTATATGTCTACATTTTTAACGCCTAGAAGCCCGCGCTCTTCTGCTTGTCTCTGGAAGTTTGAAGGGGACTTTTAAAGTTGCAATTTTGTAAGTTGAAGCTGCGCTCTTTGGAATGCCAAACGCGTCTGCCTGTGCAACGGTAGCACCTTTTACAATAGCTCCTAGATTTTTGAAAAGATTCACCAGCTTAGATGGCTTCAAACCTAATTCTTGAGCAAGAGGGGAGACCTCAACGATAAAATTATCCAAATGCAAAATAATGGCCAAGATGTAGCAGAGTAACTTGTCTTCCCTTTGAGGGTCGACAAAAAACGCACGGTCCTTAGATCTACCAAATTGGCCCGCCCTAGATACAGTAAACCGCTCCAAAATACCGTCAACAAGTGCTTCTGGAGGAGAGTTTAATCTTTCCAGCAAAGCTGCCTTGTTATTCACCCTCCTGTTTTCGTAAACACCCAAAAGAAGAGATAAATAATAAAGCAGTTGTAATTTACCAATTTGGCTGGACTGCGTGAGCGAAGGAGACTTTTTAGATACATAGCTTGATTTTGCATAAGGAAAGAATTCCAATCTCTTTTCAGTGTCCAGTTCTTTTATTAAAGAGCCAACGCGAATTAACTGCCACTCATTCTTGGGTATTATGTTGTGAATTGGATAAATCTGTTCCACGTCAGTTGCATCCAAATTGGGCACTGGTGTAGTTCTATCTTGTGTGGCTGAATGTTGCAACTCTTCTTTGGTAGGTAGGTCTTTGGAGGCAGTTTTGACGGAGTCCACTATATCTATGGCGGCGTCTACCAATTTATCTGAATCGATACGATTTCTCTCCAAGTCTGCGATAGCCTTTTTAGCTTTCTTGGTACCGAATGCTTCACCCAGTGCATTGCGCATAATCGCAGCACGGGCACTTTCTTGTTTAATGTCCGGGCCCGCCAAGTTTTTTTTGGACTTGGAGATGACTTTTGTTGCGAGAACCGGTGCTTTGAAAAGCTGGACGGATTTTTTGGAAGGATCGTACACCCCAACCACATATTGACTGCTATTCACGGAAATGTCATCAGTTACGCCGTCACACTCAATTCTATCGTTCTCGCCATGAATCTTGAACTTATCTGGTGATGATTTGTTCCTGTATAATTCAAATTTTGTCTTCTTTGGTACACGGAAACCCTTGAAAAAGCTCCCCACAGCAACCGAAGGCTCTTCCTCAAAACTAGCAATCTCAATCTCCGTGTAATTTCTCTTCTCGCCCATGGTGTTTGATTGATTTCTCAGCTTCAGTAACACTGAATTTCATCCGGAGCTCATCTCATCGCAGTTGAAAATTTTTTCTAGATTATTTGAGCTGAATTAAAAAGAAACCACGAATTTACGTCAATAACGACGAGAGGGGAATAATAACAGGTCGCTAATGGCGGATGGTAAGTGTCACAACTGTGGTGTTTTGACCAGATCCTCTGATTAATTGGCTTGTCAGAAACTTTGAGGTGTTCTTTTAGCAAGCAACTGTTTTTGCTTCAGTTTATGAATAACCTGTGATCGCAAAAATGATGTTAACTTTCGATACTATCTAGAAAGTGAGGAATTTATGTCTAGTAACAAATCATATTATGAAATTTTGGGAATCGATACGACTACTGACGTTAATGGGTTGAAAAAAGCTTACAAGGAGAAGCTATTAAGTATCCATCCAGATAAGAACCGTGATAGCAGCCAACTGGGTGTAACTATAGATGATTTACAGCGAGCATATCAAGTACTAGTGGACAGTGATCTACGTGCCAATTACGATAAAGAACTGGAAGAATCGTATAAAAAGCAAGGATTTCATAATAATGGAGAGGGTTTGGACGAATACTCACTAGATGAGTTCTATTTCGATCCAGCGACAGGATTTTATTGTTTAGACTGTCCCAGATGTCAAATGTCGAGAGGGTTCGAGATCAGTGAGGAAATGTTAGAGGAGCACTGCATTGAAAGAAATAGCGGAGGTTTTCACGTTGTAGTGCAGTGCTCAGCTTGTAGTTTATGGTTAAACGTGAATTTTGATGTGGTAGAGGAGTACGAGTCTACGTAAAGGAATTTAAAATCGTAGAAAAGTCATCAATAAAGTATATCAGTATGTACATATATATTTACAGAAATTCATGTTTCGTCCGAGTAAGCGGACACTTCTTCAGCTTCAACAATTGATATAAAAGCCTTGGCAATAGCTTCAAAATCAGTCATAAGGCTTACATGTGCGCATTCGGATGCAACTTTAGCTACAACAGGAAAACCGCGTTTTTCGGGAAGTAGCCACTTATGATGAACTACTCCATCTCCTGGCCCGTAGTAGAAATCATCGTATATTCCCTCTTTAATCTCTTCTCTACTCGAGACTTTTGCACCTCTAACAGTTGGTACTCTATTCCCATAAACAATTGCGAGAGGCGGGTATTCCCGTGATTCATCGTATTCCAAACTTTCTAAAAATGCTCTGGTACGTTTAAGCGTTTTTGATAAGTATTCAATGCAGACGTTTCTGGGGGTTTTGAATTCCGTAGCGTCAACTTCGTTGTTTGCATTTTTACTCGAGGATCTCAGCATGTCTACGTGGGGCAATAGGCTAAAGATGTCTTTGTCCTTATCAGATGCGCTAGTACTTTGTTCTAATTGTTCATCTTCAATTTCTCTCCGCTTGTCTACTAGAGGAGAAAGACCATATTCGCTCCAAACTTCAGCATCAAAGAAATCTAGATCATACCGCTTGAACGTGTTTTTATTAACAAAGCATCTTCCATCAAAGGGTAAAAAATAAAAGCTGCTTCGCATGAAGAAGTTAGCTTCGGCGCTGAGAATTGATTTATTGAATATTACTTCATCGCCGAATCTTAATGGGCCTAAAATATTAGGGCATTGGCTTGGAGCACCAACATATATCAAACCCCTAATTAAATGAGTATGATCTTGCAGAACTTTATGAGCGATCAAGCCTCCCATAGAATGGGCAATGACGTATACTCCTTTTTTCTCCTTCTGAGAGTCATACAATGACTGTAGTTTTTCTGCGAGCTGTACAGATGTGATATCCAAAGAGAGCCTCCAATCGTAACCAAAGTCTTCGATATGTACACGCGGATTGTTTCTAAGCCTCTTAATTAGTTTTTTAGCAACATCAACAGGACCGAGATGAGTGAGCATACCATCTGGATAGATACTTTTTTGAGCATCTAATTCATCTCTATCAGTTGGGCCGATTAGTAAGTCAACTTTGCGAATGTTCAAACCGGCGCGAATAGGGATCCATACTCGTCTTCCGGTTTCGGAGTCGCGCAGTATGCTTCCCCTATATCCACCCAGAATTACTATATCGCCTTCCAGTTCGTCCCATATAGACTCAATTCTGGCCCATGGATAACCGTCATGTGTTGTCATTTCAGGATCTACAGATAAACTTCTGATTGTATGAAATATAGCGCCTGGCGTGAAAACCCTTTTCACGGCTCTTGCTCTGACATTATCTATTCCTTTCTGGTCTTTGAATAGTTTCAGCTCTTCAAGGGATGAGATAGTTTCTTGTCTCTTAAGTTTTAGTTTAATGTCCCTTCTGCTTTCATGCTGTTTTTTGTCATCAGTAAACAACTGTTCAGAATTGTTATATCCTGGAATTAATGTTTTCAAGCTTGAGAGAGGTGATGTTGGTAGCAAGTTTTTACCCCCAAAAGGCAGATTGAAGGTAAATATCCTGTGGTTTTGCTTAGTTTGAGATTCATCGGCATTGGAAGTCAAACTTTGTATATCGCTATCCGTACTTCTTTCATCATCATCATATATTGATTCATTTGCATGCCTGTGTTTACGACTTTCTGATCTTGATATTACTTCAGATCCTCCTATGAGAGAATCTGCACCTGTATTATCTACAACATAGTCCTTATCATCAGTAGCGCTATCGGAATCTGAAATTTCAGCATTATCCTCTTTGTCTCTTTCTAAATCTGAATCGATACTGGAGTCCCTACTCATGGTTCTTGGCAAAAGTTGGGAAGATGTTTATAGGTTCGAGAACAGTACGCGACTTTTAATTTTCTTGAACCTCGATATATCGGCAAAGCAAAAAAACGAGGGAACAAGCAATTGGATCAATTAAAATAGTTTTGAGTAGGTACAACGTGGAAGAAGGACATAGATAGTGTAAGGTTCGTATGTCTTTTCACATGTAGGGTTTAGTCCAGATAAACAAACCATCACTTACAGATTCCCACCATTAAGCCATCGTGTTATACGTAGTTATGATAAAAAAATTTTTGATCAGTGACTCAAGAGACTGGCATCACTTTTGCTTATAGCCTTAAAAGATAAAACGACCGAGCCTGTAATTGGTTTGTGTATGTCAATTAGCACTACATTTGGAACTGTCGTTAAAAGGTTTTTAGGAATGTCAGCTGCATCTTCTCAGAAGGTTTCTCAACCGAAGTGGTATAAACCTACTTCGTCACAGACGAAGCCTGTTTTAAAGTTGTACAACAGTTTAACGAGGGGAAAGGAGGAATTCATACCCATTTCTGGAGGAAGAAAAGTTACGTGGTATTCTTGCGGTCCCACTGTTTATGATGCATCACATATGGGCCATGCTAGGAACTACGTCTCCATTGACATCAATAGACGTATCTTGGAAGATTATTTCGGGTATAATGTTGTGTTTGTTCAGAATGTTACTGACATTGACGATAAAATTATTGTTCGCGCTAGGCAAAGCTATCTTTTTGAAGAATTCGTTTCTGCAAATTCAATTGTTACCGATGCAATCATTAGAAAAGTTGAAGACGGCCTATGGCAGTACGTCAAAGCAAATTTTAAACAAGAGTTTTCAACTATTGAACAGTATGAAAAGTGGTTTAATTCCCTGGACATTGAAAAGGAAAAATCAGCGAATCCTAAGTTCGGTATGCATGCCAGTGCTTGCGCAAACTGTATCAAAGCTTTAAAGGGTGTGGCTGATGAAGAGTTTTATTCTTTGGTGAAAGACATAATTATTCCTGTATTGGATGAAGAATCTGGAAGCTCCATTAATGATCCTGAAATATTTAAAAAACTTCCTGCTTTCTGGGAAAGAAAATTTGACCAAGATATGGCTTCTTTAAACGTGTTGCCGCCAACCATTACGACCCGTGTTTCTGAGTATGTTCCAGAAATCATTGAATTTGTTCAGAAGATTATAGATAATGGCTATGCGTACCCAACGTCTGACGGCTCCGTGTATTTCGACACCCTTAAGTTCGACAAATCTGAAAATCATGATTACGCAAAGTGTCAACCTTGGAACAAGGGCCAACTTGATTTAATTAACGATGCCGAGGGCTCTCTGAGCAATTTCACTTCTTCGAATGGAAAAAAGTCACCGAATGACTTTGCTCTGTGGAAGGCTTCTAAACCTGGCGAACCAGAATGGCAATCACCTTGGGGAAAAGGTAGACCCGGTTGGCATATTGAATGTTCTGTGATGGCTAGTGATATCCATGGATCATGTATGGACATCCATTCGGGTGGTATTGATTTAGCGTTTCCTCACCATGATAACGAACTTGCGCAGTCTGAAGCTTGTTTTGATAACCACCAATGGGTGAATTATTTCCTACACACTGGTCATTTGCATATTGAAGGGCAGAAAATGTCGAAGAGTTTGAAAAACTTCATTACAATTGGCGAGGCTTTGGAAAAATACAGTGTTCGTCAATTGAGACTGGCTTTTGGATCAGTTCAATGGAATAACCAGTTAGACTTCAAAGAAAGTTTTATGAATGAAGTTAAATCTTTCGAACAGGGGTTAAATAACTTTTTCAGAAATGTCCGTGCCTTGAAGCAAAACTATGAACATGATCTTGATAATGGTGTATTTATTTCTAAGAAGCTCTCAAGTTTAGAAAAGAGATTATATGAAGATTTGGACGAAAGCGAAGATAAAGTTTATGCTGCATTCTGTGATAATTTGTCTACCCCAATAGCACTCAAATCGCTGGGTGACTTGGTGACGAAAGCGAATACTTATATTGCTTCATCTGGCGGGGAAGTAAGAATTGAACCTTTGTTGGCTGTAGCTCGCTACATAACAAGAATCTTGGCGATTGTTGGGTTTCCTTCTCGTCATGATGGATTAGGGTGGTTAGATGAGTCAAGTTCACGTGGTGAAACTTTAGGATCGAAGGAGGATATGTTAATGCCATATGTCAAATGTTTATCGAATTTCCGTGATGAAGTGCGTAGATTGGCAATTTCGAAGTCAGATTCTTCAGAATTTTTAAAATTGACTGATAAAATCAGAGATGATGATCTTCTGAAACTTAATGTTGCTATCGATGATAAAAATGGTCAAAGTTCGTTAATAAAATTCTTGACAAGCGAGGAGAAGGATGAAATATTGAAGCTTAATGAAGAGAAGATTATGCGTCAGAAAGAAAAGGAGGCTAAGAAACTCGCGCAAGCCAAGTTAAAAGAAGCAAAGGAAGCTGAAAGAAAAGAAAAGGCAAAGACGGCACCTCAGGATTTGTTCCGTGATCCTAATTTGTATTCTGAGTGGGATGAAAATGGTGTTCCTTTGAAGGATAGAGATGGGAACGAAATCACAAAATCGATGACGAAGAAGTTAAAGAAGCAATGGGAAGTCCAAAAGAAGCTTCACCTGGAATATTTCGGTTAGAGCCTATAGTTTTTATAAAATTTGTAATTTAGTTTTGACCTTCATTTTTCTGGTGGTAGCATGAAAAAAAAATTGTTTGATGCATTACTTTTGTTAATTTCACGAATTGGTTGATAGAGATATGAGTATTGATATCGAAAAAACGTATGTTGTCCATGTTTTTGAATAGTTTGAAGTTTTATTCGTCGATTATCTAACATGAGTCACATGAAGTTCCGAAGCTTTGGAAGCGTTGGCTTCTTGGGAAGATGGGATGGAAGAAGTTGAGAAGGACGTTGAGCTTTTTAGGTTAAGAAAGGTTGCTCCACTGTATGAAAGAAGAAATGTGCTGATTAAGGACATTCCTGGATTTTGGAGTATAGTATTGAACCAGCATTCGGATTTTGCTAATTATGTTCGGGCATCAGATTTTAAATACATCGATGCCATCAAAGCGATTGAAATCAAATGGCTATGCCTAGATGACTCTACTGTTAATCCTCGTAATTTTGAGTTAACTGTGGAGTTTAATGGCATTGATGGGGATTTCGAGAAGCAAATTGTAACAAAGGTTTTCGAAATTGAACATGATGTTTCGAAAATCCGTTATAGAGAAAAAAGGACCGAAGAAGATGATGCTTTGGATGAAGAGTTAGGATATTTGACTAGTAAACCAGTTGATATCAAGTGGCCGAAAAGTTACGATGAAATAAATCCCGATTTAATTACAGATAAAAGGAGCAGCGTTGGGAAAAGGAATTACCGGAGCGGTATGAAGTCTTTTTTTGGATGGTTTCGATGGACAGGATTGAAACCTGGTAAGGAGTTCCCTAATGGAGATGGGCTAGCTAACCTTTTTATTGAAGAGCTGTACCCTTATTGTATAAAATATTATACAGATGCTCAAAGGGATGTTGCTGATGAGAGTGAGAGTGATGAAGAAGCAAGTGATGAGCCCATACAGCTTGATTTGAGTGACAAAGAGGAAAGTGAAGATGAAGACGGTGTCCTTCGCAGTGAAAAACGGAGAAAACTATGATAGATGCTAGTGTTGATTTTGTATGTAATTAGTAATCTAGATCAAATTTTGTTTCGGTGGAAGTTTTGGATTTATAATTTCCATGATTATTATTATTATTAGGTTGAGTAAAGTGGGTATTGGGTGTATCGTGTGATAGTTGTTTCTGGAAAGAGTTGGGAACTCTAGTTGATCTTTTATGTATGCCGAGTTTGACTGTATTCGAATTGGTGGTAGGTTGATTTGATTTCAGTTTTTTGGCCATTTGTAGTTTTAGCATGGGATCCTCTCTGGATAGATCAATGGATTTCGGTTTATTTTTCGGTATAAGGTCCTCGAGACCTTTAGATGAGTTGTCAAATCTTTTGCGGCTTGTAGAGTCGTTTCTCTTTTCATTGGTATTCTTGAGTATGGAAGCATCTATCTTTTTCTTGCCTAGTAGGAAATCGTCGTTTTCGGTATTTCTGGCTGCTTCATCTCTGTACATCCATTCTAGACCAGTTTTTCGTTTAGAAGAAGTTCCGTCTCTATTCAGAGAAGTAAGGTCTTCTAGTTCTTTTTCCTTTGCAATTTCGGTCTGTCTCTGCTCGATCTTCCGTTTTTCGTCTAGAAGTTGCTGCTCTGTTTCCCATACCTTTTTCTTATTTTTGAGTAGATGTGGGTTCCATGATTTAAGTAGATTTAAGTCGCCACTTCCCATGTTTGGTAGTAAGTTGTGGAATATCTAAGTCGTAGATACGTGTTTTCAGTTGTAGTGCTGAAGGTTCGTTAATTGTGAAAGATGGAGGCCGTGTTTGGCGATGACTTTTGATGTCGTATATAAGTACAAGGGGATTTGATCGACAAATCCGGAATTTTCTGTAGAAAAGGAAAAGCGAGTAGGAAAGTGGTTTGTATCTAATCGGATATGATCTGTAACCTCAAAAGTAGAAAGTGGTCGTGAGGTTTGAAATGGATTCGTCAAGAATGTGTACAGTTTTGTAGCAATGTTGTAGAGAAATTGTTTCAGGTTTTATGTACTGTTAAGTGCGAGAAATACTATACTATCGGCACTGGTAGCGTGCATTAAACAGGTGAAACGAGAATAGTTTGGAAAAACATGTGATCCGTGTTTTCTTTAGAAACCGTGGATTTTGATGTTCTTTTTCTTCATGCCCAGTTGAGTGATCATAAATTCACAAACTTTAGCTCTTTGGTCACCTTGGAGTTGAATAATTTCACCCATATCTTCATCTTTGACGATGTTGCCGTTGCAGGCAAAGTCCTTCTTTAGGACTTTCAAAATTCTTTTCAAGTCATATTCCTCAGGGACACCTTGGACTGTAGTCAATGTTTTTCTACCGTTTCTTTGTTGGATACGGATGTGAATGTAGTTGGCAGTTGTAGTTTCGTTGTCACCAGTGTCTGCGAAAGGATCGAAAGACTTTAAGTTTTCGATGGACATATATATGAGGATGTGGTTTGCTAGGTTGTGAAGATCGATGGGAGTGGTTGGGTGAAAATTTTCATGTGAGTGAGAATACAGTTCGTTTTAGGTGATATGGTGGTTTGTGTTTGTGGTTAGCGGTTGTGTTTAGTAGATGGAGTTGCCTTCGGTAGCTAAGGTAGGTATTCTCGCGGGGTCTTTCTTTTCAACAGAAGAGATGGTATGAAAAGGGCGTTTAGGGCTTTGAATTGTAAATAGTGGCGTGTATTGTAAAATGATTGTAAATATATCATTGTCACGTGACAAAGATGTGGGTATAATGTCGTTTTATGATTCTTTGAATAATTGGAAGGTAGTTTGATGGCGTTAATGGAGTTTTTTTGGTTGTTTTCTTGGTGTGGTTCTGTTCTTTAGTGTTTGAGAGCCAGAAGGTTTGTCGTTTTTATTCGGTGTAGTTAAACGACATTGTCGATAATATTGAAGGAGGTGTATGTTAGGGTCTTTTTTGGTCAATGTACGAAATCAGACTGTGTGATTCTATTGTTTTAGATGAAGCAGGACCAGGATGAAGTGACGATTAATGAATTAAATAGGTTACTATGGTGATTTAATCGTGGGATACGGGTTTTGGGCGTAGTTTGTTAAATCAATGGGAAAGATCGTATGTTAAGACTAATCCTAATAGGGGTCGGAAGTGTTTTAGATGTATGTTATGATTTTTTTCACTGTTAAATGATTGATTGAATATTGACTGAGTTAATTCTACGAACTCGAATTTGATAATGTCGAGGTCGGAGTTGGATTTGGAGAAAGCACTAAAGAAGGCTTGCTCCATTGAGGAAGCTGCTCCTAAGAGAAAGCACGTACGTGCTTGTATAGTTTATACGTGGGATCACAAATCTGCGAAGTCGTTTTTCAATGCTTTGAAAGTTCAACCTTTCGCTCAAGATGAAGTTCAGTTATTCAAGGCTTTGATAACTTTGCACAAAGTTCTACAGGAGGGTCATCAATCTGCTCTTACGGAGGCTATTCGGAACCGTGATTGGATTGAGAGTTTAGGTCGAATCTATTCCGGTGGAAGTAGCGATGGATATGGAAGGTTAATTAATGAATATGTGAGATTTTTGTTACAGAAAGTTGACTTCCATAGATCTCATCGTGGGTTTAATGGAACTTTTGAATATGAAGAGTATGTTTCTTTAGTGACGACTTCGAATCCTGATGAAGGCTACGAAACTATTCTTGATTTGATGGACTTACAAGATGGTTTGGATGAGCTAGGACATGTTATCTTTTCCAGTATCGGTGATTCTCGTCGTAGTGAGTGTAAAATTTCGGCGCTTGTTCCGTTGGTGGCTGAATCGTATGGTATTTATAAGTTTATCACTTCAATGATCAGGGCAATGCATAAGCAACTCGGTGATGATGAAGCTTTGGTACCTTTACATGAAAGATATGTGAATCAGCATGCTCGGTTGTTTGAATTTTATGCAGATTGTTCTGCTATTCGATACCTAACTAGTGTGATCAGAATTCCAAAATTACCTGCGGAAGCTCCAAGTTTGGATGAACCTGATGAAGACGTGGTTCCTAGTAGTCGTGAAAAAAGTGAGACACCGTTGTCTAGGAACATGAAAAGCTCTGAGAGTTTGAAGAAGAAGGAAAGTCCGGTAGTATCGTCCAGTGGGTATGTTCCTGACGGGGCCACGGGGTATAGTGGTGTCGTTCCAGCGATTACTCCCGTGGTTACTGGGTTTGCTACGCCTAGTCTAACTGGTGGAGTTAACAGCATGTGGGGTGATAGCGTTGCTCAACAATATCAAGCTGCACAAGATATGCAGCAACAGTTACTACTTCAGCAGCAACAACAACAGCAGCAACAGCAGATGCAACTGGAACAAGAGCGTCAACGTCAACTACAATTGCAGCAAGAACAAGAACTTTTGGAGAGGCAAAGACAAGAACAAATGATGCAGCAGCAACAACAACAGGCAGCGTTTGAAGAACAGTTAAGACAGCAACAAACTGCCCAACAGGAAGTATTGCATCAGCAGGTACAGAATGATTTAGTTGCGTTACGTGATCAGCATGAGAGGGATCAGTTGCTGCTACAGCAGTATGATGAAAGAGTTAGTAGTTTGGAGAAGGAGATTGAGAATCTGAATTTGAATGCTTCTAATCAGTTGGAAAACAAAGAAGAACAGGTGAAGAGTTTGGAGCAGTGGAAGGATAAGTATGAAGCTCTAGCTAGACTGTATGCCCAACTGCGTCAAGAGCATTTGCAATTGTTACAGAAATTGAAACATGCTCAGAAACAGGCCAGTAGTGCTAAGGAAGCCATCGTTAGACGTGAAGAGTATGAAAGAGATTTGAAGAATAAGGATGAAGATTTAAGAGGCGCGTTGAGTGAAAGAGATGCGTTGAGGTTATCCGTCGATAGAATGCGGAAGCAGTTTGAGAAGGTTGTAGTGACAGCAGGTCTACGCACATTAGAAGACGAAGAACAAAAAGGTATAAAAAAAGTGTCACACAAAGGAACAGCTCTTGCGAGTGCATTTAACAATTTCATTGCAGATGGGTTGAATGGTGATCTTGTTGATTTAGCAAAGAGTGTTTCTGAATTCACAGCAGCAATAATAGAACTTTCGGCGGGTCGTGAAGAAGCATCTAAATTTCTTGAAGGGCTTCTATCTCTTTCTGGTACCGACGAAGAAAAGACAGATACAGTTATTAACCTCAATGTAGCCATGCAAAAGCAATTACAAGATATGGAGGGTACCTATGAAATAGAAAAAGTAGCAGAAGCTATAATGGCTGTTTCGCATCCAGAACACATGTCGGGAGCAGTGGACGCTATTTTAGCATTAATCAAGGCTTCCATTGAATGCCAAAAGGAAAATGCTGCTCCTCCGTCAGAATTTTACAAGAAAAAAACAAGTGGACAGAAGGATTGGTTTCTGCAGCAAAGGCTGTAGCGAAAGCAACTGAGATCATGATTGCAGCAGAAAGCTATGAGGAATTTGTTGTAGCTTCGAACGAAGTTGTCGCGTCTACTGTGCAATTAGTGGCAGCGAGCCGTGTAAAGTCCGATTCACCTGCCCAGCGAAAACTTGAAGAACGTGCCAGAATTGTATCAACTGCTGTGAAAAATTTGTTACAAACAATGAACTCAGAATCCAAGGAGTTCGACTATTCAAAGCTATCTGAACATGAAAACAAGACTGCCGAAATGGAACAACAGGTTGAGATTGTGAAGTTAGAGAATGCTTTGGAAGAAGCAAGAAAACGCCTTGGAGAAATCAGAAAGTATAGCTATGTATTTTGATTAACAAACACTTGTTCCTTAGACTCGACAACAGCATCTTGGAGTAAAGTAGCATAATTTTCATAAATCTTATCACAGACTTCTTGAAAGCTAAAAAAGAGGATTCAAAGGGGCCTTCGCTTGGTTCAACCACCGCTTCCAAATTCGGCGTATCTTACATTGGTAACAATATACTTGCCGTCAGTAAATTACGAATAATCTGCCTAATGACTATTCGGTTCCTCGCTTGTCTCCTTGAATTTTACGTTCGGCAGTTGAGACGCTAATGCATGTGAGGAATAGTGTACCGGGCGATCCAATAAATGCTGAGACGTGCCTGCAGAGAATAAGGAAAGAGGATAATAAATTGAAAAGAATATGTAAAAAGAATGAGAAATGAGAACATGAAATCTTGAAGGATTTGGGGTAGCTTGTGTATATGAATAGAGTATCAGGAAGTGGAAATAAAGAGAACTAAAATTAAAGAAGAATATTTGAAATGTACGAATCTTCCAAGAATGATGGTTGGGTAGAGTGTCAGCTTCCCAATACTGAGAAACGGAGAATTATTTCTTTACGCAAATGCAAGAAGGCGAAGGGAGAATTCCCCTATGGGCAAGTTAACGGTAGTAACAACAACAGGACTTGCCAGTTTGTTGAACAAGGAGATGAATTTGTAGAAAGTCGCAACAGTAGCATCCGAACGAGAAATAAATTTATCTTGATGCGAGGGATTCTTCATAATATTATTATCCAATACAGCAGTTACAAAAAGGCTGGGTGCGAGAAGAACGCTCACTTGGCTCTTGAAGAAGTATCAAAAATAGCTTCTTTGGTTTGGAGAAAAAACAGTGGGAAGTTCCAAAAGTACTATGAGATGCTTGCAGATTTCGAAGAAAATAGTGACCTGCTTGGACGGCTGAGCAAACAAAAACGTTTCAGAAAACAGCTTGTGCTTAAAAAACTGACCGAAGCCATTGGAAGAGAATGCATACCATCAACCTACAGTTACGAAACGCTGACCAATGGGGCAGACACTACAGAGCCAGAACCCATGGAGAGCAAGAACACGTACAAGGCCTTCTGTGGGAGATTTAGGGTCAGGAAGAAGAAACCCATACAAACGGTCGCGGTGCGCTGGGCCAAGATTGAAGACGTGTTTCTTATATAACACCATGTATCTTTCTCAACACATCATCTGCGCTCTCCTTAACCCAATCCACGTCTTGTAAGATAGAGGGCAGTTCTTTGGATCTAACATCGTTGAACTTAGCCACTAACCCACAAGCTTCCAACGAGCTTTGTGGATCCCATTCTACTGGAATGACGCTACAGACTTTGGATAACATGTCCTCATAAACCACCAACTGGTATAGGTTCCATATCAATTTACACGAACTCTTGTAAATATTTCTTCTCTGAGTGTTCTCTCTTGCATCTCTACCTATCATGTAGTACACGTCACTTTCACTTACCGTTGCCTTATGTTCCCCAACACTACAACCGATCACTTTTAAAACAACATACTTGTTCACGTACCTCAACTTCCCTTGCAATAAATAATATTCTTGTGCCTCACCATCGTGCAGCTCATCTGTCAGAGCCTCATAAACGTCAAAATTGAAACCATTAAACGAAAACGACTCCAACAAATCCCTTAAACCTCCGCAACGATTTACGCACAAAATCAAATTCAAAACCACTACCTGCGTGAAGAACAAATTTACAAACGCTAACCTCCACTCGTCTACGTCGTAAAATTCGATCAGATCTGAGTACACGCTTTCCACAACATTACAAAATTCTTTACCCAAATCTCCTCCTCCTAAAACTTCTTCATCACTTTTAACCATGCTGACAAACACATTACTCTTGTCCCATGATTCTACACTACCTCCACCATGTTCGACTAGATCAAACAGCCGAATGTAAAAGTTAACCCATCTGACTTCCCAATTTCGATCAAAGTTTATCTTTTTCCTTAGATTTTCCAAAGTTTTGATATACTTGTATAAAAACGAATCCAAAAAGTGCGCTGGCCCATAAAATACCACATGAAAAAATAAATACAATGTAAACCTCTTCACAAACAACTCACTGTGAAACTCGGTACTCAGAGACGTCGGTACAGTTCCCACTACCACTTTCGCAAGCGATTTCCGCGTAAAACTACGTCCACTTCCATAGTCGTCTACCGCCAGGGTACAATAATCATCGACGACATTATCAAACAGCAATAAATAATCCAGTCCCGGTACATCAAAATAAAAATTGAGTATGCACAGCAAAACTAACAATTGATTACTTCGAAACAGACTATCAAACCGATACTGAGCCAAAAATTCATCATGCACACCTTCAACAAATCCTTTTTCAACACCACTCTCCCATCTACCGTACAAAACCAGCACATTACTCAGTACACGACGAAAATCGCGAAATGCACTTTCAACTGATTCTTTGCCTATCTTGAAATCGTTAACCTTAAGTCCGTAGTCATCAAGCGAAATCACCACGAACGAATTTTCCGCTATTTTAAGAACCTTAGTGCTCGAACATTTGACGTTCTTCACAGGACTGGGCAGTTCGCCTACCTCTTTCAACAGCTTATCATAACTCTGACACAACATATCCAAGCTTTCTCGAACATAATCAACACTATCACATAAAACTCTTAACTCCTTCGATCTCTGCGGAGGAGCCACGTAATCTAGCACACATTCCACACCTTTCCTTGAACAGGGTGTGCATGGACCAGGTCTCATACATATCGAATCGCATTTCGTTTTGTTCTTACGACACCGAACGCAGGAACGTAAAGGTTTTTTCTGCTTATCCTCAAACGCCATAACACAACGCCCCGTGAGATCAGCTCTTCTCCCAACCCCAATTACTTACCACTATCCTCCTATATCATATATAAATTCCATAACCACAAACAACAAATGACATAAAACGGCACACCGCGGCATACGCATGCCACGCATATCATCCCGTGAAAATTGCCTCTGATTTTTCCTCTTCAAATCGAGCCCATAAGGCTCACCGAAGTTCGCATAACAACCACATACACTTTTATAAAATACCGCATCGGTCAACCCCACAAATGCGGACTATCGGGGTCATCTCGCACAACCCAAACTAAAAAAAATAAAAAACTTCAGACCAATAGACGCTCGCCGATTTACTAACAAGCGACAAAAAAAACCCTTCTTAGGTCACGTGATTACGTATAATAAAGAATATCTAACCACATATCAAGACACAACAAGCTGTAAAATACTTAATTCATTCCCATTGAGATTTCATAAATATGCTACGTACCTCCTTCTTTAATATACTGACTCTCATTTAACTTTAACCATCTATACCACTGTATAAAAAACAAAATAAGTTTGTGACATTAATTTCAACATCACAGCTTTTGCTCCGAGGCTTGAAAATTGAATTAGAGAATATGTCTTCAAAACTTAAAGTTCCTAATAACATGAAAAATAGAATAAGAAACATCACGCAATACCCAGAAATCTACAAGGAAGAGTACCACCACTAACAAAGTCTCACAAATTATACCTTACATAACGATGCTATTTACAAAGAACTTCACCCATTGATACAATATCATGTAATACGACATATCTACGATATCTACGTTTTTATTTCAAATATCACCAAAGCCAAACCACGCACACTCGATATGAGAGTAACACAATTAGATGCTGTATCGCTGGAAAACGACATCTACCAACAAATCTGGGATGATGTAAATAAGAACTTTCTCCCCGTTAAATACTATGAAGAATGGGAGCTTTTCATAAAATCATTGGTGTTTTTAGCCTCAACAAAAAAGACGCCATCTGGAACAATAACATACGGATCATCTTTAACAGGTAACTACTACACATCATCAAGACTAGCACTCTACATCGTACAAATTCTTATACAATATCTCAGCAGAAAGTTATCATCAGCAGCTATCAATTTCCAAATTCTATCAATCGACAAATTATACAAATTCGTTAACAAATGTATGACAATATGGGATTTTACAACATTACTCCAACTAATCAGCGGTAAAAGAAGAGGTTACCTAAGCATATGGCACAAATTACTTGATATACAATCGTTACAAAGCTCAAATTCCGAGTTTTATCGCAATACAGTTTACTCTGGAATTGAATTTCTCAATCGCCAACTTCTATGGAACACCCTACTAGAAGTCCTTAACGTCGATATAATAGCGTCATTACTGGTTAAAGCCTCCCGCAAACGGCCCAGTAGACGCATCAAACCAAAAACAACAAAACAATTATGCACTTACTGCAACGAAGTACCCACAAATCCATATCTTACAACATGCTGCAACTCAATTTATTGCTACGTTTGTGTATTAACGTCCCTTGAGCGAAACACCTGCTACGGATGCGATACCCAAGAAAAATTTACTGCAACACCACTTTACCGTCTAACTTTAACTAATAACCAAACAATTAAGTAACTCATTTAAATTGCATCTTACCATCCCATCCTTAGTTTTAACAAAACCCACATAAAAAAAATAAAAAAAGACCGACCCAAAAAAATTAGAACATATAAACCAATCTTTTGTTTAGATCTATTTGCCAAAATAGCCACATAATGCTACCGACAACATACTCCAAGATCGGTAGATTAATAACAAGATTCTGCTCAACAAAAACTAAACAACTGGCTACAGATATATTACCACATACTCAACAACTCATTAGTTCCATCTCCAAAAAAGATACTTCCTTATCACAACTCAAGATCCAAATACAAAAGTACTGGAAAGAGTCAAAGATTCAATCGCCACTCAATTTCCCAAATACTACGTTTCTATCGTCAACCACAAATAAAGAAGCTTTTGTTTCTACAATAACGAAATTTTATAACAAATCTTTCCACATTAGAAACCTTTTACGGTGGGAACTACTCAATAATTCAAACAACAACAAAATTATCCAAGATATTACCCAACAACTACATAAAAACAACTTAATACCTCTTTGTGCTTTCGAAACTTCCGACCAAGTTTTTGAATGGTGCATCAACGATGCAATAAAATACAACGACATCACCACTTTAACATATTTTTGCATTTCATATTACTCAAGAAACCCAACAAAGGAAATATCAAAAAATCTGATAAAAAACGTAATCACTGCATCAATTTACATTAATCCCAAAGCCGATCCAATAATTCTACAAAATATCATCCAACTTGACAAATTCTTCAAGACCAGAAATTTTCATCTTCCTATAAGTGAGAATCAGGCATTAATACTATCAAATAAGGCCATTTCATTGCATGAACATCCAATCCTCACGAAAGAAATCCTACACATATTACTTGAAGAAAGAACTTCATGCTCATCTTCAAAAGGTAACGTAAGAGCAGCGTACGCGTTAATACGCGATGATTACGCAAAGAACAACCCCGCTGGAATTCATCTCACATGGACTAAAATTAAAAATGTTTACAATTCAATTCAGAATCATGATTCTAGAATTCTATACAAAATATTAAAGATGTACTCAAAACAAAAGTCCTACAGAAAACAAGCTCAAAATTTGATTTCGGAGTTAACTCCAGAGTACTACGTCAATAATCCATTACTGCTTCCAGCAATAATAAGTTTTGCATCTAAATCAAAAAACTTCGAAATGGCCACAAAAATAATGACAGATATTAACACGCACTCCAACGAAATGACCCAAAAGTTCACTATTAAATCACGATACACACTCTCGACTTTACTAAGAATGCATCTTACTTTTAACGACTCAGTTGGGGTTGACAACGTACTTAAACAAATAAACAGAGTACATGGTGAACTTTCACCAGCAGACTACCAGGCTATCATTGCGCATTTAGTAAATTCGACAAACGTGGAAAACATAAAAAAAGCACTAACAATGATAGAAAGTATACCTAAATCAAAAGTTCTCCCATCGATTTCAACAATCATAAATAAGCTTTTACAAAGTTCCGTTAAAAAAGAAAATGACACCAGAACAGAAAACCAGAGGAATATCGATAATCTCCTAATGCTAGCAAACGACCTAGATCCACTACACAAAAGTTCCTTGTGGTCGATAATTGCTTCATTATACATTAAAAATTTACTTGAAACCAAAGGAATCACGACAACAACACATAATAACGCGAACAATTCGCAAAAAAACAACATCAACTACGATAATAAGGTCGACGAGTTAAATATTGCCATAATGTGCTATCAAAGATCTCTTAACATAAAAGATGATACCATTTCAATAAATCCGTTCGCTTTACCTCATCACAACGTCTTATTAAAATTAACTAAAGCAAACAAACTAATAATATTGAGAAACATCGCTCAAAAAGCACTTTCGTATCGCAGAAAGGACGTATTCCAATGGTGTTGTTCAGAAATGTCCAAAAATGGCATACCAACGAAAGATCTAATATTGGAATGGAACATAATCCTTAAACATCAAATAAGAAGGAGTTCATATCAAAATGATACAGAACTAACAACAAATCTACAAAAAGATTTATTCAAACTCGCAAAAAACTAGTTCATCTAAAAATACTAATAAACAAACAAAACTCTGTACTCACGATTTAAATAGCATCACTTGATAAATTACATCAATTTTTCGGTCCAGGTAACGCTGGATATTGTTTAGGACTTGGCAGAGCTTTTGTAAATTCCCTAACAACAATTTGACAATCAACTTCTTTGCACAAAGCTTTCTTTTTGCTTTCTGGGAACTTATTCAACAACTGCAGCCCAGAACTTCTTTCCACTGCATCAACAGGAACCTCGAAGTCAATCAACTTTGTTTCGTTTGAGATAGGTGAGTTTGGTAGCACAAATGCTCCAACGGCGATTTCATCAGAGGTTCCCTTTCCAATAGGAGATTCAGCAACAATCACTTTGAAAAAATGCGTTGGTACAGCAACACTGGGCGGATTGCCAATAACCTCATAAGTAACTCTAAATTTTCCATCAATTGGATCTTTTTTTGGCAAATACAAAGGTCCCGTAACAATGCGAACACTATTATACTTATCCGTCAATCTTCGACAAAAATATTCTAGGTGAGCCCAGTAATCCCTATTAAAGCCATCACCCACTTGAGGACACATATTAGTTAAATAGAACGTCTCATCCATTGCCTTTTGTGAAAATTTGGCGTTAGCTGCTGGGGCTTGATGTCCTCGATCATATCCCGATCTAAAATAGTCTCTGAGTTTAGCTCTAAACTTCTCGGGTATTTGCTCATCTTCCATGAACATAGAGTTCTTTCTATCAGCATTTCTACCAGACAAAGAATCTGGCGTTATATGTTCTACAACCCAATATGGATTCCGAGTTCTCCTATCGTAGCATGACACAAACTCTTCTCTAGACTCAAGATCGTGGACAGGACCAGGAAAACCATATTTAAAGAACTCGGCTGGATTAATATTAGACCCCTTTAGTTGAATCACCCCATCAGGTTTTCCACCATGACCTAGTGAACTATTCCTCTCATGCACCGGAGCCGATATCTTGACAGATCCACGATCATCACTAGCACCTTTTCCCCAGAAAAAAGTTGCAACACCCGATCCGAGACCAACTCCGACTAAAGCTGAAGTTATTTGCTTAACGCTCATTCAAAAGAGTCTGGAATAATATCTATTTATAAATTATCAACTTGCGCCATTGAATAGAAAAATATTTCAATCCCAAGATAATCTCTATCTGAAAACATTTCAAGGAAATGCAGCGATTGCAAACACCTTCAAACCGTTATTATACGTTAAACTCGTATAATACTTCATCCATCAAATACAGTAGTCAGTATTTTCCAGCAAAATATAAAACCTAATCAAATAGCAACCAATACTTTTCTTAACACTATTTGTTCCCAAACGAAAGAAATAAAAAAGTATAGTATCTGAAGTTCATCTTCAAGACTACGATATTAGCCAATTATGAATCTTTCAAATGAACATAACATCTATAAAATCTAATTATGCATTGAAAATTTTACCAATTCACTCAAATCTCTTAAGTTCAATTTGATCTGCGACATGCGATGCAGCTCCAATAGATCCTTCTGAACCGTCTCTAATAATTTCCTTGAACTTCATTCTTTGATCATCATCTAAAGCAGAATTCAAAACAAATTTCACATCTCCAATATCAACTTCCACAAGTTCTAAAAAGCATGAATGCACATAACTTCTATGATCTTCAAAATTAAAGTAAAACCAAATCAAAAAAGGCATAGAAATACTTAGAGCTGCTTTACTATCCAATCCATCACTCAATAAACAGCACCTAGTGAAACCCATTATAATTTCCGCAATAACTTGTTTATCATCAAAATTTTCGAATTTAGAGTGATCTTGCGACAAAGTTATCAAACTAGAGATAATCTTCCGAATAATCTCTTTTCTGATATTCGACCCTACCATCTTATTAGTTATGCTCTTGAAACCCTTTAATGCAACATTTGCTGTCTCTTTCTTTTCTAAACCAGCAATCAAAAGTTTTGTGACATTATTCACATCATCGCCCGTAAAACACTCCAGATCTCCCTGACTAATAATTAAACATGTTGTTAAAGCAACATCAGTGTCCAATTCTCCGAACAAGATATGCTTGATTGACTGAAAAAATATTGTAACCATTCTGTGGTTTTCACCTTCGTTGATTGAATCGTCAACTACGCATTTTAAAAGTGGTAGAGACATCCGAACTAACGTATCTCGCATCTCGTTTTCAAATATTTTACCTACTATGAATAACAAGCAGGCATAAAGATCCAATTTAAAAACTGTGGGAAACTGGCCAACAACATTTGAAATAATACCGAATGTGCGCCTCAACAAGTCTAGTTCTTCATTGGTCCATGAATCCTTGAATTTTTCATTCTGGCTCATTTCAATATTTCTCAACCAAGGTGCTAGTTTTGATATAGTTGACAGCAAAATTCTTAACATTTGATACAATTTATCGACACCAGATAAAAACTGATCTTCTTCCCTGTTTTCTTTCAGGTATCCCTCCATTAGGGCTTCAATAACTAAATTAACTGCGCCGACTATTTCGAGAGATTCAGTCATCACAAGTCTATCAAATATCTCAACGGTCTCTTCATGAATTCCATTTGAAAAGAAAGCCTGAAACGAAACATCACACAAAAGAACTTTCTGCAATGCTTGTAAGGTTCTTAACTTTTTTACTTCCTCTTCTGAATTTTTAACTATATTTTTGAGACATTGAGCAAAAAGAACGAAGACAAAACTGCTTAAATCACTTTTGCTCAAACACTCCGATAGAATCTTGTCATTTTTCGAATTAACACACCCAATGGCATTGACGAAATTCAACCAAACAGTTTCTACCAGCTTTGAATTCCTTTTTCCACTTTTCTTGTCACTCATTAAAGAAGTGCTCGAGATCAAATCACGTTCTTCATTGTCATATGAAGCAAATTCCCTCAATGAAACAATCCAAAGTGGTACTAAACTACCCCAATACCCTTCAACAAAATCCAATAGCTCTGCGTTTTTTGAAGAAGACGCCTTTATGGTCATTTCAGCCCAAGCGTTAAGAACAGAGACTTCAATCTCTCGTCTTGAAACCTTCGTAGGAACAAGTACATCTCCAATTTTAATCACATTGCTCTTTTCAACGAGTTCAGCTAAAGAATTGACCATCAGCTTCTGTACTCTACCCATACGTTTTAACGGAACAATTCCCGAGGATAGGAACTCAGCTGCAACTTTAATAGCATAAGGCAAGACTGAGGTAGAACTGTTGTAATCAAATGCCGGCATCAAAGCACTAACAATATGCGCCTCCTCCTGCTCCAAGATTGAATATTGGGTCTGATTTTCATCAGGTTGACTAGAAAAGATGACTATCAACATCCCTAGCACTTCAATACCCAACTGCTTCATGCATTGAACATTCATTGTGGAGGCACTAAAACATACCTTAGTTAAAGCGCCAATTCTTCGACCCAAAACACGACGAATTTCAACATTTTGTTCACCAATAAGGAACAATTCTTGAATCAATTCAATAAAAAGTTTTCGCGTTCTCCAAGGCATCAAATCGTTCTTCAAAATTCCAGCGGACGCCATAATTGACTTAGCATTATCATCGTTCTCGTCCGATTTTGCAATTGATGCTGTTTCCTCATCCCTAATAACCTCAATAATTTCTTTTCTCACACCTTGCTTTAAAAGATATAGTTCAATTGATGCACTTAACTGAGAGAAAAGTTTCTGCTGAGGCAAATTAAACAGTTTGATTAGTTTGTCGACCCACACATTTTCCAAACAAGTCTGATGAAACCATTCACTAATGTAATTCGTGATCACCCTCCATGTTGGAAATATACAAATACTGGTCCAAACATATAGTTCTACATCCCTGATGAAAGTCTCATACACTTTCAACTTCAGAAGTTGTGTCAGGAAAGAAAAACTACTTTCAATACCGTTCCGACTATAAGCAGACATAGTGAGTCTCTTATCTTCAATAAAGGTCGAGATTAAAAAATTCTTTTCTAAACCAATAAAATTTGAATCTCTTATAAATCTTTTAGCAATGGGCAAACACATTTCTACCTCAAAAACCCCATCCATTTTGAAAGTTGCTAAATTGACGAAAATATCAATGCAATAAATCTCTTGGATTGCATCATTCGAAATGGTTAACAGACGTAAAGTATTTCTGAAAGCTTCTAGTGTTTCTCCAGTTAGTTCAATTAAACTTGGTCCGAGGTTCTGAGTAAGAATGCTCAATATTTGAGCTATTACCTGATGAGAATTAAACGTCTCATTATAATTATAAGACCAGGTAGATGAACCATAAATTCCATAATCTTGATTGAGTAAAAGCGTTTCAAGGAGCTTAATCAAACTAGAAGCCACCTCATCGTTTATCATAACCAGACTTTCCAGAAGGATTGCCATAGCATTCAATGACCAAGTGTGTACCACAGGGTGAGGATCTTTCACAAGGCGCTCCAAAACAGAGTAAGTGACGTTGAAATTCAATTTTTGTGAATTGAACTTGTATATCGAGGAAAGGGATAGTGCGTCAAAAACCCTTGAATATGGGTTCTCATTATCTACAATTTCCTTGATAAGAACTTCCGAATTTTTTGCTAGGTACGCATCCACGTAATCAGCATTTCTATTTCTGGAAACGGCACAAGTTAATAATCCGATGCATTCAGCTTTTATTTTGCTTAAAAATGCATTATCAACAGAACCAATGCCTTTCAAAATTTTCAAGAGAAGAGTTCCCACCGACTCTTCAAGTGTTAGGGTGTTCTGTTGTATAGTCTTCAAAGACCCGTATATGGCAACACAACAATTGATTGCAATTGCCAGAGACCTGAATGTGGTTGTGTTTCTTGAAAAAATACTCGAATTCATGCTTTCCAACACAGAATACTGAATCTTGTCATTCAGAAAGGGGAAAACCAACGAAAATATTTCCATGGAGGAATTGATAATAGATGTTGTTACTTTAGGTGAAAATTCCTCGGATCTCGAATATGATCCACGTCCATATAACAGTACCAAGTAGTCATAGGACAACACTGATGCAATGGGTTTGTTGATCTCCTTCTCGAAGCAGTCATACCAATATTCAGCGCCTGCCAGCCACCTTTCTGATAAACTACTTTGACAATGCTTTTCATTTCTTATAGTGAGTTCATCAATCTCGAAACCATAAATTTTACTCGAAAGACCGTAAGCAAACCCGTCCCCGTTCATATATAGCTCTCGAATGCTTGGTGAATTATCTTGCTTTTCTCTTCTTCCTTCACCGAAGAACAATCCCTTTTCTTTAAAAGATTTTCCAGATATTAGGCTAGACTGGGAAGGTTGAGTATACAAATTAGGATCTGTGAAATTTTTAACAATCAAAATTAAAACAGCACTGTTAAAATCCTCCCTCACATGCCTTTGAATTTTTAGATAGATTTGCAAAATTCTGTTTTCATTGTGAAGTAAAACATTATCAATCGTCTTGGATTTTATCGTAATCGAATGATTAAAATTAGAGCATTTAGTTAGAAGAAATGAAACTTGTTTAGCAATTTCCGAATTAACCTCAATTCGACCCAAGTAACCCAGCAAACACGTTAGAGCATGGTTTCTAATTTCAATATTTTTATAAAGATCATCTTCATTCCGATAGCTATAAGTATGGGTGAGGACACCTTTCCAAAATAAGAATAATTGTGAAGAGTGTATGTGCAAGAACTGATCATCGTCATAATTCATCAAACCACAAAGCAGGATCCATGAAATTAACTCTTTATAGTAGGCGGCAGAACTCGTGTTTGCAGACGAATCTTTTAAAATGGTTGTCGAAAATATAATGACTTTCATAATCAACTCATATGAAACGTAGTCCTTATCTGCTACGTCTATCAAATTAGCGATAATAAAAGCGCGGCCGTGATTTTTTCCAAATGAGAAAGATTCTGATGATGTTAGCTCTGTTGAAAGCAACTCTAAAGCATTCTCTATCACCTCCGTCATATACAATGGTAGTAACTTTAAGAAAGATTTCAAAACTTTATTCGCATGAACCCGTATTTGGAAATTCTCACTAGTAGACAATTGGACCAGCTTCGTTTTAATGGCTAGTGTACTATGCTCGTTAGTATTGAACGATGAAGATAAATCCCTCATCAAAATCTCCGCGAGTTGGAGATGGGCTATTGTAGCAAAGTCTACCCGTCCTTTTTCGTCCCTTAATAATGATTCTTTCTCCGAACCTTCTTCAAAGATGGACAGGAGTATCAGAATCTTTGAGGAAATACTGACATGGGGTAAAATTATTTCATGCATATTGCGTAAGTATTTCAAATTTCTTGAGGTACAATCTAGACGTTGGTTCTTTATCATTGAGTCGTCAAATATTTCACACGTGAGAAGTTTAACAATATCGAGGTAGCCAGCATCTGTTAAGAGCTCTGGGTCACGAATCGAGCTTTGCCCTATGAAGTTCACCAGTGACTCGAAACATCCCGACATGGTAGTTCTACGTTCGGCTTTTAAAAACAAATCGGTATAAAAAGCCATGACATCCGCCAAGGAAACCAATTTTTTCCCATACTGATAGTGGATTAAGATATCAGCAATCGTCATAGCTGTGGTTATACGTGTTCCTTCGTAATCTAAGCCAAAGGCACCAAAATTACCCTCCATAAATTTCAGCTTAAAACCACTCAGGATGTCACCAGAATGAATATTGATGAAAGTATCCTGCTTGAAATAACACTTCCAAGCAGATATAATTCCGTTAAGGAATCCTATTGGATAATCGCGATCTTCAGAAACCAATTCGCGAAACACTGTCCTTGATAGTTTGGTAAACTTAGTCATGAATGTTTCACTTATTATTCCGTGACCACATGAATGCACAATTGAGCCATATAGCTCCATCAACGATGTGATAAAGCTAGCATGGAAGTACTTGTCCTTTTCCATTAGTTTTTTTATGTTTTTGAAGATGGTTGTTAACAACAGCGGTACCAATGATGTTAATCCATCACCAAATAACTCATACATTTGAATCAACGTTGAGAGAGCGAGCCCCTTTGATGGAGTGTACAGATATTGCTTCTTACGTGACTTTTTCTTTCCATCTGTTTCAGTAACACCCTCCTCACTAAGAACATTGGACATTAGCACTGCAGACTCGAAAACTTTTCCGGGAGACTTTTCCTGAATTTTGAATAGACATAAGTTATAGAGCTCTGAGATAGCCAATTCTAATGTATGAGATGGTTTGAGGGTTTCTTCCGTACTGGAATCTAAGTTGAGTAAAAGTTCATTGATCTGCGAAAAGGGCACTTCGATATCAGGAGGTTCTTCGGAACTAAAGCGAACTCTCCTGATCCATTGTGAAGTCCAAGTTAATACGTCATGTTCTTTATTAGCCGAAGTGGCTATTATTTCCGAGACTAAATTTGTATCTGCAGGTAACATAACAGGCCAATGATCATGCCAACACCTGCGGTTGTTTTAGAAGAAATCCGTGACTACGTGGAAACAAAATATTGATACTCAAAAACGTACTTTATGATTTAAAGAGATCAAACTTGGAAGTGATTATGTGAGAGTAAAGTCGATATTACAACACCCACCCTCACTTAAGTTCTTCACTAGGAAAATCATTTTAAAGATAAAGTTTTGTACAAAAGGCAAAGAATGCCTGCAAAGTTAAAACAAAAAAATCTACTTAGTAATTACAAATTCATTGGGACTTTGCCAATTCATCTTGAGATGAGAAATTATCAGAGGCACTCTTGTCCAATAATGAATCCCATTCGTCGAAAATTCCGTTAAAGAATAAGTTATTATCGAGATTGAACGAAGAGTCAAACGCTTGGGAGAATTCAGAATCTGGGAGAAAACCAGGGCCATTGGAAAAATTGGCAGAGTTCATATTAGTTGAGACGTCTGACGGAAGAGTTGCGAGATTTGCTTGAATATTCATTGTACTTTGAGGAGTTGTATCGAAAAATTTGGTCGGTATGTCTGAGAGCATCGGATTGGCGTCACTTGAATCTGTTGGCGAAAGTTGTAATTTGTCGAGTTCATTAACATAGCGCGCGACAGTTTTTTCGTTCAGTTTTTCGAAAAGCTTGTTTAACACGTTGAAAGTACGCTCAGAGGCCATGGATGAGTTTTTCAATTTCAGTAGCACATCAATTCCGAGTTTGAGATCGCGTTGGATGCCGTCTAAAACAGACTTTTCGATGCTGGTGGGACGCTTAAGATGCAACTGATGCGTGAAATAAATCAAACACGCCACACTGAAGAATATAGTATGAACCGAGAACCAGTAGCTACCACTTAAAACTTTTTTGTTAACCATTTCGCACGCAAGTTGTACAATTTCTTGAGCAGTTTTAATGCAATTGTGAGCCATTGAAATTTCAAACACCAAGTGAGGGAATTGTTTAGGATCAGAAGTGAAATTATGGATAAAGGGCCGATAGAGCATGATGTTGGCGTGAAGATAATCCAAATGCAAGAACTTGTTTGCTTGTAGATACAGGGATTCCTCTTGCGGGTCGACAAAGTTGTAATTAGGTTTAAGTTGTAAAGGTAAAGCCATGGACCAGTTATTGAGCTCGGTTTGGACACTGTTGATCTTGTCGAAAGTCAAAGAAGCAGAGTGGGCTTCATTTCTGTGGCGGTAGACTTTTTCGTAGATGTGTTTCATGATCATTATGAGCTTTGTGTGCTCGTTATTCATGCCACAACTGCTAATCTTGCCCCACGGTTGAGGATCGATACCATTTTCTGTAATTCTGTCGTCATCATAATCACCCGGTAGTTCTTGATCCACGTCCTCCTCGGAAAGACAGGAGGGCAAGCCCAGAATACAGTTCATGTACACGTCCATTTTGTAAATGGTCCAAAAGAGCCGTTTCTTGGTCTCGAGGTCGACGGGCGACAGATTGGGGTTGGTGATTTTACGATGGAGGCCCTCGCGCATGGCAGACCGCAAAGCGACCCCGATGTACGAGTAGCAGGTGGTGAGCTTGGCAGAGCACTGCAAAAAGATTGTGAGCATGAATATGGTCTGAATGGCCTGGATGTCGGTGGCGTTGGTGACGTCGATTAGCTTTTTCGCCTCGATGAAATACTTGTAGCCTTCGTCCTGGAAGAAGTCACGCGCGGCCACGTCGTCGGCGTTGTAGTCCTCTTTGGAAAAAAGCGCGCCCACAGCTATGACGGAGTAGATGAGCGGCAGGGCCTTGTTTTGCTCATCGGTGTAGTCCTCGGGGTTCGTTTCGTAGAGACTGTTGAAAATGCGCATGAAATTGGGGCGATGGTAGAAGCGGAACAGGACGCACGCGCAATGCCAGCTCTTGAGGATGAGTTTCTGCGCGATGTCGCGGGGCGGAAGCATGATCTTGACCTGGACCATGGCCTGGGACGACGAGTCATCGTCGCGTAGGGGTTCGTCGTCGGTAGAGCCCGAGCGCGAGCTGGGCGCCAGCGGCGGCCGGTCCGAGAGCGCGGCGGCCACGGCGCCCACGTTGAGCAGGCCCTGAAACTTGTTGCGGGCGATCAGGTCGCGGAACCGGTTGGGGTCCGCGGTGGCAGCTTCGAGGTTGAGTTCGGGGAACACGCACGAGAGCAGCCGCGCGTAGCGGTCGGACGACGCGCCCACGTCGCGCGTCGATTGCGACGCAGCCGCGACGACACCGCCAGCGCCAGCGGCCGCTGGCGCCGCGGTGGTGGTCACAGGCACCGCGACCTGCTTGGCCGTGGTGGCAGCACGCGACGCTTGCGAGGCGGCCTTGGAACGCTTGCGGCTGCGATGCAACGGGTTATAAGTGCAGTCGTACGAGTACACGGTGCAGTGGATGCAGGGCTGGCGGCCGTCACACCGCACCTTTTTGAGCCGGCACACGTCGCAGGCGCGCGACACGCGCAGCCGCTTGGGTTGCAGTTGGTTGGTCAGGTCATCGGTGGAGAGCACGAGAACGTTGGGGATCGGACTGGACATGGAACGTGCGCTTGCAACAGGAGTGGTCCACGGGAGTTGGCCGGTGCGAGGTACTGGGGACGCGGCGACTTTTAGAGACAGAAAACAGGGACGCGTCACGTGGCGGCCGCGCCGTGCGAGGCGACACACCGAAACCCGCCGCCCGTGCACCATCGCCCGTGCACCGCCGCCGCCCACACACCTCAGTCCCCACCCACACCCCATCCCACACCCACACACCGCCTCCCCGCATTCCGCAAAAGCGGAGCGCCCCGCAAACTCCGCGTCCGCCCTCCTCCCGCCGCGCCCCGCGCATTGTCCCGCAGAAACCGCCGCGGCCGCGCAGCGCACGCCGAACGCCCACCCCGCCGCCGTCTGCCGCCCGTCGTTGCCGACCGAAACCCCCCGAGAATCACCGCGAGAATCGCCCGCGAGAATCCCACCGCTCGAGCCCGCCATCTCTCCGCTTTTTTTCCCTTGCGCAGACCGCCCGCGGCGCCGCGTCGCGAAGTGCCACCCACGCTCGGCACGTTGCGACACAACGTTCCGAAACTGTTGCCCTGGGTATGCGGCTGCGCCGCGGCCGCGGTGGGAGTGACAGGCTCGAAGACCGGACATCGGTGTGGTGGCGGGCGCGCGGGCGCCTGGCCGTGGTCGTCGTGACGGGAATTTGTCAGCGGTGGACGGGTTCTGACAGTGTCCAGCACGGACGTTGCTGCAGCGAATCCCAGGAGGGTCAGACCCCCATTTATCCTTCCGCCGTTCACTCGTACAGCGCAGGCCGTCGCGACATTCACGTCCAGCGACATCAACGACAAACTCACCGCTACCACGACGACGACCACGACGAAAACGACACAAACCGCCGGCGGGCGGGCGACGCAAAGCGTCGCGAGCGTCGCGAGCGTCGCGCACGCGACGACCCCCACGCCGGCCCCCACGTGTGCGGCGGGGCACGCCGCCGCTGGGTCCTCGGGCAGCTCGAGCACGCCGCACCACGACCTCGACAACCTGCTGTCGTGTCGCACGCAGGTGTGCGACCGGTGCCGGCGGCTCAAGAAGAAGTGCTACGGCACGGGCGTGCGCTGCAGCAACTGTCTCATCTCGAACCAGCCGTGCACGACCGAGCGCACGCTCAAGCGGCGGCGCAAGCCCAAGCCCACGCGGCTCAACCCGATCGAGGTCGAGAACATCAAGCTGAAGCTCGCGCTGCAGCAGTTGCAACGCGAGCTTGCGACGCGTCCGCGCGCGGACGCGTCGCGCGACGGCGCGGCCGTCGTCAAGCTCGAGGAAGAGGCGCTCGAGCGGGCGTTCGAGGAGGAGGCGCTCGCGGGCGGCGGCCCGCGTTCGCGCTCGGGCACGCCAGCGCCAGCGCCAGCGCCAGCGCTGGCGGCGGGCGCTCCGGCGCGCGCCGCGCAGCGCTTCGCGCTGCGCTCCGACGCGCAGTTCGTCGCCGGGGTGGCTCGCTCCGCCCATCGCGAGTTCCACGTCCACGCCGGGCTCGTCCCCGCCCGCGCGCCCCTGCCCAACGAGGACAACTACAACGCCCCCGCCGTCATCGAGGAGTACTCCATCGTCGACAACTTTCTGCAACAAGAGTTCGTCAAGATCCTGGCCGAGCTCCGCCCCCAGATCCTCGCGCACGTCGACCGCTTCTTCCGCGAGATCAACTGCGTGTTCCCCGTGATCCGCGACCGCGACTACTTCCTCGCCAAAGTCCACGAGCTGTTGCAGTCCATCGCAGTGTGCAACTTTCCCACCAATGTCATCAACGACGAACACAACCTCTGCATCGTCTACAAAGTCATCCTCATCTGCATGCTCTACACGCGGGACCGCGCGCTCGAGGCCCGCTACCTCAAGACCACGCGGCACCTGCTGTCGCGGTTCGAGTGCCTCGACCCCATCAACACCCTCAAGTGCTACCTGCTCACGCATTTGTACGCGCAGCTCGCGCGCGACCAGCCGTTGGTGGTGCGCATGAACGGGCTCGTCGCGTCGCTCGCGCTCGACCTGCGCCTGCACCGCGCTGCCCGCGACCCGCTCAAGCGCCAGCTCTGGCACGTGTGCTACTGCTTCGACTTCTTCGTCACCGATCCGCTGTACCGCGAGTTCGGGCTCGGGCCCGACGCCCACGTCCGCCTCATCCACGACCACTCCACCCTGGTGGCCGCCCCCGACGCCCCGCTGTTGCAGATCCTCGACATCAAGCGCAAAGTCTACGACGGCCACCTGGACCTTGACCAGGGCGTCGAGCTGCTGCTCGCGCTCGACGACCTCACCGCCAAGGCCGCGTTCCACATGCCCGCACAGGACGCGGACTTCGACTTCGACTTCAGAACCGCCCTCCACGTGCTGTACTTCCTCGAGACCCTGCTGTTGTTCCAAAGGTCCCTGGTCCCGGACTGGGACGCGGCCTCCATCGCCAAAAACCCGACGCTCCTCAGACACCTCAAAACGCTCTTGCTCTTCGCACACCACTTCGTGGCCATCTGGCATTCCAACCTGAAAATCCACCACTGCATCCCGTTCGTCAGCCTCAGCAAGCTCTTCCAAACCGGACTTTTCATCAACTGGTATGTCAGCCAGGACTTCCCACAAACGCACGAAAACCCACTCCCGATTTTATCTTTGAGTGCACTCCAATCCACTACTCTCAAAAGAACCCAATCTGCCCCCAGCGGTATGGCCTCCCATACCAAAAAATCCAGCTACAAGTACCTCGTCATGGTGAGGGAGATCATGCAAACGTACGCACCGGTTGATGAAAAGGTTCAGAAATATCAGGATGCGCTTCGCAGCGTGTTCTTCCAAACAGACTTTGCGGACCCGACTCTAGCAGTGTCTGTGGATCACGCCCCGAATGCTCTGTTGGCTACAGACAAGCTAGGTGTTTCGGCAGAAGCGGCGGCAGTAGGAATGCCAACCGCTTTCTTAGAGCACAAGAGCAACACTTCGATCTCATCCACAAATGTGAGTGGACTCGAAAGAAACTCAAAGGCAGGTCCACGTTATAACCCACGCGATACAAATCACTACAGCCTCTTCAATCTCAACTCCGCGAGTGTGCCAAACTTCACAAACCTCAAACATAACGCGTTACGCGATGACTTTGTGAATTCGTCGCAGAGCTCTCTCCACGAAACTCCGTTTTCAACTAACCATTCATCACCACGCAAAGTCAACTCCCACAGTGACCTCGTGTGCAACACCTCCGTTGAGGAGCAGTTGAACAACTTTGTTTCTGGGTTTACATTTGACAATCGAGCCAAGCCAGTAGTTATACAGTACCCTCAAGATAAAATTTCACGACCCACTCCAAGCACCACAGATGATTCAGTACACGCTGAGTCTCGCACCCAACCTAATGGAGATATCTTCAAAACATTGGAGGATCTCATAGACACGAAAAAAGATAATGACGTTTACAATATGAATTTTTAGCCTATATAAGATATATATTTCTTTAACGTAGTTTTGTTCCACAAATTAAAGTTGTACCACTCGCTTCACGATTCAGTAAACCATGCCACTTTGACGTGCTAATGGCTATTTCGCCCCTGCAAACTGAATCGCTTAGTTGGACGCTTTGCTTTCCTTCATTCTTTTCCATCTCTTGGCGATCAGCTCATTCAATGAGTGGCCCTCAGGCCTCCCAACCTTCTTTTCGAAAGAGTAGTAGCTCATCACGCCTACGGCCACGGCGAACAGCGGATCCAGAAACCTAGTAGATGCAGTTAGTGGCGAAACTTCAAAACTGACACTTTGAAAAAAAAGAATTATAGCATACCTGCCAATCAGAAACGGATTTGCTTTAACCATTGCTTCTGTCAATTCAAATGACTTTAACGTTATCAAAACTTCAATCTTATCTTTATCCTAAATCGAAATTTTGTATTCCGTAGATCACGTGTTATAACTTCAACGTTGATAATTGGTCCATCTTGACATCATCTATCATGCAAACGCATGCCTACTTCCTACGACTATGGAAGCTGCACAACTGATACGGGGTTGAAATTGTGCAGTAAGTGAAGTTCTAAGCCAAAACCATGACATATTTCAACTTATTAATTATTCTCCGCGACTTCTCACATAAAGAATAATTTTCAAGGTATAGTGCTCTATGAATGCAGTCTATTTGGATAATTCACCACTCAATAACTAAGATCACCTCAGTTTCCATGAAACTCGCCTACATCTGTGCTCTGGCTAATCCATGGCTGAGATATAATACGCGAAAAAAAATAATTACCTGACCATGATTCAACACGCGTTAGTAAAACAAGATAAAGTTGCACCGTGATGAGCAATCACACAAAGATTCTATTGAGTTCAGAAGGGGAAGCTAGCCTACCAAAGTATGAAGGGCATTTTGTTCCGTGTAAATCACGCTACACAGGGTCCACTCTAGAGTTCAAGGATAACTTCAAAGAGGACACAGAAGACACATCCACATCTTCTTCTGATAATGTTTCGACATACGTAAGAGGAAGAAAGCTAGTGGGTAAACCGCTAAATTTCTTAGAGTCTTGCAGCATGATTTTGGTCGAAGAGAGTACCGACGCCGAAGATCAAACCACAATGAAGAAGGTTGCCGATGTTTCCAAGCTTATCAACTATGAAAGAGAAGGTAATGAAAGCCGTCTCGAGGAGGAGATGGCAAAATTCCAAGAGTTTCTGAACTTGAACGACATAATTCACAGCTGAAATTTTCACTTGAATAGGCCACACAGGCTTTCTTCAAATAAGCCCGATGACAAACAGGCATTTTATCTGCTCGCCCTTCTCTCCATTCTCAGAAATCCTCCAGAAATCTCACAAGAGGCGGTCATTATTTTTAGTACTATCAGAGTCTTTCGCGAACTACAAAGCACGTACCCATACCTTCTGCATCATGATCACATATTTATGCATTTTCTTTCTATCATTGAGCCTGCCAACCTAACGGCTTTTCAACATGCACATATATAGTAACTGTATACGAACACCCGCTCTTGATAATTGGAAGCACCAAGGAGAGCTAATGACTCTTACATCAATCATATCATAAATCCGGGCTCGAAATAGCATTACATTTCCTTTTTAATGGCATCATCTATCCGAAAAAGATGCTCGAGCAGTGCTATTTCTGAAGAATCCTCGACGCGACTATTGAAGTACTTCAAATCCGATAAGCTGAAAGACTGCAAGAACTTGGAACTATTCTTATCTAATGCTCCTCATGAGCTGATAATACAGATTTTGGCACATTTATCAAGGAATGATATCATATGTTTAGCTTCAACGAGCAAATCAATAAGGAAAGCATTGTTACCTTATATTTTTGATCAAGTGAAGTGCGCTTGGCACGATATGTTAGCATCATGGAAACAGCCCGATGGAACCTCGGTGCCCATCCAAAACCCCGAATTGATAGAGAAACTCCGAATTACATCAGTGTGCTCTAAAAATGAGTGGACTTTTCCTTTTCATGAGTTGTTTTCTGCTGACAAGTCTATAAACAAGATGAAAAACCTTAGGAGTCTGGAACTTCCTACGTCAGGTTCAACCAATTTTCTCAAATACTGCCAGAGGACGACAAATCTTAATTCACTTGATCTTCATGCTATTAAAGGAGAATCTATTTTCAGTTTGGAGCATGTCAAGTCATTCCCCTCGTTGACACGCCTAAAACTCACCAATTACCATATAGATGATTTTGATGAAGATCCAAATATATGTCCTCATTTACAAATGCTGCAACTAGAAAACTGTACATGGTGTTATCCTTTCAATTTGGAAAATTTTGGGAAAAATAAAATCACCACTCTCAATCTCACCTATTCTACAGCTTTCATAATGAGTGAGAGATTCAGAAGTTTTTTAACCTCGCCAGGGTTCACGAAACTTGAAGAACTAACCATTGTGAATAGCGAAAGAAACTTGAAGCTAACGATTTCGCTGCAAATAATGAATCTTATCAATGCTATGCCTTCTTTGAAAGTTGTTAAGTTGGCGGGAAACATTTACAATGAAACTCTGAATAACTTCACAGCGTTTGATTTGGACAATTGCATAAACTACGTTGCACTAAATGACGTGAAAGTGTTTTATTCCAGTTTCCTACGGGATTTGGGCTAATAAATTGCTGCCAAAACCAAATTAGTACATTATACGTAACCAGATGAGTTTGTGATAGATTCTATTTACAATATAGTACAATCGCTTACTCCAAGGCCATATATCACTTTTTCAACGTCTCTTCTGACACGTACCCAGTCCGTCCTTCTCTGAACTAGTTCGTAAATTTCTTCCTGCGTGAATATTCCTTGGAACCTGCCAACATCACATATCATTTTTCCAAGCTCTTTCGAGTCCTTACTGGATACTAGATAAAGTTGCCCCACCGCCTTCAAACCTGCAAATAACGGTACAATTGACTTTTGCTTGAGCTTGTTGGCAATGAAATCATAGTAAAAATTCAAATCACATATCAGAAAGATGGCACCATCAGCTGATATGAGGTTCTTCTTAATATTCTTCACGATCTCATTGAAAAATCGTTCTCCGACCTCTTGCTGAAATACATCAATGGTGCCTTTATCTGTAGCCCCAGTTAACAAGAAACAGTGGTTGTAAAGAAGTTCAACGTTTTTCATAGCTGCCTTAGATGGTTTAATTTCTCTTTTTCTTAATGTTTTGGGATCAGGGTTGAAATCGTCCGGTAATTGTAAAGTGCTAAAAACAAACAATACTTCATCCATTAGCTTGTTAATACCTGTATTCAGACCCTCTGCAACGTAATCGTCCAACATGGTTTCGAAATTTTTTTTGGTCTGAACGATATCATTTAAAAAATCCTTATTCTTGTCAATGATGTGCTTCTGAATAAGCTCGTTTTTATAAAATATTGATGTCATCTGTAGAACAATATCCCCGGTATTGATAAGCTCGGTAAACTTAACTAGGGGCTCAACCTGAGAATCTAGCCCTTCTAATTCAATTTGAAGATTCTTAATTTCATTAGGGTTGTACTCCTGTAAAATCTCAATAGCTTTAGTGAACCCAGGTTTTAAATGGTTTTCAGAAAGTTGGAATATTAAAATTTTGAATGCCTGTTGACATTTTGATTTCACAGTATCAATTATGTTGTCGATAGCCAAGAAAGTGCACATTCTTTCGATACAATTTCTACATTGCTCCACAACTTTATAACAGAGATCTAAGCTCACAAGAGATTCGATACTCATCAGATTGCTAGTCATCAGATTCAAGTCATATGCAAGCTTCAATTGTTCCTTCGACTCTGTCTTGGTGCTATTTGAAATTTTGAACATTTTTGTGAATGACGTCAAAAAGTCATTTTTCTCATTGATTAATTGTTGATTTGAGACTTTATCTCTAAGAGATTTGTAAATTTGCTCATTATGCTCTTTCTGCCTTATCTTCGTATCGTCAAGGAACTTGAGAAATTTAGCAGCAGTATCTTCATTGAACTTTTGAAGTGCGACATCTAAATAGGAAACGATCTTGGGTTCAAAATACAGGTTTATGAATTCTGTAACAACTTTGGCATAGTTCTGCCCACCGTTTTGACTCTCCGTCAAATTTGCCACAAACAGGTCAATTAGTGATGTGTACAAAACTGGCATCGAATCAATTCTAGTGATGTCTGTTTCACTATCCTTTTTATCGTTTAGCTGACTATTGAAATATTCTGAAAGGTTGTCCGCGATGAGACTTTCGCTATAATTTATAATGACGGGGTAGCTATCGCCAAACAACTTGTCAACTAGCTTTATTTTTTCATTCAAAAAGTTAGTAAGAGTGTTGAGGGCTCCTTTCAATATTCGCTGATCTAATTCGTTGGTATCGGGATTAAAAATTGATGCTGGAAGCTGCACTTCACTCATAAAATCATTTTTAGACTTGAAGAAATCAACGGCTGTATTTTCTTCATGACAAACTAAAAGTACTTTAATGAATTTTGAAACTGTTTCGAAATTCCTGCTCTCAAAGTTTTTTTCCATTTCTTTCAGTATTGTAGTGATAAATAACTCTTGTAAGATCCGTAAATTATCCTGTAGTCTACGGTAAAATGTGAAATCGTTGATGCAACATTTGTTGTATCTAGATATGTTTTGCAAGATGATAGCTTGGGTTAGAGGATCTGAATACCTTTCGGGAAAGAAATTTGCCAAATCATTGTAGTACAATTTATTTGTGAACCCTTGAAAGCACTTGTAAAAACGAATGAAAGTGTTTTTTGCCGTTGAAGGGGTGAATGCCTTAACATGATCGAAAATTGTAAGTGCATCGTAGCACTCTAATTTCACATCATTAGGCACATCATTCCTATTGGATTTCAGTTCCATGGCGACGAGTCTTTGGCACCACATTTTCTCGTCCTTCGATCCACACAGATGATGCTGGTAGACTGATTTGTTAACTTGTTGAAAGCTCAAATAATCTTGAGTGTTTAAATTTTGGGCAATTCCAACCACAATATTGGTTACCTTAAGTAAATCCTCCATACTTGTCGCCATGTTTCCTGTATGTTCGCTTGAAATGTCTATGATTGAATTTCAACTAATTTCGATCATGAAAATTTCAACCATCTTTTCATGAGGAAGGGAGCAGATATATATATATGGAAAGCCCAAATTACCGACAGCATAATCTAGAAACGCCGGTTGGCATTAAGATTCCAGGGGACGACGAACTAAAGGATTCAGTTTGGAAAACTGCACATTATGTTGCAAGGAATGGGCATCAGTTCGAAGAAAAGTTACACGGTGATAGATTTTCATTCCTACAAGAAGATGACGAATATAACGATTATTATCGGTTCCTAGTTTCAAGTTTCGAAGAAACTAACAACAATGGCAAGCAAGATATGGCTGAAGATGATTATCAAGGCGAAGTTGAGCGCGAAGAGGCGCTACCTCTTGATTCTATTCCTCAGAATCCGTATCTGTTTGTTTTTAGCACTTATGACAAGAACGTTTCACAGATGTCCTTAAAAATTATGAAAACCACTGCACTTTACTGTATTGCCAACGAGGAAAATGAATATCTCAATCTATTGAGGGAGCGTTATAGAGAAGAAGAGATTTTTGCGTTTTTGAAACCTGACCACCCACTTAACCCTGTTTTTACCGGCTTTATAAATCAATACAAACAGATTATAAGCAGAGAATTTGGCCCTCTTACAGATCTTGGCAAGGATTTTAAGTTGACATTAATGAGAAGATGTTTTAAAAGAGCAGAATATGAAGAGTACGCTCTAGCAATGAAAGAAGAACAAAGGCAGGTTTATGAAAAGTTCAAGCTTAAATTTTCTGCATACGATTGGAGTTCTTTTAAAATTATTGGTAAAATTGCCTTTTCCGAAGAAGATCAGACCAAAAAGCTTCCGGAGCCCTTGGACTTCGTTTCTCTGTCATTTAAGTCATTACAAAAACAAACTCCAGACGCTTTCCTTACCTCGAACATTGAAATTTCATCGCAGACGGAAAACAACTCAAAGGGGCATGACGATACTACCGAGGCTAAGTTGAAGAAAAAGCCCAAGATGAAGATAAAAGCTGCAGGAGAGACCAGACTGAAGAGAGACGCCTTCGAAGCATCATCTAAAACTGAAAATTCGAAATTCATAGAATGCCCTATAACTCACAAAATGATTCCTGAACATAAATTTGACAAGCATATTCAGATTCTTCTCAGTGATCCGAATTACTTGAAAGAGCGGGAACAATTTAAAGCCAAGCATAAGTTAACTAATTTAACTTACGAAGGAGTGCATGAAAATATCAAAAGACTAGCAAAAATAAACACAGATCACAACAATAAGGAGCAATCTTCGAAGAGACAAAAAACTTAGTCAAGCATTACTCATTATGTGCTGGCTTAAAATTGTGGTGACAAAGTAAAGACTGAGAATTTGTATGCTCAGGTATTCTCATTGAAAATTTTAGGTTTGGGCATTTTGTTCGTAGTCTACGAAAGGGTTAGAGCATGATGACACCCTTGCGGAGTTTCTAATCTTTTTGAAATTGTAAATATTTAAATCATTTTTAAAAGAAGATTTCAACGTATTGATAGCACTAAATCGATTAGTGTTGTAAGGACTATTCTACTCTCTATAAATTGAACATATTAATTCCCCTCTCTCGAGACTCGTCCTTGTTAGCTCAGTTGGTAGAGCGTTCGGCTTTTAAGCATTGCTCGCAAGGAACCGAAATGTCAGGGGTTCGAGCCCCCTATGAGGAGTCTTAATTTTTTCGCATTGTTTACTTTTTTTTCGTGTGCACATCAGTTTTGATTAATTCAAAATCCTTCATTGCAGTATCATCAGATACCCTATTATAATTTAATATCTTTGCAACTTCACAAGAATGAGCTCTCAAATTGACGTGAGCTTAAGTGACATATTCTTCAAATCGTACGGCATTGACCTTAGCCTGGGTAATCCGATTTACGTGTTTGACTCAACACATCTACCCTCTGAAAACGAGGTGGAAAGCAAGGAAGTATATGACATGCTTATTGATGAGCTTATGGATCATTTGATTACCAAATTACCATCCTGTCCCTATTCTTTGGTCGTTTTTAGTTCTGGATTTAGCAAAAACAACATCAGTTGGATTTATGGGGTCAAGATGTTTTCAAAACTACCTAAAGAAAGTCGTGACGTCCTCCAAAGAATATACATCGTTCATGAATCTTTCTTCGTGAGAACTGTTCATCAAGTTTTAACAAATGCATTGAACTTTAAGTTCATCAGTAGAGAACGGTCAGATATACTAGTTCACATATCAAATTTGACGGAGCTTTCGCGACATGTTGACATTACTTTGCTTCGCATTTCTTTGAATGTTTATCTCCATGACTACCAGCTCAGAGATCATATTGTTGTCCCAGAGGAATATCTGGAAGGAAGGTCACCTCTAGCCAAGAGACAATACAGACAGCTCATATTCGACAAAATCTTTAAAAGGCTGAGGATTGAGGCACCTAAGCATGAATTGGTATTTCAAAAACCAGGATCTTATCAAAGAGTGAACATTCTACTTGATGTCATAAAAAGAAATAACCATGTCGACTTATCCCAATGGGATGTATATTCTTTAGCATCGGTCTTTTTACATTTTCTTAAGAACAAAACGAAACCAATCTTTCCAATTGACTTAATCCCTTTACCCATTAATGATTCTCCAGAGTATACATATGAGGCTTTTGTGAGAATGATGACTTTTAATAATTATTATGACTTGGTTTGTTTCATTTTCAAACTTTTCTTCAGTCTATTGGAGAATGCAGATGTTACTAGGCATGACTACAAGTCCATAAGCAAATGCTTAACACCAACACTATGTCAAGAAAAAGTATCTATCAAGACTGGGGATAAGCTTGCCATAGGTTACCGTTATGTGCGAAACGTATTTGTGCACTTCAAATTCATAACTGACAGTATAGAGAAAAACAAGGATCTTTCGGTACTGAGAAACTTTAGGGATGAAAAGGTAGATCAAAATCTACCATCTGTTCCCAGACCGAGGAAATCTAACCCCAGTAGTAGTGATACAAATAAAGTTGACTCTCTTGGAAGCAAAATGCGCAGTTGCAGCCCACCGGCTTTACCAAAGAGAAAAATCAACGTCAGATCATCTGAAAGAGCAAACAATTCCAGTTTGCAATCATTAGCTGTCGGTGATGAACGCATTTTGAGTAAAGGCAGCAACGTATCCACTTTAGTTGATGAACATCCTCCATGTACATCTACTAACGGTTCCACATTAACTTTGACCAGCGATTCACAAGATGAAACCTCTTCTATTGAAATACGAGGTTCTTCGCCGCTAGATGATGCTGTAACTTTCAAAACTTCACAAGCAACAGAAGGTCGTCTTATTTTAGAAGAAGATGTTAGCAAACTTATTTTGGATAATAATGAAAAGATCCAATCTTTCGATAAGGAGCTTAAAAAGAAAAAGAATGCAGAGACTGAAGTAGGTACGAAGTTTTCACAGAAAGGATACTCTGATATAAAAGCTGGTAACAAAGTTAGTAGATTAGCAGCTCTTTACGAAGAGCGCTTAATGGGACTACGAGTAATAGAAGATTTGAGGCTCCGAGAATCTTGATTCTATCCTCAATGTATCGGCTAGGAAGTACATAAACTTTTCACATGTTTGTATGAAGCGTACAAAAGTATGGTGTATGTTAGCGAGTTCGAGACACACGAATATTTGATCTAGCATAAAGCCAATGTCGGTTTAAAATAAACTAGAATCCAATGAAACTAACATTTCTGAAAAAGTCCATAATGATTGAAGCGAGATAGCTGAAATACCGTTTTAAGAAATTTGCAAATCTTAGACATCCGCATATAACGAAGGAGAGGAGACATTGGTCATGTTATGAAGGCAAGAAAGTTCTTGTAATTAGAGCGCAATTTGATTTCTTAAAATGAACAGTCACTTAGTGATTAGAATTTTCTATCGCAATTGACAAATTCTTTAAGTGCATACTAATTAGAAGCTGTTCATTGGTGTTTTTGCCTAGATAGGCCCGACTTTTTCACGGCCAGATTTACACGAATATCAAAAATATAGGAAAACACGCGCGTGAAAGTTAAAAGGATGTACTTGATAGGTGATATAGAAAACATTTTCGAGCATATTATCGTCACAAAATTGACAGTTTGCGCTCAGTTGACAAACTATATACTCTAGGTGATTGTTTCCGGCTTACTGTGCATCTCCTGGGGACTGAAATTCTTTAATGAGCTTTGAAACGACACCGTTATTTGGTGGCCAAGCCTCATCTACGTTCGAAAGATTATCAAAAGTAGAGATAACACCAACTCGTTCACTAAATATAAACCGCGCCGACAAATATGCTATCTCCAAAACTGAAGACAAAAATGAACCCATCGAAGTCGAATCCGAAGATGCCAAGACCACTGATCACTCTGCACATTCTTTAGCAACCTCGCTTTCAGAATCGTCTTTCACTACAGCTAACTCATTTGAGTTTCAGTATCCAGTTCAAGAAGAACTCCATTCAGAGAGTGATAACTTTAGCAGTGGCTCTATACATCGACAAGAAATTACCGTTTATGAACCTTACGAAGATAAGACACCAATTGTAACTCCCCGTGGCACATTCGACATTCAGACACCGACAGAAAGTGATTTTGCACCTCAGCAGTCTGATCTGATACGGCAAACACCTTTCTCAGCTGATGGCTTCAGTTTTGAGAGACCGGATTCACATGACCATCAAAACCGTGGCCAAATTCCATTGTTGGCAAAAGTAGACAACTCGGTGGCTCAAAAAGCCCCAAATGACCCAACCAATACTTTTGAAAATGGGCAAAATAATGCTTCGGCGAAGTTGGGCTATTCTTCTCCATTCAAAGCATATAGACGATCGATTGTCGGCTCGACTGGGAGCATTGCCACAGAAAAGAATCCGAATCGAAACAGTATTATAGAGGCATGCCGTAAATCTCCAGCAAAACTTCCAGCAGATGATGATGCTTTTCATAATAATACTTTACAGAGTCACCATTTGCCTACAGCAGATGACACTTTCGAAGATTCAACAGTTTCACATGACGATAGTATTCTGCGAGAGCTCGATGCACAGCAGGATTTCAATAATACGATAAAAAGGAAAAATACGCTGAAAAAAAGTTCTGAACTTGATCTAGATGAGCAGAATTTGGCCTATTTGTTCATCATTGCCATACATGCATTCAATTCGGAGTCTTTGGAAAACAAGGAAGATGCCTCAATATGCCTATCCTTCGAAAAAAATGATGTTGCCTTTGTACATACCGTAGATGAGTCCGGTTGGGGTGAAGTGACTTTAATTAAGAATCAAGCTAGAGGATGGGTACCTTTCAATTACTTTTCTGATACCGTCAAGCCCCTTCCTACTGATGCCTCTGATATTTTAGAGAGAGAAATTGAGTCTAGGACGCCACTATCCAAACTCTTTTCAGCTTCAGCAAAGTTCCTGTTGCATCCACAAAATACACCACTCGCAAATAACTCTGGTGTTAGTTTTTCCTTGGAATATATTAATGGGATAAGAGACGGGGTTAAAGAGTTACTGGAAAAAACTGATTGCGTTTCTAGATCCAATGAATTAGTAAAAAGCAAACCGATTGTTAAGAAAACGAGAAAGAGACTCCTGGCCGATTGGTACAACCTAATGATCAAGGCTGATTCCTATAAACACACTGCAGATTTAGGTAAAATCGAAACACTACAGAAGCTTGTACTCAAGGTGGTCAGTCGAGGATGTGTTTTTTTCGATATTTGGTCTTTGGAAAAATTAGCTTTTGAAAAAGAGAAATCCTTGGGTTTAATATATCAATCTGAAGTTCCAGACGTCCTCAATAATTCAGCAGGTGCTACGCGCAAAATCACTAGACAGAAACACTCTGTCAGTAAGGATCTTCCGCTGTTGGCTCATCCACCCTTTGCAGTTGGACGTCTTAATGAAGTTCATGAACTATTATTCACTTATATCGGATTGATTCTTGGTCGGCTTGACATGATTGAACATAATCCAGTTGGATGTGAGATTCTTGAGACAATCATTCATCAAATGATCGTCCTCCTACGAGAATTGTTATACATTAGCAAATGTTCATCATCAATAATGCAGGCAAAACACAAGGGCGCCAACGAATACGAACTTGATCGCAGTCTTGATCCCTTACTATCATTGGTATCCGAGCTGGTATCATGTATCAAGGTATTTGTGACACAAACTGTAAGTGAAGATTTCGAGAAAGCTAATCAATCGAATACGGAACTTCTTATCAAAGATGATTTATATTATTACACAAATGAAGGAGAGCATTTGATTACTATTGTTTCTAAAATGACCTTGTTAATAAGTACAGTAATAGCGGGATGCAATAACTATTTGAGACTAATAGGTGACTTTGAGCTGGGAGCTGATAGAGAATATCCAAACTTTGAGCAGATCAAAATAAGTCCGGACCTGTTCATTAAAAAATGTTCTACAGCGTTATTGAAGCGTTTGGATAAGCTTAAGGCTAATGCTCATCCTGAGAAACAAGTGCAATTGAAAAAACCGCATGTTTATTCCAAACGATTATCAAGGTACTCTACTATTCGGTCTGGTAACAAGGGATCTTCTTTGACCACTCCTGGATCGCAATTCTTACAAGAGCTCCTTCCTGAAAGCAAACCTTTTTTAAGGGATTCATCATTTGATCAGTATAGAATTGATGGAGATGATGATGTACTTGAAATTGACAAGAATGTCATTAATGATAGAAAAAGGATGGAGCAGGAAATCATATTTGAAAAAGATGAAAAGTTAGTGGGAGCTTCTTTCCGTGCATTGGTATTCATATTGACGGACGAGATGTCGCGGCCCAACAATTTTTTAATGTCAACATTCTTGTTAAACTTGAAGTTATTTTCAAGTGCTATCGATTTGATTGAGGAGCTCATCGCGAGATTTGATGTCACAGATAAATCTTCTTATTACGAAAGAGGATCGAACAATGGTCAGTACTCTTCGAGATCATCGCGTATTAAGAACAGAAGGAGACTCGTTTGCAAAGTTTTCCAGATGTGGATGGAGAGTTACTGGGATTATGTTAATGATTCACATGTTCTTCCGACACTTATCAACTTTTTCAATGAGGGCATTTCAATTCACTTACCAATTGAATCGAAGGGATTGATTGAAATAGCGGCTAGGCTATCGGCATCGACTACGAGGAATGATGGTGGCAAAAGAGTCGAAAATGTCCAGCTAGTTTCCAGGAATATCGCTCCAGTAAACACGAACTCTATGATCTCTATATCCTCCTCTTCATCGAGCAATAGGTCATCCATACTGTCTATTGATGAACAATTTATTGAAAAGTATGAGTTGGCCAAGTTGCCAACTACTAATTCTAGCTCTATCTCATTGCCTTTGCCTCTTCTGCATGTTGGAACGTCATCACTGTTGACAAAAAGAAACATCCACGATATGGAAAGGTTAGTACAGTCCTATCGAAGTATGGTGGATGATTCTGTGATCAGCTCGATGGGAAATCACTCTGACATAACAAAATCTTTACACGATTTAATCAACCAGTGGGGATCCTTGATTAAACTTACTAAAGCGCCTTCGAATTTAATCCATAATGATATGAATTTTGTGGAATTGAATCCCCTTGAGATTGCGAAACAGCTGACTTTGATCGAATCGACATTATTTTTGACAGTTAGATCTTCAGATCTACTTGATACAATTTTCCACTCCAAGAAGGCACACTCAAGACATAATCGTAACGTGGAGCTTGTTGTGAATTTCACAAACCTTTTATCAAATTATGTCATTGAGTCGATCGTCGCACCCAATTTGTCGTTGAAAAAACGCTGTTCGAGGTTGAAAAGCTGGTTGAATATTGCATTATCTGCTCTTTACTTCAGAAATTTCAATTCGGTAACATCCATCATGACAGCGTTACAAAGCCACGCGTTATCTAGATTGACGCCAATTTGGGACCTTACTAGTGACAAGTACCTCGACTTGTATCAATATCTCTCCAAGATCGTGCATCCCAATAACAATTATAAGGTTTATCGTACAAAGCTTCAGCAACTCACCGCCGGATTTCCTTCGCAGGAACACCTGAAAAAGCCAGTCCTCCCAATGGTGCCATTTTTCAATTTATTCCTGCAAGATTTAACTTTCATTAAGGATGGGAATAGCGACTTCCGAAATCCTGTTTCGTTCAGACCCAACAACATATTAAACATTGACAAATACATTAAAGTTACAAAGGTGATTTCATTGATGCAATTTCTACAAATAAGTTATGATACTGAGGACAAGGTCAACATCTCAGGCCCAAAAAGGGACTCGTTTTTCAACTTAGCCTCCACTATGGATATAGACACCACGAGCATTAAACATGTCTCTCTTTTGCAAGAGTTTATACTCTATGAACTGTGGCGAGTCAATTTTTTATATGCCCGTGATTCAGACAGAAGCTACAAACTCAGCCTTGAAATTGTGCCCAGAACAGGATTTTGATAATTGCCATAAGACTCACATTATTTCGAACTTATCCAGAAAGTTCGCACATCGTCAAGCCCGTGTATTGAAGATGCTCAAATTGTATTTCATATCATTTAATTGATTTATATAAATATATGGGGTGACTTTTCTTACGTAAATTGTCACTCACAAAAGAGCTTGTATCATTTCTACGATTACCTTATTATCCAATTACAAGGCATTTGTCCCCAATTTCTTGATCATATTACGACGACTAAGTACGTTATTCGAATAAGAAACATATTTTTTCAAGTATTCGGGTAGAATGCAGTTGCAACACTATCTTGATTTAATGCAAAGCAAATATTACGGTTGCCTAACCATGGAGTTGTGATTAGGTTTGAAACCCTAAGCGCGGCGAGATTGCCCAATAAAATTGATTGCAGAGCCAGCTTTGAAGAATTCGACTTGATCTTTTGACATTGTGTGCTTGGTCTTGATGATAAACGATTCGCCGGAGGGTTTGGTAACTTTAACGTCGAGTTCACCTCCATTGTTGCCCTCTTTCTCAACCAACTCAGGTAAGCCGATTGTCTCCAAGACATCACCTGAAGAGATCTTATCATAATCTGATTCATTCGCGAATGTCAAAGGAAGCATACCTTGCTTTTTCAAGTTTGTTTCGTGAATTCTGGCAAAAGACTTAACCAAGATCATTTCACCACCCAAAAATCTTGGGGATAGGGCGGCATGCTCTCTAGCAGAACCTTCACCATAGTTGTGCTCTGCAACCACCGTCCATGGTCTGTTTTCGTCTTTCCATTTCATCATTAGCTCTGGAATTCCAAAAGCAGTACCATCCAAATCATAAGCCTTGTTAACCTCACCAGTTTCCTTATTCTGAGCACCAATCAAAGTGTTATAAGAGATGTTTTCAAGATGACCTTTGTACTTCAACCAAACACCGGCAGCGGAGATGTGATCTGTGGTACATTTACCTTCCACCTTTAGCAAAACATTAGTTTTAATTTCCTTACCATTCCAAGGCTGGAAAGGATCCAACAATTGAAGACGGTCTGAAGTAGGTGAGACTTTAATCTCAACAGATGCATCAGGTTGAGGATCAACAGGAGGATAAAACTTTTCTCTTCCCAAAGTAAAGCCTTCTCCAGGTAGTTCCTGACCCTTTGGTGCACTGAATTTAAACTCAGACCCATCCTCCAAAACGATAGGATCGGTAACTGGGTTGAATTGTGCATTTCCAGAGTAGATCATTGCAGTGACCATTTCGGGTGAGGTCAAAAAGTTCATTGTGTTTCTGTTACCGTCGTTTCTAGCACGGAAATTACGGTTGAATGAGGTAAAGATGGCATTAGTTTCTTTGGATGACTTCGAAATGTCTTGTCTGTCCCATTGGCCGATACATGGACCGCATGCATTTGCCAAGACAATAGCGCCATTGGATTTGAAGGTATCAATTAGGCCATCTCTTTCTAGAGTCGCTCTGATTTGTTCAGAACCTGGAGAGACAAAAAAGGGAATGCGTGGTTTCAATCCTGCTTTAGCTGCTTGTCTTACAAGGTCGGCAGCACGAGTCATATCCTGATATGAGGAGTTTGTACAAGAACCAATTAAACCTGCAGAGATCTTTTGAGGCCATTCTTCTTGAGTTGCCCGTGTACCAAATTCAGAGATTGGTGTAGAAAGATCCGGTGTGAATGGACCATTCACATGAGGTTCTAGCTCATTCAAGTTGATTTCAATAACTTTATCATACTGAGCACCCTCATCAGCCCTCAAAAAGTTGAAATTCTTCAAGGCCGCGTCAGCCGCATCTGCCAACACTCCTCTGCCAGTAGCGTGTAGGTAACGTCTGTGAGCATCTTGGTATGGGAAAGTGGAAGTGGTAGCACCAATTTCGGCCCCCATATTACAGATGGTAGCCATACCGGTACATGATAGAGAGCCCACACCTTCACCAAAATATTCGACAATGTAGCCAGTACCACCTCTGACGGTTAAGATACCTGCAAGCTTCGTAATCACATCCTTAGGAGAGGTCCAGCCTTGCAATTGACCGGTCAATTTGACACCTAAGATCTTTGGAGCCTTCAATTCCCAGGGGGTACCAGTTAATGCGTCGACAGCGTCAGCACCGCCTACACCGATGGCAATGGCACCCAAACCACCCGCGTTGGGAGTGTGAGAATCGGTACCTAACATCATTAGGCCTGGGGCGGAAAAGTTTTCCAGTACGATTTGATGGATGATACCAGATCCAGGTCCCCAAAATTGCATACCGTATTTGTCTGCACAGCTCTGTAAGAAGTCAAAGACTTCCTTGTTCGTAGCGATGGATGAGGGCAAATCCTCGGACTCTCCGTCTTTACCAACAATAAGATGGTCACAGTGAATCGAGCCAGGGACAGCAGTTTGAGCCAGACCAGTTGTCATGAACTGTAGCAGCGCCATTTGCGCCGATGCATCTTGCATGGCCACACGATCTGGGTTTAGCTTCAAGTATTGCAAGCCGCGAATATCCTCCAAATTAGAAGAAACAAGCGATTCTTCGGGATCACATAAGTGGGAGTACAGGATCTTCTCAGCCAATGTTAATGGGGTGTTATTGGTAATATCTCTGACCTTGTTGAGCTTCCCGACGAGCTTAGCGTATGGAGGAACACGTGATTGAAATTCCTTTGGCACTTGGACGAATCCTGCCTGCGTGGCTAGGTGTCTTCTGACAATAGCCCTTGCTGACAGCATTATAACTGTTTTGTGATTTAATAGAATGCTAAATCAATCAGGACTTCAACAAAATGCTTTAAGCGAAGAGCAGTTTACTAAGTTATAGTATTCTTGATGAGCTCATCGTCTGACTCAACATCGCGGTGGTAAAAATTTTTCAAATAAATCCCGAAGGAATTCCATATGGCTGACCTAATCAGCGCATAAACATACAAGATAAAAACAAAATGCTTCCAACCAGAGTCGAACTGATGATCTCCACATTACTAGTGTGGCGCCTTACCAACTTGGCCATAGAAGCGATTTGTGATTTCAGAGTGGTTAGAGACACAATTTAGCTTATTGAATAGATTCATCAATTCACGTTCTAGTGCGCCGTATAGGTGACAGAACGGAGATTTAGGGAAAACGTGCAGGGCGCCAGATTTCAAGTGAAGAACGGTCTTCATTTTAGGCACAGCATGTATGCACCGAAGCTGCATTGAATTGTAGAGAGAAATCTCTCGGTGTCATGTTTCGCACTACGTTCAACTTTTAATGTATAAGGAAGAATTTGTATTTAACATTTTGAACCATTCCAAAACATTAACTATCCAAAACACGAGGCAAATTTTCCTAAGTCATTCAGTGAATTAAACCGAACGCTCTCTTGGAACTTATGAGACAGCTCGAAAAAGACTTGACTGGTAAAGAACAAGAGTTTATTTTGTATCAATGCTTTAGTAACGTCAGTCACACAACCGTGTCTTGATTCTCAACACGTGACTACATCACTACCAACGAGTACTTATTAAAGGGTTTCCCACGTGGGAGGCTAATTTATCGAAAAGTAAAGTTTTTTTTTACAGTTGATTTCTTTTTCTACGTGGGTAGCTGTGGTAACAGTTGAGATATGAACGAATTTCAATAACCCACGTTTTTACTTGGCGCCCCATTTAGCCATTGTTATCTCACACGTGCTGCTGTACTATGAAGTTCTCTCATTCGTTGAAGTACAATGCGGTCCCTGAGTGGCAGGAGCATTACCTGAATTATTCGCAGCTGAAAAAACTCATCTATTCGCTACAGGCCCAGGAGTTGCAGCTTCTTGGCGGAGGAAGTGGAGAAAACGGACAAGAACCTAGCACTTTGGAGGGCTCGTCTAAGAGGTTACAACGGTTCAAGGACAAATTCACGTCCAAGAAGGACCAGGATAAGAAGAACCAGAACCCCTTTGGTGATGACGTTCACGTAGAAACTCTGGAGCTTTCCGACATGAAGAAAAAGTCAAAGACTAAATTGCAGTCTTTGATGGATTTCGATCGTCGGAGCTCCATTTCCAGTGACCGGACGCTGTTTAATCCCCAGGACACATTCCTGAGTAAACTGACGGACGAAAAGGTTAAGATCGATGAGTTCTACAAGAAACTTGAGGCGCAGTTGTACCGTCGATTTAACACTTTGGTGATGGATTTGGAGAAAGTGGGCGCGGTAAGGGTTGAAAGCAGCTTTCATGATGAAGATCCGGACCGTCAAAACGAAACTGGAACCTTGCACAAGAGGCAGCCTTCAGAAACTGCCAGTGGTAGCCTTTCTAGACCTATTACTGGCGACACGTTTTTGGAGCATGGCTCAGAGTTTGAAGACGAGGAGGAAGAAGAAGACGAAGCCAACATCCGCGAAAATACTGCATTGCTGACTTATTCAGACTTCACCGTGAAATCACAGAAGCGTACCATTCTGAAAAAGAACATTATTGATCTTTACGTTGATCTCGCGCAATTGAAATCTTTCATTGAATTGAACCGCATCGGGTTTTCCAAAATCACCAAGAAATTTGACAAGACGTTAAATTGTCATGTTAGAGATGAACTCATAGAGTCGAACGAGTTTTTCAAAGACACATACGTTTTCCAGAAAGAAACCCTGGATAACTTAGACGCGAAGATAAAAAAAGTCATTGAATTTTATTCGGTTATCACAGAGAATGACATATCTTCCAGTAAAGAAGAGTTGAGAGGCTACTTGCGCGATTTCATCGTATGGGAGAGAAACACTGTATGGAAAGACATGCTAGGACTGGAATCTCAAGCCAATACACTATCCTCGGCCGGAAGACCAGGCGCAAATGGTGATATTACCAATTTGGATAATCATGTCCACTTGGAGTACTATTCCTGGAGCTTACCAAGACCTATTAACTTTAAATTCTTTGTTTGGGAGAAAGTAAGCGTCCCTAAGCTTTTTTTCACCGTAAAATCCTTGAAGATTTTCATCATTGTTGTGATCACGGCAATTTTACTAGGTGTCCCAACTTTCACGGATCAAGCAGAACACCGCTGCATGGCTCTTGTTGAGTGCGTTGCCTTCCTATGGGCTTCTGAAGCAATTCCTTTATTCGTCACGGCTTTCCTGGTCCCACTATTGGTGGTTCTATTCCGTGTGTTAAAGAATACAGATGGCTCAGTTATGAGTGCTGCAGATGCTTCATCAAAAGTTCTAGCGGCTATGTGGTCCTCAACAATCATGGTCTTGCTCGCTGGGTTTACACTTGCAGCTGCACTCTCTAAGTATAATGTTGCTAAGGTGTTAGCTTCTTATTTGCTAACTTTTGCGGGTACGAAGCCAAGAAATGTCTTATTGATGGTCATGTCAGTTGTATTTTTCTTGTCAATGTGGATCTCGAATGTTGCGTCACCTGTTCTGACATATTCATTGATTCAACCAGTTTTGAAATCTTTAAGTGCAGACTCACCTTTCGCGAAAGCCTTAGTTTTGGGTGTTGCTCTTTCAGCTGATGTTGGCGGTATGTCTTCTCCTATCTCATCTCCTCAAAACATTATTTCGATGGATTACTTGAAACCTTATGGTGTTGGTTGGGGCCAGTTTTTCGCTGTTGCTTTGCCTTCAGGAATCTTGTCCATGCTGCTCATTTGGGTCCTATTAATATTCACATTCAAGATTAACGATACTCCATTGAAAAAGTACACCCCAATCAAAGAAAAATTCACATTAAAGCAGTACTATGTTATATTTGTCACTCTTGGTACGATTATATTATGGTGTGTTCTGACTAAAATAGAAGGAGCCTTCGGATCATCCGGCCAAATTGCAGTGCTTCCTATCGTGCTTTTCTTTGGTACCGGTCTCTTGAGCACGCAGGATATCAACAATTTCCCCTGGTCAATTGTTATTTTGGCAATGGGTGGTATAGCTTTGGGTGCAGCCGTTTCTTCTTCGGGGTTGTTGTCGACCATTTCCACCGCTCTGGAGAGACGCGTTATGGAATATCCAACCTACGCTATTCTCATCATTTTCGGTGTGGTAATGTTGGTTGTTGGTACCTTTGTATCTCATACCGTTTCTGCCATTATCATTATTCCCTTAATGCAAGAAATCGGAGATAAACTCAGCAATCCAAAGGCGGCTCCCATTTTGGTCTTTGGTTGTGCCTTACTTGCATCTTGTGGTATGGGACTTGCATCATCAGGCTTTCCCAATGTCACAGCAATTTCTATGACGGATGAAGTAGGAAATAGATATTTGAGCGTCAACACGTTCATCACTAGGGGTGTCCCTGCTTCGTTCTTAGCATTCGTGTGTGTTATCACATTAGGCTATGGTATTATGAACTCTATATTGTAGGGTACTACCACTTAAATTTTATCTATGTAAAGTATACTTTTAGTCATTTTTTATATTATTAATGTGCCTGTACTTTTGTCAGTACACTTCTTTTATTTAATGTCCGACGATTCTTATCGTGCAGATATTTTTCAGCTCCGCGTCTAGAAGAAAAATAATTTTTTCAATTCACGACGCAAAGACGTCGCAAACAAATTTGCCATCTCATCGTCAAGGGCATAACAGTAATTGGACTGTGAGCTGAATTTTTTCAACCAAAGATCGATAAATAGATCACATTATTATAAGACGGTCCAAATTGAGTGGTTCTAGTCTCCAATTGTAGCAAACAAGTTGAAGTTGATTCTTCATTTTTGTGTTTTTGCCTTCTTTCAAAATGAATGAACGTGTGAGCAACTTACCAGATCCGTCATCTCACCACGAGGAAGAAAATTCTTTGGATATTAGGACGGCTCATGACGAATCAATTGCCGTACATTCAGAGTCTGCTGGTGTAGAGACGGAAGACGAAAAAGCGAGCGAATCATCGGACCGCGAAGAAAATGATGGAAACCCACTAACACCCGCGGGTACTACCCAGGACGATGACAGCGACAGTATGCTAGTGGATGCTATTCCTAGTTTGGCTGAGCAAAGAGATCTCATTTCCAAAATTTATGCAGAACATCAGAAGGAAGCGAAAGAAGGAGACAAAGTCTATATTATCCCCTCTATGTGGTTTGACACTTTCTGGAACACCGAAATTACAAATTACACAGATATAGAGCCAATAGACACTGTTTCAATCTGTAAAGATTTTGAGAACTTTGTCTTAGCTGATTATAATGTGTCACCTTATTTATCTGTTCCGGAAGAAGCGTACGAGAAATTCGTCGAGTGGTATGGTTTAACACCAAATTCAAAACCAGTATGCACTTTTCTGATAAAAGATACGAATGACCAGCTGGTTACCGAGTATAATAGATGCTTTTTCAGGGTCCACCTTTTGAGAAATGCCTCAGAAGAAACAAGGTCATATAATGCCAACGCTTCTCCCTTATTTTTCACATTGTCGAAGCTCAGCTCTATCAGAGACGTGGCTCAACGATGCTTGGAAGTTTTTGATGCACACGAGGAAAGTTTTGATTTACAGAGACATAAGTTCAGAATATGGTATTTCAAAGATCCAGGGAATTCTGAAGAAAGTACTTCTTTCACGTCCCGATACAGAATCAGCCCTTTGGTATTTACTGATATATCAATCAAGCACAGAATTGTACCCAAAATCTTTGGATGCTTAATTAAAGATCTCAGATATTCCGTAATAGACTTGGCGGTTGAGTACAAAGAACCCAATATGGGACAACACTGGGCTTCAAACTATTTCTCTTATCACAAATTATGCCCCTCGAAGGGTATAGTGGGCTTGTCTAATCTTGGCAATACTTGCTACATGAACTCTGCTTTACAATGCCTTGTGCATATCCCAGAACTCAGAGACTACTTCCTTTACAATGGATATGGGGCGGAGATAAACACCAACAATCCTCTAGGATATGGTGGACGCGTTGCACAAGCATTTGCCGGTCTTATTCAAACCCTCTTTGGTGAAAGTATCTCTGAAATAACTGCCTATTCACCAAGAAACTTCAAATCGGTCATTGGACATTATAACTCTATGTTTGCTGGATTTTTGCAGCAGGATTCACAGGAATTCATGGCCTTTCTTTTAGATGGTTTACATGAAGATTTGAACAGAATTCTAGAAAAGCCATATGTTGAAAAACCAGAGCTATCTCCCGGTGACGATGTGAATAACTTTAATGTTATCAAGGAACTCGCTGAAAATACTTGGGATAAACATAAAATGAGGAATGACTCGATGATAATCGACTTGTTTGTGGGTATGTATAAATCAACATTGGTTTGTCCCCAGTGTAGCAATATCTCAATTACGTTCGACCCCTACAATGATCTCACTTTGCCTCTCCCTGTTGATAATTACTGGTCTTCTAAAATTATTCTATTTCCATCTCAGTCTCCGCCATGTCTTTTAGAGATCGAGTTACCGAAAACAGCGTCCTATAAAGAATTAAAAGAATATGTCGCAAGCTGTGCAAATATGAAGGCAGATGATCTTTTAGGAGCAGAAATTTTTAACCATCAATTTTACAACAACTATGAGGCACGAAACTCAGACTCTCAATATCTTCCAGTGCAGGACTTGATCTCAAAAGATGATTTCGTGGCATTCTACGAGGTCCCTAGGGGAGAAAATGACCTCGTTGTACCTGTACTAAACACAAGGTTTGAGGAAGGCTTCAAAAATTCAAGACTCTTTGGATATCCATTTTTTATAACACTTTCTAATGAGGAACAGCACTCTTACGGTACCATTCGACAAAAATTGGAGAAATGCTTCGTAAATTTGAGCGGTGGCTTCATTGACTTCCCCTTTTTGAAAAGTGATGACAACGTGTCAATAGATTCGCTACCCTTATTAAGTCAAAAATATCCTGGCGTTGACTTTACGCAGTTCGAGAATGACATTAGACAATGCACTCCCGACAAACAGCCGAATAGATTTTTCGATATCAAAGTGCTGACTTGTAAACAACCAGCTAGCAGTGATTCTAATTTGCATACCTCTCCAGAGTCGAGTTTTCTCAGGACTGAAATATGGACACCAGATAGTCGCGCGGCATTGAATATGGCAGCTGATATCACCCTATCGATGAATAACGTTGCTAAGGATATTTATAACTACTACGACTTGGTGAAAGACCAAAGGGAGGAAATTGAAGAACTGGGGCGTCTCACTGACGAGAAGAAACGTATTGCCTCAGAGGTGGAGGAATCCGAGGAAGGAGAGGAAATAATCTCAGATATGGATGTTGATGTTGAAGAGAACACCGATGATACGAAGAGCGTGAAATCGTTGTCAAATGAAGAAAAATTGAGCGAATCGTATCCTTTCCAAAAGTTGATATGTGCTGGCTCTGCGTTAATTTGTGAATGGAGTAGTGAGGGTGCTTCTCAGGTGTTCTCAGAAGATCGAGTGATTTCATGGGAAAATCCCGGTATTATAACTAATACTGTTTTAGAGAGTAGCAGAGAGGAAAAGAATAAAATGCGAGAGTCAAAAATTCTTCTCGAAGATTGCTTGAATCTTTTTTCTAAACCAGAAGTTCTAGGAGCAGCAGACTCGTGGTACTGTCCTGTGTGTAAAGAACACCGCCAAGCAACCAAACAAATTGAACTTTGGAATACCCCGGACATATTACTGATACATTTAAAGAGATTCGAAAATATGCGGTCATTCAGTGACAAAATTAATGAAACTGTTCATTTTCCGATTACAGGCTTAGATATGTCTCCTTTCTTGGTTTACAACGATGAGAGAAGTAATAATATCTACGATTTGATTGCTGTAGACAACCATTATGGTGGGCTTGGAGGTGGCCACTACACAGCATATGTTAAAAATCCCGCAGATGATGGGTGGTACTATTTCGATGACTCAAGAGTAAGCAAGACAGATCCCGAAAAATCTATTTCTGGTGCTGCTTATTTATTGTTTTATAGGCGGCGTACCGAGAAAGGTGATTTAGGTGGTGAAAACTTGACTCAAATTATAAGATCTTCTAGAGAACAACATGACCTGAAAATCAAAGAATTAAATGAGAGACAAGCGCAGTTCTACGAGGATAACAAGTCCGAAAGTGAGGACGAAGCAATTAAGGAAGATCACAAAAATTCACAATGCGAAAAGGATTTAGATGAAAAAGAAATAAGTTCAGCTCCCAACGATGATAAAATGCACATCACACGTCCAAGTAAGGATTTGGATTATAGCATCAATAGTTTGGAGGTTGGCGATCACATCAAGGACTCGAATACTGAAGAAAACGCTGCCAGGCGCAAGCTCCGCTTACTAAATAAGACTTATCTTAATACTCCTACTAATTCCTCTGATGTTGCGTCGACTGGGGGAAGCTCAGAATCATCTGACGAAAGTGAAAGTATATCCCACAATCTCAATACGTCAAATGTTAATCCAGCACCCCAGTCACCATAAGCATGTTTATCTAATATGCAAAATCATTGAAAAGGTACTTCAAAAGTTGTAAGTGGATTTATGTGTTTATTTTTTTTACCAATTAGCATGTATAATAGCATAAGTAAATCAAATTACTATTTCGGCATAGGTGGGGATGCTGTCAGCGGCTCCATTTCGTTGAATGCTTAATGAACTTGCTATAGTGGAAAATTTCACAGCATCCTTGAGCTCAATTCCTTGATAGAGCTGAGAGACTATGCCCCCGAGAAATGTATCGCCGGCCCCGGTAGTATCGATAACCCTGGGAACTCTAATTGCCTCAACGAAGCCCGGTGTCTCTTCTAGCTTTGAGATATAAACACAACCCTTTTCGCCCAAGGTTATGACAACACTGGACAAGTTACACGGATTAATAAGTTTTTTTTGCAATTCGAGTGCTATAGTTTTGTAGCCTTCAACAAAGTTTTCCGATATTAACGTTTTTAATTTATTCCCATAACTGACGCCGAACGCACTTTCGACCACTTGCAGGGCCTCTATTTCGTTGACAACAAGAACATCAACCATGCGCCACTGCTCTTGTGAAAGACTCAAAAATGGCGAAGGGTTATAAAATACTTCGCTATGTGGCCTGTTTTCTCTGAGCCAGTGCATGATATCAAGAGTTCCTGGAATCTCGTTTTGAAGGACAACAAACGTTCGGTCGTTATCATTATAATCAGTAAATATTCTTTCAAGTTGAGCGTCACTGTATTCGGAATACGAATTAGCACCCGCTGCAATTAATATCCTGTTTTGGCCACTCTGTTTTTCGACCAAAATAGTCGCAGTTCCAGTCTTAATATCCGGTACAACTTTGATGTTTGAGCTTTCAACCCTATTTTGAGATAGCATTTCAATCAGATCTTTTCCAAAAGAATCATTGCCGACACTGCCAATCATTTTAATACAGCTCTCTTCATATTTTGGCATCAATCTTGATATTCCGATCGCCTGATTGAAGCCCTTACCACCCACATGCGTTTCGAAAAGGTTTGCTTTGATAGTTTCGCCCTCCTCGGGAACCCGGTCTGTGTAAGTGACTAAATCATAGTTTAGAGAACCGACAATTACAATTCCCATGTTTATAATATGCACTTTTTACTGGCTATTTCTTCTTCCAACCCTCGAGAAGTCTTAATACGTCAACCATGATGATCCTAAAAGTTGGAAATTTTTCAAGTAGTCTCATCACACCAATTTCTACTGTTAAATACCACTCTCAACGCTTGCTGCAGTACAAGATCATGGCATCCTCGATTGAAATACATCCGATAACGTTCCCTCCTGAAGTTTTAGCAAGGATTGCCCCGGATCTTTCGATCCAGAGACATCTCTCTCTGGGCGTGAGGCCATGTCTTCGACAATTTGAAGAGTTTAGGAACATTGAAATTAGCGACGGAGGACTCTCTCGCTCTACCGACTTATTTCACAACTCTGAAGAAAACAATATCTTGGGATCTAACGTTTTAAGATCCGGCAAAACAATAGTCATTACATCCATTACTGGGGGATTCGTGGAAGAGTTATTACCAGTACACGGTATCGACGAAGGTGAGGAAGAATTAAGGAATATGACAATGCAGCATGATCGTATATCGCAGTTTGGGGCTGTTTACCCAGTGGTTGAAGTGGAGCGCGGTAGAATGGGTGCACCAACGGATGAAGAAATGAATCTATCACAGAAAATATACAACTGCATATTAGGCTCTGGTGTGATTCCAAAGTCTTCACTTAATGTGAGTGTTGGGCGGAGGACCACGAATCCTGATAAATCTGTCTCGATAACTTATCCTGATGAAGAAGGACCGGAGCTGGATCAGCAGTTTCTTCCGAAGCGAAAATGGTCATATGTTTTGTATGCTAAGATTCAGGTCTTTAGTCGAGATGGACCTCTCTTTGAACTATGTTGGAATTCATTGATCTATGCTCTGAAGAACACGAAACTTCCCCGTGCTTTCGTTGATGAGAAAACCACCGACCTAAAAATCCCAGTTAGGGTGAGAGGCCGTAGCGCAGCCATTAGAGAGACATACGACATAATATGTGACTCGCATAAAAGTATACCACTAGTTTTAAATTCCAAAAACGTCGGATTCGCGTCAAACTTTGGCGTGATTGATTTAGACCCTGAGGCAAGGCTACCGGAAAAAGAAGATGAGATGCAGGTAGACCAGGAGGATTCTATTCTTTTGGCGGACCTACAGGGTGAAGCAGAAGAGTCATCTGTTCTTTCAACTTTGTCGATCATATCCGATGAGAAAGGAAATCTGAAGCATCTCGGAATAATCGGTGGTGGATCTAAAGTTACTACAGAAACGATAAGACGGTCAATTCTTCTTTCCAGCAAGCGATCCGAGGATTTGAGTACAAAAAATTAAGTACAGCAAATATATCATTGGGGTGTTTCTTTGAGGTTTACAACGTTGATCTCGTCCCTTTTTCAAACTAGTATTTAATCCGTGTACAATAGAAGAAACCAAAGAAAGCCATATCGAATGATGTATACTGAAGTAAAGATTTGGTACTGATCTTAACTTGTCAAGAGCATGACATAAAACAACTGCTTTTCTTACAAATAGATACATAAGATTTGATCAATCTCTACGTCTTCCCTTTTCACGTGCAGGAGAAGGAGAAGGAGTAACAGTGTTCTTCAAGTCAACGTTAACGTATTCGTTGACCTTAGCGGCAACACCTCCGCGAACACGCTTCACAAGTCTAGATTTCTTAGTCCCTCTGCGTCTGTAAACTTCAATGTAGAATGCAATAAATAGGAACAGGTAAGACGAGATGATGGCACAACCCGAAAAAGTAGCAGTAGTGGATCCTACACATTTGCCACAGTGTGGCAAGCTTGGATAAAAGTCGCTTGCAAATTTCTGCCAAACGGCAAAGTAGATGAATCCGATATCCAATACAAACTGAATAATTTGGAATCTTGTAACCCATTCTTTCCACCAAACACGAATACCACGTGCAGCAAGGAAATAGTACCAGTACATTACAACGTGAACTCCCAAGTTCAAGGAAATAACCACCCATGAGATCGCTGTGGTTCCCATTAATTGTGTGTAACATAACAGAGCAGTGGCACCATGATGGTAAGTATGCAAGAATGTAAGCTTTTTATGCTTGAGAACCAGGAAAACAGTATCGATAAACTCGATGTATTTGATGATGTAATTCATATAATACAGTGTAACCATTGGCTGGGTCCAAGCGCCAATGTTACAAATAGCATAGTATAAGCCATTTTTTGTTATCATAGGGACTAATTGCTCGACCATTAATAGCAAAAGACTCAAAGAGACGGTTGTGAGGAAAAGATTGTGTGCTTGAAACAAAAAGTTCAGTTTGAATGGCTCTGTATTCTTCAACACCGCTCTTCCACCGAAGATGATCAAATAGTAAGCCGAAATAGCAGCAATCACATGTGGGAACTTACTCAAAGGTAATTTTCCGGGAATGAACTCGAACTGGCTTGGAATAAAGTGACCGTTGGTCAAAAGAGTTGCCGCGTAATCAAATTTTTCCCACAAATAAATATTGAAGAACGGACGTTCGAGGGTAGGTTTATATCCTGTTAGCCAAGGATACTTCTGCAATAAAGCAACTGCATAAGTTTGAACTACTGACAGCATGTTTATTTATCCACAACCTTGATGGAGTAGTTTACGTTTTCTCCAACGACGATATTGAAAATTTGTGGATATCGCGTCTAATCTTTGTTTATCATCACAATATACGCAACACCATTTCGTAAACGTAAGAAATTACAATATGTATATACATTTATATACTACAATGTGCTAGCCATAAGTTAATTCTAAGCTAGATTTGGCGAAGGTAAATCACCTTTGTGGTTTTCCTAAACCGTCAATATTAGATTTGGGCTCTTCATTACTTGCTGGTAGCAATGATGCCAAAGCTTCGGGCGCTGACGCCACTGCGGCTAGTGCAGCAAGAGGATCATTAGCGAAATTAATTTCTGTAGGTCTCACGGGCGCCGACCGAGGTGGAACAGTTGTGCTATAGAAATTAGGCTGAGCCAAATTAGGCAGCGTACGCGCATCTGAGGTTAAAGACGACATTGGACCTGGTGCAGAAACTGGGCAGGCACGAGATGTGGTAAGTGTATCATTTGGCGTTTGATGTTGTTCATCGTGTGATTTCATTCCGGTATTCAAAATTGTTGAGAGAAAGTTAGGCCTTTTTTGAGCGTTGATTGATGGCGAGGGTGTTGAAGAGGAGGAAAAAGTTGAAGATTGAAGCTCTTGAACAATAACTTTTGAAGGCTGTGAATCTCTCGCCTGCGTGGAATTGATTGCTGAAGGGGCTTGTTTCGCGTTAGCGTCAATCTTTTCCTCATCATTGTTCAATAAACTTTTGATAGATGATCTGCGGCTCGAGTCCGGTGCTTGAGAAGACACTGATGAAGAGGTCCCAGAAGTGTGATGTACCACCTCTTGCGCGAAATGTACCGTTGGGTGTTGGTCGGAGTGATCAGACGTAACTTCGAATTGTTTCGTAGCGGTTTCTGAAGATGTTGATACAATCGGAGGTTTTTTATTCGATTGATCACTCGAGTAGAACTGGATGGATGGTAAATGTGGTGGAGGGAGGCCCTGAGGAGTCGATTGTTGAGAAAAGCTGTCTGCATTTTCCAAAGGCATATTGTGAGTTGGAGTTCCTGGGCTGGTCTGCGCTTGACCAAAGAAGTTAACCAATGGTTTTTGTTGAGGTGGAACAGTTTCAGTTGCATGAATAGTGGCAACCTTTTCCTCGTTCACTGATTGATCCTTACTGTCTTTTGTCATACTCGACCCATTCACGAGTGATTGCCATCCCATTTGACCGGCGTTTCTTTGAAAGTAATTGCGCACCATTGTAGTAGACTTGGTGCCCAACTTCTCTGAAATTAAAGCCCATTGAGAACCATATTGGCGCAAAAGCTCAGGAAAAGCATTTGTCTCCTTCACACTCCAGTAACTTGATTTGTGATGACCGTCATTGTGTTTGGCTTTCTTCTTTGCCTGCTGCGCCTTATCTATGCCGTCAGGTCTAACAACTAGTTTTTCTCCCGAGCTCATCCCGATATCCTTGTCATTGAAATTCATGGCAGGAGCTATTGGTTGCAAATTCGGGAGTTCACTTGTGACCTCTTCAATTTCCTGGAGCTTCCGCTTCCTCGATTCTAGGCTTTCTAGATCCTCTCTTTGTGAAGGCCCGGCCACTTCCGAAGGTTTTCTATCGTAAACAGCTTCATTGTTATTTGCAAGTTCCTGTACACTAGTGAGGTCTTGTTCTTCATCGACTATCATAGGAACCTCAGCTTGTACAGTTGGTTTTATTTCTACTTGTTTCATACCTTCGTTTGAACGTAATGAAGTATCTTGATTGACTGTTTCATCTTCTACCTCATCGACTGTTCGTTCATTTTCATCAACGGATAAGTCAGCACTTTCTGTCATCCTATCTTTCTCTCTACCACTTTCTTTTTCACTCTCAGAGTCTTTATCCTTAATCCTTTCCTTTTCCTTCTCCTTTTCCTTCTCTTTCCGACGACGATTAGCGTTGGCTTTTCGTCTCTTGTTCTTTTCAACTATCAGCTGTTTGTAGTTGGTCTGTTTCTTTGTTCTATAGTAATGAAGGACGCATTCCTCTGGAGTTCTTAAACCTCCCATTTGTTGCGAGATTTTTCCAAATCTTTTAGGATAGGATAGATAAGCGTCGACAAAAAGGTCATGTTCCCTTTCAGTAAATGTATCGATTCCATCTAGAAGAATTCTCTTGGCCCAAGCATCTTTATCTGTGACAAGGTTGTTCACATTCTGATACCTGATAGAGTACTTGTCTACGGGACTGATGTACATTGGAGGAATACGCGCAGCCAACTGATGATGCTTGTAATCAGGATCGATTTGCAGTAAAACGTTTTCAATCTCTGCATCATCAACAAAATCGGCCCTGTTCCTTCTCCGACTATTCGTACGACCTTGTAGAGCTTGCTTATCATGCTCTTCTTGCTCTTTTTGCTTCTGCTCCTTTTGCAATCTCTCCTGCTCCTCAACTTCATCCATTCTCATGTTTTTGCTAATTTCATCCATTTTTTGGCACTTTCTATCCCATTGCTCATCATATTGCAAAAAATCACTCCTGAGTTGTAGCTTTCTCAAATACTCATAACGCTTAATTTTTGAAATTGATTTGAGAAGAATGGGTTTAATAGCTTGCTCATGTATTAAAAAGTTCTCAGACATGAAAGGGTACTCCTTTAAATTTCTAACTGGCTTCTTCAAAAGGTAAAACTGCTTGGCAATTATTTGTTGCCGTGTCTGGTTTTTGAGCTCCCAAAGCTTTGTCTCTGGCTCCGTCATTGGAAATATGCATGCTTCTATTTTCTTCAGCGGTTCCTTATAGCCTTTTATATGATAAAGGATATCATCAGCAGGTATATGCGACCTTGAAGCTATCGAAGTTCCGCCAGTAGATACTGGAGATTTTGAAATGATTTTAGCATTACTCGTTACATCATCCTTTGGGTTTATGGTGGGGTTGTGTTTGAAACTGTCAACATTTTCCAGTGCTTTATCCATCGCAGAACCATCCTTTTCACCTTCATTCATTATGGTTTGATCAGTAGGCTGTATTTTGTCCACTTGTTCACCTTGCTTCTCCGCTTCAGTTAAGACATTGTGGTTGTCCATATCAGAGGTCTTTTGCTCTAATTCATTTGTCTGGACAATGCCTTTCTGATTGTCCATAGGTACAGGTTTCCTGTGTTCCAATGGTGAATTATCTGTATCTCCGTTTGACTCTGGTGCTCCTTCTGTTTCGGACCTTAATTCGTCAGAATCCGAATTTTTCTGAAGATTGATACGCTGGTGACCTGTTGCGGCTAGAGCTTCCACTTTTCTAGTAGTTTGCGCTACTGAATTTATTAAGCTAGAGCCCAGCGAGTGCTCATTCTGACTTTCAGTTATTTTCGACCCTTCGGAAGATTCGTATCCACTGTCGCTATTTTGGCGATCGCTTTTTCCAAACTTATTACTGTATCTGCTGGAGTAAGACGGTACATAGTTTCCATGGTGATATGAGTAGTGATAGTATTTTTTATGTGAAAATGGTTTTGAAGTTGGTACTGTGGTTGAAGTTGGAACATAGTTGTCGTGATCAGCAAAATTGCCGGTGGATGGAGATTCTCTCCATTTACTTCCCCGGGAAACGTAGTTTGCATTAGCCACTTCATTGGGTTCGCCGCCTGAAGACACTCTATTCCTGCCGAAGTGAGAATTATAGTAGCTATGATGACTACCGGTCGAGCCTGTTGGCGGTGCCTGTGGATTATATCTACTAGAAGCAGCTAAATTTGTACCACTATTGGACCATCTGGAGCTTGCTATTAACCCTTCTGAGCTCACGCGTCTTACGGGGCTTGTCGGGGAGGGATCTGGATTGTACCTACTTGAAGCCCTGGATTTCCGTGAGGTGAACGGTCTGCCAGTAGAACTTGGGTCATACCGAGAAGGCCTAGAACCTAAATTTGTGGGATCGTGCTCCGCACTACCTGATGCGACGGATGTCCTGCTGCTATTAGCGGTGCTGAGCGCAGAAGAAGAAGGCGGGTGAGACCCTCGTGAGACCGATCCGTGCCGAGCACTTGGGTTCCCTGCGTACTGATATATCTTCTTATCGCCAAGCCTGTGTGATGAAGGCATAACTGGATATTTTTTGTCTCTCGCTGCCACTGGAATGATATGCTCCTCTTTCTCTCTTCTTAGCTTTCCACTCTTTAACTACCTCTGTACGCAAAAAAATAGCCTTTTAACAAGGAAGTCACGAACGATCACTTGTCTTTCCGAAAAACAGATCTTGAACTTATACTTGCAGGAAAGAAAGTCGCTATCCTTGCTTGTGGCTGCTGCTTGCAACTTCGAAGACCCTTCAATGTTTTCACAAGGAATCCAGTAAGATTTTTCCAGTATCAGAATAAAATTCCGTCTAAAGTGATATCATCATTTAAATGATTCGATATCCGGTGGTGGTCCCCGTACTACAAGCAACTGTAAGAGGGTTGCCCGCGCCTTCTGGACGGTGAAATGGAAGTGTAAGATAATTTACTACAGCGAAAGATGTGCGAATATCATTGAAAACGTCGAAAGTGGATGCCTAGGAAGGTGACTACATGTCACGGCAGAGACATCCCATGAGGAAGGAAAGTGTACTCTTGCAAGACTCACCCTTCCTTAAGTGAACTTGAGCAAATCAGTGGATCTTAACGATTTCGTATGATTTGCTTATCTCCACGGACAAGCGATTCAACCGTAGCTAATGTTTTCATGCGACATCTCTCGGGTTGCAGACCGATTCAGGATGTCCAACCTTAGAAAAGTTACCGTAGTCGTCTCGCCATCGATCTGTCCTCCTGCAGCAGAGGAGCATACAAAAATTGCGCTATCGTGGCCAATTCTGATTGGCATATTGAGCAGTAAATTCGCTACCATTCTTTGAAAGGTTTGGATTCTCGAAAAAATTCCCTAAGCATCTCTGGTTTTAGCACCATGATTAGCATGGCGCTGAATCCGGACGTGCACTTCTTGCTGTCTTGCAGACGCAAAAAAGGGATACCACACAAATGCAAGATCAACATACCATAATTAACGGTATTGCCACCTTATGTGTATCACGCCAATAATCGCATTAGTGGCATTGACGTACTCTTCATTGATCCTCGAAGCCTTGCAAAGAGTTTGACGTAGCTACTCTATTGGAATGCTTCCTCCGTTATTTTCGAGAATATTTTGCATTCGCATACAGCATTCCTCAAGTTCGATGCAGGGCTCGGAGTACGACTCAACTAGTATTCTCAAGACCTCGGACACGGCAATTCCTCCCTCTACGGCTCTTTGTAATGCGAAAGCCAACGGTTTCATTACTTTACTCTTTTAGGTATCATAAGTGGAAAAAATGTTAAAACGCGATGGCTGGCAACATATTATCGCGACACGCGAAAAATGAAAGAAAGGTTTACGCGCATATCTCGAGACTTTAAAAGCACAGTGTTACTCTTCAGATCACCATTTACCATTCCAGTAGACAATCGTGGAATCTCATGTTAGATAATAGAATACTGGCAACCAGAAAGAGATTGGCTTTCGAGGATGAGCCTAGAACCGTAAAGAAAATGTGCGGGCTAATTACACCGCCTGCATCTCCAGAGAAGGCAGTCAATATTAGATCAGTGCCATTGTCGGTCTCACCCAAAAGATTGAATTTTGGTCCACTTTCCATTTACTCCAGGACAAAGGCGCTGCTACAAAGATGCGCGAATGTCGAGATCGGGGATGAGGCATATCTGCCAACAAGAATGGAACAATACACGGAGATAATGGGATTTTTGAAACGAGTCATCGATTCAGACTCTGGCGATTCTGTGTACATCACGGGCCCTCCTGGCACTGGAAAGACAGCACAGGTCGATTTGATCATCCGCGAGAAATTTCAGATGCTCGCTCTGGGTGGCCCGCAACTCAAACATGAAGCGGGTTTGTCGAACACTTTTTTCTTTGAAACGTCAACTTCGGAGTTCAAATCAGTCGCCATCGCATCCATAAACTGCATTGCCATCAACAACCCCGAAAGCATCTTTGCCAAGATCTACGAGTCCTTCGCAAGTGATGCCAGCGAGCAAGTACGGAGCGCCGAGGACTTGCAAAAGTTCATCCTATCTCATCCAAACACGACATTTATCGTTATTCTTGACGAGATGGATAAGCTTGTAACCTCTACATTACAAGACGCCAACGCTACAAAACATATTTTTGATCTCTTTCTATTGGCCAAATTACCAAAGGTTAAATTTGGCCTCATTAGCATTGCAAATAGTCTCGACATGAAAGACAGGTTTCTTTCGCGTTTGAACTTGAAGCGAGAACTACTTCCCAAGACTATCACTTTCCCTCCATACACGGCGGAGCAAATGTATGACATTGTCATGCAGAAATTGACAGCTGCGGGAAATGAACTTGTCATACAGCCCGCTGCGATTAGATTCGCGGCCAAAAAGTGTTCAGGTAACACAGGAGATTTAAGGAAACTATTTGACGTTCTAAGATCTAGCATTGAAGTGGTGGAATTAGCGGCCATAAAAAATCGCCACTCCTCTGACGGTCATGTCACCAAGGTTACGTTGGCACACGTAGCCAAAGTTTTCTCATCATTCATGAATAATTCTTCCACTAAATCTCGGCTCTCAAAACTTAACATGCAACAACGGCTAGTTCTAGGTTCGCTAGTTCACCGTGAAAAGTTTGACATTTTCCAAACGCAGTGCTCCATGGATGATGCTTACGACTACTATACTAAACTTCTGGACCAGAAAAACGCCATTTCTCCCCTCAAACGCAATGAATTCCTTGAAATTTGTAACGCTCTGGAAACTTGTGGTGTTGTCCATTTGGCACAAGGAAAATCGTTCGGCAAGACCCGGCATTTGGTGAAGTTCATAAAGTCCAACGTTGACAAAAGAGAATTTGACGATGAAGTTGGCAAACTAGCATTATTAAAAGAAATCCTGGGGTAACTGTCCACAGCACTCCCAGCAATATGTAAGAACATATAAACTAATTGCATTTAATTAATTGTAACTTCAAAATTGTACTCAAAAATCTGTCATCATACGATTTAAGCACGTGATTGGGTTTCTATATTTACAAGCAAGATTTCCTTACGATGTCAAACCAATAACAAGGAAGTTCAACATTCATACATGCTTATTACACCCTCTGTGAGAGGGCCATTCGTTCGTTTTCATGAGCATGACCATTATGCACGGATTGTGTTGTTGTGCCTATGTTGGTACGCAATATCCTCGGTAGCGTCGCAAGTTACAAAGCAGATCTTAACAGAGTTCCCATTCCCGTTGTTTTTGGGTGAGTTTCAGTTCTTGTATATTTCTATGCTTGCGGTATTGACGTGTTGGCTTGCTCGCAAATGGAGAGGATTTTTCAATTTGTTTCCCTCGGGCACCTTTCCAGATTATTCTCTCGGAGTTCAATCACGAGTCATCACACCACCCTCCCGACATATCATCCAAGTTGTTCTACCACTAGGTCTATTCCAGTTTGTGGGCAAATATTTTGGGCATAAAGCTACTTCATTAGTTCCAATATCAACAGTTTCGAGTATCAAAACACTCTCACCAATATTCATTCTAGTGGCCCAACAAACCTTACACATTGACCACAGGAAGCTAAATGTCATAAGTTATCTGAGTTTATCATGCATCTTGTCCGGGGTGTGGTTAATTGTATCTGATGACAATAAGCGCGTCGTAAAAGAAGTAATTGGAGAAAGTGATATTCAAGATTCCTCCGCCACGGCGACGCGACTCTCGAGGTCCTCTTCAGGTGTATGTTGCGCAATAGTATCGATGCTGGTTTTTGTTGCACAGAACATGTATGGCAAACAAGTTTTCACCAATACGCCAACACATGTCTCTACGATCAAACAATCTTTTAAAGAGAGTTCTCCACTGCCATTATATTCCGAAAAGAAATTCGGTTCTTTGAAGAGCAGGAAGTACGATAAACTCACTTTGATGATATACATTTCTGCAGTTGGATTTGTTCTTTCATTTGGTTGGTTTCTTACTTTAGAACTTCCAACTGTCTGGAGACTTTTTTATCATAATGATAGTGAAACTGTCAGTTTCCCGGTTCGGCTATTGCTTCTTAATGGTTTATTCCATTTTATACAAACTATGATTGCCTACTATTTATTGGGGGAGATTTCAACACTCTCATATTCCATAGCGAATTTGATGAAAAGAATTTCGGTTATTTTTGTAAGCTGGCTAATCAGTTGCCGCGAGATTACCCCAACACAGGTGACTGGATTGTCGTTAAACGCAATAGGTCTATTCCTCTACGAAAGGAATACGAAGACTCAAAAAAAATGAAAAGTTAAGAGTTCCTTTTTCATCTACAGTTCGAAAAATGTATTATATTATTCATCTCCAAACATAGATAGAACCATCGGTATTTCCACACACTATTTCGCATTTCGCGACTGCAACAGATGGCTCACTGCCGTTAATAAGCGATAGCACTCTAATCGTTCCATAAATACAAGTAATTGGAAAAGTATTACCTGAGCTGAGCTTTTTGAGGGGCTTTAAGTCCCACGATTTCACCGCATTTTGACATAATTCTAACACTTGAATCTCTCCGGAACTAAATCCAACTGTGATTATTTCCTTTTCTTTCCAATAAATGTGGTTTCTTTTAAATCTATCGACGCCAATGAAGTCAACAAGACTGGCAGTGCTTATGTCAGTTGTGAACTGCTTGTCAGCGTAAAGAGAACCATTTAAATCGTAAATCGACAGTTTGTTTTTGGAGTCAATTGCGACTATACTCCCCGTGGAGTTCGACAGATAACAATGCATGGCGGTTTTAGAAATTTGTCGAAGAATTTCGGATCTAAGAATGTCCCAACAGTACACTTTGCCAGCGGCATCCAGACTAACCAATGTGTTGTATTCAGATGACGCATGTAACTGTTTGATTGCATAGAGATGGCCATAGAACGCGGTGACCTCTTCAAGCTCGATTCCTACCTTGCCAGTTGTATATTTCCATAGTTTCAATAAGCCTGAGGCATCGCCTGTAAAAATTTGATTGTTTTTAAACAAGCAGAGAGCTGTGATCGGGCAAAAGTGTATGTTATGAAATATTTGACCCGCAATAGAAAGGGAGCAGGAGTTACTTATCTCCACAGATTTACCCTGCAACTTACCATGTAAAGGCCGATACCAGAAGGGATAGCCTTCCCAGGAGGGAACACCTTGGACACTGTACTCTTGACAAATATGTGAGATCCCATTTTCGTAAGTATTAGAGAATCGGCAATTGCTTGTGGTGATAGGGATTTCAGATATATGGTTCCAAACATTTTCATTCAACTTTGGGCCCGAGAAATCTATTTTGGAAGGATGAGGACCGTCAAATATCTGTAATGGTGTCTGGCCAAAGTTATGAATTATGCCAGTGACCGCACGTCTCTCGTTCTCATCATTTATCTTGTCCAAATTAACAGCACCGGGATAGCTTAACTTGTTGAACACATTGACCGCTTCTTCCGCCTCTTTCCCCTTTTGCTTATAACCAAATATTAGATCAATCCACTTGTGGAGATTTTTAGAAACGTAGGGACTCTCTAAAGCCTCTCTATTTTTGTCTATGAAAATTTTTGCATCACCCTTCGCCCACGGTGGGAGAATCACGTCGTTAACTCTTTCTCCATTCTGCAAAGCTCCAAAATCGTATTTGTTTATATTTGTCAAAAAATCCGGTAAATAGTAAAACTCCGGGGTAAGCTCCCTTACATCAGTACTATTTTCGTGGGCTGCGGAACACCATGTGCGTTCTATGTTGTTGAATAGACGATCGGCATGACCAAACTTTCCATCCTGCAGTATCAGATAGGAATCAACGAACGGTTCTAAGCGGATTAAAAAGGATGAAACTATCATAGCAGAAGAATAGTGCGTTCCATAATGAAAAGGTGGAGCGCCTGGATCATTAAGAGATGCTAGCGCTTCGTATCTTTCAACAAATTGCTTTCGTCTCTTTTCGGATTGGGCGCCCATCGGTTTAGATAAATCTCTGAAGGTCTTGGGATCATTGAAATTGAGCTCATCGCTAGTATAATCAGCAATAACCCATGGAAAAACTGGATATTGTGTTAAGTCATTGAACGTTCTTCCAGCAAGCGTATTGACGATCATCAAATAATAAAAATTTGAAATCTCCCCATTTTTCCATCGTTTGAGGGCGTCAAACGATTTTGTTAGATCAACGGTATTCGAAAATACGCTTGCTACTTTAGAAGAAAAAGTTAATTGCGAAAGACCATTTCGAATTCCAATATCATAGTTTCGCGCATTTATCTCGATCAAAGCATTACGAAAAACAGGATCAATTTCGGTAGATTTGGGGATTTTTTCAAGTTTCTGATACGCGTCTTCTCTCAAAGCTTTAGTGTGGAAGGTGAAAAAGCAGCTTTTACCGTTTTCGAAGAGAAATTCGATTGCCAAATCACGTAACAGAAACGGCCTCTTCGTGGCAAATACTAGATTAGAGAGTTCCCAAAATTGAATTTCATGGTTGAAGCCCTCCGACAAAACGTGTGTGCTTGTACCTGAAACCAATCCAATTGTATTGTCGCGTTCATTTTTAGGAGCATCTCGAAGCTCAATTATATTTTTGTTCCTGGATGAGAAAAAGTAGTTACTGAAGAAGTAGAGATAATTTGCGCTCATAATGAGCACTCCTTCGCTAATGCTCAATCCAATTACCCTACTACAGTTCCAAATTTGTTTGATGGTATCATTTTCTTTCAAAATTTTGAGAATTTTCCGATTCTTGTCTTGGGCGTCAAGTATATTGAGATCGAATGCCTCAAGATCACTGATCAACTCGAATGACATTACACTGCTACATCTCCGTCCGGAAGTCACTGCTGGTGGCCTCTGTGAATTTTCAAGATTTTCGTCCTCAATTTGATTTGCTTCGTCAGTTTCCTGAGCCAGTACATCATAGGTTCTATATTTTGGCACGAGACGTTTTTTCATTCTATTTGAGTTTTCCATAGAATCCAACGACCAGGCGAGTTCTACATCAAGGTCATCTTGGAAACGTGACCTACTCATAACGTCCGTTACCAGCTTATTCATTTGTTGCGCGTAAAGGACAAAAGTGTCTTCGAGATCATTCATAAAATAAGAAAGTTTTCTTTCTTCAATGGATAGTATTTTCAAATCCATGGCGATGCTATCGACATGAAATATGTTGTGGATCTTTTGAATTTGGTTATACCACTTTTCCAAACAAGTATGCTTCAACTGTAAAAGTTTCCCCATGGTTTCAGACGCTGTCAAAAGATCGCCATCTCTTAATTCTAGTAGCCTTGGCTTGATGTACTTCCTATGAAATCTTAATGAATGCCGGTCAAAGATGGCGGATATTTTTTCAGTTTTAAAAGACTCATAAATATCCTCATCGTTAGAACTCATTGTTGATTCGAGAAAATGTAATACCTCAGTTTTGTGGCACCGATCAATTGAGCATGAGATGTCTATGAGACTCTCTGAACAATGTAAAACAATTGTTCGGAAGCAGTTGAGTGCCAAGTGGCATGATCCAAGGTCACTTGCATCGATGTATCTTCCCAGGAGAGAGAGGAAAAATGAAATAAACTCTTTATCGAAAAATGTGAACTGTTTATTAAATCCAAAGAGCGTTTCCTGATGAAATAAGAGTGATTCAAAAAACATATTAGCACTGGACGAATTTATCGGGAACTTTTCATTCATCATCAGGAAAAACAAGGTAGTCAGAATTGAAATTTCGGTTTGTATTAATGAGTTCTTCGTGCTAGACTTAATTGGTATATGTGGTAACCTCAAAATTCCTTCTGCGGCCGAAACGACACACTTATGCACAAGTACGCAACTTATTAAATCCCATTCGAACAGTGCTAAGGTTTCTGAATATTTTGAGAGCATGTAAACAATATTTGAGAACATATGCTTATATTGGCCAAATAATAAATCAAATGTTGGTGCAAAATTTGCTAGTCTCTCGAGAATATCAGGAAATATGCCTATCCAAAATGCAGGCTTCAAATAGTTCGTAGCCCTGTCAGAAGAGGATGATCCATTGGATCGGTCACCATGGGAGTTTCCTCTTAAAAGAGCCTCAAGATAACCTTCGAATTCTGTGGTGTTTAAGGATGTTAAAGAATTGAAAACGTTGTTTGAAAGTAGAAATATCAAAGCTTCGGATGCCTTTTTATACGTCACACCGTTTTGAGATTTTTTTAAAGTCATCAAAAGATCCATGCTCTTTTCCAAAAATTTGGTTTCCTTTGGATTTAGAATGTTGCACAATGGCGAATGCTCCTGTATTTCAGAGATTGACTTCATGTAATAGTACAAGTATTCATTCATTTCCTCTTGAACTGATTCGGTGATGTCATTTATGACCGCCCATTCGATTAAATCTATTGCGAGGTAGTGATTCTCGAGCATTAGTATAGTTCCATGAGCAGCAAGACCTTCTCGATTGAATGTTGTAGCAGAGAGCAGCTCATCGCTTGAGATGAATTCACCTATGGCATATAGCCTTAATATGTTAATTAGCGTCGTGTAATTTTTGAGCTTGTGCTTTTTCATGATCTCAAAAAGAAGACTGTACCCGTTGTTCTTGATGAACTTTTGGTATGCATGAGAATTTACCTGTAATAGTTTTAAAAGAATCTGTAGCAACAGCTCTAAGATTGAAATTGTATCATAACTATAATCCATCATTGTCAGAATAGCCTTGATCGAAAATGAACTCGTTAATATATTGATTGTCTCTAGACGCTCAAAGTCAATTGCTTCAAAGAAGACAGCATTAAGTACCTGTAGAATGATTTCGGAGCTCTTATAATAACCTTGCCTGAGTTCGTAGTAAGCAAAATAGCACATTGAGGTGGCCACTTCTTGCGTTAATTCATCATTTAAAAGTATTTTGTAAACTTCGCAAAGCTCACCTTTTAGAACCGTGAGGAAGTTTTCATTTGGAGTTTTTGTAAATATGAGGTGTTGATGGTACAGTAATTTATTGAGAACACCGATAGACTTCAACTTTCTAGCGTTGAACCTCGCAAATTTGGAGTTCTTCACTAATTCTGTAATTTGAAAGAATAGGAATCTTATTATCTCTATGCTACCAGTTTGTTCACCATTTCTTGTGCTTGAAATCCATAATTCAAAATTAATCACCAGAGTGTCATACGCTGTCTCATGGCGCAATATAGACCATGACGGATCATCTGTATTCCAACCGCAATAATCCAGAAAGAGATTGAGAAATTGAATTGGAAGAGTAGTTTTAAGCTTTGGAAGTATTTTTTTAGTCAACATAGAGCCCAATAGGATATGACCTACTTCATTTTCAAAAACCATCTTTATATCGGGACATTTTAACATGATAAATAAGTTCTCAAGTAGCCCAAAGAGCATTTCTTGATCTTCACACTGATTAATCAAATAGAGCAGTTTCTGAGGTGCATTCAGTGATATGAGGGACGCTAAAATATTGGATTGTTGATAATAGTAACATTTGCCAAGTTCTACATCACTTGAATTGCCAACACGAACAAGTAGGCGCCCGTCATTGCTTTTGTTCGTGTGAATAAACTCCCTTGGATCCAATGAGATTAAGAGATTGTCGTAAGTCAATTGCTTCACATGCTGTGCACAAATTCCGTAAGTAACTCCTGGTGTTTCTATGGTTTTATAGACCTCTTGAAGAATATCTCCACCGAATAAATCAGGATACCCTACCGGACTGTCGTTTTGGCAAAATCTACGATGACAAAATAATCCAATTTCACTGGTGAGTTTAATACTGGTCTCATACAAAAGATCGGACCAAACCCATAGTCTATACAGCCTGAAAGAGCATATCATTGACCCCAGTTCCAGTTGCTTCACGTCCTTGATTGAATCTTGGATTAAAGATATAGTCTCGACGTGATTTCCATCGACATATAATGAGACATGATCCCCATTAACGTTAAGAGATATCTGATAAATTTTGCTACTTTCAAACTCGAAGTTTTGAAAGAGTGCCAATATGAATTCATCATTGGATATGCATAAAGTTGACTGTTTGATCTCCAAATAGATGCTACTATTGATGGTTAGGATTCGACTAGACGTAAGATTATTGATCATTACCCAAAGTTGAACCGTAAACTTATCTCTTGCAGTTTTAAAAGGTACCAATTCATAGGTGTTTTCAAATTGAAGGTAGGACTGTGAATAAGGATCGCAAAGTCCATTTTCAATCGTATTAAGAATTTGAAGATAGTCCCTAGAGCCCTCACTCACTTTGTTGTATGCATGCAGTATATCAGAAGGTGTGGAGTCCACGGAGAGTATCTGGCAGTATAGGTCTATCAACACTTCTTGCAGTAATGTATCAGTGCACGTATCTAGTAATTTTTGGATGAGGCTTTTGATTTTTGGAACTTTTGCAAGCTTCTGCTTGTTTACCAATGAAAGATAAGTCAAGTTGAGTATTATTTGTATTGCGATAGTGTAATACAGTGCTGTGGGTAAGGAATCGATACTAAAAAGCTCCTCCCACGATTTGGCGTTTGTTATGTCGAAGTTGTCCTCAGTTTCGCCAATATTTATAAAGTTTTGGGACAATTCGCCATAAAGATATTCAGAAATGGAATTAAGCTCTGTCGCTTGTGTATCTTCTTGGCGGTATTTGGTGATGACTTCGATTAAGGACAAATTTGACTGCATCTTTGATGTCCCATCATCTTCTTCCGACTCATCTTTGTGCAACACTAGTATATTCCCCAGTAGATGAGCTACCTCTTCCACAATATCCCTCATTTCTGGATCTATTGAGAAGGTAAACAGCGGCGAGACCTCTCTCCGCATAATCACATTTTCCCTAATTAAAATATGATCCATAGTCTTTCATTACGTACCCCATGATGGTCGCATAATTTGATATCTATCTCAATAGCCACGAGAGACGCAGACGACCCTACCTACATCTTGGTACTTGCCACTATTTAATATACAGCTAATTCATGTGGTGTCATTTATTTTGCCGAGCAATGCGCGCTACTGATCGGCGAGAATCATCAGATTTCAATCAGCACTTGAACTATTCTGCTCGACTTTTTTGGTTTCGTATTTCTCCCTTTGCTTCCGTATTCTTTCTTCCTTGACTGCCTTGGCAGTTTCAGGATCAAGCTTCTCTAGAACCATAGGAAATAGTAGCATCATTATTACCGTAATCACACCAGCCATTTTATACTTCGAGTTGACAATACTAGCCAAGGGGCCGCTCTGGAACATGCCAACGTTTCTCTGCTGAACGTACATCCTTAAAGGGGCTTTGTTAATTGTTGAGATGGTGATGTAAGGATATGCAGCTATTTCTTCTAAACGCTCAGGATACATGATTTCTGGCGATGGAAAGTACTCTTTCCCAAAAATATTCTTGTATGCTTTAATTGTGGGTTCACCTTCGCCCACATTAGTAAGCTCAATAAGAATTCTATTAGGTTTGAGATTGAAATCCAGTGATAAAGAATGAAGAACGTAGTATGTTGAAGAATTGACTTGAGGTAAAACAGGAACATCGGTAAACACAAACGATCCATTAACATCTGATATTTGCGCTTCAGCTGCAAAGGGCTCGAAAGAGTTGTTTCCCACGCTATATAACTTGAAATGGGTATTGACGACTGCTCTGTTTGTAATTTCAAATGGGCCCAATTCTAATTTACCCTTAATTGTAGCAGCGAGAGCAAGGGAGCAAATGCTTAAAAGTACCTGTAATGAGCTCAAGAGCATTGTCATAATGTTGGTTTTTCGATACCGCTAGTGGCTCTAGCGACTTTCTTACAGTGGAGGTTGTCATCCAGTTCCCTTTCGAGACCGCTCCTCCAGATTACTGTCAAGTTGCGAATACATCATGGTGTACGATATTTTATCTTATATAAAATGCGAAGACTGGCTTTTCACCACGAACAATATTTCTTACAAAACCACATTTACATTTACATTCAAGAACGAGTATTATTGTAGTGGATTTGTGACAATTCAAGACAATATCTTCTCTACAACTCAGTTCGAGAAAAACATGGTGTGGCAGTTATGTATTGGTGGAGCATGTCAAGCGGTGCCACCGCCATCTTCCTGCCTTACTCACATTATATAAATTCGCTTATTCGTAGATTAATCTTGACGCTCAGTTGTCCAGCATAATACCTCCAATGTAAACCTACCACATTCATTTCCTCAAGAGATGTTGTTGCCTTATCTTTAGCGAGTCACAAAAGACGTCGCTTCTTGCTCAGTTATTATATGTGACTGCTCAAAATTTCATTACGTGGTGTATGGCTTTAAGTTTCTTGAAAACTACACATAGACCCAGACATTTGTTTTTGTGTAGAAAAAAGATTTATTTTTTAAGTCAAGAGAGGAAGCGTACAGGTCGGGACTCTGCACGTACCGCGCGCTGTCAGAACATTGTCAAAATTCAAGACTTGGATTGACGTTTCCATATAGTAGTACAGAACACTAGAAAACATCAAGAATGGCTAAAGGTACGTTTGAGGGGTGGTATCCTGTTTAAAACCGTTTAGTTGTTCTTAAAGAAGGTGGCTATGTAGGCAGAGGGCGAATGATGGATAGTGCAACTTGATTGGTGCATGGTCTATGTTTGAATTCCCTGGTAGACAAAAGCATACGGTGAAATCATTGGCGGTGGCCAGCTCTAAGCCCAAGAGCTGGATCAAAATGTGTGTGTGTGTGTGTGCGCGCTTGAAGCACATTCAACTGAATTCCACCGAAGAAACATTCTTTAGGATAACTAAACGGTTGCGAGCAGATCCTGCGTGAGAGTAAAATCACCTTCCGCTGAATCTTATACTAACATGTCGTTTCAGACCTAGTTCAAGCTCGTGACAATTCCCAAGTTTTCGGTGTTGCAAGAATCTTTGCTTCTTTCAACGACACTTTCGTGCACGTCACGGATTTGTCCGGTAAGGAAACCATCTGCAGAGTTACTGGTGGTATGAAGGTTAAGGCCGACAGAGACGAATCTTCTCCATACGCTGCTATGTTGGCTGCCCAAGACGTTGCTGCCAAGTGTAAGGAAGTCGGTATTACTGCTGTCCACGTCAAGATTAGAGCTACCGGTGGTACCAAGACCAAGACCCCAGGTCCAGGTGGTCAAGCTGCTTTGAGAGCTTTGGCCAGATCTGGTTTGAGAATTGGCCGTATCGAAGATGTTACCCCAGTTCCATCTGACTCCACCAGAAAGAAGGGTGGTAGAAGAGGTAGAAGATTGTGATGCGTTGGAGCAAACGTCAGTGGCTTCAATTCATTTTTCACAATTTGTACTTTTAACTAGTGTGTTTTGTTAAGGAGTAGTATTAGTTAGTCATTTAATAAAACATTTAACATCATTTAGTTTCGCAAATCACAGTCGCAATCTCAAGCATTAATTGTTCTTGTTTGAAGAAAAGAAATGGCTACATTTACAACAATACGTGCCGACCGCTAACCTATTCACAATGGAGTTTTAAATATAAGTTAATTACAAAATCCTAACAGAGCATCCTTCGATTAGGAGGCTCATTGCAGTTCCTATCGGCATCCCCTGATGTCCCATGCCACTATTTAAGACATCTTGAAACCATATAGATGGCACGATTGTAAAAACTTTTGAAAATGGGTTTTAAATTACAAATGGTACAAAACACTATTCTCGCTTCATGCATTTAGCTTAGTAAACGAAACCCAAGATCTTACCGGAAACGTGCTTTCTTCTGGCCTCTTCGTGGTCCATAATACCGGCGGAAGTGGTCAAGATAACGTAACCGAATTGTCTAGCAGGCAACAAGTTCTCGGTCCATTTTTCGATGTCACCGATCTTGACGTTGAATCTTGGAGAGATAACACCACACTTGTTCAATCTACCGTTCAATTGAACGACAATCTTACCAGATCTGTGGTCATCGATGTATTCGAATTCACCAATGTAACCATGCTTTTGCATAACTTGCAAGAACTTGATGATGACCTTGGAGGATGGTCTGATCAACACTTGACGCTTACCGGTCTTTTCAGCGTTGTTGATAGCATTCAAAGCATCAGCTAGGACAGAGGTTCTGGTCATCTTGATCTATACTGTGTTAATAACTAATTCCACGATATAATTACCTGCGTAGCTTAAAGCGTATTGAAAAATTCAATTTTCGAGGTCTCACTACCGCTGGGTAGTCTGTCGCCCGAGATTCTGCTTCATGCAAGAAATCTGTCCAAGTTTTCGTATGACTGTTTTTTCTTGATCATGAGGTGTATAGGTGTACATTTTTTCTATGATGTTCTTGTGATCTTTTATATATGTGGTGTCTGGGTTTATTGTGAAAATGGGATACTTTTTTTTGTGCGGAGGAAAATATTCTACCCGAAAGGTGCCCGCCTAGAGTGCCGCTGCACAGGCGCCCGCCAACTCGTGGGAGCTGCCCTCCCAGCTGAACCTAGCAGGCGGAGGGAAGGTTCCTCGGCGAGACGGCCTGTGCAGTCTTTTTTTTCTTTAATTCTGAACAACATTCAGAATTGTTTCATTTACGAATCACCAACGAAAGCAAAGATGGCTGTATGTGGAATTCGAGTACCAGGGGTTTATTTCGAAAGATATGAAGATAGTGAAGAAATTGAATGGGCTATGGTAGGACAGTGCTGTGTCTGAGCGTCGAAGAGCTTTATCCTGAGTTTGTGATGGCCCCGAATGAAAAGTTCTCAGCTTACGAGGTTAGAGCGACATAGAAGCTCATGGTAATGATAGAACAGCGAGATCCTTAATGGGATGAACAGTAGAATACAACGGATTAATTAGTGGGCCCCGATGGTTTTTCAGGTGGGCAAAATAAGTTACGGAGGAATGCTGTCGTTTCAAAAACTTCACTCTGTTCATTTTTTCGAATACATCAGACATGTGTCAACCAGTGGCAATATACTAACTGTATTTTCCTCAGGCTAAGAAATCCTTCAAGATCAAGCAAAAGTTGGCTAAGGCTAAGAACCAAAACAGACCATTGCCTCAATGGATCAGAATGAGAACTGGTAACACCATCCGTTACAATGCCAAGAGAAGACACTGGAGAAGAACGAAGATGAACATCTAAGCTCTCTTTCGAGAAGATTTCAACTTTTATATCTCACTTGTCCAGTCATTTCAGTTGATTTCTAACAGTAATGTTAGAGTCAGTGAATTTAGTGTAATTCTCTTATATTATTATCAAGTAATATATAGCAAAGCTTAACGTTTAAACTTTAAGTGATCCTGCATTCGCGATGAAATACGGAGAATTTATCGACTTTTGAGTTAAAATATTCGAAAAAACAGGGGTTTGGGAATAAGATTAAACTTTAGAGGTATAACCCATGAGAAAATTTTGATTTTAAGACTACGTGCGCCTACTATTTTAACACAAGAGTCGATGGTAGCTGGACACATCAGCTATACTTAAATTGTCCAATACACTTTAATCATTAAAAATTCAGATACTATCTAGCATTAACGTGTGTTTGAAAGCTCATCATTGTGTCCATTAACGCACCAATGGTTTGAACATACTATAGCATGTTCACCGAACGAACTCGTTCGCGCATATACACATATTGGAAGGGACGATGATGTCTTTGACATAGTTTTTTTTCTTGTAACGTTTTTCAGACCGCGGAATCATGTGCAACGACAATCTTGAAAGCTGTAATAGTAGGGCTGATTTTTAGTCTTATATACATGGCTAACAATGTCGCAGCATTAGCATGCGAAGGTTTATCCTCTTATTATAGGGTATATGCTTTCTATGTGAAAAACTCGGGCTTGGGTCCGAAGTCATCTTCTTGAATTATAGCGCCGGCTTTCCGTGTCATTTCTACGTATTCGCATTCTTCTGCGTGTAATATCTCGTCGGCAGTTGGCCGTTTAGTATAGTCTGGCTCAATGAGACGACGTACCATTCTTTCTAATGAAACGCCATCAATTAGAAATTTGGGGACCCATGCTGGAATATCGTGATGTTGGAGAGTTAGACCTGTTTTGGAGTTACCGCTTGAGAACACGTTGGTAGCCTCTGTGTTCACCTTTGTAGGGGAGAAGAGGGAATCGGAATGAATTTCTGTGGAGCTCAGGCGACCAGCATCCGATAGGTCACCAGATCGCAGTTTATGCCATGCATTGCCATTGTCGGGTAAAACGACGTTGGCGGCAATTTCGACGATCATGAGACCGAGAGAGAATATGTCAGCTCTGAAATCGTAGACACCATCGGAAATGATTTCTGGTGCAATGTATTCACGATCACCCTCATTTTCGAACCCTGTTTCCGCAAGAGGAAGCTTGGTGGCCATCCCAAAATCCCCCAGCTTCAAAGACCCTTCGAAAGTGATGAGTACGTTTGCAGGTTTGAGATCCAAATGCACCATGTGGCACGAATCGTGAATAAACCGAAGTGCGAGACTCAGCTCGACTATTATTTTCCAAATACGCCAATCCTCGAGCCGGGTATTTTTGCTAATCACTTGTTCTTGTAAGAAAATATCCAAATTACCATTTTCGCAGAATTCGGTCATAACATAGTAGTAACCTTGGTATTTCCAAGAGCTGATGAAAGTAAGCACGTATTCTTTGCCCTCTTGATCCAAAGTGGTTTCGCTAATTTGCGATAGCAATTCTATTTCTTGGAGGATGCGTCGCGTAGAATTGTGTTTGTTGGGACGCATGCTTTTGACAGCATACTTGGTGTTTGTTGGAGGGAACATAATCTGGTACACTTGTGAGAATTGACCACTACCGATGGATTTTACGTTCGAGAACTTGGTAGCCAAATGTGAATCGGGGTTGGCTTGGAATTGGTCGAATGAGGGCGACGCAGACCTGCTAATCTTGGCATTGATTGAACGTTTGGGTTTGGCTATCAGGAAAGGAGATTGTTGTGTGAGTGGGTATGCCTTTGTGGGGGTATGCAGGGGACTCACGGGGTCCATTGAGAGGCGTATGGAGGGAATCGCGGAAGGAAGGCGTTCGGAGAAGAAAGAATCGTCGTTATCGTCGTCGTTACCATACAGGTCGTCGGTGAATTGTTGCAATGTGTTGGTCAAGACCGTGTTGTTGAGGACCTTGGAGGCTCTGGTCTTGCGCGTCTTGTAGGCGGGCAAAGAGTCCGAGGTGAGATTGGAAGACAGAAATCGGGTGTGGGCAGCGGACAGCGGAGAAGTCTGTGTGGATGCAAACACACCCGTAGCAGAGGAGTAGGAATGTACAGGGGAATCCATAATGGAGGTGGTGTTGGCGCTTCTGGGGAGCGGGGATTTCTTCACGGGCGTGTCTGGCGGGTTGATGCGTTGTGGGAGAAGGTTGGAGCGCATCTTGGATTTGAGCCCCGAGGAAGCGAATGCGGTTTGGTCGGGCTTGGCGCTGGTGAAGGAGTGCTCGTCGGTCTTGCGGTGTTTGGACGGATGGACGACGGACGCGGGGGCGGCGAGCGTCGCGGACGACGCAGTGGGGAGAGGAGCAAGTGGCGACGGTGCCAGCGTGCGGTGGGCCTCGTCAGTGCGCTTGTACATCCACTTGCGTAGGATTTCCGGGTCATTTACGAAGGGCGAAAGCTCGCTCTTGCTGGCGGAACGCTTGAGGGTTGCTGGGGACTCTGGCTTCTCTTTGAACGGGCTCCAGCTGTCCATGTAGTCGTGGATGGTGGGGACAGGGCGGGAGACGACGTCTGCGCGGTGAGTGGGCTGCTGGGGGGCGGGCTCGTGGCCCAGCGACAGGTTGAGAGTTCCTGCGCTGCGGGTGAGCCCGAGAGCGTCTGGCTTGCGTTTCTTGTGGCCGACGAAACGGAGGTTGTTGCTCGAGCTGTCCAGCAGGTCGAAGCTGCCGAGGCCGTCGTCGAGGGGGCCGTCGTCGAAGCCGTCGTCGAGGTCGTAGTGCGCGGCGCGGAGAGCGCCGTCGCTGCGCTTAGTTTCGCTTGCGTCCATGCGCTGATGGAGCCAGGGACGACGAGTATGCGTGAGCGGTGTGCACGAGAGGGCTTGTGACTGCTCAGAGGGCACGACGAAAGTTAATGGTGGTGGCCGACGGGCGGACGAGCCAGTTGTGTTCACATGCGAGGCCGGGACGCGATTTGCCCATTGCGCGATGTTGTTTTTTTTCGCGATCGGACGCGACGCGAAAAGCAAACGGAAAGGGGACGCCGTATGTGGCGATACCTTTTCCGTACCGAGCGACTGCGCCTTTAATGGGTGTCTGGGTGTTTGTGTGCATGGGTGTTGTGTTTGTCGTTCGTAGCGACTTTTAGCTCCTCTTGCCCGTGCCTTTTGACCAGCCGCTCCGCAGTTTTCCTCACAAGCAACGAGGGCGGTTAGTGTAGTGGTTATCATTCAACCCTTCCAAGGTTGAGACACGGGTTCGATTCTCGTACCGCTCATTTTTTGCGTGGGGTGCGGAGCAGCTCAGTCTGCTGAACAATTGTACTGTGGTGCAGACCTTCTACGGTTCCCCATATACTATAAGCACTCTATACTCTACGGTACTCTCTCTCTCTCTCTCCCATAGCTTCCTTGCCTCTGCACCATGCAAATCGACAGAGACGACGGTGCAACGACCGCGCAACGACCGCGCAACAACCGCAGCCGAGGGACGCAGGGTGCGTGCATGCAGCGTCAGACCACCCAACAGCGCAACCCGAACCTGCGTCCCGTTGACGCAGGCGTCGGCCTCTACCAACGCATCGCCATCGTCCAGTGGATTTACTTGAACCGCGTTTTGGTATCCGTGTTGGGAAGGTTTGTGACGTAAAACGTCGCAGCGCGAGGAGGCAGCCATGATTTTCGTCGGACATGGGAAAAGTTTTAAGTGGGATGGACGCGCAATCTGCCAGTTCAAATCAAAACTTAGGCCCAGAAACCACAGAGTGCTATGATCAAGATCCGGAGAAAGGTGGAGTGGGCCGTGGTGCTGCTGTTTGTAGTGGTGTTCTTCACGTCGCGGCATCACGTGTCGCGCAGCAACGGGCCCGCGGCCAACGTTGCGTCCCAGGCGTCGCGTGCCAGCGTCGAGCGCGAGCGCGTGTTTGAGAAGGTGTTCGAGCACCTGGCGGCGGCTGCGCCGCCGCCCGCGCCGCACAGTGTCTCAGAGTTGCGTCCCGACGACTGCCAGATCCACGACGTGGGTTTGAACCCTGACGCAGACGTGCAGCGCCTGTCGTACGACACGCTCGACCGCTGCTACCAACCCTCGGCCGCGCAGCTCCAGGCGCTGGAGACCGCGCACACGCGGTTCCGGCACGCCGTGGAGTCGGAGCTGGCGCTCGAGGCCGACGCGCCCGTCTTCGACGCGCTTTTCCCGCGCGAGCGCGGGATCGTGACCGTGGGCGGCGGCAAGTACTCGCTGCTCTCCTATTCCATGATCCGCGTGCTGCGCGAGCACGGGTCGCAATTGCCGGTTGAGGTGCTGATCCCGCCCCAGGACGAGGGCGACGACCACTACTGTGACTCTGTGTTGCCCGCGCTCAACGCGCGCTGTGTGTTCATGCGCGACCTGTTGCCCGCGTCCGTTGCGTCGAACTGGCATTTCAAGCAATACCAGATCAAATCCGTCGCGTTGCTCTTCTCCAGCTTCAAGAAAATCATCTTCATCGACGCCGACAACTACCCCGTGAAAAACGTGGACCTGCTGTTCGAAAGCGACGTTTTCGCGACCACCGGGCTAGTGCTGTGGCCCGACATGTGGCGGCGTCTCACGCCGCCTGCGTTCTACCGTCTCGCGCACGTCGATGTCGACCTCTCGACCCGCGTCCGCCATCTGGGCGACGACGTGTCGCCAGTGTCGCAGTACCAGAAACCCGACGCGGACGCCGCCTACAACCGGGCGCACGTTCCGCTCCACGACCTCGACGGCACCGTCAGCGACCCCACCTCCGAAACCGGCCAGCTGGTCTTGGACAAAGTGCGCCATTTTGACACCCTGCTGCTCGCCTTCTACTACAATTTATATGGCCAAGACTGGTACTACTACATGTTCTCGCAGGGCACGTCGGGCCAGGGCGACAAGGAAACTTTCGCCATGGCTGCCCACGTGCTCGGGAAGCCTTACTACCAGGTCAAGACCAAGATCGATCTCGACGGCTACTGGGCGCCTGACGACTCCGGGTTCAAGGGCGTCGGGTTGCTGCAACACGACGCTTCAGAGGACTACCTTGTGCACGGCCGCGCCGAGGCGTACGTGCGTGAAAACTACGCTACCCTCGCGGAATACAACCCCGACTACAACGTTGACAAAGTCTTCTACAACGGGTTACTTGTGCCCGAGGGCAAAGACGCAGTCGACGTGATGTTTGTCCACGCCAGCTACCATAAGCTCGAACCGTGGGGCCTTTACAAGGAGCGCACTTACATCGACAACGATGGCGGTTTCTTCCGCTCTTTCAAAAAAATTCATCGTCTGCACGGCTTCGACATCGAGTTGTTCCAATTCCAGCTTCTCAACAACGCAGTCTGCTCCGACAAAAAAATTCAGTTCAAGTATCTGCAAGAGTATTTCGAAAAGGAGGAGTGGCCCCGGGTGTGCGAATACATAGGCAAGCGACTCCAGTACCTGATGGACACCCACGAAGAGGCCGTGGCCGAAAATTGATCTCATATACTACCACACCGTCTGCTAATCATTGTTTTCTGCAGAGTTGCATCGCGGGTGCGGATCGTGGGCGTGGATTGCGAATCTGTGTCTCAGAGCATCTCCTCTCGTCTGCATCACACATGCAAGCTTTTAACGCTCGACTCCGCATGTCCCCGCCTGCAGTGGTCCTCCCACTCTCAGCATTCACTCCCGCAAACAACGTCACAAACATCCCATCTCGGCCTTGGCCACCTGCAGTAAAACACTATTTATATCGATGTGTAATAAAAAAAGAGCCGTGTATTGTAATATTCATTACCTTGCTTCCTTCTGCTTACAGCATCCACGTTGATCTCGATTGTCATGCACGTACCAAGTGACTGTTGTCATTAACATCAACTGCCCCTTTTAAATTTGTCCACCTATAGGACTGTATTACTCGAACCTGTATATAAGCGAAGACAAAACTTACTCAATTATCATGTCTACGGAGAGAACCAAGTATGCGAGTAGCATTCTGACCTCCAAGGATCCGTTAGAAGCTACAGAGATTATTCGAGTTCGGTTGTCTCAGGCAAAGCTCATCAACAAGGAATTCTACCTCTTCTTCAAAGAACTCGCCGACCTTAAAAAAAGTTACTCGCAACAATTGCGCAAGATCATCGCCAAAAATGAGGACCTCGAAAAGCTTCTGGCTCACGACATGCTTGAGGCCAACGTGCTGACCCCGGATGAAATGCGCGATTTCCATTTCGACTCACTCGGAGCGCTCAAGGCGGTGTGGGCCAGCGTCATTTCTGAGCTCAAGACCGACTTGCAAACCTCAACAGAACTCTATCTCACCCTGGACAAGGACGTTGTGGTGAGCCTGAAGAATTTTACCGAGACAGACCCTCGCTGGACGGAGAGCCGTAAACTTCACTCGACTCTCAGCCAAATTGCCGCGAACATCGATTACAATAAGCGCAAAAACGACAGCAGTCATGCTGAAAAATTACGCGAGGCCAATTACAAGTGGGACTCCCAAGCAGCGGATTTATTCGAACTTTTCGAATCCACCGACTACAACCGCCTCTTGTGTCTGAAAGAGTGCCTATTGAAATTCCAAAGCGGATTTGGAGACTCTTTGAACCAGAGCCTCCAAGAAAGCGAAAAAATCATGGATCAAATAACGCGCTTCGAGCCGGAGGCAGAAATCGATCGTTTTGCAAAATCCGCAACCGAATACAATTTCCATTTTGCGTCCCCTTCCGAAGTGACGCCTTCGTCTCCAACCTCTCCAACTTCAACCAAGACTGCCAGCACTCCTTCTAAGAGCAGTCATCGTTCTTTTGGTAATTTTACCAACAGATTGTCATCTTCTGGAACTGTGATAAAGCATGATTTAATGAAAAAAGAGTTTTCGGACGACACCAATAACACCTCTCTCAAGGGTAAAAAATCCTCTCACAAATTGAGATCCAGAATGGGATCAATTTTCGGAAGAAACAAGTTGAAAAACAAAAAATCCGGTAAACTTTCTGAGCATGCCATTCCTGAGAGTGAATCTTCTTCTCTCAGAACCGCAGAATCAGTGGCTCATACTGCTGCAACTTCAAATCACCGCTTGGATAGTTCACACGGAGCCGAACAAAAGCCTGTAGCTCCAGAACCAAATTCAACCCGCGAAGAGCCTCCAACAAGCTTACCAAAGCCTACAATGGCTGGAACAAGCTCAACTCTCTCTATTCACCAACCACCTTTGCAACCACAATCGCGCGAAAAGCCCCTACCCTCTCAACCTTCTCAAGCTAGTAGCGCCACTCCGGATTCGATCTTAGCTGGTCAACCAACTGAATTGCAATCACCACCACAACAACAAGTGCAGTCGCAATTGCACCCTCAAACACACCCTCTTCACATTCAAGCTCCTCAACCTCCACAACCACCTCCATCAAGGAAGGCGGGTGGCAATATTCCCCTGGATGGTTCTAGAGAGCCACATGGATCCGTCCCTGCCGTTTCGCATACCCCTAGACGTGACGTGCAATCTAAATTGTTTACCGACTTGTCTCAAACAGACATTGATGCTCAGCGCTACAGGCGTCATTCTTCTTTAAGCTCCCAGATGACAGGAGAAATGAAAATGCTCAATCCTCAAGCTACCGGATCCTCCATGACTTTGCCAATCTCTGGTCAATCGATTTTCCAACATTCGGAATTAACTTCTTTTGGCTTAAATGCCAGTATTGCAGAAGTCATTAATGCCACTTTCAAAGATGGTATTTTAGAGTCTTCCCAACTTATCGGTGAAATTGCTTTGAATTACATATCAGATGGGAGTGATTTACCAATCGACATTAATTTGAAAATGTCGAACGTGGAAGGCTTGGAGAAAGTCATTGTTAACCAAGCGTTTATTGAGCCAACTCAAACAGGTATCTACAAAATTAATCCGCAATTCATTCACTCAAAGACTCTGGGAGCATTAAAGTATTCTCTGCCACAACCAATCGCCCCTATTGTGATCCATCCCGCGTGGAGATTTGAAGAGCACCAAGCAAGTGTAGTTCTGACGTTGAAAATTGCACCCACTGTTCCGGAGTCGGTGCAAGAACTTATTTTGGACGATCTAATTGTATTTGTCGCTATAGAAGGAGCTAATCCTACTAGTGCACTTTCGAAACCACAAGGTTCCTTCAGTAAAGAAAAGAAGAGAATCACATGGAGATCGAAAGAACCACTAGTTTTAAAGAGAGATGGAGAAGAAAGATTCATTGCCAGGTTCTTAACCGACGGCTTGGCTCATGAGTCACCTAAAGGTGTAATGAGCAAGTTCACCATCAAAAACTCGAAAGTGGGGAGTGGATTAATACTACAAAGTCAAGAAGTTGACGTCAATGATCCATTTGTTACTGAAGTAGCTTGGCAACCAGTATCGACTGCCACAACATTGGTAGCGGGCAGCTATCATGGCTTAGCATAGAGGCCAGAAGCCAAAAACAACGGATAAGCAATTGCCACTGTTGTAACAGGACGCTTGTTGCCATATTTCGTCCCTAACCTAGGTCTATATAAACCTCCTTCAAATTCAGTGTAGAATAACAGTAATGAACCAAAATTGTATTAACTTAAATCCCCTACCTAGTAACCTGTGTAATCTGCTTTCAAACGTGGAACTATATTCCAGCTATGCCAAGACCCAATACCAGATGATGAGCGTGAACGGGAGCTCGACACTCTGTCGTTGCTTATTTTTTCACCCGAATCTTCTGATCTTACCGCCCATAAGTAGCGGCAAATTGAGTCCAAATTAGACATCTGCGTATTTTGCAATGAGCACGTCCACAGTAACTCCCTTTGTGCGAAAACGGATGGGACACTTCGAAACCTATGAAGTGGGTAGTCTATATTGCATTGTCTCTTGAGCAGTGGCATGGTTTGGTTAGCAAACCTCTGTAAACTAAACTTCTGATTGGGAGTGAGTTTATCTAAAAGATGTGCAGTGTAGTTATCTGGGTGTAGCGGCACCGATGCTATTTCTTTGTAGGGCTCTTGAGCCACACTTTGCAAGGGAGTCTCTTCGTCAACACCCCATGCTTTGATTATATCCTGGATTCTTTTATTCGTGCGTGTGTGTTGTCTTAGCGACGCTTCGCCATTTTGTAAGCACCAATCGTCTATTCTCTGAGAATTAGACAGTGGAAGTTCTTCTTCTTCCTCGTGGTAACCAGAGCCTTCGGACTCGCTAGAGGTTGATAAAATAGCAAATTCCTCCGATTTCACCTCGTTTGTACAGATTCTCGAGTCTTCACTAACTGTTTCCTGGTCATGATGAGTGGGATTATTCAATATATGGACGTCTAGCGCACCAACACTCAAATATTGCAAGTCTTCGCTCTCACTGCTGTTCCTATAACTGAGAGTGGCATGAACTGCCGACCTCGATCCCCTTCTATGATAGCTATTGAATGACATGTGTGTTATATAGTCTGTTTAGTATTGCGATACAGCGCAATCTAAGGATGTCAGGGAGATATTTATTTCTCTCGCCTGGCGCACGACAATGCGCCAATGTCAGAATACGAGCCACAGTAAAAGATACAAAACTCAAGGAGCGTGCTTATGCTTGTTGCTCACTATTCTTGAATTCAATAGCTTGGGAATCCTATAATCCTAGCTTCAACACCTTCATCTCTCTAGTCTTTTGCCCCTGCTCATAAGGCTTTCTCGTTAATCTGCTTGCTGCCAAGATATGTTCTGGCGAACGTCAAATGCAGCACAACTACATCTTACTTCACCACTACTAATGGGCATGAACTCAGTAACTCAGTTCATCGGCTATATACGGCTGTTCTTTCATCATAAATCTGCTGTTCGTATCGCGGTACAATGGTTCTTGAAACGCGACATGCCTTGAATTGAAAAGGCATCAAGTCAACAAACAGAATACACTCTTAGGACAGTATTTTGAGTACCACAAAAGAATATGCTTCGTCAACAAGTTCGCGCGTTCCACGCATCCAGCAAGAGAATGAATTTTTCCAAGATGACAATCGTGGGCCGCATAGGTTCCGATTTCACAGAATACACTTCCAGCAACAACAACAAGTACTTGAAATATAGTATTGCGTCGCAGCCTAGAAGGGACGGACCTACCAATTGGTTCAACATCACTGTCTTCAGTGACCCCCAGATGAACTTTCTTACTCAATACGTTAGAAAGGGGTATGTCCAGAAACTTTGTAGATTTTCAATGCATCACTACTAACAGTTTTGTTTCGCAGCGCCCTAGTTTACGTCGAGGCAGACGCCGCGAATTACTCGTTCGAGAGAGAAGATGGTTCCAAGGGTACATCTTTGAGTTTGGTGCAAAGTATGTAATTTGAGAAACTTTCAAGCGTGTGTTACTCCTACTAACGAACACTACAGGGGAGATTAACTTGTTGAAAAACGGCAAGTCTCCAGAAGAAACCGCAGAAGAATCTGCTTGAGTGAGCAACATACGATCGATTGCTGCGTGAAAGCAAGACGTTTGTGGGTTGGAATTTAGTCTGCTTTTTAATATATATATATGCTACAACGTGTAATTTCTAACATTAGCTTTGAATGATATTTTTAAGTTCGGAAACAACTGATGGGAACAAAACATGAAATACACAGATTCATGAATTACTAAAGGGAATTTTCATCTCTCCCCAGAATAACACACACAACTATTGCATACATTGTTATCCCACTGGAGATATGTATTTGGCAGTATTATCGTAATGCTGTTATTTGCTTCGCACTGACACTTGGTTTGCTTGGAACGTCCATAGTGATTGATATCAGAATGATAACGAAGACATAACTGAAAATGATACCATCAATTCTGCTATTACAACTCTCATCAGAGCAGCATTATGGCGGAACCTTTCGCTGTTTACAAGTCCCCTAACGAGCAGGATCGGGAGTTTAAAGTTGACTCAACAAGCAAACGGTACCAGACCACTAACGGTCAAACTACTGGTCCTAGTGCGTACGTGGTGCAGGCCGGACAAGTTGATGTAGACAAACCATCAGATCCTAAGAAAGACGAAAATGGTGATTATACGTACCTGAGCAAACTTAGAATGGGCCTTACAGGACTGCAGGACGACATCAACGAATTTTTAACGGAACAAATGGAAAAGGCGAAAAATAAGAAGTATAAACAAGACGATGAAATTAGGATAAAAGGTGAAATCGAGAAGTTGCTTGATGGTGGCGACGATGATGACGACGACGAAAATGAATAAGCAAGCCCACAGTGTGACCCTTTATTTTCAGCATTTATACTACATGTAGCATTAAAAAAATTAAGTTTATTAAGACATATCTGGTCTAGTTGATCCCAAAGATTGTATCAGTGATGGGCATTAAGGTAGTTTCTTTCGGTTGATGCTGCACTTACTGAAGCTAGAACTTCCAAATCGCTAGTTCCTAATACTATTGATGCGATTTGTTCAGTTTAATTTTGTTTTCCTTGGCTTGTCATGTATTTTTTCTACGATTCCGAAAGGCGATGATCATTAAAGTGGTAAACGAGGACAAAGATTAGTGCTTCTCTATCAGGTCGAACTCAAAACGCCCAATATGCATGCAAAGGAGTTGAAGAAAGATGAAGAGGTACTAGAGGTGTCGAGGACCCGCATAAACGAACGATTTTTGCTGTTCAAGATAGATTTGTTCGTCTTGTCATTTGTCTGCCTGCAATATTGGATAAACTATGTCGACCGTGTAGGATTTGTGAATGCATACGTGTCCGGTATGCAGCATGACTTGTCACTAAAAGGTGACGATTTCAATTTAATCAATACCTGCTTTACAGTTGGATACGTTATAGGCATGATTCCCAACAATCTGATACTTTTGGTCATCCAGCCTCGAATCTGGCTAAGCTTTTGTACTCTTGCGTGGGGAATACTAACCCTGTCGATGTATAAGGTAACAACGTTTCAGCAGTGCTGTGCCATCAGATTCTTCCAGGCTGTGTTTGAAAGTTGTACCTTTTCAGGTACACATTTAATACTCGGCTCTTGGTATAAGGAAAACGAGCTCACCATTAGGAGCGCGATATTCACCAGCAGTGGATTAATAGGTTCTCTTTTCAGCGGATTCATGCAGGTTAGCATATATAACTCCCTCAATGGGCGTAGAGGGTTGGCTGGCTGGAGATGGCTATTTATCATTGACTTCTTAATTACTGTTCCGATTGCAATCTACGGATTCCTATGCTTTCCTACTACACCTGATCATGAGGGCAAGGGTGGTGCGAGCTCCTACATATTTTCCAAAGAAGAGCTTCAATACGCGCGCAGAAGGTTGCCGACAAGAAATGAAAGCACGAAGCTGGACTGGTCTGTTTTCAAAAGAGTTCTCGGGAGATGGCATTGGTGGTTGTTTAGCTTTGTGTGGGTACTTGGTGGTGAAAACATCTCATTCGCCTCGAACTCAACATTTGCCTTATGGCTAAATGATCAAAAGTACACTTTGTCCCAGAAAAATCATTACCCCATGGGCATTTTTGCAGTAGGAGTAGTTGCTTCATGTGGTGCTGCATTTTACCTCGACAAAATCCGTGGCGGAAGGCATTGGCATGTTGCTGTAGTAATAGCCGTTGTAATGTGCACTGTCGCTGTAATGATTCGTGCCGCACCCCTAAACCCGAAAGTTATGTTCGCCGCCCAGTATCTTGGAGGAGTGTGTTACGCGGGCCAAGCTGTCTTCTTTGCATGGGCGAATATTGTCTGTCATGACGATTTACAAGAGCGTGCCATTGTTTTGGCATCTATGAATATGTTTTCAGGCGCTGTAAACGCCTGGTGGTCAATAATATTTTACTCTGCAACTACCGTACCGTATTTTACGAAGGGTTGCTATGCTCTCATAGCCACTTCTATTGCCAGCGCCATTGTATCTGTGCTCATACGGATGCTACAAGTGCGAGAAATCAAATTCAAGCTACAGAATGTGTCTCGGAACCTTAACTTCGTCTCAGTAAATGAGTAGGTGGAAAGTATCTGAACCTGACTTTCTCAATGATAGTTTAATCGATGATGAATGCATCGGATTTATGTAGGACGTCTTTCCTGGTCATTTCTGTAATCATTACACACGTAAATGGATTCTTATGGGAAAAGTTTTCGTTTTTTAGTTTGGATCACAGCTTCATTATTGTTTCGATAACTGCGTAAAGCGTGTTTGGCCGTCGGAAGCGCAGGTACATACGAAAGCGTTGTTATTAATAGCGGCTGTCGTTTGGCTTATCAGAATGGTCTTTAAACTGAAGCACAAGCCGGCGCGTGGCGGATCAATGCGTGGTTGGCCGGCGAAATTTAGGAATTTCTTCATGGATTCCAAGAGAAGGAGAAAGCAGGTCTTTACACTATTTTCACTCGGAGGATTAGTATTCCTCCTCTATATCTTAGGTGGTCTTTTCGGGAGAAGTCATACTTCGAAGGCCGCTGCTCCCCAGAAGGTGCATGGTTACTATCTGAACGACATTCAAGCCAAGATGCCACTTATCTTTCCTAAAGTTCAAGACGCGCCAATTCTCAAGGAATTGAAGATCAAAGGTCTTTTCATATTGAGAATTGATGTGAACAAAGTGGGGCGTTATGTTTTGAAAGAAAGTGAGCCTCCCATGACAGAAAAAGAAAAGGCTGAAATAACTGATTCAAAAGCACTTGCCAAGAGAATGTTTTTAGACCACGGCAAAATGGTTTACAGGAAGCCTACAGACTATCCAGAAGTCGTCATTGTTACTTTGATTGATTTTGACTACTATGATCAGCAGTCGTTGCTCAAAATCGTACAAAACAGGGTCAACTACGCTGTCAGACACAAGTACGGTGTGTATGTCCGTTGGGCTCAAGAGTTCATTCCTGCTGTCCAGAAGCAGAATGTCAAAGACTCCTACGACTCTTTTAAGCCGCTGATAATGAGAGCTGCCATTTATGCCTTCCCACAGGCGAAGTATTTCTGGTTTTTAGACCAAGACGCGTTGATTGCACAGAAAGATATTTCCTTACAAAGTCACCTTCTAAATTCTGAAATGCTTGATGCCAGCATTTTACGCAGCGTTCCAGTTGTTGCAAAGAGTAACATTAAGACTTACGAACATCTACCAGTTGAGAATGTCGATATTATTTACCCTCAGACCAATGACGGAGAAATAGATACTTCTTCGTTCATCGTCACTCCAAGCGTCTACAGTAAGGCGTTCTTGGACTATTCTGGCGACCCTCTTGTGCGGGGTTTCGACTGGAATTCTGACTCTCACTGCATTGGTCATATCTTGCAGTGGCATCCTACTCTTTTGGCCAGAACTGCCCTTGTCGTGCCCAAGACCATTGCTAGTGTATTTGACCCAACTCAAAGTACGAACAAAAAACTTGATGCCCAAACTCTACATTATACCGACGGCGATCTTGTTGTCTCCTTCAGCGGCTGTAGGGAAAGAGGCAGCTGTGCACAAGACGTTGGGACCTTCTACGAGCATATTGAAGGAAACCAAGAATGAGCCACATCCATCTATACGTTGAAGTTCACGGAAATTTAAGATGCTCCATCTTTTTGTAAATTTAATACAGAATTTAATAGTTACTGCTAGGTACAGTTAACAGTTGCCATATAAAGTATATAATATAGACTAGTGCGCAGTATTCTAAATCCTTTGAGCACCGGCCCGTTTCTTTTACACAGAGAATTTAACTGTTTTTCCTCGACGCGAAAATTCTTGATGAAAAAAATTGCACTGGGACGCGTTGGTAGTATCCTCATTTACCCAAGTGGGTCGAAATTAATCGCGAAAATGATGTAGAGAAGGAACAGGGTAGAATGCCTGCTTTCTTTAACATCGCTTTGTTTTATCAAGAGGTCAGCACATTCAGTATCTTCTGCTTATCCTACTGAGTTAGCGGGCGATGTCTTTAGTTAGGGTCATAGCTCTGGAGAAAGACCTTAGGAAGCTGCTGGTCAGGCTACTGGTTCTTTTCGAGCCAGGGAAATCACGGCCGCTGTCACCTTTGGACCCTTTGAGCGGGCTTGTACAGCAAACGGAGCTACTACGCTCAGCTGTAAAAGAGATAATATGCAAGCATGGTGAGATAGAACAGTTGCTGTCTGTAGAATCAGGCGGAACTGCAGAAGAGAAGTTTCAAGCATGGCTTAATGAACCAAAGTTACTGGGGTGTTACAGCACTCTTATGAGCGGGTTGTTAAAGCTGCTGTTTTGTTCGAATGTCACGATGTATCGGTTTTCGATTAACACCGACTTCACCAACACAGTAATTCGTGCTTACAAACTGCTACGCGAACTGTCTTTGATTAGCAGCGTGTCAAACGCGCAATTACTTTCCATTATTCACTCCTTCGAGTGCCATTTCAAAACACACTGGAATACGATAAATTGTACCTCCTACCATTTCGAAAACGTGAGAGATCTATTGTCTCATGGTCATGACATTGTCTGTCCTCCTCTTTTAAATCTCTCTGAAGTCATAAAAAGAGATTATTTCCGATTAACAATTGCAAAGTTCAAGTATTCGAACATCCTGGTTGAGCTTTTTCAACTCTCCAACGGAGAGCTAGCTGTTTTCAAAGTAAACTGCGGAAAGTTGCCACACACCATTGATTCCGTGAAATCATTGCTTGATGAGCTTTCGCTATCTTACAAAGGAAGAGAAAGCGAACTTGGGAGAAGTCTCTTATTTCCAACGTTGAGAAAGGACGACCTTGATATTTTCGCCGAGAATCAAGGTAATATCGAGTTAAAAACTAAAACGGGAAATGGAGTTGTCCTCAAATTGAGTCCTGTCGACCCTACCCAATGGGACACTCACTGGAAACTATTTTTCTACAGTTTGTTTTCCACTTCCTCTACGTATGTTGATTCTACTGGCTTGAGTTATACCCATATGGCAAAGTCAGCCCATCCTTATCAAAACTTCAAATTGAAACACGACAAGCTTGACTCTTTAAGACCAGAAGGCAATAAGGGTTTAGCGATGGAGTTACCTCGTAAGCCTCAGTCTTCCATATCAAGGACTATGTCGCCAAGAAACAATGGAGAGACTTTATTGCACAAATCAAAGCCATTGAAATCGTCAGTGATTTCTGATACATTTGACAAATCTCCCAGCTTTTCTGAAATTGAAAAGCTCAATTGCGATAAACTCCTAGAACTCGACCGGAGTATCAATATGACGCAATCTCCTGTCTTGGAAATGGAAGCTCTAACTCCTAAGCTAGAGAATTTTAAGAAGGTGCGCTCCTCTTCTTCGATGGAAGTTGCAGATTTTTCACTAGGGGAATATGCAGATGACGGCGAGAGCATTATTTCTGTAGACGATTCAGAAGAACCTAAAGATCAAGCTGTTTTTGATTTAGAATCTGAATACGTCAGACCAGAGCTTGCGAAAAGAAAGTCATCATCACTATTGAGTCTTTTCAGCGCTAACAAGTCCAAAACATCTCTAAAAAATAAGAAAAATCTGACACTAAATCTCTCATCTACTGATTCAAGCTCTAGTTTGTTTGCTCTACCCACGCCCGTCTCCTCAACACCGACCCCTACTTCTGCCACGTCGTCAGATGTTCAATATTGTGAATTGCCAAACAACTTGGAGCTCAGTTCTTCTACTTTGCTTCATGAATTCGACGTAAAAGTCTCTTATTGGTCGAGAAATGCTTGGCACTTACTTTCCAAAAACTGGTTACTAGCGAGCATTTATGAAACTAACAAATCAAAACTAATATTGGCAATTTCTGACTCAAAAGTGAGGGACAAAATAGTCTTATGCTCAGCTATTTCAGCTTCGTGGAAATTAAACAGATCAACTGCACAAGATATTCAAATACGGATCCCAAGAGGCGATTATATCTCTGCTTCGTTTTCCACGGAAGGTACAATGATGAGTATAAGATGTCCCCAAGTGGAACAACTAATGAATTCATTTTACCATTGCATACGCCATAGCACTTCGCCTAATCTCATGCAACATTCCTATACTCAAGGTACACTTTCTACCACATCTAGTACCTTTAGCATGCTGGATCGCGATGTGACTCGGTCCGATACCAATTCAACTGCCCTTTCTTCTGTTTTACAGGAAAATATCTCAGAAACTAAAGAAAATTTGGTCTCTTTATTACTCCTGTCTAATGTGAAGGTGAGAATGCACAGAAAAGATCCAGAGTATGGTTGGACGTTGTTTAATAAGGGAAAATTAGATCTCTCATCGCTGGAAATGAAAGGGACTGTTGTGGCAGTCAAATTTGAACTCCTACATGACCGTAAGAATAAATGTGAATATCAGAGTAAGTTGGAGGCTATTAGAAGAATTGGTAGAACTGGCCTTTCTTTTGTTGATTTCCAGGGTGAGTACCTGATTGAATTCAAGAACCAGGAAGTTGCTGATAGTGTCTTCAAATTAGTTACTTCCCTGATCTAGTTCAAATTGTTATATATATACAAGTTAATGAATCTTAAGTAAGGTGATCAGAAAGATCATTCTTCATAGGCTACAATTGCAGCGGCATTTATATTTCTTCTTACATCTCTCTTGTCAACGTCATGTGTGTCTTCGACCTCACCCCAACGATCGGTTTGATAAATCGTCTCCAAAGTTGCGCACTTAGCTATTTCCTCCATCGAAAGTTTCATATTCAGAGATGAGCACTTGGCCTTGCTCTCCAACAATAGTATCGCACATATGAATGACTTGGTAGTGAGAACGGTTTTTTCAAAGACGGTGAAATCCCATAGATTCAACGTATTCAGGTATTTTCTGGCCGCCTCTCTAACCTCCTCAGACTGAGCGTTACCTCTTAGGCCGTGGAGATCAGCATCCAACACTTGAAGTCTCAATGGGCCTGAAGAAAATTTTGAAAGGAATCTCTCAATTGCAGATATTATTGGGAGGTACATTTCATTTTGAGCCGATCTCAAAGTTCCTTCATACTCTGCGTGAGGAGAGAAACAGAGCAAAGTGTCGGTATCTAAGTAGCGTAATAATGCTTCTGACAGCTTCACCCGGTCACCTCCGATTTTGGAAACCAAATCTGGATCACAGCCCGGTTTTGAGACGGATTCCAAATCGATGCATCGAGATACTATGGAAGTAAGTGGTAGAGAATGTGGCTTGATTGAAAGGTTGGGTAGTGACGACCATTCGTTCTTTAGCATAATTGCCAATAACTCACGGCTTTTAGGTACAGTAAGAGTGTGGCCTAATGAAGTTCTGATTGGTTTATTGTCTAATGCAACAGTGAGTGCATCGTTGTCACTATTTAAAGTGACGTTATCCCAGAATTTTGTGAATGTTTTCGCCAACCTATTAGTTTCAGTTTGGAGGTTGTTCTCAACCGTTTGATCAACACCTAATGGTGATAACGAGGCATATGTCCTGCACAAAGAGCTTCTCAATACATATCCATTGTTTCTGAAAGCAAGCGTATTCTTTCTCAGCGACACTTTGATCATCCTTTTCTATTGTCTTTAGATTAGGAAAAATTAAATAAAACATCTCCAGAAATTTAGTTTTCCTTTATTGAAATCAAAAGAGATACCACTACTAAAATTGAAATCGAGGCAAAGCATAATGTCAAAAGATATTGTCCAAGAAATGGCTGCCTCATTGCGTTCAACGCGAGCTCAACTTGACGTTGTCAATGCACAAATTGCGCAATTAGAGAGACAACGTAAGATAGCACAGGTAACAACCAAAGAACTGGATTCTTATCCTGTTGAACAGGTTTGGAGATCATGCGGAAAGATGTTCATCCTTCAGGACAAGGAAAAGTACACTGAAGATTTGTCTCGCGACGAGAAAACTGTGGAAGAGCAAATGAAGGCTCTAAAGATCAAGCAAAATTATTTACAAACTACAGTGGAAAACACCGTTGAGAGTTTGAGAAGAGTTGTTCAGCAATAATGATGGAACGTATATAATGGATCACTCACCCCTAAGACGTTTATTCGAGTCTATACAGCACTATAGCCACCTCTCTGGGAAGAGGAACCACCACCGATAACCTTGGCTACCATTTCCTTTGCAAATTGTGGCAAAGAGGAAGCTAGTCCTGTGGAACGTTCGACAAATTCTTCACGGAAATCGTTGAAAGTTCCACCCCGAGTTGCCATGTAAGATGTAGTTAATAGATAGATGAGCGCGAATAATATGGCATATGTGACCAGCCATAGGAACCAGCCCCCGAAGCCGGAGCCCTTGTGCTTAACAGGGTCGTCGTGGTCTGGACGATCTTTATTGTCATCTCCACTGTGATCGTCGTCGTTGCCATCATTTTCTCCGCTCTTGAGGCACCCCGATGGACCTTCGATGACGAATTGTATCTGCTGTTCGTGCCAAGTCGACGACGTTACGGTATCTGACTTCTTGCTGGAATCACAGATAAATGTCAGTTGTGCATCCATAGAGTGTGATCCCCAGCTCGCCTTATCCAAGTTGACGATGACCTGTTGTTGGTCGTTCACACTTACCCTGGAAGATGTGTCAGCAGGAAAGTCGATAACTTGCGTTAAAAGAGGATCTTTGCCTTTTAGCACCACGTTTGTTGTTCCACATAACACATCACCCCCTTTGCACTCTTTGGGAGCTTCGCTCGTGTGCTCTTCACAGATATTGATCCACCAATCTTCCCGGGTTTCACTGGGAGGCGTGTCCCTGGAGGTATGGTGTTCTATTGAATTTTCGTTGATCCGGTATTTCTTTAAAATTTCATTTTCAGAGCATTTTATCGCGCTACCTACTTGCAACAGTGCAACAAAACCTCCAATTACAGCCTGAGATCTCATACTAAACCAGCCTTGCGTGTTATTGTTTATCACGACCTTTGTACATATGGGAAGTGTTTCTGTCCACATTGGCATTTCTCAAAATATGAACGTACATATCACTATCAACGTGTGTTTCTTATGACTGTCTTTTAACAGAACCTGTACATTTTACCAAAAAGTTGATCCACATACACCCATACCTAAGAAACTAAACAAGATTTTTAAATTTTCGAGATTTGGTTTTTTACTGTGGACAATGTCGCGCAGCGCCATTCGCATGGTCGTTGGCGTCCCTCTAGGACTTCGGGTAGCAACCTTGCGCCGGGCCCGCACTGCAGGCTTCCCACTGCGGGCTGCGTTCCGGGAGCGGACGGACTGGGATCTCCCTTCGGCGCACAGTCTGTGTCTGCCTAGCTCTCAGCATCGGTCTGCCTAGGCAGGGTGCACGCGCCGTTCCGCGCAGCCATCCCAGGCTCGCCCTCCGCCCACTCACCGACTCCCGGAGCCCCGTCCAGGTGTGGATAGTGTGGTATCACCAAATTCTATCAAGTGTGTTATTAGAGAAATTTCATTGTTTTAGAGGAAAGTTTCAGACCAAGAATAACTCCATAGAAATGGCTAGATACGGTGCTGCTTCGACTAACCCAGCTAAGACTGCTTCTGCTCGTGGTTCCTACTTGCGTGTTTCTTTCAAGAACACCAGAGAAACTGCCCAAGCCATCAACGGTTGGGATTTGGAAAAGGCTCAAAAGTACTTGGACCAAGTTTTGGACCACCAAAGAGCCATCCCATTCAGAAGATTCAACTCTTCCATTGGTAGAACCGCCCAAGGTAAGGAATTCGGTGTTACCAAGGCTAGATGGCCAGCTAAGTCTGTGAAGTTCGTGCAAGGTTTGTTGCAAAACGCCGCTGCCAACGCTGAAGTATGTTTTAAACAAGAAAGAAGCCTGTGACAGAGATAGAGATAGTCGGATGTGTGAGAATCGAGCTACGTGGATCTGTGCTGGTCACAGAGTTTACCGTTGTTCTTCGACGAATGGTGCATCCACGTGTGTTTGTGGACAACACGTCTGGCTTAATGTATCGCTGCGACATCACAAATAATTGCATTTTCCAATGGATCAATTTACTAACAATATTCACTTACAGGCTAAGGGTTTGGACGCCACCAAGTTGTACATCTCTCACATTCAAGTCAACCAAGCTCCAAAGCAAAGAAGAAGAACTTACAGAGCTCACGGTAGAATCAACAAGTACGAATCCTCTCCATCTCACATCGAATTGATGTTGACCGAAAAGGAGGAATCTGTTGAAAAGGCTGCTGAAAAGAAGGTTGTCAGATTGTCTTCCAGACAAAGAGGTAGATTGGCTAACCAAAAGCGCATTGCTGCTTGAACTGGATTATAATTGGTTTTTGAACTCCTATATCTTCTGTATAATCTAAACGCAACTCCAAAGTATACTATTTCTCATCGACTTTAGCTTGAGTCAGGCTTTGTTTCTTCAAATCCCTGCCTCGTGAGTGCTGAGGCTTGCGGGATACATCTGCTTCTGTGTTAATTATGTTACAAATACATTAGCTTATATAGGTACGTTCCCTAATTTGCTGCCTGCCCCGCTCGCCTCTGCGGTTTGCATAACTCCGACATCTGATGTTACGTAGCCACTAAAACTGGCTACGTACAAGCACATCACCATCACAAGGCCATGCAGGCCAACACAGTAAAACATGAACAGCATTCGGCTTGTCTTATTCGCCAATATGATCTTGGCAAAACTCAAAAAGAGCCGTTCCAAGGGAGACATACGCTTGTTTCGGTACTGGCTCAACTCTCGTTGCTTAAAGTCGGCCAGTGGATGCAATGACTCTTCATAAGATCTAGAGTATTGCGCTTCGGCATCATCCATGACCTGCTGTGATGAAGAGTATGATGATAAATATCTGATACGCTCGTATAATTTACTGTTATCCGCTTTCAGCTTTTTTATCTCTGATTTCAGATTAACTTGATCCAAGGACAATTGCCTTGCTTGCTTTTCCAGTTCCATGTTCCTATTCCGGAATCTGTCTCTCTGTTGCGTTACAATAGGCAATATTGTTGAATTGCCATTTGGAAATGATGGTTCATATTCTTCGGGTATTCCGACAATAGAACTCGTAGGTGAAAGCCGCCCGCCGTGACGTCCTGTAGGACCAACTCTATTCATCTGCCTCGTAGCCCCAGACATCAAGCTCACAGTGTCCGCTAATTGGCCCACGTCCTCGACTTTTTCTAGATCCAATTCTAACTTAGTGTTTAAGTTTTGTAGTTTAGTAACCTCTCCTTTCAAACTGAGGACCTCTTTTTGCATGACTGAATTCTCTTTTTCTAAATCCTTGGATTTAGCACGAAGTTCGGCCAAATTAGATTGCAGCTTTTTATTGGCGGCCCTTAAGGTAGATGAGACGTCATCGCCTTCATCATCCGAAGCACCAAACTCAATTTTTTTGAGTGCCACAAGTTCGCTTTTAATTGTATCGTAATCGGCGTAATTATTGAGCTTACGTCTGACGGTGTCCAATTCACCGGCAGAAGAGTCTAGTTGCTTTTTCAAAGTTGCCAGTTGTCGAGTCTTTTCAGTGATTTCAGAATTCAAAGAGACACGCTCCCTTTCCAAAGATGCACTTAGTAATGCATTTTCTGATTCCAATTGGTTAATTTTCATATCTTTTGAATGAATTTGCGACTCCTGGGCAGCATCACTGGTGGCCAGTGCAAGAGACCCATTCAATTCCTCATTACGCTTCTCTAAGTCCATAATTCTAACTTGAGATGCCTCCAGCTCTTGAAGAATCAGATCATGTTCTGCAGAGCTGTGCTCGGATGTTACAGCTCCGCGCTCATCCTCTGTCATGGATAGCTTGCTTTCCAGTACTTTGTTACTAGATTTTAAAGTGTCAAGCTGCCTAGCTAATTCTTTTTCTCTTTCTAACCAATTTCTCTCCTTTTCTTGCCAGGTTGAATTCAATTCTTGCTCTTTAGCAAGGAGTCGCTTTGATAACGTCTTGGCTGAATTCTGTTCTAAGTCGAGTAGCCTTGCTCTTATCTTATCGTAGTCTGCATGTTTTGCAATTTTGTTCTCAAGTTCACTAATCGTATTTTGAAGTTTAGAGACCTCGGCTTGATCTTTAACCTCATCTATTGATGCCTGCAATAATGGTGTAGGGTCAGGCGCTTCGGACAACTTGGCATATATGCCCAACATTGCATCCTCAGAAAACTTCGATCTAGAAGTTAGACTATCGACTTCATGTTGGTATTGCTTGATGATTTTATTGATTTGCCCAAGCTTTTCTTGTTCTTCTAAGCGTTTGAATCGTTTAGTCTCAGTTGCGAGAGATTTCCTTGACTCCAACGATTTTGTCTCTAACTCCTTGACTTTCAGTATGCTTTCGTCAAGACTCTTTTGTATGGAAGTGAAGTTCGCATTCGACCATACTTCTATGGCATGTAGAAATACAGAACTATCCATGACTTACCGCGTCCTTTAAGGGATCCTATTCAGCAAACTTGAGTGTTCCAAAAAAAGCCACTTTATTTTTTTCATTGCAGGTCAAAGGAAAGGTACAAGAATTTGAATAATATATTCACCTTGGAGCCTGATGCATCGAAAGGAGCATATATTAAAGCTACCGCTCATACTATGTTTTTAAGACTACTCTAATATGACTGTTCAAGTAAATTGACGAAGCAAGGATAATACATACATGCACTTTTTTTAATTGTATTCGTTGCAAATAATAATACACTTAAAGAATAGAATGAGAGTTAGCCAGACCAATATCTATAGAATTGCGGAGCCTCTACGGAAACCGGCTTCATAGATGAGTCTTTATTATTGTCCATTGTGACTTGACTTTGGTCCCGTGGAGTTCCATCGTGAGGTGTTGAGAAAGAAGCGGCTTTCCCAGTACTTAACCTTGGTGGTCTCAATTGCATACCTCTGATCGCTTCGATATGATCTTTCAATTTCTCTTTGTCGTCATGATCATCTAAACATTGTTGTAACTTTGTAAGCAGGGCGTGAGATTGCTTGGCCTGCGAAAGACGTTGCACAAAGACGTCTTCCTGCTGCTTTTGTAGAATTTTCTTTTCTAATTCTAATGATTTTTCCATTGTGTTCAGCAATTGTAGCTTCATACCAACTTTCTTCATCTGCGTCTGGATCATGTCATTCGTAATAGCATTCATTTGTCTCTCTTCGTTGGTGGCGAAGACCTCTGATCTGACCCCCATTGATGCTATAGCAATTTCACTTCCCTCTTTTACGTAATTCTTGTCCTCATCTTCATTAATATTCTCCTTCTGTTCCTGTTTTATCCGCGTTATGGCACGATCTGTCATCTGCTGGACAACGCGAGGATCTACCAGACCCACAAGAAATGCTATAGTTGACATCACCGGATTGTCAGCCTTAGTGAAAGGTAAGTGAGGCGCATACTTCAAGGGGCCTAGTTCATCGCTGGCCTGAGATTGAAGGAATTCATCCTCAATAGGTAGTTGCAAGAATCTCAAGATGCACTGCTCAGGAGTTTTGTTTCCAACATGTTGAGCAATTTTCAGCCAATCTGTATGGTATTTCTGTAGAGCCTCTAATAGTTTTTCCACTTCTTCTTGTTTCCAATCTTTATTAACCAATTCTTGAACTTTCGGTCTTTTGCTCTTGATATTTTTTGTACTGGAGGCTTCCTCTTCAGCTGGCCTCTTGACAGCATTCTCCTTGGAGTCGGATGAGGTAACGCCATTTGAAAGAGGAATACTTTTGTCAGAAATACCTGGTTTTTCTATCTGATTCATCAACTTCTTCAATCGCGATAGATCGGGAATTTGAATTGCTGGCTTATAGCTCTCAAATGGAAAGAGACCTCTAGGGGCATCATGCTTGGTGGCGAAGTCTCCAGTGAAGGGCGGTTCGACCTGCTTGGGCTTTGATTTTGCGTTCACTTGGTAATTTATAAGTCCCCACTTAGTCAAGAATCTATGCAATCTAAAGATGGCGCCTGCGTCACCACATAAGTTCCGTCTGGCCGCGGTTACAGTGAAATACTCATTAGGATTCAGTCTGTAGGAATTCACCATAAAATTACGGTATTTGACGTATACCTGCGGTGTCTTGGAAACAATGCGGTTTGTGAAGAACTCTGGTAGCGATTGCTTTTCAATGGAATGGATTTTATTCAAATTGAACCACCTTGCGTATGATGGAATTATAATTTCATGAAACTGTGGCACGACCAATTTCGAGTTCTCTTCGTCTTCTGCCTTCGATTCTGGAGCTGGACCAGATGCGTCTGCCAATTGCAAGGGTGCTTCTGGGCCTGGTTCAACTTCTGACCGTGGACCTTGCTCAGTTTCAACCTGTGGGCTTTGTTTCGCTTCAACCTGCGGTCCTTGCTCGGCTTCAACCTCTGGCCCTTTCTCAGCTTCAACCTGCGGTCCTTTCTCAGCTTCAGCCTCCTGTGGACTTTGCTTCGCTTCCATCTGCTCGAATTCTACTTGTGGGCCAGTGTCTGGTCCAGTTACAGACACGCTGGTTTCGGTATTTGTCTCGGGCTCAGGCTCCGTTACCACTTTTGCTTCTTCTTCGGTTGCTGTGGATAATTGTGGTTTAGGCTCAGCGGGCGCGTCCTTTGCTATGTCTGGGATGGCGTTGTCGGCCAGCTGTAGGTCAGCACTCATTTCCTTTCCTTCTTCGGACTCCCCCACTTCGGTTGCCCCCTCCTTCCCATTTGCTACTTCCTCTGGCTTTCGTGGGTCGCTTTTTTGTTCGTCGGTGTGTTGTTGCTCGGGCTGTTGTTTCAGCTTGGACGCGAAATCCGATTCCCCTTCTAAGGCCACTTCCGCGTCGGTACCTGGTTCGACCTTTGCTGTTACATGATTGACTTCAGCTATCTCTGAAGGGACAGGTTCTTCTATGTCAGACCCAGCTTTGGGCTCGTTTTCGTCCGCGTCATTGCCAGACTCTGCGCTCTTGTTTTCGCTCTCATCCCCATCGCCAAACAAAGAGTGATCTAAATCGTTCGGTTCTTGACTCTCCCTATCGAGAAGAGCGTCGTCCTTACCATTGGCCTGCAGTTCCTCGACACTCATTGCTTCTCTCTGCCTTTTTCCTTCTATCGTATCCTTCCAATGCAACTGTTGTTCTTCAGGTGTTGGTTGAGCTTCAAGGAAGGAAAAAAAAAATCAGTTTGTACGTTGTCACACGTGACGTCCGTCTACCTCTGGCAAGACTGTCATCAGTGTATCATGGTTGGCTAAGACGAATGGTAACTCTGGGTGCGCGTTCTCAGCGTGGTGAGGTCTCCTTCACCAGTGTGGCCGAGGTGCGGAAGATGCAAGGAGTTCGGATCTGTGCAGCAATGAGGGAGCGAGATGGTCCCCCACCGGCTCGCACACATTCCATACGTATGGCCAGGAACGGCGATGCAAATGCAAATGCACCACATACTGCATGCCGGTTGGTCCAGGCGTAAATGCGAAAAGACGTGGAGTCAGCAATGGCGTAAGACGCGACTACTCCCTGTCCTTTATATATGCGGGCATGCTGAAAAGAATCCCCTATAAAGTCGCGATCGGTCGGCACCCTTTGGATGGAGTTTGGTCGTGTGTAGGACGGGTTGCAGTGGAGATCGTAGCTACTTAGACTATATATGTGCGCGTGTAGCGCTGCGGCTACGAATATGAGTACTTCCGGTTTCCAGAATCGGCCGTTGGACGTCCTTAGAGCGCATCCCAGAAGACCCACCTGGATTGCGCACGGAAGCAATATGCAACAGCTCCTGTGTTGGGGTCTCTCCGCGCTTGCCAAAGGGGCAACTACTTGGATTACGTTTAGGCTATACGGACACGCTTCCTGTCCAGACTGCCGATACCGGGATGCGGCGTTTCTATAGCCTGCGGTATATCGTGCAGCGGGACCAATGTGGCTCAGATGAGGTCCGGGAACGCTGACAAAGCTACATGCAATGGATAGCACGACTACCGCCACGGCTGGCGGTACGGGATCGCAGCCACGGCACTGGCGTCACAGCTATGGCTCATTGGGTGTATATGTGTGTTTGTGTGTGTGTCTATGTGTGTTTATGTGTGCTTCCACATAGCATAGGTCATCGCTGTACAACTTTCGTTAGGAACTCTGTCGTGCGGGTTTTTACATAGGCAAGTCAAACGCTGCACGCTTGCTACGCTGTTAAGATCCGCCAGACCATTTGCGATTACACTTTGCAACGCCCCGGCCCGTGTGCCATCAGGAGACTCTGGAGGACGTGCCGTTGGCGGATTTGCGTGGGGGACTGGCTCATCATAATCGGTGTCGGAAAAATGATGAAATTTGTTTTTTGGCACCGGCCGATGGACGGTTTTGGCGAAACTTTCGAAGTGTAGGGGCGCGCTGGATTCTAAGGACGTTTCGCCCCAGCTGGAGTTGTGAAACTGCCAGTGAGCTCCCCAGAAGTGCTCCGCTCGACCACAACTTTTCTTTTGGTTCCACGATCCGACGGCCCGCGGTCGCTGTGCAATTCATCCGCGCAGGCTGGCGATGCAGACGGGGAGAGCTATGTAGAGGGCATTAGAGCTACGTAGGAGGCGCTTGAGCTTCAGTGCGGGCTGGCGTGTAATTTCCGGTCCCAACACCCGTACGTAGATGTTCTGAACGGAACGGTGCGGCCGTGAGAAAAGCAACGGCCCACTTGGCACCAAGATTGTCGCTGCAAGGGTTTTGAGTTCGTCGCTAGTGTGCACCGAACGAGGACGGAACACCACGCTGAAACCCGCATCCGAGCCTGCGAGACCGAGTCTGCAAGACCGAATCTCCCTGCAAGAGCGAATCTCGCCGCAAGAGTGATATGGCGGGCCAGCGTCCGAGTTAGCCAGCGCCGGGGTTTGCGGGCTCCCGTGCGCGCCGTAGCTCGCCGCCAGCCCCAATTCCAAGCCTGCTACCTGCCAAATTCGCCCCGTCGCCACACCGTTCCCCTCGCAGCCGGGAGCAGCCAGTATGTGCGCTGCAATTGCCGTAATCGTATTGGGTCAAAAGCTCATGTTGCCTATCAACCAGAGGACAATTGCTTTTTTTGTTTAGGATTTCAAAACAAGGTTGTGTTCCGGGTCGTTTCTTTTTTTCGAATGTGACCGAATGCATGCGGCTCGCGGGATGTGTGGGTCTTCTACAAAGCTTAATCCACGTGACGTGGTTGGGATCTGCTGTCACGTGTCCCGCGAGTTCCAGATCTCAGATTTTTTTTTCGTGTTAGGTGCTATTTTTGGAGGCTTGTCATTTGTCTCAAGATCAACAAGGATAATTCTTGCAGAAAAAAAAAAATCTGTGTCCATTACACCCATCCGAAAGCAAAACACCATCAAGACTTACTAGGAAATGCTAGCGCTGTGGATCATCGTTCTGTTAGCCTCGTCTGTTTTCGGTGACGTGTCGATCGTAGCGCCCTCTGCCGGTGGCACCTACGAGCCGTCCGGATCAACAGTGTCGATCGACGTCAAGTGGGCAGACGACAACAGCACACCTAAGCTTTCAGACATAGATTCATACACATTTTTGCTATGTTATGGTTCCAACGCCAACATCAAGTGCCTTGATAGCACCACTGACACGGTAGAGGCGTCTACGGTCTCTGCAGACAGCGACGACAAATACACACACGCATTTTCGTTTTCGTCTTCCCTCGCCGGTAACGGGCAATATTTCATTCAGATCAATGCTATTTCGAAAAAGCTCGGCTACACGTTACACTACACACCCAGATTCACACTCAAGTCGATGAGTGGAACAAGCACGCAAACCTACTCGACCAATACACAGCCTCCTGCACAGACGGATATCACTTCGGGAGGGAACACGAACGTAGCGACAACCACAGTGGACACCTCTGTGTCCTTCACGGTGCCTTACACGCTCCAAACAGGCCTCACCCGGTACGCTCCCATGCAGATGCAGCCCGGAACCACCGTCACCGCAACCACGTGGACAAGACGGTTCCCAACCAGCGCCGTGACCTACTACAGCACGTTCCGCAACTCATTGAACCAGGTCAGCACTGTCACGCCTGGCTGGTCCTATATTCTTTCAAGTGCCGTCAACTATGCCTCGCCCGCGCCCTTCCCCGTCTCCAACGGTGGCTGGTACGATCCAAAATCCAGGCAGACTCTCACCACGAGAAAGCGTAATGCAGGCGCAATTCGTGCCTCCTCCACCGCTTAATTGGGTGGAGCGCGGCCTTTGTCGCGGCTTGCATCGTGACTTCTTCAGGCATCGGTTTTCTTGTCTCTCTTCATTTCAGGTTTTTCTAAAAAAGCATTTTTCCGCAGGACTTATACACTACATCCATATCCATATATAGAGTAACTTACTTACACGGTCACCGGAGGCGGCGTTAGTACAGCTCTGGGAACTTGCTGCACAGTTGTTGCAGCGCCACCACACCCCCAACGCTGATTTCCTCGCCAGCCGGGAACACGCACTTCACCGAGTCCAACACCAGAAACCCAACATCTCCAGAGTCATTGCTCCTACACACAAACTCGTACCATGCACCAATCTCAAAGTTCACGTTGCTAGACGTTCTGACATTACTCAAAGTCACCATTTCCCCGCCGGTTGTGGGCGACGCCACTATAATCTGATCTTGTTGCGGTTGTGACTTAACCTGCCCTATGATCCTGAATACAGGACTATTGCACTGTGCTATGTTTTGTGGATCTACACGGGGAGTTTGGCTTGACATTCTCTCTTATATTCTTGCTTATTACCTTCTGATGCGTTCTTTTAATACACCATTTCCCTTCAATATCTTGTTTTACGCGTTACATTTCGCGTTCACGTGAATTCCTGGGTCACGTGCGTGGGTGGATTTTCTTTTTTTCACGCAAGAAAGGATTTTCCGTATCAAAGTATGTTTTCTTCTCGGATGTCCTTTTGTCAAAGGGACCTTCTTCCTAATGTGGAAAAGTCATTACCGATACGATGGTTGTACACGAGCAACCGGCAGAAGTTCTCTGCTGTATAAAAGTGGCTTGATGCGCCATTAAGGGGTCCCAAAGGAAACAAACTGAGAGTTTTGCAAGCGGCATTCTATCACATTCTCTTCCTTTTCCCGTATAGGCAGGTTTTCGATGCCTGGTGACTACAAGAACGTTGAGGACCCTAAGCGGGCAGGTTTTTTCGAGAGCTACAGGTCCATTTTATTGACTGCAGGAGCTTTTCTACTGGCAGGCGCAGCATGGCATTCGTCAAAGCAAGTATTAACAACGGAAATCATCGCTGTCCCTTCGAGGTGTGGCAAAATTGATGCCATCTCACCTAGTTTCGACAAGTCGATTGACACGATTTTCAACGACGCGGCCTTCAGGGAAGAATCTTTGGCCAAGTTCAGCGAATCGTTGCGGATTCCCACGGAAATCCAAGATGTAAACCCAATTCCAGCTGACGACTTGGATTACTACAAGGAGTTCTTCAAGTTCCACGAATATCTCGAGAGAACCTTCCCTCTGGTCCACAAGCACCTAAAACTGGAAAAGGTCAACGACCTGGGTCTGTTGTACACGTGGGAGGGGAAGAATTCTAATTTGAAGCCCATGATGTTCACCGCTCACCAGGACGTGGCTCCGGTGAATAACGACACCATCGGCCGTTGGAAGTATCCTCCGTACTCTGGGTACTACGATAACGAAACTGACTTCGTTTGGGGCAGAGGCGCCTGTGATTGCAAGAACCTGTTGATTGCTGAACTCGAGGCAGTGGAACAATTGATCAAGGACGGGTTCGAGCCGGAACGTGGTGTACTCATTGCATTGGGTTTTGACGAGGAATCTTCGGGTATTTTGGTTGCCAATACTCTCAGTGATTTCCTCTACGAGAGGTATGGGGATGAAGGTATCTATTCGATTGTGGATGAAGGTGGTGTGGTCGTGAAGTTGGATGAAAACGTATATGTTGCCGCGCCAATCACAGCTGAAAAGGGTTACGTTGACACGAAAGTTACCGTTCATGGTCACGGTGGACACTCTTCTGTGCCTCCAGATCACACAACAATCGGGATAGCTGCCGAGCTGATTAGCTTGATGGAATCTCAGCCATTTGATTACTCTTTCACTCCTGAGAACCCCATTTATGGATTTCTGACCTGCGTAGCCGAGCACAAGTCTGGTCTGCCAGCTGAGTTGAAATCTGCAATCTTGGATGCTCCTTACGACGAGAAAAGTAAACAAAAGCTCATCGCTTTTGTGAGTCGGGACAGAATGGCAAGGGAACTACTAAGAACTTCTCAAGCAGTGGACATCATCAATGGGGGGATCAAGGCCAATGCTCTTCCAGAGGTCACTTCTTTCCTAGTTAATCATAGAATTGATATTAATTCCTCTGTAAAGGAAGTTGTTGAAAGAGACTTGAGCTTAGTAAAGGCTATTGCGAAGAAATTTGGCTACGGTGTCACTTTCGATGGCAAGGAAATAATTGCAGCTACTGCGAATGGCTATATTGAGGTTGAGGCAGAGAAGGGGCTCGAGCCCGCTCCTCAGTCACCCACTGTCGACTCTGCTGAATGGGATTTATTCGCCGGAACCATTCAGAACGTGTTCCAAAACGGTCTTTTCAAAGATAACGAAGAAGCAGAGGTGTATGTCACAACCTCTTTAGTGACTGGTAATACAGACACAAAGTATTACTGGGCATTATCCAAGAATATTTACAGGTTCATGGCCCTGGTTGGAGCCAAAGACCTCTTGACCACTATTCACTCAGTCAATGAACATATTGCGATGTCTAGTCATCTCTCTACAATTGCATTCATTTACGAGTACATTGTTAATGTCAATGAAAGAGGTTGATCTACTTTTTTGATCATCTTTTCTTCTATAAGAATCTACCATGCACATTTCAAGCTAATTATAGCCACATTATTGCAATTGATAAGTAATCGAAAGAAAGGGCCTATCTATGCCTCTATAGAAGTAAGTTGTTGCCATTGCTATTTGATTATGTTCTCATTCATCAGTTTAAGATGTCGGGAATTCATTTCGGTCCACCTGTCCCGAAATGGTATGCGCCCCGAAAAGGTATTGATGTTATGTAAGATGCCTCCCCAATGATAGGCAGTAAGATGGTCACAAGTATTTGCAACCATTTGATCAATATTATAAAAAGACCATCAATCTGTGATTAATCATTCCAAAAGAATACCGCAAACCAAGTTCAGTGAACTTTTTTAGTTGCGAACACCATCTTCAATGTTCAAAGAATACGAAAATTTAGGGTCAAGGCGGGGCAGTTTCCTTCAGGCGAACAAGAAGCTACTATTATTGGCAGCAGGTACATTGCTAGTAACTGGTACTGTGTGGCACACTTCGATTCAGTCCCATGCCCCTTCACCTGCATACAGTCCACGATGTGGCAAGATCGATCCCATAGCACCTGAATTTGACAAGTCCATTGATAGAATCTTCAACGATCCCGAATTCAAAATGGCCTCTTTGGCTAAGTTCAGCAATTCTTTGAAAATTCCAACCGAAATTCAAGATGTTAATCCTGTTCCAGCTGATAATCTTGATTACTACAAGGAGTTCTTTAAATTTCATGATTACTTGAATGAAACCTTCCCACTTGTACATAAGCACTTGACATTGGAAAAAGTTAACGATGTGGGTTTACTATACACTTGGAAAGGAAAAGATCCTTCTTTGAAGCCCATGATGCTAACCGCTCACCAAGACGTTGTTCCTGTAAATCGGGATACCATTGATCAATGGACATTTCCACCTTTTTCGGGTCATTATGACAATGAGACCGATTACGTTTGGGGTAGGGGTGCGGGAGACTGCAAAAATTTGTTGATAGCAGAGTTAGAGGCTGTGGAGCAGCTAATAACTGACGGGTTTACACCAAACAGAACTTTACTGATTGCCCTAGGATTTGATGAAGAATCCTCTGGTATTTTGGGCGCTAAATCACTAGGAAAGTTCTTATTTGAAAGATACGGGGAGAATTCAATTTATTCGATCGTAGACGAGGGTGGTTTTGTTGAAAAGCTGGACAACAATGTTTATGTTGCAGCCCCCATAACGGGAGAGAAGGGTTATGTTGATATGGAGATTACCATTCATGGTTTCGGAGGCCACTCTTCTGTTCCTCCTGATCACACCACAATTGGTGTTGCTGCGCAATTAATTGAGTTGATGGAATCAAGACCATTTGATTTCTCTTTTACTTCTGAAAATCCTTTTTATGGGCTTTTGACTTGTATTGCTGAACATAAGCGCGATCTTCCAGAAGAGATTAAATACGCGATCTTGGATGCGCCTTATAGTGAAAAGAGTAAAGGGAACTTAATAAAGTTTATCAGTAAACAAAAGTTGATGAGAGAGCTATTGAGAACTTCCCAAGCTGTTGACATCATCAGAGGTGGAATTAAGGCCAACGCCCTTCCAGAGGTCACGTCCTTCCTGGTCAATCACAGAATTGATGTTAATTCTAACGTTCAACAGGTTATTGAAAGAGATTTGGGTCTTGTCAGAGCAATTGCTAAACGGTTAGATTATGGTATCACGCTTGATGGTAAGGAGATAATTCCTGCGACAGAGAACGGTTACATAGAATTGCAGCCAGCGAGAACATTAGAGCCAGCTCCTAAATCACCAGTGGTAGGCTCCCCAGTCTGGGACCTTTTTGCAGGAACAATTCAAAATGTTTTTGAGAATGGTCACTTGAAAGATGAACCTGAAGCGGAATTCTACGTTACAACTTCCTTGGTGTCTGGAAATACGGATACCAAATACTACTGGTCTTTAACTGAGAATATTTATCGATTCATTGGTATGGTGGGTCTTCCTGATATGTTTAGGACAATTCACAGCGTTGATGAGCACATAGAGATGTCTGGGCATCTATCAACAATTGCTTTCGTTTATGAATACATTGTTAACGTTAACGAAAGAGCTTAAGTATCTCAGAACATAAGTATGTCTCCCCTTATGTACCATAACGCTTTCAAGAATCTCAAGCAAGTGGAATCTGTGCTATTGAATTGAGTGTTTGTTTTTATATTTTTATAAGCCAATCAAGATATTTGATATTAAATTTTAAAAAAGAAGATTACCTTAGAAGGAGTAAACAAAAAGAATAGTAATCAAACATCACATAATTTACAAAATATCAGCAAAATTTATAGTTTCTTGATATAATGGGATTCTAAGACATCCCAATATAACGATTACTTCGTGCAACTGTCAGTTTCTCTTACTTCACCAGCGGTTGATGATAGCCTTGTGGTGTAATGGCTTGGAGGCGAACAAAAATTAGAAGAATAAGCCCAATAAAGAACATTCTTTGCCCCTTCGGCAATAATTAACATTAATGAGATATAAGATATTAGCTATTTAAAACTGAAGTCCGTGAGTAATCAAGAAGAAACTTCTTGGCCCTTTTTACTGAAGAGACTTATGTCTGAGAAATCTTCAAAGCCTATTTATTCCATTTTCTGTGCATTCTGAAGAAAAAGAAAGGGAAGTTTCGTCGATCACGGCATCTTTCTTAGTCCCAAAGCTTCCTACAGATTTAGGACTACGAGATTGATAGGAAATTTGACATAACGGTATGCTATTGTCTGGAAATTCCTCAATTGAGGTCTCGTCTTGAAACTGAACCGGATTATACGGAAGATCCAGATACGACAAATTCTCAAGATCCTCAAAGTCAGAGCCACATCTCCTCTGCCTGCCCTGTCTCCGCTTGTCGTTAGGAAGAGTATAATCGATGATGAATCCACTAGGAGAGTATGGATTTGTATGGGAAGAATCTGACTTGTTTTCACCAGTCATCGTCCTTTTAATGAACTTGGTTGGGCTATAATCCATCCCATTGTAAACAGTACCATCGCTTCTGTACGACCCATTTTCGGAATAAAAACTGGAAACCAATTTGTTGGCGCGACTTTGCTTTCTGGAGTTTATTGCTTCTTTAACATTATCCAAAACAAACCCAAGTCCCACAGCTCTTATCATGTTACCATACATTCCAAGGGCATCGGAACCCAAGCCAAATATTATGAAGACCAAATATGACATCAAAATATAGAGCCAAACATCAAAAAACGGCTTATCTAAATCAAGATAAATTATAAGCGTCCATGTCGATTTATCATGAGCCGCATTGAAATCAAAATATCCGCTAACATCCTTTAATTCGCTGACGAAGGAATACATGGAGAATGGAAACATAACCAACACAATCAGAAAGCAGAAAAACAGAAGACGTGCAAACCTCGCCAAGTTCAGCCCTGAGTTGGTACAATATAGAATATCTTTGACATCTGTTCTTTTCTTGTAGAACACATAAAGAAGTAAGATCGCATACACAAAAGCAATAAGCGACCAAATAAACATCCAAAGGGTGTAAAGAACGACGGTTATCCACGTTGGAGAAAGTAAATTTTGGCAACCGTTGTACCTGGCAATTCCATAACGAAAAACTTGAGCGATGTAAGATAATCCCATTGTCATCACTGGAGTGAGCAGACTGAAACTGAGATCAACAAGTAACTTCCGCCGAGAGTTAGGTTCGGGTAAGACAGAGTCTGCTTTTAAAATGCCATGCAAATTGTAAGCAATGTTTGCGATAGCGCAAGAAATTCCCACATTTGCACCAAGTTGAAGTTTAATCATGATATCACACCAAACTTTTCCATTCCATCGATCCATAAAATTTTCACTACTCCACACAGCTGCATCCACAATGAGTTTGAGGTCCATTATCATTAACCAAAATATCAATATAATTGCTGGAGTGTTCTTCATTTTGGCGTGCCACAACATGGGAGGGACCAAAAGAACCAACGCAGTTGTTCCCAATCCGATGATATCACTACTGAAGGACATTTTTGGTTTCTGAACAAACGATCAAATCAAAGAAAAGCTCCACATTGTGTCACCTCTTCAGGTCTTATTCCCTCCTTCATCGCAAATTTATACATATTCATGAAAGTGGAGGAAGTAAAATAGGGTACATTGACTACTTTGAGGCTGAATACAATTCCCACTTATCATTATGTCTATTTGAAACTAAATCAAAGTTTGCTTACGGTGTTTCTGTGTAGTCAGTATATCGCTCCTTCCTATTTCGTGCTACAAAGAAATTTCATTTCGCCCTAAGAAAACTTCGATTGATGGTATCCAAAAAAAAGTTTCATAGATTGTCCTCATTGACTCAAATATATCTAACTAAAACGGAGGACTATGTGCCCATAGAAGCTAGTCTATCATAAGTGTTGGCTTTTTATAACTTAAAACAAAAAGATGTGAGCAGCGGAAGTAAAGAAAGTGAAGATGTAGTACCATAAGAACCCACCTGTGTTTTCAAACAGCGAAGCAGCATTAGACTTCGATGTTGTAGAAGGAGCAGTCGCAGAGATGGTCTCAAGTCTAGTGCTGACAATCTCATTTGTGGAATAACTTGCAAGGATGCCGTTCAAAGTGTCAGCATCAATGGTGGAGTCAAAGACCGTATCGTTGGACATAAATACAACTGTATCGCCATTGGAATCGAATATGACACCGCCTCTCATGACACTATCGGTGGATCTGCTTATATATCCATCTGCTTGAATACCCGTTCCCAAATCTTCAATACCCTGGAAGGTGTGGAAGGTCGAATACAAATGATTCTTCTCTGTACCATTCATGACTTCGAAAATGTCGAATTCACCGCATCCGCTTGCCCAACAGGAACAATTAGAGTTTGAAGGATATTGAGAAGTTCTTGGAATCTTGGCATTCAACAACCAAATAGCTGGCAAGTCGTAGTAATCGAATGAAGTACTGTTATCTTGAGTCTCTGTTGGCATTTCAAATTCAAAAAGGAACATCTTTGTCACACCTGTGTAACCATAAAATGCAGGGATACCCTTACGGTATACACCACACCCCTTACTAGTACCCGAGGATGGGCATGATACGTTAGAGAAAATGACATATTCCTCATCAGATGTTATCAGGGTACCCTCCGCCAAAACGGTAGCATCGCTGGCTTCAGAGGTTCCATTGGAAGAAGCATAAGTGAGGGCCTTTCCTAGACAAGTTGAATTATCACCTGCTTTTGTGAGAAACGTAACATTGTCAGCGGTCTGAGTAGTGGCGTTGTAATACGCCAAACGAGTCCAATCGCTAGAAGTACGATTGTTGTCCGCGGTGAAAGACGATGAAACATAATAAGCAAATTGATGTAGAATCAAGGGACCCCGAAAGTGCACAGAAACTTCATCAGAAATTGGCGCATTGGTACCACTAAACCACACTTTGTCGTCAACTTCGCAGGTACAATCACTGTCATCAATATTTTTTAAAGACTTCACTGGTGTGTAAGTTCCTGCAAATCCAACATTCGAAAACTCTATCATCTCAAATGCTTGAACACCGTTATTGGAACTCGAGCCGCCATTTTGACCCAACGCCACGTTGCAAAGGCCGAAGGCCAATATTATGAAACTGACCAAAAACATAATCTCTGAAATGCAAACTCTATGAAATAATAGTTTATAACGCAATCACAATGAGCTAAAAAGATGAAAGAGCTTTCTTATAATAAGTCAATGCACTCCAGTTGTGTTGTTCGGAAGAAGAAATTTCGTGAAAATGCAAAGGGGGCGCTGAATGGCGCGCTTTTTGAAATTTGCCAAGCCTCGAAGAAGATTCGGTAAAACATGTGACGTATTATTTCGAGGAACTGCGCCATTCTGGAGCCAAGAAGTTCGAAGAGGAGCTATTTCGTCCTACCCCGACTATACCGATCAGCAGGATGACCAGGAAACCGGCTAAGGAGAGTAATGTGCGACCTGCCCATGTGTGATACTTTTTTCGCATGGAGTGATGAAAGTCGATTACGTCTGTCGACATATTGGTCAAAAAGTCCAAGCGAGAACTATGATATAAGTCAATGGAGCTTGCACTCATATCGTTAGATACAGGATCAATGAGGTCACTTGAATCACAGATCCTTATGATATTTGGACAATGATTGGCAAGTGAAGTTCGAAATGTACTTGGGCTATTCAGATCAGAAATGGAACTGTCACAATGTGTACTTGCTGGCTCCAGCTCAGGCAAAGAAATCGACTCTGCTGAATTTCTGTCTGTATTTTGATGTTTAATGTCATTGTTGAGCACTGCTAGACCGGTGTTTGCTACCACCATTTTGGACCTGTAAACGTTAAGCTCGTATGCTGTTGGGAACTCGTCCTCAGCAACACTTGAGAATTGTACCTTATGCTTGAGACAGTATTGGGCATATATGAACAATCCAAGATTGATAAGCCAACAAATGGGAAGTATGAAACCCCAGAAGAATAGAAGTGATAACATGCTTTGATGTCTTACACTGTATGAACAACTGGGACATACGCATACGTGCCTTTTATCAGACTGGTAGAAGGGTGAAGCATGACCTGCAACGTTAACTTTGCTGGACGAAACGTTCATTCGTTGGGTTCAAAATTTTGAGTGGTAAAAAAAATGCACTAACTGATAATACGTTGAATCCATCAATAACAACTCGCCCTTCGCCAATCTCCCAGATGGTGGATTTAAAAAGGTTGTTCTTCAAATTACATATTTTGTACTTGTGTCGGGTGAGAAGTCACGAAATTTCCTATTTGGTTCATGACAATGAGTGAAAACAAGAAAAGATCACACACGATGCCAACGAAACAGAAACAATCATTGAATAAACCTCGCAGATGCTACCAATCTATTACAAATATATATTGAATGTTTCGACAGAGGATTTTTTCCGTCTTTGCGTTATGATTAAGTGGCATAATTGCTTAATTAGTTTGAAGAGAGAACCGCTATTACGCCGTAATACCTCCCAAAATAGACAGAAATTCCAGAATTGAAGCTCTAATACAAAAATTTATGCAATATATTTACAAATACCACTATGTATGGTAAGCGGCTCAGCTCCCGGCTAACTTCTTTGTCTTGTGCGCGTACTTCTTGGAGAATTTTTCCATGTAACTCTTGATGAACTCTTTCACCTTTACTTTCTTCTCCTTACTCAACTCTGGGGGAGGGCACTTTTTTGGGTCTTTTTTCAACTCCTTCGAAGATAAAATCTTTGTTATGTCCCGCGAACATTGCTTTATGTGCTCGTGGCCTAAATCTTTCTCGAAATGCTTAACCATATTTGGCACAAATCCAGCAAAAAATTTGTTCCACTTGTGAAGCATATGGTCACCATTGCTTTTCTGTAACTTTTTCCTACGTTCTTCCTTATCTTTCTCATCCTTTTTCAATTTCTCTTCTTTTTCAATTTCCTTTTGCCGATTTGCTTCAGCGATTATCTTTTCCAATTCAGACTTCTTCAAATCTTCCAGCTGCATTTTGGCCTTAAGCTGTCGGACCTCTTCTTCTTTGAGTCGTTCCAGTTCCTTTCTCTGAAATTCTAGTCTTTGTAACTTCTTTTTCTCATAGGTTTCGGAATCCAGTTGAGGTCTTTTGCGACTGACGCTTACTGGAGCAGGACTTTCTGCACTTGGTGTAGAGTGTCTACTTCCACTTGTCATTCCAAAAGTTTTGCTGGTGCCGCTTGGTGGTGTATGTAACTTCGTTTGTTGCTGAGCATTGTAGTATACCGGACGCCCGTTTTCATGAATTATCTCCCATCCAGGTGGAAGCCGTATTCTCCTCAAATCTTCTTTCCTTCGAGACGATTCTGAGACGTCTTTCTTCGAAATCCGTTTATAGGTTTCGAAACTATCCCATTTGAACAATAGATTTTGGCATAAATCTGTAAGTTGCGGATTCGAGCTCAACTCTTTCACCTTAAGGTCAATCTGTGAAGATGTAATACCATTCTTGGTAGTTTTTGGAAGGGTTTCGAGATACTGCAAAAGATCAGACTGCAATTCGGTATTATCTTCGAATAAAGATAGAAGTTGGGTAAAACATCTATAACCGTGAAGCTTTATGATCTGATAATGGAGATTCTGATCCTCAGTAAGCAATACTCTTTCCAACAGTTTTTCAGCAATGAGCTTGTCGTCGATTTGTAACAGGACACTCATAACTTTAGAAACATCATCGAAACTATCACAAGGTGTCAACTCTAATGATTCAACAAACTCCACATTTATGTTGTTAATTTCACCCTTAACAATTTTCTCACCACTAGCCTTCTTAGACTTGATCCACTTCTTCTCTATCGAAGGACGTACCCCCAGTGCGTCGGCGTAATTCTGTGGTAGTAATGACGCAGCATCGGTTTGAGTTTTACCTCCCATGAACCCTATACAATTAGGTTCCTCACAGTAACATGGCTGGGCTGCTGCTCCATAGCGATCAACATTGTAATCAAAAGTGATTTCTTCTCCACGGACTATATTACGATTAGCAAATATCCCCATCCTCAACTTACCTCCAACAGTCCATTTATTGACATAGGCATTTGGATTACAAGAGTGATTGCAGAATCTTGCCAATGAACCCTTTACAGTAGCGTCGATGAATTCTCCCGTTTGTAGCATCATAAAGTAAAAGTGTTTGAAGCCTCTTTGATCGTATTCTACCATCCTTTCGCGAAAATCATCTTCTGCAATTACCTCACCAATATACTCATAAATAAATTCATGCGCTTGAAGATCTCGCTCAGCTCGCACTCCATATCCCTTTTTCTTCGTTTGAAATACAGAGATATCTGCATATTGACGTTTCTGAAAGCGCTGATTCTGACAATCGTTACCACATGACCCGCATAGATCATTAACACACTCAATAAGTGTAAGGCGGTTGATACAATCAGAGTTTTCACCACATGCATGATTTATACCGTTCTGAAATTCTTCGTAACAGTCACATTCCATGAAATCATTGCTATTGGAATTTCCTAAGTCTTTTCCGGCGTATTGACATTTTTTTATCTCAGTAAAAGTGCTTAATGCTTCTTGAGTTTTGTCTTGCTCTTCAGAGAACAATTTTAGTTTAGAAGCAGAGGGTGCATCCGCGGATGGCGATTTAGACCTTGACGGTTGCATCTGGAGGGATACTTCAAACCTTGGAATGAACTTCTTTTGGAATCATTCGAAGTAAGGTTTGCTTATGAAAAAGTTAAGCAGTGAATAGACGTATAAGACGATGATTATATCCCAGAGTAAATTAAATGCACAATAGAAGGATCCTGAGCAAGGAACTCTAAACCGTTTGTGCCAAGTTCCCACTATGACTGCATTTCATTAAAAATCTTGAGCAAATTTTTCTCTTTGTTGTCAACGCTAATTGTGTCCTCCCATATATCCATTGCCCTTTTTATGTTACACTCTACCGCTGAAATGGCTTGCTGAAATTTCGGGGAAACACTAGCGCACTTGCCAGTGTTAAATATCCACTTTGTTCTTTGCACAATTTTGTGAGTGGAGACATCCTTTTCGAGAACTATATCCTTGATTTCCCGTGAGCGTAACGATATTAAAAGTGTTCGTGAATATTCATGCGAATGAAGGTCACGTTTCATAGCATTAATGACCTTTCGCTCAGAATCAGATGCTATTGGAAACGCCTGTAGTTGAAACCACGGAACAAATGTTGGTAAATAAGAGGTATATTTTGGCAGCAACTCAGCCGACTTGTATTGTGATTCATCTTCAAAACTTACTTCCAAGACGGAAGCGTGCTTTTGGGTACCTGGCGTTATAGTTGTGGATAAGTTAGAGCTGTCAAAAAGGCAAAGAGACTCAAACTTCTCGTCTAATTCTGTAGTGTCTGTAATTCTTAATGTGTTTCTTTTAATGTCAATGTTATGCAAAAGCGTTCCTGACGATGATGGAAAGTTCATTCTAGTCTGTTCAACCCTTGGAGACCCAGATGTACTCGTCCAAGGATATTCATCATATTCATTCAAAGATGGCGAAGGCTGTGGTGTGATTCTGTTATTCATGGCCATTTGATGCAGCGAGGTGCTACTGTTATTACGATGAAGTGAAAATGGCTGATCGGACGGGTCGTTGGTTTTGCCCGAAGGACTCTGAGCAAACCGCTTATTAAACCATGATCCGTAACTCCCGTAAGCACTTGACATTGAAGACGAAAGATACTGAAGTGAACTGCTACCGCTTTTTATCGAAGATGGTTGAATTACATGTGCAGAACTCTCATCAGAAGATAAACTTGTAGAAGTGTATCGAGAAGTTTTGCACGGTATCTCCCAACCCTTGTTCGTGACAGTACTAAAGTATCTATTGTCTTGTCCATCGTCTTCTTTTGATGGTCCTTTATTTTTGGTGATTTCTGCTTGAGGCGTCCCATTGATGGTCGGTATAGGTCCCGTGAACCTTGGCTTCAATAACCCTGATATAATAAATATCAATTTGTTTGCAACCGCCATGTTTCCAGATATTACCACAATACGGGTTGATTCATTGGCAATTAATTCTTCCCTGTACTCGTGGGTAATCTTGGCAAGTAGGACGGGAAGAAATCGTAATCGGTGCCCATCCTTGATGTCTAGCCAGTGAAATACGTCCTTAAACCATGCCATTACAAATTCCTGACATGAGGCAGGATAGAGTAACAACCTTGGAATGTCTGTGTGAGATGCTATTAGAGGCAGAAGAAGTTTGAAAATTGACTGAACTATGGAATCGGCACTTTGAGGATCCTGTAATCGTAAATCTCTCGGAAGAAAGCTCGATCCACTTCTCAGCAACGATGATTCGAGTAGGGCTTGACACTCATCAAGCCATTTGCTTATATGTGACCAAACCTCACTAAGAGCGGTCATAAATGTGTCGGGTAGGCAAAGACAAATTGCGTGTCTGTTGTCCCCTCCTGAGACATAGAAGGCCCTAATAACTAGCAACACGCCAGCGCTGGTAACTACCCGGAATTTATCACTTTGATTCCTGTTCTTGGCTCTGACGGGAGAGCCGAATATGTAGTCCTTCAATTCACTTAGCGAGATTTGGTCCATTGCCGAACCCCTAGAGGCAACGTAATCCAGTACTATCTGGTAGTTATGCCGACTCATTATTTGGCCCATTTCCTGTGCGATCACAACTCGAAACTGGTGTGTGGTCGCCTGGTAATCAATATGCTTATTTCCATAAAGCATGAGCTTGACATCATCATGCACATGGGTCGAAAAAGATGGTACTCCTTCTTCCACGTTGCTGCTCACATCAGTGAACATGCTTTTAGCAAGTAACCTGCCCAGCATAGTGAGAACCTTCCTATTTCCGCTCTGTGCAGATGCCTATTGGCTAAAGTGTCTTAAATGATGATCCGCACTATTAACGGCTACAAGGTAGGGCATGTGTCAAGGACGCCCGACCGAGGTCTGCCAAGCTCTGAAACGGGTGAAGTCCAATATGTGTTCTAAGATTATATATGAACTTAAATATGGGCTTTCAGACGACAGTTTGAAACTTTTAGCAACGCCCCAGAAGTGCTATCTATCAAAGATATGCTAAAATGTTAGCACATAACTTTGGGAAATAACCAGTCTGAACAAATAACTACTAATTCAAGGATTCTGCAGTCCAAATCAGAGGTAGTTGGAAAGCGTCAGTAATCGTATCTCTGGTCGTTTAACAGAATAGATATCAAGACTATTTTAACATGATCAGGAAGGGGATCCGTTATTGGTGATTTGACAATGCAGGGTTTGCATAGAATAACCCACCGGGTAGTTCATATTCGCTATGATAAACAATCCATCACTAGGTCCCATTAAAGAAGTGTACAGTGGTTGCAAAGATCGTATTCTATAGCCGCTAATGTTTGATGAGTTTCCAAGATGGGTTGTGTACTCATCGATATCATCGCTCCTTTGTATCGGAGGAAGCTTTTGCGTTCCGCTCATCTCGGGGTTTTGTCGGTCGTCCGCCAGCGTGAACTCAAAACTGCTGAACTACGGGCTTTCTGTGAGTGCGGGATCAATGATGACCACTAGTTTGTATAAGATGCTCCCTCACGGGGCTGAAGATAAAAAGATGGTTTTCCTCGGATTCCTTGTTGGGACGATAGTAAGTTTTATACTGAACTTCGTGGTGCATGCCTACACAAGCGAAAGTCTCATTCATGGTAATCATTCAGATTCCGATGATGATCATCATTCACATCCAAATGAATCGGCTTTACTCGATCACTCTAATATCAGCATCCAAGCACCTGCTCCCAAAATGAAAAAAGCAAACTCTACGTTAAAGTCAATGCCTTCTTTAATCGATCTGCTAGCTAAGAATGAAACGCAAGCGGGCAGCTGTTACGGTAGTACTTCCTGCGTGCCAATGGAGCCAACTACTTCAGCGGGCGCCCCTTTGACTACCACAACATGCCATGCAAACCAGGAGGCGTCTGCGATTGTCTGTCCCGAAAATGGTATCGGCTACGATCTTGAAAATTTATCTGTCTACAGAAATCACTTTCTATCTGGCAAAGTTCCTTCGTCCCATGCGGCCGAAGAAGATTCATCATCTTCGCACTCCGGTATTGCATCCGTTGATCATCACCACCATCACGTCGCAACACCATTTTCAAAACTCATCTCGATCGGAGTTCAAACTTGTGTCGTAATTGCGCTGCATAAGTTTCCAGAAGGTCTAATCATATTCTATACCAATAACGAAGACGATCATAACCCCAGCTCTTTGGGATTTTCCATCTTCCTGAGCTTGGCTATGCACAACTTTATTGAAGGATTTTCGATGACTCTGCCTCTCTACACTGCGTTCAAAACCAAGTGGCATGCTGTACTAATTGCTAGCTTGCTAGGTGGGGGCTCTCAGCCTCTTGGCGCATGCCTCGGCTATTTCTTATTGAGAGGTAATCAATCTAAAGAAATACATGTGAATTTCTTGCTGAGTCTCACCTCGGGCTTCTTGTTCGTGATTGGGCTTCAAATGTTTCAAACCGCAATTGGTTTCAGCGATAGCCACCACCATCATCAAAATGACGCATCTCCAAGTGAAAATCACTGTTTAGCAACTACTTGCTTAAAATGGTGTTGCCTAGGGGCGTTGTTGATCATAGGAAGTGGCATTTTCTCTTAGCTTGAAAGTACGTAGCTATCAAGACCACCAATTCAATAACTGGTAATTAGTCACAAAATTGCGAATTTATAAATTTATAGATGGAATGTTTTTAACTACCTGAACTCTCCAGCTCAATGGGCTTATCTTCACTGACCAACGGGGCTTTAAAATTATGCGTGCCCCAAAAATAATACAAGAACGTGATGCCAATGATGAACAGAACGAATACAGCACTAGCGTAGTTCATAGATGTGGATGTGACCGGTACTTGTGGAGGGACGCTGATGATGAACATGGTGAAGACTAACCAGGCTACACTAACAAAGTTGACAATCCATCCTAAACGGTATCTGACCTTTATGGGAGACCCCCGTAGTGCTCGCCTGCGAGATATGACTACTAATATTATTGGAATGCAAGTAGCAGAACAAAGACACAATACCGCAGCTCCTATAAATGCATTAAAAGCGGCAGTTGATACCAGAGCCAGTAACCCAAGGATATAAGAAATGCCCATGGTCAAGAGGATGGAATATTTGGGCACTTTTGACTGCGACGCTGGGTCAACATATGCCCATAGATCTGAGTATGGGAGAGCCTTATCACGGCTCATACTGTAGACAGCACGCGAAGACGTAGTTATTGAGCCGATTCCAGAGAAAAGCAGGTTACCCAAGATCATCAAGACTAAAAAAAAGGAAACAAACATGGAATGCGTAGATTGTGTGAATATCAAAACTATAGGCATGACTTTTGGGTTATTCAAAATGGTCGAGGTCTCTGGAATAATAAGCATAATGGGAATCAAAAACACTAAGCCCGCCACACCTGATATGATAACTGCTGTTGACATACCGCGTGGAATATCGCGCTCTGGTTCTTTGACTTCGTCTGCAAGTGCCGGTAACATACTGAATCCCTGTAAAGTGAAATTCGATTGTTGGAACCCAATCATAAATGAAAATGCTGAACTAGAATATCCTGAAAATGTATTGTCAAAATGGGTGAGTCCGTATTTCAAGGAGCGATAGTGACCAGAATGGAATAGAAGAAGTAAAATGTCGATAAAAATAATGGCGTAAAGTATCCAATAAACGCACACTTTATTAACACTTTCAATAAATCTCGAAAAATAAAGGTTAACCATGCCCACTATAGTTACAATCAGATAAAAAACAAAAACTGTGTACAACACAAGATGCTCTTCATTAATCAAATTATCATTCGTAACAGCAATAAGCGATATGACTAGTTGTGCGCCTGCAAAAGTAATGCTTGTACTCATTGTCCAATTGCCGAGCAGCATCAGCCATCCTGTATACCAAGAGCATATCAGTTTTACCTTTTTAGGAGCCAACAAAGCACTACTTCCATGCAACTCGATGGGGAACTTTGAAACAATCTCTCCCAAAGAGAGTGAACATAGCCAGGTTGCAAAGCCGCATATCAAGAACCCCATGACGATTGTGAGTGGTCCTCCGTTCAATAAGCCGATGCTCATGGTTGTGCTCATACCTAACACAGGACTCATCAGGCCAAAGCCCAAACCAATGATAGATCCTTTAGAAAGAAATGATCGGTCTAACTGTTGTTCATAGAGAAACCTTTCGACCTCTTCGACACCGTCATCCTCTTCATTAATTATCGTCTGTAAATTCGAAAATACAGAGTCTGGAATAAACTTCAGGTTATCTCGAAGAGATTGAGGTATACGAACATATTCTGGCATGGATAAAATGGTTGAACCAATTGGTGAGATGTTCAATCGTCATGGGCTTAGCAGATGAGGTCGGGAAACTTTATATCGCTCACGTCAAAAATGACACAAAATATCACGTGTAACATCTTCCAAGATTTGCGAGAATTAGTATAGTACTCAACTACCATGAGCGCTTGTGTACTTTACAGTTGTTGCTTCATAGTGACATTGTCTGTCTGTTCTCCTTTTTCATCTTTGTAAACCTTTTCGTTTTGTATTTTATAGTTGAATCTTTGAATTTTCAAATTTTAGAACATTCTTACAATGTGCCATTTGAGATTCGTTCGTCTGTCTACTTGCAATGGACGAAGACCTATATGATGAGTATGTGGTAGCTTTCATTTCATCAAACTCAGTATAAGTTACTAACCCGATTATTTGAACAGATTTGGTAATTTAATAGGAGGCGATTCTCCTCAGGTGGAAGACAATGATGAACCAATGGATCTTGGGGGAATTCGAACCTTCGAGAACCACCACACCGATTCAACCGCACTTGTGAAGAGCGAGCTTGATGCTGCGTTTGATGAGGACGTTGAAATATTGGTAGAAACAAAGGATCAGCAGTCTTTGGAAACACCATTGGTTGAGCCTGAAGCAGACATGAAAAGCGAATTTGCTTTGTATACCACCATCAACAAGAAGATTCCCCAGACAACCTTTGATAGAGAATATATGCTAGAACTACTGAAAATTCCCGAGAGGATAATAAATGTCGCGGTGATAGGACCATTACATTCCGGAAAAACCTCTTTGTTGGATTTGATTGCACTTGAAAGCCACAAAGATCTTCCCTACGTTTCTCGAAATGTCAAGCAGGGATGGAGGCCACTTAGATATATGGACAATACGAAACTCGAAATAGATAGGGGAATATCTTGTAAACTGAATGGTCTAACAACTTTGGGAACCAACTTGAACAACAAATCTACTGCGTTTACTTTTCTGGACTCCCCTGGACATTTTGCATTCGCAGACGAAACAGCTGTTGCTCTGGCAGCTGCAGACTGCTGCTTGATCGTAATAGATGCCGTTGAGGGCATAACATCTATTGTTCAACATTTAATAAAACAAGCTGAAAAGAATAAGCTTCCGATGATTTTTATGCTAAACAAGATCGATCGACTTATTTTGGAGCTCAAGCTTCCGCCCAAAGATGCATTTTTAAAATTGAGCTTCATCATTGACCAGATAAATACATTTGCCAAGAATGTTTATTCGCCCGAGTTAGGTAACGTCATTTTTGGATCTACTAAATTGGGCTTCACTTTCACAATTAAAGAATTCGTTATTCAGAATTATGGGAATCATCTAGATGCGCGTGGAGTTGAACTCTTCACAGAGAGATTATGGGGTGATGTGTACTCTCATGGTGGTTCGTTTTCTACAAACCCTAATGCTCATTCTACGACAACTTTTGTAGAGTTCATCCTATTGCCAATTTACAAAGTTTTCACCAACTCACTAACCAATGAACCACAAAATTTATCGAGTATTTTGAAGAAGGAATTCAAAATCGGTTTGGCGCCAGATAAGTTTCATCTGGATCCACTTCCACTACTGCGACATGTCCTCAAACTAATATTTGGAACCCAAAAAGGCTTAATACATTCTATAAACTCTTCATGCCTTCCATCCAGTGAGATGTCTCTTCCCAAGCAGCATGAATTTGGTATTGCGTCAAATGAAGATCCTACAGTAGCCCACGTTCTCAAACATGTCGATTATTGCGGACAATTCTGGTCGCTTGTTCGAGTTTACAAGGGAACATTAACCACCTCTAGCAATATTAGACTTGTAGAAGCGGGTAATCTGGGTGACGATACTGTAAAGGACGTGAAAATTGAGCGGATTGCACTTTTGGGTGGAAGATATACTTTGCCAGTAGACTGTGCATCAGAAGGTCAAATCGTTCTTCTCAAAGGTCTAGGCGAATTCTATACAAAGTCCGGCACTCTATCATCGTCAGGTTCTGTTTGCTTTCGTCCATTGGACTATATTAATGGTTCTGTTTTCAAGATTGTCATCCAGCCTTATCATCCACGAGAGCTACCTCAAATGCTTGATGGCTTGAACAAAATCAATATGCTTTATCCTGGAGTGGTCATAAATGTCGAGGAAACTGGGGAAAATGTGATTTTAGGCTCTGGTGAACTCTATCTAGATTGTTTGATGTATGAATTGCGAACAAACTATGCTGGTATCGAGATTCGAACATCAAATCCTTTGACAAAGTTCTCCGAGAGTTGTTCTAACGAGTCTTTTGCTGCGATACCCGTCAAAACTTCAAGTGGACAAGTTACGTTATGCATTGGTGCCCAAAGAATGGACCGCAAGCTTGTGCAAGATCTCGAAAAAGGTGTGATAAAAGACTCAGATCTGAGAGACCGTCGAACATTGTCCAAAGCGCTAAGGCAACAGTATGGATGGGACTCGTTAGAAGCTAGAAATGTGTGGAGTTTTCACAATGGCAACGTTTTAGTCAATGATACAATCCCCGATGAGGTGGACAGGGATGTGCTCGCGAACGTCAAAGATGCCATCATACAAGGCTTTCAGTGGTCAACGAAGGAGGGTCCTTTAGCAGAGGAGCCCATTTATGGTGTTCATTTTCGATTGCTCAATGTTGATGTAGTGGGAGATGTTTATGCTGGTCAACTCATTCCTTTGGCCCGTAAAGCATGTTATGTAGCACTCCTTACTGCTCAGCCGGTTCTTCTCGAACCTATTTATGAAGTTGACGTAGTTGCGCATGAGATCTTGTCTGAAATCCTTGAGGAGCTGTTTCAGAAACGACGTGGTGGGCGCATTTATCAAAGAGTTCGCATCCCTGCTACCTCTCTAGTGGAAATCAAAGCACAATTACCAGTGATAGAATCGGCTGGATTTGAAACAGACCTGAGACTTGCAACAAACGGCGGTGGAATGTGTCAATTACACTTCTGTAACAAGATCTGGAGAAAAGTGCCAGGTGACGTGATGAATGAAGATGCATTCATTCCAAAATTGAAACCAGCACCGATTGAAAGCTTGAGCCGTGATTTTGTTATGAAGACTAGACGTAGAAAGGGCCTTTCTTCTGAAGGTTACAATTCAAAGGATGGCCCTTCGCTGTCTAAGTACATCGAAGCAGAACTTTATGAAAAGTTGAAAGAAAACGAGTTAGTGTAGTATATAAGTTTTAGGACAATCAAGCTTTCTCCACATCCTCCCCATCATCGTGGAAAGTAAGTATCGATCTTAGCATTGTAAGCTGAAATCACTATTGACGTCATATGGAGGTTTCTTTTTACATATTCGAAAATTTTTCACTAAAGAAGTGAGATGCGATGAGCATCTATTAGACTACATCGGAAGAATCAATAAGAACAGTATGGCGAAGGGTGCCAAACTTAAAGAGCTTTTAGCTCATCAAAAAGAGAATGAGAAGCAAATTCAAAAAGAACAGCTCAAGAAGGTCAAGGCAACTGGTCAGGAGCCTAAAAGTGCAGCATCCGAGGATATGCAAAAGGCAAAGAAGCCTGCAGATGAGTCCGTGAAGATAGCTTCAAATGAAAAGAGTGATGAAGAGTATCATAGCCAAGCCTTATCTAAGAAAGAAAGGAGGAAGTTGAAAAAGCTACAGAAGAAACAACAAAAGGATGAACCTGAAGAACAAGCTGAAAACTCACAAGACGAGGCCGAGGAACAAGATGACTTGGATCCTAAGAAGCTAAATTTGGAGGCTCTTGAGGAGAGTGAATCTGAGGGTAGTGAAGAAGACGAGGATGAAATTGAAGCAGAAGCAGAAGTGGACCAAAATGAAGATGATGAAGATCAGGATGTTCCTCTATCAGATGTCGAATTTGATTCCGACGCTGACGTGGTGCCATATCAAAAATTGACGATCAACAACACTAATGCCTTGAAGCATGCACTTGAGCGTATTCAGCTTCCTTGGAGCAAGCACTCCTTCCAAGAACACCAGTCTATTACATCCTCCAGTAACACTGACGAAGGTATCAAGGATATCTACGATGATACAGAGAGAGAACTGTCATTTTACAAACAATCACTGAACGCTGTGGTTGAGGCCAAGGAAAGGTTGAAAAAACTTAAGGTCCCCTTCAATAGGCCGCTTGATTATTTTGCTGAAATGGTCAAGAGTGATGAACACATGGACAAGCTGAAGGCAAAACTAGTCGAGGAAGCTAGTGAGAAGAAAGCTCGTGAAGATGCTAGAAAACAAAGGCAATTGAAGAAATTCGGTAAGCAAGTTCAAGTTGCTACTTTGCAACAACGTCAAAAAGATAAGAGAGAAACATTAGATAAGATCAAGTCTCTCAAGAAAAAGAGAAAGCACAATGAAATTCAAGGTGAAGATTTCGATGTAGGCATTGAAGAGGCTACGGAAGAAAAGAAATTTAAGCCCAACGCTAAGAGACAAGCCAAGAACAGTAAATATGGTCAAGGTGGTATGAAACGTTTCAAGAGAAAAAATGACGCTGAATCCTCTGCTGATATTCCTGAATTTTCGCATCGCAAGATGAAGGGCAAAGCACCACGCCCTGGAAAGAACAGACGCCAACGCAGATATTAAACGTCTCACCATTTTTGCATAGTCCTATAGTGTATCAGCTGAATTAAACTTTGTATAGTATAAAGCCTGCCTTATTTCATTATCCGACATGTCCGGATCATTCCTTAGGTGTAGTTACCGCCATTTCTTCCGCCACATCTTGAGGCAACTTATAGCACACGATTTTGGAAGACTCAAATTATTTAGCTTCAAAACGATAGCTGACTATTGAAAACTCTTCTCAAGTATCATCTCAATATCCTCAAACAGACTCTATTGTTTACGCATTAATTTCAGGTCTAGCTTTTATGGTTCGATGACTGCTGTTACTTCACCGATAAATGTCACGTTCTCGTATCAGTATTTCAAGAAATATTAAAAAAAGCGTACGATTTCGGCATATATAAACGACAGCCAACTTAAAGGCGAACAGTATTTTACTTCGCAATTCACACGTCTGCAGTACTCAAACTAGTAGTATAATAAATCATGTCTAAAGAAGAGAAAAGAGAAAAGTTCTTGAGCGTTTTCCCTAAGTTGGTAGAAGAATTGAAGTCGATTTTGGTTGGCTATGGTATGAGAGGTGATGCTGTTCAATGGTTTGAAAACTCATTGAATTACAACACCCCAGGGGGAAAGCTGAACAGAGGTTTATCAGTCGTTGATACCTATGCAATCTTGACTGGCAAGGGCTCCTTCAAGGATCTCTCAGACGATGAATACTTCAAATTGGCCACCCTTGGCTGGTGCATTGAACTGCTACAAGCCTACTTTTTGGTTGCCGACGATATGATGGATAAGTCTATCACCAGAAGAGGACAGCCATGCTGGTACCGCATTGAGAATGTTGGTGAAATTGCCATTAACGATGCTTTCATGTTGGAAGCTGCCATTTACTGCCTACTGAAGAACCACTTCAAAAAGGAGTCTTACTACGTCGACTTGATTGAATTGTTCCACGACGTTACCTTCCAAACTGAATTAGGTCAATTGCTAGATTTGATTACTGCCCCTGAGGACAATGTTGACTTAAGCAAATTCTCATTGGAGAAGCACTCTTTCATTGTGCGTTTCAAGACCGCTTATTATTCCTTCTATTTGCCAGTTGCCTTGGCTATGTACGTTGCGGGTATCACAGATGCTAAAGATTTGAAACAAGCTCAAGATGTCTTGATTCCATTAGGGGAGTACTTTCAAATTCAAGATGATTACTTGGATTGCTTCGGTAAGCCTGAAGACATTGGTAAGATTGGTACCGATATTCAAGACAACAAGTGCTCTTGGGTTGTTAACACTGCGCTAAAGATCTGCACACCTGAGCAGAGAACACTTCTAGACGAAAACTACGGTAAAAAGGATGCCGAGTCCGAAAAGAAGTGCAAGCAGTTGTTTTACGACTTGAAAATCAACGACATGTACCATGAATATGAGGAAGGAATTGCCAAGGAACTCAAAGAGAAGATTGCCAACGTCGATGAGTCCCGTGGTTTCAAGGGAGACGTCTTGACCGCTTTCCTTGAAAAGGTGTACAAGAGAAAGAAATAAGTACCCTTAATCCAGTACTAAATACACCTTTGTATCTAAATCCACTGTAAGTAAGTCTTACCTTATAAATCATTCAGCTGTCTTCGAAAGTGCTCTAGCGTACTTGTCGGCCAATCAGAAGCGACGATTTTTGCGTAGCACGAGAACTCGGATATTTCGTTGTTAGCGGAAAAACTAGAGAAAAAATAAAAATCGTTCTCCTTGAGACAACTCTTTGTCTTGTGCAAGCTTCAAATAACTAATTCAGCGATAACAACTATCAAACATGGGTGGACCACACGCTAAGACTTTCATGGGATGGTGGGGTAGCATGGGCTCCCCAGCGCAAAAGGGTATTACCTCCTACGCTGTGTCTCCATATGCGCAAAAGCCATTGACAGGTATTTACCACAGTGCTTTGTTCAACACTTTCAGAAGAGTCAAGTCGCAAGTTTTGTTCGTGGTCATTCCAGGTGCTCTGTACTGGATGTGGTGGAGCAATTCTAGAGACTACAACGAATACTTGTATACCAAGGCCGGAAGAGAGGAGTTGGAAAGAGTCAACGTTTGATTAGTGTCGATGAGACCCGTTTAACGAAACTCTACTCCTTTTCGTACACATACTGATTGGAATACTGGAAGGGAGGAAAGACAGCTCTCCACACATGTTCCTGTCAGACTTATATTTATTCAACGAAGTGAAACGAAATGACATTAGGCCCTTTAGGTAGGGAATATAAAGTTAGAAACTGTTATTAAAAAATATATTCTGTCGCATTAAGGTTCATATTTTTCTTAGGTTAGTACTTCAGAGTGATTTGACGACAAGAATCTGGTCGTAAAATCTGTTGGCAGTAGATATCTGCCCCACGTAACCCCACATTATTGAAGCCAGCTCGGGCCAGGGGCTCTATAGTGTGCTTCTTACGTTCTGTCATTTACGTTGAATCACCTGTTTTTTTTTTCATAGTAGCCGTCTCTCATGAGGGGATCAATTCAAGGAATGGTTTATTCTTATTACAAGCTACATAAAGGAGAGGATCAAACCAAACTCGTTACAAATATTCAGGGAAACACATAATAATGTTGCTATGGACGGCGTTTATGATGTTCACTCAAGTACGAACCCAGTTCAGAGATCTTTATCCCTAGAGCGCAAGCATCCGAATAAGATTTCAACTACCTCATCTCGGCATGAGAAAACTCCCAAGACAGATCAAACCTTCAGTGACTCACGATACGAAGGACCTCCCATGAAAATCACGAATGAGAAAACGGATGATGATGAAATGTTGCACTACAAAATTAAAGGAATTTATGAGATTGATCACGAAGCTTCAAAAAATATGCTTGTGAGAGTCTACTCAGAGAATGAACAATCAAATTTCAACGCAGTGACGGGTAGGAGGATGTATGACGATTTGAAATATCGACCTATACACCATGAAGGTACGCGCGTAGAAAACCAGTCGAAACCGATAGAGATGTTGAATAACCCCAAAAGGCGTCATTCTACCTCAGTAGGAGAGGATGTGTCGCTTCTTTCGAACCGACTAACTGGCTACAATGCTATGAATCCAACAAATGATATGCAGGATGAGTACATCCCAGATTTTGACTTTTCCGATACCGTTGCTAAGTGGCAGCACGAGGACACACTAAATGATGGTAGCCTGACTAATAATCCTCGCCAGAACTCCGTGGGACTCAACTGTTATAACAACTGGACAGATTATGAGGCAGATTATAGCCACTCTTCATCTGTTTCTTCGTCTTCTCTGTTAATGAAATCTACGCATGCCCAGGTTGCACCGATACCGTTACCGAATGCAAGGCCGCCTCTTTCTTCACCTCGAGGACCAGCTCATGATGAATCAAATCAGCTTCCATTCATTAAAGTACGTCCGTCCGGCTCGTCCTACAATAGGGTGAAGGCTCTACCATCTCTGAATACTTCTGTAACTGAGGGTTCGTTGAGATTCAAGAGGCAGAAATCAACACAAGAATTTGAGTCGCCGTCATCTCCATGGAGCACTACAACTGGTAGCTTAACATCTTTGGTTGACGCTAGAGTTTTAAATGAAGATTTACAATATATCACAAAGAAGCTTCCGGATGATTTCATGTCTCTCCCTTATTCTCAAAGAAAAAAAATCATATTGGATTTGTTGCCCGGCAAAGATCACAAGTCGATCATGTCGTTGCTGAAGAAACAATTTCTTGTCTCTTCTAAAAGCAGCACACAACTCAAAAGGAGTAGGTCACGACAGGGATCATTGGCATCTCAGTTTTTAAGCTCATTTACTCCATCCTCATCTTCTTTCAAACCTAATGACAAGGGTAATGTAGTTATGGGCTACAAACTTGGCAATATTATCGGATTTGGGGCTTGGGGAATGATTAGAGAATGCTATCAAGCAACCACTGAAACTTCTCAATTAACTGACTATGATTCTCCTCAGAGGGCGCCTTGCAAAGATGATCGCGAATCCTTCGCTATCAAGGCTATCAAAGTCGTAAGGTTCAGAAATAATGAAATCGTTAAGAAACATGTTCTGAAGGAAGTGCAGATATGGAGTAAGCTAAAGCATCCTCATATTCTTCCTTTGATTAATTGGAAATTAGAAGATGATTATGCGATATATTGTCTCACAGAACGTATACATGGTGGGACGCTGTACGATTTGGTAACTTCCTGGGGCGAGTCATCTTGCTCCTCAATATCATTACAAGAAAGGTGCCGGTTAACAGCTGAAATTGCATGTCAAATTGTATCCGCTCTCAAGTATATGCATTCGAATTGTGTTGTCCACGGTGATATAAAACTCGAGAACTGCCTTTTAGAAGAAAGCACCGATTGTTCAATTTGCAAGTGGCAAGTTCTACTATGTGATTTTGGAATGAGTTCACATTTTGGGCATTCTGATCCATCCAGTGAAGGACAATTATGTTTGGAGAATGATGAAAATGTCATGTTCAACTCTCCAGTAGATGGCAAAGTCTTATCTATGCGAAGAAGACCTTCTATACCCAAATCGGCCTCACAAGTTTCTTTGAGGCCAATGACGAAATTACAGAAAATTATGAAGAACAAGAAGCTGACGCACGATGACACACCGCTCGGTGTAAGTGCATTTCCGAAGCATTACGGCCCTGCTGTAACAAGTGCGCACATATCTGAGCGTTTCCGGTCCTGCTTGAGTTCCTCGACTAGTGTCGTGAATTTGAAACGATCGCAGACAACGTCTTCCACGATTGTCGATAGCCAAAGCTCACAAACCACTACTCACGTGGAATTTGCCCAAAACGAAAGCGGACCCAATCCACATTCTCACATAGGTTCTCTTCCTTATGCGGCACCCGAATTGCTGGAACCTGCTCCTCCACCTTTGGGTCCTGCTGCCGACATCTGGGCGTTTGGTGTTACTCTTTACACTATGTTAACTGGTAAATTACCGTTTAAGCATGATTACGAGCCACGGCTCCGGGCGATAATTACCTCTGGTAAGTATGATATTGATTTACTGGCCGAGGTTTGCAATCACGATACTAATTGTGAAGTGGAATATGATAAATTTCACTCTGAGCTTCTTTCTGATGTTATCAAGGGTTGCCTACAAAAAGATTTGACGCGGAGATGGGAGTTACAGCAAATCGAAAACGCATTAATAAAATTCTCTTATTGCATAACGAGACAAAAATCGGAATAATACGGCCAAAGCAATTATCAAGGATTGGTACTGAGTAATGGAGATCATGAATTATTTACTTCCATTTCTTTCTGTAATAGTAAAATCGAAGTTAATCATCTAATACGATGTATAATAAAATTTTTGTCTTGTTCTTTCATCATTTGAAGTCACACACAGCTCAAACTGCGAGCATCAAACACTTCCTTGTGAAGTCAACGTTTAGTTTTCTCAACAAAGTTATCGTTAAAGCACATATTGGAGATGATTTACCTGAAGTCTATGTTGAAAGTCATTGATAATTCAGGTGCTCAGATAGCTGAATGCATCAAAGTATTAAGAAAGGGTTCGCCAAAATCGCCAGGAAAAGTTGGTGATAAGATCGTGTGTGTGGTTCAAAAAGCCAAACCACTTACTCAAAATATTACTGGTACTGCGACGACAAATAGAGTGAAAAAGGGAGACATTGTTCATGCAGTGATTGTGCGCACCAAACAGAAAAATATGATTCGTCCCGATGGTTCTTCAGTGAGCTTTGGCGATAATGCGTGTGTTCTTGTTAATAAGAATAACGGAGAGCCTCTTGGAACCAGAATCATGGCCAATGATGGGTGTGTCAGTAGAGAGCTCAGAGACAAGGGATATAACAAAATATGCTCTCTAGCGAGCAGAGTCGTGTAAGTATTAATTACAGTTTACGTGTATATAACAAAAGATGTGCTTTGAATAGGATGTTTAAAATCAAAGGAATGACAAATTATTGAGGTGAGCGCGCTGGATATATATATGTTAAAACGCACGATTTTTACTTATGGTCCTTGTAGAAGACGCAGCATCTTGTCCTTTTCATCCAGGGGGTAAGTAACAATTTATCAATGCTGATTCTCTTCTCCGGATTCCATTGGAAAATGCCGTATAAGCACATCTTCCTACAGCGACTAATTTCTACGGTAACGTGCTTCATTCCTTCGAAAACGTCAAATTCCCTGTCCGTTCGAATCTGCTCCACGAAGGATGCATAAACCGAATCTTTGTCCATTAAAGGCACCTTCCACAAATAATGACCAAGCACCATAGTGCAGTATATTACACCACAGCTCCAGCAATCAACTAAACGAGGGTCATACTCCATATTGGCGATGAATTCTTCTGGGGCAACATAAGGCTCAGAACCGACAGCACCAGATTGAAAGTGGACTTTTTTCTCCCAAGCCGTCTGAAAAACACAACTGGTGCCAAAATCACAAATCTTCAGTACACCAGTTGGACTGAAAAGTATATTTTCAGGTTTTAAATCACAGTGTGCAATCCCATGGTCATGCATGTATTGAACACCATTCAAAAGTTGCTTCATGAAACAGTCAGCCTCCAATGGATGTAGACCTGAGTGTGACTTCGCTGTACGCGATAACAAACTGTAAAGATCACCTGAGGGACAAAACTCCATTACCTCAACAAATCCGTCATTCGTCTGCATAAGATCAAGGATTTTGAGAATGTTCGGTGGAGCCCTTTCATCTTTATGATGACTACTTAATGAATGTCCAATAATAAATTCAGACGTCAATCTTGTACCAAATTTTTCTCTGGGCTCATCTGGTTTCGGTTTCAGCTCCTTAACAGCATAATACATTTTCGATCCTGTTACAAAGGTCTCATCTGACGGTCTCGCGTCGGAACGGCAAGTAATTACCTTGCAACAGACCTTGACTGTACCATAAGCTCCATTACCAATAACACCTATCGGCTTACCATATTTTTCGCATAAGGTGTACTGTTTCTTCGCCATGATTTCATCCGAGTCAGTATCCTTATTTGAACCATCATGAATTTTCTTGGACAATTTGTTGATCAGTTTTAATTCATCGACACCAATAGCTGCCTGAGGATTAACAGGGGCAGGTATTTCTTTCTCCTGCGCCTTTTCGGATTCTTCATTTTCTTCTTTTAATTCTTCGTCCAAAACTCTACTTAGCCTCTTGTGAAACTCAAAACGACTTCTTGGCAAAAGTGATAAGGCGCTTTCCAACCGATCGTCATCCTTGTGACTTTTGAAAAATCCCGAAAGTGAAAAAGTAGACTTGACTCTATGGTCGCCATCTTGACTTTCTAGCACAATAGGAGTAACTTTGAGAGTATGCTCATGGTGGCCGTCCTCAAAAAGCTGAAATGTCTCAGTAGCAAGAATTCGTTTAGAATCTCCCTCTGCATGTTGTAAAAGATTTGACGCGCTAAAAGTTGGGGATCTACTTCTGTACTTGGAGCTCATTGACAGTGATCTTGATCTAGAGCCTGACCTTGAACGAGAGTCCTTTCTTTGCAAACTCTTAGTACGTCTCACAGAACTCATATCTTTAGACAACTCGGCGTCTATAAGTGGTTCTTCTTCTTCTTCTTCAAAAACAGTGTCAGGACTTTCACCTTCTTCAACTGCCGAATGATCGCTGGGATTTCTTGCGGCATAGAAATTCTTGCTGTTCTTCGCAGGGTCGTCGTCACTGATCAAGGACTCCTGAGAAACATTCTCTGTCCCTCCGTTTAATGAGTTATGTGTGTGTGGCAAAAGAGACAATTTGCCAAGGTCAGGTATAGGCAGGTGTCGTTTTGCAGGAACTGCACTAGAGCTTTGTGCTTTACTGGACAACAAGCTAGGTGGCGCATTGTCTGTATTGCGATTAGCCGCTCCTTCATGTCTTTTACCTTCCAGTTCCAATTCTTTACTCTTAGCAAGCTTCTTAAGCTTATCACCACCCTTTGAGGCATTAACGTTGTCAGCTGCAATGGCCTGTTGCTTGGATGTCGGGGAGGATGACTTGAAGAGTCCCTTTAAAGATTTTGACAAAGAACGTGATCTTCGAAGCTCTCCCTCAGGGTTATTTGATCCGTCATTCTGAGCCATTTATGGTAGGTTAGACGCTTAAAAACGCAAGCAACGAAGTTCCCCACGCAATCCTTTGTTTTAAGTTCAAGCACTAAGCTCACAAGTTTCTCTCTTTTAGAGAAATCATGGGATACCCTTAATCATTTATTACGTGTTGAATTTCATGTTGATATAATCAAGAATATGTTTTAATTTGAATATTAATAATGAATATACGACGAAATGTACGTGAGTGACATCATCCAGTCTCACATCCCGACCAGGGACTGCACAAAATCTTTAACTTTAACAACTGCACTCAATACTACCATGAATGTACCAAATAATACAAATGACAGGGTACTGATAGCAGCAGCTCTTCGATCGACACTAAGAAGATACGCCGTTGCAATAGCGCCACAGTTACAACCTAAAGTTAATCCCCTCGTAACGTAGTCGTTTTCAGGAACTCGTATTAGGTCAAGCATAGGTCCGCCTGTGAGGACACCAACTATACCACTTATAACCGTAGTGACGGCCATGATTGTAACGGAGCCTTCTAGGTTTTCAATTGTCGGAGTACCTAACGCTAGGGTGATACTTCTTCCAGCAAAACCGATTGACATTGACTGGGAAATTCCTATGTGGTAGCATATTAATGGGTAGAGAAATAGCGAACCAGCGCATAGTAATAGAATAGGTGGGATCATACTTAAAAAATGTCGCCTCAAATCATGTCTGTAAGAATACATTGGCATTGAAAGACCCACAATTGAGACATCCATGCAAGACGTAAATATATCTCCCGCACCTGGCCATTCGTGATAGCCATACAAGTTGTTGTCAAACAGATGTAGGTACGTCCTTCCAGTTTTGTAATCTTTCAATTCTCGTAAAAAATATACTACCTCTCTGTGCTTGATCATAACAGAAATGAGCATAATGAGCCAAGTGAGTGCAACTGAACAAATAACCGGATGCATAAATTTTTTGTACTTTGGGTTAGGTAGGATAGGGGCATCGATTATGAACATGAATGTGACTACTGCAGTGAAGAACTGAAAAGGGCTGACATACCATGTAAAGTAATAAGTGAATATCGTCGCAAAAAACCCAAGCCCATACAAAATATGGTGGAGGTGGTTCTGCCACGTATTTATCGAAAACAACAAGTCCACTTGATGCGAAAACTGTCTCGTCATAGCACGCTGGCATACCACTGGATTGGAATTTGTGTCATTTGGGGATATGATTTCAACGCTAGCTTTATCGCTGAATAGCGATGGTTCGGGTGGTTGCAAAGTAACCGCTTGAGACAACCGATGAACTGTTCTCAAGGAGAGCAGGCTGTCTCTTCTCTTTCGTCCCGATTTTGCCAGTAAACCATTATCGACTGGAGAAACAGGGACCGCCGATGATGCCGAAATTTGTAAATTATCGTCATGTGGGGGTTCTGGTGAGCCGCGAGCGCCAGATTTGGGCGTCTCGAAGCCAGAATTGCTAGCAATATTGACCAAAGGAGTGAAATCGTCCTCATCTTGCGAGGAGAGCAGCTCTTGGCTACAACCGTGGTAAGTTGTGATAGAGCGGTCGGAATCGGAAGAAGAACGCCTTTCAGAGATGCTGGATTGCCTCGAGTGTGATCTAGGCGCAAAGCTTGAACCTTCCTCCATCCCATTCTCTAATTCCTCCTGTCGAACGAAGAAACTAGTCAGCTTTCGGCTTCCAAGCACTTTTTGACCCAGTATCGTCACGTATGCAAGAATTATAAAGGTCACCCAGTAGCCTATCACGAAAACTGCGACAATCAGCATGGCTTCTCGGAGGGAAATCCACGCACTCAGCGGCAAAGTTACAAAAGCAGGCGTGAAGAAAAGATTCATCCATCGCAGGCTCCAGCTCAAAGGGACGTCTATCACCTTAACATATAATTCAGCATATTTTCTTCGCCACGCCGATAAGCAGCACATCAACGCAAAGTTGATTAGCATTACAGCCACACTTGCGGGAAACGTAACTTTGATCACATTTCTGATCAATCTATCCACACCATACAAAACGCAAAGCGTTAGTATCACGCCAATCGGAACTAAGACATAGGTCTTAAAAAGGTCGTATTTGTGCAGACTAATAAAATGCTTGAAGAGTAACCAGTGCTTGTGCGATTGATCTTTCATACTTCGACTTGAATATGGCAGGAGAACAGTAACTGACGACTTTAAGAGTCAGCTAGGTGAATTATCGCATAGATATCATTTAGATCATTTGTTCATCCCAGACGCCGCACAAATGGAAAGAGGTCATAAAGTACGTTCCTTGGCATTTCCATATCTAAAGTATGTGGCATTTAATACGGACGTTGTGACTATTGGTATGAAGGAATAGTATATACAAGTTGGCCAATAGTTCAGAGCCAATCGTTAAACCTCGATTATGTCGGATTCAGGAACCTTCTCATGCTCTACTATGGTCAAAAATTCATCCATGATAACATCCTTATCTTTATTTCTCATCTCAACTGTAGAGGTAACATTACCGTCTTTGGCCAAAACTTGTAAAATGCATGGCACACCTACATCTTTCTTGTCCTCATTTTTGACCCTAGTCACTCGAATTTGTAAACTTGGATTGTAAAATTGAAGTGTGGGGAGGTATTCGCGCCAGAACTTGCGTGCACCCATGTGTCCATTGTGATTTTGATACTGGAAAGTGAGATTGAGAGCGGCGCACTTTTCAGGATTCACCAGTATTTGGGACTTCGGCGTACCTGCGCTTATCTTATTCAGAAATTTGAGCTGTCTAGTGACACGAGACATGAATTACTTTGGAACTTTATACTTAAATGAGCCTCCAGATAGTTGTGTTACGCTGCTCTTCATCAGTGTCGAAAATTTTCGTTCTCCAGCATAGAAAAAATATCACCAAATTGAATAATAATGGTGCACGAATATGCACATACATTAACCGCCTACAACCTTTGTAAAGGCGTTTAGAACTAGTATACAGATGATTTACATGCATGTCCTCAAAAAATGGAATTGGACGGGTAGATTAGTAGTGACCGCGTATCAATGGATTAAAATTCGGAAAATAAATCCTTATAGGGATCTTCTCCCTGGACGCCGTAATTCACGTCTTCTTCAGGGTATCTATCGTACTGCGAAGCGTCACCCTGTCCGGATTGAATAGGAGGCTCATAGGGTGTCTCTATATTTCTGCACAAAAGTTTCTCCCATACTACCTCGCTGAACCAGGGATGATTTTTAACATCCTCGCTGCCGTTTTGCAGGTTTCCCAATCGCTTACTCAAATCTCTAGTGATTAACTGACTCAGAAGATTCTTAACATCGGGATGGAAAAAAGATGGGAACTGTAATGGAGCATTTAAAATGTTCTCATAAGTCTTCATCGTATTGGAATCGTAGAAGGGTGTGTAACCTGCCAGCATCTCATAAATGAGTATTCCAAAACTCCACCAATCGACTGATTTGTTGTAGGGCTTAGTGCTAACAACTTCTGGCGCAATGTAATCCGGAGTCCCGCAAAGAGTATAGGTGACGTCGGGTACAAATTTGGCAAAGCCAAAGTCAGTTATCTTAATGTGGCCGTTCTTGTCCAGAAGCACATTCTCCGGTTTTAAGTCACGGTAAATTATATCTTTTGAATGCAGATATTCGAGAGCCAGACATACTTCTGCGGCGTAAAACTTAGCAACTGGATTTGGAAACCGCTGTGACTTCCGCAGCAGTGAGAACAGTTCACCACCTTCAATATAGTCCATTATCATGAAAACCTGCTCTGCATCTTGAAAGGTACCCCACATTCTAATTATGAAAGGATGAGATACAATAGACAGCATACGGCGCTCATCGTTAGTATGCTCCACCTGCTTCAGCTTTACAATGGTGCGTTTCTTTAACACTTTCATTGCATAGAACCGGCCGTTGTGGTTCGACCGGACTAAGTGAACACGGCCGAAGGAACCAGTACCAAGCGTACGCAGTATCTGGAAGTCGTGTAAATTATATTTTCCGGAGGTCTTCCGACTTTGAATTTCTGTTGCGGGATCTTGCGCCGCCAAGCTTGATATAGACGCATTCAGTACTGGATTATCTTGTTCAGACGACTGTAGACTTCTCTCATTTGTATTTTGCATTGCAGATACCGCTCCAACGTCCCCGTTTAGCATTTGCTGCTGCTCCGACGCTGGCTGTGACATAGCCTCGTGTCCCTGTCTGCTGTCAAAGTTCAGCCTTGTTATCTCGTTATTCCGCTTGGGATCGATATACATCTACCTGGGCGCTCGCAAAGACTTTTTAATGATATAACTCCGAGTTCTCTTTGCCGTGTCAATGTTTAATTCGGATAATTAAACGTTTGTTGCTTATTTTTTCCAGTTCTTGTAACCGGGGAAAAACCTTGTGCAAAAAGAGCGCTCAGACTTCGTTTTGGATAACAACTGCTTAAAAGCACGAAAGGCTCTTGTTCAGAAACAAAATGCTTGCAAACCTTGGGAGAGACACTGGACCAAAGTGAGTAAAGTGCAACTTCTTGTTTTTCGAATAGCAGTTTTTCTTAATCATTCCCGATTTCAACGTTTTTTTCTTTTATTTCATTCGTTTCTTTTTTTGGTAATTAAACCAGTAATAGTAATACATACATAAAGCTAAACTAATATGACAGAGACTGCGGCGCAGACTATTTAGAGGCTGGTAACCTTAAAGACTGTGAAGTAGATGCACGCCTATCGTGTTGCTGAGGCAAGGAGACCTGAGATGGTCTGCGTAATAATTCAGGGTCCCTAACAATTCTCAAAAACAGGCTTATAATAATTGCAGTGATGCTCAAAGCAAGAGGCACGATCATGAATGTTTTGGGTTTAGAGGAAACAGTATTTCCGTAGATGCCTAGCAAAATAGGTGGACATACTAGCATTACGAATGTTCTGATGAGAGCAATCGCACCGAAAACCTCGCCCGTAGCCGATCGCGAACAGTACTTCACGACCGATGCCTGTAATGTAGGTGAAAAGATAGCACTCAGCGCTTGAAAAAAAGCGAAGACGAGGAGGCCGTTGCCCTCTTTATTGTTGATAAGCATTGCTAAGACAATTGACAAAGCGACGAAAAAGAGAGATCCGCGTAAAGAAGTAATGTCAATCTCGTCGATTGAGCCTTTGAGCGGCTGATAGATTTTCTTGAGATAATGTAGTAAAACTGGCGAAATAACCAAAAGAACAAGGGCACGACCTACCCCTGAAAATGAAATGAAATACCCAAGCATAACACTGTCCCACTTATAAACGTAGGTCGAGTATAGCACAAGTGCAGGCATTGAAGCCGCAGTGGAGGAAAGGAACAGCACATCCATTACTATGAGCAGTACAACGGTGTAGCGAGGGACAAGTGAGCCCGCTACAGTTGGCTCCATCCATAATTTCTTGAGAGGTGAAAAAAAGTCCAGGAACTTAATCAATTGATATTTTCCAAACCCGACAGAAGCGGCGGATTCACTCGATCTTAAACTTGCCATACTTTGTTTCCTTTTCAAAAAGCGTGATTGCGACTTCTTGAGTGCATTGGCATGTCTGGGCTCTATCATAAGCAGAGAACAAAGTGCCAAGAAAGCAAACGCAGCTACGTAAGCAAGCAAAAACGGTGTATAGGTATTTCCTCCGGACAATTTGATGACCAAAGAGCCAACGAGAGGTCCTACCCCCATGGAACCGTAAATGGTACTCATCAAAATACTAATTGCTAGCGTCCTGCCCTCTGGCTCGATTATATCGCTGATGTAGCTACCACCATTTGCAATTAACGTAATAACACTAGCGAACGACGTGACACAGTTGGCTGTAATGATCAAATACTTGTTGTAAGGTGTACTAGGAAGGACGGCATATCCAACTGCTGTGATGGCAAGGATCCTTACAATTGCCATATACTGAAAAATGCGAATTCTCCCAAAACGATCTGATAGCTCTCCCAGTTTACCAGAAGTTAGGGTACCAATGATGCCTGATAGGATCATAATTACTGATTGCAATCCAGATAATAATTCTTGTACTTGTGCCATGTCACAGTTGGCCATGTCAACTTCTGTATCACCTTCAACAGCAGTTCCTTCACATATCTTTCTTATTATTAGAACAATATTTGGAGAGATGATTAGAGTATCGGCAAGAGCAGCTAGAATCAATGCCAAACATAAAATAGATAGGCCCGGCCTTTTATACCAACTCTGACTAGCATGACGTGATCTCGCTTCACGCATCCAAGCAAGTTCTTCTGAACCTTCTTCATCCTCGTTCTCTGTCGCATCTTCAGCGATCGCATGCTCCAATACCGTAATCCCGGTTTGTTCGACAGCGTATTCCATCCCCTCTGATGTAATTTCCCTACTTGTTAAAGGAGTACCCTTTTTTGACCCATTGTCTTGGGCTAGTAGGGGACTCGTTTCGACAGTCAGGGGATCTTCTGAAGACGATGTCATGATTCTGATGATGTTGTTCTCGCTGTCAGGAAATCGGTCACTTCAGATCAAAACAAGATGAAGAAGACAAAATGTCAATGGTAAGTATTACAAAAGTTCTTCCAATTAGCAACTGGTTCTCAGTGCTTAATAATTTCTCTTTGAAGCTCACCAACTACGTTTAGAGGTAGCGGCTTTGAGTCCAGTGCTACGCAGCAATCTTTGCTTCTGTTGTGGTTGCAACCATCTCTCGGCCCCCGCAGCAATACAAAAAAAATAGAACTACAGATAAAGTTGCCCTGCGATCAAAAGGCGGTCAATCTAGACCATTAAGTACGAAGATATGGCTTTTCATAGAGCTCAATTACCATCTGACATTGAGGCCAATTGCTTTTGACTTCGAATTTGCTTCTTTGCTTTGAAGAAAAGACAACTTATCCGTACAAATGAACGAGATTTAAAGCATATGAATTTGCTAGGAGACACAGCTAGTAAAGCATTACCTGATTAAGTGTGGTCAGCATCGAAATTCAGTTCAATTAACTGCCCGGTTCAAGCGGACGCGCTACAGTTTTGACGTTGTGAAACAATGCAGAAGTGGCCTTGAGATGCCTATATACACTAGACTACTGGGAAACTTTCAGGCTTTTAGAAGTACATAACTAAAGCTCAGAACCTCATTTTGTTTTCTTTTCACTTTCTTCCTTGCTTGGTTCAATAGAGACATTTTTCAGCAATAAATGGCTGATCAATTCCACCAATAACATGAATAGAGAGGACAAGATGGCAAGACAGTAATTAGCAATTGTAACCCCGATATCCAGCCAGCTACCCTCCGTCCGAAGTAAATAAAAGAAGTTCAATGATAAGATGTCACTAGTGGAGATGATCAACGATGAAATTGTGTAGTCCTTGATATCTAGCTTCAAATTCAAGATACCCAATCCAGTTGAAAGCGTAATATATGGTATGAGAATTTTTAACATTAGCAGAGCCCCCATTGGAAATGGATCAAATATCGGGAGCAAACGGTAAACGGAGTCGAGAGAAAAAGATGAGATAGAAGAAACGTTACCAGTTCCGAAGAAAGCGATCTGGAGAAGAAAAATACCAATTACGGATACACGGAGTAATTGGAGCCAATTTTCTGCTGATTGTGTTCTTTGATTTATTTCCTTTATCCTTGTTTCGATTTCAATCCATTGAATCATGTAAACGGTGAATAGGAAATAAAAGAATGACTCGAAGGATATTGTGAGAATTATGAAAGAAGGGGCAAATGTCAGATAGATGACCAGCATTCTTACCCTGTAGTCATTATTGGGTTTCAAATAATGCAATGCAGGCATTACTAATAGTGATATCGCAAAGATACACCAACTTCCCACTTGAGAGTCCTTTGGTAGACCCTGTCGATTCTGTAGCGATGAAACTGATTTATTTGTCGCCGCCAACATCAAGATAACTAACAGAATTTGGATGGTCAATAGTCTCAGCGTGTGTGCATTTATGAGCTTTCTGATTCTAAGCAGCTCATAAGTTGCGCTCATGATTATTAGAATGGCTGAAACGTTTATTTGAGCGAGACTCTCAATTTTTACTGCGTCGAACAGCGTAAACACAGAGATGCTAACACTGGTTATAAACCACAGCAAGTTGGTCTTAATGTCTGAGACTCCGCAAATATAAGGATAAAAACCCAAGACATTGAAAATCACGGTAAAAATCCATCTCTCAAAAAATCCATATACTATACTCTCATAAATGGCTAAAATTGAAATAATTACCCCAAATCTCTTGATAAATGAGATTCCCTTGAAAAATTCTTTTAATCCATCATTCAAAATTACCTTGTTTGTAACAATTTGGCTCCAGAAGAAAACTGGAAATAACAGATACATATAAAAGTTGAATGGAGACCTTTGGTAGTAAAGCACGTAATTCAATACAAGTGAGAGCACTCCGAACGCTAGAATGTTCAACATCGAGGCTTTCACGTCGTATTCTCTTTTCAAAATGAACAATCTCAAAAACAAGGTAAAGGAGTATGTAATCCAGCCAACAAATCCCAAACTCACAATTGCTCTTATAAAACGCCAGTTATAAGTGGTCAGATAATGGAGTCCCTCTAATGTTACTTTCATTAATTCCTCAGTTAGTTTAATTGCATGTGGTTCAAGCTCACTTGCTCCATTTGCGATCTTTTCTATCAAGTCTTCTATCTCCTGCAGATATTGCCAGTGTGGTTTTTCATCAAACTTACTATATTTCTTGTAGTGAAATTGTGAATCAACCACCTCACTTTCTTTCACCAAGTACTGCTCTAGAATGCCTTTTGCATTGTTGTACAGTGCCTTCAGCTTAGCTTCTTCGGTGTTGTTTATGTAAGCTAACGGCAGCTCGCCAACGGAATTCGCAGGGTAATCAACACCTATCAAGTATGCCATAAGTGATGCGATATCTGCTTGTTTGACATCGTTTCTCTTGATATGAGATAGATCCCAGTTCTCAGTATAATTATCAAAAATTGGGAACTCATTTTTTACAGGCTTATTCAAACCTGCACCCCAAGCAACAAGTGGAGTTCTCGTATTATTGGGATGACCATCACCATGGGAACCAAATGCGCTCATCCCATGATCAGCTGTAAAAATGAAAGCTGTGTCATCGTCACCAAAGAAGTCATGCACCTTTTTCACCAGTATGGAAACCTGATTGTCGATATATTTGACATTATCATAGTATTCCGCAGAGTAGGGTCTATATGAGTGCCCAGCGGTATCGCAACCTAGAAGATGTAAAAAGAACACATTTCCATTTTGCATGATTTGATTGTTCAAAGTATGGTTAATAGTAGAGTTGTAAAAAAGTTCGTCCAAATGTCTGAAAACATAAGCATCCAACTCTATAGACGATTGAGTGAAGTCCTCGAACTCATGGCCATACATCCATGCATCTACTTTGTTAGGATCTGAGGCGCCCTCTTTGAACATTGGCAAGATATCTGGCGAGCCAAAGGAATACGTGTGAGCAGATTGATTAAAAAAGCTATCAAAATCCACAGGATTTTCCTTCCAACCTTTTGTTACAGCACTTACATCCTCATAAAAGCCTGCAATCATTGCAACGTGGCCTGGTCTTGATTCTGTTGGCATTCTTGTATGTGAAATACCATATGTAGCATCGTTCTCTACCAACGATCTGATGAATGGTGCTAGAAACTCTGTTTCCCCTGTTACAGGGTGTGTGATCTTATCAAACGTAGTGTCAGCACGAAGCCCGTCACCGACAATTAAAAATAGCCTTTTTGCTGGCGGATCTTCAGTGCTGCGGAACCTTTGCATACCATGCACTAACGGTGACACGAAATAAATATCGAAGATCGACCATAGGTAAAAAAGATGGAAAAGAACACCCACTATGACGAACGAGAGTCTTTGTTTATTTCTCATTAGACTCATAAATTCAAATGAAGTACTCAATTGGTGTCAATGGGCCTCGAATACTGGTGTTCATCGCGTTTCTTTAAATTCGACATTTTGGCGACGTGTCTGAAATTGAGACACCTTTATGTTGTCATTATTAACGTTATTAATTGAGACGTAAACTACAAGGTGGAGATTTTAAATTCCACCGGATGCATATATACTCTTCATTAAGTTTGAAAAGCTTTCAGCTACTATTCGCTGTCTATTTTGAAGCTCATTAATTATAGTAGCAACTTCAACATCATAAGATTTCGCCTGAACAAACAAATTCGCGTTCTCAACCCTTGTAAGACGGTCATTGAATAGTTCGTCAGCAGTGGAGCGTTTAAGTAAGACGTCAATGAGTCTTCTTTTAATTTCGTTTGCCTTCACATTGAACCTCTTGACTTCTTCCTTAATTCTCTCGACTTCTGTTTTTTGAAGTATGTTAAAATGAAGGACTGGAAGTGGTGGTAATTGTAGAGCTAAAATCGAGCTATCTAGGCCTAGTTCGCTCTCACTGACCATATCTGGTTTGTAAATTCGCGGAAGAGTCTCATTAACGGGTCTTGACAAATTTTCAGTTGGCTGGGGATACAGAAAGCTCACATCCCTTTTTGCTTCTTCAACCATATCGATTTCGGGCGTATCTTCCTTTGCTGCCTTGAATCTTTTAATCCTAACATTGTCCAAGGTATCGCTGACGTTGCGCATGTCGAAGAGTTCGTCATCTTTGGGCAAGTATTTGTTCAGCTCATCCAACGTGAAATCTGATCCGCCATTTTTGTGAGCGCTTTGATTGAGGGGAGAAATTTCAACAGTCGGTCCTCTAAGGTTAGGTTTTTTTCTTGTTGAAGAATTTGGAGACTCTAACTCTTCTTGTCTTTCTTGTTTTGTCGGGAGTTTGTTATCACGAGTCTTCGTAGGGGTAACCCGTTGCGCAAAAGCCGTGGCAGAATTCTCAATTCGCTCTTCGGCCTCCATACCAGTTTTATGGTCCTGCGGAAATTTCCCGGTTGAAGGAGATGAATTACTTTCTGCGGCAAACTGCTTCATAATGTTTTTGACATCTTCTAGGGAGTCTCTGCTAGAGGTAGGTTTACTTTTAACGGGTGATACAGATCTCCTTGACTGCTGCTTGTCATGATGCATGGTCCGTGTATAATGCCGATGATAGCTGTTAAGAAACGGTGATGCCGGCTGTCCTGACATAGTTTTCTCATCCAGCTCTCCCTTCTTTGCCATTTTTTTCCTTTGTGTCTCATTGCTCGGAATTTGTACAGTTTCTTGATCTTCGTCGTTACCACTGTCCTCGTGGTGTGAAGTAAACCGTGTGCTATAGGTTGAAGATTTTTTTGAATCATCTTGTATAGCACTGGAAGGCCTCTGATGTTGATAGCTTTTGGCTTTGAAGGGCTTTGAGTTCGAACCTCTTGAGCTTTGGGAACTTTGGGGCTCTTTTACATGTTCATCAACGCCAAATCCATATGGTTGTTGTTCGTAGGGCTTGCTCTTTCTTGGTTTTTGGTTCACGGAGCTGCATTTTTCTGTTGCTTTAGATTCAGAAACCTCTTGTACCTTGCATCCGAATGTTGAGTTTGTTTTACCATTAAGCGTGGCCACTTTACTTTGCCTAGGAACATAGTTGTGAAGGTTTTTAGCGATAAGTTTTCGGTTGTAATCGCGCCTTTTGGTCTCGTCGGTCAGAACTGATTGGGCATGTGAAACCACTTTAAACAGCTCAGCAGCACCTTCGGACTTGTTTTTATCTGGATGGATCACCACCGCGATTTTTCTGTATGCTTTTTTTATCTGAGCTTCAGTAGCATCGGCAGTGAGTCCTAGGATAGAGTAGTATGTCGTTTCATCAATCAGAAGTTCCTCAGATGCCATTTCAGTAGAAGCACGGTGATTGCGCGCTAAATGGTAGTTTTTATTTACCCTGTCACTGCGGTTTGATGACAACTTCCGCCAAAGTTGACCTTTGATTCATCATCATATAATCAAGAGCATATTTTCAGTCAAATACATAAAAAAGTAAACAAAAATAAAACTCGACCTCGGTGAGGATTGAACTCACGATCTTGCGATTAACAGTCGCACGCCTTAACCAGCTTGGCCACGAAGTCTTATTAAATTCGACGCAAGACCTACTTTCAGATTCCATCCTGATCCTCTCTTTAGCTTCGCATGATTTTTCTCAATCTGAGCGCTTCATGATTAATTAGAGCCCATCAGCTAGAATTATACAAGATTCCTGTACTGCTTATTTATGCAGAAGACAGCAAAGAAATTGAGAAATGGGTGAATATTGAGATAATTGTTGGGATTCCATTTTTGATTAAGGCTACAATAATTGGTATATGGTTATACTAGAAGTTCTCCTCATCTTTCTAAGAATCCAGAAAGAAGAGTCAATAATTCTACTTACAAATATTCTTACTCTTTCTGTTCCTTTTATACATTTTCATTCATTATCCTATTACATTATCAATCCCTGCGTTTCAGCTTCCACTAACTTCGATGACCGTTTCTCATTCTTTATGTCATCTTAAAACACTTTGTATGATAATATACTAGTAACACGAATACTAGTCGATGGTCGATAGTTGTATTTCGTTCCAACAAATCAAATACAGACGGTCAAAGTGAGAATTGGGTGAATATTGAGATAATTGTTGGGATTCCATTTTTGATTAAGGCTAAAATAGTTGGTATATGGTTATACTAGAAGTTCTCCTCATCTTTCTAAGAATCCAGAAAGAAGAGTCAATAATTCTACTTACAAATATTCTTACTCTTTCTGTTCCTTTTATACATTTTCATTCATTATCCTATTACATTATCAATCCTTGCGCTTCAGCTTCCACTAATTTCGATGACCGTTTCTCATTCTTTATGTCATCTTAAAACACCGTGTGTGATAATATACTAGTAACACGAATACTAGTCGATGGTCGATAGTTGTATTTCGTTCCAACACAAAGAGTAAAGCAACTGATATCAGTATCGCGACTCTATTTCCTAGCTCAATTGTCGGCAATGTTAGGTAATTTTCATGTAGCCAAAAAAAGTGTAAAAATAAATTCCGATACCGGGAATCGAACCCGGGTCTCCACGGTGAGAGCGTGGTGTGATAGCCCCTACACTATATCGGATTGTAATCTTTGATGTAAGAGAGTCATTTGTCACTTGCTATATCGTCTGTTTTTTGTGGGTGATTTGTTTAACAGTTTTGTTTCTAATGAACGTCTTTCTAAACCAACATCTTCAAACTACCGCCACAACCCAATTGTAATATACGATGACTGTGTCATAGTAAGCGATAAACTGAGTTCATGGAGTTACGCTTAATGCACAACGCAAAAATGGGGCCATCTCACTACGCTTAAAGTATGTAATTAGTGCCCCTTCTACTTAAAATCTACGTCAGCCTGGATTTAAGTGGGCTATCAAAAAAATCACAGCATTGGGCATTCTAATGAAATCAGGATTTATAATCCATGTGTATTCAAACAGAAATTCGGAACCTTCTTTGTTTTGATGTTTATGGGACGTTGGTAAGTTTTAAGTTCTTTCAACGGATAACAACAGTTAATATATGTATGTGCACGTAAACTAAAACCAAGTCCCAAAATTCTTGGCAAACTCAGTGAAATATTTTGACTTCAATGATCAAAATACAATTGACTTGCATTGGGAAGCAAAGAATGAGGGTTAGCCCAAAGATTCTGGCACCGAAAAATTCCTTAACTTTTCTATGCTCTCTTATTTTTAAGTTCGAGGAACTCAGCTTCTTTCAAACGTGTATCAAAGAGTTTCATAGTCTAAATTCCGACAAGCTTAGCATACGCTCAATAGCGTGTAAACTAATTCACCAGTTATACCAATGGATTGACGGTTGCTTAAATTAGGATTATCTGATCAAAAACGTCACTAACAACGTATAATCCTCTTGGCCTAATAAAGGGAATAAATAATAAGGAGATGATGACATTGCCAGCGGTAGAAAGCAAACTGCATTCAATTAATCTTTCGCAACAGTAATGAAGTTGTCACAAATTCTCATGGGGATCGAAGACAAACCGTCTTCCACAGGTTCAAACTCGAACTCTATGGAGAGCAAACCACCTGTAGATAGTACGAAGCCTATAAAAGTTGGCGCCGCTCCACAGTATGTTCCATTCAAGGCATCCCGGTCCAATATGATTTCCAACTTGGTAATCAATTCTTTTTTTGGTCTAGGGTTGTACTGGCTATACAAAGATTATCAAAGTGGCAAGAAAATGCCCAAAGATAGTCACGGCACGGTAACTATCGTTCACGACTACCCTAATCGGGTGTTTAAAAACAAGAATCCCAACCGGGAGAAGAATCAATTCTCGCAAGTGTTTTCCGAATTGACATATGGAGACTTGTCGTTTTTCACCATAGGTTTAGGATTTCTTATGCAATTGGCGAACATGGCACACGTTTCGTTTGGTAGAAAATCGTTACTGTATAAATCCGGCATATTTTCCGTGCTTCTTTATCCTCCCTTCACTTTTTACATGTACAGCTTGAGGAACAAGAGCTCTGCGTCGATACTAAATAATTGACTTGCAAGTCTTTTTTCGAACTAAAACTTTAATGAAATTTACCAAATCATAATATATCTATTTACTATACATTTTGAGAGCGGATTACCACTCGTTGTCCCTAAGAGAAAAAAAGGTAAAACTATCGCAATATACTCACGGTTGGAGTGCGAGAGTTTAAGAAGAACCAATTGACGAATCGACGAAATAATCGAAAAAATATAACTCATTATGCCATGCAGCCCGTTAGGGGCGACCGTTGTCAAAGGACTTAACAGTCGACCAAGTCAATGACCTCCAAGTGGACTGGAGAACATTGGCCGCCGATGGACTCGTCGTACAAGTTGTAGAAGGAGCCCGATAGACATTGGTAGAAGACATCGTTGTCACCGATAGCCAAGTTTCCATCTGGGGTGATGGCCCAGCCGGCAGCGTAGATAGCACCAGCCTGTGGTGGAGGACCATCGAATTGGAATTGTCTGTTGGCAACAATGGAGCCGATTCTGCCCTTACCGTCCTTCAAGATACCGCCGTTCAAGGTCATTTCTAGGGTACCGTTGGTCTTGCAGGATTCAGCTTTAACGTAGGAGTCAGAAGTAGCCGATGGGCTCGAGGAGGAAGCGGTGGAGGCTTGGACTTGACCGTCAGAAATTTGGGAAGCACCTTTAGTGGTCTTTGTGGAAGAAGTAGCCTGGATTTGACCGTCACCGATTTGAGAGACGGCAGCAGCGGAGGATGGTTTTAGAGTAGTAGTGGTGGCTTGGATTTGACCGTCACCGATTTGAGAAACAGCAGCGGCAGTAGACTTAGCGGAAGTAGTCTCTGTGGTAGCTTGAATTTGACCGTCACCGATTTGAGAAACAGCAGCGGCAGTAGACTTAGCGGAAGTGGTCTCTGTGGTAGCTTGGATTTGACCGTCACCGATTTGAGAAACAGCAGCAGCGGTGGTCTTGGTGGTAGCTTGGATTTGACCGTCACCGATTTGAGAGACAGCGTCACGCTTGGCCTTGGTGCTGGAGGTAGCAGTGCTAGCAGAAACGGTAGACACAGAAGTGGTGACTGGGATCACAGCGATACCGAAAGTATCGCTGTAGGAGGTGATACCGGCGCTGTATGTGGCAGAAGGTGTCAAAGTAGTCCATGGCTCGGAAGCGGTGACGGCAGCAGAGGCGGAACCGGCAAGAGCGGCTGCGACGATGGTCTTTCTGTATTGCATTGTATGTGGAGAGAAGTGGAAGTGGGGCTAGGGTCCTATTGAGGCAAGCTAGGTGAGTGATGAGTAGAGATCAGATTGATTCCCAAATCCGGCGCAGACGCTTGCCTTATATACCTTGGAGGATAAAACCGAATGGCTTTGTCCAATTAATGCGTGAATGATCTAGTTCGCGATCCCATACTTCTAAATCAGTCCAAGAATGTGTCATTTACTGCGAGCCCAACCATGCGAATTTGCGTGCTGGCCGGCAACCTCGAGCCACTAGATCAAACCAGCCTTCCAAATTAAAGCTAATTTAAAAACGAGGAAAAAAAAGGAACAGCTTACGTAACCAGAGACGCCCCTTTTCCTCGTCACCACAGAAGGCAACCCTCTTTCTCGAGATCGCATGGTACGATACTCCTCTGTTCCCTGGAGCAGATTCCCGCTGCCATCCTTCGGCCCGGCCCACTTCTGTTGGAGTTGTGGCGACTATAGGTTTCGATCTCTCTTTGCGACGTTTGTGCGACGCACGCTACCCGCCCCACGTTGCGCCCCTGGCGCTTGGCGGCGCCTCGGCGGCTCCCCTCCTTGCCCGGGCTTCCGATCCCGCCGTGATCCCGCGGTTTCCGCCGCCGGCAGCCGAAAAAAACGCTTCCCCTTACGCGTTCCTCCTCTGCCCTCGGCTCCCCTCGGTGTCTCCCTTGCTAAGAGCGGGAAATCTCCAAGTCGCGGCGTTAGCGGGAACGAAACCCCTAACACCGGCGGTTATGGCCCACGCAGGTGTCCCCTGGGCCCACAAGAGGCATTGTTACGACAAGAGAACGACTCACGCTGGGATGTCAGTCGCAAATCAAGACCGCACAATTGATTCCAGCTGCACAGCCCACCGTTCAGTGCCGAGACGAGTCGCAGCCTCAACATGCATTCGTGCACTTCTCGCCGCCGGCGTCGTTAGCGGCGCAACCCGGTAGCCACAACTTCCGCTAGCGTGAATTATGGCTCCTCACGGCGCCAACCAGAGGAGATTACTGGAAGCGCACCCGAGGCCTAGAAAAACACGTAGTATAACGCGCCCCGTTGGTGCCAGCCCTCTCGGGTAATGTAATTAGCAGTGTGGGCCGTGCGGGGTGAGCGGGACACCGGTTTTTGGCCTAAAAGGGTTAAAATATGGGATCATGCGCTTGTGATTCGGGTGTGTTAATTTTAGAAGCAGAGCAGTTTTTTAATATTAAACCAGCAGGCGGGTGGAGAAAAAGTATATAAACGACCCATTGAGGAGGTCAGATCAGTTTGGATCTTGTGCTTGAAAATACCAAACTCAGCATTCGCTTCTCATTTCCCTTTTCACCAATGCAATACAAAAAGACTATCGTCGCCGCCGCTCTTGCCGGTTCCGCTTCTGCCGCTGTCACTGCTTCCGAGCCATGGACTACTTTGACACCTTCTGCCACATACAGCGCCGGTATCACCTCCTACAGTGATACTTTCGGTATCGCTGTGATCCCAATCACCACTTCTGTGTCTACTGTTTCTGCTAGCACTGCTACCTCTAGCACCAAGGCCAAGCGTGACGCTGTCTCTCAAATCGGTGACGGTCAAATCCAAGCTACCACCAAGACCACTGCTGCCGCTGTTTCTCAAATCGGTGACGGTCAAATCCAAGCTACCACCAAGACCACTGCTGCTGCCGTCTCTCAAATCGGTGATGGTCAAATCCAAGCTACCACCAAGACCACTGCCGCTGCTGTTTCTCAAATCGGTGATGGTCAAATCCAAGCTACCACCAAGACCACTGCCGCTGCTGTTTCTCAAATCGGTGACGGTCAAATCCAAGCTACCACCAAGACCACCGCTGCTGCTGTCTCTCAAATCGGTGACGGTCAAATCCAAGCTACCACAGAGACCACTGCTGCTGCCGTCTCTCAAATCGGTGACGGTCAAATCCAAGCTACCACAGAGACCACTGCTGCTGCCGTCTCTCAAATCGGTGACGGTCAAATCCAAGCTACCACAGAGACCACTTCCGCTAAGTCTACTGCCGCTGCTGTCTCCCAAATCGGTGACGGTCAAATCCAAGCCACCACCACTACTCTAAAACCATCCTCCGCTGCTGCCGTCTCTCAAATCAGCGACGGTCAAATCCAAGCCACTTCTTCCACAAAGACCACCAACGGTGCCTCTCAGGTCTCCGACGGTCAAGTCCAAGCCTCCACCGCTTCCTCCTCGAGCCCATCCGCCACTTCTGACTCCTCTGACCCAGTCAAGGCCGTTTCTTGCAAGGCCAACGGTACTCTAGAAATGACCTTGGACGGCGGTATCTTGAAGGACGAGAAGGGAAGAATCGGTTCCATCGTTGCCAACAGACAATTCCAATTCGACGGTCCTCCACCACAGGCTGGTGCCATCTACGCTGCTGGCTGGGCCATCACCCCAGATGGAAACTTGGCTATCGGTGACAGCGATGTCTTCTACCAATGTCTATCGGGCTCCTTCTACAACTTGTACGACGAGTCCATCGGTGCTCAATGTGCTCCAGTCCACTTGGAAGTCATTGACTTGGTCGACTGTTAAAAAAACAAAATAAAATCAGTACTCTGCTGAGATGAAAGGTTGTAGAGTTCAGATCAACAGATCTATCATTTCGCTCCGCTCCTTTTTATGATTTTTACCTTTCCTCGTTTCCTAATGCATCATGTTCTGCATCGTCATTCCCTCTGCATACTCAGCTGAACAACTTCCATTAGCATTTCTCTTTGACCATTAATCTTTTATTTTCATACGTCGTCCAATTTTTCCTAGTTCGTTGGGGGAGAGGCTCCCATGGACGCTTGGCGAGTTGTGCTTGCGCAACTCTTGAGACCAGCGTGCCGCTTTTCATTATGTAATCTTTTAATACTCAGAAATATAGTCTTTGATATTACAATGGAATATTTATTCATTCCGCTAACAAAAATAGTTGTGACCATTTCATGCCTCTGGCAGCACTCTGATCAATGAGTCGATGGTGCCGAAATCTTGCCGAGGAAACAATATGCTGTCACGCGTTTGTTTTCAGATGGATCAAAAAAAGATCAAAAAGAAGCTCGCACTCAGGTTCGAACTAAGGACCAACAGATTTGCAATCTGCTGCGCTACCACTGCGCCATACGAGCAACTTTAAAATTTGTGAGGAAATGATAAATACATACGGTATAGAGAGAAACCGATTATTTTGCATATTTATCCCCATCCTTTGAACTTTTTGCCTCAAATGATTGAACTGTCGACGTAAGGACAAATTTATGCGCCTTTATCGCTGTACAAGCCACCTTTTGGGTTCTAGTATCAAGTTTCGACTACTTTTTTCCAAATCAGGAAACTAAATTACTATGACTGGTTGCCTATGCTACGAAACCCTATTCCAGAATAATGCCGTATCGTGATACCGAGGATGAATTTCCCGTTTCAGCAACTGCGCCGACATGCGCCACGGTTGCCTTAAACGCGCCACCGAAAGGTGGCTCTGTTTTTGCCAAGTATTATTTCGCGTTCAGTCAAGAAAAATATAGGTTTGCTCGACGAACGGTTGAAGAGCAAGATCCGATCCCAAAAGGCAGACTTCATGAATTTAACGTAAGATAAACTTTATTTTATTGGTGATATCCGAAGAACTAAGTGCTAGAAAAAATCCCTTAAGTAAGCTATGTAGACCGCCGTTTTATCATGAGACGGGCTTGTGAATATGAGTGATGATGTAGTTGAACCTAAAAGCGCTTAACAATCAACCAACTTGACGATTTCCAAGTGGACTGGAGAACATTGGGCACCAATGGATTCATCGTACAAGTTGTAGAAAGAGCCCGATAGACATTGGTAGAAGACATCGTTGTCACCGATAGCCAAGTTTCCATCTGGGGTGATGGCCCAGCCAGCAGCGTAGATGGCACCAGCCTGTGGTGGAGGACCATCGAATTGGAATTGTTGGTTGGCAACAATGGAACCGATTCTTCCCTTCTCATCCTTCAAAATACCATCGTTCAAAGTCATCTGTAGGGTACCGTTGACCTTGCAAGAGACAGCTTTAATGGTCACTTCAGAGCTAGAAGAAGCGGAGGAAGTAGAGCTGGTAGAAGACAAGGTGGTGGTGTCTCTGGTAGAGCTCGTGGTGGCTTGAATTTGACCGTCAGAGATTTGAGAGGCTGCGGTTTCAGTGCTTTCAGCAGCCTTGGTAGAGCTAGCCTTAGTAGTAGCTTGGATTTGACCGTCTGTAATTTGAGAGACAGCAGTGTCAGTTTTTTCAGCGGCCTTGGTAGAGGTAGCCTTAGTGGAGGTAGTAGCTTGAATTTGACCATCCGTGATTTGAGAGACAGCCGCAGCACTAGAAGCGGCAGACTTAGAGGAGGCCTTAGTGCTAGAGGTGGTCTTAGCAGTAGCAGTTGTGGCTTGGATTTGACCGTCACCGATTTGAGAAACTGCATCTCTCTTCTTTTGAGCTGCAGAAGTGACGCTAGCAGTTGCAGAAGAACCAGAAGCAGTGATAGGTTCAACGGCAATACCGAAGGTGTTGCTATAGTCAGTGACACCACCAGCGTAAGTAGCCGTTGGTGTCAAGGTGGTCCAGGTTGAAGAAGTGTCGTCGGCGACAACGACAGATGTAGAGATGATAGCAGAGGCAATTAGCGATTTAACTTGCATAGCGAATGTACGGCCTTCTCGTAATAGAGAAAACTTCCCAGAAGAAAGAATCTCAACTAGCTTCAATCTAGCTTTTTATATTACTTTCCATGAACCACCACCCGTATCTGGTAACAAAACACTGAGACCGCGAAGTTGCGTCAATACCTTGCCACATTCGGCAAACCTTTTAGGAAATTTCTCTTTCCACGATGCCTGTGCTCACCCGTTGCTGTAACTTTGCCGTCCGTTGCTATTTTGAGAAAAGCTTCTCGCCCAGGCGCGAAATATATTTTCCGGGGCAGGAGCGACGGATATCCCAATATTACCAGAACAACCGTTCAACGGTGAGTATTTTTCTCACCGATAAACTTATTACAAGTGATGCTTTATTATGCAGTCTTCTGCCGAGAGATTTCGTTTCAATCCTCATCTCTCTATAGTACGCTCAAACTGCTTCGCCTTTCTCACAGCACCTCCGGAAAATTCTTCTTCCTGTAACACGACTTCCGACGCGTGTGCTCGAAAATAAAGCAAACCCAAAAAGATCACGTGGAATGAACGAAAATCTCTTCGTCATGTTGACATACCAGAGTCGCGGTCAGACGGGCCATCTGCCAACGTGCTATAGCGACAGCACCCGTAGTTTTGTTTATAGTTTGCTGGGCAATGTTTTGCAATTCGCTACACAGCTTCTCGGCGTAATCAGAAGGGCTGGCTGGCCCATCAACTTCTCGATAATATTGAGGAATGGTGGAAACACAGTTTCTGCTCAGGCAAAAGACAATAGATATGAGCTGGTTAAGACGTTTGTAAACTTCTGTGGGATTTTCTTCTCCCAAGCATATTCTCAGAGTTTCTATCACAGAAAGTTGAATCTGGCGCACGACGAAAAGTGCTTCTCTCGAAACAGTCAAGGGAGGCGCAAGTGGAATATCCAAGCACTCACTATCGTTGGAAGCATTGTAATGATTGTAAAGTAGTGCAGGAGCGAATAAGGAAGAAACTGCTGTGCTAGCAGAGCCGAACCTGAAGTCACACCCCACAGATCGACCTTGAGAGCGTTCGAGTCTCCCATCTTCTTTCCAACTGGCGGTGAATCGTACTAATGAGGGCGGCGGATTGTCACCTCCCACCATCATGCTTCTCACGTAGGCGTCAGAGTCCAAAAACTGGCTAAGATCTTCCACGTCAAGCTGGACTTCAAATAGAACGTTCTTCGCCTCACCAGGCTTCAAGCTCCCCACGCAGACTTCGACATGAGAGATATTTGAAACTCTTACGAGGGCCCCGTTCATCTCCATGGCGTGTATCTGTGCAACCGCAGGATCGAAGCTTTCGATTGACACTAATAAATCCTGTAGTCTTTGCTTTCGCAACTCCTCCACCAATTCAGACAACTCTATCGTTGCCATGGCATCACGGCCTCTACAACTGATGTTGTGACGGAAATCCTTGGTAACGTCACAAAGGGCTAAGCTGCCGTTCCGGGTGAAATACTGTGTGATGGAAAACCCATAATGACTGGTTATTTCTGCGCATATGGACTCAATTGCGTGCCTCTGGATGTCGTCCTCAATTGAAGACAACGCAACACTATTGTCATTGCCTAAAATGACTAAATGTTGCAGTGATTCATTGGACCCTACCACTGTACAGATCAGCTTCCGGCTGGTTTCCAGCATTGTTCTTAATTCGTGCAATTCGCTTTCAAATATATTATCGTTGTTGTGCACCTGCAAGGAGTTTATTATGTCATTCCAACCACCCCACGATTTGGAAAGCATACCGATGAATGTCCCGGCCGCGCCAAACTCACCGCTCCCATTCTTACCTACTACAATCAGGCCCAGCTCATCGACTTCGGATAGACTACCAATCAGATTTGATAATTTAGCCTTTAATAGTTCTGCCATCTTTGCGTTGTCGTGCAGTTCGGGGCAGCGATTTATGATGCTCAAACAAACAATGATTTTCAAACTGCTTTGCTTTTGCTGGTGAATAAGAGCGTGCATGGTCGTTATTTGAGATTCGTTGTTCTCTATAAATGGCAGCCGTTCTTTAACCTCTTTCTGTAACTCATGTGGCAAGCTATTCCACATGTTGGTTGTGACTTGTCCCAAAGGAACGTTGATAGTATCAATTGTGCGGCAAATTGGTAAGAACAACTGCAAATAGTTGAACCATTTTGTAACGACTAGTGTACCATCTTCACATCTCAAGTAAATTTCAGGCAATGACTTTGTTTTAAGAGCAAAAACTAGCGTATGCGTGTCCATTTGATGGACTCCGGAGACCTCACTGATGGGTGCACATGCAAAGATATTGCCATTCTGGCTGAAAGCCAGGCATTTGTTGAATAAAACTCCCAAAGCTAAGGTCCAATTGTCACCATCAGAAGAAAATTCAACTTGATCAAATAGTTCCAATTGGCCAAGTTCGCCATTTGGATCAAGTTGTGCCGAGATATGCTGTTCAATTTTTTTTTTAAGTATTTGATGTTCTTTTCTATTCTCTTCATTGCGCATATTGTCCGGGAGCCTTGGAATGTATACATTCAATACGTACTGGATAATGGCACTTTCTGCGTTCTCATTAATTGTGAGCTTTGATAGCTGTGGAATGATATTTATGCGGGGCTCAAAAGGTCTACGCAGTGTATATTGCTCGACATCTTTTTCTTTTAATGATTTCTTACTTGTTGGTGTTTTTGTTTCTTCATTGAAATGAAGCTCTTCGTAAGACGAGTAAAAGGTGCTGCGTGATGTTCTTGGGGTCCTGAATCCATTCGAAGACACATCTGCACTGTTGATCAATTGGTCATATGGTGTGCTTAATGCAGGTAACATGTGTTTCAGATTATCGCTATGCGAAGAGCTTACCTCCAAAGACCGAGCCAATGTTGGGCCATTTTTTCTTTCGCTAGGTGCAGAGCAGCGTCTTGTTCTCAAGCCGTTCTCCTTGAGCTCCTGTCCTCGGATCTTTCGAGTAATGATTTTCGACGTCAGCTCACTAAGAACACCCTCACTACAAGGTTTACAGTTTTTGGAGCAAATGCCACATTTTGGAAATCGGTTTTGAACATAGGATGCCTCGAAGGCAATCAGATAGCAGTCAAAATGACACTGATGGCCGCAAGCTACCTCAATTATTTTCTCTCCAGACATCGATAAGGTAAATTGTTCACCGCAAATACTGCATCCAACGGCAATATAACTTCTAGATTCTGAATAATTTGAAATGTTTCTTCTCACACTAGCAAGATACGTTGGAGAGTCCTGTTCGCATAAGAGCTCATCTTCTGAGTTCCAGAAAGTTCGGGACGTAAGCTCCGGTCGGGAAAAAGAACGAGAGTCATTCGAAGCCTCTTCAAAAAGCTTTCTGCGAGGCTCGCGGGTCTTTGCTGTTATCCATCCCGAAGATGATGACGAGGTAGACGAAAAACTCGGTCTCCTCAAATTAATTGGTGATTCCAACCTGTATTTTGACTTAGATCCACTCTCGACTTTTCTAACGGTTGATGGCGGAGTAAGCTGTGCTAGGCTCAGAGGTTGAGGAATATTTTGACGATTAAGGTTTGTAATTTGCTTGAAAGGAGGGCTTGTACTTGCTTCGAAAAGAGGAGCAGTAGGCTCGATATCCTCGAAAATGCTCGTACAAACGAAACGGGGTGTTTCCTCTAAAGTGTTGTCAGTTAGCTTATGTTCATCAGGACCGTTGGAAGCCTTTATTTTGGAATTGAATCTCCGTATCACACCGCCTGATATTCTCTTTACCAGTCGAATCGAAGAAGACGGTGAGCACTCCTCAATACTTGGGGGACTATGGAGATTCTTGAGTTTTGAGTCTCTCTCAGGCGTCCTTAATTCCATCTTTCACTGCAACGAACCTAACTTTGGTTTAAAACCAGGTATCGGGCTCACCTCGAAATTATATCTCACTTCTTCTTCATATCTCATCAGGACCCCTAAAAGAACAAATTACTTGAAGGTTCGTCAGCCCTTCCCACTAGGCTGGGGTTATGAGGCACACGTTCTTTAGATGCTTGTGTAGATCATTGAAACCTCAAAGAACCCTAAATTTCTTTTCGTATCAAGAAAGTTTTATTACAATCATCTCCAAAACTTAACTTCAAATGCGAGCGTAAAGTAGACCATAGGAAGTGTTCAATAAGCTGTACTCCTACACATATATTTAATACACAGTACTTTCCTTGTACTAATACTTAAAATATAATTAATTATCTACTGGCTTATCTATATCCCATAATACTCCCGTAACATCATGCAATCTTTCCAATATATCGCCGATTGAACTAAAGAGCCCAAACTGCTTTTGCTCACCATCATAAGAGTGTAGCATACCAACAACACCCAAACCCAGTCTTCCAGGGAGCTTAGTCAAAATCCAAGCTCCTGAGTCTCCACCCGTAGCGAAAAATGGCGATGGTGATGAAATGACAAACTCGCTACTCTGAATTTTGCCATCAGCCCAGTACACCAATTTTGAACCATTGATTCGCCCAGAAGTATACTTCGTGGTTGCACCGATCTTGAAAACTTCCATACCCGCCTTCAGCTGCAAAACTTTTTCCTTCACGTATAGGTTTTGGAATCGCAGCGTGGGATCGGCTAAAGTGCTCACGTCATCACCTAAATAATTCATACAATTCAAAAGAGGGTTGACTTTTATAATCGCAAAATCAGATAAACGCTGGTTGATAATCGACCTTTCCCCCCATACTACCTGGCCGAATTGGTTTTCATCCTGCCATTGCAAATTTTGATCTATTCTTGTAACTTCTGCTTCAAATGCGCACCTTTCGGGAGAATTTTGGGCATATCTTTGGGATTCCTCAAGAATGGCCTTTTTGTATTGCTTCTGTAAAACTGTGGATGGTACAGCAACATGTGGGTAGTCTTGAGATTCTGACAAGACAACATGGGCACAAGTTATTGCAAATGTCGAACCTGTGAACTGTGAAAGTGTTGTATCAGACTTTTCAATCTGAGGGTAGATGTAACCGCCCAGCGTTCCTGTTATATTCTTGCTTTGTTCTGAAGACAATGACATTGAAATAGGGGGCTTCGTGGAGTCTGTCACCAGACGATATGGCGGAATAAATTGAGGAACAGTTTTGTTCTCCATTGGCTTTGGTTTAGCTCGAGATGGTAAGATGTCTGCGCATGGCTTGATATAATCTTTGACGCAATAGAAGTGAACGTCGGGAAAGAGGGAGTACAAGGCCTTAACCATCTCATAGTGGCCATGTTGTGGGTTGGGAAGGCCGAACAAAACTGTCAATACGGCTGATACTTTACTCAAACCCCTCAGTACTGGAGCGATGAAAGCACCGTCCTGGTCCGAGATTGAAGCAGAATCTGCTCGGGCTATTTCCTCTATTATCAGCGAGATTTTTTCTTTGTTCGGAAGGTCGCAATCTTCATCGATACAAAAGTTCTTGGGACATGGCAACGTATGCGAGTCATAGTTATCTTCTATAGGGTTAATGTTCAGTTTTTTCAGAAACTCCATAAATCTCTTTACCAAAATTGCTCTCGAATTGTTGAAAACATCAGACATCAGAAGATTATCAGTGAAATGTAGAACCACCTTCGTTATACGCCTTAATGAACTGCTCTTGTTCATGGATACTTTGTAGGGAACTTTCGCAAAAGCTGCTTCAGGAAGAAACTTTTTGAAGTATTCGATGGCTTGTATCACAGCTTTTGAGATATTTGTCACATTTTGGTGAATATCGTCCATCAAACTAACAAGATTTTCATCAAGAAGCCTCAGTTCATTTTCAACTTGATCGACAGTTATGATAATCTTTTCGGGGGCTTTCCGCGCATATAAATTGTGATTAGAAGAGGTCCTTTGCGCGCTGCTCGAGACTTCCTCGTTGAAAATCCCCCCTTGAAGAGCGGTTTCACTTTTGGCGATAGAAGCTTCTTCTTCCTCCATAACCGGATTCAGAGAGCTTATTCTTCCAAAGTCCAATACTCTTAAGGGCTTTCCGACATTGTCGTTATCGTGTAAATTAGGTTCCTCTTCTTTCCGGCTCTTCCCATGCGAGCTTCCTGTACGTGTGGATGATCCACCTGTGTTGTATGTGAGCCTGCTCTTAGAAAAAATAGATGATGATTGAATCGACGATGAGACCCTGCTAGATGCATCGTCATCGGAAGAGGATCTTATGTTTAAATCTTCGACTGCTGGAGACGAAGATGAAGACGGTGACGAAGACGAAGTGCGTGTGGGGTCTTGACTTGCCGAATTTCCAGAGTCAGTCTTGCCTTCGGTCTTTCTCCGTCCTAAACCGAACAACTTCTTCACCATGTTTGTATCTGATTCCTTGCGCTCTATGAGCTTGTTGCTTCAGTTACCAGCAGATTTTGTCCTCCGAATACACAGCTTTATCCTTTAGATTTGAAAGAATATCCTGACTGTAACGATTCGCGGAATTTTCTGCTTGCAATGAAAGCCGTACTGTAATTTTTTGGTGCCGTGCGGAGGTCGAAAGCCAAAGCGTCTTGCTATACAAAATTCAGCCTAGTTACATGCAACACTATGAAAGGAATACAAAAAAGCATACGTATGTGAACCTCAGTCATTTGAAGGATTAGTCAACACATGACGAGACTTCGTGGCCTCCGTGAGAGCCTCGCCAACTCTACTTGTGCCCTTTTCTTTGTAAGTACTAACGGCAGGAATATCAGCTTTAATTCTTGTAACTTTCGTGCCGTATGCTCGAGGTTCGAGTCTTATAAGGGTGTGAAGAGGAATTGACATCCATGGTGACTCTTCCTGGGGAACATTCATAAAATAAGCATAAATACATCTCAAAACAGCTTGGTGTGTAATGATCAATATATTTTCCTGGCGCTCAAGCTCCATAATAATAGGTTCTAACCTGATCACCACATCTCTGTAGGATTCCCCACCCCGATAACGGTACTCGTACTTATCTTCATCACGTGCTTTGAAATCTTCAGGATACTTTTCCTCGATTTCCTCGTAAGTCATCCCATCACATACACCAGCATCCAGTTCATCAAGTGCTTTCCACTGTAGCTGCTTGTATGGTAGAAACTGGGCCGTCTCCTGCGTCCTGATCAAAGTCGAGGTCCATACAGTCAAGTCGGCGTCACCTGCCGACTGACGAACAAGGTCAGGTAATTTCTTGGCATATTGAAGGCCTCGGGGTGATAGTGACGAATCACCACCAATCTTTTTCTCAATATTGTAAACAGATTCACCATGCCTTGAAAGCCAAATGCAACGTGGTTTTATATGCAGATTCATGACGTAGAAAACAACCCGGCTTTCTAGATATGTTTCTATCTTGTTGATGATAACTTGCTGTGCTACGTTTATTAATCTAACAAACGTTAAGTCACGGTCTATATTATCATCTAAAGGTTCATAGACTTCCTCGTATTTCGCAATTCTTTCTAGAAAATCGCGCTTAGCAACTTCAGGGTCAACGCCAACATAGTCAGGGGATGTCTGCTTCACGTCGGTAATATTCCTTAAAACTAATTCTTGATCATCACACCAACTCTCCAGAAACATTGGCTCGATTCCGTTTTCTCTGCATAATCTCAAAATCCAATCTCTCCTCTCTCTCGTCGAATTGGTGGCATCTAAGATTGCTACAACACCTTGCTCTGCCACAAACCAGTTCATCATATCTTCGACTGCCTTTGTCACGGCTTGTTGGCGGATCTTATACGCTTCTTTATTTTTTGCATCGAAGAACTCAGCATTTGGTTGAGGTGGTCCGGTCTGACGTCTATAGTTTCCCACATTAAAGGACTTTGATTTGATGGAGAGCCAGGATAAGTAGCGAACAATTTTTTGTGATATGAAAGATTTCCCCCTCGCAGGTAATCCAACCATCACAACACATATTCTTAAATTTTGAACCTACCGATACAAAATTAATTGTATCAAAGTTAGTAAATAAGCAGATTGCTTGGAACGAGACTTCCTAAAATTGAAGTTCCTGTGAAAACCCTCAACGACATACATTAGAGACTGTATAGACTGGCATCTCCTTTTATTATCAGTAGTTAGCCTGGCTCTACAGAAAGATGCACAAATATTCTTCCTTTACTCGGACGTCTTTGTCTGCAGTTAGGGCGACCTTTCGTGGACAATCATGATTTAAAGACATGAAAATTATAAGTTCGTTTCCAACGATTGTATCAAATGAATAGACAACTACATAATTAGTGCTTTAAATCTTCCATCAACTTCGCCTTGTTCTGTAATGTATTTCAGCGTTCTCTCAAAGTGTTCAGTTGGCACAGGTATTAGATCATTGATCTTGGCCGTGGGCGGCTTTGTTGATACTGCTGAAACACTATTGATAGGCGACTGATGAATATACGACCCGTCAATACCAATATAGTAATGCTCCCTAGAAGTTTGAATTGGCTCAGCATCCGTACCTGATTCTTCCATCTTTAATGATTTTAGATTTGTTTCGATTAACTCAATTAGTCCATTGATATACTTCACCCCTACATGGGTTGCATTTTCATCACCATGAATGAAGTAATAGCAACATCTGTTGAGAATTTCCACCATTAGTTCACAGCTTTGAACGTTATCCATGATAGAATCGGCCACTCTCAAGGACCGTTGTAAACACTCTAACACACGCTTTCCTTCACGGAAGAAATTTTCTGTGATTCCCTCCTCTTCACCTAGCAAAGAAATCTCAGTTGCCCACCATAAGTGAGAACACACATACACAGCTCTACATTGATCTTGTTTTTTCAATAGCTTAGATCCATGTAAGGTGCATCTAGTTATAAGCGTATCATAGTAAGATTCTTCGTACAAGAATCTTGTCTTTTGCAAAATTTGCGCCATATTAACGATTGCTTGAAATTGAGTTCTTGAATCACTCAAGGATTCCTCAAAAATGGTGAACGCCTGGGAGAAAAAATCATATGCAATCTCACCCAAAGTCAACTGATCTGCCAGTGAGGCTGTTTGTAAATTAAGTTTGTAGATGAGGTCAGAACATCCATTTCCACAAACATTAAACATGTCATTTATGCATCGAGACACGTATTTGAAGAGCTGCTTTGTCATTGCGCTTAATTTTTTAGCTAATTTTGGCTTTCTTCTGGCTTTCAAATTACACTTTCTGATCAGTCTCCAAAAATTGCAAATAATCGCTGGGTAAGTATACTTAATGTTTTTGCCGCCCCTGTAAAACCAGTTTTTACAGCTTAAAAGAAGCTCCGCATGTACATCAATTGACTTGTTATAGCAGATATGGCTTATTTTGGCTAGCTTTTCTTGATCTGACTGTATCACCCAGTCCTCAGAATCCAAATCATCCTCATTGTCCAACATCAGGTTGCTTGTCGACGTCTCTGTTGATGTAGGGCTACCTTTTATAACAGATTCGCATATCAAGAGGACTTTTTCAAGTTCGTCTTTAGATGTAATTCTTATCTCTGCCTGGGATATCAATTCTAAAATGTTTTTCACAACTTCCTTTTGCAAGCCCACACTTTGCAATGAAAGTAGCTTTTGATAGGAGTGGCATTGTGTGATGACCGTGTATAGAAAGTTGGGGTCATAAATAATGTCTTGCACTAGCAGCAAATCTTGGAAGAGATAATTCCAGTCCTCAGGGATAGGTTTTCCATAATCTTTACACTTTTCAAGCATAAAGTTGTACAAAACATCAACATTTTTAATGTTAGCAGGGTACCAACGAAGTGATAACTTCAGAACACCTTGAATAAGTGGAGCAAGTTCTTGTAAAGATAAATCTGGTCTTTCTTCATTCAGCTTAGTGAGGTATTTCCAGAACACAAGAAATAAATTGCAGCTTTCGTCGGATATTTTTAAAGTTTTCAATTTTTCAGATATGCTTTGTTCATCAGCATTTTCTTGGCGATCGAGATATCCATTAAGACGATCCACGAGGGTAAGCACTACTTTATTGATTGACACCTCAGGGTTCAGTTTCAATGTTGCATTGAGCAATTCTGACAAAGTGCCCAAATGAAATTCATCCGGAAATACCTGGCATATCACATCCAAGAGATATTCTTGAGACACAACATCTCTGCACTGGATGACTTGCTCCAAAACTAGGGGTAATATTTCGTCTGTGTACAAGGCGAAGTCATTCTCTACAATTTGGGAAAGCCGTACCAAGTTCGCACCAATTAAGATCTGAAGTTCTTTCCGCTCACGAGTTCGTTGCTCACGTTCTCTTAGGGGCCCTTGATGTTGTAAGCGGACCCACAGTTTGTTCATCTCGATGAAATTGGTGATAATGAAGTTCACGCAGAACTTTTTGTCTTGAGCATCGGTCTCCAAGAACTGTTTAGTTCTCTGGGAAAGGTAGTACCTCAGAAAAAGGCCTCTTATAGGATTTTGTACCCCACGACACATCTCAATCATGTCTTTCAGAATCTCTTCGCGTGGGGCGTCAGGCGACTGCAAATAGCTGCTGCCAACTGTAATCATGAGGTACAAACGAGGCAAAATGTTCCCAGCGTACTGCACCAGCTCGTAGAGGTCTGCTAGATGATGTCTCTTTGGGTGACTCTCTACGAGGTAATTTGAAAGTATACTCAACGAGTCGTACGCCATAATGTACAACTCATAGTATTGCTTGGGAGAGAGCGCCGGGTTTCTCAACTCGGTGAGCATAATTGAGGTATGTTTGAGGGCGTCCATCAATTTCCCTTGCGACAAACACCGCTGCATCAGCACTGTCTGCTGCTTTATGTTGCCTATGGCATCCTCAATCGTTTCAGCATATGACATGGTGTGCTTATTTGAGATGTCTTTTCGAAATGAAGTTGATGTAACGTGCATGATAGGGGCGGTCAGGTATGCAAACGTAGTCACTCGTATAATGTGATATACGCATACTCTTCAATTATTCAAGTGAGGGCACCGAAGCATTGTGACATTCGCAAATGAGCGTATATGGGAACACCATGGTATTTCCTTGTCTTGTGGCGGGTCCATGGATTTTTTAACCTCCGATTTTTATGTTTTGATTGTGCACTAGATTTTCAAGAATATGTGGATTTTGAATCACTCCTAAAGATCAAACGATACTAATTACAAGAAAACACTTAAAAAACTACGTATGATTATCAGAGTCCACCACCTTTAGTAAAGTTCATGTCCCGGCACTGCCGCTGCAATGAAGCACTACTCCTGCGTCTAACAACTAGGAACGATCAGGGGAATTACTGAATGCAATTTCCAGATTAAGTGCCATCCTTTTTAGGAGCTATTAGTAGCATTAACAACGAAAGTTATCGATAAAAGCTAATTCGGCACGGCTCTTGCCCAATACAGCGATAACTATCTACGTAAATGTCGAGAATACAGAAGCGCATGGTTACGAGCGCATTCTCATATGTTCGGGTATTTCTAAGTTAGCCAACGCGAGGAATAGCAAATAGAGAGCTTTCTTTTGGCTTCGTATATAACTGAGGACATATAAGTGGAAACTCTGTGCCACGAATCGAAATCCAAACTGTATCATTTGTAGTGCCGAAATTTTTATCGATGTCTAATTGCAGAGTAGGGTTGGCAAGAACATTAAAAGCAAGCTCTAGCATTTGTTTAAAAAGGGCCGTTGCACGCACGGCGTTCACGCCAGCAAACTACTACCCAAGGGCTCGAAACGGGAACTCGCGCCTATTCGGGCATTGGAGTGCCTTGATGGCAGGTGGCATCGCTCTGCACACTGCCCAACAGGAAAAAAACTCCGAGGACTACCAGGAGGTGTACAATGCGATTGCCACGAAAATGAGGGAGGAAAAAGACTTTGACAATAATAATGGCTACGGTCCCGTGCTGGTACGTCTATCATGGCATGTTAGCGGAACTTGGGACAAGCGCGATAACAGTGGTGGATCATTTGGTGGTACTTATAGATTCAAGAAGGAGATGAATGACCCATTAAGTCGTGGGCTGCAAAATGGCTTCAAGTTCCTGGAGTCAATTGACAAGCAATTTCCTTGGCTCTCTCACGGTGATCTCTTCACTCTTGGCGGTGTCACTGCCATTCAGGAGATGCAGGGCCCAAAGATCCCCTGGAGATCGGGCAGGGTCGACGAGCCAGAAAGTATGGTACCTGACAACGGAAGACTTCCCGAGCCCCACTATGGCGCAGACTATGTACGCTCATACTATGAGAGGTTCAACTTTACCGACCAAGAAGTTGTCGCTTTGTTAGGTGCTCATGTTCTTGGCAAAGCCCACTTAAAAAACTCGGGCTACGACGGACCCTGGGACGACGAAAGTAATATCTTTTCTAATGCATTTTATGACAATTTGTTGAAACTCAAGTGGACACCGGAGATAAATGACGCCGGAAATAAGCAGTACGACAATAAGGAGAAGGGGTACATGATGCTTCCTACTGATTACGCACTATTTCAAGATCCTAAGTACTTGAAATACGTCAAAGCATATGCAAACGACCAGGATTTGTTTTTCAAAGACTTCACCAAAGTGTACACGAAATTAATTGAAAATGGTATCGAATTTCCCAAGGAAAACAAGCCTCATTTGTTCAAGACTTTGAAGGAACAAGGCAAATAATCTGGAACTTTGTTTCGATTATTAAGTGATTTTAACCTATTTAGATTTTAACCTATTTATTACACATCCACCGCTCTTTTATAGAGTGTCTAGCAAGCATTAGTAACGAGGAACTCCGTTTCCCAGGGTAACCGGTCTGGAATTTCGTCCGATGGAACCAACTCTTGACTAAGATTCGTCTGCACGTTCTAGAATAGTGCCGCACCGATACTTCCGAAAGGATGTATGTCAGCATGCTGAAAACATAACCCCTCGTACCGCCACTGATCAACACGTATAAATATGAATCAATGTCAATTGCGTCTCAATTGACTTGCTTTTACCATACAAGCAAACCACATCCAGTTTTATAATGTCAGCTTTTGGTGCTACTTTTACAAGAACGCTTAGAGGTCGGACCCTTCTTGCAGTAGGTGGAGCAGTTGCCGCTGCCACTGCAGTTCCTGCTTTCTACGATTACAGAAACAATTCCAGCAATCCCAGAAACTCTAAACCATGGGCTACCCTGATGGCCGGGGGCACGGCTCTACACGCTGCGCAGCAGGAAAAGAGTACAAAAGACTACCAGAAAGTTTACAACGCAATTGCCGAGAAACTAAGAGACGAAGATGAATACGACAACTACATTGGCTACGGGCCGGTTTTAGTGCGTCTTGCGTGGCACGTTTCCGGAACTTGGGACAAAAATGATAACACTGGGGGCTCTTTTGGTGGAACTTATAGGTTTAAGAAAGAAATGAACGATCCCTCCAACCAAGGTCTTCAAAATGCCTTCAAATTCTTGGGGAGCATCCAAGAAAAGTTCCCCTGGATTTCTCACGGAGACTTGTTCACGTTGGCAGGTGTCACTGCCATTCAAGAAATGCAAGGTCCTAAGATTCCTTGGAGATCCGGCAGAGTCGATGAACCAGAGAACGAAACCCCAGATAACGGAAGACTACCAGATGCCGCTCAAGATGCCAACTATGTTAGAACTTTCTATCAGAGAATGAATTTTGACGATAGAGAGGTCGTTGCCTTGCTTGGTGCCCACGCCTTGGGTAAAACGCATTTGAAAAACTCTGGCTTTGAAGGTCCTTGGGGTGCTGCCAACAATGTGTTCTCCAATGAGTTCTATGTCAACTTACTAAACGAGCATTGGAAGCTAGAAACGAATGAAGCTGGTAACAAGCAATACAATAGCGATAAGGGCTATATGATGCTTCCTACCGACTATGCGCTGGTGCAAGATCCAAAGTACTTGAAGCTCGTGAAGGAGTATGCCAATGATCAAGACGCCTTTTTCAGAGACTTTTCCAAGGCATTCACTAAGTTGATTGAAAATGGTATTGAGTTCCCTAAGGATAACAAGCCTCACATCTTCAAAACTCTGGATGAACAGGAGGAATAAGCTATTAAAAAAAGCACATGTAACAACTATATTTATCGAATATTTATTATATACTCATCTAATACCAGCATTTCAAATATCGTATTTCACGTTGGGCGAAATTTCAAATTTTTCTAGATCGGTAGCACCTTGTCTGGTTGAGAAAGTAGAAATTATATACCAAGTGATTGTATCGAATTTGGATCATGTCACTACTATCCAAAGCACTTGGTCCACCCACAATTGCGGTCAACAGAGTCACTTGCTACAGGTCTTTGACTCTTTGTTCCCCCAAGCTTCAAGCTGCGAGACAAACCGTCGACAAACAGGAAGATCATAAGAGCCCTACTTTTACATGGTCCGATTTCTTTAAGCTCAGAAAGCAAGAACGAAAAATCAATCTGGGCTCATCAATTGTTACTGCTTTCCTTGGTTGTAATGCTTCATGGGCTTATCTTTCTACAATGCAAATCGACCCCACTCAGATGATAATGGGTTTCGACCCCTTGATGGTTGTATCTGCAGGATTGATCGCTTCCGGTGCTGTGGGGTACTTGTTTGGTCCACTGTTTGGAACCAACATTTTCAAATTGAAGAACAAGGCTCAACTAGATGAATACAACAACAAGACCAAAGCGTTCCTCAAACATGTGGTAGCGAATCGTGTCGACTCTTCGTCTCAGAGTTTCAGCAATCCTGTACCCGACTATTATGGCGAGAAGATCGGATCATTACGTGAATACAGACAATGGCTGAGAGATTGTCATGCATTTCGGAGAAAGGCCAAAGAATTTCTCTAGATTGGTTGCTTTGCGTCGGTGTATGGTTATTGATAACCACAGCTCGACGTTCGGCGAAGCAAGCTAATACAATACCATTCTTACCTGTGATTACATATATACTCTTATAAGATTTATTCTTTCAAAACTCCTATTCATAACTTTGCGCTATGCTCTGTGTAGAAGCTTTATTGTCAGTTTCTGATAAAACATGCTTGTATATTTAAGATGTCTAGAACGCTTATAATTATGAAGTCATATATGTTGTGTATACTGTATGTTAATTGAAATACAAGACAAAAATCTGTAACACTACGCCGGTTTATTTAATACTTGAGCATACCCGAATGCCAAATCATAGGAAAATTAGTGGGAAATTTTTTGGTCTACTGGTCCACTTGGAGGTACATCGTGAGAAATTTCATCATAGTTTGGTGGCAGCTCACCAGATGGGGCGCTCTTATGAGAAGAGGCGTCATCTGCACCGGAGTTTTGAGCTTCCAAGTCAGGACCGCCACTCAAAGAGTCATATAATCTGCGTTCAGCGCTTGTCGTGTAAATAACGTAGAATGCATGGAACATACCTGGAAAACCGAATATAGCAGTGAGCAAGAAACAAATCAAAGTGTCTTTTCTCCAGAACCCCTGGCGTACAGCAACCGCAATCGGAGGTAGAAAGCAGGCTAGAAGACCGAGGAGGATATCATCCTTGTTAACAGTGAATACAGTTCCTGGTTCCATGTTTAGTGTACCTTCTCACCTATCGTTGAGGTAATTGATTGGTAAGGAGTAATTCGAGATAAAACCACCAAGCCCCGGCTGCAGAACGTTCCAAATGACAACAAATCAAGTGCTGTAGGATGAGTATATAGTAAGAATCTGATAACTGTACTAAAATCCGTATGAAAAGGTCAACTAAACACGGTCTATAGTATGAAAATGGGTTAATTCCGTAGCACGGTCTAGTAATTGCGTACTTTTGGCGCAACTACAGTGTGTTTTGAGTAATATGGAGACCGCAATAGAATCGATTACAGAAAGTAGTCATAATTACCCATTACACGCCTCTTGTGTCTTATCATCTTTTCAGCAAGTAGTACGGTACTAAGCCCGTTGAACCGGAAAGGATGATCAGAAAGGACCATCGGAAAGACCTATTATAGTACAATCTGCCCACCGTCGCTATTTCTGGATGTGTCAGATGACATGCTCTTTCGGAAGATACTACGCACGAGTATCAGACCTCCCGCAAAAATCGCTACTTAAAGATTAATGGTATGTGTGCATCCTGTTTATTGTGTCAATAGCTTGAATGCGTGCATAAAAAGGCGCCGATCAAACCATAAGGAAGCACAAAGATCAAATGTGTCATTGCATCCCGAATCGCGAGAAAAGATCCAAAGATCGAGCCACTTTCAATTGCAATACCCATTCTATTCGTCTGATCTGGTGGACGGTTCACAAACGACTATAGAACGTCCGTCGTATCAGGACACAAGACTGACAAGGTGAAATTCAGAGAAAACCGCCACTACCTTGTACAAATTACTGTGTACACTATGTATTCAAATAGAGAAATTTGGTATATTGAGGACCCCTACCAGGGTAAAAAGAACAAATCTTGGCTATTTCGCGGCCAATGCTTGAAATATCATGGCAACTAGTGCTGGATCTTAAAATCCGTTGCGGCCTGTGCAGCCGTCAATACGCCAGGACGGGCAACATCATTGTAATTTGGAGGCTGCTCCTGAGAATGTGCTTCAGAGTAATCCTGAGAATGTCCTTCAGAGTAATCCTGAGGTTGCTCCTGAACCTGATCTCTAAAGAAAGATTGTTCATCGTTCGACGTTACGTTGTGCCCCCGTGAGTCTGCTGATGGAACTGTAGCAATCTGTGCTTCTAAGTCATCCTTGTTATCCAGAGAAGTGTAATCTGAATGGCTACTAGCACTGATATTGCTTGTCGTGAAGATAACGTATAGGGCGTGAGCTACGCCAAAAACGAAGAGGATAATAGTAAAAAGAACATTTATCAATGTGTCCTTTGTTCTAAATCCCACTCGCAAACCGACAGCGACAGGGGGGATGAATATCGCTAGGAGTGACAATAGAACTCTTTCAACATAAGGTGAAGCCATTTTTCGACGTTTACCGTGGAATGTCAGTGGAAAGGAGTGATAGTTCGCTTAATTAAAATGTCATCTCAGTAAAAACGGACAAGCCCGGAGATGGCGCTAAAGATAAAAGTCAGGTGAAACCAGACTGAAGCGTAAAGAGTGATAAAACGTGCGGGTAACACACAGTATGATCACGTGGATATATAAAAGGTCCAGACAAATGAAAAAGTTTCTCTCTTCTAAGCGCCGAAATCATCACCATCATCATCATTCTGTTCAAATATCACAACATGCCAGCTGCTATCACGGCGTCAATTACTTCAAGACCTATATCTGAAGTGCATCGGTAAATATGAAGTTGTCCAACAGATAATCTCGACGTTAATGCATATTTGTTTGGCACTTCAAGCCATTAATTTGCAAGAGTTGCTCTCCGCGGCTAGCGCCACTCTGCATGTAGGAGCCTTGTTTAATGAGCAAATTAGGATTAAAGTCTTCAACCGGACGATGGGATCCGAAAGCTAAGACATTTAGAAGATTTAACGTTAAATTGGCGGTACTCTAATGGTGGAATGGTCCTATGTGGGGCACTTCCGCAAATATTTGGGAAACATAAAAAGTACTGGGATGTAGCCCTAAAAGACTGGAAATAGCATAAAAACGGCAAACGCAAGGGTGGGGTGACAAAGGCAAATAGGTTTTACGCTACAGTTGCATAAAGAACCATATCGGTGTCTACGGATAATGGATAGGATAGCTTTGGGACACGCACGGAAAATAATGGAGACGCTGCAGCAGCCCAAATGTGTACCTACAACTATTCAAAAGTTAACTCTGTAAAGTATCAAAAGGTGACGTGTGACCCAGCGTAGCCATAGTTGCACTGAGCGCGCACTCACAGTTTGCGTACAAAACGAGCATTTCGTTATTCGCTATTCATTGAAGGCAAACGAGGAACGAGATGTTGGGAAATCGGAGAGGGATCGCACATACTTCTCAATTAGAATTAACACGTACAAAAGCGTTTTTGCTAAGCGAGCCAATCCCTTCTGGTATCTTTAATTTGGCGACGTGCTACTGCTCCGTATACGCTATCATAGTGAGGACTTTTTTAATGCACCATGCAAGTAATCGCAGTCGACAATGGCGTGTTCCCTCTTCAAAAGTTACCAAATGAGCTCATGAAAGAGGTCTTCTCCAACCTGCCACAGTCTGATCGAGTGAATCTGTGTCTCGTGAACCGTAAAATCAATAAGATCGCCACAAATCTTCTTTACAGACAAATATACTTAAATGACTCAAATGTGGTGAGAAGTGACTATATGAACCTAGCCATTAACTGGTCACTGTTCTATATCCCATTCTCTCCATCAGAAGAAAACTCTCGCAGAATAGCAAATGCCAAATTGAAGCTACTGATACGTGCTCTGAGGTCCAATATTCATGCTACTCGCAGTGTAGAATGGATTCGCATAAATTGGGATCTCGATCCCGTTTTACAAAGAACAGTCCTGTCAATTTTGTGTAATGAGGGCACTGCTCTCCAAAGATTGGAAAATGTCACAGATCCGGAATGTAATGAGATAATTGCCACTGGAAAGTTCTCCAGTAAAAACTTAATTAGTTTCGATATGGCTCCTCCTAACCCGCATCCAGAACAATTTGTTCCAGTCAACTACATTCCAAACCTGCGGAAGTATCTCAAGCAAAGGATTTCCTCAAGTATCACGTATATGAACTTGTTTATTGATCCTGTTCTCCTTTTCAACTACATTCATCCATTATCGCAAAAGTTACAAATTGTGGATCTCAAACTTCACTGGAGAAATGAGTTTTATCCAAAAAGTCATTTCAAAAAATCACTCACAAAACGTCCGTTAAGTCTGCTATCGGACATTTTTGATACCCGAACTTTAAAAGTTTTGACGATCATATCATGGAATGAATATCTTGTACCAAGAGAACTAGACATGTTCAGACAATTCAAAGAGTTTACCAACATAGAAGATCTGTCTCTCATATCCATCAAGCAAGAGATTTTCATCTTGATGGGTCTTTTCACTTGCTTGCCGCGCTTGAGAAGACTAAAAACAGATTTCTTGGAGGAGTTGTTGTCTCAATCTGCAAGACCGGAAATTTTCTTGACGCTCCTTCATTACTGCAGAGATTTGGAATTCATAGACTTACGATTTGAGGGACTAGATCCACCAATCATTTCAACTATTAAGGATAGATTCCAAATCACTCAGAAATGCCATTGTGAAAAATGCATGCATGTTTTTGATAACATTATCTATCAAAAGCTGTTTTTGTTCCCTGAAGATGGCGTAGTTGCAAGTGACTTGGAAGATAGAATTAAAGATATTTTTACTATGATGAGATCATCATCATTCTTCCCATATTCGAAAGCTTGCGACTGCTATCCATCAGTTAGAACACTCCCTATGAACTTGGACGAATTCGTATCCAAAATGAATAGAGGTCTTCTCTTTTATCGTAAGAGTAAATCTCAATTAGTCTGTAATCCGGTACAGGATCCACTGGATGACATTGAGGATGATGTGGCGGTCCTGAATATGGTATTACCACATAAGGCATTAACAAGACAGGATGTTATAGATTGTTACCATGCAATGATTCACCATTATCGACGGACTTATGTGACTTTCTTAAGTCGATTCCCAAAATTACGATTTCTGGTATTAAATGACATTGCGACAACCGTAGTTGTAGAGAACGGAGAGCGTGTGTTACAGCCAGTGTTTTACAACGAAGGTTTCACAACAAACCTAGCGGGCTGGACAAAAAAGCCTACTTCTAGAAGAGGGTCTAAGGATTTTGTTGTTGGTAGGACAACTAATTGGAAAGGTTAGGGGTAAAAAAAAAGAATATACTCAATAAGGACATAGATGCTTTATCGAAGTAAAGGATAGTTATTTTATATTGAATCATTTAAAAGACCATCTACTATTTCTGCTTTAGAAGGTTGGTTCGGTGTTTCATTCTCTTCAAAAAATGTCAGAAACTCAGCGAAATCGCCCATGCCATTAAAATCACTTAAAATATTGAGGTCCACATTAGGCAAACCACCTAATAAGGATTCATCCTCGGTGATCACACTAGGATTCTCTTTAGCATGTTCGATGAACTTCGTCGAAACTTTATGGCAGAAAGCTGCAAAAACATTATAGTCCGAATATTGATTTTCCATGAAAAGCCGCAAATCATTCTCGTGGCTTTCAAGATCTAAATCAAAACTCAAATTAGAACCACCGCTGTAAATATCTGTCCACAGCTTAACCACGTCTTTGTCATCGTCATTGCTTTTGTAAGCTTCTAAGAATTGATCTAAGAGGGGTCTTTTAACGCATGAAGATTTCTCGGCCACAAAGTGCGGGCTTTGCAAAAATTCCAAAATTGGTTTCCATGAATCGTCTTGATTGGATACTGCCAGAGTTGTATACGTCAATTTTGTAGAAAACATTCTTCTAAAGACCTGATAGTAGTTTACGCCCAGCTCATTAAAGTACATCGATGAAAGATTGTAATAAAACTTCAGCAGAATAGACTTGGTACGCTTATCAGTTGCGCGGCCACACCTAATGATAATGGCAGGAAGGATTTGACACAGGTTCGTAAGAGCAACGTCCACGATTTTGTTTGTGTAAAAATTAGTATAGGGATCTAACTCTGGATCCCCTTCGAGATATTCATAGCATAGCTTGGATAACTTCAAAATCTTTTCGAAGAGATATTGGATACAGTCCTGAAAGTCCTCTACATTACCAGTGGTTTCACATTGAACCAAATACGCGTGATAAACAGATATCTCAGAAACAGTCAGCACAATGTACGTTTCAAAATAAAAGTGGTAATCGGTTTCGTCTTTGTGCAGTATATCTTTAACTGATCGACTAAGATCTTCGAAAAGTTTTGTCGTTTTCTCCAAATCAACTTGATGCGGTGAATCGCTAATTGAATTCGCTATCTTAAACATGAGATGATCTACTACCATCAATTTCATGTGCCAACTATCTGTGTCAATGTTTTGGAACTTGATAGTTTTGCCAATAAAACATTCTTGGCCGGTAAGTATACTCAATTTACGGTCCCAGTGTAGAACGAAGCTCCATATCCTCCTGTAAATATCAATATACCCATCTGTACCCATTTGGTCTATTGAAGGCCTGCTACCAGGATGTACTTCAGCAGTGAAATGCGAAGGATCTTTGAAACACAGCCAGCCAACCCCCGTATCCCGACAGCCACCAATTATGGTGCCCATGAGGACTATGCTTTGCTGCAGCAATTCACCATCCCCATCATCCGGGGCGCACCAATGATATACTCGGAGCAATAATAAACACTGTAACTGAAGAACAGTTATTTTACGAAATATTTTGCATTGAAGAATGAAATGATTCACAATCGCAATATATTTCTGGGTATTAATTTCAAGAATTATTGTTTCTGGTTTCGATGGTGCAGTTTTCCCACGCCTATGTGCAAATTTCACAGACAATTGAGAAATACTAGTGATCAATAAAACGATACTGTAAACAGTATAGTCATTGTGCTTCACATTTAATTTTTGGCTCTCCTCCCAACTTTTGTACAGCTGTTCGATCTCAAACCGAAGAACGTCATTGTTAAAGATTGGGAGTAGCTTTGAAATATGGATTTCGAAATGCGGCCAAACATATCTGAGAAAAACATCTTTCTTTGGAAAATGAGGACCAGGGAGCAATTTCTCATCCACTTCCCAGGAGTGATTACGACGACATTGTGCGAACTTGTCGAATAAACTTCTGTACATCGACTCATGTTTTTGAATAAAACTTGAAGTTGCGGGATCCAGTTGCTTAGTTGCAGTGAGCTTATCTAATTTCTTGATTATTCGCATGGATGTAGGTAGCGATTCCTTCTGCGAATCTTCCTCTTTTGCAGATGATTTGATAATTGCTCGCTTTCGTGGAACTCCTGATACAAAATCTAAGATTTGCAGGTAGGGATCCCTTTGTCTAATCGCAGCGGTAGTCAAGGGAGCAATGTAAGTTGTTGCTGACCTTTTGGCGTTTATGTTGTGACCATATGGGACTAAATTAATGAGTGTGGGCGGTTCCTCGTGATATTCCTCAAAGCATTGAGATATTAGAGGGGGTGTACTTGTCTGTGGAGAGATAGGATTTGAAACATACAGACATGTTGATTGATCTCCTAGTCTCAGGCAATTTCCGCACACCGGCTTTAATCTATCACACTTACTCTTACGCCTTTTGCAATTAGTGCAGACCACAGTAAGTCTCCGCCTTTTTCTCGCCGAAGTGTGCTTGTCCATTATAAAATTGGCAATTGAAGCTTAATTATATGCTTGAAGATTGGTGTTGATAAATAGCATTGTTTTGAATTGAATCCCGCTTTCTTTGATCACAATTTTGACGCATTTTAGAGAGAAAAATTTAAAACTCATGTGCTCATCTCGGATACAACAAACACACGAATGAGAGGATATGAGCCCCGAATAGTTCCATGGAGGTCTCGAGATGAACTCGAGGAACTTAAAAACTGGCTGTTTCCAAATAAAAATGCTGGTAAAGACATGAGATCGCGCGGTGTGCTCAAAATCAAAAGTTGGGAAACAAAAGGTCCGTTCGTACCTCACACGATTGAAGCTACTGGACAATTACTAGAGGCTATTTTGATGGATGAAGCGGAACAGGGGGCAGAAGGTGCAAAACGATTGGCATATACCATGGCGATGGTGCGGTTCGTAAATGGACTTCTTGACCCCACTCAACAATCACAATTCGCAATTCCGCTGCACACATTGGCCCAGCGAATGGGGCTGCCATCATGGTTTGTTGAGCTAAGACACTGTGGTACGCATGAGAGAGAGCTTCCTAGTTTAGAGATGTTGCGAATGGCCAGTCTTGAAGCATTAGAGTGGCTCTGGACCAATTACTGGAACGCAGACGAAATGAAAGACAATGGCGACACAGGGGATGCTGAGGTTGCAGAGGACACTGAAGTGTTTGAGATTACAGCTGTGAGTACTGTGATATCAGAAATACCAGCTATTGCAGATCTTATGAATGCGGGAACACACATTTGGAAGCATCAGCGAGTGTCTTCAAGCTTTACTGGCGAGGAGCCTGCTTCCAAGAAAGCCAAGCACGTGGAATCACCTGAGAAGCGGGTGGAAAGATTTGTTGGTAACGCTAAAGAGGCGTGGAAGGCAACAAAATCGCAGCCAGATGTTTTTATAGAGGAGTTCATGCTACAATACGAAAAGTTGCATGCGCCAGTGTTGAAGCTCTTGGCAGAACGTATACACCCATTCGGGTACGAGCTGTGTCGATGGACACTGGAAGCGTATGGCAAGACGTTAAAGGAAGGCACGAGCGTGTTGAGAAGAAAGTTCGATGCAACGCGACTTCAGAAATTCCTGTCGGGAGTGTGCGACGCAGCGCTCGACCCTAACAGAATCCTAACACATGCCGCGCGCTGGACGGAGCTACTGCGAGAGAATCCAAACTACGTGTCTCTGACGCTACTACAGAGCATTACTTCTAACCTTGAGAAACTGGGTGACAAGACGCGCCGCCGGTTTACCAATGAGGCAGGCGAACTTCGTGCATTAGCCGAGCGTCTGGCCGCACGCACTAGTGCCAGCGAGCTGGAGTTATACCAAATTGCAGGAAAGCCACGTAGACGAGCTGCCGAGGAGATCCACAAATCGACCACCCCGGTACCGTCCACCGCCGCAGCAATCTTAGATGATTTGGCGCAGCTCCGACAGCGACGGAGGCCGCGTCTGTGGCAGCCCGTACCTAATTGGACGCCACGTCCGTTCGGTCAGGCGTAGACAGTCCTAATTAATAGACATTCGATAAATATTACAGGTTTTCAGCACGCCAATGGGCAATTGTGACAAGCGCATGAAACATGCAGAGTCATACAAGTTCAACTACAAAGTCAAGATAAACGTGCGCTCAGACATCCTAGGAAGGTCTCAATTAAGAGCGGTCACAGAGAGTACTATACGATGGGTTCGTTGGCGTACTCCTACCGTGGAAACTGCGAATGTAAGGAACCGAGTTTTCATCACCGCGCACGTGATTTTACACTAAAAAGTGCATACGTAAACAACTCCTGTAAACGCATATGCATACACCCACACCCCGGATAGGACCTGCCATGCATCGCAATGCACGAGCTCACGTGGCTCAGACTTATGCAATGTTGTGCTCACGAAGAGCACTGGCAAGAAAAGCCACGCCTCTGTCGAAGCGTAGCGTGGTAGATCCCCTGTCGTCATGGTCGAATCGGACTGGGAAAGAAGAGACCGTTATCGTCATGGCCGGTTGCTCACATGCAACGCGTGCAAGGCACGGACCTTCCGTGGGTTCACTCAGCCTTGAGTGGGTGTATTAGTAATATGCTTTACCAATAGCGTTGTGTATTTGCTTCATGTTAGCACTGAAGTTCTGGTTTGACGATGGGGTCTTCAACTGCCCTACTGCTGCCTTTTTATACGTGAAAAATTTGCCATGATGACTTGCCGGAAGTGATTAGGGCTTTTATGAGCTCGTACGAAGCGAGTAACAATTTCGAAAAATTTTCAACCAAAGGAAAGTAAGAAATTTCAAGATGCGATGAGATGAGATGGTAGATGTGCGAACAGTAGAGCAGGAGAAGCGATGGTGAAACACACGGAGGGCTCAAGTAAAACCGAATACAAGAAATGCAAACATCTAGAGTCTTTTCCCTCGGGAGAAAAAGAATTATGGCTGATTAGAGCGCCCAAGGGCCTGGATTTGAGCAAGTTGAAAGAACTGCCGGTGGACTTTGTAGGCGATGGAAAGAGTGTCTTCCAATCGCAGGGTCAGGATTTCGAGGTCAAGGAAGAGGCCAACAGTGAGCAGAATGGTCTAGTGGTGTTGATTCCTGGAGAAGACAAACAGACATTGGTTGGCGGGCGCGACGTGAGCCGTGTGTTCTCTATCAACGAATATGTGGACCTAGCGCAACAGGCTGCATCCAGGAAGAGAGAAGTGAGCGATGAGGCTCCTACGCCCAAGAAGCGCAAGCGCGAAGACAAGGACAAGGAAAAGGACAAGAAGAAGTCGCGCGATAAGAAAGACAAGGCGGACAAGAAGGAGAAAAAGGAAAAGAAACACAAACATAAAAACAAATAGAGTATGTACAGTATACGCGAATGAGACAAAGCACTGCACGCATTTCGAGCCGGCATTGAGGATGACTGCTCCATGAAAAAGGCGCAGATTGAGCAACTGCGACGCTAGACCCGGTCTGAGTAGTCCTTGAGAATTCCTGCCATGTGAGTGTTGGTGATCTTCCCTTTACGCGACTTGCGCTTTTTGACCTCAACCCGCGTGGATTGCTTCTTGACCGTAGCTGGATCCACACTGGCAGGTTTGAGACCCAGGTCTGTAAGTTTCCGTGGCAGCTCCCCGCGCTGCGGCAGCTTACACGTCTCCCACATCTTGACAAAATCGTCGTCAACACCACCCAAAGATCCTCCAAAGTTGTACCACACAAACCTCGGCTGATTGTCCTTCTTCGTACGCAATACCAGAACCCGATTTTTGGACTCCAGCTCGTCGATTACCTCGTTACATTGCGGCCAGCCGTCCTTCAACTCTTTGCACGAAATGCCCTTGAATGTAACCTGCGTCCTTAGCAACTTCAACAGCTCCTCGGCCGAATGTACGTCATAGATCGAAACATATTGTAATGTGTTATATTTGGGGTCGAACTTGATCTTGTTGATGTTCTTCAACAGTGGAATCACATTGTTTTCTGCGGGCAGGGACAAATATGACTCGATCTGCTCAATAGGCACAGCTTCTCCACGTTCCTGGATGTATTCCGTAGCCAACAGAAGCTTGGTAGACAAATGTGTGCCGGTGAGACTACCTTCAGAATTATTGATCACCGTCTTAGCTTTCTTCGGTGCAGGGCTTTCTTCTTTTTTGAGTTCCCGCTTCTTTTGCTCGCTCCCACCGGTCTTCCGCGCGGGTGGAGGTGGTGTAGGCTTCACCTTACTCTTGAACGCATTTAAATTAGCCAGTAGCGGATCGTTCTTGCTCATGAGACGTGCGTTGGCCCTCTCAATGCCAGTTGTAAACTGTCTTCGTTTGCCCTTCAAACTTGATTCCAATTGACGCCGTTTGTTACCCGACTTTCTCGTTAACGGGGTTACCCGGAGTTTGGAGTTTTTTCTCAATTATTTGTGCGCATTCAGCCAGTTAACATACATGTTTCTTTCTTGATAACATCATATTATAAATCGACAATAATCGTACCCTGCCTGCTGCGGGTGGCGCTTTAGCTGACCTCGAGTCATATTCCAAGCTTCAGCTTGTAGCCGCGGCTGAAAAGCAGTTGGTACGTGTCGTAAAGCATTGCACTGCACCCAACTTTAAAACCATTGCCGTTGGAGGTCTGCTTCCCACTTGTGGGTTGAGCGACCCATGAAACGGTGATGACCTGAGGAATGGGATATTTTGCCTATGTATTTGTAGTATTTATGCTTAAATGAATTTGAGCACCATCTGTGAGCGAACCTCCTCCTCTTGCCTATGTAGTTCCTCAATAATTTCTTGTAGAGCCTGTTGCAGGATGGGTGGTTCGCTGTTACGCGTCACACTTTGCTGTAAAATATCGTCGAGACGACGAATGAACCGGTATTGATTAACCGATACGCCATTTTCGCTGCTCGCCTCGGAAACAATTCTGTTCTCGACGCTCGCACGCACCACTTCAAGACACTGCTTCCTAATGCGATCAGACATGGCAGTCCAAGGTGACAAAGCTCGTAGTGCTTCTATGAAGAAATTCTGGCTGGTAGTGAGCTGTGTTGCGTCAGCGAACTCTTCCGGCCGCGGTAGCTCGTGTGCTATAAGATATAATGCTTGGTAGAGTCCTATGGTATTCGCACGTGTCCAACCCTCGATAGAACCAATCATTTGCTGGACTGCAGCCAGGCCGCCGCTTCGTTGCTCGCATTTCCACACCAGCTTTTGAGCCAGTGGGGCAAGATTATGCCACTCAGAGATCCACCGACTTTTATAGATGTTTCTGATAGCTAGACCTTCAGATCCACGCATTCTGTAACATACCATTGCTGCGAGATCTAACTCGTAACTGAACGCAGCAAGATTCTCACTTACCTGGCGCGCATGCGTAAAGTTCTTGTGCATCACGATCTTGGCTAGAGCCCCACGAGTGATTTTCCGCGATAGTTGCAGCTCCAAAAGAAGCTGATAAAGCTGATCACTGTTCTGGCATTGTGCTATTCTGTCCTTGACCGCCATGTGAGGAACACTTTCATTAACGGCTTGTGCCCCATGCTCGATGGACTTCTCCACGACTTGCTTCAGTCTTGACATGAGAAGGTCGTAGTGTGCATCAATACGCCGCTTTTTGGCATCGACATCAGGCAGATCGGTATTCAGTATGTCTACTATGTGTTTCACATGTGCAACGTCTGCTTTGCCCTCCTGAAACAAGGATGATATCGTTGTGGATCGACTTCCTTGCGTAAGAAATTTTATGGTTGACTGTAAATCACCTTTCTGCTGCTTTAGAAGACGGCCAACAGCAGTTACGAAAGTCCTCTTCATTTGTGTGAAGGCGTTCGTTGATGACTTGTGAGTTTTACAGCGCAAGCGAGTTTTGATTTTTATTAAAAATGTCTAGCAATTATTCAGGATATAATTAGCGAGGAAATATCAGAATAACATAACACGCAAGACAAGGTGGTGACCATTGCATATATACGAAACTTACTCTTAGGATGGATATTCCAGACGATTTGGCATCAGCAATGAGGAAGTCATGGTCAGAGTCACTCGACCCCTCATCACTTCATCCCATGACGGACTCCCCTATAGGAACACCCGGAGGAACCCCGAAGGCCAGCATCGGTGGCTCTACTGCATCTGGGACAAGCTCACCAGTGGATTATCAACTACTGAAACATCACTATGCTATCTCTGACGATGGAAGAAAGCCAAGCCTGCAGGAAGGATTGAGGGATGTTTTAGAAGAATTGGAATTTTCAAAACAACCTAGACCTCAGGCAGTAAGAAGGGGATCTATTGAGGATGCTAGCAAGCTTAGACAATGGCTGAATCCACGAAGTTCCTTTTCTGGGGCTTCTAGCAATGAACCGCCAGGGGTAACGCTTCTGCAGTCCAAATGCTGGGTTACTGTCGTGGAGACGCCTGAGGATTTGCCTTTAATCTTGGTACTCAATCACTCTATTAAGGCATCTTGCTCCAGATTTAAACTGTACGTGCTGTACATGGGCGAGCTAAGCGATGTCGGCGCAGAATTGAGCATGCATGGTGTTGAAGTTATACGAGTTGAGGACATCTCTCCCATTCTCATACATCCTTCAGGAAATGCGACAAGGGCTTCGCCAGATTCTGCCAGATGGTGTAAGCTGGCTCCTTTCCTTTCGTTGACAAATTCCTTTGACTTAATTTGCTACCTGTCACCACGTTCAGTAGTACTTGCTAACATAGATGAATTGCTAGAATCGCAGGCAGTAGCTGATGAAATTGATAATGAGACGTGTGTGTTGCTGTCAAATAGCATGGAGCGATCTCCAACGACAGTGGTTTTGCGGCCGAACGAAGGTGTTGAGGCGTGTATTCGCGAATATATGACTGTCTACGTTAATGCGGGCTACAATGACAAATGGAACAAACTTCAAACGATTACTGATCTTGAAGTATTGAAAGAGTTATTTCAGGACTCTTGGGGTGTCGTGGCAGCCGAGTATTGCCACGCTGGCAGAGGGCCCATTCCTTCTCATACTCGAGTAGTAGAAGTTGGGGCTAGAAAGCCCTGGTTAGTACAGTCTAACGATGATGTGACGAAACTCTGGAACAATATTTGGAGAGTTCTGAACAATCAAACTCAAGCTCATTACACTTGAACGGTTTCCTTGAGCACTTATCTCACTTTCATGCTCCTCAGGAGAGCTAGATTTCTTCCCATCAACCTAAATAAGGTGGCAAAGGAAATGATATATTATAGAGGTAAGAACGTCGCTACATCCATTCCCTTGAATAATAACTGTGGTTTGAAGGAATGGTACCTTAGTATATTTGGAATACAATGGTGGAATACAATGGCACCCTGAATATGAAATCCTAGATCGTATGAATCCGGTGTGATATTCATGGAAGATAAATGGTTTTAAAGTGAAAGAAATTTCTTACTGACTTAACATTCAATATTTGATGTTTCAAAATTATAGGGTACCATGATTACAGTATGTAGAAGATAAGGATTACGATAATTACGAACAATCGATAGAAATCCAGATATTGAATGCAGCTTCGAGTCAGTTTATTTGCATTCATCTGTGTATCTTTCGATTCCCCTTTAATAGTTGCAAGGTTTCTACTTTTTTTCTTTCTTTCAACTTTTAACATCGTCGTCGTTTGCATGTAAATAAATTAGCCAACTTAACTCGAGAATTTGTCAGAAACACAGCAGTGCACAAACAAAACATGAAATTCAATAACGAAACAGAAAAACAGGTATTCGAAAGGCTCTGGAAGGAACTCTCCAATCTAATTGAGAAGGATTGCCAAGGATATGACGAATTGTATGGTTACAAGCTTTTAGAGGGAGAGTTTTACGATGAAGAGGTTGCTAAAGCACTTGTTTATAAATTTTGCAAAGCTTACCAGTTCAACTATGAAGAAGCTGTTAAAAATTTAACTGATACTCTTAATTGGCGTCGCGAATTTGATCCGTTGAGTGCTGCCTTTAAAGAAACTCACAACAAGGCGTTAGAGTCAATTGGTATCCTTACATTGTACCCCAAGGCTCCTGCAAACAAGAAAGTTGTTACATGGAATTTGTATGGCGGGCTTCTAAAGCAAAAGGAAGTATTTGAGAATGTTGAAAAGTTCTTACGCTACAGAATTGGCTTGATGGAGCGTGGGCTAAAGTTGCTAGACTTTACAGATGAAAACAATGACTATATGACACAAGTTCACGACTATAAGGGTGTTTCAATGTGGAAAATGGACCCTCAAATAAAGAAATGTACCAAGCAGGTGATTGAAACCTTCCAGAAATACTACCCTGAGTTGTTATATGCAAAATATTTCGTAAACGTCCCAAGCTTGTTGACATGGGTTTACGATGTCGTCAAGAAGTTCGTGGGTGAAGAGACTCGGAAGAAGTTTGTAGTGTTAAATGACGGCAATAAGCTGGGTGCCTATATTCCATTTGCGCCATCGACACTGTATGGAGGGAAATCTGCGGATTCTTTGGCCACACAAAACGTGACAGACGTCAGGCCAACCCCATATGCTTTGAGCTTGCTGGAGAAAGAGATGACTACTGAGATCGACTGAATAATTCCAGAACGCAAGACCATTCAATAACAAAATAAAAGTATATCTTCCAATAATTTCTAATATGCCCAAGAGAAGTGATATAACAGAATATTGTTCGCTTGCATAGTGCAAACATCTAATAAATAGGTGGGATAAATAGTTAACTACTATCTTAAGCCTCGCTAGCACAGGCGACCTTTTTATTGGCATTGTAGTCGAAGCTTTGCATTGGCTCCAAACCCCATTTTGCTAACATTGCCTTATCTTCGTCCCAACCGTTACACATTGTGGTCAGCATTTTCTTACCAGTGAAGATAGCGTTACAACCAGCCATGAAACACAAGAATTGCTCAGTCTCCTTCATGGTGTATCGACCGGCAGCCAATCTGATGATAGCCTGTGGCATAACCAGCCTGGCAGTGGCGATCGTTCTCAAAATTTCGTGGAATTCGAGCTTCTTGGCATCAGGCTTTTTGAGTTCCTCGGCCATTGGCGTTCCCTTGATAGGGACTAGCCTATTGATTGGAAGGGATTCTGGATGAGGGGTCATGTTAGCCAAAGTGTACAAAAAACCTACGTGATCTTCTTCGGTTTCACCCAAACCCAAAATACCACCGGTACATGCCTTGATACCTGCTTGTTGGACGTTTTTGATGGTCTGGAGACGGTCATCGTAAGTTCTCGAAGAGATAACGTTAGGATAATGCTCCCTCGATGTGTCAATGTTGTGGTTGTACGCGGTAAGCCCTGCGTCCTTCAATTGCTTAGCTTGGTCGGAGTTGACCATACCCAAAGTGACACAGGTCTCCAGGCCCATGTCGTTGACCTTAGTGACCATATCTGCGATCTTCCGGAGCCCAGACTTACGGCCTTGCATGTCTCTCCACGCCGCCCCTAGACAAAACCGCGTAGATCCGTTCTTCTTGGCCTCTTCGGCCTCTTTGAGAACTGCGTCGACGGACACAAGTTTTTCTGCCGCGACGCCAGTGCTGTGACGGGAAGACTGAGCACAGTACTTACAATCCTCCGTGCATCCACCACTCTTGATGTTCATCAATGTACACAGCTGCACCTTGGTGGGGTCGTGCCATCTGCGGTGTTGCAATTGTGCAGCGTGCGTAAGCTCTAGCAAAGGAGTGTTGTAGATCTCACGCAACTGTTCTTTGGTCCAGTTGTGGGAGGGCTCCTCGAGCGATAGTGCTAGTCGCAAAGGCGATAGAGCACCCTCGACAGCAGAGCTAGCTACAGGAGCAGAACGGGCTGCTGCCGCAGCCGCATGTCTCAAGCCCGAGTTGAAGGTAGAAAAACGTCTCATTCCAATCATGTCGCAGCTGGAGAACCAAGAAACACGGGACCTCGCGCGCTTGCTGGCCCGCAACGCACGCTATATATACGTACAGATCCTGAATCAATCCCACTTTGTTGGGCCCGAAGGCCCGACCTATGCCCACGCCGGGGCATGAGCTGAGACATCCTGTAGGTCGGAAAAGCAGCAGATAACTTCCAACAAACGAGCAAGTGAGTCACGACAAGACGACTCAAGATCGCGCTCGACGAAAATCGACGAATCTCACGAAAATCCAAGATTACGTAACGTACACGTGACCAAAGCAATTGTTCCTCATCGGTCTTCAGGTCACGTGCCCCATCTTTTCCCTTTTTTCCTCTTCCGTCCTTTTTCCTCTTTCGATCCCTGGAAAACTCTAGAAATCAAGGCAGCTGGAAACTATAAGGGCAAGGAGGGGTGGTATTTCGCACGACTAGCTAAGATGCAAACCACTATTAATCCATTACAATGAGAGTTTACAAACGTGGGAGGACTACAAGGAATAAAAGATCGACGAAAAACAGAAAGATGCACTCCGTACCGGAGGAACCAAGGCAAGGCGTGTTCATAGATGAGCGGTTTGGCGACACGCTTCCGCAGGCGCCTAGAGGAGTGTTCTTTCTGGTGGAAGTGTACACGGACGAGCCTGGAATGCGACCACACGAGGTACAGGAGCCGGACGAGGAACAAGAGAACCCAAGACGCGTCGAAGTGCAGATAGAAGAGATGCCAGGCGCGGATGAGCAAGACGTGGATATGATGGACGTGTAGCGCGATGAGCACGAGAAGTTACCCGGCCCGACCAGCCCGATCTGCATCACCACGTGACCCAGTGACCGGCTACATCTAGGCACGTGACCGATATCGAAACGTTTCGGGAACTTTCTCCCCCATCGTTTCTGCAAAAAAATTTTCCAGAAGAAAAAAAAGTGTAGTCATGACGGGCCTCCTTCTGCAATAGTTTATTCTTAGGCTGTCGAACGTTTACAGATGTCTGCAGATCATTCAAGAGATCCTTGTCCAGTCGTGATTCTCAGCGACTTTGGTGGTGCCTTCGCCATGGGTGTCATCGGTGGCTGTGTGTGGCACGGTATCAAGGGATTCAGAAACTCGCCCATGGGTGAGCGCCACCTGGGCGCGGTCAGTGCCCTCAAGGCGCGTGCACCAGTGGTAGGTGGTAACTTCGGTGTTTGGGGTGGTCTCTTCTCGACTTTCGACTGTGCAGTCAAAGCGGTGCGTAAGAGAGAGGACCCCTGGAACGCGATCATCGCAGGTCTCTTCACCGGTGGTTCCCTTGCCATCAGAGGTGGCTGGAGACACACCAGAAACAGTGCCATCATGTGTGGATGTCTACTGGGTGTGATGGAAGGTGTGGGTCTCATGTTCCAGAGATATGCTGCCTGGCAAGCCAAGCCCATTGCTCCTCCTTTGCCCGAAACTCAAAAACCTATGCAGGCATGAGTGTAACAGCAGTTTCAACCCTCAATTCATGATACGTATCTCATTTTCTGCGACGTCCCTACCCCATCATCCTCCATGTATATAACTATATATAATGAACGTCTCTTATTGTACATTATTAAATGCGCTTGCGTATATATTATTAGCAAGGTCAGACAAAAGTGCGACGAACTGAATAACGCGTTATGTCAATCGTCTATTGTCAGTTTATTGAATTCTGTAGTGGTTCCCTCTTGCAAAGAAGGGTGTTTGATGGTCCTTTTGGGCTGCGTCCCCGGAGGATACCATTCCCCAGTAAATGGCTGTTGTGTTATAAAGGGATGCATATTTGCCTGTTGTGGCGTCCACCTTTCTAGCGGGTTAATATTGAGCAGTCCCTTGAGGAAATTTGTCAGACAATCCCGATCATGCATTTCTCTCTCTACCAAGGGCGGAGAATTCGCTATTTTCTTTGGAATGCGGTAGTTCTTTATGATATCGTCGAGTTTGTCCCACTTGAAATATTGTTTGCCGGGTTGTTCTTGTGCCTGAAACTCTTTATTATATTCGTTAACCGATTTTAGACGCCAAGATTTGCCACTACCTTCCGATTTCAATAAGAAATTAGTTGAATTTTTTCCCATATCCAGCATCCACGTCGGTGGTAGACCCAGTGTAGTGACGATTCTCGTGATTTGATTCAATTCTGAAGACCCAGGAAAGATCGGAATTCCCAGAAACAGCTCCGCAATAATACAACCCAATGACCACATGTCTATGCTCGTAGAATAAGGTATACCCAGTATCACTTCAGGTGCCCTATAAAACCTCGATTGAATATAAGTATAAATAGTTCTAGTCTCATCGCATGCGGAACCAAAATCAATCACTTTCAAATCGGGTCTGTCAAGTGAAACTAGTAAAATATTCTCGGGTTTCAAATCGCAGTGAATCAGTTTATTGTCCTTCAGAACACACAGAGAATCCAACAGCTGGCGCGCAAAAGTCCTTATTAAATTAATTGAGAGCCCATGAAATTGATTTTGTTTCAAGAGTTCATATAGATTATTGCTTAGAAGCTCAAATACCAAACAAAGATGGTTTTTATGAACAAATGTTTCGTGCATTCGCAAAAAGTGGTGCTCATTGAGTGGGTCAATCTTAGTATTAAGTAATTCCAGAATTTTCGCTTCTGTAATACTTTGGTTCAAATATTCACTTTTAGATTTAACCACCTTAACGGCTAAAATCTCCTTTGTGATTAGGTTTTGACATTTGACAACTTGGCCAAACGTTCCCTGTCCAAGAATGTCAAGAACGAGGTATTTCCTATTTTGCTCTACTCCAAGCACGTCATTAACATAAAGGATGTAGTCGCTGTTCACGTTATCGTTCCCATTATTATGTTTGCCCTCGCTAGGTTTCGTTAGCACACGCTTAGGGTTTTTAGAGGTTTGATATGAAAATTCCGAGGAGCACAAGGTGTATGTAGTTATTAATGATTCTGTCAATGCAATTAGAGGAGAGACAGTTTTGGAATTCAGAGATGCTCGTCTGTACTTTGGTGTAGGATTTACAATTGGATGGAGATCTTGGCGTGAGGAAACTTTGCGCATTTGAGGAATGACCAATGGCAACGTGTTTTCCTGTCTTCGTAGTTGCTTCAATGGCGGAGGTAGTACGGACCCTGCCGTAACAGGATAAGCACTTAACTTTCGATGAAAAGGTGTTGTGGGGGGTTGGAATACAGCTTCAGATGACGGCTGAGAGTAGAGATGTGAAGCTGCAACTGCAACCGATTGTCTTCTGTGGAAATCCTGCGAGTATTGAAAGTTCTGCTGTGGAAACGCTTGCGAACCATACAGAAAGGCATCTGGGCCTGGTCCTGCAGCTCTGCTAGGTGGGACTATGAGGCTAGAGTTCCGCCTGCGAAATTGATACTCATCCCCTTCTGCAGATTGCGTTCCTTCTTCATAGGTCGTTGGAAGTTGCTGGCTGAATGTTGTCGACGCCGCCGCCGCTCCACTTCTGCTAGCTGATCCGCTATTTGAGTCATTCCAGGGGTTCCTGAACACATAAGGTTGTGATCCTTGCTGTTGCTGCACATTCTTCATAAACGCAGGATTCCAGATGCTTTTGTTATCTTCTTGCATGACTGTTTATCCTATGCACTAACCACGTTTCCCTTCAAGGAAATCTCCCTGTGGGCCAGATTGCTGCAATTAAGACACTATCATTACGTGAATAATGATATATTTGATGATATCAGTTACAAAGATGTCTTTAATGAATGTTTATGGGCCCACAAGTATTCTTTGTGAATCCCAGAATCTTATTTCTAGGTAGCTCAGTTTTTCAAACTGAAATCATAAATATACATCATTTTCTTTATCGAGCCCTTGTGCCAATTTATCTTGTCGTCAGTGGAGCCTGTCATGTTGAAAAAAAATACAGATAGCTGAGGTCCGACAAAGCTCAAGTGCAAAGCTTAGAACACAACTTCGTAAGAACATGAACATTTCTACTTCAACCTTTTCAACGAAAAGAAGAGGGCTTAAGAAAGTTGAGGAAGAGGAGAATGCTGCCACTCTGCAATTGGGTGAAGAGTTTCAGCTGAAACAAGTGAATCATCATGGTGTTGAGGAAGAACTCATTGCATTAAACCTAAGTGAAGCTCGCTTAGTGATCAAAGAGGCACTCGAACAGCGTAAGAAGCTGTTTAAGCAGTGGAATAACAAAGGTGACGCTATGGATGCCGACGACGATGAATTTGAAGATGCTCACACGCAAACGCAGGAGAAAGAACTACAAAGCATTGACAAACTTCTCGAAGCCACAACTGGCGGGAACAACCAAGCGTTGAAGCAAACAATGGTATATCTTACAAATTTCTCGCGATTCAGAGATCAGGAGACAGTGACTGCCGTTACACAACTTTTGCAGAGTACGAATCTGCATCCCTTCGAAATCGCTCAGCTGGGTTCACTTTCTTGCGAAGACGCTGACGAAGCCAAAACTTTAATCCCTAGTCTCAACTCTAAGATATCTGATGATGATTTGGAGAGAATACTTAAAGAACTATCTAACCTTGAAACTCTATATTAGATAAACAGATTCATGAAAAACACTCAGATGAAATAGAATAATGTATCAAAACACGGACCATATTTCAAATCAAAATTGTATCTAATGAAAATGCTATGGTTTTAAATTTTTATGTATGCTTCATAAAGAATTTGCCCGATCCATTCTTCCACCATCTCATCAAACAGCTGTTTAACCTAACATCAATATTTTCATCAATGTCTGGATCACAAACGCATCGTTGTGCTATTCTCATGAGATTCGAAGAAGGACATGTGCTGAAAGGAATATGGTAATAGCCCAGTTCGTCAAAATGAATTATTTCGTCTCTCCTCATTAATAATGCCACTCCAATGGAATGCACGGGGGCATCACCCCAACGTTCATAGTAAAAGCCTCCTTTTGAATCTAGAAATTCAAAGAATTTAATGTAACGTTCACTTCTGAAAAACCTCAAATCAGCTATCTCGAAATTAGACCAGAAGTGACATAGGTTATATCTAGAATTTGAATCTATGATAGGCGTATTTTTTCCGACCAACCCGCTATCAGTGATGAAATCAAAACTATTTGTATCGAAATCAATCAACTCGGGATATTCCTCCATAAACTCTTCTACAGCATCCCAAAGAGTGGGGATGGTATCTTCGTATTCATACATGGATATCACAAATCCATATTTCTTTCTTTGCTCCCTCATGACCTTGAAAGGATCATAGGGGAAATCACAAAAATACTCGACGTCAGGCTCAACTCTGAAATAATAGTCATAATTGAGCAGTAGCTCTTGCCTGAAAAAATAACCCGAATTGAATCGACACATATTTCGATAAGATTTCGAACCTCCATATATGACACCTTTTTCGTTCATCAACTGTAGGCTAGTCTCGAATACGGTTTCATTAATCCAATCTGGACGATCCCACTCCTCACTTGGGATCAGTCCGTATTGAGTTTTCCCACTTGCCATTGCGGTTGTTGCTTCTATAAAGTCATTATCGAACGGCACATCATTCAGGAAGGTCCAATCATATTGATACTGCCGATTAAATCTGTCCTCTAATGAACGCATCGACTTCAAAGCTCCTTCCAACTCTCGATTTCTTACCAACATTAGCAACGTGGCATTTTCCCGGGCATTTTTAAAGTTCTGATCATTATCAATGTTAACTAATACATTATCCACATAAGTATTCGTTGACAACTTAGGAAAGCCCGAAAAATCATCAAATCTCCTCATGCCATCAAATTTGTGAACAACATCGTATGATCTTCGAATATACTCGCCAGATTGTTGCTTAGCCTGCCAAGAACATGAAAGTACCGACCACCCCAATTGAAGCAAATATACGGCAAAGAAACATAACGCAAGACTTTCGACTAGAGCTAGTCCTTTATGCATTTCGAGTGGACGACCACAAACTGTTTGATCTCGAATGTGTGGTGATGAAACATAAATTCGCCAATCAGAGTATGTGCCTAATTCAGCCTTCAAAGAGCTCATCTGGCCCACACGTCACGTGAGAAATACTGACATGCAGATTGAAAAGCGTCAATTTTATCTAATTTTATCTACTAGATTGTTACATACTTCTTTCTTGATCAGAGCCTTATTTCATCCTCATCCAGCTCTTGTGGTGTATTGGAGATCCGATAAACTGGTAAGCTCACGCTATTGCTTGTCTTCACAAGAATAGATGAAATCCCACCTCTGATAATACCACCTTGCGGCTTCTTACTTTTATCCATTAGAAAATTGACGACATCTTGGATGCTTTGCGACATTTCGTTTACCGAATGAACGCCGGCCTCCCCAATCTTCACACTTAGACAGTTGTCGTTGTTGGGGACGTATGATGTGTTCCGGCAAATGCTTCTTAGCTGAGCACGCACATAGGAGGCATCACATTCTTCGGGCATTTTTTCGCGTTTAACTTTTACTGCTCGCGACATTTGTATCATATATGGCAGCTTCTTGTTGCTATGGTAAAATGCGCTCCCCAAAACGTGGGGCAAGAGGTGGTGAACTCGGTAATCTGCAACAACAATGTCAAACTCCTTGAAAAGCTTATTTAGCTTTGAACCGTGATATCTTCCCTTTAGCTTTTTCAGAGATATTATTTCTTTGAATAGATCTGCCGTCAAAGGGTCCTTTGTTAATGTATTTCTATACAGAGTTGAAGGGTCCTTGGTGATCAGTAAAATTCGGAGATCATTCGGTTTATGCAGTTTAGATTTTGTGAGAGGTATAATTCGGGGAACGTAGTCATTTTTCAAGCCTATAGGTTTGATAGTGCTTATCACCATTTGAATATTCTTGTCTGTGGCTAATTTTGGATCTGTTTCGCATTGATGCAAGAGCGACTGTAAGGCCCTCGATGCTAGACCATTTTTATCGATTATAGGAGCACCCATAAGCTCGAATAGTTGTGAGGTTTTGAAATTTTGACACTATATATCGACTGGAACAGTCAGAGAAACGGTGCGATGAGATGGGGCCTCGAAAATTTTGACCTCATACAGATGTACATAATCACTAGAAACGACAATCAACAGTTTTAAAATCGTCTTCCTTTCAGTAAGGTATCAAATCAAGGTCAGTCAGTATCTTAACAATATATTTAAAATTAAAAAACACAATTAAAAATATCTAGTGCATGTTTTGAAGTATAAAAAAGGTAAAATAGCTAAACATTATGCTAGCTCTAGTCGAATAGCTCGCTGATGTTAGCTGGCAATTCTTCGATTTGAGTGGAGTAGAATCTTTCTAATTCTCTCATGGCACCAACGTCCTTGTTAGTGACAAAGTTGATAGCGATACCCTTACGACCGAAACGACCACCTCTACCAATTCTGTGAATATAGTTCTCCTTGTTGGTTGGCAAGTCGTAGTTGATAACCAAGGAAACTTGTTGAACATCGATACCTCTGGCCAACAAGTCAGTAGAAATCAAGATTCTGGAAGAACCAGTTCTGAATTCCTTCATGATGGTGTCTCTTTGTTGTTGTGGCAAGTCAGAGTAGATAGCGGAGACGGTGAAGTTGTCGGCAGTCAATCTTTGAGTCAACTCTTCGACCTTTCTTCTAGTGTTACAGAAAATGACAGCTTGAGTAACGGAGATGGAATCGTACAAATCACTCAAACAGTCGTACTTGTAGTCCTCCTCTTCAACATTGATGTAGAATTGCTTAATACCTTCCAAAGTCAATTCATCCTTCTTGACCAAAATTCTGATTGGGTTTCTCATGAACTTGGTAGTGACTTCCAAAACGTCACCTGGCATAGTGGCAGACAACAACACGACTTGGGTTGTTGGTGGCAATAGAGTGAAAATCTTGTAAATTTGTTCCTTGAAACCAGAAGACAACATCTCATCGGCTTCATCCAAAATGAACATCTTGATGTGGTCAGTTCTGAATCTTCTACGTTCAATCATGTCGAAAACACGACCTGGGGTACCAACAACAATTTGAGCACCATCTCTCAAGGCCTCAGCGTCTTCAACGAAAGAAGTACCACCAATACAGGCATGAACTTTCACATCCATGTGGAAAGCTAGAGCCATAACGACCTTTTGGATTTGCAAAGCCAATTCTCTGGTTGGGGCCAAGATCAAAGCTTGAGGAGCCTTGATTTTTTCGTCAATACCTTGCAAGGCAGCAATGGAGAAAGTACCAGTCTTACCAGTACCAGATTGGGCTTGAGCCAAAACATCATGACCTTCGGTAATAGGTAGAATAGCACGTTGTTGAATGGCAGATGGATCAACGAAACCATAACCGTAGATACCTCTCAACAATTCTTCCTTCAAATTCAAGTCATCGAACTTGTAGACGACCTTGTCGTAGTTTGTTTGAATTTGGGATTCTTCGATGTCAGTGATACCGTCAGAGGACATATTTACTGTAGTTATCCTTTATTGCCTTCTCAAGGTGCTTTGAGCAGCTCATCAAGAGAAAACTTTTCCAAGGAGTTTGCATGGCCACTAAGAAAAATTTTCACTCATTGGACACGAGATAGTTCCGAAACCAATCGTAAAAAAAGACAGCAAACCGTTGAACGATATAATGATTTATAGCTATAGATTAATTAGGATTGAATTTTGGTACCGTCTACGTTATCTGGAAAGACACGTTGTACTTCAGAAAGATCTCTGTCGACTTCCCATGGAAAAATGGGCTTAGGAATAGCTTCTACATGGGGAAGATGATCATCTACGAGAACATCGCTATGGTTCCATTCAAATTCGGCATCTAAATTTATAGTAGACGCTTCCGGCTTACCATCTTTTGGTGGAGGTTCTTTTGTGGCATCCCATGCATATTCATCAACTACTTCAATTTGGCTTTTATCGAGGACTTCTGAGGCCGCGCTAGATAACACATCAAAGTTTTGGTTACTAGTTAGTTCGGTGTCTGAATGCTTGCCCTTATCACTGTGTTGCTGATCCTCATGATCGTATTCACAAGCTGCATCGCAATCCTCGTTTGGATTAGGTTGCGAATCACTATCTGTGGAATTCTCTGTCACCGAGGATTTATTGGTCGCATAGTCAGGTTCTTCAAAGTGCGTAATGTCTCCCGTCGATAGACGTTTAAGCGCGTCAGAAACATCATAGTCTTCAACCGAATAGTATTTTTGGAGAAACTTGAAATAGTAACTCCACCATTTGTTTCTAAATTGATCATTCGAGTTCCCAAGCCATGGTTTATGCTTACCTATGAAATGCACTAATTTTATTTCGTTCTCAAAGAACCGAATTGCCGGGGTACTTTGGTAGCCTGCATTGGGAACAGTTACATTGAACAAGAACGGAAGCCTTATCCAATCCTTTGTGCCATTTTGTAGTTGACAATTAGGATTGAAAAATTGATTTAGAATACCTTGGTCTGCGCCGTCAATGGAGGTCGTGTTTGAAACAAAGCTCACTAACTCCGAATATATTCTATTGCTGGGAACAATACTCATTACGCCGGTGTTAAACATGTCGGGCCACCCGCAATCAGGAACAGCTCCAATTTGATCAACTGTCTGGCCCGAGGTCAGATCGAGAATGCTCAAAAACCCAGGATTCAAAATGAGCACATCGGTATCCAAGTACAATAACTGCTGGAACTGGACTAATTTCCAAAGTTCTAATTTCAAAAACGTAAATGCTAACTCTGGTCGTTCTAGCAGAGCCAGATTCTCGCGGTTTCTTTCGACCCATGAATCTTCAATCTTCATGAGATCGACGCTTATGACCTCATCATAAAGTCTGTCAAGTACTTCGATCTCGTTCTCTCGCAGATCTTCTCGAAGAAGCCTGTCCGAAATCAGAACACAAGTAGACCACTGTGATTTATCAGTCACGATTTCTTGGAGTTGAAAACCAACGGTGAAAACACCTGGTAAGTAATTTCTCGAGTACAACAGTGTTACGATACCGTTAACCATTGTTTTTACTGAAAAGCCCTGCGATATTCCTCGAGAGTGCTGTGTTCCTTCCTTGCTGATGTGAAACAGAATATCCCCAGACTACTGGTCCCCTTATGAAGCCGGAGACGCGCACGCGGCTCAATGCTCAGGAACGTATCACTAGAGACGGGACCATCAAAACGATAAACGTATATTAGTTGTGCAATAATCTACTATATAACATAAAAAGCAGCCTGCTAAAAAGCCATCTTTTCAGTTGTGGTGATTTAACGAGAGTAGGACCAGACGTTCTTCAACAAACCGTCGTTTTGAGCCAAACGGTTCAAAGAGTCATCAGCTTCACCTCTGGCTCTGACGTAACCAGACAAAGCGTAAGTGATGAATTCACCTGGGATGGCACGGCCTTCCTCGTCAACCTTGGCGATGTTGATTTGGACAGAGGCGTGATCCTTGGCCTTGATAATTCTGTTGGTAGCAGAACACTTTCTTGGAACGTAAAGTTCGACCTGAATTAGGCGTTAGTAATCTCCTTAGGATAGATCCCGACAGACTGTATACTGCAAACCTGTGTACCTAAGTTGTGGTTCTAAATTATCTTTAAAATGGTTCTCCCAAAGTCCACATCAATACATTTCCAGTTTAGTAAACATTTCCACGCTTTCTTGGTTACAGTATGATGAAGCAAAATATACCACTACGTGATCGGATAATTATCGTTAACTCATGTTTTGAATCGCTTCTGTTGTTTCGTATCTCTCCATTAAAATTAGCACATTTCTTCCTAGTTCCCTGGTTTCTGCATACAGCTCTGCCCGGCGGCGAGTTTCAAATTGATCTAGCGATCTGTTAAACATACTAATTGACCCTTATCGTTTTCCATCTTGGCTTATACTGAACCTATAATATGTGCTTCCCTCTCAAGAGCTTGGATTAGTACTTTGAAAATTGTTTGACAAATTGCGAAGCACTGGAGCTCGGTAGCAAGCAGCCTGGATCCGTAGCTCGCGTGCCATCATTCATTGAAATATGAAAACGATCCCAGAAAAATACTTAATACGGTATGTATGGGTTTAAAGATACAATTAACGCACAATTTCAAAATAAATGTATGGGTTCCAAAAGTTTCAGTAATGAAGATCACACAGAAAACAACGTACAGATTGTTATGTGTGACTGCTTTTATGTCTATACATATTCAAATCGATATCTAGAAAGAAGGTGGTTTCATGAAGGAAATAAATACCTTCAATGGATCAGCCTATAGTGAAAGAGCTGCACTGATCATGATGACATTGAAGTTTTTTGCTAAATTACATGGAACAATATAAATAGTTAAATAGGTGAGTAGAGTCTTTAGTTACGCCCGGGTCAAAACACACACACTTTCAACATGATGGGTCTGGGGGAAGAAATCAAATCCTCGGATACTTTCAATTTTGTAAGCTTTACCATTCTCTGTTTTCTGCAAAAAATACTGCACGTCTCTTGCTTGAGAGTGCACATTGCACGAGATGTAGACAATTCTTGAAGGATTGTAGTCAGATAGCTGCTTGAGGAAGACATCGTCGCAACCTTTTCTCGGAGGGTCAAGAATAACGGAGGTGCGATCACACGGCGTATCAATTGATGCAAATATCTTCTCAGCCTTTCCCACAATGAATTTACAGTTCTTGATCCCATTTGCTTTAGCATTCTTTTCGGCGAAAGAAACACTATCAGCAGATACTTCAACACCGATTACCTTGTCTACACCCTTAGAAGCAGTAATACTGAACAGACCAGAGCCACAATAAGCGTCGACTAGATAGTGTGGGTCGTCCGACTGAGACCCTGGAATCTTCAGATTGTCACACACGTATTTCGTTACCTTTGGCAGAATACTGTTATTATTTTGGAAAAATTCACCAGCTGAGAACTGAAACGTAAAGCCATTAATATATTCAGTTACGACTTGACGAGTGTTCGTCACACAAGTCTTGACTAACTTTTTGTCGAGCTCAACTTCAAGATGGGAAATGCATCCAGTTTCCGGATCTTTAGAGCCTTCATCCAATTGCGATTCTACATCTTGAGTAGGATCCAAAACCTTTGTGTGTTCCCTCAAAAGTATAGTGGCACCCTTTTTATACTTAGTGTAATTAGTTTCGAAGATTTTCCTCTCATTTGACATTCCCTTGTTGATGATTTCCGTGCCGATCACACACTCTTCAATGTCTAAAATACTTCCTTGGCCCCCAGCATCGGTATGCCTCCAGGTTGGACGTCCATTTTGACCAAAACCCAAAGGGGGCCTCATTTCTAATTGTTTAAGTTTTTTGGGCATATCAAAATGGGGAGTCAGTTTAGTCCTGTAATTAAACTGAAGAGGAGACTCGATAGTGTCTCCTATCTCTGGGACAACGCCCAAACGAACCAATTCAGGGGCAAAGAATTTATAGGCATTGATGACGGTGTTTTTCTTGAGCTCCAACTGCTGTTCATAGGACAATGACTGAAATTGACAACCGGAACACTTTCCGAAATAACGACATTTAATCAGCTCGTCCTTACGCATGGGGGACTTTTCAGTGATTTCCAATAGGTCACTCTCTACATAATGAGGGTGAGTCTTAAAGACCTTAATCGTAGTAATGTCTCCAGGCAAACCAAAAGGCACCACCACGACCTGTTTCTTGCTCTTCTCCACTGGATTATCTATTAACGCCAAACCGCTACCATTGGCGGTTATCTTTAAAATAGGGATATTAGAGACCTCGCGATGATAAGCACTGGCAATAGGACCCGTCTGAGTGTTGATGTCATTCAAAATCGCGATAACGTCGTTAGTAATTTGTTCGCGGCTCAAATTGTGCTCCCCAAGCAGCGCATCTATCTCAGACTGCAGCACTCCCAAAGGAGACGTAGCATCAACTTTTTTGGCCTTATACTTTCTAAGTTTGATCTTTTTCGTACGGCGCTGAGGCTTATCTACACCAACGTTCTCAGATGGCCTCTTTAACTCTGCCTTCTGAATATCAACGATGGTATCTGTGGCCATTTTTCTCAAAATAGATCTAGTTCTAACCAATGAATTTGAGCTAATTTTCGAAGCTAAGTTATGAATATACTTAAAGTTCTTAAGCAGTTCAACGCCTATACTCATCCAATGGTGGAGGCTCCCAACTAATGCTCGATGCCGATGAGCGTAAACAAATTTTTAGCGAAAAAAAAGGAATCACCGTGAAACGGGAGCAAAACAATATTCAACATAATTAAACCATTATCCATTAAATCTATATAACTATTAAAGTACAGTACAGAAACGTCTAGCTTTTTTGGGCTTCGGCTTACTCTGTTTAGAAGTTAATGTGAGTAAACTGGGTTTCTTAGATCCAAAAACTTTCTGAGTGAACGGTACAACCTTCTCGTTTTGGAGGGTATCACGCAATAGGGTTGTCAAAGCTACACCGAATAACTCATCGACATTATTTCTAGTTTTGGCAGAGCATTGAAAATGAGCAAAAGCCCCAAGTTTCTTGGCCAGCAGCTCTGCGTCCTTAGGATCAACTAGTTTTTCCAAGTTATCAATAGCATACAGATCATTCTTTAAACCGACTATCATAATTGGAGTGTCAGGACAAAAGTGTTTAACTTCAGGGAACCACAACTCCTCAACATTGTATAATGATGTCTTGCTATCAGCGGAGTAGCAAATCATTAGCAAATCGACGTCCGTATACGAGAGGGGTCGTAATCTGTTATATTCCTCCTGGCCAGCAGTATCCCATAGACCCAATTCAATGATCTTATTGTTCGGTCCTTGAACTTTCGTAACGTAATTTTCAAATATGGTGGGGACGTAATCGGTGGGAAATTTCCCTTGCGTGTAAGAAATCAGTAAACACGTTTTTCCCACCGCTCCATCGCCTACTACAACAATTTTTAGTTGATAATCTGCAACCTTGTTTGTTTTCTTTGTTTTTTCATAGCTTGGAACCTCTGTTAAGGTGCGAGCGAACGGAGTTGGTAATCTATGAGCCGGCAATACTCCATCTTCTGAATTTGTTTTATAAGAAACTGAAAGATCGGATCCGTCAGTTGTTTGTGCCGGCAGCGAGAGACGACTGCTCTTATTCGGTGAAGAAGAGAGGGGCTTGAGCAAAGTTTCCATGTTTTTATATCGAGAAACTTAAGTTAAAGTTTGCCCGGTCTTTGGTTGCTTTGTTTCAGACCTGAAACGAGCATCAACACTGACATCAAAATAAAAAACAACGTCGTATGAAATGAATTTCTACGAAAGTGCAATGGTTTGTTTACACTAGTTAAGAACTGATCTGCCATCAATTCACAGTCTTATCACACAAATGGATAATGAAAACCAGCTATATGATCGAATAAACGACCACTTACTGCATGAATTTGTGGAATTTTGCTATAGATTAACATCTGCACTGTTGAATGATCAGAAGGGTATTGAGCTCGATGCCTTTGAGAAGGAACACTTACCAGTATTTCTTGACTTCATTAAAGATAGCGATATTCGAACGCTGGTGATCTACTTCACTTGTGATAATTGCCTAAACATATCACATCATATCCTGGATAACAACAGCAGGGAAAAAATCGGAAACGATAATAATGTCATATTGATCATTAAAAATAGCCCCACCGTGAACGCTAAAGAACCCATAAACACTCAACTATCGATATTGAATATACCACAAAAAACTGATCTCGGTGCACTTAATGCGCTCGTAAATTCCGGTGTGACGTCTATGTTCGAAACCCTTGTGCAGAATGACACATCTTTCGAGAAGAAGACGGCTACTGTGAATTTGGCTCGATCAAGAATAGGCGACTTGTCAGCATCCTTGCATAACCTGCAGAAAATCATAACTGTACCTAATTTACGTGATTCAGCCCATCCAATGATTAGAGACATAGTAGAGAAGGGAGCTAATGAGAACAACTACAGAGAATTTTTGTCGGATGGAGAACTCTCAGACTCTAATTTCCTAAATTCATTGCAAAAGACCGCAAACAAATGGATTAAGCTTGCACAGTCGACAAGTAGACTAACACGGAGCATCGACGATGGACCCATCGCTGATGAAGTGACTTTCTGGATAAATTTAGGACACTGTCTCAAGGTTTTGGAAGAACAAATGCGCTCCACGGAAGTTCAAATTACTTTATCAATACTAACATCTGCCAAACGATTTCATGTTGCTGTAAGCTTCCTTTCAGACACTGGAATTTCAGATCGACTAGAAGAAATCAATAGTTACAATCACTTCGTGAAAGACTTTCCTGTCAACGCGCTTGAACTAGCATCCACTTTCTCAGATCTATGCGCCGTGGTTAATAAGATGTCATTTGAATTTAGAAAGCTGCGACATTCTTCATACCCACTTTCTCGTTTGTCAAGATTCGTTGAAATAGTCTCGAAGGTAATTGATGGCAAAATTAAAGATCTAGCACCTGAAATAATGAAGTGTACCTATGATTCATTCAAAGAGACTATGGTGTCTATCGATTCAGTATTAGATGCCTGGGAAACTGCAATGAAAGACTTAAATATGCTTATTAGAGAGATCTCCAGGAAAAGGTCAGAGAAAATGGTTTCTTCGAAGTTAACTCTAGAAACCGACTGCCTGAGAGAAACTTTAGCGACAATATCAATCTTCAGGAAAACACATGAAGATTTTGTAAGATCCCTGAAAATAATGAAGATGGACAGCTTTGAAAGTGATATTGACTACTTGTATGAACCGATGGGCCGTATAGATCCTTTACGCATCCAGACGTCAAAATTTAAAGAAGTTCAGAGTTCTTATGCTCAAAGACTTAGTCTTATAGAGAATAAAATTTTGAATCAGCTTCAAGAGGAGCTAGAGATCTGTAAAACTGCTAAGGCAATGTTCGGTGTTTTTGGGAGATACAGGCCCGTCATAACAAGACCAAGCATAAAGGCTGGTATTAGAGAATTTCGAAATATTCTAGTGAGCGCTGTTCAAAATGAGTTAATAAGCTTTAAAGAAAGACTTCAAAACCATGAACTCGATATCGAAGTTTCTCGTCTTAAAGATTTGCCACCGATTTCCGCCACCGTGATTTGGGCAAGGCAAATGCAAAGAAAAATTCATAGTGTTCTCAGTAAGCTTGACTTAATTTTGGGAGCCGAATGGGAGAATTCTACCGAAGGAATAAAGATAAATGCAGAATGCAACATTTTATTAAAAAAATTAGACGAAAAGAGAATCATAGACTCCTGGATTAAAAATTTGTCATCCCAAGGATCAATTCTAGATCAATCTGTTCTCAAGATAACAAAGACCGTTAAGGGCTACGCTGTTTCAGTTAACTTTGATGTTTCTCTAGGTTTGGCCTTCAAAGAATCGAGAAACTTGCTCTGGATGGGGTTTACTCTTAATCCAACTATTATGAAAATTTCACGTACAATCAGAAATTTGTATCCACACGCAATAGAGTTGAGTGAACTGCTACAAACTTTTATGTCTCTCTCCCTTGAACTCGATGGGCTTGTATTTTCGAAGTACCTGCTAAAAATTGAGCTTGTTGAAACTTGGCAATGTATTGGTGATGCTTTAAATTATACATGGAATGACGTATTGAATATGGAAAGGCATCGCGTTGCGCGCATAATAGATTTTCCCGATGCTTTTGACTCTCCAATATATCATGTCAAGGAGCACATCAATCGACTTGTGAGTCTTGTTCAGCAGCTTAAACCTGTGGAGGCAGAGCTAAATTTGAAACTTGAAGAGCTAAGAAGTAAAAGTTTTAGTTTTAACCAGCTGAGCGATGGTATAAACGAAATCCAGAAAATAGTTGAACGCATTGAGCTCATTGGTTGTGAGGATATGGATGCCTTTGTCCAATCAATTAACAATCGCGTCGAGGATATTTTGTTTTCTCTCACCATTGAGTATTTAATAGGAGATAATTTACCTATTAAAGTTCACACGATTTCGATCAAAAATGGGGTTATTTTTCTTTCACCATCACTTGAGGAAACGAAGTCAACATGGGTAAATTTCGTTCAACAAGTGATTTTGACAGTAATTCATCAGAAGCTTGTTTTTTCCAGCTCTAGCGTCATATGGGAACCGCTGTCTCAGACCCAGACTTATGGTCGGTCTCTTGCACACCGTCTCAAACATGCCGTGAATGCCTCGTTCAAAACATATGAAAGTAACTACAGAGAGAGCAAGAAGTATTTCAAGTGCTGGCAAAATTTTGGTGCCTTATGGAATCTAACTGAGGCCAAGCTCTCATCATTTGTTAATGGAAATCTCAAAAGAAGTTTACAGCTTCACAATACTTTCTTGGAATCAAAACGTAGGTTTCAGTCGATGACTAGCACTTCCACCAGTACAATGCATATGATTTTCCACTATAATGAGGCACAACTTGTCGTTTCTGATAAATTCCACAAATGGGAAGGTTGGATTAATTCGAACTTGTTAAATCTTTATGGTGAAACGTCACTCCAATTACATAATGACTTGGATCAATCCCGATTATTCCTGGAAGAAAACCCCCTTGATCTTACTTCTCTTCAAAAGATATCACATTTGATGGTGTTTATTTCGAGAATGAACGAGTCATTTGATGAAAAAACGATAATACTGAACCTTCTAAAAGATTGCCGAAGGGCAATTCACACATCTCGTATAATAATACCAACCGACTTCACTCACTATGAGCAGTTAGAGTCAGACTTAAAGGCTCTGAGGAAGATAACATCAATAAGGGAGTCCTCCATACATGAAAATGAAAAATTCATTGCCTCACGTATAGAGGCAGAAACTCTGAGGATAGAGACAAGTACGGTTTCTCTGAAGAAAGCCTGGGAAAATGAGAAACTCCTCTTCGCTAGCACTACTCCAAATGATGCCTTGACCCGTCTGAAACATTATGGTGAATCGATAAGCACTCTGAATGATGCGCTTACGATTATTGAACAGATACTCAAGAATATTTCTATACCCTACAAATCAAGCAATGGACTAGCACAACTTTCAGAGGAGGTCAATGATTATAGCAGGGTTTGGTTGTCTATTGAAAGACTGTGGAACTCTTCAGAGAGTATTTTATCGAAAACTTGGTCAACCATTAATATTTCTGAAGTCGAAAATGAAGCGAAATCTTTACTACAGGAGTCAGAAAGTCGCGGTTCAAGTGATATTCAATATGGGATGTTTCAAAATATTGTAGATTCAACAAAAAATCTAATATCCTGTGCCCCGCTTCTTTTCGAGCTTGAAGAGTGTAACATTGAATATCGACATTGGCGGTTTCTTTTCCAAACCTTGAGTGACCTCGATTTGTCAGATGATGCTATAGAAAATCAAAACTTCACTTTGAGAGATGTATTAACTTTGAATCTTTTACTTAATGAACAGTACATTCACGATATAGTGAGACGTGCCAAAAGTGAACAAGTGATCAGCCAATCAATTGAAACAATACAAAATTACTGGAAGCAATCTGAATTTACGACATTCAAGCACAAAAGTGGACTCACGATAATTAAGAATTGGGCTCATTTATTTGAAAGATGCAACGAAGATCTAGAAATTCTGGAAAGTATGAAGGCGTCTCCTTATTTCAAGATTTTCGAACAGGACGCGCTTGAAATAGAAACTAAACTCTCGGCATTGAACGACCTTTTCACTTCGTTAGTTGAGGCACAGAAGCTTTGGATGTACATGTATGAGGTACTCGGAGAGAATGATTCCATAAAATCAGTTTTGCAAGCTGAATCAATTAAGTTTAATAGCATAACTGCTAATTTTAAGACTGTACTTGATGAAATTCTCAAAGTTAACGCCGTTTTAGATATTCTGCATCAGAGTAACTGCATGATTTCTTTAAAAAGAATTACAGAATCGCTAAACAACGTTGGGCGTGCCTTGAATGACTATCTAGAACTACAAAGAAAGCTTTTCCCTCGTTTCTATTTTGTAGGGAATGATGACTTACTCCAGATCATTGGTGCAGGGACTGATCTCAGATTACTTTCAAATTTACTTGAAAAATTGTTTTCAGGTGTTTCACAGGTAGAGTATCACGAAAACACTATCTTAGGTGTATTTTCCTCCGAGGGTGAATCACTTACATTCGAAAAGCCGATTGAAATTACTTCATCAACTCTATTGCATGGGTGGATGTCTCAGTTGGATCTCGAGATTAAACTGACGCTTTCAGCTTCTGTTGAACAATGCATCAAAGAAAACGGGTGGGCGAACGAAAAAAAAATCCCATTTATTCTAAAAAAGTATACATACCAGGTGCTACTTCTTTCTTTACAAATATTTTGGAGCGAAGAAGTCAAATGTTGTATTAAAAATTCCTCATTTGAAAAGATTGAACTTCAGTTTACACGCATTGTCAATTGTCTTTTGACACTTCTTGAATTGCAAGAACTTGAACATGAGCGAAGAAAAGTTGAAAATCTTATCATTGAAGGGATTCATATGTGCGACGTTGTTCACAATTTGAGAAATGCTGCTGATTGGCATATTGCCGAATGTATATGGGACAAAACACAGAAGTTCAATTATGACTCGGCGGAGGAGGACCCTTTAAAAAAAATCAGCATAGAACTAGCGGGCCATTCATTCCATCACGGCTTGGAATACATCGGGGTCCCTGAAAGAATCATATACACACCACTTATGGAAAACTGCTGCGTCTCTATGATACATGCCTTGAGCCAACATCTGGGTGGCTCACCTTTTGGACCTGCAGGGACAGGCAAAACCGAAACAATCAAAGCTCTCGGACAGAATTTTGGGCGGATGGTCATCGTATTGAATTGTGATGACTCTTTTGACTTTCAATCGATGGGCCGACTTTTGTTTGGAATTGCACAAATAGGAGCTTGGAGCTGTTTTGATGAATTCAATAGGCTCGAAGAAAACATATTAAGTGCAGTATCGACGCAGATAGAATTGATACAAAAGGCACTTATCAATGAGCAACCAGTAATCGAAATGCTAGGGAAAAAGGGCAATCTTAATAGGAACACTGGTTTATTTGTTACAATGAATCGCGGTTATGATGGAAGATCAGAACTACCTGAAAATTTAAAAAAGAAATTTAGAGAGTTTAATATGAAGAAACCCAACAAAGCTGTAATTACTGATGTTTTGTTGCGTATATTGAGATTGCCAGATTCATCTCTTATGGCTGAAAGAGTTGTAAAACTTTTCAAATGTCTAGAGGAGCGCTGTAGTAATCAAAAACATTATGATTTTGGATTAAGGGCCTTGAAAGGCGTTTTAAAAAACTGCAGAACACTTTTGAAGGAAGACGCAGAAATTTCGAATAATGATAATGTTCTCATTAGAAGTTTATGCCACATGGTTCTTCCTAAGTTGACAACAGAAGATGAAGAAATATTTTATCATCTCATTTCCGATACATTTGGCGTATCAACAAATGATGACATTGGGACACTTTGGATAAATCGAATAAATGCCGTTTGCTCAGAGCATAATTTAACACCCACCTCAAGTTTTTTAAAGAAATGCGTTCAGTTCTATTATGTCCAAAGAACGCAGCAAGCCATTATATTAGTTGGCGAGGCAGGATTTGGAAAAACATCTGTCTGGAGAACAATGATAGATGCTATGAAAGCAGCAGATGCGATTGAGAACGCTGTTTTTGTGATCGACTCTAAAGTTTTGACAAAGGAACAACTTTATGGAAATCTAGACCCAATAACATTTGAATGGACTGATGGGCTTTTCACTGCAATAATTCGCAAAATTAATATTAATTCCATGGGAACCTACGATCAGATGCGTATTTGGGTTGTATTTGATAGTGAATTAGATCCAAATTATGCCGAAACATTGAATAGTGCCTTGGACGATAACAAACTGTTAACACTTCCTAACGGTGAACGTTTGAAAATACCCTCAAACTTGCACATTATTTTTGAGGTACAAAGCCTTAAATATACTACCCCCGCTACCATTAGTAGGTGTGGTATGATTTTTTTCGGCGAAGCATTATATTCATATGAAGAACTGCTCACCTTTCTTCTAAAAGAAGAAATCAATAAAATGAGATTGTATGCCACTTTTACTTCAGGACATTTGCACAATTTTGAGAAAATCGTTGAAACCACATTAATAAATGGCTCTCTCTCATCATTGGTTGACGAAGCTTCGAATTTATCACACATAAGTGATTTTGATATTGGCAGAGTCTTGAGGACGTTTGTGAAGCTGATATGCGTTCAGGTTTGTGAATACAACCAAAAAAATGAAAGCAATTGTGACTTTCAAGTGTTTGTAAGAAAACAAATTTGTATAACCTTACTATGGTCCATGGCTGGTGACTGTGCAGCAGAGGATAGACTAAAAATTGGCAAGGTTATTTTAAAACTGCTTAATGAAGATGAACCTCTGTTAGTTGAGGGACTTCCGCTAGATGAATTCATGATATCAATAGAAGACAACAGCTGGATTTCATTAAGTTCGACTGTTTCCCCTATGTCTCTAGAACCCCAGGAGGTTCTGTTACCCCACATCATAATTCCCACCATCGACACTGCAAAGCATGAATCTCTTTTCTTTCAATTACTGGAATCCAATCAACCTTTCATTTTGTGTGGACCTCCCGGGTCTGGTAAAACGATGTCACTTTTTAATGCCCTAAAAACGTCTAACAAGTTTGAGGTTATTGGCTTGACATTTTCAAAAGAAATGTCGGTGAGATCATTTTTGAAAACATTAACGCAACACACCGTATGCTCTAAAAACTTTCAAGGAACTGTTATGAAACCCAAATTGTTAGGTAAAGAATTGGTGATTTTCTGTGACGAAATAAATTTGCCCGAGTTAGACAAATACGGTTCCCAGCCGCTTATTTTACTTCTTCGACAGCTAATAGAAAAAAATGGCTTTTGGGATACAAATGGAAAAACTTGGATTTCGGTAGAGGGGATCCACATCGTGGGTGCTTGTAACCCTTCTGATAACAATTCAAGAATTCAAATGACCAAAAGGTTTACAAGGCACACCACAATAATTATGGTTGACTATCCCGGTAAATCATCTTTAACTCACATTTACACTACGTTTTTCAAAGCACTGTTCAAATTGGTACCGAATTTTAGAGATTTTTGTGGTGATTTTGCAAATGCATCAATTGACATTTACTACAAATGTCAGGAAAGATTTTCAAACCGGGACCATTACATTTTCTCTCCCCGAGAATTGACCAGATGGGTAAAAGGCATGTACAATATTTTGATTGACTCTTCTCAAATGTCGTTCATTCAACTAATTGAATGCTGGATTTATGAAGCTTCGCGTATCTTTTCTGATCGATTAGTTGAAGACTCCGAGAAGGCTGAATTTCGATGCCTTCTTATTTCGGTGATTTCTATTCACTTCAAACATCAATTTGACGAAACCACGAACTTCTCTGACATCCTGTTTTCTGATTGGATTTCACTTGGATATAGACCAGAGAGCAGATTGGCTCTAACAGACTTTATAAAAGAAAGACTAAATGTATTCAGTGAAGAAGAATTGAATACCGAGCTTATTCTCCACAATGACATGGTGGATCATATGTTGAGGATAGACCGAGCGCTTAAACAAGTTCAAGGGCATTGTATTTTGGTAGGACCGAGCCGCAGCTGCAAAGCAACGCTAACGAGATTTGTATCGTGGATGAATGGCTTGCAGGTGGTTCAACTCAATATTCATCGCAAGTTCAACCTGGATGATTTTGATGCCTTTCTGAGGCGCACGTTACTGAAATGTGCTGTAGATAATCAAGGAATTTGTCTATTGATAGATGAATCCAATATCCTCGAGTCTGCGTTTTTGGAGCGTATGAATACCCTGTTAGCAAACTCAGATATTCCTGGTCTTTTTGAATCCGATGATCACGATGATTTGATTTTAAAAATCTCACGAAAAGTGAATCAGCTTGGTCTCCTGATTGACTCCGAGCAAGAAATGTATGCTTGGTTTATTCAACAGATTTCGAAAAATTTACACGTTGTTTTCACGATTAATGATCCCAATCAAGAGCGTAGCGGATACGTACTTAAATCACCTGCACTTTTCAATAGGTGCATATTGAACTGGATGGGGGAATGGTCAGTGGAGGCTTTGATTACAATTGCCACTAAAATGTTGGAATGGACGCCAATTGATGAAGGCGTGTATGAATCACCAAACACATTAAAAGATTCAGCTTTATTTAAGAAGCCTGAGACTTTTAAACAGGCAGTAATTAATGTAATTGTCACTCTTCATAAAGATTATGAGAAATACATTGGTGACTCTACTCCTGGTCTATTTATTGACACCATCAAGTCTTTCCAAGAGTTATTTGCCAAGGAAGTAGAAAGCTTGGAACAGCGACAACGGTTTACGGGTGTTGGGTTGGATAATCTCAGGGAAACTGTTTTCAAGATCAAGCGACTAAGTGAAATTCTTGAACAAAAACAAGCAGAATTAAAAGAGAAAGAGTTGGAAGCAAGAAAAATGCTGGATACTATGCTGGTCGACCAAAACGAGGCAGAAAGGAAACAGGAAGCATCTATCGAAATTCGTAAAATTCTCGAAAGTCAAGAAAAGGAAATACGTGACCGGAGGTCCCTACTAATTGCAGATCTAGCTACCACGGAGCCCGAAATACAAGCTGCCCAAAGAGGCGTCAAAGACATCAAAAAGCAGCAATTAACTGAGCTTAGGTCCATGTCGAATCCTCCGAATGCGGTCAAGGTAACATTAGAAGCAGTGTGCATAATTCTTGGTTATCGCGTTCGAGATTGGAAGGATATTCAACTTTTCATTCGAAAAGACGATTTCATAACTAGCATCGTGAATTACAACACAGAGGAGATGATGACCACCAAAACGAGAGACTATATTGAACGTGAATATTTGTGTCGAACTGATTTCAATTATTCTAGCGTAAACCATGCAAGTAAAGCATGTGGGCCTCTTTATCGCTGGATAGTGGCACAAGTCAAATTTTCATCAATGCTAATAAAAGTCGAGCCCTTGAAAAATGAGGTCGCAGCTATCGAGAATGAAATTCTACAAACCCGGGCTAGACTTCTTGCAGCAGAAGATATGATATCTGATTATAACGTGATGATAGAAAAATCCAAAAATGAGTATAGCAAAATTATTCGGGACATTGAACAAATCAAATCAGAACTTAAATCGGTGGAATTGAAGGTAAATCGTTCAAAGAATCTTTTAACTAGCTTAACTTCGGAAAAACAACGATGGATGAATAGCACTAAAAGCTTCATTACTGCAGGCAAAAACTTAGTGGGCAATTGTATACTGGCTGGATTTTACGCCACACACTGCGGTTTCCACGATCAGAAATCACGTTTTGCTCTTTTGAAAAATTGGAGGATGGCTTTAAGCAATTACAACATAAGTTATGATACGAACTTCAACTTTTGCGGAGAAATGGTAAACGCTTTCGAACGTACAAAATGGGTTTCATATGGGCTGCCTAATGAAGAGTTATATATTGAGAACTTTTACTTATTACAGCATGGACTTCATTACCCTTTCATTATTGATCCTCTTTGCAAAGTCATAGAAGTTCTCCAAAATATTCCTTCTTTAAAATTGACTGTCACTAGTTTTTTGGACGAAGGCTTTATTAAAAAGGTACAGAATACGCTTAGGTTTGGTGGATATCTGCTCTTAGAGGACGGCGAGTTTTTTGATCCAATTCTATCCAAGGTGGTGGCAAAAGAATTTAAAATTGCAGGTGGCCGTCAAACTGTCCAGCTAGGTGACAATGAAGTAGACGTTTCTCCAGACTTTTTCCTGATCATTCATACAAAGGATCAAAACTACGAAATCCCACCGTACCTCAAAGCTCGAACAACTGTAATTAATTTTTCGATCAACAAAGGAAGTATCGAGTCTCAAGCTCTAAAAATTGCATTATGTAAGGAAAAACCTGATATTCACAACAAGCGTCAAGAACTCATCAAGCTTAATAGTGAATACAACATTCGTTTACACCAATTGCAGACGCAACTTTTGGAAATTTTGAATGGTAACGATGCGGATATTTTAGAAAACGATGTTCTTGTGAGTACCCTAGAAGAACTTAAAGCTCAGTCTGCAGAAATCGAAGCGCGGATAAAGGATACCACTGGAGTTATCGAAGAAGTTGAGAATATTGTAAGCGAATACAGCTCACTGGGCGAACACGCTGTTACGCTTTATTCGGTATTAGAAAAGATGTCCTCAATTCATTGGTCATATAGCATTACGGTATCTCATTTCATGCAATGTTTCCAAAAAATCTTTGAATATGATTTAAGTGCAGAGGGAAATACGAGCAGAGTTGAACATTTAGTCCTTCTCTTGTACCAACAGACATTTGCAATGTTTTCACCAAATTTTGTGAGCAACGACAAAATGGTTTTTGCTACTTTACTTTATGCTGTCTATTACATATCTCGAGAAAGTCAAACCTTTCAAGCAGCATTCACAAAGGCGCTTCTCTTGATAAAAGAAGGTTCAAACAGGGTTGACAAAGTTCTAGAAATTTTGAGAGTAAGAGATATAGAAGAGATTGCTTCAATCTACACAGACTTCCAAAATTTGATCTATCACATAGACAAGGGCAACCAGCTCATTGGGTTTGCAAAATTGGCTGAGTTTTTGAATGGTACGAAGTGTTATTCATTAAACGACTACGTCTCGAGCTCCAATTCAACTCATATTATAGTTGCTTCTGAACCCGGCTCAGACAGCACGTATCGAATTCAAAGTCTAGCATCAAAATTCTCTAAAAATATCACTTCAATTGCTCTAGGGTCTACGGAGAGCACATCAATGGCGGAGACGGAGATATCACGTTGTAGTGAAGTAGGAGAGTGGATAATTTTGCAGAACTTGCAAATGTCAATGCACTGGATAAAATCGGTGCTACCAAACCGCTTAGAAGTGTTAGCAAGTGATAAGCGCACATCTGTAAACTTTAGAGTTTTCATGACGTGCGATTTGCATGGCACACCTCTGCCCCAACCTTTACTACAAACAAGCTACAAGGTGGTTCACGAGAAAGAAAATAACGTGATACGTACCGCTATAGAGGTATGGCAAATTGCTGCAAATGTTACCACCTCGTGGACCTCCACCCAAGTTCATTTTGCATTTTTGCTCACCTGGTTTCATGCATTGCTAGTAGAGCGGTGTAGATTTTATCCTGTGGGAATGCACGAAAAATACGAATTTAATGATTCAGATTTCAGTGCTGCGTTGGCGTATTTTAATATGATATACGCTTCAGTGACACATCAGCGACATACCATTGACCCCGCGAAAATTCCGTGGGAGATCATTCGATACAACATTGCCACAATCATCTATGGAGGGAAAATCAGTGATGAACATGACCTTTTGGAATGTAATGCACTGGCCTGTCGTTTATTTCGAGAAGAGACACTTCATGGTGCCTTCGAAATTGTTCCAGGCATTGTTGCACCTCAGGATGATTTTAGTTGGAGAAGTGTTCAAGAATGGTTTCTCAAATGCCCTATTCCTGATAGCTATACAAGCTGGGTTGGTTTACCATTGGAAATTGAGAAGGAGCATCAACTTATTCAAGCAAAACGAATTGCTGGCCTTGTGATTGATATGTTAGGAAATTTTTAAACGGCGAAAATCCGGCGCGTGGCGCGGCGCGTGGCAGGCGGCGCGAGCGATCAACGTACAAACGACATTAGTGAATTGGCGATAAGCTATAAGATACGTAAAGAGTGTATGATTTAGGTCTTTAGACAGCATGTCCGTATCACAAGCAGTTAAGAAAACGTGTAGTGAGGTCGAAGAAGATGTTACTCCTCGTGTGAATGCTTTTAGAGATAAGCACCCTCTTTCGGACCCCGGAAACCACTCAAGGGATCATTTCAAGAAAAGGATGGGGCCCCTCAGGTTTAAAATGCGTGATTGGCTGTTGCCATTCACTCGGAATCAATCCGAAAGGCTTTACAAATGGCAGTCCCGCGTACGTTGCGATTTGCTAGACAAGTATTTTGGATACACGTCTTTGATGGGATCACATACGTTTTACGTGATTATGCTGCCATTGCCTCGTTGGTTTGGTTACAGTGGTGTCTCTCGAGACCTGGTTTACATTCTTGGGTATTCAATCTATCTGAGTGGGTTCTTTAAGGACTATTGGTGCTTACCTCGTCCTCAATCTCCACCTCTTGTAAGAGTAGCATTGAGTGGATACACCACTAAGGAGTACGGTGCTCCTAGTTCCCATACGGCAAATTCAACTGCGGTTACTCTTCTTTTGATGTGGTATATTTATGAGAGTGTGAGCATGTCATGGATGGCAAAATTACTTGCTGTAATCGGCGTATTGATATATTACTTCACGCTTACGGTGGGTAGAATATACTGCGGTATGCATGGTTTGCTTGACATAATCTCAGGTGCAATCATTGGCGCGGTTTGTTTCCTGTTCAGATGGTATGTGCATACTCACACCAATATTGACCCAAATTCTATGGACGTATGGGGATGGTGGTTCCCTATTTGTTCAGTGGTGTTTGGTATTTTTCTCCTATACGTGCATGCGAAACCAGTAGATCAATGCCCATGCTTTGAGGATAGTGTTGCGTTTGTCGGCGTGATCTCTGGGCTAGAATGCAGTGACTGGGTTCGGAGCCACTTATTGGGGCCGGAGAGCTACACAGTGCCGTACTCGTGGGTCGAATTCGGATTGTCTCGCACATTGATACGCTGTGCTGCTGGTGTGGCAATGGTGCTATTGTGGAAGAGCGTCATTGGTAAGCCACTCATATATGCGTCCCTTAATTGCGTGCTTCCGGATGACAGGCCCAAATACGCGCATGTTCATGATGAGAAATTCTGGACGCTTGAAGTTCCGCTCTATTTAGGGCGCTCCAACACGGACTTGTTAGGGAGATACATACTGTACGCAGGCGTTCCCACCACAGTCGCTCTAATCTGCCCCATGGTTTTCACCCGCTTCGGTCTGTAGGGAAGCGATACTGTGCTGTGCTAAACTTCTCCGTGACATTACAACACTTATACGGCAGAGCATAGTTCCAACACTGATCGCCATATGAACCATATGACGCCACTGGCATTAAGAATTACAGTCGTTGATAAATTTACATAAACTTCTACTTTTCATCCCATATTTACATCAAATACGTTGCCCGATACGCTTCAAATTCCATTTTCAGACGAAACGCAGTACTTACCAACTCGCGTGTCTTCAAGCTCATAATCCACCGTGTCTTTGAAGCTGTCACAATGATACTTCAACTAACTCATGACCTGACCATGTTGTCATTAAAATCAACTATTAATGTCTATGCTATAACTAACTTTTTACCATACCTACATGAGTCCAAATATCGATAAGGACTAGCGCCAGTAGCGGGAGTCTGATGCCATCAAAGTGATGCCGTCAGAGTTGCCCGATCCCGAGAGACCCGCCCTCATGGGACTTTACCGACCAAATTGAGAAAGGATCCTGCTTATTTAATCTGGACTGCCCTTCTTGAAAGATTTCTTTTCGTTGCAAGTGATGCACTAAGTGGCCCATAGGTTTTCGCAATTTCACGGTATTCCTTAAACGACGAAAAAGAGTTACCCGGTGTTCCAGCGCGTGACCCGGAGCAAGAAGTATCGTCTATGTCGTGGTGTACGGCGATGTTCGAGCCAGATGCGACCGCTTTGGCGGTGCCTGCGGCCAACGTCTTGGCAGATAAACGGAAAGAGGAAATATGGATGCGTCTGACTGTAGAAAGCATTTAGGAGGATTAAAGAGTGCTGTTGCGGCCAAAGCGTGATCCATCTGTACTAAGCTCCCGGTACTCTGGTTATATAGCCATTCCAATCAGGGTGCTTTGACATTTTTCTTATCTTCACGCGTGACCATGCAAACCGCGCGCATACAATATGCACCGGAAATGCAGTGGCGCGCGGAAAGTTTCACAGAAGAGGGCATACTAGAGCGAGAAGGGAAGGGACCGGACGAGAAGAAAAAACATTAGGATTGCATAAACGTAGAGACTTGTAGCCATAGTGTGAATTTCATTATCTGGGATACGTTGAAGACGTACAGATAAAACTTGGGGGACAGAGGAGGACGTGGGATGCAAATGGCAAAGACACAGGGTCTGCTTAGCTAGATTCAGCCAGGCTCCTAACGCCGTGGTTAAAAAAGACGGGAAGACCCATGGCACACGACACCACGTGAACAAAGAACATATAATGTATGGGTGTTTAGTGATTTGCACGAACATAAGTGGGTGTACGGATGCGGATCTTTCAGTACTCTCTTTGCTTTTTTTAGAGGCCCCAAATCTGGCGCTAGCGCCCATACACCAGAATGATGAAATGTGTCTTCTTTCCTCGCGTCTGAGAGAAAACTATTGTTCGGGAATATATATATATATAGATGGCATAAACTCGGCAGTAAAACACAAAACACAACTATGTAAGAAAATACCTGTACAACCCCTCCAGTGGTGTCTTCCAGGTAACCTTGGAATGAGAATTTTTCTTTTCTTTTTTTCCTCGATCTTGTCTAGAGCATCGAAGTAAGCAGCTTCGGAAAAGTCCATTTCCTCGGGCTTTATCCATTTAGTCTTGTACCACCACTTATAGCCAACATAGTTGAAGAAAAAGAGAGGAACGGACAGATATGAGGCGAAAAAGTTTTTGGCGCTAGGTTTCTCATGGATAGGGAACAATGCCAAGTAGCCTTGGCCGATGATGATTAATACAATAATTACGCAGCCTACCCACTGTGCGTGAGGAGCAATGCTGTTCACAAATGGTAGCGTCTTATAGTCAATTCCTTGTGCAGCTAGACCCTTCCGAAATCTGATGAGAGCTGCCATGATGGAGAACCACGTGATATAGTTAGCCATCGACACCAGCGATGAGAACCAACCATAAACTGTCACACCGGTATCCGAAAGATTAATGTATGTTAGAGCAACACCAATTACGATTGTAACAGTCAAGGCAACGTAGGGTCTACCTTGAGCATCCTTGCGGCCCCAGAATTTGCTGATCAAGTTCATATCCGACAAGGCAACCAGATTTCTGGATGCGATGTAAATACCGGCGTTACCACAGGAGATCACAGTCAACAAAATGAACGCATTGATGATACTTGCCAAAGGATTTCCTTCTCCAAGTGCTCTAATGGTTGCAATCACAAATGGTGACTTCAAAGTCCCACTGCCGTTAGCCAAATGAGGGTCGTTGTAAGGGACATTCATTGTGATCAGCCACATGTTACCCACGAAAAATAGACACATTCTTAAAAACACTGGTGTAATACAGCTCTTCACTGTCTTACGTGGGTTTTTGGATTCACCAGCAAGCGTAGCAATGTGCTCACCACCTCCAAATGAGAAACCTGCTTGTACAAAAGCGCTCAAAACCCCCTTAAATCCGTAGTTGAATAGACCTGGGTTTTTCCAGTATTGGAAAAAGATACGGCCCTTATGGTATTCACTTCCTGGCACACCACCACAAGTTGCAACGAATAAAAAGATTAACAATCCTGTAATAACAAACAGCTTCATAAATGATTGCACATATTCAATGTAGCCATATACGCGGACAGGAAATAGGTTACCCACAATCAATACTACCAGAAATATACTTAAATAAGCAGCGTCAGGCACTTTGTAATCTGTATCCCAGAAACGACAAATTGATAGAGCTGCAGTGACTTCTGCAGGTAACACAATGACCCAATCAAACCAGAAATTGATTCCCAGAGCGACAGCCCATGCTGGGTCCATATATAATGCCATTTGTTTAATGAAACCACCTGGAACAGGCATATAAGCAGTCATTTCCCCAACACTCATATACATGAGGTAAACCATTGTTGCCATTATTGTATATGCAAGGACTAGACCTAAAGGACCAGCCTTTAGAAGCGCTACACCTGATCCAATGAAAAAACCAGTACCAATACCTGCACCAAAGGTGATCATTGTAACTTGTTTGATAGACAGTTGTCTGTGATAGCCGTGATCATTGTAAGCGTGGACATCTTCCAATGCAATAGAAGTTGTGCTGACGTCTCCTTCTTCGACAGAGTAGTTATCTACAATCTCATATTGTTTTTCTTTAATTACTTCTGATTCGGGTCCTGCCGAACCGGACACATTTCTAATATCTGACATTCCCGGACTTGTCGTGTCTGCTACTTGATGAACCCTTCCATTTGAGTTAAAAAAGCAGTCAGAAGTCCTGATATATATATACATATAAATTTGCCTCTTTTTTACTACACTTAAGACTTCGCAGACTAGATTGATAATACTCCACGTCGCGCGTGCCTTCAGGAATTTTCGGTTATCTTACCCTTACAGCAGTTGAAAATTATATTGCAAAAAAATGTTATCGTCATATCTTTATCTCTTTGGGTAGATACGAAACTATGAAAATTCGTCGCTCATTCTCCGAATCCTTATCAAACTACCGTAAAGCATAATCTGTTTTCTAAATGTCCGATGAACCCTTTGCTAAAACAACTAGACAGGAGATTACGTTAGGTATCTAGTGTATGAAACCCAGTCATGAAATTGAGAAATGTGACCTATGAAGGTGCACTAATAGGTACTTATTTGCTTTCATGGATTATAACAAGAGTATCTTGAAGGTAGTGATGCAGTTGGATCTACATTACTAAAGTAAATAATGCGTATTTTTGAATATATAGAATTTACCGTCGGTCTAATTGGCCTCGCCAGCAGTCAGCTCTTTGTGCTTGGCTATGACTTTATCTGCCAAATCGACAAGACCAGTTGCCATCACGTCAGCGCTGCCAAATATTTCACAACAAGGTTCGAGCTCATGTACGTTAGACCAGGCGGTAACAAAACCACCTTGCCTAGCTGCTGCCGAATCCCACATATGAGCAGCAGCGAAAAAAGCATCTTTACCTTTACCAGGAATTTTATCAGCAATGTACTTGTATACTACGCCTTCTGGTTTACCGGCACCGATTGAATCACACGAAATTAGGTTTTCAGAAGGCATTTCGACACCAGAATTCTTAAAGTAGCCGGCGACACGTTCCTTTGAGGCATCTGTCAAACACCAAATAGTAAAGCCATAATCTCTAAGCTTTTGGAACATCTCTTTTAGCTCTGGTCTACCTTCAAGGCTCCACCATCCTTTATAAATTTCCTCCAAATCCTCGTCAGAAGCGTATTCTCTGGGCTTTTCGACGCCAGCAAAGTAAAGAGATCTGTAAAAGGTGTATTTAAACACATCCTGAAAGGTTTTATACGTTCCAGATTGAGATAAGTACGAAAAATCTCTTTCACAGCCAGCTAACCAGAAAAAGAAGAATAATTTAGGGTCAATGTTACTCTTGGCAAATCTTTCGCCAAGAACTTTCTTAATTGCATCGATGCAATTTTCGTAGCTAATACAGGTACCAACGATGTCAAAAACAATATCAGGCATTGGGGGATGTTTGATTCAAGCGAGAAATGCCGGAAATGAGAGTGGACTCACTTCATATACCTGTTTATAAAGCTGCATTCATTAAAATATCACAAGAAACATTTTATCGGATTATAGTCACCGAAAGATAAGCTAATGATGGTTGCATACATTGAAGGACGGCTTCATAAAGAATGTTGAAAGTTTTGAAGCAATGTTATCTTCCAATCACGGTGTGGTGCTTCATCTAGAGGAAATTTCCGAAATTCCAAAAACGGATAAAACTCCGGCAGCACAAAAAAGTTTGATAAGAAAAATAGCCGTTATCTATAGTTATAATTATGTATCGTAGGAAAAGTGGCAGCACAAAGCAGTACTACAATTTGGCAGTAGGTGTGCCCAAGGCTTTCAAGATTGTATTTTGCGTTGAGGCCAGCCTCTTTGGCGTAGCTTTGAAAGAGTCTGGAATGCCTTCGACCTCCGCTCCGGTTTCAAGAGCCAACGCCAAGGCCTTGGCACATAGCAAGACCCTTGGCATACCGTGTCCATGAAATCCTGCTATTATATATTTCCCAGGCTCAATTTCACCCACGTATGGCAAGCTATCGTCGGTATATCCTAAGATACCACTCCAGATGTAGTCTGGTTTAGATTCAAAATTCTTCCAGGTATAAAAGCGCTTTTGCATATAATCATCAGTAAAATAGTCGGAAGTTCCATCAATTAGAGAGCTATCATCGACGTTGTTGTAAAATCTTTCTTTGAACGGGAAAATGTGCTTTTTGGCACCCCCAACAACCACTGAGCCATCTGGTCTATTGATGAGATAATCTCCATCGGCAAGATGGTCATTTCTAATACCATAGGTATTTGACAAGTGTGGTGTTCTTTCACTCTTATTGCTTGCTGTGATGTGACAACAGATACCTTTTATGGGGACAATCTTGTCAATGAAACGAGAGTCCACAGAGGCGGTGTAGGCATTGGTGGCAAGCACGACTTTGCTCGTGACTATAGAGCCTCTTGGAGTTACAATTTCCCATTTTCCATCAGATAATTTGGAAACTGATAGAGCTGGAGTATTTGTCTGTAAGTTAAGACCGTATTTATCAATTAGTCGCTTCAATATCGTGGTAATCAGTTTGTAAGGCCACATTTGACCTGCGGTATAGGACACTGCGACTTCTGTATCTTCGCTTTTAGATGTCACCTTGGCTTGTTCACCGGTGAGCAATTGCAAGTCGGATTTGCAGGTTATGTAGGGGTTCTTCATCATAGCCTGATAGTTTCTGAGACATCTCTCGTTGGCCTCGGGCGACAGGTGAACATCTACCGCCCTTGTGAGCACGAAATCGCAATCAATTTGCTCGGCCTCGATCAGCTCTTTCATGGCAGCTATGTGGGCGTACTCGAAATTAGCGATATCAGCGCAGCCTTTTTCACCATACTTATCGGTGAAGGATAATGTGTTGTAATAGAGGTCGGGTTTGAGGTGACCACCGTTCCGGCCAGTGGCTCCTGAGCAAACGTCACGCGCCTCTAGCATGGTCACGTTCAAAGGCGTAGAACTACCTTTCATGAGGTAGTAGGCAGTGGTGGTGCCCGCATAACCAGATCCGATGATGACCACGTCTGCGTGAGCAGGTAGAGTAGGCGTGGTGCGATGCTTGGCGAATTGGTCGGCGCGCGAGTGCCAGAAGGACTTGGTAGGGTTATCGACGGGCAAAAACTTGGAAGACATGCTTGTCAGGTTTGGGATAATGGTACTCGTGTTGCAATTGCTCGAGTACACCTTTTTAACGCTCGAGTATGGATACACTTGGTGCTTATCTTATCGCCCTTGGCAGGCACGATAAGCATAGCGTCGTCGCATTTTTCGGACACTTGCACGCGCAGCATGCAACACAGGGTGCTGCGTAAAGATAAGGCCTTGGGACCGTAATCAGGAAGGCCAGAGGGAGAAATTTGCTAGCGACAATACACACGTGGAAGTAGCACAGGCGAGCAGATCAGGGCAACGCAAGAGATAGACATCTTTTACTGGAAGCCGCAATCGCAAGCACGGGAAACGCAGAAACGGCACGAAGTAGAGCACGCGGCGAAGGAGAGCGAGCCCAGCAGACCCCAGAGTGGTGCCAGAGCGTGTAATTCCCACTGACCGAAGCGGAAAGTCCGAATAGAAGCGATTGTGGGATCCGGGCGCTGAGCGCCGAGCCATTGGGACCGAAAGTGCTAGTGCTAGTGCTACAGCCGCGCTATCATGTGACACGCTACTTACCAAAAAGAAACACAACTATACATCACTATCAACGTACACCCAATCGTTACCCGGCCTTGGGTCTCGTGAAACCGTCAAACGTGACTCGGGACCTCGTTTCGCTTACGTCATGTTCTGGTCGCTCGGTACGAGCCTCCCATCCAAGTCCCCCGCCACGTTACCCCGCCGCGCCTTCCGTTTCCGGTTAGCTCCGCATACCTCCGGCGGGTTCCGGTTCTGGGTGCCGAATTACGGCTGGCACCCATTTTGACTGGTCAGAAACGAGATGCGGATGAATACGCTGGCGTCATGGCGCCGGTTACGGAATTGTACGGTAACTAGAGAGGGCGGGCATGACTCGTGACGGTAGTCAACCGCAGGGTTGTGCAAGTATGCAGGTCGAAATAGCAAATACGGGCAAAGAAGAGTGAAATCGGGTGTGGGCGTTGCAGTTGGTCAGTAAATGTGTTAAATTAGGGCCTTTTTTCCATGGGTAATGTGCTGTCGCTAATTTTTTTTCCAGCATGGAATTTTTCACGTCAATTTTTTAAGAAAGTTTAGTTGCGTCCCCCGCCAGAACGGCAGCAAACCACACGACGGGGCCTGTCGCAGTAGTACAAGATCATAGAGGGCGATGACAGAAGAAATCGACTACGAATCGCTACCTGCTAACGCTCCGCTTGGCCAACAGCTGGCTGCGGGAGCATTTGCAGGGATTATGGAGCATTCGATCATGTTCCCCATCGACGCTATAAAGACCAGAATGCAAGCGATCAGTGCTGGGCTCGGGACGGCTGGAACCGCAGCACGGCTGCCGGTTACGATGCTGCAGCAGATATCACGAATTTCCACGACAGAGGGCTCGCTTGCGCTGTGGAAAGGTGTTCAGTCGGTGATCCTAGGGGCGGGGCCGGCGCACGCGGTGTACTTTGCCACATACGAGATGTGTAAGGGCTATCTGATCGATCCGCAGGATTTCCAAACACACCAGCCGCTGAAGACTGCGCTCAGTGGTGTTGCGGCCACGATCGCAGCAGACGCGCTCATGAACCCCTTCGACACCATCAAACAACGCATGCAACTGCAATCGCGCGGTGGCGACAAGATGTGGGCGACAGCCACACGCATGTATCGGAACGAGGGCCTCAGCTCCTTTTTCTACTCCTACCCTACCACAATTGCCATGAATATCCCCTTCGCAGCCTTCAACTTCGTGATTTACGAATCCTCTACTAAACTGCTTAACCCTGTAAATTCCTACAACCCGCTTGTGCATTGTCTGTGCGGTGGTCTGAGCGGTGCCACATGCGCAGCAATTACCATGCCATTGGATTGCATCAAGACAGTTCTCCAAGTGCGCGGCAGCGAAAGTGTCGTACACCCGCTTTTCAAGCAGGCCGACACTTTCTCAAAGGCTGCCAGAGCTATATTTAAAGTGTACGGCTGGTCAGGGTTCTGGCGCGGTCTCAAACCACGTATCATTAGCAACATGCCTGCCACCGCCATATCGTGGACTGCATACGAATGTGCCAAGCATTTCCTGTTCTAGAAATCGTGGAACGGGGCATTACATAGCGGCTCTTTAGGGATTAGAGTCAACCGTCGCAGGGAATGTTCTTACAAACTTGTACATACCCATTCCCCTTCGTTCGGTAGGTGTACTTGGGAAAGATGCGTGATAGCCCATGCATTGTCTTGTGTATATTAAACGAAAAATATCAGTTGTACAATAAAAAAAAAAAATTTATATATATAATTGCACCAATTGAGCGTTGCAACAATGCGGCTGTTTAGCATCGCTTTTTTCAAGTCTCATAAGATCTCCTCATAGTTTGCCGCAGCCTTTCCATGTCCCGCGTGTACTTGTATGCATCAACGTCCCAAATTACTGGGTAATTCGGATCTTCTGGAATATAACCACTTTCTCCTTGTAAAAAATCGTTCCATACTTCCTCTTGACCCGTACTCCCATAAGAGGAATTATACGACGAGTTAGAAGCAGCATCCCCTTCCTGGACCCAGTAACGATCTCTTCCTCCGTTTGCATATCTAAGACCTTGTTGCAGACGCCCCATTCTCGACCGCGAGTTTCTGTGCGCCATTACAAATTCTGCGGAATCAAAATGGCGATAGTTGTAGTCTTCTCCGAAAAAAGTGGTCTTGAAATCCCATTTGAGATCTCCAAAACCAAAGCAATCCCTCAATGCAAACTTGAACCGCATGCGTGCTCCCTCTGGAATTGTTTTAGAGCTATATGAGAACCAGTTAAAGGCAATCAAATGGCCAAGCGCAAATCCAATCATCTCTACACACATCACTGCGTTCTGATACACATACCCATAATTCGCTTCTGGCCGATTTTCTATAATTCCCAATTTGCACATAAGACCGATACCTAACCCTTGCCAGTAAGATGCGAAAATAATCAACTTCACACATAAAAATTTGGACCAAGGATTGTATTGCTGTAGCTCTGAGTAAAGACACTTCCAAAATAATGCCAAATCATAAAGCGACCAAGTAGCGGATATATTATAAAGATACACCCACAGTTTTGTATCCCAATTATAAGTATGCGACAATGACATTGCTAGACAGTACACAGGCTTAAACCAAACGTACTGGAGAATACCCCGCTTGATATGCAAAAACTCAGCAGGATCAGACATGTCTACTCGAGGTAAGACATTTCCAAGCAAAAATATAGGGTGTTTCATCGGCGCTTTACCAATTGAAAGTTCCGTGATAATCTTACGTTCCCCTCCCAGTATTAAGGTTAACAACGAAAAGAACGTGTAAATAACGAATGATTCATAAATCTCCCTAATTGGATCTATCCAAATTTCAGACTTCTTCGGATATATGCATGCCAGAAGGCATGTAACGCTAAACAATGGCACCATCATCTGTATTCTAATAACCAGTCGTTGCTCTTGGGGCTTGCGATAGTTTAGAAGTTGCCTAGTGATGGAATAACTAGAAATAATAATGCTTAGTACAGAAGATACCACGCAGAGTAAAAACCACCATGTCGGTATATAGTAGTTCATATGTTGTCTGCGCCCTCCTTTGTAGTCCGTTCCCGTTATTAATGTGGTCAACTTTCCGTACCGCTTTCTCAAAAATCATTTAGATATTTGCTTTAGGAACCCCGAAACAAGGTAAAATATGCTATTGCGAATATTAATAGGTTTTCTTTGGGCCATTAAACTTTCAGCTGCATCAGGAGTAGGGGCCCATTTAACTTTCCTTGCCAGAACACTCGTTCCTGAACAATTCGTTCCATTTACTGAAAACATGAAAGCAGGTTGCTTCTTCCCTGACGCCCTGTACAGTTGCAATAATGATAAAAAATGGCATGACTTCGCTGAAGCATGTCATTGGCCTGGCTTTTTGATCCAGGGTATACGATTATGGCAAGAGCGTTACAAGCGCAACAAATTCTCAGAAAGGTCCCTTAAACTTCAATCATTTCTTATAGGCGTTTACACACACCAAGTGGCAGACGTTTCGTGGCATTCTTTGGTGAAAGGCTACGAAACTCATGGTCTGATAAAAGTTCTAGCTGGCTTAGAATTTGATGGCGACTACCAAAAAGCGCATGATTACATTGACACCATGGGCGACCTTCTGGTGCTCGGGCACGTTTTGAGAGATTTATCCGATGAATGGGCATATTATACAGATCAAACTTGGCAATTGCCGGAAGAAGAAGATCTAATGGAGTTAGTGCACCGAATGGGATTGAAAAGCATAAGTTACTGGCAGCTAAATGGCTGCGTTAAACGGGGCATGGTTGCGGCTAGCAGTGAAGTCTACTCCTTGATAAGGCGTCGGCGAGAAATCTTGGAAGTGGCCTACGCAATTTCTCCTAGAGCTTGTGAGCTTATGCAGGACCATTGGCTTGGAGGTGAATTTGACATCGTTGCAATGATAAACAAATGTTTGCCAACATTTTTATCTCTTTTTGATGACCAGAGCAGTAACGAAAATGAACTGCTAAGCCTTCTACAAATTTGTGGAAATTTACCGCCAGCAGAAACTAGGAAGATTAGCAAGAGTGCTACCATTGCAATAAGAAAATATTCTGATCTCTTATACGTTTCTCCATTGATTCCCATCGCCAACTTCGGCTCGAGTATCGCAGTAGGTGCCTTCCAGAATAACGAAACTTGTGTTGCGATAAGTTCACCGTTGGAAGAAGGTTCAGGTTCGGTTTATGTAATTCCTTGGAGTGACTTTTCGGGATCAGAAGAAAGGACATATTTAGAACCAGTTGTCACGTCCATGTATGGCAAAGATGTTCACAAATATACTCTAGGAGACAGCGATTATCTGGTTGTATCTGAATTGGGGTCCAACACAATTCATTTTTATTATGATGGTCATAAGCTTTTCAGTATCGCTGATAAATCTTCGTCAGAGGGCCATCAAATGTCCGTCTCCTCTATCCAAGATATTGATGGAGATGGAATTCCGGACATAATGTTGTCTGGCTTGCATTACGGGAAGAATGAGACAGGGGTAGTGTACATTATAAATGGTAACGATATATCAGCCCTTCTGGGCACGTCGACTTATGGAGAAATCGAGCTTTCTTCTTTAAGTACGATATTATTGCGATGCCCAGTTTCTGTAAATTACCAGCAGTTTGGTTCTGAGATTAAGGTTTCTAGTGTTTGGAGTAAAAAAGGTTTCTTATATGTTACGAGCCAAGGCTTGGGAGTAGTCTTTGCATACTGTCTATGCAGTCTTCATCAGAACGCATTACCACGCTACTATATTATCGAAGATTCTATTATGCTGCCAGAAGAAGGTGTCCCATTTAACATCTCAATCAGACCATCGATTGAACATGGCATGTTTGGTAATACGATTCATTCTTGGAATTTTGAGAATGAAAACTACGTTGCAATTTCGCAACATCTCAAGAATTCAGTGTTCGTTTACAAGGAGCATGCTGGCTTCATCGAGTTTTATATGCGATTGCAACTTGATATCTCTGAGGACTCTCGTACAGTCATATCGAGTATAGGATTCGGTACAGCTATGGATTATGACCTTGAATCGAACTCCCTTGTTGTGTCTTCACCTGGGAGCTTTAATGGTATTGGAGCGCTTTGGGAAATACCTATGAAAGAAATAATCAAGGCAAAAGAAGAATGGAGGTTTTCTCAACTCTTGGTGACCATTCCCCAACATTTGTTGGTGACAAATGGTGATTTAGAGAGACATGGAATTGTTGGTTTTGGTAAAGTTTTAAAACGTGGACCAGATGGGAGGTTAATCATTGGAATACCACATTATGGCTATGGAAATGTAGGTCATGATCAATTAATGGGTAGTGTTGCTATTTTATGAAGTTGCAAGATAGAATAATACTATTTAAATTATTTTCACGTTGGAGTTGTATATACAGGTAAGAAATCATTAAACTATGGGCTTTGGGTATTTCAAACGACATTTTCTTGTATGCTAACCACTTTCATCTTCATCTCTTTGCTTTTTTCGCTCTAGTCTTTTTTCTAGTTTGGCTTGTTTTTGCTTCCTTCTCAATTCCTTGAGAGCATATTTGTCTTCCTTTTTGGCCATTACTGGCTTTGGTAGTAGTCGTAGAATTATTCGAGACTTCAGATCACCTTCAATGGTCGGTTGAAGAGTGAGCTCCTCATAAATTAATTTAAGCTGTTCAAGGACTTCTTCTCTACGTTTCAGTTCTCTGTTGCTAATCTTCTTTCTATTATCGTCGTAATTATCGATGCCTTCAAACTTATCCGCCCAATTTGCTTTACTCAGGGCATCTTTAGAATCAATGTAGAGATTTACTTTGAAGCCCTTCTTCAGCTGTGAAGATATCTCATTTGCTTTTTGTTTAGCAAGATCAAAATCTGATATTTGCCACGATACCTTGATATGTTTAACGTTGTCACTACTTTTTTCGTGCTCATTACTTTTACCCATTCTTTTTGAAGGCAGACCCATTCGACTTAATTCGTCTCTTTTGCGACGACCAATTTCATCCGAATGCTTTTTCAAAGCAGCTTTAACGTCAATGAGTTTCAGTAAAGGTATTTGATAACCAGATCTCTCTTCCAAATTGACAATGGAGAGACCACATTTATCGAGATCAACGCCCCTAACAAACTCTAATACAGTAGTCTCTACGAGTTTATTTGTTTCTTGATCAACAACTTTTACCACCCCACGCCCGTTCATATTGAAGACTTGCTGTAAGACTTGGTCAGCAGCCCTTTGTGCCCGCTCAGATCCTGAAGTCCATTGAAAACGAGGTTTTTTCCTAGGGACATTGTTAGGCCTTTTCCTGTCTTGAAAGCCATTCTTCGATGTATTTGAACCTGGAACGAATGGAAGCCTCTTCTTTTCTTTCATGGAGTTTGAAGCATATAATAAAATCCCATTATTTCGGTCTTTTAAATTTGAGCATACACTGGAAGTACTAAATTTGTTGATCTGAAAGCTCCGCTGACAAAATATTCGAGAGAAGAAACTCATACGAGTAACTAAAGATCGTTTTACCATTCCTTATGAGCATCTAATTTAAACTCGATAGCTTTGAGTTTATCTTGGGACTCATCAATCAAATTGACGATGAAATACCAGCCATAAAACCGTACATAACTATATCAAGAACTTACATTGGTGCTATTTATCTTCTTTGTCACTTCGATAGGTGTTTGCTGCAATTGAATTCCTCTTAAACGCCTTCTAAGGTAGTTCTAGGAATTGATGAATACTTTTGTCGGAATACTATACTTCAAGATAGATTTCTTTTCTTTAGCAAACCCACATATGCACGGCAAAATCAAACATTTGAGTAAATATCTCTCATAGTCAGCATGTACTCCATATTACTTATGTGAGTCGTGGTGCATTACATCTACTATATAATCATTTTTGATTTATTGAATTGGTAGCAGTTTTTATAGAATTGTCCTAGGTATTCTAATTGGACGCTCCGAAATTACAATGCCTAAAATGATAAATTACGAGCGCAGAAGTACTGGTCAAACACATATCACAGTAATTCCCTTATCTCCATTTGGTTTTCAAAGACAAGTAATTAGCGGAAATTATTTGATCATTAAATAAAAGAAATGTCCCTTAGATTATAAACACGAGAAATATTGATACTGTGTAGCGAGCAAGTTTAATTGAAACTACTTACGGAAGAATTCTTGAAGTCCCCACAAAAAGAAAGTCCGCGAGTAGTTTTTCAGCTTGTTCAAAGATCTTTAGAGTTACAGATCAACGCCCATAACCATTGCTAACAGAGCCATTCTAACGAACAAACCGTATCTCATTTGTCTGAAATATGCGGCACGGTGATCATAGTCGACTTCTTCACGAATTTCGTTGACACGAGGAAGTGGGTGCATGACGACCATTTGATCTTTGGCGTGAGACAAAATCTTATTGTCAACGATGTAGACATCCTTTAATCTTTCATATTGCTCTTTGCTATCGAAACGCTCTTGTTGGACACGAGTGCAGTACAGAACGTCAGACTTCGAAATGATCTCAGGAGTCAAAGTTTCACTTTCAACACCAAGCATACCGGCATCGGAAAGCTCCTTGCGCAACGCCTGTGGTAGTCTTAGTTCACTTGGAGAAACCAAATTGATTCTGACTTGATAGTGCTGTAGTAGACGGCATAGAGAATGCACAGGTCTACCATATTTCAAATCACCCATGAATGTGACGGTAATACCATTTACAGTACCCAGCTCTTCACGAATTGTGAACAAATCTAGGAAAGCCTGGGTAGGATGTTCACGTGAACCATTACCCCCATTCACAATTGGCACAGGAGAATACTTAGCAGCGGTATGGGCAGACATTTCATCGGGATGACGCATGACAATGGCGTCTGAATAGCATGCCAATGTTCTAATGGTATCTTGGAGGGTTTCACCCTTTTTAACCGATGAGGAGGATGTATTAATGTTCACAGTTCTACCACCCAAACGCTCCATGGCTGCAATGAAAGAAGATGACGTACGAGTAGAAGGTTCATAGAAGATAGTTGTTAGAACGCGACCCTTCATGATGTCGAGAACACCCTCTCTTTCAACAGCAGATCTCAATTCCTGGGCAACAGCGAATAATGCGTGGAAATCTGAACGTCTGAATTGGTTAACGGACAGAATGTTTCTCCGCAAAAATGGGTTGTTACCTCTGATCAAGCTGTATATAGCACCAGGAGCGGCCAACTCCTTAGGTGGTCTGGAGGACATTAGTCTCTGTTCTAGAGGCTGATCAATAATAGCTTCTTCCTCATCCTCGACACTGGTGATCGAAGCACGTTTTTCATTTGAGAAAGAGAATCTCTTTCTGGAACCTGTGACGTGCGATAACTCAGAGGCTGCGGGAGGAGCTGGAGTTGCAATCTTTGCAGAGTTTACAACGGGTTGACCCTTGGCTTCGGTGGCAACCAAGTCTCCGCTCAATACTACAGTTTCGTCGTTCACCAAAACACGTTCGACACCCCCTGTTAGACCTCCCTTCGTATATGGGGTCCATCTCTTCTTATGTCTAAAGGTGAAATCTAAATCGATTTCAACCACCGCATTTTGCTCGGGAATATTGAAGATTTTGGCAGGATTGTCGTGCAAACGTTCGACGATATCATCTATGGTGATTTTTCCACTGTTCACTGCGGATAGAAGCAGTGGAAGGGCTTCCTTAATACCCAGCCCAGTAACAACCTTGTTACCGGTAACATTGGCAAGAGCAGTTGGTAGAGAGCCAATTGAGAAAGCATCAATACCATCCAAATTGCGCCAGAAGAAATCTTGGTCCTCTGGGGTAGGTAAAAACAACGCTTCAGGGTAATCATCCTGACTAACAAATAGCGAATGGATGTTTACATCACATGTAACTTTTGTTTGTTTTTCTTTAACAGTCATGATCAGCGCTAGATCATCCTTATTAGAGACACCAGTGATGTGAATTGCTCTATTTTGTAAAGAGGCCAACAAAATCACCGAAGCTAAGTCGGATGTCTTGGCCTCAGCAATAACCTGCTTTTCAATAGGCCAGTTCTTTAGGTGTTCAGCAACAATAGAAACTTTGTTGCTCAATTCCCTGTAAGGCAAGAATAGTGCATTGGCATCCTTAGCACATCTGGCAACGTCATCAACGTTATTAGCGGTAGCTGCAACGGTGAATCCAAAATCAGTGTACGCAGAATCCTTCACAACCGAATTTGCCACCTTCAAATATTGCTCGTCTGTGATAACTGGACCACTAGTTGATTTTGGCATGATTTGTGAGTACGTGAAACCCGATTCCACTAGCAACCTTGTCACTTCCTTCATCTCAGCAGGTCCCTTCACAGCATTGGAGATATTTGGGATGTAGGATGAGATATTGATGAGACCCGGGATTGTTACAGTTCTGTGTGAAGTCTGAGCATCACGTTCCGAAACGTCCAATGTCAAATTTCTTGACAAAGCCTCGACGAGCAATTTGGCACATTTTACGTTGGTCACCAAAGGAACGGAATAGTCAACGGCCATACGACGAGTTCTGTAACCCTTTGAGACGTAAGAGGCAGGTCTGCGGAATCTATTAGCAGATGGCAGGTTGATGTAAAGATCGATCTTGTTGTTTGCCAAATGTTGAGTCAAAGAGTACTCAGATTTTTCATCGCCCTCACTTAAAACTTCCAAATATTGAACAGGAATTCCATGTTCTGAAATAAAGTCTGCAGTACCTGCAGTAGCGAACAACTTGAATCCCATGTTGTATAGTTTCTTGACTGATGGAAGCATTTCCTGTTTTTCCTTAAAAGAACCAATCGACAGTAAAATGTTTTTTTTGGGCATTTTGAAGCCAGTTGCCAATAAGGACTTCAAATAAGCCTCATATTTAGAGTGGCCAAATGTTGCAACTTCACCCGTAGAAGCCATCTCAACACCAAGAACAGGATCGGCACCGGCCAAACGAGGAAAGGAAAATTGTGGAACTTTAATAGCAACATAATCTTCTGGTAATTTTTCTGTTGGATATGGTGTTAGTGGAAGACCCATAATCGCCTTCGTTGCCATTTCGATCAGGTTCACACCAACAACCTTGGAGATGAATGGGAACGAACGAGATGCACGAACATTACATTCGATTACCTTGATGTCGTTGTTCTTAGCAATAAATTGAATGTTGTATGGACCAGTAATTTTCAAGGCTTTACCAATCTTGGCAGTTGCCACAACAATTCTATTGACGGTTTCTGGATCCAAATCTTGTGGAGGCACAATTAAAGTCGCATCACCGGAGTGAACACCTGCGTTCTCTACGTGTTCAGAAACGACATGCATAACTAACTCACCATCCTTGGCAACAGCGTCCATCTCGATTTCTTTTGCATTCTCAATGTACTTTGTGATGACAACGGGATAATCACGGGAAACTTCCACAGCTTGGTTCAAATAAGAAGCTAAGTCATCCTTTGAATACACAGTGTTCATGGCGGCACCAGACAAAACGTAGGATGGTCTCACTAAGACAGGATAGCCAACCTTGTTTGCAAAATCTTCCGCCTCATCCATAGATGTTAATTCTTTCCAGGCAGGTTGATCAACACCAATTTGATCCAGCATACGTGAGAACTTGTAACGATTTTCCGCGGAGTCAATCATCTCGGGTGTTGTACCCAAAATTTTTACATTTTCACGGTGCAAAGACATTGCGATATTGTTGGAAGTTTGACCACCCATAGACACAACAACACCTGCAGAGTTTTCGATTTCGTAAATGTCCAAAATTCTTTCAAGATTGATAGTCTCGAAGTAAAGTCTATCGGCTTCGTCATAATCGGTGGAAACGGTTTCTGGGTTATAATTGATCATGATCGTTTTGATGTCATTCTTACGCAAAGTTCTCACTGCTGTGACAGCACACCAATCAAACTCAACAGATGAACCAATACGGTAAACACCGGACCCCAAAACCATTACACCATGGTCTTCAAAAGCTAAATCATGGGCAGCAGCATTATAAGTCATGTACAAATAGTTAGTGTGAGCAGGGAACTCAGCTGCAACAGTATCAATTTGCTTTACAAATGGGACGATACCGAAATCCTTTCTCAAGCGACGAATAGCAACTTCATTAGAGTTGAGGAACTTTGCAATTTGTCTGTCGTCGAAACCAAGTTGCTTAGCTTGCTTTAGGACAAGAGCAGGCAAGTTCTCTTTCGAACCATAGTTCTCAATTTTTTGCGCAAATTTGACCAAGTCGTGAAGTTTGTTCAAGAACCACTTATCGATGTTAGTCAATTGCCAGACCTTGTCAATGGAATAGTTTAATTTTGCAAAAGCATTAGCCACAGCAAAAATACGCATATCAGATGGATGGGTCAACTCATAGTCAATGTCAAGTTCGATATCAGTTTCGTTGAAACCCAAGTTCGCGTACTCGGTAGATCTGATCGCCTTTTGGATGGCTTCTTCAAATGTTCTGCCGATACTCATAACTTCACCAACAGATTTCATAGACGATGACAACTGCGTGGAAACTCTGCTAAACTTCTTCAAATCCCATCTTGGCATTTTTACAACACAGTAGTCCAAGGATGGTTCGAAACAAGCACAAGTAGATTGTGTGACTGAGTTTCTGACCTCATTTAGGGGGATGTTCAAACCTAGCTTGGCTGCAGTGTATGCCAGAGGGTAACCAGTGGCCTTAGAAGCTAGAGCTGAAGAACGAGACAAACGAGCGTTTACTTCAATAATACAATACTCTTTGCTGAAGGGGTTCAAAGCATATTGAATGTTACATTCACCGACGACGCCCAGATGTCTGATAACGTTTACAGCAGTTGTTCTCAGCATGTTGTAGTCTTCGTCTGATAAAGTTTGTGATGGTGCAACGACAATGGAATCACCCGTGTGAATACCCAATGGGTCGAAGTTCTCCATGTTACAAACTGTGATACAGTTGTCGAAAGCGTCACGAACAACTTCGTATTCCACTTCTTTCCAGCCCTTCATGGAACGTTCGACCAAAACTTGAGGTGAAGAGGCGAAAGCAACATTACATAGCTCAACCAACTCTTGATCATTTGAAGCAAAACCGGAACCCAAACCACCAAGAGCGTAAGCAGCACGAACAATAACTGGATATCCAATATCTTTCACAGCAGCAAGAGCTTCTTCGGTAGAAGAGGCTGCTTGTGATTTGGCACATTTCTCGTTAATGGAGTCCATGGAATTAGCGAATAATTCACGATCCTCTGTCGTTATAATAGTGTCAATTGGTGTACCTAAAACTTTGACTCCAAGCGTTTCGAACTCATCTTTCATTTCAATACCAACAGAAAGAGCAGTTTGGCCACCAAAAGTAACATATATGGCATCGGGACGTTCGTGAAGGATAACCTTTCTGACAAACTCTGCGGTAACAGGCAAGAAGTACACTTTGTCTGCTAAACCTTTAGAAGTTTGGATCGTTGCAATGTTAGGGTTAATTAAGATGGTGTAGATGCCTTCTTCTTTCAAAGCCTTGATAGCTTGAGAACCAGAGTAGTCGAATTCACCAGCTTGACCAATTGACAAACCACCGGAACCTAAAACTAGCACCTTCTTTGCTTCGACTCTTGGGAATGCTGCCAAATTCTCTTCGATTTTACCGCCGGGAAATTCAACAGGCTTCAATTGGCCAGTGAACTTGTGTTCTTTGACAGCCTTGATGAAAACATCAAATAAGAATTCAGTATCCCTTGGGCCAGGAGTTGATTCAGGGTGGAATTGAACAGAGAAATAAGGCAAATCCACATTGTAAATACCTTCGTTAGACTCATCGTTAGCATTCACGAATAGTGGTTTCCAGCCTGAAGTCAAAGTGTTAACATCAACAGCGAAACCGTGATTTTGAGAAGTGATGTAACACTTTCCTGATATAGTGGATGTACAGGGGATATTGTGACCTCTGTTACCAAATTTCAATTTCAAAGTAGAAGCACCAGAGGCTCTGGCCAGCAATTGGTGTCCCAAACAGATACCAAAAACTGGAGTTTTTTTCGATTCCAAAACTGCGGACAATCTAGCGGAAAGTTCAGAAAGAACAGATGGATCACCAGGACCGTTTGAAATGAACAAACCGTCGTACTCTTCTTTGGTGAAATCGTAATCCCATGGGACGACCAACAATTCAACACCACGCTTGACAAAGCATCTGATCTGATTGTATTTCATTCCCACATCCACAGCTACAATTCTCAAGACCTTTCCATCTGGACCTTTCTGTAAGTTCACGCCCTCGTGATCAGTGGGTGGCACATATAATGTTGGTTCCTTGACTGAAACTTTGGCAACCAGATTTTGCACATTAGGATCAACCCATTCAGGAACTTCAAAAGCTTCTCTCCATTCGGCAGAAGTGGCAGTGCTGAAACTCGTTCCTTCCTTCTGTAACGCAAGTCTTCCTAACATAGAACCGGAATCTCTCAAGTGCTTGGTCAGGTTTCTAGTATCAACACCATAAACGGCAGGGATGTTTTCTTCCTTTAACCACGCACCAAGGGAAGATTTAGCAAGCCAATGCGAGTATTCTTCGGTGTAGTGGGCGATGACAAGACCGGCAATGTGAATTCTGTTACTTTCGAAGTATCTGGGGAGCGATTCAACGAATTCGTCCTTCAAGTTGCGGTCTGGCACACCATAGTTACCAACCAAAGGAAAAGTGATAACTAGGATCTGGCCTTCGTACGATGGGTCGGTAATGGATTCAGGGTAGCCGACCATACCAGTCTGGAAAACCAATTCACCAGCTGCTGGCACCTCAGCACCGAATGAATAGCCTTGCACTACAGTGCCATCTTGCAATTCCAAAGTAATTAGTTTGTCTCCAGTGGATTCCATAGGAGGCGTGACGGGACCGGTGGGGGTGACGATGGACATCTTTTCTGTTATATCTGAGTTGGGGGACTTTATAGCGATTAAAAATGCTTGATAATCCAAGAATCACACCTGCTGTCTCGACTTAAAACGACTAAAAGTAGGATGGAATATATGCTGTTATCGTGGTTGTTAGTACAGATTTCCAAGATTTGCGGGACCTATCTCATCTCTGTGAAAATTTTCAGCTGCTCACGCAGAAGAGCCAGTTTTCGAATGTAGAAACAGTGCATGAGCTTCGTTCTCGTGACTATACGTTCGGAAACGAGAACAGCTTCGATAAACGTGACCTCGGGTCGCTCCTTCGTGTCTCACGATTACTATCACATGTTTGAAATTTTTTCAATCGCTAAAATTTGCTAATTGCTCATCGTAACTAACTCCTCATCGGATTTTTAGAGGTCATCGATCATGAGAGTCATCGAAAAGCGGTGCAGAAATTCAAGCGCCACACGGAACTTTCATGGTTAGAGTAGTTCAATTATCTATAGCATCTTGAGACGTCTGAAAACCCGGCTAAAGGCTGTAAACACTTTGTTTTCACAATGAAAGCCCTTCTCTCTTTATAACATACCAAAATATCCAGAGAAACTGAAGAAAGTTAAGAGGGGACTTTGTATCTTCTGCAACTTCTCTAGAGAGGAGAAATCTTCTAAGCTTTTACCAAGAAAAAAATAAGAACAATAGTTACGAATAACCATATGAATACAACGAAAAATGGGGAATACATGAAGAAAAACTGGAGTCAAGTTGTTCCAGTATTTATACCTGGTGAAAAATTTTCATCTTGGTTTGCCGCCGAGGCAAGCCCTACAAGTCTGCATGTCATAGATGAAAAGCGAAAGCTCTACGGTATATTCTGAGGGGTTTACTTTTAAGGACATGTAAGGGTGGTGATGTATGCGCGTGTCCCTAAGACATTTGGCCGTTTCTCCGTCGGATGTAACCCGATGCGGGACACTTCGTTGTGAAGTACAATGTCACATTACTATGTATCTCAGTAGATATAGAAGTAGTTGTAGATGTAGTAAGTGTAGTTCTTGCAGTGATGTTGGTGATAAACTCTATGGAGTTTGAGACCTTCTGTCAATGCCGAATGGTGTGTGGGACGGGATGCTTGATTGTTCATCGTCGGAACTTAGTTGGCCGTTCTGAGTTGAATGGAGAGACGAGTGAAGAACACTTCCAGCTCGCGGCGAAACGGAGTGTTGGTCTTCAACACTACTGCCACACTGTCTTTCAGGTGACCGTACGGAGTATGAATGATCAAATGTAGAGTTGCGATACGATTCCGGGTCGGAGTCACGTTCCTCATTTAAGCCACTCTCCTCATCCAAGCGGCTCTCTTGATTCAACCGACTTTCCTCATCTTCGTTCCTATGTCTATTAGAATTTGCGCGGAACATTGATCTGAGACCATCGCCAATCGAGTCAGCGTAATTTCTCAAGTAGCTCAAAATAGGGTCCTTGTTATCAGTGTCATTATTATGCATTTTGAGATCTTCCAAATGATCTCTTTCTTCCATTTTGTCACTGGGAAGAATGATAGCACGATCAAGGGAATAAGGTAATCCTCTGTGCCGGCCTCGAATAAGCATAGCTATTATTACTAGCTTCGAAAAGGTATTGAATTGGGCAGAGAATGACTGATCCGTATTGGGGTACCCTAACGACAACCCCACGGTACCATAGGCGCTTACAACCTCGAAAAGAACTTGAAACACTGTGAAATCTGGTTCCTTTGGATCTTTGATTTTCGGTCCCTCACTAATACACAGAATGAAAAGTCCTAAAAACAAAAACCACAAGTCAAAGGAAAGCTGTCTCCGAAGGTGAGCGCCTATGAAAGACCTGGCACTGTGATCCATTTTCCTTTCAAACTCCGAGTTCTCCTCACGAGCTTCCTCGCCATCCTCTCCATATATACCCAGAGATTGCTCCTCGTAAACATTGGTCCTCCTAATCGAAATTGCTAATGGTAAAACCGAAACATACATCATCAGCATGTAAGAAACCTGTACAGAGGGATGTAGTTGACTCAAGTTTAGTACCGTAAAACCAGCGGTACGGGTGCTTACTGCCTGGAATAGACCATCCAAGACCTTAAATCCGCTAGTCAGCCCTTCTACGACTTTCGAATTTAAATCCAGAACAATGAACAAAATTAGATCGGTTACATTAAGAACCACGAGAATGAGTAGTAGCCACCACGTAGGTGCACTTGGAAATAGTAACGTGAAGCAACGCCTCGGATGGTCCAATAAAAATCCTAGTGACTCTTTGAAAAGAGAGAGATCAGAAGAAAGTTTGAAGAGAATCCATATAATAAATCTGAGCAAAATAGGAAATCCCGTGTTTCCTATAATAATAAACCACATCATAGTTATGAGTGGATAAATAGCTTTATTAAATGAAAGCATGGAATCTGGTGTTAATGTTAAGCCGAGATCGTTAAACGCACTCATTGACGTGAATACTCCCCACCAACCTGGTGACACGCCATCTTCTCTAACGAGAGTTTTATAATTATTCATTTTACTGATCCATGGTACTATCATCACAATCCCCATAAGATGAAAGCCAAAATAATAAATAAGTAACAATCGACAAAGTAACTTAATGGCACGATGCTCGACTCCACCCAATTCGGCTTTTTGGGAATCATTTAACCCCACAAATGTGGAGTTACGACCGATTCTCGGTTGATAGGATAAATAATTTGTGCTCATCATTCTCTTTAGTTTCGATCTCTCGTCATGATCGAATGTTAATCCAAAATAGCTTTCTTCTTCATCATTATTCGCATCCACAGGCCTATCGGGGGAAATAGTATTTACTGTTGGTGTCCTCCTGTGGCGCGACGACGTCCAATGACTTAGTTCACCTGTACTATGAGCCAAACTCGGATGAATGTATGCAGAAGGTCTGAACCGCCTGTTCCTCCTGCGTTCGTCCTTCCACTTCTTATATATCATTTTTTGAAAGCTTGGTGACTCAGTTAATGAGTTAAAGTCAGGATTGCTTGGGGTTTCCAAAGTGTTTGAACGCTTGCTAAATTTTAGACCTCCCGTGGCATCCTTCGAAGGAAGGGCAAGATTTGATTGCGCCTTTTCAAGAGGGGACATTTCTCCTAATTCAGGTTCATTGGTAGGTTTGTGCTTTCTTTGATCATCCCAAACACCTTCGTCACTCTCATTTGAGTCTTCTTCAAGATCTGCGTCATTTCCGTCGTCATCAGAATCGTTCGTAAATCGTCTCAGACGTTGTTTAAGTTGATCAGAAGAAGGCAATCGACGAAAAAGTCTTGGCCTTAACTTTCTCCTCCGTCGTTTATAAATGCTCGAACCTGCGGTATTATTCCTCTTCAAAGTAGAAGGGGGTTTTTTAATGTCAAATTGTATAGAAGGGCCACTATTCTTTAAATGCTTTTCGATAGGCGGCGATTGCGTGGAGAAGCTTATTTCTGAGGGTTTCCCGTACGTCCGAGGGCTTTGGATATCCGACTGTTTTAGAGAATCATCATCACTCTCATCTTGAATAGTAGTGCTGTTTTCTGTTAATGAAGATAGTTGGTGTGTATCTTGATGATTTATCAAGGGATTCGATTTAATTGATGCTTCTACCTCCTCATCTGGGTCATGTCTTCTCTCTGCCGGACCACTAATCACCAGTGCAGGGCCCTCGTTTTCATGTTCTCCTTTATGTCTGTTTTGGAGCATGGAAATGGACCGGTACATATCAGCAGGGCTGATGTCTCGCGATCGCCTTCTTCCCTTAAAGTGCTCTTTATTGGTTGGACTCTTCGTAACTTTCTCTGGCTTAGGCATGTTTCCAAATCGTATTACAGGGGAATCATCTGAACTGCTTTTGGAGGTGTCCATGGAAGAACTTGTATGGGTATCTTTATGCATATTAGTTTTATCTTGTTCCTGAATGGGTTGCATTTCATAATTGTCGTTGTTCTCTGTCTCCTCTCTGTTAACCATTTGTCCGCTGAATAGTTTAGACTGGAAGTCATTATCGGCCTTATTAGAATTACTAAACCTGTTTGCTCCTGACGACATAGTGCGTGATAATTCTCTCTGGATAAGTGTCTTGGTCCGTCTCATCTTGAAATTTCTTTTCGACCAGTCTTTAATCCCATCAAAATACCTCTCAAACCAGTAAAGTCTTACAAATGCTAGTCCACCATGTATCCATATTGGCGTGGTGAGAAAGCAAATGACATATATTACTATTTGCTGATACAATGACATGTCGTTTACGTTTATTGTATTCAGCCCACCTTGTGTTGCAGCACCTGCAGCTGTAAAAAGAATATCAATGTATGCAAAATTCTTCACTGGATACATTAGAATCGAAGCCAGTAGAGTCAGTGATATAATGTAGAAGTAGTGAACAGCGATGAAGTTCGGGAAGAAGTGTTTCACGAAGGGGTGTACGAGGTTACTAACCCATTCTATTATGTCACGCAGCCTATGGCCAACCGTCTTGTGGTACCTGATGTTGACGGAGGCTAAGGTCGGCCGACGGCTGATGGTTCTCAGGAGATTCATCTAACCTCTGCTTTCCTCTTCGCTCAATCGACGTGGCACTGCGAAAAAAAAAGGCTAATGAATTTTTTTTCTACGCCAAGACTAAATTAACCTATCTCTCTTTACCTTACAAAAGCGTTCGCGATAATCTGATGCAAATCTTTGATTCCAGATTCTAGGCATTTATATTTTATTACTGTATTTGATAATGGAAGATGGTATATACTTCTTTAATCATGATTTTTTGCTAGCAAGATTAACAAGCTAATCGAGTTGATTACGATACCAGCCGATAGCTGACTATTCTCCAAATAATTCACGGGTGACGATGACTGTAAAATGTTTGCGCACCCAGACGTGAGTGTACCTGTAGTTATACACATGTATAAATGTACAGAATCGCAGGAGAAAGATAAATCGGACTGACAGGTTCTCTTGAGAGTTGACAGCGTCGTTGGATACTCGTTTCCCAATTATAATCCACCCTTGTGTAAGGCAGGCAGGCTGTTAGTTGGTTCTTGCCCCCCGCTGGCTTCCAGAAGCAAGCGTCTCTTTTCAAGACGCTTCGTAATATATTCGCTCATTCCGACGTCGACGTTTCTGTACTTCTTCAGCCACGGGTGTTCAAGTAGCGCAGCGTAATTGGGCCTTCTTTCAGGAATTTTCTGCAGGCACATGCTAACAAAATCTTGTGCTTCTGGACTGAAGCGATCTTGTGGAAGATTCGGTGGTGGTGAATCTACTATGGCACTCAGCTGGGAGAATATGTTGTCATATGTTTCAGGAGGATATGGATAGGCTCCCAGCGCCATTTCGAGAATACTGAGTCCAAGGGACCAAATGTCGGACTGAACAGTGTATGTAGATTTATCAGGATTTAATGATTTGATACGCTCTGGAGCCATGTAAGATTGACATCCTATATTAGTTTTCGCCAAGGATGCAACCAGATTTCCAGAAACACCAAAATCACACAGTTTGACTGTACCCTGGGCAGCAGAGCATAGGATATTAGTAGGTTTAACATCACGGTGTATGATATTATGCACGTCTTTCAACTCCTTGAGGCCTTGTATTACTGCATCTGTGATACGTGCTAGTTGAGGCTCATCGATCCCACCAATAGTCGCTTGGTCATAGCTTTTGTCTAAAGACCCTCCATCCATGTATTCCATGCACATGTAAACGGCACCCTCGATGAAAAACGCACCGTAAAAATCAACGATGTAAGGAGATTGGCATTTATGTAGGACTTCTAATTCCATGAGAATTTGCCTAAACTTAGATTCATCTAGCTCAAGACGAACTTCTTTCATGGCCATGATAATGTTTGTCGGCTTGTGAAGGACCTTTGAAACATTACCATAATTGCCATGACCAAGTTCCTCGAGAAACTCGAGTTCATCCAAAGTAATTCTGAAACTGGAGCCATTGCTGAAGTCCACACCTTGTGAGCTTAGCGACAGCTTGCCGGCGAAGTTTAGAGACCCCGATTTAATGTCGACATACTTGGAAAAATTCGCAAATAAGCCATTCGACCCACTTCGTTGTTGTAGAGGGGTGGTACCCTCTGTATCGCGTTGCTGGTTGGAAGATGTAGATGTTGTTTGAACTCCGTTGACTAATGAGCCCGGGTTGCTTCTACGACCCCCTTGAGCAGCCACTGGTCCCGCGACAGTGGGTGGGACCCGATTGGAAGGCGTTCCGGCAAATTCCTGTGGTGAAGGTTGTTTCATCTTGAGCGACATCCCGCCTGCGGGCAATTTCAGCCCTCTCCTCGCACTTAGGCTGGGTTTAACCGGGGCATTCATTGGCAACGCGGGCGGCCTGGGTGCCCTTCTGATCGGATTCAGCGCTGCTCCACTCTCTTTACTTGGAGGCAATGGGGGCAACGGTTTGTTCACAATCTTGTCTATGCTTTGTGGTTGCTCGACTACTACACTTGGCTTCGGTGCGGTGCCCGCTTGGCCCAAATCTGCCGACGTTTTGGGTGATCCCACACTGCCAGATCCTACGCTACCCGTCCTTTTCAATTGCCGTTGCTCCTGAAACGCCTTTACACGAGCATGCAAATTTGCATTGATGTTGCTGTATTGTGAGGACGTCGAAGGCGTACGCCTAATGGCTTGTCCACCCTGCTGAGCCTCTGGCGAGCCCATGCTGCTGTGGTTTTCCATCCTGATCGTTGAATTAAGAATAGTAATCTCCCATTCTATCCTTGCCATGAAAATTTTGAGGGTGACCCTTTCTGACACGTGCCAGTATCTATCATCGTGTACGTAATCACGTGTTTAAAATCCTTTATATGCATAAAATATTCGTCATTATATACGTATACATGTGATCAATTGTGATCATGTTGTACGTATGTTCTATACATGGCCCTGTGCAGCTAAAGAGAAGAACACGCAGCTGGCAAGGTAACCTAGAAGTCGGAAGAACGCCCTGCGTGATAATGCAATCTCTTGGCTTCGTGAATGAGAGCGCGCGAAAATGTCTCTTATGTGGCTGAGGAAGAAAAGCATTGTTCTTTGCCGTGTATGTAGTGTGCAAAAGTAGTCAGCGAACGACATCGTCGCGAATAAAAACCCCTTTCGGAGAACTCAGCGAGAAGAAACCATACAAACGCAGGTGAAAATGGGGACCAAGGGCATAGAGATGGGAATATGGAATAGCCTGGTGAGTTCCAGAAGATGGCGTACGAGTGAAAAAAATCAATCAGAGAAGTTGGATCTCGAGAAACAGCAGGTAGACGTGTGTCGTAGGCCTTCACGGAGACGCTGGCAATCATTTTTCACATTACTGACGGTGTTTCTGACGCTCGTGCTTACTCTAACCTGCACAGACTGGCTCCCAGATAGTAAGCTTCTGGGATTAACACGGTGTGGTAGTTGGAAGCCGCAAGAAAAGGGTGTGACGAAATCTTTCGAAATTACGGTGGAGAAGCTCCCAGAGGTCGAGCCATTGTACAGCCAGAAATTACTGAAGCACTCTTTTGGAGACTCTTGGGGCAAGCCAGCAGTTGTTGAGTTCGAGCCCTACAAAGACGCCAGTTATAATAAGATTATACTGGAGCTGGTCACTAGAGTGTCTGGAAGGCAGTTCGACAGACTGCTGCATGTGTTCCTTGACGACATTAATGTATGGAGGTCGTCAACTGTTGAGCCCACTGGAGACGACAACGTGGTTGTCAGCGAATCCATCAAAGACGTGTCTCAATATTTGTCTCTTTTTGATAAAGAGAGCATTGAATTGAAGTTTCAACTGGACAATTTAGTGACTCCAAAACTCAATGGCGTGTTTGAAGTTGAATTGACATTACATTACTACCAAGAGGCTAAACCTGGTAATGGGAAAGAAGACACTCTTCGTGAGGAATTGCTCAGTTACTTCACTAGTCCTCCAACCTTCATCGCACCCTTAGTTAAAAAATTTATCAGGACTCCGCTTCTGTATTATCCACTTTCGTCTCAGGAAAACCCACGTTGGACCCGCGAATTGCCGGAGCTTGAAGATCCAACTGACATAAGCAGAGTCATCTTAGAGGTATTCGCCTCTGGCAATGCAGCCGAGGAATTTTGGTACACTAACGTTTTGGATCGCTATACTAATAGGTTTCATGACAACGGCCATCAACTTCTAGGGCACGGTCCGCTTCGAGTCTTGAAAGCTTATTTGACCAACTCGGATACTGAACTTCTTGTGGACTCGGTGGTTCCTACTCCTGTGATCTTTACAGGAGGAATTTCGCCAGCACTATGGAGACCTTGCGTTGGTATGAATGCATTTGACATCGAGAGTTACAAGATTGACTTGACACCCTTTCTTCCTCTGCTAGCTGAAGGCGCGTGGGAATTACAACTCGAAGTGGTGAGTAGTGTAGATACTCACTACAAGCCTACAGTTGGAGAGAACTGGATTCTATCCGGAAATTTAATGATCTGGAAGAAAACTTATAAGGGGGTTGAAATTGAGCCAACAGTTTTTTCAAACTCCTCAGAGCTTGAAACAATTTTCCAGGTAGACGTTGACGATGGGAACCCTGAGCAGTTATTTCAAAATGTTATCGCCAAAACTGGTGTTTTAATTGACAGCATCATTAAAATCAATGGGCAGACTTACAATTTCACACGTTCCATTGAAAGCAGCTTCAAAACAAACCAAACGTATCTTGAAAATGGTGACATTGAACGGTCAGTTATCGAATTAGAGAAGGTACGCAGGTCTTTAATCCACGCGAATGATTCAATCTTATTTGATTATATTGATAAGACATTGTGGGACTTCGTTGGTGACGTACAGACATTGGACGTCGATGAAGAAAAATCTGAATTAACTTATAAGGCGGCAATTGTGCGTTCATTGGGCCGCTATACTGCTCTGCAGCATGGAGAAGGTAAATCAGATAAATCCAACACGGATGTCTTGTTGTCTTTAAGTGGATCTCAAGTTGGTGAAGCCACGTACACGCTTTCTCCTAATGGGAATCACGGTTCGGGAGACACTTTCCACAATGTTTTAGTTGACCGCTCTTGGCCTCATGAAGAAAGATACAAACGTAGCGTCCTTGTGAGAGACAACAAGGTTGTGCTCGATATCTATAATAGAGATTAATAAGCTACGTAAGGTCGGAAATTTCTCATTATTGGGACTATTAACTATGAATTACAATGTTACTCTTAGTAAAAGTTATTATCCGCTCGATTTTCATCAGTGTGAATCTGTTTACGATTCTGTTCATTTTGTACAGCCTCCACCGCAGCCATGACGTTATCTTCAAGGTTCAGTAACGCATCATCTATTTGCGGGTCGTCTTGATCATCAATCTGTACAGTGGATGGCACACTTGATGCGTCGGTTAGTGATGGACTCTTCGATTCGGAATTAGTAGAGCCTATTGCGACATCTAGATATCTGCGTTTAGCTTTCTGTTGTTGGCGCGCATACTCATTAAAGCTGTTCATTGGCTGTTCATCCTGTAGTGCATTTTCCATGGACAGGCTTGAACTGTGAGAAGTATCAAACTTAAGTCTATTGACAGTTCTTGTTTTGGCTTTTTTCCTGGGCGTTTCATCTGCAGGTGTCTTCTCGGACTCAGAATCATGGTCTCTGAGGGAGCCAACAACAGCAGCGGCTACGCGGCTCAATTGTGACGAGTGATCGACATCAAGCGGATTTCTTATTATCATATGTGCTTGTTGCTGTGGAGAGCCTGCCTCAACCACAATGCCTAGGTCATCTTGATGCTGATCTTTGCATAGCGGACAAGCAGATACGATACGGGCAACTGTACTTTTAATGCCTTTCCAGTGATATCTCTCAGCAATTCTTGTTGTCACCTTGTTAATACCCTGATGAGCCACTTGGTGGACTTCTAATGCTATTTCTGATTGCTTGTCTGGATTATACACGACCTCCCTTCCTTGTCTCACGAGCTTGCCATTCTGTACAGTATGATATTTTGCACTTGCCCTCAGACGAGCCTTTTCATTTCTATCACAATGTTCAGGATATTTGCCCGTTTCCAGATAATATCGGAGTCTCTCGTATTTTGCGTAGTACTTGTTGGGTTCATTTAATAGGTCGATGCTTTTTGAAACGTGGGTGAATTCTTTAGCATAAATAAACGAGTCAACAGGTACATCACAACCCTTAAGAATTGCAGATTCAGGCAGCTTTCCTACCCTTCTAAAATTGAGTGTTTCCAAAATACGTCTGATTCCCACGTTGGTACCATATACTAGAGGAAAACATGAGGATGTGAAGCCTAAAAGCGGAGCCCAATCCAGGAAACACTCTACTAAAGTTCTCCCTATGCCCTTACCTCTAATACCAGCATTGACGAGAAATGTACCCGTGACGACGTGTGAAGAACGACCTGGATACGCCGGTTGAAGATTGAAAGTTCCAAGACACTGCTTTTCCCATTGAATATTCAGATTCAAATTCCTGCGCTCTTTACGTCGTACATATTGTGGAGTATTTCTGGTGACCTCTGCTTGAGGATCATCTGAGGGCCTGCTGTGATCGTTCGCTTCATCACTACTATAGTCAAGCTCCGGAATCTCACCTAAAACCATAATACAAACCAAACCATGTTTATGAAACCAAATTCTATTGAATTCCTCTAGTCCCAGAGCTTCATAATACGGTAAACTGTCTCCCTTCTCGATCTCCATATTGAACTCATCTATTAAAAACGCGAGTAATCCTGCTGGGAGCAGTTGTGGATTGGCAGGAATTGGGTACATCGTAGCGGTAGTCTCACCATCTTTCAATAAAATTGAATGAGGCTGAAGAGTGGTGACTGTTTGACCATTGGATTGTTCGTTAAGATCCATACGTTCTCCAGGTTCACTAGTACAAACGCCGATCTTGAATTAATTTACTCTTATCATGTCGGTATCGCGAGAAACGGTACATGATAATGAAAAGCTACCTACGAAGAATTTAAAGCCCGATGAGCACTAGGATAAGGACTGTTTCCGCATTCGGTAATCATTCTTTGTTTTTACGCCCCCGATTGTACCATAGCTTGACTTTTAGTACAGTACTATCGTCATCTGTTTGCAATATAAGTGGCTGCAAATCATTTAAGAGTTTGACACCATTACGCGCACTTACAACTATGAATCGAATTGCAATTGGGCAGCTCTGCTCGTCTTCTTCCCATGACCATAATCTTGAAAGAGTCAGATACTTGACGGAACAAGCTTTGAAGCAGGATGTTCGGCTAGTTTTCTTTCCAGAAGCTACTGATTACATTTCGCGCTCTGCTGCACACTCGAAAGTGTTGGCTCAAAAGACACCAGTGTTCGTCGAACAATTGAAGAAGACCATTGTAGAGCTTTGCAGCAGGTATGGAAAACCGATAGACGTTTCGATCGGTGTGCATCTTCCTCCGGATGAGTTAGATGTCTCGAAAAAGGACGATCGCGTGAAAAACTGCAATTTATATATCAATCATGAAGGGAAGATTATTCAGTCCTACCAGAAATTACATTTATTTGATGTGGATGTTCCCAATGGGCCCATCACGAGAGAAAGTGACTCTGTTCAACCGGGGAACGAACTTCCTGCAATCGTTAACACTCCAGTGGGGAAATTAGGCACGGCAATCTGCTTCGATGTTAGATTTCCTGAAATGTCGTTAAAGTTACGTTCCAATGGTGCAGAAATTTTGTGTTTCCCGAGCGCCTTCACGATGAAAACTGGTGAAGCTCATTGGCAAATCCTTGGTCAGGCTCGCGCTTTAGACACACAATGTTTCGTAGTTATGCCCGGGCAGCAAGGAGAGCATGATGTATACGCGGATACCACTGAGGAACCACCCCAAAATTCTGTGAAAAGATCATCATGGGGTCATTCCATGATTATTGATCCGTGGGGAAGCGTTATTATCAAAGCAGATCCAACCTCTAACGAACCGCAATTGATTGTTGCTGATCTAGATAAAAGCTTGCAAGAAAAGACAAGAACCAACATGCCATTATGGAAGCAACGCAGACGCGATATATTTGGTTCATACGTATAGACTTTAAGACTAAATATACAATGCTTATTTCTTCGCCTGTCTCTTCTTCTCCCTTTTACTTGGTTGTGATGAATCTGGATTAACATATTTGTGTTGTTCTATTATCTGAGCTGTGAGCTCTTCATTCCTTTCCTTCTTCATAATCTTCGAAGCAAAAGTCAAGTAAGATGTGTGAGATTTTATTTCTGGTTCAATTTTGGACACTTCTTTCCACTGAAAGTTTGTATCACCTTCTTTTACTCTAGAGCCTTTCCCGAAAGGATTGAATTGAGCTTTAGTAGTTGTCGGTCTAACATCGGAGGTCTCTTCCTCATTATTCAGAAGCTTGCTGTACATTCTCTTCCGTCTTTCTACACCCTGTTGCTTACGTTGGCGTACATCTCTCAGCCTTTCCAAAGCATCGTCGAGCCGTCTTACCATTTGTCTTCTCGATTCATATTGTCTTCCTTGAATTTCAACCATCTCAACATCAGTCCAGCCAAATTTCTCCAAAACCTCAAGGGTTTTGTCAACTTGTTCAATACAGGGCGAGAAGCAGCACAACCTTACCTTGGCATCTGGAGTTATCACATCATCTAAGTGCGGAATAGCGTCCCATGGTGCCGGTAGATCTAAGAAGATAGCATCAGCACCAATCTCTGCGCTATCCCTACCAGAAGTTCCATCTAATTTGAACGTGGTTTTATCTCCAGTTTTGATGGTGAATCCGTCCAGACAAACGTCTCTATGAGTTATTGTAACGTTACCGTCTGCCAGTAGTCCATGTTCTTCGAATTCTTTTCTAGCTTGTTCATATCTCACTTCATGAAATTCATAAGAAAATAGATGGCCAACAGATCTCGCAAATGCATGAGAAAAGGAACCAGAGCCAGTGCCGGCTTCGATTACGCGAGACTTTGGTCCGCATTGCAGGCGCTGCATAATATATGATGAATCTGGTGTGTAAACAATTTGTGTTCGATGGGGTAGGGATAAAGTCCACAATTCTGGAGTCGGTTGGAGGACGTGAATGAAACCAAACCGGTCTGAACCTTTTGTCCTCACGGCTATTTGCGATCCATAAGGCTTACCAATCATATCGTCATGAGGAAAGGAACCATAACGGGTATTAAAAGCTTCCCCAGGAGTAATTGTTAGGGGTTTAATATTGTCTCTCGTTATCCATACTAGTGCCAAGTCTCCCGGCTGGATTGTGTCCTTATATTCAGAGAAATGTGACATGATTCTTCACCTCTCTTCGCGATGAGATGACATTTAAATCTGGAAAATTTTCTTATAGCACCGAGAGTCATGTGGGTAGTAGAAAAGTTTTTGACCTCACAAGCGCTAAACAACAGGAAGACCGCATGAAAGATGGCAAGAACTACAAGTTAATACTTTTATTCGCTTATTTACAGCAATAACCCTTCCGCATTTTGTTGGGTAGAGAAATGAAGTATTGCTGGCAGATACTTGGAGAAAGAGTAAATATTTAGAACTGATGTGCCTCAAAATTTACTCATTAAAGTCCTCGAAATTCATTACTGCTCCCTTTGCTAATCCTCATGATAATGTTAACCGGCTATCATGCGGCCAGCTATAATTATATTTATCAGCGAGTCAACTCTGAAGGTGAGCTTTCTGCGAATAGTGTAGCCGCCCTCTCCACCTGTTGATTCGACGTAAATCCTCGTGCAAATGTTCTTAATACATACTCTAGTATATATCCGACTTATGGAAATCATGAATTAGCCCATATTGTGCTAATTGTTTCCCTTTCCGTGTCTCCATCTTGAATCTTGCTTCATCACGCTGTTGCTTTATAGCAGTCGCCTCATCAAACGAGATGCGCTCCATTGCTTCTAGCGGTTTGTCTTCTTTGTCTATGTCAACCTCACCTAGCATCACTACGTTTTCACCACGTACCATAAACACTCCGCGGTCAGTCTCTGCGTACTTGTTTTCCTCCGTGAAGTATATTCTTTCCACACAATGCTGTAGGATTAGATTGGCATATTGGTCAAAGGTTCTCAAAATTCCAAATAGCATGCGACCATCACGCAGAAGAACGAAGATTTTGTGATCTACTGAGCCAACAATAGCAGCGGTGGTTGTGAAATTATATTGGTCGAGATAGAGATCAGCTTCTCCCTCAGTTATCTTAGAGGAAGACGCTGCTGGCGAATTCCTATTTTCTGGCATCTAGATATGTTTGTACAATGCGGAAGAAGGCTCGGTTTGATTTTATTCAGTTTCCCTGTTGTTAACATTAACTTTTAGTGTACCATATTGAAAAATTTTAGGCTAAAGCATGTTGGTCGTTGGCAACGATACCGGACTCTACCGAATCGGAGGCTGTAAGGGTATACCATAGTGTCACTAGCAGTGCCTAATACTCCGGATTTGTCTAATACGTAGCGGTTTGGCGTATTTCACCCAGTTTATTCAAAATTGTCATTCTTCGTTTTGTTATAAATATCTCGGCCCCAAGCCATTTATTGCTTCTACCTCACCCTTTGAAAAATTAGTTATTCTACAATGTCCTTATTCAAGACTCTCCAACATCAACCACGTATTGTTTCCTTATTCACTCATGATGTTAGTAGCAAGCCAAGCGTGCTGATCCTGCAGCAGCTCAAGGGTATGCAAGGGGACAAATTTGACATCGAAGTCCATAATAGGTTTCCTACACTACATCAACTCAAATATATGAACGATATTGATGCTCAAACTCTTCAAAGACAAATCCCAAAGCTTTCAGAGCTCCTTCGTAAGGAGACTTCTGATAGCGTATTCGGTAGTGATTTGGCTCGGTGTGTCCAGGTAGGGCTATGGAATCCCCAGTCATCTCTCTGGGTCGATTGGGAGAAAAAGCACATGGGGGATAATGTAGAAAGCATTACTAATCTACTAAAGAATAATTAGGAATACAGAACTATATAAATGAATCGGACACATATCATGGCTAGGGCAGCTAAAATCCCATTCGATCGATGACATAATTCTGGGCGACAACTCCAAAAGCTAAGCTCAAACCATCTTCAACCCACTCTTTGACCCATTCGCTCGGATCAATTTCTTCACCCTCTTCGTCACTACTTGGTTTTTTATTCTCCCTCTCCTCTATCGCGGCTTCTTTGGTTCTTAATTCTGATGTGCCCTCTAGCCACTCAGCCCATCTTAGAGGGAATCCTTGCGATCTTGTAATAGAGGTGATGTCGTTTGTTATGTCTTTGAGGACAATGGTAAATGCAAAATTGCCTGACTGGTTAGAATCGGTCGTCAAGATGTCCGAATCATCGCTTTTCTGAGGGATGCCGACAGGTAAAATGGACACGAAGATATCTGAAATGCTGAGTTCTTCACCTGACTCTGAGCCTTTGGCTTCTATTCTTTGTTTCGATAGCTCGTCTTTTGCGTTTTGGAAGAGCTTGATGGCATTTCCAATGTTTGCGAATGCTAATTTTTCAGCATCTGCCACTTTTCCCATAAACATATTAAGGTACCTCTTTCCATCTTGGATTTTCTCCTCTCCTTCATGGGGATGATCCCACTCGTCTACAAAAATTCTGACACCACTTTGAACTTGCGAGCTCAGAACATTGTCAAATTGCTGTTCGACGTGGTATGACAGCAGCGGATAGTTTACAAGATCGTGAACCAAATGAATTCTCAAAACCTCGTCTGTCTCACCCACTACAATTCTGGTTAAGTTCTTGGCAAGCGATGAAATTGTAGAGGAATTTATCTTTGAAGTTATTCCTGTAGTTTGTAGCCTTGAAGTGATGCCCTGTTGTTCTTGAGCAAGACGATCTTTTAAGTGATTAGCTTGCTCAGCGGTTTTCGAAAAAAAACCATTAACCGTTGCAGATCCTGATGATGACCACCAGTTTGAAAATGATGTAATAGGATCATTCAACGGATTATCTTCCTTTGCTAACTCTCCTTGTTCCTCTTCCGCTTCCTCTGTGTCTTGTTCGGCATCTTGCTCCTGTGCTGATTCACTCTGTTTTTCTGAGACAACACCTGCTTCTACGTTGGCAGAGTTATCAGCATCTTTTGTTTGCGTAGCTTGTTCACTTGCTTGTAAAGAACCTTCGCTCTTTTCGATGTTTTTGGGCTTTTTGTCTTTGTTCAATGTGAGGTTACTTTGTTCCAATTCATCCAAAAAGTCCAGTATCTCATTATCCTTATTTTTGACTTTGTTTTCGTCCTTAGAAGTGGTCTTGATACCCTCTGGAAGGGATTCAAGAAACTCTAAAACATCATCGGCCTCAGTAGACGTCCTCTCACTCATTGCTTACGTGTTGTTATTCGGTTGATGATATACGCCCTTGGTTAACAAAGCTCCTTGTATACCAATCATATCGCTACATACGTTTCATTGGCCCATACAGCTACGAACAAGATTCAAGACAACTCGTGTAGAGGAGTTATAACACCTCAAAGTACCATGTCTCCAATTCCATGGCACGCTGTGATTGAAGGGTCACTGTGTTTTCGAGGGCAGTTTCAACTCTTGATCACTTCATGAAAAGGCATTATTAAGCGTAAACTCCAAATCTTCCTTATTTAATGAAACTTTTACACCCCGAACATTTCCATATTACTAACATTAATATTCATTAGAGCAATAGTCCAATAGAAGACCCAATAAGCATTGAATAATTACTTCCAATGCATAAAGATCAATTTGCGCCAAGGTTAAGTGACTGTTCGTTTGATGTGATTGAAAAATTTTATTCAGAAATAATAGCTGCTCATCTCATCTCATCGTGTCTCATTTCCTATCCTCTGAAAGTCTTACTGCAAAGCCCTTTTTGCATATTTGATTTCTGATTCACTCTCAAGATGCCGTCCAAGAACTCTATCAACAGACCCAAGCAAAAGATCAACCTTAACAGGAAAGTGCATTCCTTAAGCAAGAAAAGAACGGAGAGAGAAAGAGCTGGTCTGCTAAAACCTGCTAGATCGCATGAAACGTCAAAGTCTGGTCAGATAAAGTCGGTAGCGATCGATCTTTATAAAGGTGAACTACCTTCAACGGGTCCTATCACCAATAAGACACTATCCAAGAAGAGAGCGAAGAAGATCGAAAGAAATTTGAAATACATTGAGCAGAGAAAGCTACTAGTAGATGTTCAAAAGAAATACGAGGACGGAATGGAAGTTGACAGTACTGCAGCTTTAACGAAGAGTAAGGCTCCTAAAAAGACACAAATTGCTAAAGTGAAGGACGCTTTGTTCCAAGCTTTGGAGGATACCACAAGTACTGGTCTAGTGCTAGAAAACGGTAGCGGCACTACTCTAGGTGGGCCTTTCTTTCCTTAAAATGGTGTGCTGTTGGTTGTCAGCGTTCTCCCATATATAAATACGTAACTGTACATTAGCTTCGAATTTGTAAACTAGAAATAGCTACATTAGTGATCGTCTAATCCAGGAGGCCCTTGGCGGCAAGGTTTTCTGAAACTTGGCCCTTCATAAAAGAGATCACATCTGCTGGGTCGGCTGCAGTGAAAACACTAGTCCCAGCGACAATGACGTTGGCACCAGCTTTGGCTGCATGTGGGATAGTCTCTTTACCGAGCCCACCATCAACCTGAATGTTCATGTTAGGGAATTTTGCTCTCAGAGCCTCGACTTTTGGCATCATTTCCACCATGAACTTTTGACCACCAAAACCTGGCTCGACCGTCATAACAAGAGCCATGTCTAAATGTGGGCCAAGCTCATATAGAACATCCACTGGGGTTCCTGGCTTGATTGCGCAAGCCGCCTTGATTCCGTGGGACTTTATGAGCTTCACAAGTCCGAGAGGATCTTTTGTGGCTTCGTAGTGGAACGTGAACTGGTCGGCACCGCACTTCACAAAGTCTGCAACCCATTTCTCTGGCTCTTCGACCATCATGTGACAGTCAAAGAAAGCCTTTGGCTTAGTGCTCTCTGTGTCATTCACCCTTGGAACAGCTTTACGCAGACTTGCAACAATTGGTTGACCTAGTGTAATGTTGGGCACAAAGTGACCGTCCATTACATCAATGTGTAGCCAGTCCGCACCGGCGTTGATAACTTTATGGCACTCGCAGCCTAGATTGGCAAAATCTGATGCAAGGATACTTGGAGCGACGATTGGTTTCACCATTCTAATTTCACTGGCTTTCAAAGATCCTCTTTTGATTAGAATCACGGAGAACTTGGATGATTTCCTACGTTTCAAGAAAGAAAAATGATTGGCTTAATTGTCACATAATTCCCATGTTGTCACTTCCGAGAGGCAAAAAAAGATCAAAAATCTCCCGGGGGCGATTCGAACGCCCGATCTCAAGATTACTTGTGAAATTACAGTCTTGCGCCTTAAACCAACTTGGCTACCGAGAGGTGATTTGGTGAGCGCTGCAGTTTGATGAGGTATAAGGGTAATCAAAGATCATGTGATTGCTTCATCCATATTCAAGTGTTGTCGGTTGAGGTCAATTTGAGGACTGTTGAAAGACTGTGACTTCTAAAACATCTATAAGATGGTTGGATAAATGTCGAAGGCAGTTTATGGTTCATTAACTGCGCGCCCTAAGTCGCATGTGCATTTCTCCGCTGTAAGGTAAAAAATTTTTCAAGAGAAGGGGAAATTAAGAGGGGATTGTTACAGACACGCTCTCATTCCAGGTGATATCGAAAAACACAAGCAGAGATGTCTGCCCCTATCAAGACAACGTCTTCTAAGATTGACGCAGCGCCTACTCCACATAACACTCCAGCGAGTGTCTTGAGCAATAGCTACTTGAAGAATGGGAACCCTGTGGGCAAGATTCCCCAGACTATCAACGAAGAGGATATTAACTCTGCTTTGGCTAACAATCCTCAGCTTTTAGCTTCTATCGAAGAAAAGCTAGGGACGCTAGTTGGCCAAGATAGCGGGTATATTTCTTCTCTTCCTCAGGCAGTAAGAGACCGCATCTTTGCATTGAAGAAGCTACAGAAAGATCTGTTTGAACTGGAAAAAGATTTCCAACTGGAGATGTTTGAGTTGGAAGAGAAGTACTTACAAAAGTACGCTCCTCTACATGAGCGTCGTTACGAAATTGTTTCTGGGAAAGGAGAACCCACCGCTAACGAGATTGAGATTGGTAAGCAGGCCGAACAAGAATTGGAGCCCGTTATAGAAGAACCTGAGGACCAAGAAGAGGTTAGTGGTATTCCCTCTTTCTGGTTGACTGCGTTTGAGAACTTGCCCATGGTTTCCCAAACTGTCACAGATCGTGACGCTGAGGTATTGGACTTCTTGACAAACGTCAGCCTAGAGTACCTAACTGAGGGAAAGCCGGGCTTTAGACTAGTGTTTGAGTTTGATCCAGAAAATCCTTTCTTCTCTAACAAAAAGTTGGTCAAGACTTATTACTATCAATCGGAGCTGGGTTATTCCGGAGATTTCATCTACGACCATGCCGAAGGATGCACTATTGAATGGACTGACGATGAGTCAAAGGTTACTGTTTCTGTTGAGAAAAGGAAGCAGCGTAATAAGACTACAAAACAGGTGCGTACTATCGAGAAGATCACTCCGGTTGAATCCTTCTTCAATTTTTTTGACCCACCAAAGGTGCCATCGCCAGAAGACAAGGAAGAAAACGACGAAGAAGATGAGGAGTCCGATGAAGTTGCTGAACTTGAGAGTAGATTAGCCCTTGACTACGCCATCGGTGAAGAGATCAAGGATAAATTAATTCCAAGAGCCGTCGACTGGTTCACCGGTGCTGCAATGGAGTTTGAGTACGAAGGAGAGGAAGATGTTGATGATGAAGATTTTGACGCTGAATTTGATGAAGATGAAGACGATGATGACGATGATGATGAGTCGGAAGATGCTTCTGAAGAAGACGACTTCGCCACGAATCCGCAGAGCAAAGAGCAGCCTCCGGAATGTAAGCAGTCGTGAGAAGTGATTATGGAAGAAATCAATTTGAGGGTTCTGACAAGAGTATATATATAAGTATCCCCCTGTCCTTGGTTTACATCAAAAGATACATCACTAAAGGTTTGCTTGTTTATTTCCGTAATTGCAATCACCATGAGCTCCAATAACCAGGTTAAAGTAGTCGTTGATAAAGATACTGTCTCAAAGTTTGCGTCTTGCCAATCAGCAACGTTAAACCATTTGAACAAGTACCCCCCACTAGAGAAGACTTTAAATTATTTATTGTCTTTCACCCTATTTTCCAAGAGTCTTTCTGTGGTTCTAACCTTGTTGTACAGGATCAAAGAGGCAACGATTGATTCACCCAAATCTCCTTCTTTTTTGAAGGTTGGTTATGAGCGCATCGTATCGGTGATAAGAAAGTTCGATGAATTGTTCAATTTGCTTGTTTTGCGTGAAGGCCTAGATGAGTTTTTGGACCAACTGAAGAACCATAACAACAAGCCGGGCTTCTGGGTCGTGCTCTATCTGGTTGACTATGTCGCTAATGTCTCTAATCTAGTGTTGAAGGAGTTTGTCGCAAAACCTCTTAACTTGGCCAAGCCTACCAAGGAGGGCGAGATCAACGGCACGGTAGAATCATTGAAAGAAGATGGCCTTCCACACATTAAAGAGCTGGCTGGTACTACCAAATCATTGGGTCAAGGTATCCAATCCAAGTTACAGTCCGACTACTTTGAACCTACTAAAAATAAACTTCAACAAGAATACATTGAACCGACCAAAGGCAAAATCAATGGAACTAAAGAATACGTCACCGAAAAATATGGGGAGTTCATCAAGCCCAAGTACGACGCAGCATACCAAACCGTTTCGGAGAAGTACGAGGGAAATTTCACCAAGTCCGAGAGTGTCCCCAGAGCCATTGTATCCACAGGCGTGGATTTAGGCAACTTAACTTTGGAGAAAATCAAAGTTGGTGTTGCCAAAGCTGAGCCCAAGGCTAAGAGCGTTGTCAATGATGTTGCCAAGGACGTTTCTAAGACTGCAACCTCTATCGCTCAAGATGTCGACAATTTGACCAAGTAAGCACTGGCTTTTTGAATAGTGTTCAACATTTTACAATTACTATTATTCTTCACCTGCGTGCGAAGCACTATGCTTTTTTTATACTGAATAGATATATTTCCTACGTTTGATGTAGCGGTAGGTATTTACTTTTTGCTAATTAATTCTCTCTTATTTGGTCCTAATCGAAATGAGGATTTTTCGGTGGTTGCGTGGCATTTATTGTTCAATTACAAATTATACTATCTGTCATCGGGTACTTCAAAAAACCGTTGAACACCGCGTGATGACCTGCATGTGAAAAAAACGGTTCCCCTGAAAAGACTAATTTCGCGCTTCGGAAATGGAGTATTTAAACATAGATGGACCATGGCCAGGAGTATCAATATAAATCCAACTCCAACTTCATCGGAAAAGAGTTTTTAATGTAAAGGAGCTCTCATCCGCCTAAAAACGAACGTCGTTCCTCTGTTTCTGGTATAAAACATTCTTTTTGCAACATTTATGTCACAAGCCGTTCTTTCCTTTTTTGGCGTTGTCCTTAGAGCGCCATCAAATACAGAAGTTTGAGATCAAAACATTAAATGCAAGCACAACTGTAGTACATAATCAAAAGTAAATTCTTCTCTGTAAGATAATGAGCGCATACGAAAAGGGAAAAGGAACTTCTCTTTGTGAGGTTTTCTCGGTAAATCTTGCACCGTTCTGCCGCAAAAGTGAGTTGACACAAGTACACCGCACTTACAACTAACCCAAAATATCCATGCCACACAGTTTGATCAACCTGCGGGCCAATTATTTATCATACTTTAACTCTCTGTGTACGTGGTTGCATTTAATAAAGCTATAAGATTGATAGAAAATCACGTGCACCATGTTGTAAAATGTCGCTCCGCCAAGCCTTTGCAGCCGTTGCTGCATAAGGAAGGGGGGAGATAGTTTAATGAAATTGTGGCTGCAAAAGTTCTATCTATCTATTGGCCGATTGACACACAAAGCTTCAATTTTTAGACTTGAATTACCAGATAAGTGGCTCACTAAATTAAGTGCCATCTAGCATTGGAAGATTTGTCTTTAAATCAACTAAGAGCATTATGTACAAGGACATAGAAGCAGGGGTTGCTGCAAGAGTACCAAACTCCAAGAAAAAATATTCAGCTATAGCAGCATTGAGTTTGGCTTTTCTACTTTCTATAGCCAAATTATGGTTTATATGGTATTTTTTGGGTGCACCGTCGAAAATCTCAAAACTTAGCGTCGGAAACTCTATATTGGACGACTCAGCCTGTCCCGTCGCGCCAGCTTTGAGGCCTGAATCCTATGTGAAGGACAATTCTACCCTGGTGAAAATCGTGGAAGATCAGACATTCCGCAACGAGTCGGTGGCCAAGTTACTGGGTGCCGTGCACTACAGAACAGTCAGCTCTGATTCTCGGCCAGACCCGAAAACTAATCCAGAGTTCTACGCACCTTTTTTGAAATTCCACGAATACTTACAAAAGACTTATCCATTAGCGCACAAATACTTGGATTTGGAGCATCCAGGGTATGAATTCAATTTGCTTTACACGTGGAGAGGCTCCGATCCTTCCCTTAAGCCGCTGGTCTTGATGGCGCATCAAGATGTGGTACCCGTTAATCCGGATACACTTGGCGAATGGGAGCATGAACCGTTTGAAGGATATTATGACGGACATTTTCTATATGGGCGTGGTGTTTCAGATTGCAAGTCGCTACTATCGTCACTATTTCAGGCAATAGAACTGCTGATTAAAGATGGATTCGAACCTACAAGGACTGTGGTTTTATCGCTGGGTTTCGACGAAGAAGTAGGAGGAAAGTACGGTGCTGCAACTTTGAGTGATTTTCTAGTGTCTAGATATGGCAGGCATGGAGCTTATGCCATTGTTGATGAGGGTGGTGCTGCAATTGAGCAAATTGATGACACGTTATTCGCTCTGCCAGCTGTAGGAGAGAAAGGAAGCCTAGAGTCTTACATAGAGCTGTTTACCCCTGGTGGACATTCTTCAGTTCCTCCTGACCATACCAACATTGGCATAATATCGGAACTCGTCTCAAACATCGAAAAAGCTCCTTTTAGTCCCGATATCACTGAGTCTAACCCCTTTTTCAAGTATTTGCAATGTATGGCAGTACACGCGACTGAAGATTCCGCGGTTCCAAAGAATGAAATTTTGCGACTATTAGTCGACGAGTCGGCTAAAGAACGTGTTTTGAAATGGGTAGATTCTAAAAGAAATCTGAGATATCTGGCAAAAACGACTCAAGCTGTTGATATCATTGATGGTGGTATCAAGGCGAACGCTCTCCCAGAGCATACAAAGTTGGTAGTTAACCATAGAGTAAATGTGGGATCCTCATGTGCTGTCACCGGAGAGAAAATCCTGAATGACATCAAATCGGTGGCTAGTAAGCATAATTTAGGACTTCGCTTCAATAACGAAGAGATTTTGCCCAAGACGGAAAATGGCTATTTCAACTACACTACCGGTGACATGTTAGAGCCAGCTCCTGTTTCACCTACAACTGGTGGAAATTGGGAAGTTTTCAGCGGAACTGTGAAGCATTTGTTCGAAGATATTGCGTACCCTGGACAATTGAAAAATCCGGTGGTCGTTTCTCCCTCTATTACCACTGGGAACACTGACACAGCACATTACTGGGATTTGACAAAGCACATATACAGGTACAGGCTTGCAACTTTCAACAGTGTCCTTGACGGTCACGCCCATGGGGTGAATGAGCAAATGCCAGTCGAATCTCATATGTACTTGGTTGCCTTCAATTACGAGTATATCAGAAACTGTGATGCAGCCAAGGATTAAAGTAGCGGATCTTACATGGTTCAGCTTATGTACGTTTTATTGAATTTCTACTTCTTCATGCCGAGCTAAAGGGAAAAGAAATGTGATATAGGTGGAAGTTACAAAAGATACAATAACATGTTGATTCCTTCCGGATGCTAGTCGCCAGAAAACTGACGCACCCATGCACCTCATTCATTAATTTCTCACACAGTGTTTGCAACAATCAAACATAACTGTTGAAATTGTACTATCAAGTCCGCATTCCCTAATAGCCTTACTATTTTCGGCATTGTATGTCCCAGAGTTACGAGCAGACCTGGATATTTATTTTCTGTTAATAGGCCTTTGGCAAGTTGAGACTATTGTTAGAAAACGTTCACGGACATCAAAGCTCTCGTTTCTGAAGCTCTTGACCAGATATACTCACCCGAAAAAAACCTCAATGGAGTCTATTTACCTGACAATCATCGCAATTAAATTTCGAAGAGACATGAAACCCCTCGACAATGGGATTAGTCGCTATGGATCCTTCTAGATTGACATGAAATTCAATATCTATCTTTTACGACAGTTTCGATTCAAAATGTGCTTAATTTTTTTCGTCTGCAACTATAGCTTATTAATACGTATTGGATGATATAATTCATGAGAAATGTGAACATCAAGCAGGCATCGCGCTGTCGCGTTTAATGTTATGATTGAGGCTGAGGTATGTCACAGCATCATGACAATCTATTTCAAGGTATGTTCTATTCGATGACTTTGTGTCTCCTAGGGATGGATTACAAAGATTAAATGCAATCAAATATGATTTACTAACCACTCGACGACAGAACGAAAGAGGAAGCTCTCAATATGGGTCAAGAGAATTATGCAGCCGAACAAGGACCAAACAAGATACGTAAACCGCACGGCGCATGGTAAGGCACGTACTCGAAGACAGGTTTTAGAGAGGGACGTTAAAAGTGGGGATTCGTCGCTGGTACCGATTTTGGACCCCAGGGAGCGTCGACTACATGACAAGGAACAGGGAGCAATATCATTCGACGAGCCAGTAAGAGAAGGCAGTACGGGTTTGAAGGTTGAATTTGACCACACGAACGATAATGCCAGCACGGCTCCGCTTTTTTCACATTGCTCATCTTCTGTGAAATCATCGATATTTTCTGATTCAACGTCCATGCAGTCAACCAGAGCGACAGTTTTTTCTAACAAAACGTTTGACACTAACTCTAGTACTGTAGGTATTCCTCCTGCAAGCATCTTAGACCGAGCTAGGCATACTTCGGCTGCCGCGCAGGGAGCGGCTTCGATTTTTAGCCTCACCACCACTCACCACACTTCACAGGCGAACAGCATAAGGCAGTACCCCCTATATCGGAACAACAGCACGCACACTGTGAACACCACAGCCACGGTTGCATCACAGAGGGCAGACAGAGTGTAGTTTTCACATTCTTTTTGGGTAGCACATTTTTCACTGAGAAAGACACACATTGAAGAAATGAAACGTACACAAAATACAAGCGCATACTGATATCAGGCGCAAGCTAAGCATTCGCATTCGGCCATTTATTCAACTCTATACTAAAGCTCAGTGTTGGATCACGTGTAAAGTATATAAAAGTAATAACACGTGGCGTGGAAATATGGCGCACATTTTTCTTTATAAGAAAGTTTGGCGGGCCCTTGAACCTGTTAGCGACACCCACTATAATACTAAGTTACTATAAAGATGGCTAAACCAACTAAAGGCAAAGTTCTTGACCCATCTTTGACTGAACCAATTAACAATGATGCGCCACCTACAATTTATGGATCTTCTTTGACTCCAGAATTAGCAAATGCCGCTTTGAATCTTTCGGTGGATTTTGTGAAGCAGCAACAGTCACTCGCGAACAAGTATATTTTGTGGCATCCATATACTTTGTCGCTAGTCTTCATTTCCCTCGCCGTTTACCTCGGTCCCAATGTTACTTTGCCCCAAGGAACCCATTCGGTTTTCGATTTCTTATTTCAGTTGGCGATCATGAATGGAACGCAAATCGCTACTAGCATAATGGTGGTCGGAATTTCCACGTCGGTCGTTTTCACTTTTCTCACAAGGTTTACGGAAGACCTTTTCAAAAAGAAATCTAGGCAAATCGTGGACACGAATGGTGTGAACGTTTTCAACGTTGACTTGACCAAGCTTGCCAAGAGGGAAATCAAACAAAAGTCAGACACAAATAATACCCAAATTATTGTGTACCGTGAAACACCAATTGCTCTTGCAAGTATTGTGGAAAACACTGTTCTTTCATCTAAAGACTCGTTAGTTATGGGCATTAGCTCCATCGGTTGCCGTCGTGTATACGTTCAAAGTGGTATCATCGAGGATTTGATCGATTGGGCCTTGATTCGTACCAAAAACATCCAACAGAGTGGATCCTACAAAGCAGATAATTCTATGAAGGTGCTGATAGACGTGTACTCTTTTGACAAATACATGAAAGAAACTTTAAAGAAGAAGGGATTCTCCCTCTTGAGCACCTACGACTTGGAGGACTCCAAACTTTTGAGTAAGATATACGGTGTTAAGAGAGAACTTTGGGGTGTCCAATTTCACTTTGAAGGGAAGAAAGACAAATAAATGAAATCATTCGTTACTGTTTATAGTTTACAGGCTTTCTGTAATATTTACTTTGCACCTGTACAATGCTTAAAGTTTTAATTTACTGTTAAATTAATCAGCCAAGTAAGCCATGCTTATGCTTTTGTTTTACCATCTTTAATCGTCTAAGACTCACTCTGACATAGACTGATAGCATGTAAATTGAAAATAAGATGATGCACCATTTGAAAAGAAAGAAAAAATACCCAGATTTCTGGTCTTGTTGTGACGCAAGAGAATCGAATTCCAAGCCCTCTGCCCTAGCCATTTTCCAATTCGCAAAATCATCGTGGCCCAAATTCACATACTCCCCATATTCATGTGCTAAGAAAAACTTCATCTCTTCGACGTAGTCATAATTATCTTCGTCATGCCCTTCCCAATGAAATTCGTACGTGTCTACTCTCTTTATCTCAACAGTTTCGGTCAACTCTCCAGTGGAAGCCCCAACGCCGATGAAGCGCTGTCCTGTCTTCATATTTTTTGGCAAGAATAAGCCCGAATCTTTTTGATATATCTCGATCCAATTACCGTTGCTAGAGTAGTCCATGTCAATTTTTAGGAAACCTATGCTTTCGAGGTAAATAATCCGTAGTTTCGTAACAGCTCCTGTTACAAGTGATTTTTTCAGCTTAGTTAAGGGTTTCAAGCTGTAGCCCGTGCTTTCTTCTCCATCGGTCTCAGGTGAATAATGATGTTGCTCTGGATCTATATTGAGCATAAGAGAGAGAAACGGCGGCTGGAGTTTAGTTTTTTTGGAGTTCCTATAGGTGTCAACAACGATTGCCAAACCTGGAAGATTTTTGGGGAATCCCATCATGGTCCTGTCATTTCCCAGTATCCCACCAGAGTTGTGTTCATACTGTTTTCTAGCGTAAGATGACAACATATTATGAGACATAAAGTCCTTTTCGGGCGAAATTACTATGGCCATACCATCACCTATCAGTTGCTGAGTATTTTTGGGTTTCGATCGATCGTTATATATTTTGAATGTAACCTCGATTTCAAAGTCGTCAACTGTATTGTCACCCACCCCATTTGACATCACTACCCCATACTGTCCAACACGACCTCGGGAAGTAAGTCTTATATCTTCATAGTTTCTTATCTGAGGTTCTCCTTTCGTGATCCAGTATTCGTTTATTTTGTCTAGAAATGGTGCACATAAGCTAGCGTCTGAGTTATGGTAACGCTGTACGCGAGGGACTCTGCGCGGAAGTAACCCATTGGAATCTAAATCTCCCTCATGTTGTTTCAGATATCGCCCCGCCAATTGGAATATCAAGAAAACAAGCAAGATAATAGCGCCATGTACTTGCTTCTCCCAAGCTTTCATTGGGGCTTTTTTTTCGCGTTCTTTGTAGTCATGAAACAATTGAAAATGGCATATGCGCTATTATGAGAAGACATCGCGATCTTTGAATACGACTAAAGTATATTCAAACGCCTTTATGACATCGCACACCTTTCTATATTACATATTTTGGGGCACTTTAACTAAAGAGCCGAGGATATTACGGGTTTGATTGTTACTTCTTCATTTGTCGTAGCGCATTTATATTGCGCGAACCACGCCATGTTTTTGACTTTGACTTTCTGCACATTGTAAAGACAAGATAGAATCAAGAACAGAAAGATGGGAGGAGTTCCTACACCAAGATGTATCATTGTTCGTCATGGACAAACTGAATGGTCCAAATCCGGTCAATATACCGGACTCACCGATCTGCCTTTGACTGAATACGGTGTCGGCCAAATGAAAAGAACCGGTCAAAGTATCTTCCGTAACAAGTTCATTGACCCCACTCACATCACTTACATCTTTTCGTCACCTCGTAAGAGAGCAAGACAAACAGTTGACTTGGTTCTCGAGACTTTACCTCAGGAACAAAAAGACCGTATCCGCATTGTCATTGATGAGGACTTGAGGGAATGGGAATATGGAGACTACGAAGGACTTCTAACTTCTCAAATTGTTGAGCTAAGAAAGTCTAGAGGTTTAGATAAGGAGAGACCTTGGAACATCTGGAGAGACGGTTGCGAAGGTGGTGAATCGACCGAAGAGTTTGGTTTAAGACTTTCCCGTGCTATTGCCAGAATTCAAAACTTGCACAAACAACACCAGAAAGAGGGCATTGCTTCTGACATTATGGTATTTGCACACGGTCATGCTCTTCGTTACTTTGCTGCCCTATGGTTCAAGCTTGGAGTTGAAAAGGAATGCGACGGGAAGCAACCCCAGCCACCAACTTACAAGGATGACACTGTCCCTTATGTGCCCTTAAAAACCTACAGACACTTGGTCGATAACCCTAACTTTTTGTTGGACGCTGGTGGTATCGGAGTTTTGTCTTATGCTCACCATAATATTGACGAACCAGCGTTAGCGCTGGCTGGAGCCTTTGTCCCTCCACCAGAAGAAGAATCTCAGCACGGTGACGTTATCTGAGGATTGTTTTGTGTCAGTTAGTCCTTCTATACAAGATACATTTTATATACATTGATCCTTTGTTCGGATTAAAACTTAAATTTCAAATATTTCGGCGTCTCGATCGGCGATACATATAACCGATGAAATGGCGAAGCTCAAAAACCTACCCACTGAGATCAAAATAGCACTACTTGAGCTATGCCCTGTGTTGGCTTTTGTGAATCGTGAGTTCTATCAGCTCAATAACTTTGTATATAGGGACCGATGTTTGAGCATTAGACCGCTGCCCTACTGGGAAAAGATGCGTCTCCCGATAAGCGAGTACATGAAAAGTTTGGATAGAGTGCGGAAGGCCAGCAGGCTGTTAAATGCACGTCATGGCAGTTCGGAAGAGTCTGATGTGATTGAATATCTGTCAGACTCATGGCAAATTGTGTTTCATGTTTTCTTCGCCAACCCAAAATTTTTTGATTTAAAGTGGATTGCCTTGAATCTCAGACCTCGAAGTTTGGAAGGAGAGATCACCCCTGGCTTTGGTGGGAATATTGAACTATTGAGTAATACTGCTTACCAATGTAATCTTTGGATAAGAGTGAAAAGTACGTCTGCAAGGCTAAGAGCTCTTAGGTCCATCATCAGCACCACAGACTTCGAGCAAGAATGGAGAGGATTATTCATATTCCTTGATAAGTCTTTGCCGCTACATATTGAGGATTGGTCAAGAACCACGGGTTTATACTGCATAAACATGGGGATGGTTTTTACCCAGATAGAGGAGGGTGATAACCTGAGACAACTGAAAAGGCTTCAGGCCGTGGTCCTAGGTGTCGAAGATAATGAAGAATGCACTACGATGGATGTTGTTGGATTTGATTTCGTTCCATACCAAAACACCAAAAAATGGGTACTTTTCCACACTCAGGATGATGACTGTGCATTCAACCCTTATGAACGAACTTTGAGCAAAATGCGAATGGAGGGAAAGGGCGGACTGCGAACGCAGTTCGAAAAAATACCGACACCATTGCCGTGCTATGAACGGCCGCCGAAGTGTCAATTAGTGTTTAAATATCCGAAGGATAAGCAACTCGATGAGGAAGGGATACGAGATTTGGCATATCCTTATCTCGGACAGCCGGATTGTTGCAACCCTGTTAAGCAAAACTTTTAATAGTGAACTTATAAAAAATGTGATCTACAAAATCCTAGCAAATTAGCTGAACCCGAATTGACAGCTAGACGAACGAAGATTCGATTGTTTAAGCGATGAATATTCCCCATATATAAAAAAAAATCCCAGAAATAAATTGGTTGTAAAAGTCGTAACATAATTGAGCATGAAGAAGGTGAAGCTGGAGCTGCCAATCTTGTAGTAAAATAACGAATACTACCACTGTAGCAAACAGAATAGCAAATATGTAGTGATAACATCAACTACAGGTCAAACGAAAGTGAATCAAAGTAGAAAAAAAATGGTATCCTTTGAGAATCAGTAGAAAACAAAATTAGCAGAACCAGAAGTAACAGTAACAGTGCAACCGTCAGATCCACTGCCGCTGTATGAGCCGTTCTCGTAGTAACATTCACCGTTAACCGAAGAGCCGTCAGTGGCCTCGATCTTTACATTGAAGTTAGGGGTGTCTTTGTTGTTAGGGTTTGGAATGATGGACAAGTAAGTTAGACCGTCAGTGTAACCAGCACCCAAGACGACAGGGGCCCAGTTACCGACACCAGAACCATCGGTACCCCAGATACAACCATCCTCGACAGAAACACCAGCGTTGTTAACGTAGTACTGACTGGAAGTCTTCATACCCTTCCAAGAGTAGTAAGAGTCTTCATCGACAACAGAAACAGGTTGGGAAGAGCCGGCACCGACAAGAGTTGGAACAACCATGTTTTCGGAACCTGGATAGTCAGTTCTGCACATGGCGATTTCGGAGTTCTTGTTGTTGACGGCGTAAGCACTGTCGACACCCCATTCACACAAGTAGTTGTTGTCAGTGTTGGAACGGTACAAGTAGCCGTCCTTACAGTACAAACCACCAACGGATCTCCCGTCAGATGGTTGTTCAGAAGGCCACTGAGTCTTGGACATACCGGCTTGACAAGCGTAAGAACAGTAGTAACCGTCTTGACAAGAGGATGCAGTGTTACCGTCCATGTCCATGATAGAGGCCCAACCGCCGAAACCAACCCATGACAAGTCGACGACACCTTGGCCAGATGGGAAATCAGAACACTTGATGGTACCGTCTTGGAACTCGCTAGAAGGGTTAGAGAAGGCAGACAAGTCGCCACTGATATCTGAGGAGGAACTAGAAGACGAGCTCGAGCTCGAGCTGGAAGAGCCAGATGCAGCAGCAGCAGACGAGGTGGAAGAAGCAGCAGCGGAAGAGGTTGGCGACACGGTGGTGGTGTAACCTGGAGCGTTGGTGCTCAAAACGTTGCCCTGACCATCGACGTATTGCACGACGGTGACGACCTCACGACGTTCGTTGTGGTGGTGGTGGTTGACAGCTGGGGCCGCAAGGGCAGCAGACGCTAGTAAAACAAAAGAGTACTTCATAGTTGCGTAAAACTGGATAATGAATGACTATAGCTTAAGGAATGACTAATAGTTGGACGCTTGTTTAGGAAACTCTCAACAGTTTATGAGATCAGATCAAAAATTTGATTACTGTGTTGGATCGAACTTCCTTCGCTATATATAGGCGGAAGTATATACCATGGAAAAGAAATGCCTCTGCAAACTTTTTAAGTTCCACGATGTAACAATGTTCCTAAGGAGTTTTCTGGGCAGCTTTCCAGATTTGGTAATTATTTCAATCTAGATCTGGTTGTGACTGTTTACCATTACGTGATTACCCAATCAGGCATTGTAAGAGATGTGTGTGATGTATGGGTTACTTGGCTGAAGAATTTGCGCCTCTACCTCGGAAAAAGTGGAAAGCCGTTTAATCCTACCGGAAAAACTTACTGTAAGTTGCAGCTCTCGGGAATAGCATTTAGAAAGCCCGGTGGCACCGGGACGTGCCTCAGGTTCCTGCATGCGTTAGTTCTCGAAGCCTACCGGCCCAGTGTGTCTGGGTTCCCAAGCGGCGCCACAACGCGGGGTGCACAGGTGTGTGGGTGACGCGTCGTTGTCGTCGTCTTCGCCCTCTCAAAGAAAGCCGTGTCTGTATGTGGGAATCATAGCTTTTGTCCGGTCACATGTATCATGATCACTGCCTGACGCGCGGCCTGTCAGAGCTCGTCGTGGACAGCAAAGCGGTCACTATTGCCTACTGTTCCTTTAGAAAGCAGTGACCGAGGCAGTGACAGAAGTAGCTGCTTCGAAATTGCAAAATGCCCTTCGGTAAGAGGCGCGACATGGTGATGCGGCTCACAGGCAGCCGAAATGCACTATATGTGTGGGTGTTGTGAAGGTTGCACAAAATGGCGCCTCCGGCGATAGCGGCGAAAGCCGGAGAACCGCAAGGCAAAACGCAAAATGGCTTTGTTGCACCTGTATTTGGACGTAGAATGTGTACCTCATTCTTGTGTTCGTTATTCACGAAAGTCCGCGATAGTTTAGTGGCTAGAATTCGAGCTTGTCGCGCTTGAGACCGGGGTTCGATTCCCCGTCGCGGAGTCTTTCTTTTTTATTCTGCAGGCTACCTTTTCAAGGTAGCATACTTGAATTGCTGACATGATGAGACTAGTGGCTGGTGCGTTACAGCATGTTTTCTTCATTCCGTAATACAATTGTTCGCTACATAAAACGCAATTCTTCTCTCAGGTGATATCGAGGATATTGATTTGCTGTCATCTGCAACGTATTCGACGCTCCCGTTTTCTCTCATCTACTTCGCTTCAAGAGCCTCAAGCAATGGCCAGCGCCTCGACTATCATTGTTGTAGGTGTGTTGGTAGGCGTCTTGTCTTCTGCGACGCAGTCGTTGGGACTGACGCTCCAAAGGAAGGCCAGTGTCGCGTGCAATGGCTCTCTGTATCGCAATTCCACGTGGCAGCTAGGTCTGGTATTGTTTCTGCTCGCCAACATCGTGGGCAGCACCGTCCAGATCGCCACGCTGCCATTGATCATTCTGGCGCCGCTGCAGAGCTGTGGTCTTCTTTTCAACTCCGTGGCTGCCCACTACATTTTGAAGGAGCGTTCCTCATGGCGGACACCCCTCGCGACTCTGTTTATCATCGTTGGCGGAATGGTTATCGGTGTGGTGGGAGTCTCCACCACTGACGATAACTCAATCACCCACTCACTTTCAGAATTGCTTCTGCTGGCCCGCCAACCGCTCTTCCTACGCTGGTTTGTCGTGACAAACGTCATAGTCGTGCTTGTTCTAATGTGGACCATGTTCTCACGTCTCGGATTGCTTGCTAAGGGTGTCATTTATGGATGTTGCAGTGGGACCTGGTCTGCACACTCTCTATTGCTGGCCAAATCTGTATCTGACATTATCACACATGCTCTGATCTTCAAGACATCAGACCTTAAACGCTTCAATTTCTACCTACTCGTTGTCAGTTTTGTATCCCTATCGCTAACGCAGTTGTTCCTGTTGAACAGGGGTCTGCGACATCTTTCCACCTCGATACTATATCCGCTTGTCTTCTGTGTATACAACCTGGTCAATATCCTGAACGGCGTTGTCTTCTTCCATCAGGACAACACATCTTTGACACACGTCATTCGCATCATTTCACCCGGTGTGGCAAGCCTCATCCTTGGTGTGGTCCTTCTGTCACAGGACCAGTATTTCATAGCCCAACGTGAGGAAGGGTCGTCTTCTCAGGATGCTTCTAACCGCACCAGCGTCCTTTCCTACACCAGTCTTAGACCCAGATCAGTCGATCTTTCGTCACTTCAAGCCACGTCAAACATCGCCAATGATAGCGATACCTTCTATGTATCTCTGCCGCAGGCTTCGAAAAAAGATAAGTATGGCTCGGGAGCATCTGCAAAGCGAACTAGCAAGAGAGTGCTCTCTTATGAGCAAGAGGAATTGTTAACGCAAATGGTATGATCTCACGTTTCTACAAATACACACTCAGCACATTTTAGACAAATAACTGGACACTACACAAGCTGATACTGCTTAATGTACAGTCAGTTCCCAATTCATTGAGCATGTCATATAAATATATATCACACTACGCGCGAAACGCGTAAAAATTTTTAACACGTTAAAAAAAAGCTCCCACTGCGAAGAACCCTAAAAAGTCATCAATGTCTATAGTATCACTACTCGGCATTAACGTGCTCAATAATCCTGCAAAATTCACTGATCCTTACGAATTCGAAATCACTTTTGAATGCCTTGAGTCTTTGAAAAACGACCTGGAGTGGAAACTGACCTATGTGGGTTCGTCTCGCAGTTTGGAGCATGACCAAGAACTAGATTCTATCCTTGTGGGACCGGTTCCTGTGGGGGTAAATAAGTTTGTATTTACCGCAGACCCACCATCACCTGAGCTCATTCCTGCAAGTGAGCTTGTTAGTGTAACTGTCATCCTTTTAAGCTGCTCTTATGATGGTCGGGAGTTTGTACGTGTTGGCTACTACGTGAATAATGAATACGACAATGAGGAGATGAGAGAAAATCCGCCGGCCAAAGTTCAAGTAGAACATGTTGTGAGAAACATACTTGCAGAAAAGCCAAGAGTGACCAGATTCAACATTATTTGGGATAACGAACAAGAAGAAGAATTCCCTCCAGAACAGCCAGAAATCGATGAGGAGGAGGAAGAGGACGACGAAGAGGAAGAAGAAGAGGATGAAGAAGAGGTAGACGAGGAAGACGAGGAAGACGATGAGAGTGAAACTGGAAGACAAAACAAGAAGAGGAAATTGGAAGATGATGAAAATGAAGAAGAGGACGAGGACGAGGCCGAGGAAATTGATCTAGAAGATGAAGATGACGTCGACGAAGAGCAAAATGAAATAGAAGATGAGGTCGTGAATGTGGCTGAGGAAAAAGACACGGAGAAAGAGCAAACTGTTGAAACTGTACCAACTCCTCAGGATACAACAGCTACATCGCCTGATGTAAAATGATTCGATTCCATTAATAAGTACAAATAAAAACTAGTAAAATTCGAACTCTGTAAAATATGAAGTATATACACCCACTATTCGGCATTTGCTTCCCAAAGATCATTTATAATCTGGAATATCTTCGTAATTTTCGAAACCACCTCTTCATCTTTTGTTTCAACCAATCTGGTCATTTTATCCGGGTGCCAGTAGATTCTTTCTCGCTTATACATTTCCTTCAACGATAAGTCTATCACTGCAGAGCTTGCCAAAAAAAACTCTTCGACGACATCCCTATTTATGTCTTCAAGTTTCACCTTCTCTAGAAATGGTGCATCTCGCAGAGGAGCTCGAAGAAATTCGACTCCTTTATTCCAATAGTCCAAAATCTCAGAATAGTTTTGCGTTTTGATTGAAGGTGTCTGGCGATTAGGATAATCTTCGAGCGGACTTTTATCATTTTGGTCAGAAGAGTCCCTATTTCTTGCCTTTAAATATTCTTCATATTCGCGCTGGTTGCCCACAAATCTATATCCATTAAGCGGCTCACCATATTCAAACAATAATTCTGATTGATTGGGCGATATGAGTAGAGGATTTTTAGCTTCAAAAGTTGTGTGCTGCTGTCCTTGTATAGGTTGCGAATCGAAATCTATTGCAGGATCAGTCATGACATATAGCTTTCCTACATATTTAGGCTTCTCTTGTTGTTTCTTGGCGTGTCCATTATTCACTTCAGCGGATTGAGGGTGCGATATAGGCTTCCGTAATCTCTTCTTTTTCAAAAGTATTGGCTTATGATATTCTATGTCGCTGCTCTCATCAGATTCTGTAGAAGAAGCATAATCATTAGAAAAGTTCATATGAGCACCTAATGATCATCATCCAATCGAATGGAGGTATTGTGCACAATATTTGCGTCATCTGAACACACCGACTTTTTTCAAATGAAGCTTTCGGAAGTGATGAGCCGTATATCAGCATAATCTAAATGTCCAAATATTTACCTGCCGTGAAGCGGATTGTGGTGTTCTTTTCTACCTTCTGGATCTTTACCAGCTTTCTTGCTACTCTAGTCGGATGGCAGTTAGGTAATAGGTTAGCTTGTATTCGAAAGGTTTAAAGTTATTAAACGTTGTAATAGGAATACCTATACAGCCATCTATCCCCTTTCAAGGAAAATTGGCTGAAAATTCGTCAGTATAGGTATGGACTGGGGCTGAGAATAAGTATCTCCTGTTTAGAATATTGTATCAGTGACAAGACTTTTTGACATACTATGTGTGAAATACTAATTTCAAAATTCAAAGATCATTCGATGATTTAACCTCTTGACTGGGTAGAATTTCATTTTAGGCATGCCTAGATTCTGCGAGAATATCTAGGATCGAGAATTATATAGTACGCCCTAAAAAATTGGTGCAAAGCGTGATCAATTATTTCAATCACGGCACAGCAATTTACTACTAAAGTGCATTTGTATCAATTACAGTTCGATTCAACTTCTTTACTAGCACTTACTAAACAGGCGATTTTTGTCCCTTTTGATTTTATGAAATAATGTTATCATTGCTATGTAGAATATGCCTTTCTATCGTTATTTCGTTCTTGAAAATATCCTGAATTACTTCCAAATAGTCAAAACATGAAAAACGAGACGTAATCTCATCAAGTTATACTTTTCAACGTGCCAACGGATGGAAATACGATATATAGGCTGGGCATACTAATGAGCACCTTAAACAGTATTGAAGGAAACTCAGCAAGTGATCTAGACCTATCGTCTACTACTGATGTAGAGTCCTTCAAGAGATTTTTGGCATCAAGGGGAATAGTTAAAGAAAGTTTCCCTGTCAGATATGATTTCGATTGCACCACGTTTACCGCTAAGAGATTCAGAGAGCCTCTACGAGAATTAAGCTCAAATGTTTCAATGTATACGTTAATCGAAAAGGGTGGCTTTGTCGCACCGAAGCTGGAGATTGACAGAAAATTAGCTAAAGCAAGGTCATTCGAAACTGTGGATAAGAGGAAAGACGACGAAAAATTCCTGGAGGACACTAAAGCAAAGGGATCACAGGCAGAGCCCATCTGGGGAGATAATGGTCACACAGTACATCCGGCTTGCTGTCTACTACCGTCGTGGGAAGCATTGAAAGTGAAAGAGCTAAAACCCATAAGAAACGCGCTCTGGAGTATGGTCCAACCCTTTGACGAGAGATTCAATAACAACATAGCTTGTATTTGTGATGGATTTCTGTTTTTCGCCACGCTTGGCCGTATTCAAGTCACTCCACTGGATGAGCTTCTGGATGAAGGTGCTGAAGCGCGGACGAAGCTTCAAATACCTTTGGCACTGAGCTACAAGCTTTATTTCGAAGAAGTCGAGGTCGAACAACTTAATAATTCATCGAGGCCGGTCGATAGGGATCTTGAAATTCATTTCATGAAAGTGTCCAAGTTCTATGATCATAAAGTCCTTTGTGCCTGTACTGAGTCAGGTCTCACGTTTATATTTAAAATTGATGACATTATTGAACAACAGAAAATAAAGGGAATACAACCAAATATGAAAGATGACAATTCAAATCATTTACTGGTTACACCAAGAATTATTTTAAACACACATGAAAGTTCTTGGAGCCTCGATATTTTTGACGAGGGTCTTACAAAATTTATAGCAATCGGTCATAACAGACCTGGGATAACCGTCTTTGCCCACCGCAGGAGAAATCGAACATTGATTACGTGTGAAATTCCTGTGAAGCACAACGTGCCGTCACTGAATTTTGTCAAGAAGTCATCTTCGGTGGACGGCGCAGCATACCTTGCCTACGGATCTATCTTCGGAAATGTTTCAACAGTAAAATTGGAATGCAACATTGGATCAGGTTATTCAGCAATTATCAAATGGGAATACTTTGACACGGAGTTCTTGGCTGACTGGTGTTGGAGTGTAACACCAGTATCCAAGAGGGACTTCCACATTGTTCATGAATTCGAATATCTAAACAACAACTTTAACGAGAGCCACAAAGAGAAATATCTAACAAGGATATATCAGGACAGTTTAATACTGAAGTTTTTTCCTTCAAGCCTGACCCAATCAAGTCATCTTGGAATTGGAGCTAGAATTGCACAAATTAGCGTTCCAGTAGTAAACTTGTCTCTATTCAATGAGCTGCACAATAACACAAGACGTATTGCGTTAAGATTTACGACCTTTATCATATTATCGAATTCTGAAGTGGGTAATCATAGATATAGTGAAGCCTTCGTGAAAGAGGCTTGCTTCGCGCAAAACTCTTCTCGAGGAGGATTGTTACTCGACGAAGAGCATGGATATTTACTGACTGATGATTTAGCACTTGGTGACAACAAAGTAGAGGCAGGATATGCTGACCCTCAAGAGAACTGGACCGGTTATCCATTTACTTACGATAGGTACGGTTCCTCAATAAGAATCCCGTTCATAATCGAGATGAGAGTAAAATGTAAATTACGCACAGTGCAAATAACTGATCCTCACAAAGATCCGGAACTCCTGAGGCATATTGATAGGAATAGACTGAATGGATTCGTGACTTTGAAAATTGGGGCTTCATTTGAATCTAAAAAATGCCTTGAACGCTTTCCTCGAATATTCCAAGGTGTAGTGCACGATAGCTCCACACACTACGTAATTTGGGATCGGATAATGCAAGGTGGTCTAAGCAGAGAAACTCCAATATACGATTATGATCCCAGCTCAGGTTCCAATTCGGATCGCGATTCGTCAATTATGTCTATAGAAGGCTCATCGTCGAGAGGTTCACCTGATCTTCGAAATCTTGAACGAGAGAACCGTGAACATTCAAATTTTGATAATCAAGGTAGCGACTTACCAGACTCGGAAAGCACTCGCGCCTTACAAAATCTCCTCTTTGAAGCAAGCGTGCTTAATGAGGCATCGTTCCAGGATATGAATCAGTCAGCCGAAACCATGGGGATAGATGTGGGTTCTTTGATCAGGCAGATACGAAGACTTTTTGGAAATTTTCGCCTGGTGGGTCTTAATGATAGCAACACAAGAAGGGCCTCACCCATATTTCAACCTGATTCATTTTTTGACTTGGGAAGGGCTACGGATGCTATGAAATTTTGGTCATTAAATAATTATGTCAAGAAAGTTGAGTCACTGCTTCAAATGACCGATTCAGAATCTCGGTACTCATCTCAGGGGCCAAAATTCAATTCTGTTCTCTCTAGCGATGTTTTTTTCGTGGTAACTACTAATTCAAGAGTTTTTCTGTTAAATGGGAATCCTCTCATGATAACTTCATTCACATCTTCGGATATTTTCCCCGTAAAGCATATTAAGAGTTGCCGTTTTCTGGATAGATTGGAAAGATTGAATAGAATATCGCTCGTATGTTTTATAAAGGAGCTGAAACTTATCGTAGTTGCCTCACAGGTGGGGCTGGTATCTCTACTTCGTCTGACATCCTACAATGGTATCTACTCTTTCAGACAGGAATACATCTTTGGCTGGAAAACCCAAAATCCACGAGATCCACACGCACAGTGCATGCGCACTTTTGTGAAAGGCGACAACTGCATGAATTGCCTGGAAGATGACACGATTTTTGAAATGTACAACATTAGTGGGATGGACTATACTTTTATTGCTGCAGACTCAACCAAAAAAATACCGGAGCATGCAATTCTGTATGTTATATCCCGTGATACAGTGTATAGGTTTAAGATTTATAAATAAGCTGTCAGTTGTGTTATTTACTGGATCAAGTTTCTGTTATTTTCGGAACCCTCGAAAATACCCTCGGAAAGTCTTTAGTTTTTCTTTGTGACGTGAAATTATCCCATCATGGTAAACAACACAGACAACACCCACAACAGAAAAGAGTGTACATCGGTGTCAAACGACCATAAGAGAACGTTTCATCACCTTCAAAACATATTTGTCCTAAGGACCGATTAAACATATCTTTTTCAAATTTTATCGTTTCTCAAATCTCATTCAAATCGGTATATCTTTTCCCCTCTATGCATATTCAAAACAGCCAATGTCGGAAATCTCTGTAAGATCTCCTTCAAATTCAAACCATTCACAATACAGCAGAACAAGTGGATTCGCTCAAGAGTCCTTCAATAGGAGTTCTGTGCATGATGACTCTGATGACGAAAACATGCTAGGGCCTCCGAAATTGAGCAATTTCGGCTCTGCTCTTCTTCAGGATAAGGTGAATGAACTGAATAGCAGCAGGTCTTTAGATCAAACGGAAAGATACAGACGGCATCAAAATTTTTCAAATGCGAGCCATGGCTTAACTATAGGATTGGTACCGAGACAGCCTTCTTCGAACAATACTAATAGCACATTGGGAGTTGCTTTTACCACAATGAATTCTGAAGATGCTTCTCAGTCGACGCTCTTTGCTACGTCAAGACAAAATCAACCGAGTATGACTACTTTGAATTCTACAAATCATGAGCAGGACTCCTTGAGCGGATTAAAAGAGGAAGAAAGTCTCCAGAAAGTAAAAAATATGCAACACACATTCAAGGAGGAGTTATCTATCCGGCATTCAAAAAGGAGGAGTAGGAGATTTATATCTCCGAGGTTGAGTATACTTGGTCCTGCAAAGAGAGCATATTCACCAACCGACGGTGGTAACAGTGGAACCAGCGTCAACGAGTCAAGCATGCATTTGGAAGGTAATACCTCCAACTCTTCTGGCATAAGCACCACATTTAATAGTACATGCAATGATGGCAACGTGTTTTACGATCCCTATGTCTCTATGCCCACTAACAATAGCAGCGGTAATTTAACACCAAATAACATACTTCGCTCTTACGAAAATGTCGATTTTGGTGACCTGAACCCGTACCAATATTTGAAAAAGCATAATTTACCTACAACTGAGCTGCCAAACATTTCCAAGATATATTTTGAAAAGCAGAAAGGCGAAAATCGAAGGACAGCTCTGAGAAAAAATAGTGCCAGTAAGGAGGTATTCCTCAACAGAATGGCGTCAAATTCGTCGTTGGGTTTATCGGGTTTGAAAAATACTTCAGCGGTAAAAATTGATAATTCTTTCGGCGTACGACAGCCTAGAAGAAAACCAAGTGACAGTTCACTGAGTGGAACAGGAAAAACTCCATCATCGCCTATAGTTGCTAAGCAGCATGACTCCGAAATATTCAAAAAGAAGGAAAATGTCGAATTAAACAAGGGCTATGAACGGTCATACAAGCACAATACGAAAGCTGTGGATTACTTGGAAGGTCGAGAAGCACTCGCTAATATTGACATAAACAGCAAGAGCTACGAACCGCAATCGAAAAAGGCTAAGTTATCCCTTTCGATGTTTAAAGAGAGACAAAAGGGTTCAAATGATATTTCTAACGAGATAGTTCGTCATCGCAGTCCCCAAAACCTCAGTTTTAATCATAGAACTGCTCCTTCACCTCCAGCAAAAAAAAGAGTTGAAATAGTTGAGCCTCACAAGAACGCGGAAACTGTGCCACTAAAGCCACCAGCACCATCAGGCGAATATGCGAAAAGGAAGCCTAGTATTAAGGTCAACGGTACAGAGTACGAAAAAATGGAGCTTTTGGGACGTGGTGGGACATCAAAGGTTTATAAAGTGAAAAGCATTGCCAATAACAAAATCTATGCACTGAAAAGAGTATCTTTTGATGAATTTGATGATAACAGCATTGAAGGATTCAAAGGCGAAATAGAGCTCTTGAAGAAACTGGAGGCTAAACCTCGAGTAGTAAAGCTCATTGATCATGAAATGGAGCATGGTGTTCTCTACGTGGTTATGGAATGCGGTGATCATGACTTATCTCAAATTTTGGCTCAACGATCAGGAATGCCGTTGGATATAGAATTCGTGAGATATCATGCGCAAGAAATGTTGAAGTGTGTTAAAGTTGTGCATGATGCAGACATTGTACACTCTGACCTGAAACCAGCGAACTTTGTTTTTGTTAGAGGTATTTTAAAAATCATTGATTTTGGTATTGCAAATGCGGTTCCTGACCATACGGTGAACATATATCGCGAAACACAAATTGGGACTCCAAATTACATGGCTCCTGAGGCGTTGGTAGCGATGAATTACTCACAGGAACAATCTGGAGAACAAAATAGATGGAAAGTCGGGAAGCCCTCTGATATATGGTCATGTGGTTGCATCATATATCAAATGATATACGGGAGACCGCCTTATGGTGGGTTTCAGGGCCAAAATCGATTATTGGCAATTATGAATCCTGAGGTAAAAATTGTGTTTCCAGACAAGACACCGGGTGGGGATATTGTTCCGAGGACAGCGTTGGACACAATGAAAGCTTGCCTCATGCGGAATCCGGACAGAAGGTGGACAGTTGATGAAGTTTTAAACGGTCCCTTCATTAGGCCAGTAACTGTGACTCATTTCTTCATACGTGATTTGATCAAAAACGCTGTAAAATATGGTGCAGATCAAAAGAGAGTTTCTGATGAAAAGGTCGAAGAACTTGCGGAAGATGTATGGCACAGATTGGCAGATTTCAAGTTATAAAAGTCTAAAAATATGTAGCATTTGTATTATAAGGTCTATTTTCAGGTTTGAATGAAGAAAACTGGGAAAGAAAAGAAGGAAGTTCTAAGTACTTTACTATTTGTTTTGAATTCTTATCTTTTTACGTGTACAGAGTATATAGGTCACCAGTGACTATCGCTAAGGTATAATTCCTTAGTGAATGCAACCTCCCTATCTTGGTCCAAACTTGGACATAGATGCTGGACCCATTTCTTGCCATTCCTGTTTCGTTAGCCACATATGATCTTTGTCGGCCATGATGTTTGCAAGCACGGCACCACCGATGAATACCATGTGCTTTCTTCTTGGTGGATCCTCAATTCTGACTTTGAATTTTTCCAAGCGAGTTGGATCGTTGTGTAGAACTTTTGTGAACCACAACTGTTTGAGCTCTTTTTCCAATCTAGAGGGCAACCCAGGATACATACTTGAACCACCAGATAGAACAATGGCTTTGTATAGGGCTGTTCTGACATCAACATCGGCTGCTTGAACAGTATTGAAAAGCATTTCACCGACACCAGGTTGTTCAACATCGACTAGACTAGGCTGGAATAAACACTCAGGCGCCTCAAACCTCTCTGAGCCAACCTTTATGATTCTTCCATCTGGAAGTTCGTAGTTTTCAACAAGTGTAGTCGTCTCACGCGCTAATTTCGTGTCCAGATCCAAATCGTAAGAAACATAACATAATTTCTCTTTTATTTGACGCACAGTCTCGAAGTCCGCACTTCTATTGAATGCATAACCACGACGAGAAAGTAAATCTATCAAATATCTCGTGACGTCCCTACCTGCAACATCTAATCTCCTGGTCAGATGATTCAACACCACAGATTCATAAACTGGAACAATATGCGTGACACCGTCACCAGAATCTACAACAACACCAGACGATAGACCTTGGGCATATAGGGCTAGAACAGCTTGAATTGCGACATAAACACCTCCAAAGTCATACTTCTCGAACATTACTTCACACATGCGTTCCCTGTTTTTAATAGGATTCATTGGTGGTTCTGTCAGCAAAACCTTACCACCAGAAGTAGAAGGTAATTTCATCTGTTCGAAGAAAGCGTAGTCCCAAAGAAGTTCCATGTCTGCCCAATTCTTGATTATACCATTTTCCATGGGGTATGAAATTTGCAAATAAGAGCGTACAGCGCTGGCTTCGTCACCGATCATAACATCCTTCAAAGGTGTGCTAATATTAGCTCGTTCTTCCGCTCTTAGAATTGGCCTACCAACGATAGAAGGAAACGTAAAGTCTGGAAAGTTTTCACCGGCACGACCGATCTTTACAAAACCGGTACCTTGGTCAAGAACTGTCATCGAAGTTAGTAACACAATTTTTTAGGGAGCCTTTCAATACCCAGAAGAAAAATAGTACATACCAATTGGAGCTCTATAATCCATTATTATGTGTTATAGCTTTGGGCACGATCCGTTACTGAATTCTATTTGAGCCAACCGAGCTGCCCCTTTTCAAGTTTTCGAGGTTTATTGAAATTTGGTAAGGTTCGTAAAGCTTGATATAATCACGTGACTAATCATATGAAGATAAATAAATGTCGTACTAAGACAGATATGAGTGAGTTTCACAGCGCTGCCAGCACTGTCACTTTAATGCATGTATCGATTAAAATCCGAGATAAACCCTGATACGTCCTATCGCCGTGAAACGGTCCAGATTGTGTGTGCACTTCTCATATGTGATCTGCAATCATCTATTCATGATAGGTGAATTGTCGGTGACCATCTTTCATTGTGTGAACAGAGTAGTTAGACAACTCTTGACCTGAATCCCCCAGAGTCTCGATAATAAATTGCTTAGGAAAAAGAGTTCTTGTTGATTTGATGGTAATAATCATAGGGCATTTTCGGTCTTCTTTGGCAAGCTCTGACAGAAATTTGAAGGTATTACCACCATCAATTAGGCTGTTGTCACAGAAAACGAGCGATACATCTGCCAATAAGCGCTGCCCTTGTCTTGTGGACGTCAAATATAGAGGATAAGACATCATCATAACCAAGGATCCATTGATATTTCTTCCTCTTGTACGGAAAAACTGAGTATCAAGCCTTAGATCGTAGCCATCTTGAACCCAGTTAGTTACATCATCGCCCAAAAAGTACTGGCGAACACCACCCTCGTTTTTCTTGAAGGCCTCAAGGACTCTTGCCTCTAAAAAGTTTAATGTTCTATCTGCGCGATCTCTTACTGTATCGTCCATCCACATTGAATTACTTTTCAGCTGCGACTTTACCATATTAAACATGTCATTGGAAATATTCTCCTTCTTGAGCACGTTACCAATTACTGACGTCTGCAGCGCAGACAACGACGAGTAGCTTATTTTCAACTTTGTCCTTTGGAGGCTGTTGTGTAACTGCGAGAAAAGCATATGAGACTTCCATTTCTTGAACTGATAAGCAACAATTGCCGCAATAACCAGTGGGAAGAAGAATGTGAAGACAAGAGGTAAAATAAAGAAGAAGACGGAAATCAAACCGATGAAGGCAAGTGTCACAGTGATCGGCGAAAAATTATAGATCCGAAAATTGGGTGGAGAATTTTGAAACCTTTGAGGACCTAAAGTGTGAAATTTCTGATGTCTTAAGTTCAGCGTTTGACTTAAAATGGGTCTATGTTTGGAATGCAAGGGGGTTAATAACGGCTTCTTTTCTATCGTTGAAAATAGCCTTAAGGCTGGATAAGCATGCCATGCAGCTGGAAGTGCTATTTTTACACTCCTCGATGGCGCTTTGAAAGCATGAATTCCTAACCTTGGCAATAACATTTCTTTGAAGGCTCGGGATAGTATATATCAACAAGTTAAATATGACATAAAAGTTGTAAAACAGTTCGTAATGGACGACACAAATGAATAACAAGTACAAGTAAATTGCAATAATTTAATAACGAATTTCGTAGGCTCCAGACTTGGAGATGTATTTGATCCATTTAACAGTCGAATATTTTTGTTCTCTCTCAGAGACGTTGAAAAATCTTACAACGAGGCCTGAATTACTGAACATCATAATTTCAAATTTCAATGACATTGGAGGGCGGGGCCATTGTTGGATGTTAATAGAAGAGTCTTTCATGGGAACAGTTACCGCCGACAGAGTATTCTCTGTGAGACCCTGGTATTTGCCAAATTGCCAGACCAGTGCACTATCTTCTGGAACAAATTTGCACTTCCCATTTGACACACTGACATTACAGTCCACCGTTTCAGGCGGCACAGGAATGCGAAGCTGTACATCTTTTGCAGTCAGTTTACTCGGAAATAGTGACTTTAGGGTCACTCTGTACTCGACAGTGTTAGATTTGACAATCGTAACGATTGGAGTAATTTTAAAAGGGAGATTAAGGTTTTCACGAACATGGTATTTCATCAGCTCGAAAGAGCCATCCGGTGGAATGAATTTGATAATTCTCTCAGAGTGGAACTTGTCAAGATGCACACATTGATGAAATTTACAATCTTCCAGGATCACACTACCAGCTGCTGCCTTAGGAATAGCATTCTTATTCTTAATATCGTTGTTAGGTTCAAGATCCTGAGCATCTGAAAATGGTGTATTTAAAGAGAGCGCATCGTTGAGTCCAAAACGACATACAGGCATACCACTTAAGTGAGTTACAATTTCAACTGTACCATCCACATATGATTTTAAGATCGAGCCATCGTGCGACACCAGAATGCTGATACGCTCATTGACATCCAGAAATACCTCGTTCTTCTTATATTTGATCCCACTTGGTCTCCATGAACACGTAGAGGACATTCCGTTAAAATTATCTTGTGATGTGAAGCTACTAGACTTACCTCTAAGCAGTCTAGGTCTGGGTATGATTTTGCTGGCGCTGCTTAAGAACTCCTCAGATATCATATTAAGGTTGTCCAAAGCCACTGTGGGTTTCTCCGACATACGGGCAGCAACACTGCTCAGCTCGGTCTCAATTGGAACTCCATCTTCTAATACTATATCGAGCAGTTCGTAGCATACCATAAACTTTTCCTTCAGTTGTTCCTCTGAATGTATCGCATACGCTTCCATCAAGACATTGAGCTTGTAAAGAAATTCCCAAATGGCGGCGCTATCTGCATTAGATCTCGAAACTGCTACCAGCCATAAATTGCCACTAGTTCTGATATGATGGAACGTAGTAGAGCCAAGTGTCAGAACTGGGGATCGCACATCGAGGTTATTGATGACTTGCACGCGAAATATCTCTGACATGGACTTCTGGGCGGAGCTTTTTGCTTGCTTTGATATTATCAATTCGCCTCGCAGCGAATATATAAATAATGCATTGATCATTTCTTGAATTGATGAAGTTCACAATGCTATCAAATGATTGAATAGGAGGAGATCATAAATCTTGATTCATCTTATGAAAATGCATCGCTGCGCACGACTACAACATATAAACCGCTGGATGCATCAAACGCTACATAAAACTTTGCGTGTGATCAGAAGAAGTCTTCAAGATTCAACTATCATCAATATGCACTTGTATGATTCGGAGTTTGCCCTGCTTCGTGGAAACCCTTGTTACATCATGTGATTATTCTTATCGTAATTCAGAAAAATTTTATTACCATGTCAGTGGATGCATGAAAATATCAACTATCATAGGTCACCGAAATGAACAATATCGTCGTATTTGCGGGTAGTTCGGACCCTTATTTAGTCAAAAAAATATGCGAAAACTTGAGTATCAAGCCTTCTCAGGTCAAGTTGGGCAAATTTTCGAACGGTGAGACCAGTATCAGTATAATGGAATCTGTCCGTGAAAAAGACGTCTACGTTATCCAAAGTGGCTGCGGTCATGTCAATGATAATTTCATGGAGCTTCTAATTTTGTTGAATGCGTGCAAAACTGCGTCAGCTAGTCGTGTCACTGCAGTAATGCCTTACTTTTGTTACTCTAGGCAGCCCGACATCCCATACACCGCAAAGGGTGCTCCATTGATATCTAAACCTAAGGAAAAATACACATTCGAGAGTCATCCAGGCACTCCAGTCTCGTCAATTCTTACTACTCAAAGACCCACTTCTCCTGGTGCAAGAAGAGCAGTAGAGGACATTCTCGAGACAACGATAATATCAACACTAAGTCTCGAACAGCCAATACCCAAAAAATCTAACGGTGGTGAGCTTCACAAATCACCCTCACAATCACGTATTCCCATGGTTCCCGAGCGTAAGGAGAATAGCTCAGAAATGGGGTCGTTTTTCAATGCAAACAATGCTGGTTACAAACTATGGGTAGCACAAGCAGGAACCTTAATTGCGAATCTGTTGACAACAGCTGGTGCTGATCATGTTATTACAATGGATTTGCATGATGCTCAATTTCAGGGCTTTTTCGATATACCAGTTGATAATTTGTACTGCAAACCCATTGCTCAAAATTATATTCAGTATAACATCCCGAATTACCAGGACGCCGTCATCGTATCTCCTGATGCAGGTGGTGCTAAGCGTGCTGCATCAATTGCGGATGCTCTAGAATTGTCGTTTGCTCTAATTCACAAGGAAAGAAGGTCCCAGCTTCCAAAGGGCCCTCCTGACGCGAGTTTGACCTCAGGCGGTGGTGCAGTGTTATCACCCAAACCTTTAGTTTCTACATCGTTGAATGGACCTTTGAGCTCCCAAGATATGAATCCTTCGTCTTCAAAATACGTTCAAACAACAATGCTTGTCGGGGATGTGCGTAATAAGATCTGTATTATAGTTGATGATCTCGTTGACACATCTTACACTATCACGCGTGCCGCTAAACTATTGAAGGACCAAGGCGCTACAACTGTCTACGCTCTGATCACTCACGGTGTTTTCTCTGGCGATGCTTTGAATAGAGTATCACAAAGTGCTATAGATAAAATTATCGTTACAAACACAGTGCCTCAGGACAAGACAGTAAGCTTTCTAGGCAAAAAGAGGGTTCACGTGTTGGATGTGTCTCGCATCTTTGCCGAATCAATTAGGAGAATCCACAACGGTGAATCTATAAGTATGCTCTTCGAGCATGGATGGTGATACTTGTGTATAATCTAATCCATAAATTAATAGTGTAATGACGAAGTAGTCGCGTTTACGGTTTTTAGTATGTATCTCTCTAAATGCGCCTATTTATATTGATCTGCGTAGAGGATTTTCAAACACCAAAAAAAAACACCATAGAACTCATATTGCGTGCTTTTCAGCGTCTCCAGTGGAGTCTACTTCACCATGAAATGAATTGAGACCCTCTGTGTAACTTATGTCGGTAGTCGCAGTTCTGGACTGATCTTCCTTAGATGGTGGCAAAGTCTTCAAATTGTTTAAACTCTCCTCTTGGCGTAACAAAGCTGCCTTGGCAGATTCTTCTTGTATATGCTTTTCCTCATTCGACTTCAAAGCCTCTGCAACATTGGTGTGGTCCATGTGATCTTCTTCTTCATTTCTCAACTTCGCGATTTTTGCTTCCTCCTCTCTCTTGGTATTTAATTCATTCAACTCATCCTCCGTAATCAAATGATGCTTATGCGTATCAGGAATATGCTTTAAAGTTCCTCTTTCATCTAACTCACAGCACTCAATGTGCTCAAACCAAGAGTTTGTCACGACGTCACACATTAATATTCTCTTCTTTGGATCAAGCTCCAGCATTTGACCGACGAGACTACGGGAGTGACGAGGCAATAGCTTCAATAGTCTATAAGGTCCCTTCTGAAGATCCTTATCATGCTCTGGTTCCTCGCAAAACAATCTGAATGATTGGAATTTGTCCCGAGGAGCTTTCCATGGAAATCTTCTCAAAGACATACAATAGAACATAATTGCAATTGACCATACGTCAACCGGTCTTGGATCGTATGTGGTAGATGTAAGCAACTCTGGCGCCAGATATGGATCTGATCCAACGATGCCCTTTGCTTTAACAATTTCTTTCTCATAAGGGTATTGGAAAACGACGGCACTTCCGAAATCGATTAACTTTAATATTCCTTGACTAGTGACAACACAATTATCGAGCTTCAAATCTCTGTGTGCCAAGCCCATCTCATGCAAATAATTGACACCATTACAAATTTGCTTGAAATAACATGCAATCTCATGCCTGGTCATAAGGTCACTCATTACCAGCGTAAAAAAGTCGTATGGACAATATTCCATGACAACTAGGAAATTGGATCCCTCTTGTAACATATCTAAGGTTTCGATAATATTTTGATGGTGAAGGGTAGAACCTATACAGAATTCAGCAGTGACTTTCTTTGAATACTCAATTTGGCTTTCTCTGGGCCCACGCGCACGGAACCTTTTCACTGCAAACATCTTGCCATCAATCCTCTCGACAACAGAAACAGAGCCCGATGCGCCTTCACCTATCAACTTCCCTGGAATTCCATATTTTTCGATCAATTCCCGAGCGTCATCAGTTTCATAAATAGTCTTCGGATTCGTGTGCAGATCACTTACGACCGCCACAGATGAAGAATCATGCTGCCCAGCAGGTGTTTCCTCTCCATGCAATTTTTTGAAAAATCTCTTCAACTGTAGCGACTTCTTCTTACTCTTATCATGAGCAAGCTTAGGTGGAGCCAATCGCATTTGTTGTTCCTCGATCTCTTTCTGCAGCAACTGAACAGGATGCATATGTGACTTTGGGGACGGAACTGTCTTTAGGACATGTATGGAATGAGGCGATTCGGATTTGCTATGGGTCGCTATCTTGGCATTTTCATTGTGGTTGTAATTATGAGGATTATGCAAATGATGGGCATGCGGCTGGCTCAAATGGGGATGGTCCATCATCGGTACACATGAGACTGCACGTGGATTCGAGTCTTGTGATTTTGAGCTAGAATTACTTTGCCTTGGTGACAATAAATTCCCCAAGAAATCTTTGCCCGATTCCCCCGTTGAAGAATGACTGTTCCCTCGAAAGAGTTTTGCAAATCCAAGACCATGCTTCTTCTTCCCAAAAAAATGTGAAGTCAACGAAGATGTAGATCCTGTAGACTTTACCGACGAAACGTCGTTATGACTGTGAGAAGAGAATAGACTTTCTTGAGGCATTGTTCAATCAAATTGCAACCAATAGACTCACAATAAAGAAATAGCAGAGAAGTGGATGATGTAGGCCTTACGCCAGTATTTTCCTCTACGAATGATTTCAAAAGTTCTCTTCAACTCGCCTTCTATGTGCACAATTCTTTGCAGTCTTAATACAAGAGTGATTGCTATACCTCTGTGCCCCCTTTTCGAATATACTGAACTTTTTTCATAGATATTATGTAAGTGGAGTTCGGGCCGTTACTAGCGACGGAAACATATATGGACTATGCAACTAAAAATATGATTATTGAGGCTTGTCTTTCATCAAGTAGCCATCATTGTCACCAAGACCTTCGGAATTTAACTTATCTGACGAGGCAGATGTATGTGTTGATCTAGGACGACTGCTTGATGCGCTGCCACCCGCGCTGGGGTTACGGAAAAGACTGAACATGCTTCCTCTTCGGCTTTTGCTGGGCCTGGCAGACGAAGAGTGATGACCAGACTCGTCACTTTCTGCTCCATTATCATGTATATTGCGGCCTTCGTCGATGATAACCTCTTGTGACTCGTCCCACTTTTTAGCAGGTGCAATAATGGTCTTAGGGACCCCCTTGACAGTGATCACACTCTCCACTATTCCATTCTTTGTTGAACGATAGGAGGAAGAGATCATTCGAGTTTCAGGATCACTAGAAGTAGCTCGCTCTGGTTTTGGTGTTAAAACATCGGTCGAGGAGCTTGAAATTTTCGAATCTTGTTCTTCAGGTGTGGTCGGCTGCGGTGTTTCTTGTTTTGTCGTAGTTACATGTGTGCTTTCACCAGTTTGCAAAGTATGCTCCATTGCTCGCTCGGATGCATTTGCATGTTCTCTATTGATTGCTCGATCTTCGATGGAAGGGATTGTACCACCATTGTGGACGCTGTGGGCATTTCGCCCGTTCAACTTCTCAAGTGCTTCATCCAAGTGAAGTTTTGGAGAAGTTGCCATTCCACCGTAGTTTGGCGACCCATCTCTATTTCTGAAAGTCGGAGATCTGACACGGCCATTCAGCTCTGCTGGGTCTTTAATCTTTACGTATGGGTTAGCCACTTTAAGTGGGTTAGAGGCCAAGTTCGATGGAATTACCGGCTTCTCATGAGGAGGCAAGTTGTGGGGTGGTGACTTCGACACTTTGTCTGTCTGCGCATGATTGTTGAGGAGTGGCTGATCTTCTTCGGTGAAATCCGTCGAGTGTCTGTGAGAAGTGGTGTAGAGAGAATGCAGATAGGAAGTGATGTGTCTTTTCGACAATGGGCCTGGTTGTTCCCTCATGATTCGCTGGTGGATGTCGACGAAAATATCCGATTCGTCCACGATTTCTTCACCGATAAGCTCTTCGATAACATCTTCCAAAGTCAACACTCCGAGCGCACCTGCAGAGCTTCCAGGTTCGCTCGAAACCACACACATGTGGGATTTGCCCTCTTGGAAATAATTCAAAATATTCAGACACGAGGTGTTGGGAGATGTTTCTGGCAAAGTGGCCAGGGGAAAATGGGAGATGGGCAGACAATCCTCCGGGTCGTAGGAGATTAGCACACGGACCAACAGCATGCCGATGAAATTGGTGGGCTCGCCCGGCAGGTAGATGGGGACACGTGAAAAACCCGAATTGAATATTTCCTCGACTGTGTCATCATTCAAGATAGTGTCTGCGCTCATGGTGAACACGTTTTCGATCGGTGTCATGATCTCAGACACTTTTTTCTCCTTCAAATCCAGCACAGCAGAAATGATGGTCACCTCGTCTTTTGTCAGCCTGTCGACGCCCATGGTTCTATGAAGGGTCACGAGCGTCTTGAGTCCCGACTTTTTGTACATGGTACCGTGGTCTTCGCCGAGAATCCAGTCCAGCAACAGCGCGATCGGGTATGCGACCGGGTACATCACGTACATCAGGCAGAGCACGAAAGGGCAGAAAAAGGCGCCGACCTCGAGGCCGTAGCGCACGCACACGGATTGCGGGATGATCTCGCCAAATATCACGATCAGCACGGTACTGGACACGACGGCCTGCCAGCCACCTCCCAGGCAACGGTCGAGGACAATCGGCAGCGTTTCGTTCGTAATGACATTAGACAGCAGCAGGGTGACCAAGAGCCAATGCTTGCCCTTCGAGATGAGGTCCAAGACGCGGCGGGCGAGCTTCTGTTCACGCGGGGAGCCGGAGCTGCTGATGACTTTGAGGTATACTTCGTCCTGGCCCATAAGCCCCAGCGTGAGCCCTGCGAAAACCCCGCCCAGCAGCACCAGTAGGATGGAGATGGACAGGAAGCTGAGAAATTGGCCTTCTTCTAGCTTTTCATGTTGCGCTATGAACCTGACGGGCTGGCCTTGGATACCATGCACGAGCGACAGCAGCCACACGATTCTTCGTACGCTTAGAGGAGAAATTTGCGAGGGCATCCGGGGTCGCGGTGGGAGCTTTAGTGGTGTCTGGCGAGAATGAAAGCGGGTTTAGGTTATGGTGAAAAATATGAGCTAAGAATCTAGGGGAGGCACGTGCGAGTCACGGGGCCCGTTCGGAGTGACCCGGTCCCGGGCCCCGTTCAAGCCGCGTCCGCAACATGATTTGCGAGACCCGACGCTGCCGTGGCCGGCGCGTCGCGAGCGTGCTCGCGGCAGGCTCGGGATGGCTGCGGACGGTGGGTCAGCCGCGCCTTCTCGAGGGCCGCAGGCGGTGGGCCAAACGCGGGCCAAACACGTCAGCGGCGGGCGCCAACGCGCGGCAGCAGCCACGTGGGACCCACACCCACGTACGCACGTACGTAGTGCGTCTGTAGGTGCGCACCGACATGTGTCACGGTTGACGTGGGCGCAGGGCCGCCTTGCTACGCGCTCAGCACCGCCCTGCGCACGTCGGAAAAACCCACCGGCGGGGGCGCCCCTCACCCAGCCTCCCGGAGAAACCCCTCGGCGGATCGCCGAGATGGTTTTTCCCCGAGTGTTGCGGCGCCGGCGGCTCGAGCGCGCTCGAGCGGCCAAAATTGCCCCCATTGGCCCGCGACCGTGCGACGCGACGCGACGCGACCGCCCACGGCCGTGTCGCAGCCGGACCGGCGCGCTCGTCCGGGCTCGGCAACGCCTGGGGTGCAGCGCTCGCCGCTCGAGCAACCGTCTCGAGCGCCGGGCGGCTGTTTCTGCGCACTGCGCCTGGCGCTGCATGCTGCGCGCCGCCGGGGCCACTACCACGTGACCACCTCCCCCCCCTCGCAACCGCTTCGAGCAGCAGCCGCCGCCACCAGCGCCAGCCGCCAGCCGCCGGCACGTCATTTGTCCGATGTGACGTGGCCGGCATCGTGTCGCCGCTACGCGCCGCTACGCGCCGCTACGCGCCGCTACGCGTCGCTAAGCGCCGCCGCGCTGCGCCCGGCTTCCCCCATCACCCGGCCAAAAAACCAAGAACCGCCGCGTCCCGCGGACACCACGTAATCTGGTTCGGCGTCCGCGAAAATTTTGTCTCTGTCCGGGCACGTCCGCACCCTCTTCGGACACAGCGCCGTCCCGGCCCCCGCTTCGGTCAATGCGTGCGGGTCACGGCTTGTCCCACTTCTCCGGTAAAAAATTTGACCCAGCCAAGGGTCACCAGCTGACCCAGTGGTCTGCCTGGCTCTGGCTCACACGTAGGCGCACGCAGCCATATGGGGCCTACGGGGTTTCTTAGGTCAGCGTTGGCCAACCCATATGCGAAGCTAACCCGGTGAGGGCGGTGAGGGCGGTGAGATGGCCGGTGAGCCCCGGTGAGGGTCGGATCGTGGGCCACCCCTTTGACCCTTTGACGAATCGGAGGTGAAGCGGGAAGCCCGGTGGCAAATGTATATAAGAGAAAGCAATAACGGAGATAGATACCCTCGTCTTGTTTGATAAAATGATATCAATAACCAGATTGTTAAAGCCAAGGTTCTTAAGTTCCACCTTTAATAGATCTACCAAACTCAAGTTCACTTCATACACACGCACAATGTCCGCCGCTGATAGACTAAATCAAACTTCCGAGATTCTTAACGAATCTTTCCAACCTGTTGAAAACCCTTTCAAAGTTACCGTTATCGGTTCTGGTAACTGGGGTACCACGATCTCCAAGGTTGTGGCTGAGAACACCGCGCTAAGACCTCACTTGTTCGTGCGTCGCGTCGACATGTGGGTTTTCGAGGAGATGATTGACGGCCAAAAATTGACCGAAATTATCAACACCAAGCACGAAAACGTCAAGTATCTGCCAGGTATCGAGCTTCCAGACAACTTGGTGGCCAACCCTGACCTCGTGGGCGCCGCCAAAGACGCAGACATCCTTGTTTTCAACGTTCCTCACCAGTTTTTGCCTCGCATCGTCTCCCAACTACAGGGCCACATCAAGAAGGACGCCAGAGCCATTTCATGTCTAAAGGGTTTCGACGTCGACAAGGACGGTGTCAGACTCTTGTCCACCTACGTCGAGGAGAAGTTGGGCATCGCCTGTGGTGCCTTGTCCGGTGCCAACCTAGCTCCTGAGGTCGCCAAGGAGAACTGGTCCGAGACCACCGTTGCCTACAAGCTGCCAAAGGACTTCAAGGGCCAAGGTAAGGACGTGGACCACGCCGTCTTGAAGGCGCTATTCCACAGACCATACTTCCACGTCAACGTTATTGACGACGTTGCCGGTGTTTCTGTTGCCGGTGCTTTGAAGAACGTGGTTGCCCTAGGTTGTGGTTTCGTGGAAGGTCTAGGCTGGGGTAACAACGCCTCTGCTGCCATCCAAAGAGTCGGTTTGGGTGAAATCATCAAGTTCGGCCAAATGTTCTTCCCACATTCCAAGGTCGAAACCTACTACCAAGAATCTGCCGGTGTTGCTGACTTGATCACCACCTGTTCCGGTGGTAGAAACGTCAGAGTCGCTACCCACATGGCCCAGACCGGCAAGACCGCCGAGGAGTCCGAGAAGGAGTTGTTGAACGGTCAATCCGCTCAAGGTATCCACACCTGTAAAGAGGTCCACGAATGGTTGGCCAGCTGTGGCAAGACCGACGAGTTCCCTCTATTCGAAGCCGTCTACCAAATTGTCTACGAAGGTGCTTCCATGGAGACTCTACCCGACATGATCGAGGACTTGGAAGGTGTCAACATCCCTGTCGCCAAGCATGCCAACAAATAAGCTGCAGGTTCCGTATCGGCCAAAAACAGATAAGGACTGCGGTTTCTTTCTGACATCATGCATTTCACTACAAGTTCCTAGGTATTTCAGAGAAGTCGGGCATTTTTCTAAAGCCTTTTTTTAAGTGTACATTAGTCTATATATCTAAACATGTTTGCAAGACTTGTTTGTGTAAACAGTCATTCTTTCAAAGTTCAAAGCATATTTCTCTTTATCTTCTTCATTTTGTTGCGTGCCAGTTTGCATGTGTGTGTATGCCCGGAGATGGTGGTGACCGTAACAAACTCATCACGCAGGCGCGTCAACACCTCAGCGCACGGCCCACGGTCTGGCCTCATTTGTCTGGCACTGGCTGCTCGTTTCTTCTGGCGCGTGTCGATTCACCTGGCGCCTGGCCTGACTGGCGCCCGCTGCCACTTGGCCGCACAGCGCGCGCTTCTACTATTACCGGAATCCGCAAAACATCACTCGCAGCTCTTGGCTTGTGAATCATGCTTCTGCTCAATTGTCATCTACGGAGCCTACGACGGTCCCGTACACCAACAGACTCTGGCCGTATTCCAGAAGCGGCGTCCTCTTCCTGGCGTCGCGATGCTTTTTTCCCTCTTCGCACGCATAGGGCTCAAAATCCCACCCACCACACCCCACGCCATGGCCTCCGAATGTCCGGAACAACAATGCGACACAAAAAGAAACGCCACAACGGCGCCGGCCACATGACCGAGAAATCACCTGGCAGCAGCCCATTAGGGCTTTCAATTTAGGGCTTTTTACATGCTGGACCAAAAAAAGCAACGCGCATGTTCGGCGCCGCTCGGCGCCGTTCGGCATTTTTCAGGCCCGAATGGCACCGAACCCCGCCCGCGCGCACCGCGCTTGTATGCGAAACCTTAAGGAAGAGTCAGATACTTCCGCATAAGTCGTACGAAACGATGAGAAAAAGTGCCCTTCCCTGGCGCACCTCTTTCCGCTAAGTACAGGACTTAGAGAGAAGAACTTCCTTTAAGTACAAGAGCAAGAGATGGATCTTCCCCAGATGCAAGATCACCAACATTTGTAACCATGAGAAATTGTCAAACTTAAAGGGGGCGTATCAGAACCGACTGGCGATGGTTCTGATTAGCACCAAAACACATAAAGCTAAATAGACATGTATTTACACACGCATGGTGGTTATTGTGCGTACGTACGGCTTCTGTCTGATGAGTCAGAAAAGGCCCTCTGACTCTTTTAACGATGTTTTTCAGAAACGTCAGTACAGAGATAGCGCACTCTGGTGTTGATTGAAGGGCCAGACAGACATTTCCGCAGGGAAAATTTTTGGCGTGTGTACAGAGGGAGAGTGTATAAAAAGGTGAGTGGTTAGCAGTAGAACGGACATTGAAGCTTATTCTAGTAAACTGAACAATTCAATCGATTTATATAATCTACAATGTCCAAGGGTAAAGTTTGTCTAGCATATTCCGGTGGTTTGGATACCTCCATTATTCTAGCGTGGTTGCTAGAACAAGGCTACGAAGTGGTTGCTTTCATGGCCAACGTGGGTCAAGAAGAAGACTTCGAAGCTGCTGAAAAGAAGGCACTTGCAATTGGTGCCACCAAGTACGTTTGTGTCGACTGCAGAGAGGATTTCGTTACTAAAGTTCTTTTCCCTGCCGTTCAGGTTAACGCTGTCTACGAGGACGTGTACCTAATGGGTACCTCCCTTGCTAGACCTGTGATTGCCAAAGCCCAAATTGACGTTGCTGAAAAGGAGGGCTGTTTCGCCGTTGCCCATGGTTGCACCGGTAAGGGTAACGACCAAATTCGTTTCGAACTCGGTTTCTACGCCTTGAAGCCCGACGTCAAGGTGATTGCTCCATGGAGAGATCCTACTTTCTTCGAGAGATTCGCTGGTAGAAAGGACTTGTTGGACTACGCGGCCGAAAAGGGTATCCCTGTAACTCAGACCAAGGCCAAGCCATGGTCCACCGACGGAAACCAGGCTCACATCTCGTATGAGGCTGGTATCTTGGAAGATCCAGACACCACTCCTCCAAAGGACATGTGGAAATTGATCACCGATCCTCAAGACGCTCCAGACAAGCCAGAAAATTTGACCATTGAGTTCAAGAAAGGCCTGCCTGTCAAGTTGTCCTACGAAGAAAATGGTGAACAAAAGGTGGCCACTGAGCCCCTAGACGTCTTCTTGACTGCTTCTAAATTGGCAAGAAGAAACGGTGTAGGCAGAATCGACATCGTCGAGAACCGTTACATCAACCTAAAGTCGAGAGGGTGTTATGAGCAGGCTCCTCTAACTCTATTGAGAAGAGCCCACGTCGACTTAGAAGGTTTGACCTTGGACAAGGAGGTTCGTCATTTGAGAGACCAATTCGTCACTCCTACCTACTCCAGACTAATGTACAACGGTTCTTACTTCACTCCAGAGTTTGAATACGTCAAGAGCATGATTGCCCCATCTCAAACTACCGTTAACGGCCAAGTCAGACTCAGCCTGTACAAGGGTAACGTCATAGTATTGGGTAGATCTTCTGAAACCGAAAACTTGTATGACCCAACCGAGTCGTCCATGGACGAGCTAACTGGCTTCCTACCAACAGACACTACCGGTTTCATCGCCATCCAAGCCATCAGAGTTAAGAAGTACGGTGAAGCCAAGAAGGTCAGAGGTGAAGAGCTAACATTGTGAACAAAAGACAATACAAGTGCGCATGTTTGCCGCAGTAGGCAAGCGTTTTGTATGTTTTAAAGTGTAGTCATTTATTGTTAAGAAGCATCGAATTTTAAGTAAATATATTATTCAATATCGATAAAATCAACTAGAGTATTCAGAATTGAAGCACAGAATCTGCTTTTACCTTCCATGGAAGCGGCAGCCAAGCTATTTATGTTTCGATCACATGTGGCGCCAACGTCCGTAGCGATCCTCTTTCGGCCGTTCCACCATATGGCTAAAAAGGACCCCTCCTACGTCGGAATCGACGTGTAATTTCGAAGAGAACTCATCTCCTTGCGACTACCTACTACTGTTTGTGGCTACTGAGTATCAAGCTAAACGGTATTTATATAAATTGAGATTTTCTGGGGCCTCTTATATGCTCCTTGCAAAGAATCTTCCCTTCAGATACATTTATTCCACTATCATAAGCAAGCTAAGAATGTCAACCCAGGTTAACAAAGCTTATCTCGCCGATCATGAAGCCCCATTGATCATGTTGAGCGCCAAAGGGTTTTTTGAGCAATTGACGAATAAAGAGAAATTGTACGCGCATTTTATGTCGAAGGCTTCTCATGCCGGTTCCAGAGTAGTACTCAGACAAGTTTCACATGAAAGTGAAGCAATCTTTGACTTGATCATGGCCATCAACACAGGCATTGGAGGCCAATATCCAGAAGGCAAGGACAGTGAGCTCTACCTCGAGTACGTTTCCCAGTTTCTTTCAAACTTAGGCAATTATAAGTCCTTTGGTGATCTCAAATTCGTGCCACGATGCTCTCAATCCTACATACTGAAACTTTTAGAACTTGCTCAGATCGATAAAGAGACCAAGCCTTCAACAAAGTCATGTCTTTATGAAACATGGGCTGATTTGATCGCAAAGGGTATCTACTACGCCGACGAAAAGTGTGCTCTGTTAGGCTTTCCCTCACAAGGACACCGTTCTTCGTACTATTTCGGGGATGTAGCACCTGAAGATATGGCGTTGCTGAAGAAAGAAGTTTTTAGTGCATACAGCATTTTACCTGAAAATACAAGAATCAAGAAGTTACATGACAAAAAATTTGAGATATTAGTGGCATCTGCTGTGAAGCAGAACCAATTAGTTGAGTATCCTAAAGAACCTTTCCAACTATCTAATGGATACCAGGTATCTTTTGTGTTTGGTGATCATTCTCGTGAGATGGCGCTTGTTGCTCATTACCTGAGTGAAGCCAAGAAATATGCCGCCAATGATATACAAAAGGATATGTTAGCTGAATATATCAAATCTTTCACTACGGGATCTTCACATGCACACAAAGAGTCTCAAAAGCTTTGGGTCAAGGACTTGTCCCCTGTCATAGAAACAAATGTAGGCTTCATTGAGACATATAGAGAACCATCGGGAATCATTGGTGAATTTGAGTCTTTGGTTGCCATTCAAAACAAAAAACGAACGGAAAAGTTTGCCACTATGGTAAAAAGTGCTGAGAAATTCATCGCCCTTCTGCCTTGGGATCGCGCATTCGAGAAACCAAAATTCCAACCACCGGACTTTACATCTATTGAAGTTCTAACTTTTGCTGGAAGTGGTATCCCCGCTGGAATCAACATCCCAAATTACGACGATGTCAGGTTAAATATTGGTTTCAAAAATGTCTCGTTGGGTAATATATTGAGCGCTAATCCAGGCTCGAAGAAACGACCTACGACATTCATTGGTGATGAAGACCGTGAACTATATGACGAATATCATTCCGAATCGTTTGAAGTTCAGGTAGGAATTCATGAGTTGTTGGGGCATGGGTCAGGAAAACTCCTTAGCGAGTTAGAAGACGGTCAGTTCAACTTTGATAAGAAAAATCCACCTTTAGGCCTTGATGGGAAACCTGTCTCCACATACTACAAGAAAGGAGAAACTTGGGGCTCTAAGTTTGGCCAATTGGCCGGGGCTTTCGAGGAATGCCGTGCAGAGGTGATAGCTCTATACTTGATTACTAACAGAGATTTGTTGGAAATATTTGGATACAAAACAAAGGACGAACAAGATAGCATTATTTATGCTGGATACTTGCAGATGGCACGTGCCGGATTGTTAGCATTAGAGTTTTGGGATCCTAATACAGCCAAATGGGGTCAGCCGCATATGCAAGCTCGTTTCTCCATCATGAAAACATTTTTGAAACACTGTTCAGACAAAAAATTCTTACAGCTCGCATACAGCAAGGACGATTACTCGGATCTGTGTGTCGTACTTGATCCCAATTTAATTGAAACGGCAGGTCATGATGCGGTGAAAGATTACTTGATGCACCTTCACATCTACAAATCCTCGGGTGATGTAACAAACGGTAGCGCTTACTTCATTGAGAGAAGCACTGTAGACGCTGATTTAGCCAAGTTCCGCAACATTGTACTAGATAAGAAATTACCGCGTAGACAAATAATTCAGGCCAACACTACTCTAAAAGGCGATGAAGTGAAACTAAAGGAGTATGGAGAAAGCCCACTTGGTATGCTCATGTCGTTTGTAGAAAGGGAGGTTTAAGTCATCTTCCCTAATTGTTTGTACCTTTCTTAGCTAAGATCTATATTGTAATATCTAACGAAATAGCTTCCAATATTGCATCTCGTGGTGGTTGCCAAAGCATTGTAACGTATACTCATGTTAAACAGCTGGCACTGGGCTGTTTCTTTCTAAAAGCCAGCGAGCAATTGAACAGGTTATCAATTAGATTGGTATCAAAACCTAAAAGTAAAGTTCATACATAATAAAGTTGCATCTTCAGCAAGATGTCGCAAACGGACACTTACACACTTTTCATTCTGAGACATGGTCAAAGTGAATTGAACCATGAGAATATATTCTGTGGATGGATTGATGCCTCTTTAACAGAAGAAGGAAAGGCTCAGGCACGTTCTGCAGCAAAAATGATTAAAGAGCATTGCCATGGAAAACCATCTATGCTTCCACAGATTGGATACAGTTCGAGATTAGTTAGAACCCAGCAGACATTCGAGGTCATGCTTGAAGAACTTGGAAAGGAGGGATCATATCATGTAATCACCCAAAGCACCAATGTGCCCGCTATTTTGAAAAACAAAGAAGAATCAAAAGTTCCTGTTCTACAGACATGGAGGCTAAATGAGCGCCACTATGGCTCTTGGCAAGGACAAAGGAAACCAAAAATTCTGGAAGAATATGGGAAAGAGCAGTATATGTTTATAAGAAGAGATTATAAGGGTAAGCCTCCAGCTGCTGATCTGAGTAAGGAGATGATCCAAGAGAGAGATGATCAAGGCGCATTGACAGGGTATGAGTTTAAGGAACCAAACAGGCGCGTAAAGTACTGGCCAGAAGAAGAATCTGGTGAAAATCTCCCAAATAGTGAATCATTACATGATGTCGTTAACCGTTTACAGACATTTTTGAACGAAGTCATCTTAGGAAATTTGGAGGAGTTTTCCTCCACACTCATAGTGGCACATGGTAGCACAGTTCGTTCAATTTTGAAGATATTGGAACAAATTTCTGACGAAGACATTAAAGACGTGAATATCCCGAATGCTATACCAATTGTTATCGAATTAGACAAGAAAACTAAGAAGTTCATTCGCAGATATTATTTGGATCCAGAATTGGCGAAAGTCAATGCAGAACGGGTGCGCAACGAGGGGTTTGAAAAGAACTAATAGTGACGTTAACTATACACTTGATAAATAGAACGAAGTAACGTTTGTACGACTGGCATTTTCCGCCAAAAATAAATCAGTAATCAATATGAAAAATAGTATTGTCAATTTCCATAGTATATACAGACTGATATATATTCAACTTCAAGGCTGATGGTGATATATCTACCAAGAATCTCTAGATGTCTTTTATATAAATGCAATGATGGTTTCTAACGTAGTAATGCAAATCAAATGGCAAATCTTCCTGCCTCACAAAAAGATCATGACATAGCTTCATTGATAAGGGGGGGGTATAAGCGTATGCTGTTATAAGTCCATTGAAAAGAAACCTTTGTAATCTTATTAGAGCTTCGAAACGAGTAAGACACTTTTACTCTGAACCAATGGGATTGCTTTCGGCTTCTCTTCAAAATTATTTGTGAGAAGAGAGCTGCACTACGCGCCAGCGTATTCCACGTTCTCTTTGGCAAATTGAATAGCCTTCTGCGCTTCGGCTCCCGATAGCTCGTGTTTTACTTTGACATGTCTGCTCAGGGCATCTCCTCTTGAAAATGTTTTCTGATACCCTTCGGCTCCCTGTTGCTGTATACAAATCAAACAACGGAAAACCTTCTTTTTAGATGCATGAATAGTCTTTTGATGCCTGATCAAATCATAAGGTCTCGAGAATTTCTTATAACAGGGCTCATTAGTAATCGGATTTATAAGTTGACACGTATGGACTTCTTGAGCAGAGCCAGGTACCGAAGAGGTAGCAACAACAGATGGTGTTGGTGAATATTTCTTTCTGGAGGCTGGGATGGCACTTGCCGCACTGGAGGACTTCCTTCTCGATGATACTTTCTTCTTTTTCGAAAGGGGGGCGATGGGTATAGTACTTTGATTTAACGATTGCGGAGTTGCAGAGCTATCGTCAGGAGTCGAATCCCGTGATATGTGTGCACTAGAAGGAACAGTCATATACTGATCATTAGAGCAAACTACACTTGACGTTCTGGCCTTACCTTCGTAAAGGGTATCTTCATCAAATGTGTCTTCGTCCTCTTCTTCGTCATCCTCATCGTCATCATCGTCAACTATTGCTGTCTCGCGTCTCTCATCGTCAACAAAGCTGGAGACCGGCCGCCTCCTGTCAAAAATCTGCGAGTCGTCATCGTTTATACGAGCTTCGTATTCTTCCTCATCTTCATCCTCATCCTCACTCAAGTCGTCGTCAAATTCCCGATCAAAAATCGACATAGCGTCTTGCGACGTGGTTGTGGACTCCTGAAGAGGCCAACAGAACATCTTCTGGCTATCGTCGTAGTAGTAGTCTACGGGGAAGGTTTCGCCCGAGCGCATCATGTCCTCATCTTCGTCTTGGAATAACGAGGGGGACGTTATCTTAACATCGGAAGTACTGGGGAGACGAGTCAAGAACGGATTTATATTTAACACGGTGTTCAACGAGACTGTGGGCTGCACTGGTGTAGCCGAAGGGACTGCATTCTGAACAGCACTATCTTCGACCGCCTCTGGCCTTTCTAGTGACATTGTAGTGAGTGTAGGATCTGCGTACTTGCTGAAGATCGATTGATTTTGTTCGTCAAGTTCTGGATATGGCATGCTAGATTGCTCGGGCAGTAACAGCAAATCCTCTAGAGACCTGTTCTTCCACGACTTAGGCGTCTGTGCTTGCTCTTGCCCGTCGTTTCTGGACATATGATATAATTCCTCTTCTAAAACGTCCGTTAAGGTTCTGGTGAGGGGGTTTAGCTCTGTTGTAGTTGTCATATATGTTACTAACTGGTGAGTATTAGTAATAGGTAAAGGGGACTTAAATCGTTAAATATGCGAGCAACGTTATTTTTCGTTTCTGTTGAGGCGGCGAAAAGAAAAAAAGGTTACGACGACGTGAAACGTCGCAAGAAAGTATCACCGTACGAACGTACATAAATTAAGAAGTTTCTAGAAAAAATTCGTATAAGTGAATAAAATATCTGACTAAGAGATTTCAATTGCCCTTAATTGCATAGTCGTTTCATCCCATTATTGGAATAGAAAACTGTCTATCCTAGATCGCATGTAAAGTTAATTGTAACCTAAGAGTAACTTCGTAACTTAGAACTGTATTCGTGCATCATAATTTCTATCTATCATATTAAATTAAGCTGAAGCATTGTCGACTGACTTCGACTCGTGGTAGGCCAATGCCGAATCCCAAAACTCCTTTTCTAGCTTACATACAGCGGCGTAAATTTCACAGAGCGCATCCCAATCGCTTGTCATTTGGCAGATTCTATCCAATAAGATTAGGCCCTCGTCCATGGCGTCAGTGTACCAAGGCGATAAGTAATCCTTGCACCACGTATGATAAATGTCATCTTCTGGAACAGTGATATCATTCTGGCGTATCAATAAGGCGTTACCGTAACCCATCAAGCAGGGTGACAGCGCGACGCACAGATGCTCCCAGGAGCCACTTTTGGCCACGTCGAGGAAAAACCGAGCGTAGTTCTTGAGCGCAGGGCTTTTCTTGATTTCGTCAAAGTGCTTCATGTCTGAAATGCCAAAATGCTTTATCATCTTCTCACGGTGCTTTTCCATTTCCACCTTGATGCTGCTTACGACCTCAATGGATTTCCTGAAATCCGCGTCGGTGGGTGCTTTACTAGCGGCTGTGCAGTGGATTTGCGCGTAGTTGTCTAGATAAGCGTAGTCTTGTTCGAGGAAAAAACGGAACTTTTCTCTGGGCAGCGTGCCATCAGCGACCTGTCTCACAAAGTCGTGGTTGATATAAGCTTCCCAGTAGGGTTTCACGCGTGAGTCGGATATCAAATATTGGAAAAAAGAGCCCGAATCACGAATTTGTGATATCACGCTGCTGCTGCTGCAATTGCTTGCCCGGTCATCTTCTTCAAGGCTCAAATTGTGGGCAGAATAGCACACGTCTTCTATCATCTCCTTCAAGGGCATCTTAATCGCATACACATGGTTAATAGGACCATTTTCCTTCACGTGCTTCAATGTAACTTGACACCCAATTTGTATGGCGTTGTGTACATATTGGATGGCACCATAAATCGCGTGACCTAAGGATTCCTTGTGTGCTAGATTGCTACTAATAGCAGAAGCCAATGTACAGCCGGTACCGTGTGTGTTATCAACAGCACAGAATTCGCTTTGGTAGATAGTATGGCCATCTTCAGAGCACAGCACATCTGTAACGTACTTTCCACCGTTTTTGCCAATCCATGGCGCATGCCCACCTTTCACTAAGACGTTAGGACATTTTGTGATAGCACGAAGTTCCTCACCTGCTTTAATCAGATCATTGACATCGTTGCAGGCGAATTCACGCCCCAACAATTGGGCACACTCGTAGATATTTGGCGTTAAAAGCGTTGCTAATGGAGCCAACTCTTTGATTTTTAATACCGTGGAGTTGCCCTCGGCTAAACTGAAACCCGATGTAGCAATAAGCACCGGATCAACCACAAGGCTTGGTCTCTGTTCTTTGGGAATGGCGCCCAGCACTTCAATCAATACATCAACGGCATCATCCGTCAACATACCTGTCTTTATTACGTCTACTCTCATGTCACGCAGGTTACTCTGTAGTATTAGTTTTAGGTGACTTTTTGGTGTGTTGTGAACCGCATACACACGCTCAGGCGTTTGTGCAGTTAACGCAGTTATACAAGTCAGACCATAACATCTGTGGCTAGTGATTGTCTTAAGGTCAGCTTCGATACCTGCACCCCCACTAGAATCACTACCTGCAATTGTTAAAACTGTAGGAAGAGCATCGTTTTTCTTAAGAGCTGCGTATGGAGGCGCTGTTGTCACCATCACAGGTTCAACATTGACTTCTGACATGGTCATTTGAGGCCAATTACTAATATTTTATCTTGCTGCTACAGAAAGATAGCCAAGCAGTCTTCATTACGCTTATTCTTATACCCTCAACCGTTCATCAGCTAACTTGAAAATGTGGATCATGAAAGTTCTTACGCTTTCCTCGCCCTGACAAATATTACTTTTCAAGATAATTATTAGAGAAAACTAAGCACACAAAAGGCTGTTCGAAATACTAGCGTGCGTTCGTTCGGTCCAATCGAGAAATGCTGATACCTTGAAGGATATGACATGTCGTATAATGGAGAGAGCCCAATTATAACGAGTCTGGATGTTTCTTGTTCGCGATATATTTTTAAGAATGGCTTGCTCGCTATGGGAATCCCCTCTCATTGAGCTATACATTTCTTTCTTGTCAAAGTAACACGGAGTTTTAACAGTAACAAGACAGAACGTCATTTAGATTTTACCCTAAGAAACTCCGTATTCTTTGAATGAAGAACATTTCAAACCTGAGAATATTCATTTTGACATGGATCCGCCTCAAAAGGAAACGATAAGGAAATGTTTGAACATTTTAGACTCGTATTACAGCAAAATAGTTTAGTTGTCGAAATTCCTACATGATAAATCGAAATGTATTTGATTAAAGTTGTCTAAAAGTCATGCCGCCGCTTTACGATGTCTAAACATCGAATTGTAATACAGGCACTCAGCAAAATAGTAGAAGGCTCACCCTCACCTAATGAATATATTGTTATTCCCAAAGCAGTTTAAATGAATAGTAGCATTCCTCATTGAACTTTACACTAAGCTCTAAGATTTAAAACACTGGCACATCTTGCCATCTCAGAGGGATCTCTTCAAATCTCTAAACACATTTATCTAAAGCACTCACCAATGTTCTCTTGACCTTTTAGGATTTTAGCACTTCAGCTCGAAAGTCAGCCTCATAATTCTTTTTCGATTGATGCGACTCAGGCGAACTAAAAAAACGCTAAGCTTTTTGAATTGATAAGTTACCGTTACAAGGAATTAGCAAGCCCTTATGGAAGACAGAATACCGTTCTACATATCCTTAAACGTGGTGACATCGCATCATTTCGATCAAGGTTCTTAATCTTGTGGGTGTCTTTCACTTTATGAAACATTCCCGTCATCATGAGGCTTCTAGGAAGGAAACAAGGCACCACTTATCCAGTCACCGTTGCTATCTTGCCCCCTTATCGGCAACACAGAACGACCATTAAAAATGCTGAGCAAATTAACTTTTAGGGAGCTAGGCATTTCTAAACTTTTGTCGGAGTTTCCTTCAACCTGCAGCCAAATCCACACCAAGACACGGCATGTTTTGTCTCATCCCATAACGGAAATTTGGCGACGCGACGATAAAGCGAGATTCAAGCGCGTTTAGCTAAAGATTACTAGAAATCCACATATGTGAAAGGCTGATTGTGAGGTTTGAAAAGGTGAGGGCATTTAAATTGTGAATGTAAATGGGGCAAGATTATTTCAATTATTTTTCTGTCTTTATTTCTTATCATAATTGATCTGTTAGACAACTGTTTTTGTTATTTGCTAGAATATGAAACGTTTCATCAATTTGAATTTTGGTGCGTTCCTGTGTTTGAACAAGCTGGTAGCAGGTTATGTGAAATTCGACTTCGAAAAGTCTAGGGGCTCTAGCTATGAAGAGGCTCAATTCGGTGTGAGACCATCGCTGGAAAAGTTCGTCAATGGAGAAGGTTCGCTGGAAATTGCCCTTAACAATGAGCAAGTTTTCTATTCTGTTGCGTTAGCAATCGGAACGCCAGCGCAAGAGGTTACTGTGTTGTTTGATACAGGTTCTTCCGATTTATGGGTATCCGCGTCGACGAATCCGTATTGTTCGAGCGATCCCAGCGGCGAGCCCGAGGGCGATGAGCTGGTCAGTACGAGCGCCTCATACGTTCCGCCAGTGACCACTGTTGAAGGAATTCCAATATCGCCGACTATGGATTGTTCTCTCTACGGTGTTTTTGATCCTTCGAAATCATCAACATTCAAGGCGAATAAGTCTGATCCTTTTTATATCCAATACGGCGATTTGTCATACGCTGAAGGTTATTGGGGGTTTGATCAATTGACTCTAGAAGGAACGGACATTTCTAATTTGGAGTTTGCTGTTGCAACTGTCACCAACTCATCCGTTGGTGTCCTGGGTGTGGGGCTAGAGAACCTTGAGTCCACCTTCGGATACACTAATGCATCCAATACAACATACCCAAATTTCCCAGTAGTACTGAAGGAAAATGGTGCAATTCAAAAAATTGCATATTCACTCTACTTGAACCAATTGGATGCGGAGAGTGGTTCCATATTGTTTGGTGGGGTGGATCACAGTAAATACCAGGGTGGTCTTTATACATACCCCCTGGCTAATATATTTACAGATGAAGACGAGCCCATCGAGTTCGATGTAACTGTTCAAGCGATTGGCATGCAAACAAAGTCCGCGTGCCGGCAGGATACATTAGGTACAGCCAAATTCACTGGTCTGTTGGATTCTGGTACTACTTTGCTATACATCCATGAGAAGTTAGCTGATAAAATTGCGGATTATGTTAATGGTACCTGGTCAGACTATTACGGTCTCTACATGTTTGATTGTCCTACAGAAGACGATGACACTGAAATAGTTTATGACTTTGGTGGGCTTCAAGTCACTACACCGATCCAGAACTACGTTCTAGCGACCGAAGACCCTACAGTATGCGGATTAGGAATTGTTCCAAGTGGCTTCTATTCAATTCTTGGCGATGTTTTCTTATCGTCTGCTTATGTCGTGTACGACCTTGAGAACCTAGAAGTCTCTATTGCCCAGGCAAAATATGATGATGCGGTCGAGGATATAGAAGAGATCATATCTACTGTTCCTGGCGCCCAAAAGGGAGCTGGATACAGTAACACGTATACCGGAAGAGCTAAAGATATTGCCACAGTAACCAGTAACATGTTCACTACAACTCTAGTCTGTAATATTTCCACTACCCCTTCATCCACTTCATTATCTTCTACCACTAGTTCAAATAGCTTGTCTTCGTTTGCTTCAAAGATGTCTACAAGATCGGCAGAAACTGCTAGCGTAACATCTTCTCCAAAGTCTCATATTGAATCCTTAAGCACTGTGTTTTTACCTTCTGGCACCGCTTTCAATCTCAGCACAACTTCTGCCGCCCCAAGTGTACTTTCAAACTTCAATTCTACTAATCCACAGACTTCGACTTTATCGCCTTCAACTAATGTTGCAGGCTCGACTACATCGACTGATGTCACATACGAAAAGACTCCTACGGCAGCCACCTCTTCTGATACCCTAGTTACTGCCACGAACTTTTCATTAAAACCAACTGGAAAAACCACCGCGCTAACAACTGTTCTTGAGGGCGAATCTCTCACCGTGACAACTTGTGATGAGAGCACTGTACTCTCTATGCAATCTTCTTCGTATCCTACATTGAAGATAACGACTTCTACAACTATCATTAACGGAGAAACTTTTCTGATTACGACATGTCCACAATGTACGGCATCAGTGGATGAATCATCAATCACAGTCCCAGTTTCATCGAACGGTTTTGAATTAACCTCAACTTTTGACGAACAACTAGCTCAAACCTCATCATTAGCCTTTTCTACTTCTGTCTCAATTTTAGAAACAGGATCCGGTGCTGTCATTGCAGAAATTCCCAAATTTGAAATGCTAACCACGCTAATGGGTGTAGTGTCTGTGGTTGTCCTCTTTGTCGTGTCGTAGGTAAGAACGAGTTTGGTTGACTTATCACCTCAAGATGTATCTGTAAATGCGTATTTTGAAACAGAGTACATATCTCGAAATCGAATGCGCTGTTATGTATCCTCTTGTATAATACGTTTTAGATTGAGAATGCAGGAACCTCATCCAGGCAATCGAAATTTAAGCCCAACATAGTATTGAAGAGGTTCCACCTAAGTCACATGTGCAATGGTGAAGATATGACGAAGAAGTCTCATTAAATTTAAACTGCCGTTAATCTCTTCAACAAGATGTAACAAAATTCGATTTCGTCGTAGTCATCGTGCGACGCAAAATTCCAATAGGAGTATATTGAATCTAAGCTAACACCTATCAAGAAAGTTGAACGCTCATAATTTGTAATAAAGTCCTCTACAATAGTTGGAGAACCATATTTGATCCCAAAAGCCCAAAAAATCCTGGCATTCTAGATGTGTATGTAAGATTTTACAATTAATCAATTCCTCCTACACTCACCGAAGCTATTGGGCTGTGGATAGCAAACTATGAAACTCTTCAAATGCTTCCAGGATGGCAAGGCGATGATTGCACCAGGCGCCCACCTTTGATGTGCCATCAAGTCCCAAGTCTCTACCATTAACTGCATCTAATAGCATCGTGCGTTCCTCGAAGGTCAGTAGCACTTTCTTTTGAGTCGGTTTCATTCGTACACCTTGCAAAACCTCGGTAAGTTGGCTGTTACATTTAATACCGCCGTGGCCACCATATGTTACGATCATCGCCGGTTTCCCTTCCCATTCATGATAAAGATAGTCAATTGCGTTCTTCAAGACAGCAGGATATCCCCAGTTGTATTGAGGAACAACAAAAATGAATGAATGATACTTTTGGATCTCCTGGCTCCACCGACGAGTGTGTTCATGATCATACTTCTTGTAGTCCATTATCTGAGAAGGGACGTTCGATTCATCAAAAAATGGGAGATTCCAATCGGCCAAATCAATCAAAACCAGTTCAAGGCTATTTGCTGAAAACAACGAGCCTGATTTGATAGTTTCGATAACAAATTTAGCTATTTGCGGACATACTCGCGGTTTTCGCGTGCTTCCAATGATTACACCGACCTTAGTGGACATAGCTCCCAATTATCACAAGCTGATAAATTGATTTATCGTTTTCGAAGTCCTCTACTCACCGAACAACCTTTATACAGAATTGAAAGATGATTTCGAGGCGTTGTGCGACGACTTATACACACTAAAAATGTTTCGGCCGCTTAAACCCGCGATCCCTTACCTTGATGATTTCGGTGGATCAACTATCTCTTAGTAAGCAATCTTGGCCCAGAAAGCACAAGAGTAGTCGAAAAGGACTCGGTAATTTCAAATGCGATTGAAATCATTTCATCGTTCGTGGAGGGTTTGAAGTACTCTATTGGCCTGGCACGAGAAACGTAATTATTACTTGATTATATGCCAGGATTTCGGTCCAGAAACGAACAATTGGTCAATTCAAGGAATTTGAATGGCCTTTCAAAGTGATTGAAATACAATCGTAATGTGCTGAATCTACTTCACTACAGTGACGCTGTCTGCATTTAACAGCCAAACAGGCCAACATTTTTCTGAGCAGCGTGTGACATTACGCCTCGCATCCCTCACCTGATTATATGAAAGAGCCCAAACCGTGGTAAGACATAAGACGATTCTACTTAGAAGTTGGCATGTAGTTCCTGTTATGCTGCAGTTGGATGAGAATGCTCCTCATCTTAGAATATCGTCAGGCTCTCAGCGCTTTGTGCTGCTAGTCAAGACGTTGGGTGTATGCCCACAGCAGCATAGTAGTTTTTATTTGCCTTGCGGCTATAGTGTCGAATGTTGCTAGATAATTATTATGGGTTTTTTTTCTAGAGTATTATTTTAAAAATTAAATCATCGCCGAACTAACCTCGTGCCACAACCTTGACCCTTAAGAGCCGCAATGGCGAATAGAGAAGGCAACACTCTCAAGTTTCAAGAACTTCCCACCGAAATTCTCATCCATATATTCAGTTATCTGGATGAGAAGGACTTCTATGCCTTGCAAGAGAGCTGTAAGCAATTTGCGCAAATAATTAACGATGAGGAGCTGTGGAAAAACCTTTTCATGTCAAGAATTCACACACGATTGTTCCCCTCATTCTCAAGGTCGTCCAAGTACAGCATAGAATATGTGGAGAGGAATCGGGGCCTAAGTGAGTGGAGACACAATAGAGCCGTCAAGACCAAATACACTGTCGCCACTCAAAATATCCATAATCAGCTTGAGAAGGTGGTATTTGAATATCCACGTTGTGCCTGTTACAGCGATGGTGTTATCATGCTTGTTCAGCTGTACTCAAAGAGAAGGAAAGACCGCCTTACCTACATGCCTTGTACTACTCCGCAAGGTTGTTCCACGATGCATTTCAACATCAATGCCGCTGTATTTGGTCGATATGATGGCCGTGTGTTCGGCAAACTCTTGACCAGCAAATCTTATCTTTCCCCTGTAACTGAATTTAACAATATGCATTCATCTCCTGTCACAGCCATAACCACAGCGGCGCTGGAGGACTCCTCCGAAGATTGGTGCGTTAGTGGCTGTGAGGCTGGCCAGGTAATTTGGTGGTGCGGCACTAAACAAAGAAAGGCACTTCAGCTTTCTAAGAAACCAATTTTGCGATTGGCCCTGCATAAGGAAATGACAGTCGTTTTAGACTTAAACAAAATTTATATTATCCAGAATATGGAAAATATCTCGACACTTGATGTCCCAGCTGATCTTCAACTCTCATCCGCTCAAATTCAGTTCTTTAAAGTTGATTTTGGAGGGAAGCTACTCATATTGGCAGATACTTCTAGATTATACGTGATGTCCATAAATTCCGATCAGGATTTTGGTTTCACTCGATCATTGCATTTCCCTAACTCGATTCAAAACGTTTTCATTGATGAGGCAACCACGAAGAAAACTCAAGACTCCATGGTGGCAGGCGGTGATGGTTGCTACGTGGGTATACTGACGAGGGATAATTCTGTTATGACCATAAATATCAGAACCCCAGGCTCATCCTTACGGATCCAAACAAAGCTCACCTTCCAAGACGAAGTGCACGCATGCCAGGTGAATAATCTCGTACTTGTTTGCGCCTTCAGTGGAACTCTTGGCATCTTCGATGCTGCTAATGGTGCAGAGCTTAGAGTCGTAAGAAAAACAGAGAAATTTCCACAGTTTTTAGATATCTCGCATGGCCGTATGATAATTGGAAGTGGTAACGTGCTGCATTATTTGCAATATGCAGATTCTGATGTTGTGAACAGGAAACCAAATAGTTCACAGCGAAATAAAAGCATAAAATGGAACGAGGTTCTGCATTCACAACTTGATATATACGAGGAAGATGAGAGAAGTCGACAAGAGAGTTTGTCCAGGGCCAATTTACTTAGGGAAAAGTTTGTTGGTGATCTGGATGATGAGGAGTTGCAACTTAAAATCGCTTTGATGGAATCCGAAAGTCTTGCAACCGAGCAGGTCGAAGTTAATGAAGATGAACTTCTGCGGCGTGCAATTGAGGAATCAAGATTAAGTTTCGAAGGCAATCAGCTTATTGAAGACGAACCAGATGAGGCACTGCTTTTGGCACTACGGCAATCTCAAGAAGAGGAAGAAAGGAGAAGAACGGCACGAAGGGCCGAAAGACGCATGGCACCTTTGGGGGAGTTTCAAACGCCAGACATGTCAGTTTCTTCGCAGGTTGAAGTTGATACTTCATTCAATGAGGTTTCAACAGAAAACACGTTTCTTACGGGTCAATACGGACATTTGAACCATGATGAGGAAATGGAACTAGCTCGTGCACTTTCTCTGAGTGAATTGAGATGAGACATTTAATCGAAAATGTTGAATTATGCAGTTTTAACTTACAAACAATTTAATTTTTAACTGTAAATAATCAAGCGTTAGAGTTCTATTAAAAGGCAAAAACTTGGTCATCCGCTCTGGATTTCTCAATCCCTTTAGGCCATCCAAGCTCCTCAGCGTGATTTAGTAGCATTCTGATCATTTCTGGAGGACCACAAAACAACAGCCTGTTTTCGTCTGATGCGTTAGGTAGATACTTTAGCATGTGCTCCTTGGTCACATACCCAACATCACCGACCCAGTTTTCTGATGGTTTGTGCAAAACGTAGTGTACTTGAAAGTTAGGGTACTTTTCTGAAATTTCATCCAGCTCGTCCTTAAGAAGAATGTCATTCTCTGTTTCATTAGCATAAATCAATGAAACCCTTGTAACATCTTCCGGAGTGGTAATGATCTCGTTAAGCAATTGAAGGATAGGAGTGATACCAGAGCCACCAGCCACCATTCCGATGTGCTTGTAAGAGTTAGTTATGTAGTTGAATCTACCAACGGGTCCCTTGAATTCAACAGTTGCTCCAGGTTTTAAGCCAGCAAAATGTTTTGAAACTTTGCCGTCAGCGTACGATTTCACAATTATATCGAAATACCCGGGTTCATAGCCTTGTGCAATTGGAGTATAATAACGAATTTCATCTTTGCCATCCACTGGTATTTTTACAGCCAAATGATGGCCTACCGGAATCTTCAGCGTTTCCAGTGATGTCTTCAATTTAAAACGATAAATAGCCGAGTTCTTTGAGATCAAGGTTTGATCTTCTAGTTCTAAAGCTGTCCACTTGTCAGGATAAATAGATCTTCTCCTCCTGTAGGCTGCAATGAATCTTAGCGCCAAGATTATGGCTGAAAATGGTAGCATCCACAGGAACTTCGAGTCATTGGCAGTATAGCAAGTAATTGCTACCCCGACGATCACTAACAAAATTGGAATATATATCCCGTGAAGTGGTTCGTTCAGCAACTCTCTCTTGTCAGACATGGTGTCAATTGTGGAATACAGTGCGCTGGCCTAGTTTTTTTGAGCGGAATATTAATAAGTTGATCTTAAGTTCATGAAATTTACTCAAAAATAAAGGCGACGTAAGAAATTACCCAAATATCGCCAAGTATTTGTAAGCTATTTGATTTTTCAGCCGAGATCCTCCTAATATAGACAATGCTTGAACTTGAAAGTATACGAAACTATCTAGCAGTAGTAGGAACACCATACGTTGTAACTTTCACAGAAAGTTTAAAAGTAGTATATGAAAAATTCTCGGTCAATGATCTTTAAAGATCAAACGATTACACACCGAGCTATTCTACAAGTTTATTAACATGAGTTGTCCCTATTTCTAAAGCAAATGGAAATTTTTATCCTTCTCCTAGAGTCAGGCTTACAAATCAGGCTTCGTCAATGTCGACAATACCGTTACGAATGGCCCAAGCTTTGTTGGCCAAAAAGACATTTTCAGGATCCTGTTGTCTTCTGATTTCTTGGAATTTGACCAAATCTTCACCGTACCATTCCTTTATCTTAGTAGCCATACCTCTCATCTCAAAATCTTGATATTTATCTTCTGGCTTCACTGGCCCTGCAGCCATATTAGTGGAACCCAAAAAGTTCTTTGCCCAGTGAGGTTTACCTCCAGCGGCCCCCATTGTTTCTTCAAACAAAGTGAACCACTTGTGAATAGGTGTGTTACAACCGAAGGGTCTGTAAATTGTAGCATTGATGTAAAGAGTCAATTGACTGTTAGTCACATCAGATAGAGGAACGTATCTCAATTGGCGAGGAGTGGAGTCTAGATAAGGACGCAATATGTTGCCAAAGACTGGTCCAGCACTGGTTGGTGTTCTATCACTATAGTCGAGGGGTTCTGGAGGAAGAGTTGTATTTGAACAACGCACTTCGATTGGAACATGGACAAAAAACTCTCTACTTTGTGCAGCTTGTGCGATAGAGTGGTCTAAGGAGCGTAAAACTTCGGGCCCATTGAGAAGTGGACAACCCCATTCATCAACAAATTGAGAAAACAAACAATCCATATTCAAACCGTCGATGGAATTTTGTACCGCAACATCACCGCTTCCGTATGTTTCAACTCTACCGTATTGTCTGTGGAAAACGAATTTTTCAACGTAAGGCGTGAAAGCCGGACAAACATTAACAGATATCCATAAAAGAGTCTCGTAAAATAGACGGCCGAAGGTTGTGCCCCACCAGGATTTTCTTGGTGCAGATACCGGCTCTTCTGTCTTGATTCCTCTCCAAAGAATACATTTTCTGGTGTATGGATACCACCAGCATCTGATGAACTCACTGGATGTCCAAATCGTGTCCCACTTTTCTAATAAAGTTTCAAAATTGATAACCTCTTGAGTTGATTTGATCTTGTAGACAGGAATGGCGCGAATAGTAGCACGAACGATTATACCAATTTTTCCCAAAGATAGCATTGCAGCTCTGAATACTTCAGGATGATGTTCAGAATCTAAGAACACCACTTCACCCTTACCATTGACAATGGTTAAATTCACATACTGAGAGGAAACAAGACCTTGATATGGAGAAGATCCATGAGTACCTGTAGAAATGATACCACCAACACTTTGCTCAGAGATAGAGCCCAAGTTTTGGATTGTGTATCCGTGTTGTGAGAGATAATCGTTCAATTTGTAAATGCGCAACCCTGCATCGACGGTGACATCTGCGTAATGCTGTTCATGGTTTTCTTTCAATTCATGAACATTTTGCAGCTTATCAAGATTCATCAGCCAGTCATTGGTGATACACATATCACTTGGTGAGTGACCAGAACCTACAGTGACTATAGTCTTCTTTTCCTTTCTTGCAGCATTTACGACCTCGACCACCTCTTCCACACTCGAGGGCTGAAAGTACAACTGAGGCTTGGCAGAGTAAATGCGAGCCCAATTCTTGAACACAAAGTTTCTGCGTGCTCCAGGAAGCACGTCGTTCAGCGACATTCCAATTATAAGGTTGAGTACTTTGGTTTTGCAAGATTCTTGCACCGATAAACTTGTGCTAAGAAGAATTCTACGAGAGACTTGATAGCCACACCTTATGAAAATTTGTGCTTGTCACGTGCTCTATCCTGAGTCAACTACTCGGCAAACAGAGATTGCTGATACCTAAAATATAGTTGCTAGAATTGATAATAGCCCCTCATTCTATTTAATTTCAAGTCTTTTTACCGTTATTTCTAGCTAACTATTTATCTCCACTAAAATCCTCGATTACTAATATCGTTTAAAGTAAAGTGACACTTGACGACGAAGGAACCGGGCGCTATAGCAAAAAATGGACTCGACGGGTCAATCATATTGCCCCCAAGCGATGATCTACGTGAAATATACTAAAAATGAGCTGTAGCGGTGTAGTGACGGCAGTGTGGTGAATTTTGTACTAAGAAAAACAATCCTTTTCTTTCGTCAATTGCAGTACGTCACTTCTTAGCCGATGTTCGCATCTACTCAGCTCACTATTTCTTGAATTCAGTATCTATTTAGTGAAACTTTATATGGCGTGTCATCCTTCTATACATATATTGATGTAGCTTGCAGTAAAGGGCTTTTGACTTTTAAAAAGATTATGTGGACCAATTTGTTTAAAATTACTGATAGATAAGTAACCAGGGTATACAGATAGAAACGACTTAGCACTGGAAGTATTTACCTTCCTGAGCAAATTATTACTTCACAATATCGTATCTGGAAGGTGAAGTACAAAAAAATAAAAAAATAAAAGGATAGGAAATACACGCAACATTGCGGTTGAACTCCTTGTATTAAAACTCTTCTTCATCAGCATACGAGTCAGCACCAACTTCGATGTAATCTCTCTCTAGGGCAGCAAGATCTTCTCTGGCCTCGGTAAACTCACCTTCTTCCATACCTTCGCCAACGTACCAGTGAACAAAGGCTCTCTTAGCGTACATCAAATCGAATTTTCTGTCGATTCTCTTCCAAGCATCTGCAATAGCAGTTGTGTTGGATAGCATACATACAGCTCTGTTCACAGAAGAGAGCTGAGATTGTGGAGTAGCAGTAGGAGGCTCATAGCAGATACCGATCTTGAAACCGGTAGGACACCAATCAACCAATTGAACAGTTCTCTTATTTTTAACTTGGGCAACTGCTGTTTGTACGTCCCTGGTCACAACGTCACCTCTATATAGCAAACAGGTTGCCATGTATTTCCCTGCTCTTGGGTCACATTTCACCATCTGGTTACCAGGTTCAAAACAAGCGTTGGTAATTTCAGAAACGGAGTTAGACTCGTGATGAGCCTTGCTCTTGGATAGGATTGGAGCATAAGAAACCAATGGGAAATGAATTCTAGGATATGGAACCAAATTGGTTTGGAATTCGTTCAAATCAACATTTAGCGAACCGTCGAATCTCAAAGAAGCGGTCACAGAAGATACTACTTGTGCAATTAGATTGTTTAAATTAGCGAAGCTTGGTCTCGAGATATCCAAATTCTTCTTGCACATGTCGTAGATTGCTTCGTTGTCTACCATAAAGGTACAATCGGCGTGTTCCAAAGTGGTGTGTGTTGTCAAAACAGTGTTGTATGGTTCAACTACGGAAGTTGAGACCTGTGGAGCAGGATACACTGCGAACTCCAACTTGGATTTTTTGCCGTAATCAATAGAGAGTTGCTCCAAGAGTAGAGATCCCAAACCAGAACCGGTACCACCACCTAACGAATGTGTAAATAAGAAACCCTGCAGACCATCACATTGGTCTGAAATCTTTCTAATTCTATCCAAAATGTCATCTAAGAGTTCTCTTCCAACCGTATAATGACCACGCGCGTAGTTGTTGGCAGCATCTTCTTTCCCGCTGATCAATTGCTCGGGGTGAAACAACTCCTTGTAAGGGCCCGTGCGTACCTCGTCAATGACGTTAGGCTCCAAATCGACGTAAACGGCACGTGGAACAAACTTACCGGACCCAGTCTCGTTGAAGAAGGTGGAAAAACCCTCTTCACCACCTTTGGGCTTAGAAAGACCTTCTTGCAAGTAACCATCTGGTCTTATCCCGTGTTCTAACGAGTATAGCTCCCAGCATGCGTTACCGATTTGACAACCAGCTTGGCCGACTAAAAATAGTGTTAGTACTTTATTCAATGCGAACTCAGGAGTTTTCGCACCATCAAACACGTTCTGACAAGCCTCGGGCTATTTCTCTGTAGTTTCTTTACAGTAAACCGCTCTTTACGGCTCTTTTGCCACTTCCACTGCTGCTTGTCTAGACGCGTGTTTGAGACGCGTCACCACCCTACGAGACGATTATCTTCGCTGATAAACCTCGTGCGCGCTAATTTCAATAACTCTCATACCATTTACGCTGATTACTTCTCTCATAATTCTCTATACGCTCTGTCTTCCTACTGCTTGTTACAGTTGTTCAACAGATCGTTGTTTTGGTACGCCGTTTTATGTATCTTGTTTACATTTTTCCACAAAAAACAATCAAATGATCCATCGAAGGTACCAAGTTTAGCACCGTTTGAGGCCGGGTAATGCGTAGAATATAGTCACGTGTTACTATTTAAATTTAATCTACAGTGACATATCAAATAATTAAAGAAATCATAGCATGAAACGCCTATATCAAAGCCTCTTCGTTCCTCCTTGCACGTATCAGAGCTGAGAACCTTGAGCAGAAGTTGACCTATTTTTCGCAAGTCTCTTTAAGTGCGGCGTTGAGGGCATCGAAGTCCTTGGGCGTGTCGCGAAGGAAATACTTGAGCGCGAACATAAGCGACCCTGTGAACTGCTCGCTCTGAATCAGCCGAGTTCTTTGGCCCCCATCGAGATCAATGAACTCAAAAGAGTGCTTGCCGGCAAAAATCCAATCGCTCCAAAGGACGCCCTTCCACTCAAAGCGCTCAGCGTCGTTGCGGAGAACAGTTGGCTTGAAAGTCATCGGGCTGCCTCCTCCGCTACTTTGCATGATCACCTCAAGCTGATCGCCCTGCTTGATATCTGAGGGATCGCCTTTCAAGACTCGAATCGACTGAAAAAAAGGGTTCCATTGAGGATGATTATCAAAATCGAGGAGAGTTGCCCGCACTTGTGAAGGGGCGCAATTTATTTCGATTTCCGTGGAGATTGAGAGCATGCGTGGAGAACTAGAACTTGTTGCAATTGGCCATGCAACTCAGTCACGGAAGGGATGCACGGCTTTGATGGGCATTTTTATGCTAATCATAGAGACTCATGGCTGCTAATATTGGCCACTGCCTTCAGTCATCATTGTAATTAGGAATCCGGACCCGAATGCGCGATGGTTAAAGCGATGTAAAAGCGATGTATCTAAGTAGGCAAGTGCAGTTGGTGGTGTATGGGTTAATGAGAGAGTCCAAATTCCGCCCTACTCTAGAGTAAATGCACTCGCTATAGATTCAGTAAATCAATAATGTACAAACTAGAGCCTCATTACGAAAGAGGCATTCTATATCTTTGGTTCTTTCCTCTTTGTCGTAAGAAATTAGAGACAACCCATTCCTCTTGTCCAAAAATTGATGCCTCAAATCACGGACGGGACGAAAAATGACGCTCTTGGCGAAAGATGAAAAGTTAAAAACAATTTTTGATTTGATTATACTTAGTTATGTCTTAATGTACAATATTATGAAGCAGCGAATGAATGCTTATTAAGGGAATCGAACTTAAACAGATTCACCTTGGCTGGAAGTGGATCCAGCAGAACCGTGAGCGTACTTACCAGCGTCGACCTCATCGTGATATTCCTCAGAAATTTGTTCCAAGGTCTTTCTCTTGGTCTCTGGGATCAAGAGGGTGGTGAAGATACCACACAACATGAACAAAGCGAAAATTTCCATAACGTGTGGCAACCAACAGTTTGTCTTCTTACCGTCTCTGGCACAGTGGTAGTTGATCAAAGTACCCAAAGCAGTTTGAGCGATAATAGCACCGACCTTACCAGCAGCAGCAGAGATACCGTGGGCAGTAGATCTGTATCTGGTTGGGAAACATTCACCAGGAACGATAAAAGTGGTCACGTTAGGACCGAAGTTTTGGAAGAATTGACAGACGATGTACAAACCTAGCAAGCCACCGTCGTTCAATCTGTTGTAAGCAAAACCGATGACACAGAACAAAACAGTCAAGATGAAGAAACCGAACAATTGAATTGGCTTTCTACCAACAATATCCATGGTAGCGACAGAAGCCCAGTAACCTGGCAAGGAACCAGCACAAATCAAAATCAAGTTACCAACGGCAGTGTTGTACAACTTCTTGTAAACATTGTTAGAACTGGCGTAACCGATGGTTTGCAAAATGACAGCGGAGTTCAAACCCAAACCGTAGAAAGCAACATCCAACATGAACCAGGAACCGGCAGTACCAAGCAAGATCTTACCGTATTTCCATTGGCCGAAATGTCTGCAGAAGTCCTTGAAAGAAGCCTTTGGTGGTTGGATTTCGTATTGTTCAACTGCAGTTGGAGCTCTTTCCAAACGAGCAATTTCTTCGACTTCAGCGTTACCGTGTTCACCAGAAACGAACTTGGAAGTGTCAGCGACAGCCTTGGCTAGGTTGGTCTCAACATCCAAAGTGTAACGAGGGGACTCAGGGATGGTCAATCTGAAGTACAATGCAATACAACCTGGGAAACAACCCAAACCGATCAAAACTCTCCACATTTGGTCACAGGCCTTGATACAGGCTTCACCACACTCGGAACCCTTGTTGGCGGTGATCAACTCGTTCTTGTAACCAGCAACCAAGATCAAAGCGATGATACCAGCGGCAAGTTGGCCGAAAGCTTGGTTGGCGAAAACGGCACCCATAATGGCACCTCTCCACTTGGTGGTAGAGAATTCAGAAGTGATAATAGAAGACAATGGGTAGTCACCACCGATACCGATACCCATGACAATACGGTAGAAGGTCAAAGTGGCAACAAAGCTGACACCTGGAGCCTTACCGATGGTACATTGCAAAATAGTGGCTGAAATCATGATAATCAATTCAACACCGTAAATCTTCTTACGACCGACGACATCAGCCATGACACCGAAACCGACTTGACCAATAACAGTACCAACAGAAGTGGAAACCTTCAACAGAGTGGAAGTGGACGAAGGCATAGAACCTTGCCAGAAAACGTAAGACATCATGGTGATACCCAAGTTGATAGCAAAGATATCGTACGAGTCAGTCAAGAAACCGACACCAGCAACCATAATGGCACGGACGTGGTACCAGCCGAAAGGAGCATCGTCAATTTTTTGCAGAGCCAATCTTCTTCTTTCCAATGGATCCTCAATATGCGAAAAGTCATTGATGTAGTTGTGGAAGGCAGCGTTACCGCCAGCGGTCTTTTGAAAAACTTCAGTTGTGTGCTTTTCGTCACTCATTTCGAATGCTTAATAATGGAACACTAAGATGAGCTTTGTGAGATTGCCTGGTTTGTATGATCGAGATCTGATTCTACTTTCTTGGCTATTCCAAGCTCTTATATATACCTTGGCTACAAACGAAAAAAATTACCTGCTGTATAAAGAAACGTTTGCCACGTTTTCCGATGCCTAACCCAAGCCATTAACGGTTAAGAAATCGCCTGCACCCTCCCGAATAGCTACTACTAGCGCTCGCCGGGCCGCTCATTAATTTAAATTTTGACAACGTGGGCAGTGAACAATAGCTATTTTCCACGGTGTGTGGGTCTAAAATTCTCACTTCACTGCGTCCTATTCTGCGCATGTTCGTATTCTGCGACACACGTGCCGAACTGCTACGCACTTACGAATGGTCCCTTACTCTTTGAACATGCAGCAAGTTAATTAATTTAGCCCACATGGGCTGGCCGGATGGCAGTAAGAGTCTCATCCGCCGGCCCGTAAAGATGCAGGGAGCGCGTAGACCAAGAGCAACATAGTCGCACATTCATCTAAGCCAATGTGACAAGAACACAATGCAACTTGGGTTGGCGTGCCTTGACAGCACGTTTAATTCGTTTTCAGATGGTATTTCTAGAACGTGGGACGCACCTGCGATATGCGTGGAACGTGGGGCAACCGTGCCTGTGAAACAAAAATGGGATTCTGTCACGTGGGAAGACGGCTACGGCTGGTGTTAGGCGGCGATAGCCGTTCCGTTGCGGGCGATGGCACGTTATGTGGTGAATTACTGTGCGTGGGTGGCATTATACGCAGGTTTAGATGAGCTCAGTTCGTGCTTCGCATTGTATTGGAACGAAGTGTGTGACTACAGGTAAACGCCGGGTATCTACGCAATTGAGGAGTTAAGGTCAGAAAAATGTACGAATGGTGTGAACATTAGCACCAAAAGCGATATATCCTATACCAGATGGGTCTTGAGGCTATGTATTCCTTTTCTTCGCGGATTTCTTGCTTGAGCAGGTCCAGATCGACTTCCCTGCGACCGGTGTCGATGTCGAGGTCCTTGGCTCTGATGAAAAGGGTCCAGTTTCTGGTGTAGAGCTTGTGGCACATGTAGAAGAACAGCACCACGACCAGCGACAAATAGGCCGAGAAAAAAGTCTCGGCGCTGGGCCTCCCTCCGATGGGGAATAATGCGACCCAGAACTGGAACACCAGTGCGATTAGGATCAAAATGATGCCATAAATTGACCCCCAAACGCCAGTTTGCGCTTTGAACGCGAGCTCGTCCGTTGATCTGCCCTGCGCAGCGAGCGCTCTGCGGAATCTAATATGGCAAATGCACACGCTACCCCAAGTGAAGAAGGAGGAAAGCCCGGAGATAGCCATCATCCACTCGAACACTACGGGTCTTTTGGGGGAAGCCGACAAGAAGCTCAAGAGTCCGAAAATCATGCACAGAAGCAGCCCTACTAGCGGTCTACCCTTGCGGTCAACGTATGCAAATATTTTGGGCAGGTAACCGTATTGTGAGAGCGAAAGAACCGTACGTGAACCAGCAAAAATGCATGAGTTACCCACGGACAGCACGGCTATCAGGATGACGACATTCACTACACTTGGGAGTCCTTTGATCCCGGCGTCTTTGATGGCAATGACGAAAGGCGACGCAGTTGCATCTACGCTCGTCGCGGCGAACAAATGCTTGTTGGTGTATGGCACCAGACAGCCGATTAACGTCAACGAGATGATGTAGAACAACGTAATCCTCCAAAACACTTGTTTGGCGGCACGTGGCAGATCCCTCCGTGGGTTTTCAGTCTCGGCAGCAGCGAGCGCAAACATTTCAGTTCCAGCAAACGAGAACGCAGATGTCACGAAAATAGCGGCGAAACCTTTGAATCCATGCGCGAATCCGCCCGGATTGTGCCAGTACCTTCCGCCAATATATCCCTCGTTGTTAGGACCACCCCCGCAGACAAGAACAATACCCAGAATAATGAAGCCAATAATGCATAGTACCTTGATAATAGAAAACAAAAACTCCGCTTCACCGTAACCTTTGACACCGAACAGATTGATTGACACTATGACGACATAGAACAAAGCAACAAATCCGTCTGCGTACTTCTTCGGCACGTTCCAGTAACTCACGGTCAGAGACGCCGCGACAATTTCAAGCGGCATCGTGATCAGGCACGATAGCAAGTAGTTATATGCAATGGCAAAACCGAAGGATGGCTCGATAAACCGCGAGACGTAAGACATATAAGAACCCGAAACAGGAAGAGTCACTGCAAGCTCACCTAGGGCTTGCACCACTGAGTACACCATAGAACCTGTCAAAATCCACGCAATAATAACACCAGCGGGACCACCGACTCTTAAAGCTTTACCAGAACCCACAAATAAACCGGTACCAATAGATCCTCCAATTGCGATCATTTGCAAGTGCCTGTTCTTCAAATGGCGCTTCAAAGGGGATCTGGCGGTTGCGATGGCCGCTCTTTCGGCAGGGGTTAAGCTTGGATCTAGCTCTTCAAGCTCATATTCGCGAAATCCGTCGACAAGGTTTTGAAACCATGACTTTTTTGGGTCTGAGCTGTAAATGCTCATGCCTTCATGCTGTACAGAATTGACGTCCTTTGTTTCATAGATTATGGCGCCCTTGGTGTCGCTAGACTTTCCTGAAGTATCTTCAGGTGACATTGTTGACGGGATGCTTTGATTCACCTGTTATTTTCGTAGCGCTTCGAGGATATAGGACAAACCGCAACAAAAACCATCTCTATATATCCCACTGCTCCCTAGTTTTATAAAGCCGGCTCCAGCGACCAGCATTACTGGCTACGTCTTTTACGGAAGATAACATATCGTAAAGAAATAACATGATTCCGCTTGCTTTGCGCCGACGCGGTAAAAACTCTGGCAGTGATAATTACTGAGTCACTATCGGGACACATTAGGTAATTTTTGTTCGAAACTAAAACCATTCAACACCAGAAAAATTTCAGATTCCTCTCGGTGTTTGATAAGAACTCCTAACTTTTCTGTCGGTTGTATCACGTAGTTCCCTAATATGAAAAGTTGTTCGGACTTTTCGCCGCATAAGCTTCCTGGTAGTTTATCAACTATCAAAAAAAAAGCTTTTTAGGTCCGTTGTATTATTTTTGTTTTCCACGGGAAAATTATCATTACAGGCAAGGTATGCGGCATTTGGATACTTTCTTTTTGTCTCACCACTCAGAAAGCCTCGAATAGGTTGGCGTTTAATTGATCATACGAGTCAAGCACTCAGGCTGAAAACTGCGTGGAATACTTCTGACGCATATAGCTTGATTTTAACACCGACTGTTTCCTTATCGGAGGCTCGTACGGTGAGGCAGTTCGCCTGTCGGAGCTAAGTAAGAACATGTAGAAATCGAGCATGATATTGTTTCCCAGATTGAAAAGGTCAATTCCATTGGCGATCAATTCTGAAGTGTTTCGACAAGAGCTAGTGAGCAGAGGTTGGCATAATTTCAATAGATGACACTGGCCAAAAGAATTTTAAAGCACAAATAATGATCGCATACTGGCGACTAACGGATAGTATTTTACGCCTCTCAGACAAGAATACCTTCGAAAAATGTTTTGAGCCTCAAGAAAAATAGCGATAACGTACAACCAAAGCTGTGGCACCAAAATAAGCAAGGAGGACTGTTTAACTTCCCTGCGACCTTGCTTCTACTTGTCAGATGTCTTGCATAATTAAGGTATCCGCACGGTATATGGGATTTGACTTTTAATCTGACCTTCTTTGGTTCTCACGATGAAGCCCAAAGTGGAAAGAGTTGTTTCAGGTGCTGGTCAAGAGAGCTCGTTCAACGTTTATTTTTGAGAACTGCAGATTTTTATACCCTATGAAATTTTAATCTCTAAATAAACGGGACAAATTAAAGCTAAAGCCTTTTTAACACCAGAAGCGGTACGTTCTATACCAAATGGGTTTCGAACTAATATACTCTTTTTCCTCCCGAATTTCTTGCTTGAGTAATTCAAGATCGACTTCTCTTCTACCTGTATCTAAATCGAGATCCTTAGCATCGATTAAGAGCTTCCAATTCCTCGTATACAATTTGTGGCAGATGTAAAAGAAAAGAACAACAGGCAACGATAAATAAGCTGAGAAGAAAGTCTCTGCGCTTGGTTTGCCACCTATTGGGAACAAAGCAACCCAGAATTGGAATATCAAGGCGACCAGGATCAATACGATACCATATATTGAGCCCCATACACCTGTCTGAGCTTTAAATGCTAGTTCATCAGTGGATCTTCCTTGCACGCTCAACCCTCTTCTAAATCTTAGGTGACAGATACAAACGCTGCCCCATGTGAAGAAAGAAGACAATCCTGAGATGGCCAGCATCCAGTCAAAGACGTCCGATCTCTTAGAGGAGGCAGAGAGAAAACTCAATAGTCCGAAAATTATGCAAAGCACCAACCCGACTAGCGGTCTACCTTTGCGATCAACATACCCGAAAGATTTTGGCAAGTAGCCATATTGAGATAATGACAATACTGTGCGTGAACCAGCAAAAATGCACGAGTTACCCACGGACAGCACGGCTATTAGGATAACGACATTTATTACACTTGGGAGTCCTTTGATCCCGGCGTCTTTGATGGCAATGACGAAAGGCGACGCAGTTGCATCTACGCTCGTCGCGGCGAACAAATGCTTGTTGGTGTATGGCACCAGACAGCCGATTAACGTCAACGAGATGATGTAGAACAACGTAATCCTCCAGAACACTTGTTTGGCGGCACGTGGCAGATCCCTCCGTGGGTTTTTAGTCTCGGCAGCAGCGAGCGCAAACATTTCAGTTCCAGCAAACGAGAACGCAGATGTCACGAAAATAGCGGCGAACCCTTTGAATCCATGCGCGAATCCGCCCGGATTGTGCCAATATTTGGCTCCAATGTACCCATCACTGTTAGGACCACCACCGCAAATCAGAACAATTCCTAAAATGATAAAGCCGATGATGGCAAGGACCTTAACGATCGAGAAGACAAATTCGGCTTCACCATATCCCTTTACACCGAAAAGATTGATTGCTACAATGACAATGTAAAATAACGCCACAAATGCATCGGCATATTTTTTGGGCACGTCCCAATAACTGACCGTTAAAGAAGCTGCAACAATTTCTAAAGGCATTGTGATCAAATTACCTAGCAGGTAGTTATACGCAATGGCAAAACCGAAGGATGGCTCGATAAACCGCGAGACGTAAGACATATAAGAACCCGAAACAGGAAGAGTCACTGCAAGTTCACCTAGGGCTTGCACCACTGAGTACACCATAGAACCTGTCAAAATCCACGCAATAATAACACCAGCGGGACCACCGACTCTTAAAGCTTTACCAGAACCCACAAATAAACCGGTACCAATAGATCCTCCAATTGCGATCATTTGCAAGTGCCTGTTCTTCAAATGGCGCTTCAAAGGGGATCTGGCGGTTGCGATGGCAGCTCTTTCGGCAGGGGTTAAGCTTGGATCCAAGTCCTCGAGTTTATATTCGCGGAATCCATCAACAAGGTTTTGAAACCAGGACTTGTTTGGATCATCTTCGTGCTCAAAGCTGTTGTTGTCATGAACGCTTCCAGACTCTAAGTCCTTAGCTTCGTATATTATTGCTCCTTTCTTTTCTACGGATGCCGTTGAAGCTTGATCGGCTACCATTTTTGTTCACAGTCTGAGCGACAGTTGAGGGAGAAAGCCAGTACTTTATTCATGAAACTTATATAGCTCGTCTCGATCTTGGCCAATATCTTATCCCTTTGATCCACAAGATAACTTCTGTCTTTCAGCCCCCTCTCGTTTTTTTACAAGATAAGACACTTCGCTTCAAACGTGGGTGTCTCCAGCCGTTAGGTTCTTGATGCCAAAGTGCACGATAACGCATGGCAGCATGTGTCTCGATGTGCAGAATGTTAGCCCCCCGTGAAAATGTTTATGCTATCGATGAAGGGCAAAAAATGCCGTATGCCATCCTACACATAGATTCTGCCGATGATCTGAAGCTTATCAACTAATCTCTCAATCTGCGGATGGATGCACTCCGTGACTGCGAACCCTGAACTTATCAAAAATGAAAAGCAAGTACTGCAATCAGAAAAGCAAACATCGCAAGGAACAGGTCAGAGATTTCTTGTAGAAGTAACTCCTTATCTTGGTGATCTTGGCATCTTTCTCTTACTTGTACCACGTGTCACGCTGCATGTCGCCGTCTCTCTAGAAACAAAAACCTTGACCCCACACATAGACACTGAATTACGATCTTTTTAAGACCGTGATGTAGGTCCGTTTCAATCAGCCTCACTGTGGCCCAAATTGTCGTTACGCTTATCTGGCTGCATTAACATACGTGGGAGAATTTGTAAATCACGGTTTCGAGCCTGGGGCTCAAATTGGGTGCCTGCACCTCTACAGATTAGGGGTTTTCCGGCTTTCATCTTACGATTACCAGATTGTGGATGTTGTACGATGGAGAGCCTCAGAAACAGTGTGCATGATTCTTGGCTACGTAAATTCTTGCAACCGTTCCTGTGAATCGTTAATGAAGGGATCATGCCTGTTTGGTGGAATTAGCGCCGTACAAAGATAACACCAGTAACATTTGACAGATAGTCGTACGTTTCGCGCGGTGGTAAACTGACCATATCTTGTCCTGAAATGCTCTACGGTTTTCAAAAAAAGACAAACGTGAGATTGTAGTATTCAAGACTAGAAAGACATTGTGTGTCTGTTGAGATCACTTGAGGTTGACTACTGAGCTTCCAAGAGAAAATTTTGTAGTATCACAATTGCTAGTCACAGCATTAAAATGGGAAACGTAGATGATCTGAGTGTTGAGAGAAGTTGGAGTTTAATTGAAACTTGTGTATTTTTCACCATTAGCTTTGAGTAAATCTAAGCTCTTCGAGAGAAGGATGAATTAAGAGATACTAGGTAATCCAGCAGTGCTTGCATCTCAAGATTTGGTCAAATTTGCAAGTGCGCAATTGGTAGCAGGTGATGGGATGACATGCTGCAAGGTTTTCTGTCTTTTGGAATCCCGCTAACAGCGTTGATTTCTGCCGGCTTCTGCTAAAGACCAGTCTGTTTCCTCCTTCAAACGTGATATTGCCCGATATTAAGTAGCATCACGGAGGGCACGCTTTATCTCTCAGTTAAAAGCAATCGTTGGTGCCATTTTCTAAACTTTATTCGATATCGGTCTGTTTCGACTCGGGCTATCTCTAGAATTGGACGTCGACTGTCTTATATCCCGTAGTACTTATTAGCGCAAAATTTCGAGGCAATATTTTAGCAGAAGATGGATACGCCTGGTTAAGCGGTGCAGTGTTTCATTGCCTTCAAGATCGTATCGATAAAGTTAATGCAAACGTTCCCTTGATTAAGGATAGCCAAGTCACTTGATAATATTAGGTGTCGTGCATAGATTTCATGATATTCCCGCTATTCTTCGAAGTGTGGATTTTTAACGAACCTAATAGACTTCATCCACAATTATTTGAGAAATTGACGAGTAAGTCAGATTTCTTGAGCTATCTTGCGTTCATACTTGATGATATCAAATATATGTATCTCCGATTTTTTCACGTGCGAAGGGCCATTAGGATGTTCAAAAATAATGGCCGAATAATGATAATCCTAGACTCCAAGACTCACATGATTGTTAGGCTTTTATGTCGAGCAAAACAAGCAAAAAGGCTTATACCCTTTGCGATGTGAAGTGTTCGCTTGTGGCTGTCGTGAGAGCTGAAACGGGACAGCCTCTAGGGCCCAAATTCTGTACTATTAAGGACTACCCCACATATAACAATCTAGAAAAATCATTATCTGAGTACCTTGACAGAATTGATAGCAAAGGATTTCCCATAATGTATTCCTCAGAAGAACCCACTTTATTTAAGCCATCCCAATTAGATCCTCAATTCCCTCGGACTGCTCTCTTACAGAAGGCTTTGAGTCAACTTCACTATCTTCCTCCACATATTGACCTATTCACTCATAGAGGAGATTTAGTCGATCTTGCATTATCTTTCATGCCTACTGAGTTCAATGGTTATGATAAAATAGATCATATTGTGTTCAAAAGCCATGGGAGGTTATTCCTTTTTCATGATAGACTTAGAGATGACTCTTTTACGTCTTCGGATGCTCGAAACAATTGGTATGCTGGCCAAAAGTTTGAGCATATGTGTACGACCACAGATTGGCCCAAAGATGTGTCACTTTGGAAACCGTTGAGGCCGCGAGAAAAGAAGGAATGTCCAATTCATAACATTTTAGAATTGGAATTATCACATAAAATGAATGCTCTAGTCATCGCAGAGAACGACTGTCGAGACCCCAGTAAAGATGGTCTCGATAGTATTATAGAACTCAAATGTACCGCAGCTCAAAAGTATAAATCGGGAGAGCAGTGGCACAAAATGAGTAACAAACAAATTTTAAAGAAAGTGATTCATGCGAACTCGGTAATGAAATTCATGAAAATGTGTCTTCAGGTAAGATTATGTGGCACAACCACTGTTGTAATCGGATTTCGTCTTCGAAAGAAATTGATTGCTATTCGAAAGTTTCAAGTTGAACAACTAGAGAATCATATTTATTACTGCCTCAAGAGTGATGCAAGATCATACTACTCCAGAACCCTAAAGAATCTCAATAAACTCATTGAACGTCTAGACAGAGCATGTGCCGATGGTAGTTTTTACAAGTTGACAAAAAGTGGGTATAAAGAGCCCATTTTGGTCAATAAGATTTCCGCAGACGATGCTGTCTTTAAAGTGCCTTTTATTGCTGATTTCGAGAAGCTTTTATCCCAAAAGGTCAAAGAACGCTGCTCATTCTTAGAGAGTCATCGTGAGCAAGAAAACTCTGGGAAAGAGCTCAAGGAGGATTATAAGGGCACTGCAACTAGCGATGATCAGAAACATGAAGGAGCTGTGGTTTGTTCAAATAGTAGGAAAAAGAATAAGAATAGAAAGAAGACGAAGAGCAAGCGGAAAGATATTGGCAATGGCAAACCAAAAGACGTGTGTGAGGGCCAGAAACCCGTGCCAGCTATAGACAAACGGATGAGCAAAAACAGATCCTCAGAAAAAAATACTCTTCAAGCCAGTTCTGATGAACCGGAAAAAGGATTAAAATTAGGGGAAATAGGGCAAGAAAATTCTAGCATTTCTTCCAGTGTCGAATCAAAATCAAAGTTGAAGGTTGATGAGCATAAAAAAGGAAAGATAAGGCTATCATTAGTGCGAAGATCGAAGAGAAATTATCGAATTCTTCATCTTCAAGCTTGAATGTTAAAGGCATGTCGGCCATTTCAAACCCAAAGGGGGAAGGTACCAATGCGCATGGTGAATTGGGTTCAAATCCGCTTCTGACCCCACCTTCAACACCGTGAATTCTTCTGTGAGTTATGGATTTTAGTATGAAAATCGGACAGAAGACAAAGAGATTATTTAAGTACAATATCATAAAATTCGGTTTAATTAACAAGTCATTGAAACGATACTCTCATAATTCGTCTAGTTGTTTGTATTTTAAAGGGTTCAAAGAATTAAAATTTTAAGTTTTCTATTGTTTCTTAGATTTTAAATCGCGCTTGAATTTTTCTACAGAGAAATCAGATCCGGTACAAATAATGTAAATGACATAAATAGTCTTAAATAAATATTAAGCCCTATCACCACAAAGAAGGTATATTCTCAGATTGCAGCCAATTCAGTTTATCATAATCTGCCTTACCATCAATAACATGAAATGCGTAAGCAAATCTGGATTTACTAGAAGTGTTCGTCTCACTTCTGTGAAGAACAGATCCGTGTATTAGCACCAAATCGCCTGGTTTACATTCTACTGTATCCCAATTCAGGTCTTCATCTTTAGGTAAATCATTCTGCAATTGTTCATGGTTATCAAAGAATATGAAATCAGTGCCTCCAATCTCTTCACCGGTCTCCTTATCAAATTTACGGACGAAGCGTTTCGTAATTGGATGAGTGCGATGTGATCCAGACGCAAAGCTTAAGCAGCCATTTTCGGCAGTAGCATCTTCTAACGCAATCCAAAATCCCACCGCTGTTTGTGGCTCAGTGTAGAGAAACACACTATCTTGATGGGATGGAACAGCTCCCCCGATCTCAGGCTGCTTGCAAATAACCATTGACTGCAAGGCTTTTGGTTGCTCAAATCCCAACATACTCACAACTTCCTTTACTCTTGGATTTTCGACGGTGATCGTATGAAAAAGGGGGTCAGAAATGTGCAGACCATGGCCAAATTTATTAATCGCCTTCTCCTTTGGTTTCACTAATTCTTGCCTACCGTTGATATCTTCAAATGCATCAGGTTCGAAAAAGAATGATATATTATCAGAAGAGTTGAGAAAGTAGTCATCTCCTACATGCGCCTTATCGCTAGTCGTGAAACGAGTTAACGGATGAGTACTGACATCAAAACGTTCTAATAGTTCCTGAGATCGTTGTAGGAGGGCCTTAGTTTCATCTCTGCTTACAAAATTCGGAATCAAAAGATATCCCTGCTTTTCGAACTGCTCAGCTTGCTCGCTGGTGAACATGCTTGCAGTGATTCCCTATGCCGGAAACTATTCTTACCTTACTCTATCCAAAACGATATCTGATAAGCCAAAATTGATTCTTCAAGATCATGTTATACAACCAAAAGGGGTGAGAAACAGGCCAATGCGAGTGCCTACGGAAGGCTCAAATCCAACATTCTAATTAAGTTACATTTACATTCATAAACGCTTTAATGAACATTGAAACCCTTAAGGCGTGGCTTGGTTGTTATTGATACAGTGTCTTCATTTTATTTCTAGCCGAGCTAAACTGCTGCCCATTGTCACTGAAAGGCAGCAGATTTCTACTTACAGAAAGTAATGGGTCGGATTGTATTGGTAGTCCTCGTAATTGAATTTATAGAAAGTATGTAACGGTAATATACGTGAACACAAAGTTGTTGTTATCGGAACTTCTGATCTGTTCTTGAATTGTTCACTTGGAATAGAAATAGACTGCAGCAATTGCAGTCAAGAACATGGTGAGTGCGATATTGAATCTAAATTCTTCATCTTGTTCAGTTGGGATGACCTTCTTGTCATATTTGGATCTCTCCTTGACCCTCTTGTAAATGTCACTTTCGACAGGTTTGACACCGACAGGCAACTGTTCCTGATACATTTCTTCAATGTACTGTTCAATCTTGGCAATCTGAATATTGATCTTTAGATAGTTTGGATCGTCAACTTGTAGACGCTTCTTAATATCACGCAAATAATATTGGAAAATCTCAACGCAGCCACGAAGGGTTCTAGATTTTAGGATCAAGTAGCATGTTGTCCCCTTTCTAATCTTAACGTTTTCATGGAGAACATTTTCATTACCAAACACAAGAGCCAAAGTAGCAATGGCCATAACTTGGGGGATTGCACAAAACTGGAAGGAAGACTGTTCATGGATGGAACTCAAGTATGTCAAAACGCTTTTCACATGACTCAATGCATTCAAAACAAGGTGGTTGATGCAGTAAACACCGGCCTGTGTGTGTCCAGGCTTCGAGAAATCAGGCAATTTTTCAGCATATTGAGACCAAACTTCTTTGGGCCAAAAAGAGCGTCCATCTTCCAAGTCCTCTGCATAATCCCTGATAATGTTTGTTTTTTGTAAAAATAGACCCATATTTTCATAAAGATCCGATGATTTATCGTACAAATCAGGATTACCAAAACCAGCCAAAACAATTAATTGAGTCAAACCATCACCGACCAACCCAGCTACATAGTGGCAGTAAAGATCGTAGTCCTTGATAGTAGAAACGCCATTTAAGTTAAAGTTCTCATCCAAGATGTAATCAGCCATGCCGTTACCCATTTCCTTGGTGATCTCACGGATAACTCGTTGATACTCGGGCTTTAACTTGTGTAATTCCTTCAATATACAAGGGAATTCCACCAACACACAGCGGTCCTTTTCAGTGGGTGCGTTACCATCAAATGACCAGTCATCAAGCTCTAGTTTTTGGTCGAATTCACGAAGTAATGGCACTTTGATTTTTGGGTCAATGGTCATGTCATCTTCGACCGTATCCAAGGCTCTTAGAATTAAATAAAAAAGCATGATTGCATTGCGCAACTCTGGATGAAGTTCTAAAATAACAGCAGCGAAAGAACGAGATGTCTTTCCAAGAAGTTCATAACATCTTTTTAATTCCGGAGTAGCCTGGGTGTCGTCCAAAGGAAACAAGGGTTTCCTTAAAAACTTTAGCTTCAAAGCAGCCTTGAATTCCAAAGGGTGTAGAACCAGCTGCGCTATCTTTCCCATCTTGTAAGCTTGATAAATATGAGTGACCTAAGTGAATAACCTGAGAACAATTGATTAGCGAAGCTAAGTTATTAAAAAGTACTCAGCCGTTAAAGGTACGAATTTTTCTCTGAGTCGTGTGATGGAATACTTTCGTTTAGCGATCCCGTTAAATGTGACATCATTGAAAGAGGTATTAGATGGTGCAACTAGATTTTAAAATGAACCACATAGTATATCCAAGTCACTGTGTAATTGAGTGACGACTTAGATAGCTGGAAGAATGATTGTGTTTAAAAAAACTCGAGAAGAGTCAACAAAAAAGGTCCTACCCGGATTCGAACCGGGGTTGTTCGGATCAAAACCGAAAGTGATAACCACTACACTATAGAACCAGTTATTGACATAAGAAATAACAGCTGATCTCTTTGAGTCCATAGAAAGTCACGCCTAAATACACGTTATCACATCACTGCTTGATTTCTACCTTATAGAAGTCATGACCAAGTTAGCGTCCTAAGACCTCTTTTCCGAGTCAATGTGATGTGATTACTATGAATAGGCACGAAAGAGGTGTTCAGAATAATACAGTAAATCACGGCCCGTCGTATGGCAGTCATATTTTCGGAAGTTATTTACAGAACTATGTAGACGTATTGGCCTTAATTGCCACCATCCAACTATTTACATGATGCATGGCCTTCTGGAGACTTTGGTTTTGAAGTATTTCTAACTCCTGAGGACGGAATTTAGAGAGTACGTAGCGGGCAACTATCTCCGGATCTCGCTCATCGGGCCTGCCAATGCCAACAGCCAATCGAAAAAAGTGGTCACCTCGGTACTTGGAGATGTCTTTCAGACCATTGTGGCCCCTTAGACTTCGACCAGGCTTTCGAAGCTGAACTTTTCCTAGAGGTAAACTAAGCTCATCGTGAATTACCAAATGTTGCACGCCGGAGCCGAGCTTATTCCAAAGGGGAACTACTGTCCTCCCACTCAGATTAATGAAGTCGCCATCTGCTCTAAGTAGCATGATATCATCAAGTTGACATCTTTTAACTTTGGGACTGGTATTGCACGGTACAAAACGTTTATCGGACCCCCCTAGTCCGCTCCTTAGCAAATCCAGCATTAGCAAACCAACGTTGTGTCTCGTATGGGCATACTGTGGTTCAGGATTTCCAATTCCAGTAATACAACCATGTATATGCCTTTTGCAAGCGATGGTCAATCTGCCGCTTTTAAGCATGAATTCTTTACCAGTCCCGTGATCGAGGTTTCTTTATTAAAAGCGAACGGACATTTTCATTTTTATAATCGATGTCGACAGTAGAAAGTCGAGTATGTCATCGAATAATAGGAAGAAGCTTCTGTTGATGGGCCGTTCAGGGTCAGGTAAATCCTCTATGCGGTCTATAATCTTTAGCAACTATTCTGCTTTTGATACGAGACGTTTGGGTGCGACCATTGATGTTGAGCATTCGCACCTACGGTTCTTGGGCAACATGACTTTAAACCTGTGGGATTGTGGTGGCCAGGATGTGTTTATGGAAAACTACTTCACTCAGCAGAAGGACCACATTTTTCAAATGGTGCAAGTATTGATTCATGTTTTCGACGTGGAGTCCCAAGAAGTGATAAAAGATATCGAGATATTCACTAGGGCTTTGAAGCAACTGAAGCGGTATTCACCTGACGCCAAAATATTTGTTCTCTTACACAAGATGGATTTGGTTCAGCTGGATAAAAGAAACGAGCTCTTCCAAATCATGATGAGTAAATTGCAAGAAACGTCTGCTGCCTACGGGTTCCCAAGTTTGGTGGGATTTCCAACTTCCATATGGGACGAGAGTCTTTATAAGGCGTGGTCGCAGATTATATGCTCTTTAATCCCCAACATGGCGACGTACCAGGCAAATTTGAAAAAATTGAAGAGCGTTATGGATGCAAGAGAGATCATTTTATTCGAACGCACCACATTCCTAGTGATATGTTCAAGCAATACAGCTAGCGGGGAACTCCTAGATCCCAAGAGGTTCGAGAAAATATCCAATATCATGAAGAATTTCAAACAAAGTAGTATGAAATTGAAGAGTTCGTTCAAGACTTTGGTGCTTGATAATACAATTTACGTGAGCGAGTTTTCAGCCAATATGATGTGTTTCATAGTGCTAAATAAGCCAGATGATCCACAGGATTTAGTGTTGGAGAACATCAAGAAGGTGCGGGTTTACTTCCAGTAGTGTAATATCTATCAGTGTATGGTTAGAATAAATAGAACGATGTTTGATGTGTGCGTGTGTGTGTTATGTAGACGTTAGAAGGAGGACTTCAATTTTAAATACACGAATAGAAGAATTAATAAATACCATGAATGTTAGCATATTAAATCTGATCTACTGCAAATAGCTTTGGGAAAGTCTCATTTCGAATAGTTTTTAAATTTTTTTTTTTTTTTCAGCTTTTCAATTTTAAGGGTCATTACTCGTTCACAATTCTTTGAAACAGTCTCTCTTGAAGAACGCCAACTTGAACCAGTCTGCCATGACCTTGAATCTGGACCTAGCAGACAAGATCATTGATAAGTATAGCACTCTCCAAATGTAGAAGGTCATCACACCACCGCCCGTGTAGAAAGAACGCTTGCCATACGTGATGTTAGCAATTGCCTTTTCTGCACCCAAGTAGGCTAGAGCACCCAGGTGCACGTAGTTGAATGGCTTGAAACCGTTTTCTTCGAACAACAGATCAACTTTTTCCTTTCTTTGCAGCAAAGTGGAGTGGAAGCTTGGGATCTTGGCCATCTTGTCAAAGACCTTGGCCAAGTATTCGGCTTCTTGGTGTGCGACCTGGGCAGTTGGAGGGAAACCCGACACTGCGTTGTCACCCACGGCAAAGATGTTGTTGGAACCCTTGACCAAAAGGTTCTGGTTCACGGCCAGGCCTCTTCTGGACTCGTTTTGTTCGGGGATCTTCTTGAAAACGGCAGTGACGATGGGCCTGGCCTTGTTACCGGTGGCCCAGATCAAAGTGCCGTAAGGGATGGTTTCTTCAGTGACGGAGCCGTCCTCAGCCTTGGTCTTGGCGATCAAGTGGTCGGACTCGACTTTTGCGACGGCGGTTCTCAAGTGCAACTTGATTCTAGTCTTTCTGAGCACATCCTGGGCATAGGAGGTTAGTTTCTTCTCAAACATGTTCAAGACCACGGGTAGTGCCTCGACCAAGTGGATTTGGACTTCCTCGGCCACGGCGGGCATGAAGCGCTTGAGATCCTGGTCGATGTAGTCTTGCAACTCACCGGCGGTCTCGACACCGGTGGGACCACCACCGACAACCACAATGGTGAGCAGGCGCTTTCTTTCAGGGTCGCCCTTTTTCAAGAGATTGGCCTTTTCGATGTTGGACAAGAAGCGCTTTCTGATCTCGAGCGAGTGGGGGATCTCCTTCAGGAAGTTGCCGTGCTCCTCGACGCCGGGGATGCCAAAGGTGTTGGGCTCGGCGCCCACTGCGCTGACCAGGTAGTCGTACTTGATCTCGGCCTCGTCGTTCTGAGTGAGGCCGATGAACTTGTCGGGCTCGGACAGGTTGGACGCGGTGGACACGGACTTGATGGTGACGGTGTTGCGGTCCGGGTTGATGGAGGTGGCCTCGGCCTCGTAGTACGAGATGTTGCCCTTTTTCTTGAGCGCGAAGTTGACCACGGGCTCGATGATGGACTTTTCGTCCACGGTGCCCACGGGTGTGGAGGGCAGCAGCGGCGTGAACAGGAAGTAGTTGCGGGGGGACACGATGGTGACGTTGTACTTCTTGGAGTCGATGTGCTGGAGGAACGTGATGGCGCCCCACCCGGACCCGAGCACCACGACGTTGGGCTTGTTGTCCTGCTTGTTCTCGATCAGCTTGGCCGTACGGAACGACGACGACCCGCCGGTCTGCGCGGTGCCCACGCTGGGCGGCGCGGTCTCGGAGCTGGCGAACCGCACCAGCTGGGCGGCGCGGGCCGCGGCGAACGCCGCGGTCCGCGACCCCATGCGGTTTGTGTACACCGGAAGCATGCTGGGGATGGGTAGATGTGAGGGGAGAGGGGGAGCTGCGAGGGGAGAGGGGGAGCTGCGAGGCTGAAGGCGACTCCTGGCTGCTGGGACTGATAAACTGCTTGAAGTGGCGCGCGCTGTGTCACAGACGTTCACCTCAATGCTTGCATCGGCGGAGACGGACGGGGCCACGGGCTCGCGTGCCGGTTCCTTATATACGCCCCTTCCTGCGGGCCCAGTGTTGGCGCGAAAATTTTCCCCTACTCCGCAAACCGGGGACCACGGCTGTATCGCTCCGACAACGTCAGCGAAATATCGAGCGGGTTTTTTGGCGGCCGGTGATTGGGCGAGATCTGCTGAGGTGAGCGCGGGACGAGGGGAGGGGAGGTCACGGCGCACGGCGGCCGCGACGCAAAAGCGTCGCCGCCGCCGCCGCCGCCGCCGCCGCG